AGTATAATAGTCTTATTTAGTAGTAAGATTTTATCAGAGAAAATACTATTCTTATAATTCCTAAAGAAAGTTTATATAAGATATATTAAAATATAATTAATAAATACTATACTAAAAGAATAAATTTAATATATTTTAAATTATAATTAGCTAATTAAAAAAATCTAAAAGATTAATATTATAAATATATTAAAAAACTTCTTTAATAAATATATAAAATATTTTATCTTTAGTAACATCTGTAAATATATAGTATAAAATTTAAAACTTAAACTAAGCTTTTAAAGGGTTTATTTTAAAGTAATATTATAAAAATATAAGCTAGCCTTTATAAATTACTTAAATATATAATTAAATTTTTTTTTAATTTTAGATAGTTTAAAGATAAACTAGATAAAAATTATATTTTATATATATAATTATATATTTACTTTAATAATAGCTTTATCTTTATAAGTTAAGATATTAATAATTTGATTATAAAAAATATTTATATTATTATAAATAATTATATTATAAAAAGGTTAAAAAAACCTATTATTTTAGAAGTTAGACTAGAATAAGCTAATTTTATCTGCTTTTTAATAATTATTTTATTTATTATTATTATTTTTACAATCTCTTTTATTACTTTAATTATCTTTATCTCTTTTATTATTTTTAGATATAAAATAGTTTTTTAAAAAGGTTAATTTATTATATTATTTAATAAATAAGTAATAAGACTCTATAAGATTACTTTATATAATATTATATTTAATTTATATAATTTTCTGTCCCTAGAAAATTTATATAAATATATTTTTTATTTTTACTAATTTAGTAGTTAGACCGGGAGTCTAAAATATAATAGGTAGTATAATAGGCTCTAGTATAATATTATATATAGAATTAAATATTTATTAATTAAACTTATATTTAATATTAGAAATTAATAATTCTTTTATAGAAAGAATAATTATATTAAAATTAAAAGTTAATATAGATATAGAGCTTTATAATATTAAATCTAAATTAAATAAATAATGTCTGGCAGTATTAAGATATTTATTAATATTTTTATTTTTATTTTATATACTAACTTAATAATAACAAATAAAGCTACAGTATCAAAACTCCCAAGAATTATAAGGGTCTTTAACTTATTATTTTTATTATAATTATTTTTCTTACCCTAATTATAATTTCTTTTCTTAGTATGGGATATAATATATAATAAATAACTAATTATATTAATAGGGTCCGAGGATAAAACTATTAATATAACTTGTAAAATAAAAATTAATATAATAAAAGATCTTTCTAAAAATAATTAATTAATAGAATAACTATCCTACCAGTCCTAAAATACTTAATTAGTAAATAAAAATACTAAAATTTTAATAAATTCCTTAATAGTATACTTTATAAAAGAATAATCAATATTTTAATTAAGAGAATATATAAATTAATATTTTAATAAAAATAAAAAGATTATAATAATAAACTAAATATATTAAATAATATAAGTATTAATATTATTAATAAAATAAAATAATAAAATATAATAATATATATTAATTTAATAAGCAAGTTCAGCGAGCTGTCTTAATATTAGAAATAATAAAATTAAATAGAAAAGACTGAATAAAAAAGATTAAAAAAACTAAAAGTAATAAGTAATAATATAATATACCTGAGCTAGTTAAAAAACAAGTTTTTAAATATTATAAATTCCGGGAATAAAATTATTAAAAATAAAAAATAATAATATTAAACAGATAATATTAAATAAATAATTATTATTAATATAGAATTAAAAAAAATCAGATAAAACCAGATATATTATTATATAGTAGTCTCCTACTGGATCGTAGAATTATAATAATAAAATTAATTATTTATTTAAAAATAACTAAATCTTCTGCCTTGTGGAGACGGGAACTATAGAATATTATTAACACCTACAGTGCAGGAATACAGGAGGCCATAGAGACTATAGCCACAGAACAGAACAGACAGTAAAGAACAATGCAACAAAGATAAATAAGAAGAGAAAAAATAATAATAAATTAAAAAAAACCTAGATTATAAAATAAATATTAAAAAAAATAAAATTAAAAATAAAATAAATTATAAAAAAATAATCCTAATTTTAAGAGCAAGAATTAAGTAAATAAATAAATACTAAAAAATATTTAATAATATTAATAATTATTAATATAAGCTTAAGGGAAATATTAAAAATTTTAATATTTATATTAATAATAAATTATTATTAGGTTATTAGAGTTAAATAAGAAAACTAAAATATTAAAAATTATTATTAATAAAATAATTAAATAATTCTATAAAATAAGAAGTTAATAAAAGCTAATTAATTAAAAACTAATAATATTATAAAACCTTATATTTATTTTTATCAGAATATTAGAGATATATTACAGATTTATCTTAATTATATAAAATAGCTATATAACTTAATTAAGATCTGTCAGTATTAACTATATTAGGAAAGAGAAAGAACTTACTATTATATTAATAAAGTATATTAATAAAAAAAAGATAAAAAATTAAGATAAAAAATTACTTTTTATAATATTATTAATAAGGCCTAAGGCCATAATATTAGCCTTTATATAATACTATTAATAATATTATAGTAATAACCTTTATTTAATTTATTAAAAAAATATTTTTTTTATTTTAGAGTTTAGGCACTACTCCCACAATAAGAAGACCAAAAAAAGGGATTATATTATAAAATAGATCTTTAAAGTATATAATACTCAGCTAATTAGCCTTATTACTTGTCAATGACTAATTTATTAACACATATAAAACCCCTAAGTCCCTGAGCCCCCTTTCTAAACACCAGTTATTCCTTCTTATGCAATAAGGCGTGGTACACATGGCAAAGGTCTCCACCCCTAACAAAGGGAATCAAGTGCCCGAACCAGAACCTTCATGGCTGCCCCTTACACATGCCAAGGTCCTCACCAACCTACAGGCAACACTACGGCTGGCGGAGAGACCAACTATATACAACACCACAGTGTGACAAGATCTCTGTAAACAAAATAACAGTAGATGGTCTTATAAAGGCGCTTATAACTTAAAATACTGTGAACTTATCTGTATATTTAATCCTATTAATATCAAGAATTTTATTATTACTAGAGAAAGTAAATAAAGGCCTTATAAAGTCTTAAAGGGATACATTATAATATATGAGGTAGACCTTACTAAAATAATTAACACCTTATTTAACCGAAGTCTCTAAAAGGCCCTAAAATTGCATAATAATAATTGTTATTAATTTCTCGCTTAATTTAATACTTAAGAAGACATAAATAATATCCCTAAATAGCTAGATTAAAGTCTTTAACACCTTTAATTTATTTATTTTAGATAGCCAATAGAATTGCTTTATTCTGAGCCGCATTTTTAGTTATTCCTCGCTTGCCAAGCGCCCGATATTCCACAAGCATTCCTGCAGACCTCCACCAGCCTAGTCACTCGGCGCTCATGTTAGCGCTCATAACAGGTGTAGGAGATGCTTGAAGCATACACATAAGAACTGGGTAAATAATATCATTTTAGCATTGGACTTGACCACTTGTCGACGGTCGTTAGAACCTAGGACCTAATAGTTTATATTCATCAATCAACAAGCCTGCACGATAATAAGCAGAAAAATCAACCAGCGTCCCGTATACAGGAAAAGCACAATTCATAGCCCCATATACCTTCGAAAAAGGCAACATTCTCTCCAATCATCCGCGGCAACAACCGGTTGAGTGATTGATACCTACTACCAACCTACCAAGCAGGTAAGTGGGGCAAGCTGTAAGGGCCCAAGCAAATTGGGCATCACGTGGACTTCGATCATGCTGCCATTTTTGGGTCAGGAGAGTCCAGACAATGGGCGGGGCTGAAGACTAAGTATGATTGATTGTATGATTCATCCGCCACCGGTGATGTAATGAATGTGGCGCTCAGTCATCCCTCCCGGTCGAGTAAGGCAGATACTGACGTACCCCCCTCCCCAGGTGGTTGGTATCTTTCAGCCTAACATCCCTCCGTACTCCGGTGGTGGCCTTCTGCCGGGTACCTACGAGGAAGGCAGTGCCTGGTCCACCCGATACCAAAACTCTACGAGTACAGACCCCGCTCCTGAGTTGTGTCATGTGGTTGGTAGCAGGTACACCACCCACGGACTAGGATCTACTACTCTGACCAACACCGCCGCTCCATCTGACCGCCGTGAGATTGGTTTAATATTTAATATTCATTATCCGGCGTTCGTCTGGCTGCCGAGGGGGATCAAATGCCCACGATCGGAACAAACCCCTCCCCACGACGATCTCCGTGCAATCGGTCATTTGCAGAGACCCAATTGAGCACGGCAGGCGTCTCTGATGACCTGTACCCAGTCGCATATTATTTATCAGTCTCCCACTGGTACTAACCATCCCCTTTACTGCCACGCGCCACCCCGCAGTCTTGTGAACGTCAATCTACATCAGCCCGGGCCAGTCATTGGTGGCGCATTGACTCATCGTTTGATCAGCAGCCCTCATTTGTAGTTTCCCAGGGCGCTGCGGCATTGACTACTTTAACCTCTTTAGAGCAAGCATCCAACCCGTGTGTCATGCTATAATACAAGACTCCCTTTCCAACGAGCACTTGGGAGAGCGAGATTGCCTCACCCCACGACTGACCTCCTGGTACTTCACCCCATTGTTGAGAGCCATACTGCCTGTCAGGTCAAACCTAGGTTGCCTATTGCCACCACAGACAAAGAGGCGGCCCTGACAAATCACCTTCAATCATCTTCACGTGTGGTTTTGTCATGTTCTCTCTTCCATTGACTTCCATAAACACACCCAGTGTTCATCATCATATCGCTGGTTTCTATTAATCCCCTCCCCCAGAGCAGTGATAAGACATTGTCATATCGCTATTCTGTCTTTCCGCGCCCTCGTCTCATTCACCAGCGGTCATTTCCCCCGCCGGGCATGACCTCACTTACCGCTGCCTCGCTACCTGACCACAGTAAAGGGAACAAAATGCATCGTTTGCCATCTGTTTCCAGTCTAATGTCCCCTCCGGAGTCCAAGCCTCTGGATAGCTTTAACCCTCCATTCTCGCCCCATGCAATACCACAGGATCAACCATTTGGTCATGATGTGAAGCTTCCTCCTATATTCGTTGATCGCAAACGAACACAGTCAGAAATGGATCTTCCATCGCCACCTGTCACACCCTACACTGGGAACAAAAAGAGAAAACCCAGCACATCAGAAAACATCGAGCAGGACGTTACTATTGGGGCCTCCCGAGACCCTGTCCTGTTTCCTCGGCATGAATCCATTGCTGACGTTGCCTCTGACGAGTCGTTATTCGGCCCTGTATTCCCACCCGCGGCAGAAGCGCTCGTCGAGCAACATATCAATTCTCACATGGCAAGGTTTGAGAACAAGCTGAATAAGCCAACACGCGATGAGTATCTTTTGGCCCTCTCGTGCGTTCCGATTGTTTCGGCTCAATATAATCGCAACCCGATGGCGTGGGCCAAAGAGGAGCGAGAAACCCTAGAGCGTCAATTAGCCATGATGAATCGATGTTCCCCTCAGAGATTGGAGGCGAGATTAAAGAGAATCGCACCTGCACCTGTCAAGAAAGCAGTTGCATCCCAAGCCCGCGTGCAGAGAACTCCCAGAGTCAAGCGCACACCGAAATCCACACCGAAACAGAAGGTTCTTGATTCATTTGACACATCCCCTCCGAATAACAAACCACCCCGCGCAATAGGCACAAATCGGGATGACACAGATTATGGTTCGATCGATGATTATTCACCCCCACTAGAAACCCTTGGCAGCAATGCGAAAGCTTTAAAGGCCGACTGGAAGGGACAAATGCTAGACCTCACTCACGACCCAGATCGACAATTGCTGAGTCCCGCTGAGTTCAACCTTGCAGCTACCCTCAGGCTTTCATGTGCCACATATCTATGCAGCAAGCGGCGCATCTTCGAAGCTCGTGTCAAAGCCCTGAACGTGGGCAAGGAGTTTCGCAAAACGGATGCTCAGCAGGCCTGCAAAATTGATGTTAACAAAGCAAGCAAACTTTGGACCGCCTATGACCGCGTGGGTTGGTTTAGGCCTGAACATTTCCAACAATATCTGTTATGAAATTCACCATCACACACCTGATGGGTTCTGTCCAGTCTTGCATGATTCACGTGGAAATTGAACTCCAACAATCTTGTGTATCAGTGCTGAGATAATGATTAGCGTTTATTCTCCCCACGCACAGCTTTATTCCGTTCACACTCATGATGCAATGGCTTACTGAATGTCCCTGGGCATAGCTGGTCTGTGTTCATGCTGTTGCATCAGCTCCAATAATCCACCCCGAACCCTTCTCTCATTTTGCCCCCCATGCAGTATGGAGGTGATTGTTTCCTATACTAGTTTTTCGTTTCGCCCAGTGTTGCTTGTGCATGGTTGTGCGTTCATTCTTTAGATTGACAGATTTGGCTTGCCTCAAGATTTTGCTGCAGACGTATTGAATGACAGGACATCGGGAAATTTGCTAAATCCAGACGTGCTACATAATAGAAATAGATGTCATCTCGGTCTTATGTCCCGAAACCGGCAGACAGGCTAGAAAGGCCGTGTTCTATCTGATCTTTGTCACCTATATGTAGGTGCCAAGCCGGAGATGCTTGATCGTATGTCTGATAAAGCAGGTTACCTGGTAGTTATGGCAAAAAGCGACCACCCTATAGTTACCTACCTCGGTATCTATCAGGTACCTAAGTACCTACTGCGGGTATAAAGTACTACCGGGCTGGATTGACTATTTTCCATGGGATTGGACCGCACCTGTTGTGATGATGTGGTTGCTTTATTTGCTTTATTCACTTAGCCAAGTTTATTTTCGCTGCTTTCTGAGAACCATCATCTTTTACCACTCTTAGGAGGTGAAACGTACCCCATACTGTACATATATACAATACATCAAATACAGATGTATGTACATACCTTACTACGTACTGTACATTACCTCAAGTACCGTACCTACCTTAGTTACCTTGTGTATGTATGTATGTAATGTACCCACATTACCACTGGACAAACTTGGAGATCCCGAAGGCGGTGGAACAAAGGCCGCGCGGGCGCTCGTAAGCTGCGGACAGTGCCTCCCTGGGAAGTGTACGTACTTAGTTGAATTCGCCACTGTCATGCCGACCATTGCCTTGGGCTAGACTTCTTCTTTGCTGGTTTGGCACGACTTCACACATTCGATCCGTATATCATTGGCGTCTTCACTTATTCTACCAGACACCCTGATCCGCCTATTCTCACCCGACTGAGCTGGTACCTGGCCGAACATGTCCCATACCGAGGTGGATCAAACGGGGTCTCTCGGGGAACAGGAGCGTAGAGGTGATAGCGATGGTGACAAAAAACCCCGGAATAAAAGACCAGCAAGTTGGTATAGCTTCCTTGGTACTTTGGACAATACTAATGCGGATTTCTAGATACTGCTTTCCGGCAACAACGCTTGAAAGCCTGGCAGTGAGCTTAAATTCTCACCATTGCCTTTGCGCTTGCTTACCGCGAACAGACCCATTTTAACACCCAAGAGTGTATTACCCCTTTTCTTCATCGTCGGGATCATATTTGCTCCCATAGGCGGCCTTTTGTTATGGGCGAGCTCTCAGGTAAGTTGTTGCCTTGTCCTCGCGGGCCCCTCTATCCCCGACGCAGCCTTACCATCGGAACAGGTACAAGAGATATCGATAGATTACTCTGAGTGCGCGGAGAAAGCACCAAGGAAAGGCCACGAAGAGATTCCAAATAGAGTCAGTTCGTCATTCAAATCATCTGGCCAGATTGCTCCGACGTGGCAGCGTCGCGATGAACACAATGTCACGTATTGTCGACTGATATTCGACATCCCCGACACGATCGGACCACCTGTTTTCTTGTATTACCGACTCACGAACTTTTATCAGAATCACAGAAGATATGTGAAATCCTTGGACGTCGACCAATTAAAGGGCAAAGCAGTTGACAACAAGACCCTTGATGGCGGGTCATGCGATCCTCTGAAACTTGATCCATCTGGCAAAGCATATTATCCATGTGGACTTATAGCAAACTCTCAATTCAACGACACAATATACAGCCCGCAACTTCTAAATGATGACCGTGTTGAGGCCGAACCATACCTGATGACGAATAAGGGAATAGCATGGGACAGTGACAAAGAACTCATCAAGAAAACGCAATATAAGCCAGGCCAAGTTGTTCCTCCACCGAACTGGCATGATCGATATAATTATACGGATGAAATCCCTGATCTCCACGAAAACGAGGAATTTATGGTTTGGATGAGGACTGCGGCCCTTCCGACCTTCAGCAAGTTAGCTCGAAGGAACGACACCACCTCTATGGCAAAGGGCACATATCAATTGGACATTGCACTTCGTATGGCAACCGAGGTCTGTTACGTTAAACAATACTGACTCTTTGCAGGTTTTCCAGTCACTGAATATGGAGGCACAAAGTCAATCCTCATCTCTACAAGGACTGTGATGGGCGGGCAAAACCCATTTATGGGGATTGCATACGTTGTGGTCGGCGGTGTTTGCGTTTTGCTGGGTGCTCTTTTCACCGTTGCACATCTGATAAGACCTCGGTTAGTAACTCTGACATCTCGGTTCAATTGTTGAATTATGGCATCTGACCTCTTGAATTAGAAAACTGGGAGACCATACGTATCTGACGTGGAATGGTGAGCAAGAGGGTACGGCAGCAATAGCAACTGGGAGAGATAATAGATTTGGGGCGCATGCTACTTGAACACGAGATTGTCATCTTAGTTTTTATTTTGCAGTACATTTCATTGACAAGGATGTCGTGAGTACATTTTCCTTCTGTTCAATCAAGTCCTTTGTTTCATAATCATGCCCCATTTGAAAGCCATCAATGTGCAAATGATCGTTCTCGTGCAAGTATTAGCCAACTTCTCTGCTATGGGGGTTTGGTAACGCTAATTGTGATGTTAAAGCACGTGTTTTGTTTGCTAGTTTCCCATTCCCAAGGGCTTGGTTTGTTTTGGTTTGTTATATGACCTTCCTCCCTTTAAAACCGTTAAGCTTCCTCCCTATTGCATCCCTTACTGCATTCCAACATTCTTGGTTCCCGGTGCCTTGTTGCCTGCCATGCAATCCGTTTTGGTTCTCTTAAATCTTGTCCAAAAACCACCATGTGTTCCTCATTTGTCTACCTGGTAAGCCTTAGATCTGAGGCTCCATACATTGAAGCGTCATAGGCAAGATGTTTCAATTTTCGACCTTTTTAGTTTTCATGTTTTTGGGCATGACCGATCTTCAGATGAAATGCGCTGCTCTCACTCCTCCAACACGCGGCTTCTGTGCTACTGGCCCCCCTGGCGATCCCTTAAGAGCTGAGCATGAGCGGCTGAATACGCTGGAGTTCCAGCATGGTCTTGCGGTGAATTATGAAAGCCGAGAGGTTGTCAAGCCAATTGAGATAGCTACATGGTTTCACATCCTCCTGGGTAGTGAAGATGATACGAACACGGTGTCGGACGACATGATTGCTAACCAAGTAAGTCTCTCCCTCCTGATGCTCTGCAGCCGTTTTGGATCAAGTACAGCTTTCCCTCTCCCTTGTTTCTTTATTAAGCGCGATGAGTTAACTAATCACCTGGAAGGTATCCTATCTTCAGAACGCCTACCAGAATGCGTCGATATCCTTTCGATTGGAGGGTATCACGCGTCAATTTAATGCAACATGGTCCCGAAACGGGGATGAAATGGGGATGAAGAGTGCACTCCGCGAAGGAACCTATAGCACTCTGAATGTTTATTTCCACGCTGATCTTCAAGAATCACCACTCGGGGCGACGCGGCATACACCAGGTATTGATGGTCGCCAAATGCTTAGTTCAGGTGAATTGTCCTCTAATGTTCTCGGCTTTTGCACCCTGCCCGACCCGAGTATCAATGGCAACAGCTCTCGCACTAGTTACATCAAAGACGGCTGCAACATACTTGCTCAAACAATGCCGGGTGGCCTTCTATCCAATTACAATCGGGGTGGAACTGCAATCCATGAAATAGGCCACTGGAATGGTCTTTTGCATACGTTTGAAGGAGAATCGTGCTCCCCTGACAATGACGGAGATTACATCGAGGATACACCCCAGGAGTCTAAGCCGACAGATGGCTGCCCCTCTCGCAAGAATTCTTGTCCTAACCGGCCAGGAGTTGACCCGATACATAACTTCATGGATTACTCGTCCGACGAGTGCTACGAATCTTTTACTCCAAACCAAGTGACAAGGATGAGAAACATGTGGTTTTCGCTGAGGCAAGCAAAGTGAGAGGTAGTTGGGAGGTCGCTTGCGACATGGACCTAATTTGCGCTATGGGCGGATATCTATCATTTTATTTTGTGATGTATAGTAGAATCCTGTGTTGCCAGAGTCTGCGTTGGACATGACGATTGCGCGGAACTCGAAAACATCACCAAATCCAGCTTGTTGTACAGGCTTGGGTCTATTCTTTGTGGTGGCTTCTTCATCTAGGACCTAGACCATGGAATATACTGAACATTAAATAAACATCTTGCCCGCTAATTGGCCTCATCTTCCTTGATTGCAGATATATTCGGCCTGTTTACATTGGAGCACGGCATGAGCACCTCTTGATTGTTCGCTCAACAACAATTGCTAGACGTAAAGCTTCACACTACGTCCAGGACCCTTGGCATCAGCGGCACATACTGAGGACCAAAGCCAATTTAAGTAAGCATTGGATTCGACTCCATGTCACGCTGCGGGCCTGAACTGATTACCGCTTCCGCTTTTTGCTTCGCTCCTCGTCATCCAATCCGCTTTCCTTATCTTTCTTCTTGGCCTTGACCTCCAATTCATCCCAATCCTCCCCGCTGTCTTCGTCTGCACTGAAGTCATCACTTGCCTCAGCACTTGCATCATCGTCGAATTCGCTTTCCTCTTCAGAGCTTTCATCCGCAGCTGCCAGTTCCGATTCAGACAGTTCGAATGCGGACTCTTCTTCCTCTTCTGAACCCCCTTCGGAATCAGATTCCGCCGCCAAGAAAGACCACCCCCCGTCGGCAAAGAAACCGTACGGATCGCTTACGACTGTCTTCATGATTGTCGTCCAATTCAAGTTCAACGGTCCCTCTGTAAAGGCAATGTCAACTGAATCCAACCAGTCCTTAACTCCTTCCAGCGATTCAACGGGGATGGTGTTGATGTGAACAGGTGGCCTATGGAAATCCTTCAGAACGAAAACAAGGTCGAAGTTTTTCAGTCCGAACTAGACACAAGTTAGCATAGAGCAACCATCACTGGATGATAGTCGAAGGGTACCTGAACTCTTTCGAGATGAGCAATCTCAATTTCATTCAATGTGATGACGAGGAATGGGGGTTCTGTCAGCTGGACCAGAGCGTCGGTAGTTGGCTGAATCAACACATTTGAACGGTTGGGAACTCCTGTGAACCCAATTTCCCTGAAAGGAATGTCGACATCGACGCCTTCATCCTTTCCAGCATCAGCCACCTTTTCAGCGAAAGCCTTGAACTCGCGATCAAGAGCCGCTCTTCGTCGTCGTTCTTCTTGTTCAGCCTCAAACTCTTCCTCATCCCCATAACGGTGTTTGCGCCTCCGGTTGCCGGTTTCATCAAATTGCATCTCGGTTGCTTCCCGATAAAATTGAACGTCCCTGGTCTTCCTCTTGCCAATCATGATGGGTGTTTTTAAGTGAACATGGATTAGTACGATCAACTCATGCGCGCAAGGTTGGAAGAATAAATGCTTCACGTTACTGAAAAGCACATCGACATGCTCATTGCGGAATGGTGACATGTAACGAAGACCGTTCTGGTGGATTTCAACCTCACCGGGAACTCGCTTTCCATCGAGTGGAGGTCGAAGATAGACATCGGGCAGCTTCACGGGCCGGCGATCTAGTCAAGGTTAGCAGAGTAAAACTGTGCGGGTTGAAACTCAAGACATACTTCGTATCTCAATAAGCTTATCTTGCTCAACCACATCTTCCATTTCTTTCTTCTCCTGCTCGCGTCTCAGGGCATTCTTCCTCAGCTCAGTGATATCTTGTGCAATCTGAGCCAATCGACCGTTATCCTTAGATCGAAGGGTTAAATTTCGCAGGAAATGAGCCGACAGATCCTCAAACGGTTGGTCATCCTTTCTACCAACGCCTTGACCAGGAGAAAGAAAGTTGATCCTGAGATATGCATATTCACCTTCATCGCTTTTGCTTGCGTTCTTTATGGTGTTGATGTGGAACGGCACTGGTCGACCCATTATTGGGACAATCACCGTCGATGCTTTTTGGTCAACATAAACGATTAAATCTTTGATCCTAGCGGGCAGTTGATTATCCCTCTTGTAGGACTCAAATCGTTTGAATTTCTTCTGAGTCACTCCGTTGTCATCTCCTGTGGTACCAGCAAATCTTTCAAGACCTTCCTTGGTTTTTTTGGAGGCGAGCTCTTTCTGATGCTCGCGACGTCGGGCCTCTGCGCCCTCGTTGACTTGAGTAGGTCGTTCCGCACGAAGTTTGGTGCGAGTGACATTCCTGCTGGCCATCGAGCTGGGTTTGACTTCTTTTTTCTCCTTGACAGGTTTTTGATTCTCCTCCTCATCCCCAAAGTAGAATGAAACCGAGTCCATGTCGATACCGGCATCCTTGGTGAACACATGTGGCCCGTTTTCTCCAACACGGACAGTCTCTGTGATTACCATCGAGTACAAGGAGCTAGAATCGTCCTTCGTGTCAGGGTCTTTCACATCTGTTAGTCCAACCGAGATAGAAAGAGTCATGCCGCTTTTCAACACCCGGTTATTCTTCCCATTGAGTACCATGCTGGCATCGCGAAGTTCAATTCCTATACCAGCGCCAACGCTTTTCACGAAGTGGGATTCAAGATCGGGCTTTTTCGTCCGTATCAAGCCAAGAGCTTTGCTATACAGATCCTTTGCCACTATACCATCACGAACATCCTTTAAGATGGTTTCGTGGATGTTCAATAGGAGAGCATAATTGGCTTCCTGCGATTTAGTCGGGTCGACCAAGTAAGTACGGGCAATGATTGAGCTGTATATCTTGTAGCGGATTCCAAAGGCTGCGATGATGATCCCTGGGCGCAGATTATTGTTATCAGGCACAGCCGTCAGTCTGAGGTCGTATTTACCACCACTTTGGATGACAGGTCCGTAAGCCCAATCTATCTGTTGGGAATCGAATTCTGCTGGCAATTTGGCCAGCTTATTGAAAAATTTACTGTCGTCAATTTTCGCGTCAAGACGCATCGATAGGGCTTTGTGTGTCATCTGCTTTTCTTCATCTAACAGACGAGACATCTCATCGACGAAGTAATCCGACATTATGCCACTACACGCTCTGGATGCATTCCTGATCGAAACCTTGGGAAGCTTTAGATTGAGTTGCTGAGAGGTGACATGGGAAACTCACAAGTTCATCTGTGTCTTTCACAGAGAAAGCCGCCGCTGAGAGTGCTGGCGATATGTCGACCTCTTCGACGTCTTGCGATATAGTTGCAAAAGCACGCTTCCAATCCTCTGCAAACGGGCCAGTGGTGGTATCTTTCGGAAGCACACCAACTTTTTTCTGTCGTGTTGTTTAGTCGTGTTGCACGTGAAAAAAATAAAAATAAATAAACACCAAGAGTATTGCGAATTTATAGCACTCACACCAGAGGCTTTGATAGCTTCAAGGCACTTCTCAAAAGACTTCGTTTTCTCATCTGGGTCTTTAGAAGTGAGTAAGATCTCAACCGGAATCTTTCCACCCTTCAACGGTTCAAGATGTTTTGCTGAATCGCGAGTGTTAGCGGGATATAGCACCTAGGCATATTTAAGAGCCAGGCTTCACCTTTCTTTGCCGTAGTCACGACGTACACAAGATCGGTTGTCAACACCAAAAGCGTCGCGGGGAATTCATAGCCAAGTAGCCAAAACTGAGAAACCAGGTTAGCAAATATCACTTTTGGAGGTATCATTGAGGAAATAGCATGATAGAAGCCCGGTGTCACGTACGTGCATGGCATTGTTTTTTTGAAAGCTGTTCGCCTCATCTGTTTTCCCCATTAAGATGATGATCGAACCTGCACCACCAAAGGTAGCATGCCCCGAGCGCCTGTCTGACTTCCATGCTGCGTAGAAACTTGAGAGCCGGCTAAAGAAGGTGGATTTATCAATGACAATTTCTTCCGCCATTGTAGAGCTGGCCGCGAAATAAGCCCTTGGTGATGTCTGTGAGCTAGGACTTCAAGCCGCAGTGGATTTATCAAAATGGGTATGCAGTCGAAGTGAGGAAATGTGAAGATGAATACAAGGGTCGCAAATTCCAAGACGATTCTGGGAGGATTATGGCGTTTTGGTCATGGAAACATCAGAGGCATAGGTATAGTCAAGCCCATCCCTAGAATAATCGTAGGTGAACGCGCTTCGCGTTTTGGTCAGGGTCTTCTCGGCGAGTCGCCGGAGTTTGGGTTGTTTGCCTGGCCGGCGCCGCGTAACCAGATTACCAAGTATATTTCCTCCAAACGTAAAGGTATCACTGGGGAGGTGCGACCCCTGCCCGGTAGGTATTAAATACAGGTAATCGTATGTACATAAGGTACCTATCTACCTTACCTCAGCGCACCTTACCTAAAGCTTACCTTACAGTGGGTACGGAGTAGGTGCGTGCGGCGTGCCTATTCCGCCTATTCCAGACTAGTTGGTCTGTCTCGCAGCTACGAAATCTGAGAGCTTTCAATTGACATACCCAACGGGCCAACCCCGATCTCCAGCCTCTCATATACATGGCAGCAGTTCATGTTGAACTTTCCTGATGGCGACTGCGTTTTCGGCAACATGCCCCCCCGAGAAAATTTCCGTTTAGATGATGTCAGTACAGTAGATCAAACTTCTGACGCTGCGAGCTCCCAGAGAAATCCACGAAGTACCGCGGCGACCGGGGCCTCTGCTGCTGGAGTTCGGGCTCTCAGCGCACAATTTGTTGCATTTTACTTCCGTACACCTGTGAAAGCTTTCTTCCGCACTAGAGTTGAGTATGCATCTTCCCAGCACCCTTGTCGTCGGTCTCAAACCAAGACGCTGATGGCCGTTTCTCTAGTTATATGGTACTTGGCCCGGATCCCCTCTCTTTCTGTACAATTCTCGCCCAATTGAACAATCGGTTCGGCCCAGCAATTACCGTCTATCACTAATGCTCTACGTATCCATTTTTCATCACGACAGGCATTTGCTAGGGCCGTCAATCCTCATGTGTCTGAGAAGCGATGGTCGCTGTACAATACCACTCCTGGGATACTTGTCCATGCTGTCCGGACCTATGGTTGGCGTTTCATCCCAAATCAGATAATGCCCCCCTTACTAGCAAATGCCGGGTGAGTGAGCAAAATGTTCTTTCCTTGTGTCTTGGTTGCAGAAAACATCGTCTAACATCTGCGGGTAGTATTGGGGCTGTACTATACACTTCCTACCTTCAGGTTCTTGGGGCTTTATATGAACCGGTGGCACAGGGCGTCAAGCGAACATACCCCCCTGCCCATCCCTCTTGTACATTTACGGCCGGTTTCGTAGCAGGGGCCGCCCAGTCCATAGTTGCCGCACCCTTGGACGCCCTTCAAGTTCGCCTTCGAACCCATGATATTCTCGGGGGCCAGTACAGGAGTATGTGGCACTATGGTTGGCACAAGCTGAAACAAATTGGTGTCCGTGGCATCTTTGCCGGCCTGACATTGTCGTTCCTGCGCGATGCATTTGGCTATGGCATCTTCTTCTCGTCCTTTGAGTACATCAAATCGCAGGCATATTATTCGTTTATCACCGGATATTATGGTCACTATCACAACTGTCTTGCTGGCGACAAGACCCCCGCAACGTCCAGTGATCGTGGGGTGCCACTGATTAAACCCCATTACACTCTAGAGCCATGCTTTTTGATGTTTGCGGGGATTGCGGCCTCTATTGCCCAACAAGCAATACAGCATCCACTTAGCCTAATCCAGAATATCCACGTCGCGCGACTGGAGTATCTTGATCGCCAGGCGAGCTTAAGCCCTTCGAAAAGGCAGATGTTGCGTCTCTACTACTTCGCTTACCAGGAGACATACAAGCGATGCCAAAGAAAGGCCGTGCGATCCGGAGGCTGGCGTCTTTGGTTGTTCCGCGACTTCGCGAAAATTGCCCTTCGCCAAGTTCCCAGTACCAGCGCCGGCCTCGTGATATTTGAACTGGTGCGCCGTAAATATGCTAACATGGCAGAGGCTGTGTATATTCGCAAGGATGGGTACGATATTCTATTGGCATAGGTGTTGTGCTTGGCCTCGGGTTTGGAACCGATGCAACTGAAGACACGGGAGTTTACAACTTCACAGCTCAGCGACAAGGTGCCTACCGAGGGTCAAGGGAGCACTCGATTCGTACCGGGAAGGCAAGACCAATGCTACCATCTAAATGGTTTTAGGGAAAGCGAAGACTCCTAATGCTAGACCATAGTCCATTGCATACTGAAGCGTGCACTAGCGTTCTACCCACCCAAATCCCCGAGGACTGATTCCCTCCTCTCCGTTCCATACCTGGGCACTATGAAGCTGCCCTTCTAACGGATCAATGGATGGATCCCCGTAGAGCTACCGGCAGGTGGTATATGTTCTCGAGTTCAGAAAGGATCCTACATGCCTACCTGGTAAAGCAAGTTTTTACGACGTTCGCGACCGAGGCGTTAACCCTGCATCCCGCACGGCCGTTAAGATGTGGAGTTCCACGGAGGCAGAAGAGAAGGATGGAAGGTTGTCCATCCGACCTACCTACACCGGTTGAGCTAGGCGACCGTGTGGAGAGAAGCTGCCAGTAACCACTCGGTTGGTTTGGGACCCCCACAGATTGCCGGGTCGCCAACGAGTAGGTACTTAGGTAACGGGGTGCCACATGCGTACGGATACGGAGTTAATACACAGGGAGTACCCCGTATTACCCCGTATCTGTGCACGAGGCGCCTAAGTAGTAGGTACCAGGGTATTTGATACGGCATACGTATGTATAGCATACGTATGGAGGATTGTACTCCGGTACTCCCTGGGTACCTACGTACGCATGTACCTACTCCGGAGTAGGTAATAATACCTGCCTACAGCGTAGGTACGGAGTTAGGCTTGCGTTTACTCCACACTCAGGGTGGACTGCGGGGACTCCCGTCGTTCGGCGTACGTACTAGTACTAGGTAACTAAGGCAAACCCGGTGATGTAAGTAGGTAGGTAGGTATACTGCGAAGTCAGACATTACTACCTAACTGCCGGAGCCATCTTTCTCTGTAACTCGTCCGTAAGTCATCTGCTAATATTAATAACCCTGCCTAGCCGCCTAACTAGCCCGCTCTTTGACTAGGGCACGTCGCACCTGACCGCCCTCCTTCTGGTCTCCCGTCATCTGGCATGGTGGATCAACCACTTGTCTTGTGAGCGGGTTTCCAAACACTGCTGCGCTGTATTGCCATCACCGCTTTCTACTCTTGTACCCTCATAGATTGGTCCTCGACATCTTTGGTTTCCGCTTTGACCTGCATTCCGTGTCCTATTGCAGCATTTCCTTCGTTCCAAAGTCAGCCTTCTGACCCATTCCTTTGGACCGTCCCTCCCCCCGGCCTTGAGAACGGTTGAATTTCTCCAGGGGGCTCACGAGGATCCTGCACCGATTGGCTATAACCCGAGCTGAATCGCCTTCTGACCGCCGGAGGTCTTGGATCCAAAAGACAAGAAGGAAGGGAAAAGGGCCGCTCTTCTGGCCCACCACAACCGCCAACATTCCTCTACCAACGCCCTCACCTCGCTCTCCGTCAAGCATCCCGTTGCAGTCGCTACAACCCCAACCTTCATCACCTTCCGGGCACTCCACCAAGGTATTGGAGTCTGCTAGTGAGAAAGGCAGCCGACGCTCCTCGCTTTCCCACTCTGTCAGATCCGAGTTTTCTAACTGGACCGAGACCGGGGACCTGGCTGAACAGCTTGCTGATGCCGAGGGACACCCCCTTCAGGTTCATCGTAGAAGGTCTCTGGATCGTGAGGCACCCGAGCGAGCAGGCTCGAGTGTGCAAGTGAATCGGCAGAAACATACACACTACCTGCACCGACCCTCTACCAGCGAAGCTGAATTTGCAAAAACATCAATTGAGATACCCCGTCCTCCACCCCGGCGTATCTCCAGGATCGAGCGCACACTAGCTGTCATCATGTCTCCAAGTAGTCGGCAGACGGCTCAAATGCATGGCTTGGTCGGAAAGCCGCTGTTGTAAGACCATGTGCCGTTTGCCCTTATCCACCGTGACTTGCGCTTACCCTTAGCAGATATTTCACTAGTGTCTTCGTATCGTTAGGGGTTTTCCTCTTTGGGTATGACCAAGGAGTCATGTCTGGCATTATAACGTCGGTTCTACCCACCATTGCGAAAGGAGCCTTGCAAGTCCGACGCTGATGTGAAAATATTTAGGGGTGCTTATTTCATTGACTACTTCGATCAACCATCGCGAGCTGCAATCGGTACGGTGGTTGCCATACTGGAAGTGGGAGCTTTCATTTCCTCTCTACTAGTTGGACGACTCGGCGATTTGATAGGTCGTCGTAGGACCATTCTCTATGGCTCTATAGTCTTTTTTATAGGCGGGGCACTGCAGACATTCGCGACGGACTTGTCTATGATGATGGTTGGTCGCATCATTGCTGGTCTAGGAGTCGGAGCACTGTCCACAATTGTCCCAGTCTACCAATCAGAGATCTCGGTATTTTCGCCTTCGACCTTTGATTTTCATGCCGCGAAACGTTCCACGCTAACCATAGTATAACAGCCACCCCACAATCGTGGAAAGCTTGCGTGTATTGAGTTCACCGGGAATATCTCCGGATACGCCGCCAGTGTTTGGGTCGACTATTTTTGTAGTTTTATCGGTAGCAACTACTCGTGGCGTTTGCCATTACTATGTCAGTGCATCATGGGTGCCTTACTGGGCATAGGAAGTCTCATAATATGTGAATCGCCGAGGTACGCAGTCTTTATTCCTCCCCGCAGATTAGTTCAATCTATGATGATTTGGTGATCATGAAACATGGCTGACTTTTGACCAGATGGCTACTGGATAACGACTACGATGAGGAAGGCATGGTGGTCATTGCCAACCTCTATGGAAAGGGAGACCTGCATAATGATAAGGCAAGACAGGAGTACAGGGAAATTAAAATGAATGTGCTCCTTCAGCGGCAGGAAGGTGAAAGATCCTACACTGATATGTTCAGGAGATACCGCAAGCGAGTTTTAATAGCAATGTCGGCCCAGGCCTTGGCCCAGTTGAACGGCATCAACGTTATTTCATACTACGCGCCGCTGGTGTTTGAATCAGCAGGGTGGGCTGGCCGTGCCGCCATTTTGATGACGGGTGTCAATGCAATCTCCTACCTTGCATCCACAGTTCCTCCATGGTATCTTGTGGACCGCTGGGGAAGACGGCCCATCCTGCTATCTGGGGCGGTTGCAATGATTATTTCTCTCTCCTTGATATCGTATTTCATCTATATCGACGTGGGAGCAACTCCTACCCTGACCGTCATATTTGTGATGATTTACAATGCCGCTTTTGGTGCCTCGTGGGGACCAATCCCATGGCTTTACCCCCCCGAGATTCTTCCACTGAGCATTCGTGCTAAGGGCGCTAGTCTCAGCACGGCCTCTAATTGGGCCTTTAATTGGCTAGTTGGAGAAGTTACACCCGTCCTTCAAGATGCTATCAAGTGGCGCCTCTATCTTGTTCATGCCTTTTTTTGTGCCTGCAGTTTTGTCCTCGGTGAGGACTCCCACCCGTGCGCTTCGCACCCTCACTAACCTCCTATAGTTTACTTTCTGTACCCCGAAACTAGTGGGGTCCGCTTGGAAGATATGAACATGCTTTTTGGAGACGCGACGACTGCAGCGCCAACACCAGCTACACAAGGGGAACGAGGCTCCCTGATAGGCACTGGCTCCCCTGTCCCTTCTCTTGATATCCGGCGCCAACAGTATGGCCAACTAGGGGCAGAAAGCGCCATCCCTGGGCTAGATATTGACCCTCCGAACATGAACAGCGATGATAACAATAAATCGATCAGGCCTGGCTCTCAAGGGGGCAATCAGAGCCCACCAGAAGGTATTGCTGGTTGGATTTCGAATATGGTATCTCGTCACAACCGCTCGGGGCATCGAGTGCAGCAGAACCGCCAGTATAGGAGGCTTGGGCAAGAGGAAGAGAACGAATAAGCTAATCCTGGCATGCTCCTTATGATCGTGAATTCTTCCCCTCCCCAGCCTCTCTTCTGTCCCAACACTGACTATACAATGCGATTTTCTCCTCCGATCTATTCACTCTACCCCCTTCCTATACTACTTTACCAACTGGCTTTTTATTTTTGACCTGTATATTCTTGCTTGACCCGAGTTTCCGGGACTTCTGTTCTCCTCCCCCCCCTCTCTTTTTTTTTTTTTTTTTTTTCATTCCTTTTTTTTTCTGGCTAGCTTTAGCATAGAAAAGGGACTAGCTTTGGGTGCTACTATATCCCACACCTTTCGTCTAAGCATTAATGTACGACAAAATCGTTCATCCAACTGTCTTGGTCCTTGTCTCTCCTTTTATTTATGTTTTGTCGCCCTATTTTCTTATATTGTGTCTAGGCATCTAGGGCCTGGAGTGGATGGAAATGGTACCAAGTGCACATTTATTTTGTCGAGCCAGTAAAAAGAGCCTTCGAAACGCGTATAAGATCTGTCCCCTGCCCTCGTAATCAGGTGGTACATGCCTATCTACATACTCCGCCGTTGTGCTTTTGGACCCCAACCAAACCGCATCCAGCCCCGGCGATAAAGTGGGACCCTTCGACAAGGCGCCCGGTTTTTCCGCGTCACGACTCTCTGGTACCCTACTAGTACTAGCCGCTTCCTGCGCATGGGTACCTCCAGCAGCTTGCCGCGACCTTCGACTGACGGTACAGGCCAACTCTCCCATTTCACTCCGAAAACCCGCCAGCCTGCCTATCGCATTTTTCCCTCCCTCTCACTCTTTCTTCTTCTATTTTTCCTCTCTTAGATATTTTTTTATTTTTTTTTTAGGGGTTCTTGATATTAATATTATTCTTGTCTCCCTTCTTTCCTCCGGCCATTTCACACCTCTTTGTTTGTCACACATCGGTACTCATCACTCGATTGTCACTGCACCGACACATTCGCTACCTAAGAACACCCACGTTCTACGCCTAGATATGACTACAGTCTACTTTTACCTCTAACTCTTCTTTTTTTCTCTGCTCTCACTTTGAGTCTCCCCCTCTTTTTCTCATTCCTCTTTTGCCTTTTTTTTTTTTTTTTTGGGAAAAAACCAGCCTCCCCTTAGCCTTTAGTTCTACCCTCTGTTCTCATCCGCCTTATTCAAGGAACTGCCCCAATCAGTTTGTTTGCCATCCAGCACGGTCTTTAGACATGGCAGAACCAGAGATTGCATCAAGCTCTGGTGCTCAAATCTCGGCTGATCTACGGCGTCGAAATGTCCCACGCACGGAGAAACCTAGTCCAGTGCCTGATGTCACTGGAAAAAGCGACAAGGCGATAAAATTGGATGTATGTTGGTCTTTGGACCGAGTCCGTGCTTATGATAAACACACATACACTAATACCTATGCCTTTGAACTCTAGGGCCACTCTTTCATCTCCGTGTTAGATCACTGGGAACCTTTGATCGTGCCCCTTTTATTGACTGCTCTGTCAATTTTCACCCGTATGTACCAAATTGGTCGGTCAAATATTGTTACCTGGGATGAAGCGCAGTAAGACCAATTTGATTCCTTATGATTATCTTGCCAGATTTTAACAACTGATTTCAGCTTCGGCAAGTTTGGCTCGCATTATCTCAAGCGCGAGTTCTATTTCGATGTCCACCCTCCACTGGGCAAAATGCTAGTTGGTCTGTCAGGGCTTCTTGCTGGCTACAATGGATCGTTTGAGTTTAAATCCGGCGAGAAATACCCCGAAGACGTGAATTACACATTCATGCGTGTCTTTAATGCTGCGTTTGGCGTGGTCTGCGTGCCACTTGCATACTACACCGCGCGAGAACTTGGATTTCGCAGGGCCACTGTTTGGCTAATCAGTTTGATGGTGCTGTTCGAAAACTCATACGCCACTATCTCTAGGTTCATCTTGCTGGACTCCATGCTTCTCTGCTTCACGTTCACCACAACAATGTGCTGGGCAAAATTTCACAAATTACAGCATGCCAGCTTTTCCATTCAGTGGTTTACTTGGCTGGCTTTGACCGGCATAAGCATTGGCTGTGTCTGCAGCGTAAAATGGGTCGGTCTTTTTTGCACTTCGATTGTCGGTCTCTATACGATCGAAGACCTGTGGAATAAGTTCGGCGATCTCAAAATGCCCGAGGTTAGTATAGACTGTACCTTGTATTCTAAGCCAGATACTAATTTCATGGCAGGCTGTTCTTGCAAAGCATCTTGTGGCTCGCATTATTGGACTGATCGTGTTACCGGCTCTGGTGTACATCTTTTCCTTTTATGTGCATTTCTTGATTCTGGAAAACAGTGGGCCTGGTGACGCCCAGATGAGCTCTCTGTTTCAAGCGAATCTCAAGGGCACCGAGGTTGGAAAGGACAGTCCGCTTGAAATTGCCCTTGGCTCAAGAGTCACGCTGAAGAATATGGGCTATGGCGGTGGGCTTCTTCATTCACATATCCAGACATATCCGGAGGGTTCAGCTCAACAACAGGTCACTTGCTATCACCACAAGGATGCAAATAACGACTGGTTCCTTTATCCCAACCGCCACGAAGCGGAATATGACCCTAACTCCGCTCTGAGATTTATTGGCGACGGCGACCATATCCGACTCATTCATGGACAGACTGGTCGAAACCTACATTCTCACGCCATTCCTGCCCCTGTAACCAAGTCCCAACACGAAGTCTCCTGCTATGGCAATATAACTATAGGTGATGATAAGGATCATTGGGCAGTTGAGGTTGTTGACGATGTGGCTTCCAAGGACCGAAGCAGGATTCGAACCCTCACAACCTCGTTCCGCTTGCGACATCCCGTCCTAGGTTGTTACTTGCGAGCCGGCAATGTGAATCTTCCGCAATGGGGCTTTAAGCAGATAGAGACGGCATGTGTGAAGGAGAATAGGCCTGGTGATGTTTACACTCACTGGAATGTTGAATCTCACTTCAACGAGCGATGTAAGTTTGATCTTGACCCTAGCTTCGACCGCTGGCATGTGTTAAGAAGGCCTTGTACAGTACCCCCTAGTGACCCAGGATCCTACAAATCACCCTTCCTGAAGGATTTCATTCATTTGAACGTCGCCATGATGACCTCGAACAATGCTCTGGTTCCCGACCCAGATAAACAAGATGATCTTGCCTCGAAATTTTGGCAGTGGCCCATACTCAACGTCGGTCTCCGCATGTGCTCTTGGGATGACAATACAATCAAGTACTATCTTCTTGGTAATCCATTTATCTACTGGGGCAGCACCTTCAGTCTCGGAGTTTTCGGGCTCCTGATACTCTGGTACCTAGTCCGTTGGCAGCGAGGATATAATGAACTCACCCAGGCGGACATCAACCACATCCACTACTCCGGTCTCTACCCAGTCATTGGATGGATCCTCCACTATTTGCCCTTTGTTGTTATGGCGCGGGTAACATATGTTCACCATTATTATCCAGCTCTGTACTATGCCATACTAACTTTTGGGTTCTGTGTTGACTGGCTCACCCAAAAAATGAACAACAAGATCCGAGGTGTGATATATGCGTCCTTGTATGCTGTTATCGTCGGGATGTTCGTTTACTTCAGAGTGATTGTGTTTGGCATCGAGGGCCCTAGTCAGGAGTGGAATCATTTGAACTGGCTCAGCGGCTGGCGGATTGCAAATTAAGGCCATCTTCTTGTCTCAAGGCTTTTGTGAGCCTCATAATCGTGGTTTTATTTTCACACCAGTCAAGCTTATCCTCCTAGCTACCTTTGGCCTGTTCCTTACTGCATTTGTCAGATATTCTTTTGTCTATAACAAACTGATGGCGCCACTGGCCGATGTTGCCGTGTGATTTTCGAGATTCGTATCACAAATTGTAGTCTAACCGTCATTTGTTCATACGTTCTAGATGAATTGGGGATGCCATTGAAATGGAATTCATCGGCTTACTTCTGATAAGCCTGTAGGCAGGGGACATGTCCCAAGTGTCATATAACAACTTGACATTGTGACTGCCATAAAAGTTGGGCTATTCAATACCACGCCCCGTATATTTATCCTGCTCTTAGGAGCAGCAGCTCCCAGCCCAGCCGTTTCCACCTCTGCGCATCGCGTCATTTAGACCTAGAGTGACAGTTTTTGGCACTCCATTATTTCTACCACCTGTCGCACCGAAGCCTTTCACGCCGCTTCGACGGTCATTCAGATCATACTTGCCTCCCTCGATGTTTTGATGTATTCGCTCAGCGACCTCGAGGAAAGCATGCTCGACTCCTTCCCCAGATTTCGCGCTTGTTTCCACGTAACGTACAACATTATTCTGACGACACCAGTCTTCCGCCTCCTGTCGAGTGACACGCCGCTGGTTTTGGATCGAGCCATCTCCCGACAGGTCACATTTGTTCCCAACCAAGATGACCACAATCCCTTCTTCGGCTATCTGCCGTAAGTCATGAAGCCACTGAGTACACGAGACAAACGATGACGGTCGTGTGATATCAAAGACGAGAAGAGCGCCGGAGGCGCCGCGGAAATAAGAGCGTGTGATTGACTTGTAGGTTTCCTGTCCAGCTGTATCCCACAGAGACAGTTTCATTCGTTTCTGATCTGCCTGGGTCTTCCGGGGAGGGCTGGGGAGGCCAGAAACCACGGGCTCCTCGTCAGCCCCTGGTGCTGCCAACCCAGAGGGGGCATGGTTGGGACCATAGTCGTCTCGTTCTTTCCCGAAGTGTCTCGAGGCAGGCGGCCCGACCGGGACGATACGTGAGCCAAATTCCACGCCAATGGTCACATCATGAGATGACGAGAACCGCCCTTCGCATAGCCGAATCGTCAACTGTAAGGATTTGTAAGGATCAGCGTTTTCGGTAGAGAGAAGTCACTGAATCGCCGGGGTTACCCACACTAGACTTGCCAGTCCCAGAATCACCGATGCAGACAAGCTTAGCGATGTAATCCCATGGCTGTGACATGGATACAGAGTCTCTGAGTTGTTGGGTCTGACTTCAGCTGGTTGATGCCCGTCGACTCATATTCCGGACTTGTCCGTGGAGACAAGGGTAGATAATAGGAGCGACTATTTACTAAACTGCTCGATGGGGGAGGAGTTGGTTCAACTCCGCAGGGCAGCGACGGTCGACAGCCGCCGCCGGCTGAGTCATCCATCTTCATGACCTTGCCATATGACGCACCTTGCTTCTTCCCTCTCGCACCCTCGCATATGGAGAAGGGGAGACAAGGGGAGAACAAACTCTTAACACTACCACACCCAGTGCGCTCGAGGGCCCGTCACCGAAAGGCCAAAGCCAAACCCCATCCTTCATGTACACATCCGTCTCCGGCCATTCACTCATTACCTGATGATGATTTGAAGCTCTTGGAGGTGCTCACCGCTTCACTTGCTGTTCCAGTCCCAAGGAGACAGCACCATTTGCTCTGAACAGGACATCTGACAAACATGTTTTCAGAATGTAAGTCGTCTCAGGTAGTGGCATGATGGCCGCTTATCAACTCGTTCCTCCATGGCGGACGTTACTCATTCTCGCATAGACGCCTCTCGGTTTCTTGCTCAGTCACAGTCACGAATAGGCCCTCGTCCTGACGAGGTGCGTAACGATCCCCGTCCCAAGCAGCACCATGGGAGGTCTCGTTTTCCGATTTCCCGTCCAGTCCTACCTAGAACGGCTCTCGACCCTTATCAACCCACCTCTTCCCAGATCTCCAACCTTCCTTTTGGGTCCCGGAGTCTGGCTCGACCTGCGCCTCTTTTTTATAGTGCCACAGATGACTTTCGGGAAGAGGATGACGAGACGGAGCGTGATAGGGAAATAGCTGACTTCTATGCCCTACAACGATCTCGACGACAGTTTGGAGGCAGTCGCCTAAAGGATTCCTCGGAGATGGATGACGATGACGATTACGATGACGATGACGACGGCGATAACGTCAGCCGGTCTGGTGATGTCGGTCACATTGTTCCCAGAAGAAGCAAAGGAATCAGGAGCTCGTGGCGGGATGGTACGTCGACTCATGGCGCACGCAGTGGGATTCCAAACACTGCCGTTCCGGACCCAGTTGCCCCTAGTCATAAGGGGAGAGAGGACCTGTTCGATGTCCGCCTCGAGGACACTGTACGATCAGTTATTGACTTCGACAAGCCCAATTCTGAAATAGGCGATGACGACCCTCCATCTGTTCAGCGATTCAGGGAGCAGCCCGAGTCGCCGGGAGGGAATTTCGGGATAGACTCGTCTGTCTTACCAGCGGGCACAGGCAAGCAATCCTGGATGGAAACACCACGACAAGCGGGCCTCTCAGATCCCAACCGGATGTCAATTCCCAGAGAAGTGGCGGGATTACCAGCTCATGATGTCTTTTGGGGTCAGCTCTTCTTGATATCGCTGGCCTGTCTACTTGCAACCGCGTTTCTTGTTTATCTCCATACTTCTGCCCCGTCCGGAGACAAGTCAAAGTGGGGCGACACGGTATATTTAACTGTTCATGGCTCTTTCTCCCTTCTTGGGGCCTATACCGTTGTCTCAATATTCGTGTCACTGCTCTGGCTCGCTTTACTTCGTTCCTACGTGCGTCCACTTGTATATGTGATTATGTTTGCCGTCCCTGTGATCTTGTACTCGTTCTCTATCTACCCGTTTATCTCAAGCTTCAAAGGCGCCTGGCATGGCACTAGCATTCAGGACAGGGTGATGAGATTCGGATCTCTCATTCCGTTCCTCCTGGGAAGTCTGTGGACGTACAATGTGATACGAGGTCGTTATGCTATAGGCAAGGCCATAGGTATCCTGGAATTTGCATGTCGGATACTTGCTGCAAACACGGAACTGCTGGCCCTTGGCCTCGGCATTCTCACCTTCATTGTGTCATGGACCTGGGTGTGGATGCTCATGTTCACCCGGGTATTCTTGGGTGGGCATGTCTCGGAGTCAAAAAATTTTATCATCAATATCAGCAGCTGGTGGTTGGCAATCTATTTCATCATTGTTTACATATGGTCACTGGGCGTGGTTGGTGGCATACAGCGTGCGGTCACGGCAGCAACAGTGAGCCAGTGGTACTTCCACCGTCTCGCAAATCCTGCCCCGACGTCTAGGCAGGTCGTCCAGGCGGCCACTGTGCATTCTTCCACAACGCTATTCGGCACGATCTGCTTGTCCAGACTGATTGCCCTCTTAGTTCGGCTACCTCTTATCTTGCTGCCAAGTCGCATCGCCTCATTCTTGAGCTTGCTCGCTTATTCACTTGTTCCTACTCCCCTAGCAGCTCTCTCAGACCCCCTAGCACTTACTTATGGGGCAATTCATTCACAGCCGCTTAATGCGTCTGCTCGTGGTCTCAGTCGAATGAAAATTCTCTCATCGCCCATATCGACACCGTCACTACGTCCGTCATCTTGGTCGCATGATGGCCTTGCCCCTCTCCTCCCATACCGACTGTCAAAGCTCATCCTACACGCTGCTCGCCTCATGATGTCTTTAGCACTTGGGTTTGGGGGCTGGGTATCTGCCGCTAGAAACCTGGGCGTACCCGCTGTCAGCAGCATAGGCCGGGGAAGCGTGTATGCCTACGTGGTTGGTCTCATTGCAGGAACGATTGGCTGGAGCGTGCTAGGGACAATTGAAGGCATTATTGCTGACATAGTCGATGCCTCCATCATTTGCTGGGGCAGTGAGGTTGGAATCCACGGTAGAGAAGCTAGGTATTGCCGAGAAGCTGGCTGGCTCTTCGGCGATGAACCAAATCCACGCACAGGATATGCACGGGATTTTGTAGAAGCTTAGTGCTTTGAGACAGCCTGGCTGAGTTTTCTCAATGGCAATGCGATTCAATGTTTGGGACCCTTGAGTTGAACGGGGCAATAGTTTTTTAAGATGGCGCGCCGGTTTGATGATTCGTTGGCCAGTAGTTGAGATTTGACGACTATATAATGAATAGATGACCCTTTTCTGTCATGCTTCTTTCTATTGATCTCCACCGTATTTTGTAGCCAAAAAAATAGGGCAGCACATTCGAATCTGGAGATAAGAGGGTCAGGCTGGATCCTACGGCAACTATCGAGCAGAACAAGGCCTGATCAAGGGTTTCTCAAGAATTTTATGGTTCCTACGAATGCATCCTGGTGTTGTATTTAAATCTTGGTTTAATTCTCCGAAAGGTTATACATAATCATATACGCATAACTCATGGTATCACATATAGCCAGCTAAAGACAGAACTTAGTACACGTACTTGCCTTGATGATCAACCTCAAGACACGACGGACAATTGAGCTGTTTCGACATCGAGAATGTACATCTAAGTGGAAATCAATATGAAGGGTTGATGATTGGTGTTATAAATCAAGATGGCCACTCCAGTCCACACCTTCGTTCATACACCACTCCTTCAGAACTGCGTATCCGAACCGGACAATCTCCACGGGTGAATTCGTTTTTCCAAGGGGCAGAAAGTATTCGCCAGAGTAATTGCCCGCCTTGAGGCGCTGCTTGCCTTGCTCCGAGAAATCTTTTGATCGCTTCGACCAGGTATTCGGAAACTCACGGGTCAATATATCCTCGGAAAGGCCACGCGAGCCCTCTAGCCAAAGCCGTTGGGATTCTTTATAGCATTCAGGCAATCGACTTTTCAGCTCTTGAATTTCTCTCCGATTCCTTTTGTTCTCCTCCCGAGTGGTATTACACTCATCAGAACTCGGAGTCGGCGTGACTGGGTTTTCTCCTGGCAGCGGAGTGACTGCAAGACGTTCTAAATCAAGTGAATGAATGGCATCGTACGAGACAGCACCGAGAATTGAACAAAGGCTGTAAAGACGCCGGTACGACGTGCTGTTCTTCTTCACGACGCGCCAGTAGGCAAGGATCGATAGCCAGGACGACGAATCTCCAACCTGGCCAGGTAAAATCTTGGATTGATCATCTGCAACGAACGCCAGAATGAAGCAGAGAATCGCTTCGATCGCAGTCGCGACCGCCAGCTTCTCATCGACCGCTGTTGGGTTGTCCTTCGCTTTATGTCGCTCCGCAGCATGCTTTAGCTCCCGCCCTAAGTTGCCGTATTTCTGATACTCATCCCTCCAGGCCCGTCGGTCACCAGCACGAGAAGGCGACAGTTTCACTACCGCGACGGAGTCAATTGCGGAATCTTTCACAGCGGGTGGGGTGTTATCCTCGATGCCGACCATGTCTGGCCGGGCACTAAGATCTTTGACTTCCTTCCCCAGTGTTCGGGAAGCCCGCTTTGCTTTTTCCTGCTGCTGCGGGTTTGACGCGGGGGACGTCAAGGTCTGGGACTTTCCTGGAAGATGCACTCTTGATTCCCCCGACCGATCTGCAGCGGAAACATTCCCCTGCGTAGCCGCGACAGGCTTTGCTTTATGGTCCGGGCGATGTATTTGGCCGTTGGGCGGTTCTGGTGCGGGTGTTTTGGCCGCGTTTGGTTCCATTTTTGTAAATTGGGAGAAATCAGAGTCGAGCGTGCCTTTGATCGGGGAATTCGTTGGGGCCGGTTTTCTTTTACCAGAGAATCTGAGAAGAGCCTCAACGCGCTTTTTATTTGATCTGCCATATTTCAATCTGACAACCAAATGTGGGTTCCCAGACATGTCGAGTGTGGTCGATTTGCCACTTGCTGGGGAGATTGAGCTCGTCTGTGGGATATCGCTGGTATCGGGCATCAGGGTGGGCATTGAGCTTTTACTGTTTGTTCCCCGCCGGCCGATGGTGAGGGTTGAAGCCAGGTGCTTATCGCGGTCATCACAGTCCTTGTCTTTGTTGAATTGAACATTTCCCAGCTCGGCATTCGTGGCAGGTTTTATCTGGGGCGGGTTTAGATAACAAGGGCCTTCTTCTAACCTGGCCAATTCTTTCTCGATATCTGGCGGGAGAGTAGGCGACAAGAGTCGAGGTAATCTGGGACTATCCGTAGTTGGTGGTAGAGTCGGCGAAAGAAGAACTGGGAGTTCCCTCGCCTTGGACCGCTCCGGTTTATTTGTTTCCAACACACCATCTGGTGATAGTCTTGGTCTCTTCGAATGTGTCACGGTTGGTTCTTTCCTTTCCCGCGACTCGGAACGCCCATTTTCAGAATCGGGGTGTCGTTTGCGTTCTGCGCTTTCGAAATCAGACCGACCAGCAAATTGCGACAACGCGGGATTATTGGACTTTTTGTGAGGCCTGTACTCAATCGACTCGCCCCGTAGGACGCGTTGGCCATCATCGATACCACCAGCATTGTAGTTGTTAATCTCCCGGCTGACCGGGGAAGCCGACTCCCCGGGCTTTCTCTTATTCTTATAATCATTTAGGCTGATTTTCTTCTTGATAGACCCACTCGACGGCGTGCTTGCCGCACTTTGGGGTTCAGGACGATCAGGCATGATGGCACCCTTACCATCAGACCAGTCCCCAACGGCCACCAATAAAGAGTCTCCTTCGTGGTGTGTTAAGAATGTCATGTACTGAAGTTGTTGTTCCTCCGGAGTGAACGGCCCTTCATTACTCACTGCCCAGTTGTTGACAAAGCGACCTCCAAGACGAAAGGGCACATCGGTAGGAACAGTGAGCAGAAAGGGATAGAAAGGAAGGACGTCTTCTCTGAGGCGCTTTAGTCGACGATCGATTGATTCCTGGCCTGGCGCAGGTTGCCTTTCGCTTGGCTTCGGTCTTGGGATTCTCCTCTGATCATGCGCGGGGCGAGGAGGACGGTTCACCGACATTGCAATGTGTTCGTTGATTCTCTGAGGAGTTGCTACACCGGGAGCGAACTGCCAGAGAAGCGCGAAGTCCTGATGTATGGGCCCAGTTGTTCCTGATTTCCTTCTTTGTTTCGAACGTCGCTTTATGAGCAGAGCATCGGTATTTGTTGAGGCCAGAAGACGAGGACAAAGAGCGTCGGAGCATTACAAAGAAAGGCGTCGGATGAACCAGGTTGGCTCCTGTCCCTGGTAGAAAGCGGTAAACTAGTGTTCATCTGACTCGGAGCGGTTGCGATCGTTCGGGGGTACACGGTCGCTGGCTTGACGGCTTGTGTTACGGTTGAGGTTTCGGGCACGATTTTCGCGACTAAAGAACACAGGCAATTGCACATGAAGTGTCAGGCATAGCCTGCATGGAAGCCGGAGCCAGAGGCAGCCGGGGCCGTCCCCACACTTGTTCTGTGCGACGGTTTATCGGGTCCAGGGGTCAGCAAGCAGGATCGACCGGTTGACAATCAAGATCGAGTACTAATCGATTATGTGATGTATGATGTTCTGGCTCGGCCGGGGAGTATATAAAGAACAGTCAAGCAAAGGGTGCGGCCAACGGATACAAGATCCTATAGATAGGCACCGTAGGCCATGTGGAGGGGAGTGGCCCTTGATCGTGATTGGGCGAGGGCAGGAGGATTAGTTAATTGGGGCAAAGAGGACAGGGAAAAACAAGGGAGAATGGATGGATGGATGGAAGGAAGGAAGGAAGAAAGAAAGAAAGAAAGAAAGAAAGAAAGAAAGCAAGAAAGGACCCGGTGCCAGGCCCAAGTGGAGAGGCTTGGCAGGACTGCCTTTTTGCAGGTCTAGGGAGACTCGGACATGGACAGAAACGTGAACCCGGGGGATCCAGGGGCGGGGAGGGAGATAAAAGATTGAATGGATTCATTCACTGGTAGGCTCGAACTCCCACCCCCCCCCCCGTCCAATGATGTCATCTGCTCGGCGACTCGAGTCGATTCCCTCCTTCTCTTCTCTACTTGTCTCTTTTCTTCCCCCTCGACCCCCTCCATCCATCGTCCTGGTATCTGCGTCCTCGGAATTTATGTATGTCTTTTCGAAATAATTTGCATCGGTCGCGGACTCTTCTCCGCCTTGGTCAAATGGCTTCGCACCGATTCTCTAGCTCGACCATCGGGTCTTCGCTGGCCGACCTCCCAAAGTCCGGTGTTTTCACGGCGAAACTGCCGCCGGATCCTGCTTTTGAAACCCCCGAGTCGTCACACCAAGCGCCCAGGGAGACACTTGGTCCCCGTCTGGTGAAGGGCGCGCTCTATACTTTTGTCCGCCCCGAACCGACCGAGGCGACGGAGCTCTTGGGAGTCAGTCCGAAAGCAATGAATGACCTCGGCTTGAAATCTGGCGAAGAGCGTACCTCCGAGTTTGAGGCCCTAGTGTCTGGTAATAGGTTCTATTGGACCCAGGAGAACGGAGGGATCTATCCTTGGGCGCAGTGTTATGGAGGTGAGAGCAGCCTCTGCCGCGCCACCCGAAGTTTTTTGGTTTTGTTAACAGTTGCAAGGTTGGCAGTTGTATGTTGGCGAGGACTGCCTGTACCCATCTTGCGACGAGACTGACAACTCTGCAGTGGTTCATGGGCAGGTCAGCTGGGCGATGGAGTAAGTTTCGCTGACAACTACCGTGACGGCCACGAGTTAACGTGTGGTAGCGCGCAATCAGCCTTTTCGAGTGTACTAACCCAAATACACACGTTCGGTATGAACTGCAGCTGAAAGGGGCTGGACGTACACCCTATTCTCGCTTCGCTGACGGAAAAGCTGTCCTCCGATCCAGCATCCGAGAATATGTTGTGTCAGAAGGTATTCTGCTCGGAGTGTCTGAAAACGCAATATAGCTGACTTTGGCTCACGCAGCACTTTCGGCGCTTGGCGTGCCAACTACTAGAGCTTTGTCCATTACCCTATTGCCAAAATCTAAAGTTTTGCGGGAGCGCATGGAGCCTGGAGCCATAGTCGCTCGATACGCCGAGTCTTGGTTGAGAATTGGAACTTTCGACCTTCCACATGCACGTGGCGATAGGGACACGGTTCGAAAATTGGCTTCTTTCGCTGCTGAGGAAGTGCTTCACGGCTGGGAGGCTTTGCCGGCGACAGTGTCGTTGGGTAAAGATGACTCCCTAGACGTTGTCGATAGCCCAGCGAGAGGCGTTCCCTGGGATCAGATACAAAAGCACCAGGGCGTAGATGAAAATAGGTTTGCAAGACTATACCGAGAGATTGCGCGGCGAAACGCGAAGACAGTGGCCGCTTGGCAAACCTATGGTTTCATGAACGGTGTTTTGAATACTGACAATACGTCGATATATGGATTGTCTCTGGATTATGGACCATTTGCCTTTATGGATAACTTTGACCCTCAGTACACACCAAATCACGATGATCACCTTCTGAGGTATTCGTACAAAAACCAACCAACCATCGTCTGGTGGAACCTGGTTAGGCTTGGAGAGTCTTTAGGTGAGCTTATCGGGGCGGGGGACAAAGTTGACGACCAAATCTTCGTGAAAGAAGGACTGGCAGAGGATTCCGTTCAGGCTGTTGTTGAGCGTGCAGAGGCTATCATCGAACGGACGGGCAAAGAGTTCAGGATCGTGTTCTTGAACGAGTACAAACGCCTGATGAGCAAGCGACTGGGACTGAAAAGTCGAAAAGAATCCGATTTCCAGGACTTATTTTCGGAGCTTTTGGACACCTTGGAAGCCTTGGAACTGGACTTCAACCATTTTTTCCGACGATTATCCCACATACCACTTACTGCCATTGAAACCAGGGACCAAAGGATGAACATAGCGCCGGTGTTTTTCCATGAGGAAGGATTCGGCGGGATTGGCTACACCGACGAGACGGCCAAGGAGCGCATCGGCAATTGGCTCGATAGCTGGAGGGTTCGAATTCTCGAGGACTGGCAGCCGGATCAAGATCAGGAGAGACAGAAAGCAATGAAAGCGGTGAACCCTAAAGTAAGTAGATGGCCCGGTAGACTGACTAGACCTATCCCACTAATCGCCGTTGTCGACAGTTCTTGCCTCGCGGATGGATTCTGGACGAAGTCATTGATCGCGTTGAGCGTCGTGGAGATCGTGAGATTCTGAAAAACGTCATGCACATGGCTCTCAACCCGTTTGAAGACAGCTGGGACTTGAATAAGGAGGAGGAAGAGCGGTTCTGCGGAGATGTTCCTCGATTCCAAAGAGCTATGATGTGCAGTTGCAGTTCCTAATCGTGGACTGGTTCGTTCTTTCTTTTTTAATAAGAAGCAAGCCAGTCAACATTGCTTTTAAACGTGAATTTAATTGACAAAAACTTTTTTTTTTCGGTTCGTAGTCTTCCGCATTACACAAAGGGAAAGTTTTATCAACCCACGATCTTCCTCCAACAGCCCAGACCACCGATCTACCAATTTCGAGAACCCCACCCTTCCCTCGGAGAAAAAAAAAGTCTTCCTGGTCCTATGTCAAACTGGAGGATAATAAGGCGGTAGATAGAGTTCAAGGTTTAGCGAATTTCCCCATGATACCGTAATCGGGGAAGTTGTTCGGGGCTAGGATCGTAAAGCCAAAAGTGACTTGGCTGCAATGGAATAAGACACAAGTTGAAACTTTCAAACCCGGTACAGAGCGTACGGCTTCGGTTGACGACGTCTTTGGGATCTGGTCCCGGAGACCTCAGCGCAAGAGAGACGAAGGAATTGCATGGTGGCTCGACTTAGTTCGGGCAGGCAGCCTGAACGTGTCCGGGCTGTTTGCAGTTGTAACAAACTCGCTCTCCCTTAGCCTCAGTAGGGCAATCGCGGGAGACGTGTCCAACCTCTCCACCTAATGAGTGTGTTACAAAGAAATCCCAGTTGGTGACATGGAGCAGAGAACACTTACAGTTGTAGCACTTCTGCCCATGGGTACAGTCGCGAGCCATGTGGCCGAATCCACCGCAGGAGTAGCAAGTCTGCTGGCGCCCGCCAAACCCACCGCCATATCCGCCTGCGTAGCCGCCTTGAGGGCAGTTACGAGCAATGTGACCAACCCTTCCACATTTGTAGCACTCCTGGCTGCCAGTGGCACCGCTGTAGCCCTCGGCTGAGCCTGCTTGAGGGCATTCGCGAGAGAGATGTCCGGTATTTCCGCAGCGATAACATGATTTCTCCTTGGGAGCTACTGTGCATTCACGGCCTGAAGTTCAAAACGGTTTAGCTGTATGATACTAAGTGGAAAACCCAGTGTGATGTTTACTTACTGACATGGCCCTGTCCTGTTTGTTTAGAAGTTCTTCCATCAGTTTCAAGGCCAATGGATCCATGCCACCAATTATGACATATAACTTAAGAACGGAAATTATGACATACCACCGCAGTTGTAGCTGCATTCATGTTATTGGCGCCGCTAATTTGGAACAGGGACATGGAATGATTCAACTTACCAGGTAGGGGTACCTTTCTTAGGACAATCACGGGCCTAATAATCATCAAGAGTAAGAATCTGCCAATGACCCGCATCGTCTAATGGATCTATTGCAAAGACAAAACGAATGTCCTCAAGCCTGCGAGGATAGGAGGCAATTTACCTGATGCGAGGCATCACCACCTGGGAGATATTGTATTAGCATGAATATTTTGCCAGTGGGTTCCTTCCCTCTTTCTTGTTCGAGAACACAGCACAAGGGGACTGGGTCACTGCCCCTCTGTTTCAAGGGGTGCCGGAAGCATCATGAAGATAAAGCGTAGCCTTAGTGCTATAGGATTGGAATGCACAGGGTAGACAGCAAATTTGGCAAACCACCTTCTGAAAGACTCACAGTTAAAGCAGCCACGACCTCCGGCTTGGAAACTCATGTTGGAAGATTGAAAGGAAAGGGTATTTCTTTCTTTTTAAAAAAGAGGTAATATAAGTGAATAATGGATGGACAAAGAGCCAAAGGTGAAAAAGTTAGAAAGCAAAAAAAAAAAAAAAAAGAAAAGAAAAGAAAAGAAAAATTCAATGCGATTTGATCAAAGTTGGGGGGATCAGAGATTTTAATGGTGGTTAATATTCTTGCAGAGAATAAAATCCGATTTTCCAATCGGTGCGGGGGAACGCTTCCCGCGGTTCCTGCAGGGCTTTGTCGAAAAAAAAAATAGACTAAAAAAAAATAAAACGAGTTCGATAGTTCGGCCAACTCTCCTTGAATAGTAATATATACTTGTCTTCTTCCTATTCATCGTCATCTTCTTTTTCTTTATCTCCTATCAGGCACTATTTTTGTTCTTCCTATTTACCCCTTCTGTTGTTGTCACATTGGAATTTTTCTTCCATCTTCCTTGGCCCATCCGCTGGTTCCGTGCAACGTTCCACCACTACATCTATGATCGCTACTTCGTGACTGAGAATAGATTATTGCAGAGAAAAAAAAAAGTTCATGGGTGACAATCCCAGGGAGACATCAACCTGGGTTCTTCTCCATATAGAAAGCGGTTGCCCTACAAGTCAGGCTCCTCGTATTATGTGAAGTCATAAACCTCGAGTAATTGCCCCCCTAAGTCCATCTCGCGAAGTAAGAGCACTCGCTCTTCATCGAAGCCAACGCAGCTGCGTATTTGAGCGGACTCGGACGCTGTACGTCCGGCAGACGAGGCCATAGCTCTACTAGCCTGGAAAATGTTGTCATGAGACCGTAACTCGTCGCAACTATGCTCCTGAATATTCTTGTTTTCGGGACTAGCTTGGATGCTAATATCTTCCCGCAGGGCTCTGTGCGTGCCAGACGATGATACTATGGCCTCAAGTTCCCAAATCCTCACCTCGCCTCCACGCGAGCTAATGGATACCGCCTTGCCGCGATTACTGACTTGTACAGCCGAGACTGACGAAGTATGACCCCACAATCTCCGACCGCCTTTGACAGACAGACTCGCGGCGGTAGATACGACAAGATACATCGTCAGGGTATTGTCTGCATGAGAAGTTAAAAGATAGGGATGGGAGTAAGACACCGAGGTCGGCGGGTCTCGATGCAGTATCGATGGCTCGGAGGGTCTGGCCCATCGCTGACCACGCCTGGTTTCGTGGGTTAAAGTAGATAGGCCTTCCGCGTGGGCGGAATAGGGGGGCATCGTTTCGTGCTGAGATTCCACGGTCGTTGCAAGCCGGGAATTTCTTTGTTGACCGCGTCTATTAAAATGCAGTTCTTGTATCCCTAACGACCACCCACAACCTAGGTGAAAAAAACTGTACACAATGGACGCTATGACTTGTGAGCCCACAATGCGGATTGATAATGATGCGGGGGAGAAAATGCTATCCGCCTTGAGTGACGCAAGCAGGTGATCTTCTTTCTTGAGAGGTTGCCCTGGCTTGTCGCCTTCGGGCGGGACCTTATACAGTGATAATGTCTTATGCTGAGATATCATGAGAGCATAAGGCAACGATAAGGCAATGGTCGTGATAGCCCCATCGGCAGCTCCAGGGTGTGTAAAACGCAAGCTTAGTCGCAGTGTCTTGACATCCAGGTTCCACAGGCTGAAACGACCACTTTCAAAGCCAACGGTGATTTCGATCATATTCTGCTGTAGGTGGCGACCAACCGCCAATGCCGTTGGGACGTCAGGGAAGTCTGCGCCAGGGACTCTCGCCAAGCAGGATTGGGGGTTCCCAGCCTCCCAGATCCTGAGTGTATAGTCCAAGTCCACCACAAAGACAAACCCGGCACAGAAATCCACCAACATTGGCGGCCGCAGCGGTTGGGGGAACTCGATTTCAACCACTCGGCAGATCCCTCTGGACCAGTTGTGCTGAAGACGATATTGCCTCTTCCAATTTGTGACTGCGCTGCCTCTCGCTAGGTGCCCATGGTCGAGCCACGTTGACACTTTTGGTGTGTAATTGAAATTGGATGAAGACAACCCGGCACACCTTCTGTTTGTTGTGCGACGCGTTCGAGGCCATACCCACTGTGAGTAGTATTGCCTTTTCCACAGCTCCGAATCTCCTGCCAATGCGTAGAATCGACGAGATAGTCTAAAGAAGGACGATGTATCAGGTGGCCTGCAGGCGTCGCTTGGTTTATTCATGTGAACATACCGTTGGCAGAGAAGTAGAGTTGTTGTTGGCAAGAAAGACAGTATTTGAAGCAAAAGTTCGTCGCTTAGAGTTGAGATGAGGTCTGTTTTTTCAACCCGTGCCATATGTATGCGCTTTCGCGCGGGATGGTGGATATCTTCGTCATGGTTACATCTTTTCAACATCCTGCGGCTCACCAAGCAACGTCCATGTTGATTAATCAAGGTGGTGGAAGGTACTACGGAACTCACATACTACTCTGTAGCTAGTTGGGTAGTTGCTAGTTAGTTAGATAAGTGGGTGCTTATGTAAAGAGGATTTAATTACCTGGTCATCGGGTACCTACGCGTAAGTGTATGTACATGTACTGTACATACAAGGATACTTCGGGAGGTACTGTACATACTGTACAGGCTGTATCCAGGTATCTATGTCCAATACAGTATGTACAATAAGATACTTACCTCACTGGAATACTCGACTGAGGTAACTGCCTGCCTAAGGTATATATATACATGCTCCGTAGTCCGTACCTCGGTATACCTTTACATATCTGGTGTTAGGCGTTTCTTCAGTCGCGTTCCGAAGACAAAAGCGATTTCAGGCCACCCCATCACCCATGGACGTTCTAAAAAGTCTTCATACTTCTGTTGCTCAAATATGTGAAAAAGCCTTCGATGACGCGTATAGAGATTTGCATGCCGAAATCATATGTCGCGACAGCAAAGTGGAAGAGGCCGAAAAGAAGGCCAAATGCGCAGAGGAAGCCCGAGATGAATCCGCTGCAGAAACACAGGAACTAAAACATGAAATCCTCATCTTACGAGAAGAATTGGTACGCATTGATGTCGATGCAGAGTGCGCAGAGCTCTCTGATGATCGGGTCTCTAAGTTGAAAGAAACGTTCTCACCCCAAAATTCTCTAATTTTCGGCGACAACGATGCTGTCTGCGACTTTGGCCTCGGTTCCAAGAAGAATGAAAGTGTCAAGGAAAACTATTGTGCACTATACAACGAATTCATGACTCTGCTCAAGGCCACCGATGGCCTTAGAATCCAAATCAAGCGTCATAAAAGAAAACTGACATATTGGCGAGAGTGCCTTGATCGAGATAAGTTTACTCTTGTGCTTGATGGGATCCCCGTCAAATTTGAACGGACACGAAAGACTCTGAACGGAAGCCAGGCCCAGAAGCCAACGTCGTCTCATGAAGCTAAACCACCCTTCCATTTCGACGAAGGCCTCAAGAAGGGTGGCCCGAAACTTCATTTAAAACCACCCAGTACCAAGTCAGGTGGCCACTGTGGTCTGTCATCCTTAGATCCAGAGCGTGGATTGCCAAACGAAAATACATTGCCGTTTGAGCCCGGTGGAGTTTCCACGCCGAACTCTACACTGCCTGTGCCGGAAGACGAAGTAAATGGCCAAAAAGCCAGTTTTAAAGCAGATACCCTGCAGCAACCACATGTATCGAAGAAGAGGCCTCTTAAATCGTACAACCCGATTTCTGGGGTCCCACCGTCCAACAATGGCGCGACAGTTCGTCAAACCGAACATTTGAGCCTCCTAAGAAAAGAACAAATGCCGTCAGGTCTCTTAGGAGGGCCATCGCATCGAGCCAAACCCCATCAAACCGAGGATTCCAATAATACGACCAAAAATGCTGATTCCCCAAAGGAGAGACAATTCAATAACGGTCTTCGTCACAAAGTAACCCCGCCAACCGTCCTGCCTTCGCCGCTGGCGACAGCAGACGGAAATTTCCGAGCTCCTACTGCAAACCCAGGATCTTCCGGATACCCAACTAGTTATTCACCGCATAGTTGCCCGAAAAGCGATCATGACGGTAGCCCAGGACCGAACAGGACACATGAGAAAGTTCCGCGAAGGTCTTTGAAACATGCAATATCATCGATCGCGGAGGACAGTGATAAAGGTAACTGTAAGCGACGCATGCCAAACTTGCCACGGGATGGCGTGTCCGGGACCAAAAGCTCTCATTTACATCTCAGCAGGGACGCTCCTCCCACTGAGAAGCGGTTACAGGAACTACTGGAATCACCTTTACTTCCTCGAAACTCACTACGACCGCACAGAAGCATTCGGGCGGAGGTTAAAGGAAAGAATCATGGTCGGCATGACCGAGACTTCACAAAGCTGGCTAATAGCGAGTTATATTCCAACCCACAATCTACACCAGCACCAACCGAAGAGATGCAAGTGCCAAGTGCGCGACCCGAGCTTCCAAGTGAACTTACATCACGGGCGGATGATTGTGAGGCCAGTGGAATGCGTCCGATGAATGAGTCTTATCGAGCTCGACCGGTGCACGAACTTGATCTAAGTCATTTTAAGATAAACCCCGATTATAACCAAGGATTGAATTTTGCATATGATGATGTTGTTCGGAAGAGACATGAGCGCGAATCTATCCAGGGTTGCATGCGCTCGGACTGCTGCGGCAAGAAATTCCTTGCGATGGCACGTCTCGGTGGTGTACCAAACGACCCCAGCCAGTGTGGAAATGATGACCGGCAAATTATAGAGGACTATCTTGGAGAAGAAAAGGGCATAATTGATCGGATGGCAACCGCGGAGTATCAAGATATCCTCCACGAGGCGAAAGCAAGGCTCATGGCCAACCACTATGGGCGACATAAGCATCATCACCAGCGACCCTCCACTCCCCCTGGTTTCTGGCGTGCAGACATGCCGGACACACAAGAAATGGAACATGACCATGAAGCAGCCTGCGAAATGGAAAAAGAGAAGGTCAAGGAGCGATATAGGCAAGCGATGAGACCTGGTGGCTTGTGGAAGTTTGCAGATGAATGAGCCAATGCCGGGCATGCCGCCAATGTAATGAGCCATCAATAACGATGTAGTCCTAATAGATATGAATAAGTTTTGGTAGACACATGCTGAGGAGTACTTTGCATCCTCACAGCGATTTACATTAGAATGAACCTCGGCTCGTTTTTCTTGGCACATATAGTGCACGTGCTCAAGGGGCATCACCACCCGCCCGCTCAATCACACCCGTCCTGTCCATCCGTCTACCATCTGGTCGGAGTCAGCACAGTCTTTGCAAGTTCCTAAAACATACATATGTGGTTGACATGGAACCCTCATGGAAAAATCGCAGCATAGTACAGACAGTACTTTTCCAACCGTCTAAATGGCTCCCTCTTTACGAGGACTTTGTGACCAAGAATGCTAGCTCTGTCGGTCAGGTGGAATCAGCACTGAGGTCTTTAACATATATCATTCCAGGTAAGCCCTCACACCCGACCTTGGTATACTCACTTGGGCCAAAGAGCGCTAATAAATCCTTGCCCTTTATCGCAGGACGATACAGAGATTCGGAAATACCGTCAGAATGTGGTACGTCCAATGTTTGCCTTTGGCAGCACGCTTCTCTAATGACAAGCGCATGCAGTGCATTCTGGCGTACAAATTCTATCGCTGTATCATGACTCTCTCGTTTCTCGAGTCATTTCTAGACTGCCGTCCACTGTACATCGACCCACACCAACACCTCATTCCCGGTATACGAAATATTGGACATCCAGTTCAGCCCTCTATCACAGGGTCGCCCTGACTCTTCAAATGATACAATACACAGAATTGCTCTGGGAAATGATTGCGCGACGCCGCGGTGAAAGAATTCGTTGGAGGGTGGTTGCCTTTATCGAAGTTATAAAAGCAATTTGCCGCCTATTTTTGCTCCATCTAACACACTCCAGGCCTCTAGTTAGTCCTCCTTTACCGGAGCGTGAGGTTGATCCAAGATCCTTGGGTGTCGAGGAAGAAGACGACTGGAACGGGATGCAGACGCCAGATTGCGAGCGGCCCTCTGACATGAGCTGGACCATGCCGCGGACAGGCTTATCACTGCCTTCTCTTCCAGATGTGAACGATGTGTCCAGTTATCTCATTTCTAAGGTTCTCACAGCCGATGACATCAAACCACCCAAGGCACTCTTGCATCGAGTCACCGGTCATGGCCACTTAGCGGAAGTGCTTTATATTCTTCGACCAGTCCTGTATGCTCTTGCGATGCAAAGGTGGAGAGGCAATAAAAGGAGTTGGAGACCCTGGCTGATTGGTTTCGGTATGGAGTACGGCTGCCGACAACTTGCCAAATCTGATTTTAAAGAGAGGGTTGCCGGTGGCCTTCGGGGGCTGACAGGCCTTGAGCGCGAGGAACTACGGAAGAGAGGATGGGCCATGGGCTGGTGGTTTTTCCGTGGAGCGTTTTATGAGAACATAACCAAGTATGACAACCCGGTTTACCCCATTGAGCGAGTAAGACATGATGATACTGACTCTGAACAGATCTTGGTTGGGAGGGTTAACGAGGAAAATGAAGGGGAAACCTTTACTTGATTTGGTGGGGAGCGTGGTTGAAGATTACGAATATTTGTGGGATAATTACTATTTCTCGACTGCAACGTTGTAGCGAGTGAGCCTGCAATCCTCTCGTTGCGACCAACAAAGTCTATACTTCATGGAATTGTCTGCTTCCTAATGTAAAATTACACTACAAGCTACTTTAGATACCCAATTTCGAACATTTACTCCTCTTTCGCTTTCCGCGGCCAGCTATGAATTACATTTGCCAGAAAAAAGAGGGGGGGGGGGGGGGGGAGAGGACCGTCTGTTTCTATTCCAATGGTTATCAAAGAGGGGGTATCATGATCATTAATGCTGATTGTGTGTGTGGCTCATCACAAAATCCCAGCTCTCCTGCTCTCAATCAAAGAACCTCAGTCGGTTTGCTTCCAAACCACTGCCCTAGTTCATGGGCAGCTGTCCCTCCATTACCAGAGGACGATGCCAACATGAATTCCCGCAACTGCGAATTGTTTCCATCCACCGGCCAATCAACCTTGGAACCCCCCTTGAGCTCTAACATTTCCTTCGCAGTACCCCAACTAAAGCGGCATTCGTTACTCCACCCGAATATAGGGTCCATGTTTCTTCGAAGCCAGCGAACGCACTTTGAGTCAGATGGATAGCCACTACCCCAGCTCTCCGTAGCATTTTGATGGGAGGCATTTTGAGGTGCTTGGGCCACCAGTACGTTCTGGTGGCATAGTTCTAGTGCCACGTCTCTAGTCACTTTGGCGGCGACGCTTGCGGCGCTAACGCATGGGTACAATGAATCAGCTTTTTTGGCAACGGTAATCCGTAAAGAAGGGAAAATGCGCTCCAGTTTCTGCTGGTAAACGGCAGGGTTGCCGATTGTGTCAATGTAAACTTCTCTTATGTCCACCTTTTTGACCTCGACAATGTTTTGAATGAGTTCAATGGTGGCATCCATCGCTTGCGCGTTCAGATTGTAAGCTCCTGTCCCAAGACGCATCATGCCAGACGAGATGTCCCGAGCGGAGAGTATTTTAGTCGCCCATCCGGACGATTGGAACAACGGCGTGCCCGGGGTACAGAGCGTCTCCATTAAGTTGGCACGCACAGCGGGTGTCAGAACTTTGCTGTCATCGAAGCTGTACTGTTGCGCCAGAATTGGATGGTGGAGATCATGCGGTAAATAAAATGCACTGTATACCATTGGCCCCAGAACGGGGCCGCGTCCAGCTTCATCGACCCCCAAAACGTAATTTGTGCGAGAAGATGATCTAGTCGGACTGGAGCTCTCGAATTCAGGATCCGTTTCCGAAGGGCATGGTGAGTAGTAGGCGTAGGATTCTCCGGCGAAGAGTCGAGCACGATCTATGTTCGGAGGGACAAAAAGGTCGGCGGGGGCAAAGACCTCCGGCGAGTGGCGTTCATTCGGATCCTCCATGGCTTCCCTTCCCGGTGTGTCTTCCTTTCTTTTTATGAATCAATCGTTAGAGAAGGGAACAAGAGGGAATGGGAATGGGAATGAGGGTGGGGGAGAAAGACGGAGACAGAAAGACGCGTCGCCAACCATTCCGGACTAGCGGCGCTTCGGCGCGTATTCCCTCCCCTTCTCATTCCCCTCCGCGGCCGCCAAACTTCCCTTTCCGCCTTGTCGCCTGCCATTCCTCCAGTCCAGTTTGCCTGGGCCAATTCATCACTGGTTGAGTTTCCATCGAATCCGTGGTCCCTGCCGCCCTACTCGAAGCCCATACAACGCGCTCCTTTCCTGAACTTCCTGGACTGCCCTTGACCCCAACCTTGGTCAATTCATCATCCCGCATTAGCTGCCCCGATCTTCCGCAGCGATGGCTCCCCGTGGGCCCGCGAAAACCCGCGACTATGACTATTCAAATGTTGGCAAAGCCGGAAGGTTAGTACGTCTCATGGCTGGCGACAGGCTCTTATTGTCCTTTGTCCCGGCGGCTGATGTTAAGTCATGGTTACAGGCGTACCGGAATCACCTTGAAAGAGGGCAAGCGTGATGAGCATGGAATGGAAGACATTGAAGGGATGTGGTCATCCCCTGAAAATTCACCCTCGCTAGACGATGGTGCCAATGACAAGAATGAGGCCTCGATTGGATCCGGCGGTATGTCAATGGACGAGGGTATGTGCCATCCTCCCCGCTGTCGCAATGATGCTCACGCTCCATCTAAACGCAGAGAATGCTCCCGGTCCGGCGGATTTCCTAAATAGCGTCAAGAGTGCCCGTGGACCCTATCACCTTCCTCCTGTTGCGCGCTCTCCCATGAAGACTGGCCTCACTGGGTCACCAAGGAGAACCCCTGGCTTGCGATCCTCTCAAAGCCCGCAGCGTGACATCCTCTCCTCTAGCCCCTCAGATGGTAAGGGGCTGGGAAGCATCAGGGGGGAACCACGACAAGACGTATCTCCTCTGACCAATCGCTCCGTCAATACGCCCTCTTATCATGCAAATAGCGTGCGAAACAAAGTCAGCAAAGCGCCCGAACCAGCTATCGCGGTGGCCTTTTCCGACAGTGATGCGAACAGTCAGTTCAATGGCGACGAGAATGTCGATGTTTTTGAGCAGATTCAAAACGACTTTGCCGACGGGTTTGACACCAGTGACAACGTCATGGGAGGAGATCAAAGAGAGGATGTGAAGCAGGATACTTTGAACCCGGACCCCCAGTCATCTACACCGGAACCACACCACCAAAGACAGTCGAAAGCTTCTGTCAAACCTCGAAGGAACGCAAGGAACGAGGAGAGCCAATCCCAGGGAATTGTGCGGCGCAATTCAACAGAGGATCAAGAGTCCTCGAAGAAACGGAAGCGCCCCGGAAGACCCCCAAAGAGCCAAGCCCAATCCAATCCCAAGAATGGTATCGAAGAGGAGCGACCATCAAAGAAGTCCAAAGTATCTAAAAATACGGTTGACGACCGCAAAACATCGGGACACCCTCAATTGGACAAAGTTGTTGAGAATTACGTCAACCGCACAGGACCTTTGAAGGGACGAAGCTTGTACATCCTCAAAAGGGAGGCGCCAACCGATAATAGCGCTACCCACACCCGATCAGGACGTGTGTCGGTCAGGCCTCTTGCCTACTGGAGAAATGAGCGATGTGTCTACGGCGACGGCGAAGCTGCGGAGGGCCAGCGGTATCCTCTTTCAACCATCAAGGAAGTCATTCGGACAGAAGAACCCGAACAAGAGAAGCGGAAAACAAACAATCGACGACCCTCCGGAAAGTCGAAATCGAAGAAGAAACAATACGAGGACGTGTCGGACAGTGAGGAGTACATGGATACCTGGGAAAAGAACGAAGGTGTTTTGCATGGGTATGTTAGGCAATGGGACTCCGAGGTTCAAACTGGCATAGAAGACGAGGAAGTTGTTGGTATGTTGTCTCTTTCATCACAGCCATATCGACTGGGCGTTACTAATCTATGCTTGATAGACATCGCCTATGCCCCCTCTGGAATCGAGACCCGAGACGTGAAAGGCTCGAAGTTTCGGTTTGCGAAACTTCTGAGTTCTCCTTTCTTGGGTTCCGGCATTGTCGAGCTGCCTCCTGGAGGAGTGAAAAAGCCCAAGAATTCCAAAAAAATGCACATGGTGTTCTATGTTTGCCATGGCCGAGTGCAGATAGATATATCTGGTGTACAGTTTAGTGCAGGGAAAGGCTGTGTATTCCAAGTCCCACGCGGTAAATTTGCTCTTGTCTCCGTAAACATGTCTTGTGAACAGAAGTACTGACCCCTTGACTCACTCGCACAATAGGCAACTATTACAGCTTTGCAAACACACATGGCAAAGACGCTCGATTGTTCTTCACACAGGGTTGTGTTCCTACAGATAAGGACGACTCTGCTCCTGGGTCAGCGTCTAAGCTAGGGACCATGGAGGGAGAATCTACTACGCCAATGACCCGTTCCACGGGTGTTGGAAAAGGCCGGCCAAAGGGCAAGCAGAAGACCGGAAATAGCTCGAAACATGCTTGAATGAGCCCATGCAAAAGGCTCCCCTTCCTTATTTACACTCGCAGCGGTTAGTAGTTGGTATCGTGGTTATTGCCCCTAATTTTCCATGTGAAACCAAGTTGATGTCCATTATGGGGTCTTCTCAATTCTAGCGATTATGTTACGCGGTCATTGGGTCATTGGTGTTTTCCTTTTTTTTTTTCTTTTCTTTTTTTTATTGGGTTCTCCTTCCTTCATCGTCATCACCATCACCAATATCACCATTATCTCTCCCTCTCTCCCTCTTTCCCCCGCCCATTTTGAAATGTATCTTAAAGTCCCTAAAGGCATGGACTGATCCACGCCGATGCATTTTAAAAAACTTGAATTCTTCTTGACCGGCCAGGTTAATGTCACAATACTTTTTTTCTTCTTTCGCCTCGTGCCGATCTTATTTGATTCTATCAAGTGATCTGGGTGACCTAGAGTTCCTCCAGGTCGCCCAGGTCGTCGTCCAGATCCAGAGGGGGGAAATCCCCCACCTCAATTTTCTCGGGTTTCACAAACAGACCAGACTTGCTCGGGCAGGTAAAGAAGCGTTGCCCGCCAACACTGCCATCATTCTTCCCGGTGGGTTCATCGAGTTCGATTCCAACCCACATGGGCAGGGAATCATCAGAGTCTACCTTCGAGGACTCGGATTTGTCATTCACCCCGGGGTAAGGAATAGTGGGCACAGGCCCAACAAAGCGGATAGTTCCCCGGCGAACATGTGGTGGTGACGAAGGCAGAATGATCGCCCGCCTCGAAACAGCAATTTCTAACAATAAAATGGAACCGGTCAGCATCACGCACACCTACTTTAAACAAGAATTTTAGATCCATACCCTTTCGTGCAACTTCCTCGGCATCCTGCTCTGCCTGTTTCCGCATTGATTCCTCTGGGGACAAAGCATTTGGGTCAAAGCGGCCGAGTTTCTGGTTTTTCTTCCACGCCAATACTGAATTTGGCAGGGACTCGTAGGTGGTTGTAGGGAGGACGTATTTCTCCACAGATGAGAGATCGTTGAAGTTGGGCCTTGCGGACTGGGGCCTCGAATCATGGACCTATTAGAGTCCTTTTGATTAGTCTTTGTTCGAGCTGGTTCGACAAAATGTACAAGCATATCCTTGGGTTTCTTTTCTTTCTTCCCCGTGTACAATCTTTTTTTTTCTCAGCCAAAAAGAGAAAGAAAAAGAAAAAAAAAGAAAGCTTTCTAGCGCCAAGTGGGTTCTCTCTCGCGGACTCTAAGTGACGAATAGTTGGGAACCCGGACACAATCAGGCTCTAAAATACCCAAAAAGAATCCCAGATGGGTTCACCTCGAGTAGGGTTGTTTGATAAAACAGACTTAAATAACTCTCGTGTATATTTGGTTTGATGAGGCAGGCAGATACGCTTGGTTGCAGAAAAGGAGGGTAGGGGGAAATTCAACGACTAGAGGCCATGACGGCTGAATAGATAGCTGTCTTACCTCAATTTCACATCCTCTCACCAAGCCCCACTCGCCAATTACGGTTTCGTCGCCATCAATCCATCGACTGGGAAGACCGGGCGATTTGAGATGCAAACGTTGACTACCGGGTGGGATGCCAGTCATGGTTTCCAATTTCGACTTCAACTGCATGACAGTCCATGTTGGAGTGATGCGGCGTTCATTCTGGAATTGAGGTCCTGCATTGGGGCCGGTAGACGGCGTAGTGATGATAGCAGTAACGTCTGTTGGGGTAGGCTGGAATGCCATTTCTTCTTGTTCCTTTCTTGAAACTATGTGGGCTATGGTTGGGTAGCTTTTCCGAATGCAATGTACCAGATTTTTTGCCTATCTAAGGGTTAGACGAGACAGGTGCATTGATCCATAAATATCAGGATCAGGTATAGACCAGAACGGAGCAGCAAAGAGAGCGAGGGACAGAAGAGACATCAGCTATTTTCAGCATTCAATCCTGGGAAAGGAGTATATTGGGGGGAACGGATTAGCCTAACTAGTGAGGCAAGAATACTTTTACTTACTGTAGACACCTACACTTCCCGTCACGTATATGCTGGGGTTGATGCTCTCCAGAAGCGACGAGCAGAGAAGAGAAGAGCCGTGGAGAGAGAGAGAGAGAGAGAGAGTAGGTAGTTTACTAGAGCGGAGTAGTGCCATTAGTCAGCACCCTTGGTGAGAGTGAGGGCGATGGTCACCAATCAATCCATCATCGGAACCAAGAGACCGGGCTACCTTCCAGGGTAAGATAGAGAAGATAGGGCCCTTGTCACCGGCAATGAGGGGCTGTGGACTTTCTCCGTCCATAACAATTGACGCGAAGCCTCTAGGTCCCATACATACCTCCATGGCATACCGCATACTCCCCTACGCCAGAGGAACCGACAACTCTCCATGGCCAGAGAAAGCTCCGAGAAGCTGTATCAGCAGGCAGCTGAACATCTGGGGCATGCGCATTAGCACTGACTAAACCTTATTCCCATCGCTTGCTCCTATTCCAGAGAACGCCATTCGAAGGTCGGGCCGTGCTGGTGCCTGAGGCACCCATCCGGGACCGACCTTCCACGTGGGGATCCTCCGTTTCCTCACTCTTCCCCTCCCCCAAATCCTTCTCTTCTCTGCTGTTTCCCCCCGCCATTCCTCGCTGGCCCGTTGGTTTCAAGTATATATAATGCTTTTGCGGAAAGTGGCTTGATTACAAGTAAACGGCAGCAATGGCGTCCTCAGAAGCGGCCACCGAGCACCCCAATGACGAATATGAAGAAAAGAATGTCCATGAGGTGTATCAGCAAATTGCGAACCATTTCTCGGCCACTCGTTATAAGGTGGGTGCACGCCCTTTGCCCTTTCTACCCAGATGGTTGAGGGGCTCTGTGCCTAATTTTGCTCACCATGCTGGCAGCCATGGCCAATTGTGGAACGGTTCCTCAAAGAATTGACTCCAGGTGCGGTCGGATTGGACGTGGGATGCGGCAATGGCAAATACCTGTCCGTGAACCAGGATGTTTTTATTGTGGCTTCCGATCGGTACGTGTGATATCTACATTCCCGAGAATCCCCCATGTATTACCCTATCGGTTCATATGCGTCTCGATTTTTTCTCTTTCTTGCTGTGGCCTGGGAGAGTCTTAAAAAAATTAGAAGAAAGAAAGAACAGAAAGAGAAAGACAGCAAGACATTTCCGTCGTCATAAATGGGGATATTTGTTCTTTTGTTTGTTTTTTTTTTATCTCTACCAGTATATTGTCGTTTAAGTGTGATAGACATGACATGACTCTTTAAAAGAAATCGTTTCAATGTTTCGCCGTTGACCATTGTGGCCAGGTCGGAAAATCTCGCCCGAATCGCTGTAAAACACCAGCCACATTCAACAATCGTCGCGGATATTCTGAATTTGCCCCATCCAGATTCATTTTTCGACTTTGCTCTATCCATCGCCGTCATTCATCATTTGTCCACTCCTGACCGGAGAATTCAAGCCATACGCGAGATTCTGCGCACGTTAAGGCCTGCCATGCCGAATGCGCCAGGTGGAAAGGCTCTACTCTATGTCTGGGCACTAGAGCAGAAGACCAGTCGAAGGGGCTGGGATAAAGGCGACCAAAAGGACGTGATGGTTCCGTGGGTCATGAAGCAAAAAGCTTCTCAAGGCCATTCGGATGAAGAACCGAAAGTTTTCCATCGATACTACCATCTCTTCGAGGAAATGGAGCTTGAGCGTGATATCGGAGCGGCGGGTGGTCTTGTCCTCGAATCAGGTTATGACAGGGATAATTGGTGGGCGATCGCGACTCGGTCAGATCAGGAAGCGTCATAACGTTGGGGAGGCCCGGGATCCTGCCCTCGAAAGCCTCTTGCTGAAATCCACATTCATCCGTGAAAACTGGGAAGTCGCGGGAACGAGGCTCTCATGTGTGTGCCCTTTGGATTCCCACGGGGAGGAAATGAAGAAAAAAGAAAGAAAGAAAGAAATCCAACAAAAGCAATTAGGAGAAACCCTCTCCCATGAATGAAGGCATGCCTCCAACCAACGCTATGCAAAATCGTAACAATGCAAAAAGAAACAGCAGGGAAAGCAAAAGGCATAGACATCATCTTTATGGTCCGCTAAGGAAGGGTTCGAGGGGGAAGACCCAGGTTTGGTCCTAGGTGGCTGCTATGACCGCTGCTCAAGTCCAAAGGATGTCCTATCCGATAAGCCTCTCGGGGAGCAGGAAAAGGTGGCGGCGGTGCAAAAGCTGGGACGCCGGCGGTTAATTCCTCGACGGATGGGAGTTGTGGAGGGGCGATTGGACGCGATGCTGATCCCTTTCGTGGTCGAGATAGGGACGTGCTAGCTCTGCGAGCTCTCGGGGCGGGAGGATCGACTGCTGTACTCGACAACGAAAATGGAACTACTCCGGCTCGACGCGCCATTTCTTGCTCTCCCAGTTGCCAATGCATAGCTTCTGCAGCTCGCCAGGGAATCGCCATTTCCTCCGCTACTTTGGACCACATCTCCGCCTTGAATCTACAATTAGTCAGGGGCATGTTAGCAAACCATTCCTTCGGAACCTCTATCCATCTGAGGCTTTCTGCCTCAGTGGGTAGAGAGCATCCTTTCCTAGAAGACATACCTTTCATATAACCGTGCGAGTTTATTCTTCTTATCCTCATCCCACTCACTCCTACGCTCCAAATAATTCTGATAGTGAAGACGGCAGCTGATCGCACTTCGACCGGGCAGCCGCTTGCTGATATCCTCCCACTTCATACCACTTCCCCGCAACTCGATGATCAGTGCATCCTCTTCGGGCGACCATTTTGACTGTTTTTTGGCGGGGGATTCTGCCGTATGGGCTGGTTGCAGACGCTTCGCCGGGACGGACACCGGGGGTTTGGCTGTTAGAGGCGTCACAGAGGGAATGGACGTCGGGGCCGTGATGGGAATTGCCGGGATCATTGGAGCTTGCGGGATTGGATTTGGAGGGAAGTTGGATGTAGAGGTCACGGGGGTGGCGGCCTCCTCATCTTGGGGCTTCAGCAGCAGTGAGATATCCACTTTGGCGGAAGGCAGAATAGCTTGGTTTTGTAACGCAATCATATGCGCGATTCGCAATCGGAACCTCTTCTTGTTCTTATGGTTGAGTAACCGGATCGGCTCAGCAAGAAAGAAAAAAAGGACAATGGGAGCAATGATAAGAAAGGATTCACTTTGGATAAATTTCTTGTATCGCACCCGAAAACCGCAAAATGGGATATTGGCCAACAGTGAAGTCAATGAAGAAATTCACAATTCCACCGAGTGTATATAAGGGAAGTAGGGATAGGAGGGGAACAATATCAATAGGTAGATATATTGTAGGCTCACTCGAAGACGACGGGGGTGGAAAAGATAATCATAAAAGAGAAACTAAGGGGGGAAAGAGAGAGAGAAAAAAGGGAAGAAAGGAAAAGACTGGCCGGCAGAGAAGATCGATAGACACCGACTAATTGAAGTTCTTCGGGGGTAGGAAGGAAAGAAAGATAACCACGAATATCTCTTGTGACGATGATCGAGATATATCAGGTATGCTAAAATACGGAGGCAGGATCTTGACGAAATTATAGCAATCAGAAGATGGAAAAAGGCGAGGGAGCAGGACTAATCGACGAAAATCATGAAGAAACTGAGAGGGTAATAATCGGGGAAGAAAGAGGGGAGAGAGTGGGAGAGAGAGAGAGAGGGAAAAGAAAAATAAAGTAGGAAAAGAGGAAAAGGAGGAAAGCCAAAACAGATGAAACAACCTGAGATGCATGAGAAGAGATCATCGGCAATGACAGCTGATCTAGCAATGTTGGACAGCAAATTAGAAGCTCAGCAGTAATAATGCTCCCACCTAGTAGGTATGGGGAGGGCGAAGAGGAGGCTAACCAGGAGGCGAGCTCGGGACCCAGTGGGTTCGAGAAGCCGTTGATATTGGGATGGTTATTTTATTATTATTGTTTTTTTTTTTTTTTGGTCTCATTTTTTAATTTCTGATTTTGTTTTATTTTATTACCTTACTTTATTTTTTATTTTCCTTGATTATATCTTGTATGATGATGAGAAGCAGAACGAGCCATGTCGAATGGGGCTTCATTTAACTACTCCCAGCATTTGGATTTGGACTTGAATCTGGATTTATTTCCTCTTCGTCAGGAGTATAGGAGTATAGACCCTTTTTCTGCCCCCACTAAGTTCCCTCGAAGTGGAAGCTCGATGGCAATCCTTATACTGTATTCTCTTCCCCGAGAGAGAGAGAGAGAGACCTTTACGTACGACGGGGAGTCAGAACCAATGGTCGACTCCAACCCACCAGAAGCTAACCTACGGAAGTACTTCCTACCAGGTTAGCGGAATAATAATAATAAAATAAATAATAATAATATTTAATATTATTTCTTCCGTTATTATTAATAACAACAATACCGCGACGATTATCATGAAGGGTCCCACTTCCCGGGTGCTCTACTTTAATGCCAGAAGAATTACTGGCGGTCAAACCGCTTCGAACGTTCGAGCCCAACTTCGGTGTGGACGATGACTCGGTCGAGGGGTTCGTTGGCAGCCCAGGAAATTTCTCGTCGCCGAAACGTCAACCTTCTACCTTATTCGTAGGGCTTTTTTTTTTTTTTTTTTTTTTTTTTTCGGTGATAGAGATCGACTCGGGCACTCCATACGGCGTAGAAGGGTAATAGGGCAGGTATATCTCCAACGGTGACAGGAAATCCCTCTTCCCTTTCCCCCCCCCTCCCAAAAAAAAAAAAAAAAAAAAGAAAGGAGAAAAACAAAAAGGGAAACAGGAAAAGAAAAGGAAAGGAAAGAAAAAAAAAAAAAAAAAAAAAAAACACAGGCCACAGCTAGTCTGCCTTGTCAGGTCATCGCCATCTCAGCCGCATGGTGACGCTGGGAACGGGAGGGAGATTAAAACGATCCTTTGTACGGAGAGGAATTTAGATGAATCGATTCTTCCTCCGGGACATGGCAGACGATAAAGCGAGGGGCAGGTGCATATAACAGGAGGGGCAGCCGCTCACCTACGAGCGAGTAACTTCAAACTTGGGAAGTCTAAGCCACTACGGATACTGGGTCTTGGACTCGCGAACAGCCGGCAACCCCGGTATAGGACCCGAAAGTTAGGGTGTTTAGAGGGACAATCAGAGCGCAAGGAAAAAGAAAAACAAACATGACTAGGTTCCCCCCTGTGGGGAACCGCATCATCCTGAACCGGGATATGAAAGGGTGGAAACTCCATGTTCCAACCAGAGCGGTAAAACGGGGAATGATGGGGAGGATGCGTAACGACGACGGCGTCAAGTCTTAGCGAATGATCTTCCCATTGGCCACGATAGACGAGGTTAAGGAACCTCCCTTGCCCCCTCCCCTCGTGTGCCAGATTCTCAACCGGCATCCCTGCTCCTGGATTCTTGATGCTGGCATTATACTGCGTAGGATTGATTCCATTTGGATTGATTTGGATCGAAATCCGATTCCCAACGGCCGGGACTCGTCCGTCGAATTAGTCCCAGACTACCGCGGTGGATCGGTCAACGGGTGGACGAACCCCAATCCACGGGCGGCAAGTATCGTCCTAGCCAAGATTAATCCCTACCTACCTCGACCGTCCTGCCTACTCCGTCCTCTGGGCAGGAGGTACGGGACCACGGAGTATACTGCGTCGTACGCAGTACTATAATGGCATCCGAAGGGGGTTCATAAACCGGTCTCGACCGTGGTTGCGGGTGGGATTACCCTTCCGACGTCAGTGAGCCAGGGCACGAGAGAGCAGAGACACGGGATCCCGGTTTGGTTCCTTCCTTCTTCGTTCCACCTGCCAGCAGTTCGGCGGCGTCTCCTTCCCAATCTATGGGGAAATTAAGGAAATTAATGAAAATAGGTTCCGTTGATCTGTCGGTCTAGAACGGGAAGAGGAAATTTGCTGGGTTCCAGGAAGAGCGGACCCGTACTTCGGCCGATACTGCGGGCCTGCAGCCCCGGGGCCTTTCTGTTCCGGGCATAGCGATCGGAAGATAAAAGGCCGCTAGCCCCCGTCCGGTAGTCAGTCGTGGTCCGGAGGCCTTCGAACGACGGGGCCGTCCACTTGGCCAGAGGGACTTGCCAGTTGCCAGAAATGTTCCGACCGCCGGTGGAGCCCTGCAGTCCAATGGCCCGCGGTCGGCGGTGGAGCCAATTTCACGCCCATCGCAGAATAAGGTGCCAAGTCGATGCTCGACTGCCGCCAGAAGTAAATGGCGGTGGCCGTGGCCTAGAACCCCCCCGCCGTCAAAAGTGTCAAGTTCATCGTAATATATAAGGCCCGATTCGCAACAATACCATTATCATAGTCATCGTACATGCCTCCTCCGTCTATAACTCCGTCCTCTCCGGGCCAAGGATTTAAATGGCTTCTTCCTTTTGGCTCTCGGTGCAACGCATGCGGTTCGACTCGCAGATGTAGAAGACCAGAGACACAAAAAAAAATGACCTGTCACCTCGAGCAGGTCTGTCAATTCTAATTCTACCTCCCCGTCCACCGTTCGGGCGGTCTCCTGTCTTCCCCTCGTGTTCAACACGCAACGAACCTCCCATGTATTAAGGGTCAGCATTACTCCATCGAGTGGATGCCTATTAGTGCACCTGGACAGTAGAGTTTAGGCGGGAATGTCGAGATTCGAGTCGCCTGCTGGGTTAATATGCAAACTTGCTGCGTACTCCGTACAATGGAGTGGTCGATGGGTGGGGTTCCCTTGGCGCAATTCCGACGAGTCGAACCCGTCAATGTAAAACATCAATCCTATCTATCCTCCGTAGGCGAGACTGCCCGTTGGCATCTTGGGCCGAAAACAAACCCTCCCCCGCCTAAACCGCCGCCCAAGTCCACGCCAATTGTGTCGCCGTCGCTTCTCGCTAAGAGCAAGCGTGGTATTATTTGACTACCTGGACTACTACTGCGTAGGAGTTTCAAACGGTCTTGGGGGGAGAGAATCGACCGACGCCATTGGACTGGAGTCGGCGGGACCCGACAGGGATTCCGGTGCTCTATCTATTCCTGGCACGCAATGATCGTCGCAGAAAATGTCCGACACCCTGGCGGTTCCGTTTTTATTGCCCGCGCATTCTGGTGGTGATTGCTTCCCCTCCGGAGTACGGAGTACAGCGCCTGTCCAGCGTCCTCCGTAGGAGGAGGCAACCACGACAATGTCAGGGCCTTGAAGTCCTGCACTTCGCAATCAAACGTGATATTAATACGAAGATGAATGCCCCGTAGCAATGTCCGTTGGAAAGGTGAAACCGCGGGATCGTCGTTGCGTGGCAAAGCTGAAAAGTGGCCCTGTGGCTCTTGCGAAAACGGTCGACATTCGAGGCTGCCCAAGGTGGGTCTCTCGGGTTAATTAGGGCCTAGACGCCTCCGGGTGATGTTTGATGGGATTATTTATTATTGATTCTTTGAGTCGTTCTCTTTCCTGGAGAATAACGAACGGAGTAGAGATACCTGAGAAAATGCCTCCCGTAATTTAACTCCCCCCCTCTTCCCTTCCAAGCGTGAAACGGCTCCCGTCGTCTCTCTGCTCCGTGGCTTGAGTCCGTTCTTCTTTGTTCGGCAGAAGTTTCCCAGGCTGAGAGGACGGATCGCGAGCGATCGCCCTAGAATCGACCCGATTAGGTGTAATGGCATGAAGAAAAGGCAATCTCACACCTTCAATATCAGCCCCCCGTCACAGGGCACAGCCGATCGGGCTCGCTCTCGAGTCATGTTACCGAGATCAGGCATCCTGCTGCAATCGCCGTTCCTCTCGATGAAATCCGTTTTCATCTCGACTGCATGTGGGCTGGGGTGATTTGAATGCATTGCATGAAGATTGCGCCGACCAGCTCGGTAACGCTGGTGGACTGGCAACTGCACCGCAACGAACGAGGATGGGGAGTCTACACCGCCGCCAACCGGCGGTGATCATGACGACCAGCATGGAACCTCCAGCGTCCGTCGGTCAATGCAGACCGGACGTTCTCGACTGGGCGAGATCAGACCATCCGAACTCGCGATGGCCGGAACGTTCAACCACCCGCCCCAATCGTCCTGGTAAGATTACTGAGGGGGGACGGGGAGCGAAAGGTCCCCACAATCTGACAAGATGAAACAAGAACTCGAGCTGTGGGGAAACATCCGAGATGATTGATTGATCATTGGTCTATCGTCATCTATCAGAATCGGGGCAATAATCGCCGCGACGCCATGCGAACCGTTGCGGGCGGGAAAGCCTGTCTTCCTTCTCTTACGTCCTCCATTCCCTATGGACGAACAACGAGCGATTCTGGTGCGCGCGAGGGCAGGAAAAAAGCCTTGCGGGTCTCGAACCCCAATATCCGCCTCCCCTCCCGTCGGGGCGACACTGATAGATTGATGCCATCAATAATCGTCCATCCTAACGGCGTATGAAGTACTCCGTACACCATGCCTTGACACGCTAAAAAAGGTTCTAATTATTAGCTCGAAACTTCCCGTGTTGAGGGGGAAAGCGCTGGGGATCATTGCATCACGCGGAGTACTCGGTACAGAAGGAGAAGTCAAAAAGGACGAAGACAATAGCCATCGGCACATGGTGTTCCTCGCACGTCTTCCACTGCGGCGCTCTAAAGAAAATGCGACTAACAACTTTGACAAGTCTTCGCCATGTTTCAGGTGCCTTTCATTCATCGGTTCTGCGACTCCAATTGGAGTCTATACACATTTTCCAGAGCATTGTCAACTGGCTTTGAACCGTTGTCCATTCCATTGTATTCAACGGTAAACTCGGCACCCAAAGGTCGCAAGATAGCTGTTGGGCACCTCGGCAAAGAGCATCTGTTTAAGATACTTTATACGTAACAATGGGGGGGGTTGCATACATGTGCCTTTGTCCCCGTACGTCTCGGATGCATTGGATTCAAGGTCAACGAGCCCTTTGTTAGATAGAACGAACAGTCCAGCAACAAAGGAACATGGTGTGAAAAAATAGAAGACAGAAAGGAAGAAAGAAACATGCAAGGGCATTCATGCGATCCAAACCTGTACAGCAGGCACTGCAATTGTCTCAGACATAAATAACAGGCATATTCCGTTGAGGAAGGTTCGTTTCGATATCATGAACAATTCGACTTATTCCATCAAAAGCCCATATCCACGACTCTTTGTCCTGTATAGTTATTCAAGTTCTCGCGTACCACGGCAGCTATGGACTCTTCGAATGACCCAGAGGGGTCGCGGAACCAAACAAGCAGGGTGAGTACGCCATGTTTTGAATTTTACCATCGAATTTTCACCTGACATCCTTGTTCCCTCTAGCAAGTAATCCCCGTACCGACCGCTTGGAGTGCGGAATATCAAGGACTCACTCCTTCGAAGGGGTTCCTAAATACCTCCACCGTGTGCTACCGGAACTCGGCCCTGTGTTTTCTCTTACACTCGCCCACACTACTTAACTGGCTGGCAGCACATCACGGGGATCAGGGCTGCGAGGAACAATGCGTTTCTTGTCAATTGCACCGTCTCGCGGTGTCTTTCTGGAAGGGGAACAGCGAAAACGACGATCAAGAGACCGTGCTGATGGTGCTCTGGGTTCAACTACAAGCAAGTACATGGGATTATGTGGATTTGGAGGAGCAGCAGGATGTGCGGGAGTTTATCGAACAATTATTCGGCCAAATGTACCAAGACGCCCAGGCAAAGTAAGTGATCCAACGGTTTCCTTCTTCCCATTGCCCGTTTAGCAAGCCGGTAACTAACGCGCTCCAAAAACAAGGCAAGTTGACCTGAACCCGCTTCTCAAGATAGCCCTCGATGTAGCCTTTGAGTGTAAGACATGCGGCAAGGCGACGCCGGGGCCTCCGTACAAGGAATTCCTTTGCGCGGCTTCGTTTCCGGAGGATCTCAAGGTGGGCGATGCCGTCAGTATCGAGGAATTACTTAGTGGCTGCTACTCAGGTTCAACCGTTGATCGTGATTGTGAGCATTGCGAGCGCAAGACCGAGCATCTCCGGACTGACAAAGTTGTCCAAGTTCCCGAAGTTTTACTTGTTCATCTGAATAGAATAGGCGGGCCCGGGGGGGAGAAATCGTTTAACAATGTAAGCCTTGGTGACCAGGTAGTTCTGCCTGAATCTCTACGCCGAGGCCTGGCCGATAAGGATGATATATGCTACGAATTGTACACGATTATATTCCACGAAGGTGACACCATCGAAAGTGGACATTATACTGCTGCAGTGAAGGCGCCCACCGGGAGATGGATGTTGATAAACGACGAACAAGTAGAGTCTGTCCAGTCCCTGAAGAAACTGATGAACATGGGCAAAGGGAAGAAGAAACACTCCGCCACTGCTTATGTGCTTGGGTATCGACGCCTACCTCTGACGAGTGAGTCTATGCCTGCAGGGGGTGACTCGAGCCCAGCGCAAGTCAGCGATTCCGCATCTTCCAGAGAGAAGTCGAGCCAGGCGCGAGCCAGGCCGCTCGATGGGACGCCGTCCGCCGATCCTGCCTTGCTAGTTCCTGGTTCAGATATTGCCCCCGGCTCTCTCAGTTCTGTCAGTTCTCTCACCTCTCTCGGCTCTCTCGGCTCTCCCAGCGCTCCCGGCTCTCCGGTGCGACCTGGGGTCACAATGGATGGAACCATCAGTCTCGACGGCAGGGATATTGTATGGACGATACAACAGCAACTAGCCATCCCTTCGGACGCGGGTCCCTTGATTAAGTTGAAGCCCAGGTCTAGGGTCCAATTTGCTGATATCCGGCTGAGATTTACTTCGGGGGAGGAGGTTCTGGAAGCAAACCACACCATCTCGCTGAAGCCACTGAAGCCCAATAATGCACGAAAGGCGCGGACTGAGAAATCGGCCAAGATCATGAACACCAAGTCGAAGAGAACCGCCGACGGGACAGACCAGAAGAAAAAGGCAGCAAAGCCTGGCAAGCAAGCCAAACCCCGGGGTGTTCAGAAGTCAGCCCAAGCACAAAGCACTGGGGTCCAGGCCAGCACGAAAACGAAGACTGGGAGGGTGCGCAAGAAGGCTCGGTGAGCTCTCGACAGGACTGACTGACATTGGGCTGTTTGGGGTTAAGTAACAGTTGAGTAAAATATTCGTTATCGTTGTTCTTATTGCGGAATGATGAACTGTCCGTACGGAGTAGTTGTAAATAATACATATCTTTCCATCCCTCCACCACCATCAATTCCATACCTACTCCCCCCCCCCCCCCCCCCCCCCCCTACAGTCCGTTCACATTGACCCTTCCATGGAGAATCCAAGAAACAATGGAGCAGTATCACTTCCCGTTCAATTTATCGAGCGGCTGATCTCACGGCTGGGCCACCGGCTTCTCACCAGTCAACGCGCACCGGACTCGGCCAGTCCCCTCGCAACTGTGCTGCCGTCCGATGCAAAGCCACTGATGCTAACCCTGCATTGCCTCTTCCCCAACGAGCTGCTCCTAGCTCTGGATATACTGGACCGGGGCCTGGTGAGACGGCTTGCACGACGGGATGCGGACGAGGGGGAGTCAAGTTCGACGGCAGTTTTTTTCGTCATCTCCGCCGCCGCGGCGCCCAAGACCCCGGCCAAAAAGCCGGCACCCACACGCGCAGGGCAGATGGGCTACGAGGTTCGGCTGCAGGCCTGGAACTGCACCTGTCCGGCATTCACGCTGGCCGCATTTCGCGACCTCGGTCCCCGGGACGATGACGAGGGGCCTGCAGCTGAAGGCCGGACCCGTTACGCCTATGGCGGGTGTTTACCTGGCGCGCCGACCCGGACGTCGCCGCCCGTCTGCAAACATCTCCTCGCCTGTCTGTTGATGGCGCGGTGCCCCGGAGCTTTTGAAAGCACGGCAGGAGAAGCCAATCCAATCCCCGTAGCTGCAGAGGAGTTGGCGGGCTGGTGCGCTGGCTGGAGTGGATGATGATTCCCGGTCGGTCTCCTGCTTCAGTCACAGAACAAGCAAATCCGGAGCGAGAATTTGGGCGGAATTGCAAATACTGGATACCAACTGCAAGACCGACGCGCTCTTGCGTGCATAAAAAGAAACCGCTGTTTGGTGCGCATAGTGTGCACATGGAGCCTAAATGAGATGCTACGCAACTACCTTGACCAGGGTTACAGAGTGAACAAATCATCTCCTGGCGATCTCGATCACGCTTCGCTCATGAACCCCCCTCTCCCATACCAGCAAATGGAGGTAACTGGCTTGACAATACCTGCCGGGCATGATCAAAATCAAGTTGCAGGAGAAAGGGCAGCTCCTGCCTCGAAGATCATGCAAAGATTTGAATTTGCAGACACCGAACACAGTCGAGAAACAAGATTACTATAGTATACATCTCAATGTGGAGACTGAATTGTTCTAAAGGATCATATCACATTGCTCCCCCCAAAAGGCCCATCTACCTAATCGGCCCTCGGGCTCTTCTTCTTCGACTTGTCCTTGGATCCGTTCTGGTTCTCCTTCTGCTCCCCGTTCGCAGCGCCGCTGCCCTTCTTGGCGGCCTCCTTCTCATTCTTGGCCGCGTTGGCTTCTTGCTCTCTCTTCAGCTCGTTTTCCTCCTGTTGTTGCCGGTTCTGGATCTTGTTATCGATCAAGTCGTGGAAAGCCGTGATGGCGCGGATTAGGCTGCTCAGATAAATGGCCATCAATTGATCGTTGGTCTTGATGCTCATCGCACGGGCCAGTTCGCTGTTGTCCGTCGGCTGCTCCGATCCGCTGAGGCGCTGAGTTGCTGGCGGGGTTGACAGATTGGGCAGAAGGTTGAAGACGTCCTGAAGGTTGCCGAGAATAGCGTGGTTGACCGGTAGCTCGTGATCCAACACCTTCTGCAGATACTGGCCAATATCCCGGAGGCGTAGATGCAGACCCTGCAACGATTGCAGTTGTGACGTAATGCGTGTCGACAGGGTACCGACGGCAACATCTCTGATATCCCGGAGCAGATGCTCAACGCCAATCTCCTCCGCTTCTTCGGCTTCGATTATGGACGGAGTGTGAACAAAGGTCTTGGAGGTGGTGGTGCCATCCTACGTAGACGATCGCGTCAGTTTCAATGAGGCACACGATTGCGCCGGTGAAGAGGAGGGCGGGAAAGCACGGTGCCGTCGGAGGAGAGGGAAGGGGAGAAACGTACATCCTTGATCTCATCCACGGCAAAATAGGCATCCGTAGGCACGCCGACTTCCTTGGGCTGGACATCGACAATCACCAATAAGGGATTCGGGGTGTACCGTTTGAAAAGTTCGTTGATTTCAAGATCAGAAGCGCGTAGCTTGGGGCCCGAATGATACCACCCGATAAGCTTCTCGCGAGCGTTGATTTTCTTGAACATGTCTCTCATCGACTCGACAAAGTTGTGATCCAAGAACCACACCGACGGGTCCTTTTCATCCTCCTCGAAGGGAACTAGGTCACGAACGCGTCAGTACTTCCGGTCCACGATCGATGTACAGACCGAGAAGAGTCAGAACCGTTGGGAAGACGCACCGGCAAAGCTGTTTGATACCCGAACATTTTGGCCTGTGTTCTCTCCAAGCAGCACACCCACCACACGCTTTCGAGTTCCCTTGGCCGAGCGTCCGTAATGATCTGCAACGGAAAGAAGAACCAAGGGGGCAACGGTGACGGTCCGCTGCACGAGGGAGAGAGTGTCCGCCGTGGTGGCAGGCATGGCGGGAACAATGGTAAAAAGGCGAGGGCTGGATGGGCAAAAGAAGGGGAATCTGACGTGAAGAAGAAGATGAAAGAGAGGGGAAAAAAGGAAAATGCAGATGCGTCAAGAGAACAAGACGGCACCGATGACGGAGGATTATGATAGTGAAGATGATGACGATGGAGGTCGCAAGACGCTCGCTGCCGGTTGCTTTGGGGGGAGCTCTCGGTGCTGGCGCCACAAGGGCCCGGGTGGCTGGTGGATATCTCCAGCCACATCCCGAATCAAGGCCTGAGGCAGAAATACAGAACACGTGTCCGATCTAGTCATACGTGACATACCGTACTTACACCATTAAGTACCGTATCGTATCGACACCCAGGCATGGAAGGTACCACGTTACCCGTCGAGGTAAGGTAATTTAATTATTCAATGATTGATTACAGACAGTAAGAACCTCAGCTCCCTTTGTTCGACCGACCGATAGGTAATTCTTTATATCGATACTAGGTAGTCAGGAAGCTCTGCTCTTGTCCGGAAACGTGCCTGTGCCGCCCGGAGTGCAGAACTGCTTCTTGCCCCGGCAATTGGTTTCTCCCTCTGTCCACTACTGCGTACTTGCACCCGGCTTTGGGAACGGATCGTCGCGGGCTGCGAACCTCGGAGACGCGGGTGCGATACTCCGCTCCGGTCGACCTCTTTTAACCCCAACATGCAGATTCCGTCCCTTCTTCCATTTCCCCGTCGTTGCGCCCATCCTGATATCTCCCTCCTTCCCTCCCTCTCCTCCCCACCCTGCATCTGATCTTCTTCGGAGAGTTGCCCTTCTCTGCCCTCCTCCATCAATCAATCCATCGCAATGGCTCCTATTACGGAAGAGGTCGTCACCGGCCTGAAGGACACTATCGGCAAGCTTGAGGCCCGGATCGAAGACTTGGAAGGACGTCTCACCAATGGAAACAAGCCCAAGTCTGTCGCAGAGCAGATGCGCATCATCCTGATGGGACCCCCTGGTGCAGGTACGAAACCCGCGGAAAACCCGATCGTGATTTTCCCCCTCCATGACGACCATAGCTTTCGGGCCATTTGTGTATGAATGCCAGGTCTTCGGACTGCTGACCGACTCTCGAATGTAGGCAAGGGTACTCAGGCTCCTCGCCTCAAGGAGAAGTACTGCGCGTGTCACTTGGTACGTGAAAGATTTTCCCATCCGAATTCCTTACTTTAGATTTTTTTCCCCCTCCCGTCCCTCTTCGCATGGAGACGCCATACCCCCAATTTCCACCCCAAGACAAGGGTCGAGGGCTGACGATCGTGCTCGATGTGAACAGGCTACCGGAGACATGCTGCGGTCCCAGGTCGCCAAGAAGACTGACCTGGGTAAGGAGGCCAAGAAGATCATGGATCAGGGCGGTTTGGTCAGTGACGAGATCATGGTCAACATGATCAAGAGCGAGCTGGACAACAACGCCGAGTGCAAGAATGGGTTCGTATTTCTTCCCTTATTTTCTGTCCTCCTTTTATTACCCCTCTTCTTTTGTCTCTGGGACTAGTACGGAAAGCTCATGACAATGCCCGTACAGCTTCATTCTCGACGGCTTCCCTCGTACCGTTGCTCAGGCTGAGCGCCTGGATGACATGCTGGCGATCCGCCAGCAGAAGCTCCAACACGCTGTGGAGCTGCAGATTGACGATGCCCTGTTGGTTGCACGAATCACCGGACGCCTGGTCCACCCTGCCTCCGGCCGATCATACCACAAGATCTTCAACCCCCCTAAGGATGAGATGAAGGACGATGTCACCGGCGAGCCCCTGATCCAGCGGTCCGATGACAATGCCGATACGCTGAAGAAGCGTCTCGGCACCTACCACTCCCAAACGACCCCCGTTGTTGAATACTACAAGAAGACCGGTATCTGGCGGGGTATCGACGCTAGCCAGGAGCCGGGTCAGGTCTGGAAGAGTCTCCTGGGGGTCTTCCACCAGAAGAACTAAATCAGGTTCTTGACGTCAAATGAGTGCAACAGTGAGTGTGGTGTATAATAGCTGTACATCCTATTTTCTGGGCCCTTGGCAGGAGGAAGGCGATAATACAAAACTAGCACTTTTTTTTTTTTTTTTTTTTTTCTGGAGAAGGAAGCTGATAGCGAGAACTGTCGGCTTGCTGGATTACAGTACAAGAGATCTTTTCTTTTCTTTTATTTTTTCGATTTTTGATGAACCAAGTTTGTTTTGCGGATGTCGAAGCATAGACATCATATGGCGGCAACCTCGGCGCTATGTATAGTAGGTAATTGTTCCAAAATTCCAAAAATGTATGAAGCAATAGGCGACTGGCTGTGCTTTGACCCGCTTCTACAGCTGTGTAGGATAGACAGTAGATTCGATCTTCTCCGGATAAGTCAATCCGCCCTGGCGTCGGACTTCGTCCATGACTTCCATGATAACAATGCTTTCCTCCCAGGGCAGAGTGTCGCTCTCCAGCTTACCGTCTCGCAGACACCGGGCTACCTCGTCGGCTTCCCAGAACATGCCCATGGCATCTCCGGGGAAAGGAAAGTCAACTTCTTTGATCTCGCCTTCACCCTTCTTGGGGATGAGGCGGTAGCGCTGTGGTCGGAACGCAGGTCCGTCGACCTGAATCTCACCCTTGGTACCTTGGATGCGGATGGCGGGACGGGCGGAATTGCGCTCGTCGGGGTCGGTGGAGAGTCGGAGATGCGTCATGGCCACCGCCTGCGATTGGCCTGGGTGCGGAAGGTTGGACGGTGTGCTGGTCGGAAAGCTGAGGAGGATGGTGGTTGCTTCGTCGGCCCCGGTGAGGTGGTATAGAGCCATGTGAGCCGAGATAGCAGACGGAGGTTTCCGCTGAGCACGGGGGAGTGTGTGATACAGAGTCTGGAATACCCAGGTCAAAGAGTAGATGCCGACTGCAGACATCTTGATTTAGTATATTCCAGAACGACAAATGGGCTTCGCTGAGTGAAAGTGAAGAGGGAAAGCCCCAAAGGGGAGTAAATAACTTACGGTCCAGCAAACAGCCTCCCGCCAGATCCTTGTTGACCATGCGATGCTCCGTTCCCCATTTCTCCTCGACATCGTCACCGAAGCTGTTGTCGGCAACAACACGCAGCACCTCTCCGATGGCGCCCTTCTGGATCAATTCGCGCACCTGAATACTCAGTGGAAAATACCGAGTCCAGACAGCCTCCATCAGGAAAAGGTTTTTCTTCTGGGCCGTCTCGCACAGGATCTTTGCCTGAGCTGCGTTGACGGTAAAGGACTTCTCGCACAGAACATGTTTGCCCGCCTCCAGCACCTGCATGACGTTCTGGAAATGGTGGGAATGCGGCGTTGCGACGTACACCACGTCCACATTGCCGTCGGCCACAAGTTCCTCATAGGATCCATAGGCCGCGCAGGGGGTCGGGATGCCCGTATCAGAGATGAACTTCTCTGCACGAGATTGGTGGGAGGAGGATGCCACGGCGACCACGGTGTGCGAGACATCTGCGGTGCCGCGGATGCTGGGGTCTCTCAGCAGGTCTCGCACGAAGGCTTGATTTGCGGGAATGAATCAGCGGGCCTGGCTGGAACAGCTACAAGGGAGGATATGGAATAGCAGATGAACGTACTACTAGCGATCCCGCCAGTGGCTACGCAATGCCAGCAAGGAAGAAACGGTTAGCCTAACAGGCGTCCATCTATGAAGTACCTGGGAGTGTCGTCTCACCCATAATACCCCATCGGACATTGTGAGGAGCCATAGTGGAGTTGGGTGTTGCGATCGAGTGTCAGAGAGTCGGGAGGGTAAAGATTCCAGGAGAGAGGGAGAGAAAAAGAGAGAGAATGGAGAGATGGAGACGAAGGCGGGGAAAAACAATTGTTTTGTTTGCTCTCCGAGGCGGGGTTGTTGGTCGCCCACCTTCGCCGACGTCATGGCCCTCTTCTGCTCGCTCCATCGCGATCATATTTTCAAGTCACTACACTATATACATCCACCCTGAAATTCAAAGTCCATAACGCCTCCCTCGGGACAGAAGATGCGGTCCCAATGCAGAACAGCCGCCGGCTATTTCAAATGCGCGAGTTCACACACATGCCTCATGGCGTACAAGATACGAGAAATATAATAAATAAGCCCTCTTCCCGGTCTTTCCCCGTTGAAATTTTGACCCGTCCTTCCCAGGGCAGTCCTCATGACATCGGCTCCGTCTTGACACGAACGTTGTGACCCGGAGAGTCCGACTCCTGAAGCGAAATTAGCGGATTGCGTCCGTCATGGCTATCAATGCGGTATGCTCACCTCAACCTTGCGCTTGCCCAGGACCGAGTCTGGCGTCCCCGTACGTCCCGAGGGCGTGCCTCGGCGTAAAGGTGCCGGTCCGTCTTTGGTGACTTCGGCATAACAGCTGGCATGATAGACGCGGTTGCCAACCTTGACTGCATCCTGCCATATCCAGTCTTGAACGTCTTCGGACCACGTCGACTCGAATTTCTCTTGACAGATGGGGCAAGGAGTGTTGCGCAGGGTGGCGTCGTTAGGGGCTCGAATCCAGGGCTTTGGAGGGCCCTTCTTTGCAGCACCGCCATCCCCGGCGGTTGCACTTTCACCGACGGCCTCTGGGTCGACAAGGCCCTGGTCATCCCCTGCCTCTCGGGATTTGATCCAATCCTGTCTGGTGTTAGGCCCACAAGCCACAGTATTTGAGGGAAAGAGGGAAACGCATGTGTCTAACTTACCCTTTCGTCGACGTACCAACTGCGGTTCTGAGCTCGCTTGGCGGCATCGGCCATACGTTGGTTGGTTCGGAAATGCCAGTCTAGATGACGGGCCTTCTTTTCCTTTCCTTCTTCAGTCGCTAAGAATCGGCGACCACATGTTCCGCATCGATTTGATCGTGATTCATAGAGACTGGCGATCAAAGCGGTGCGTGGTCTATTGAATAAGGTTAGACCGGAATCTATTTCTTTTCCAAAATATGGACACCTACATTTTCATGGACGCGGTATTCATTTGAACATTCACGTGGGCCTCCGAAACGTTCATAGACGAGGGGTTGGCAACCGGAGGAGTATATCGCATCTGGCCGGGTACAATAAGCGGGAAAGCTGCGGAACCGCCTGAGGGCGGAGCCGCAGGAGCCGGGGAACCAGCAGTGGCGGGCAGCAGGCCTCGGGCTCGAAGAGCGGCGATGAGCGGGTTATCAGGAGCCGACGTGACGGCGGGTTGAGGAGTGTTGCTGTTTGTGGGAATCTGTGGCAGGACGCTGGCAGCTGGAGGTGGCGGAGTGGGTTGCTGGCGCGCAGCGGTGGACTTGATCAACTCAGCAAGAGTCCCCGGATTGAGAAGTTGTTGCAGAGGCTGGGACAGCGTTTGGGTTGGTGGAGTAGCCATGCTAGAAGTGGAAATGGCTGGAATACCCGGAGGGAGATTTTGCGGCGTGGGTACGGCAGGCTTCGGCGCAAGCGTCGAGACCTGGTGGCGCACAAGCCTTAGCTGATCTTGGGTTAGCTCTTGACGCTGCAGTATCCCCTGGAGATCCAAAAGCGCCTTTAGCCGTTGCTGTACGGACGGATCTAGAGGATTGTTGGCAAAGTCGCCTCGGGCTGCCGTGATCAACGTTTCGATGTCTTGGTTCAAGGCCAAGAGATCAACATTTTGCTGTTGCTGAGACTGAGGAGTCGGAGTCGAGCGCGGGTCTGCCTGTTGAAGGGGTTAGATATCGGCCTGCTCCTCGCAGCATGGGTCGTATGCATGGGGTCAACACCTACCGGTTGCAGTCCGTGGCCAGTGCCATTTCTCTGGTACGGCATGGGCGGGGTGGAATTGGCAGAAGACGGATATCGCGCCATATTTTGCGAGGGCGTCGGACTGTTGGTCCAGCCTGGAGGAGTCCCAACTCGGCCACGACCGAGCAAGTCTTGCTGGCTCCGGGCCTGTTGCTGCTGAAGGGCGGCAGTTCTAGCCTTGATCAGGGCACTTTCGATGCCTCGAGTGGTTTCTGGAGGAAAGACGGGCCTAGTGTCCAAGGAGCCCGGCACCGGTTCTTTCCACGTCTTGAGCATTTCGTCCAGTTTTCGGCGAGTCTGAGAGTCGACCAGGGTGTAGGCATTCATGAAGGTCTGATACATATTGCGACCCAAGAACAGAGTGTAGGGAGTCCCTACATTCTTCACTATTGAGTCGACTACATACAAGGCAGGCAACTTTTGGGCCGGTGGCGTCTACAGAGCGCAGATTAGAAGATGATCGTCCAGCAAAGGGCTACAGACGCCGATGCGTCTCGCAAGAGTACAACAAAGCAGACATTGGTAGACCTACTGTTCGAATGTGATTTTCCAGCACGCGCGAGATGGCCATGGCATGTTCCGTGTTTTCTTTGGCGATGACGGTCAGGTTGCTTATTTGGAACCTGTCGTTGGTGGTTAGATCTTCCAAGGAGTTCTTGTAATCCTCGGCAACCTCATCGGAGGCCAATCCTGACGACATGGTCAGGTATACCGGTAGATAAGAGGAAGGAGGAAGGGAGGCAAGATGCAAGGTAAACAAAGAAACGGAGGATTGGAGAGAGAGAAAGAGAGAGGGTGCTAAGGATGGGATTGCCGGCCCCTTTTGAGGATATCTTTTTAAAGCTGATTCTCTTCTCCTCTTCAGTATTTTTCTCTCGTTCCTTTTCTCGTCTGTTTTTCTTTCTTCTTTTCCTTTTGCTTTCTGTTCTCTTGTTTTTCTGCTTTTTCTCCCCTTCTTTTTTCGCTTTTCAATCTCTTTGTTAAGTCTTGCTTTCTTCCGGACCGTCTGTGCTGTTCTGTCCCCTTGTTCCTGTTTCTGCAAAAAAGTATCGGAGATGATATCTTATTCTCCCCTCCTGATGGATTCCAAGAACACTGGTCTCCTGAAAAAGCAAGAGATGGAAAGAAGAGTCGGAACTTGTAAAATGCTTGCTAGCTATCTTTCGTCGGACTTTCTGAGACAACAACACCCAGTCAGACGCCAGCCCCCTAAGATCCAACAATTGCCACCGCGACAGTCTTCACCGAAGCCTCTGTATGTAAGAATCTACTTCCTCCTAAGATATATATCCCGCGCCGATTGACCCTTCCAGTAGACCCAACCAGCCAAAAACACAAGGTACCCTCGAACGGTGGGCCGCGGGGAACTCTCGAGGGGGAATGACGTGTCCGGAGAGGAGCGTCACGGAAGGGAGGGATGACGGGGGAGGGATAGAGACGAAGAAGAAAGGAGGGGAGGAGATTGGCGCAGTGAAGAGAAAAGTCCAGTTGAATGAGGAGGATCAAGAGGGAGCGAGAGCGAGAGCGAGAGAAAGAAAGACAGAAAAGAAGCGGAAGGCGTGACCGGCGCTGAGTCAGCACCCGGCCGGCGTGACGTTACATTCCTCAACGGGAAGGCATCAAGAGGAGGAGAGAGCGAGAGATGCGGCGAGAGGGCTTCTTCTCTACATCCCTCGTCTTATCATCGATCCCCGTCCATTCATCTCGCTAACACCGTCATCCCGTCACTATGAAGTTGCTGTCTACGATCGTACTGGGCTGCCTTCCCGTCGCCCTGGCCAAATCTATTGTCGTCACTTTCCCCAAGGATACCCCGGACTCGGTGGTGAAAGATGCGAGGCAGGCCATCATCGATGCCGTACGTTGCTGTACCCTCTTGGACCAGCGGAATCATTACTCTGACAGCTCATTTGCAGAATGGAGAAATCACCCATGATTACCGTAAGTGTTCTTTCCTCTACTAGTCAGCGATTATCCGAACCCCCGACTAACTTCGTTCTAGAGTTAATCAAGTGCGCACCTCCCCTTCCTTACTTCCATTCTTCCTGCATTCACGGCGTTCGAGTGACCCCTAGCGTTCACTTGTTCTAACCACGGTTCTCTTGACAGAGGGTTCGCCGCCACAGCCCCGGATGAGGCGATCCAGCAGATCTCAACCAAATCTTCGGGCTATCCCCCGACCATCGAGGATGACATGGTTGTGTCGACCCAGTGAGTAAGAGGAGAGGCATGACATATTTCTCGGGCTGGCCTCGGGGGTAATCTCATGCGCCAAAGTGGAGGGAAATTATATGCAGAACATTGACTCCCGGGAGCGTGTTGGAATGACGAGGGTGTCCACATGCATGAAATTAATGACTGTGTTAAGGGTTATTGTCTTGTTAATGAATTGATGTTGTCATATTTCTTCTTTTCTGTCCTTTGGAGGGTGTGCTTGCTCGGGATGTAGCACCCGCGATGGTTTCCCTCGGACATTTCCAGAGTGATGGTTTCCCTCGTAGCCCATAGCCACTAAGACTCGGACACGAAGAGGGTGACCATTGCAAATCCCGGCGTAGAGTACGGGCAGAGAAAGAGGCGACAGACATGGGGGCGAAGGGTGGACTTGATTTGGCTTGGAGCCGCCGGGTCTTCTCCGGACGATTAAAATTAGCTCTATTTATATGCGCGCGTTAAACGTGGATCTCGCTTGGGAACTCCCCCCTCCTCCCCCCGAAGGTCGCCAACAAGTCAACGATTGCTCCCAAGATCTAGTCGGTCCATTCCTCGGTAGGGTACGCTGTCTGGAGAAATGCGATTCAGTTCCCTTGTCCGGCATTAACCTCGCAATCCCTCCCCCCCAAAAACCAGCCCATTGTCAACATTCCTCAGACCGATCGATCCCCGTACCTCCGGCTCCGCCCACCATGGCCTCTGAGCACACGGTCACGCAGGCCCTACTAGAGTGGATCAATAGCTTCGCGTTAGGTAAAACCATTAGGACCACGGATGAACTGACTGACGGGTCCATCATCTGGGAGGTCTTGCAGGATATCGACCCTCAGTACTTCCTTGACGAACTCCCTGAGCGCAACGCATCCGACCATTGGCTGTCCAAACTACAGAACTTGAAGCATGTCCACAAACTTGTGGTCAACTACATTCGCCAGCAGCCCGACGGCTGTCCCTCCGGTCTCGATCTCGCACCTAACCTAGAGGTGGTCGCCGAAAAAAGCTCCCTGAAGGACACCAACAAGCTCCTGAAACTAATCCTCATCGCCGCCATTCGCTCGCCCAACGCGACGTCCTACGTGGAGACTCTTCAGAGCCTGAGTACTCCAGCCCAAGAAACCCTGAAGAATATATTTGAAGAGGCAGAGAATGGCCAACATGAGCCCGCTGACCCCGAGGACGACACCAAGGAGGATTCTACCAAGCGCGACCATCCCGTCGATTTGGAGCTACAATTTGAAGAACGGGTGGGGAAGGTGCTGGCAGAGAATGATCGTCTGACGCATGAGAAGAAGGAACTGGAGAAAGCATTGGAGGACCTGCACAATCGTCTGGCCCGGCTTCAGGAGAACAATGACACCCTGCAAACTCGTCTCGCGTCTACGGAGGATCGGCTTGGGAACCTTAAATCCGGCAAAGGCGATCTAGGCTTCAATGCGAAAGCCCTCGAAAGCAGAGCTCGCCAGCAGGAAGACATCATCGCCTCGCAAGAAACCAGGCTGTCGGCCGCCCAGGATGAAAACGACAGTCTTCGAATGACTGTGGAATCCTTGCGCGTGAAGAACGAACGGTTCCAGCGACTGCAGGATGATTACGACGTGCTTAAAACGGAGCGAGACCAGCTGGCCCGGAAAGCCAACGCAGCGGAGAAATATCGTTCGAAGCTGCAGGCTAGCCAGGATTTTGAGAAGGAAAACCAGGCCCTGAAAGTACAGATTAAGGATCTACAGCAGCAATTGAAGGACTCCGATGCGCAGCAAAGATGGACTTCGGAGCGCGAAGTTGAACTGGAGGAGTATCGCAGGGTTCTGCCGCGTATTGAGCAGGAGTGCGGCGACGTGCAGAGCATGAAAAAACAACTCGAGTTCAACAATCATGCCTTGAAGGAACGTCTCGATAGTGCCGAAGAACAGCGGGAGAGGGACGATTCACTGATCAGCGAGCTGCGAGAACGAATTCGAGAACTCGAAGGTCCTCCCGGGAGCCCATCTCTCACTCCAGGAAGTGAAACGCCGAAACTGCAAGGAAATTTGCAGAAGGATTTCGAGGAGATTGGAGTCAAAGAGTCTCAGCTGTAGGTTTACCCCTTTTCAACGCTGGTCTGGGTGAGCTAATTTATTACTTTAGAAAATCCGAGAATGAGGAACTGAAGAAAGAGGTCGAGACATTGCGGGGACCGTCTGCTCCTGTATGAGCCACCAAAGGGAAATTTATGTTAGATGCAAGACTGATGATGACACAGGTCGATTCCCAGGTTGAAAGCTTCTCGGAAGCTTTCACCGAGACGCTTCAACGTGCTCGAGAAAACTCCACTCAAGGGTATGTCAGTCACAAACCTAATACCTCAAAACTAACGTGTATCCCAGGGATGAATACTGGAAATTGTACGATCAGTTCACCACAACGCTCAAAAAGCTGGCGGCGGCCCAGGATGCCCTCGATGGCACCAGACGGGCACTTGATGATGCGCAAGCTACCAGTGAGTACTCACCTTACAAAGCCAACGCAATCGAGCCCTCACTTATTGTCTGCAAGCTGGCTTTACCGGCCAAGAGAAGGAAGATCTGATCAACAGCCTGCGAGAGAAGGACTCCGCGGAGTTGGCCCAAATGCGGAATGATTGGGACGAAACCAGCCAGAAGGTCCATTCCCTTCAAGCCGAGATTGACGCGAGTCTGGCTTTGGTGAATCAAACTTGCACCGAAAGAGATGAATTGCGAGCAGTGCTTGATGACCGGCAAGCCATGATCGCCGAGAGTCGCGTGGAAGACCATGAGACTATGGAGGAAATGAAAGCGCTCTTAGCGGAGATCGCCGGACAGGACAGCGGTGATACATCGGAGGCCTCTCAAAAGTCGGGCGTGGAGCTCACGAAGCAAGTGGTTGCGCTGATCGAGAAGAACCTGGAAAGGCTGGCCAAGCGTGCAGAGGTTAGTGCTGATCTCCCCTTCTGCGCAAACTAGACCACCCGATGATACTCCTGTCGGTGGAGTTGCCTCAGGCTTAAATGCTTGTTTGGCTCTGCTCTTGGAGCTATTCATGTCCAGGGAGCCCCCAAAGCTAACGTCGAGGTCTATTCGCAGTACATCCACAATCAAAACGAACACATCAAATTCCTCCAAGAACGGCTGAAGCATTTTGAGGAGGACACTGATAATGGGATTAGCAGAGAGCGCGAGGTAAGCGAATATCATGCCAGCTGGAATCTATGGCAGAGCTACCAATCAATCAATATTGTCCCTGTTCTCTGCCATTCCATGCTTATCGATGCTAATGGGCTTTTAATTCATGCAGCTTGAACTCCAGAAAATCATCGATTCGCAAGCTCGGGAACTCACTCTGATGAGCTCTTCCTGGTACGAGATTCAAAGCCGGCTACAGAGCAACGGCACGATCTCGAGATATCGGCATGGGTCTAGTCTTGCCGATGCGCAGAAAGGCTGGCTAGCAAGACAACGAAGTGTAGTGGCGGGTCGATAAGGTGAAGGCCCAGTCGATTCAAATTAGGCGATTTTCCTTTTTCTTTTTTTCTTCTAATTTTTACTTTTCTATGAGGGCCCGGGGGATCATTTTCTTGTTTCTATGGTCTCTCTCCACTCAGTTTATATATTTTGTTGGTCTGATTCTTTTCTGCGTATCCCTACCCTAGATTGCATTGTCACGCTATGTCGAGTTTTGTACATATATACTACCACCACCACCCCATGTGTGTTTTTTTCTTTCTTTCTCTCTTTTTCTGCATCCAGAGTACATCATTATAGATATTCCAGTTAGCCATTGTGGTTATCAATCAACTAATATAGACGTGATGGTGAAGGACGGATCCGGTCTGGTAATTAAGGGCCTATCTGACCAGAGCACGGCGCGGTCTATCATGCCAAACAAGACTCAACAAGAAGGTCAAAACCGGTCCAATTGTACATATTATCGACTTTTAAATATATGGTACATGCACATGGTGAACATTTCGATGTATTCACCTTAGAGAGAAAAAATTCTGCGAGAGGTCTGCCGTAGGCGATAGGCGTGTCAAAGTCCTAGGCAGTATATTCCATCATACCCACTGTCTGGGGTGTCTCAAAACATCCATGATCTCCTTCTCTCGGTCCTTTTCTTCACCCAGCTGTTCCTCTTCCACACCAGATGTCTCAGTTCGAGTTCCTGATACGGGGTCCATGTAAGCCCAGCTGGCCGTGCGCGGAAGACTCATGAGAATGCTCTCAACACGGGCATTCGGCGTACGCAGACCGAAGCTTGTGCCGCGGTCATAGACCAGGTTGAACTCCACGTAGCGACCCCGTCGGAGTTGCTGCCACTCCTTCTGGGCAGGGGTAAACGGCATGTCCTTTCGACGCTCAATGATGGGGATATAGGAGGGCAGGAAAGAAGCAAGTCCGTCTGAAACGAAGGAGAAGAGTGTCTCCTGGGGGTTTTGGGAGGAGCTAGATGAGGATTCTAGGAAGTTGGCGTCAAGATCGTCAAAGAAAATACCTCCGACACCACGCGCCTCCCTCCGATGGGGCAAGTAGAAGTACTTGTCACACCACGCCTTGAACTTCGGATAATAAGTCGCGTCGTGTCTATCGCAGGCGTCCTTGATAGTCTGATGGAAATGTTTGGCATCTTCAGGGAAAAGGTAGGTTGGAGTCAGGTCGGTGCCGCCGCCAAACCACCAATTTTTGTCGCCGTTGATGGGGTCCTTGGGATCCGAGGTCTCAAAGTAACGATAGTTCAGATGCACAGTGGGGGCCATGGGGTTATGAGGGTGGAGAACGAGGGAAAGGCCGGCAGCGAAAAAGCTCAGGGAATCCACGTCAGCGCCGACGAAGGACTTGTGGTCAGCGCGCATCTTTTCAATGGCGGGTCGAGGTAATTCTCCATAGACGATGGACACATTGACACCGGCTTTCTCAAAAACATTGCCGTCCTGAAGGACACATGAAATGCCACCTCCACCATTAGGGCGAGTCCAAGTATCAGCCTTGAACTCCTTGCCATCGATCTTGCTGAGCTCCTCCACTATCTTCTGCTGGTGTTCCTTGATCAATTTTTCCATGCGCAACCGCATCGGGGAGGTTTCGCTGATTGTCGACTGCTTCTTGAGAGCCTCGTCAAGCTCCACTATCGAAGGAGAGTCGAGTTCGGTTACATCACCCGTCATCTATTGAAACTAGCGTTAGACCATCTCATGTAGACCGTGGAGGGGGTGCGAAGATTACCATGGAATATATCAGAGCTCCAATGAACGGTACGCCGATGGCAAGACGCAGGTAGGGCCTCCACACGGTGAAGGGCTTGGGTTCCCTAGGCTTCTGCTCCGATGAGTATTTGCGGAATGACCCGTGGAAAGAGCGAGGAGTTCGGCATGTTCGCGACGAGAGAGGGCCTAGAGACCTCCGGAGAGGTATATATGGCCGGGACAAAGACATCGTCCCAGAAGATTTCGCGGTTGGCTGATCGGGCTGATCGGATGGATGAGGATCAGGTGGTGTCGGGAAGCGAATTGGAGGGCTATAGTCCAGCGCCCACACGTTTTCAAGTCCGGCGCCTAGGCTCTTCCAAATGAAGGAAAGGAAAGGAACCAGCGAGCTTGGGGATTCCGAAAGTGAAACATATGGGACCACACTGCAACTCGGCGGTGTTTGTACGGTTTGCACTGTTTGCCTGGTTTGTGCGATCACGTGGGAGAGGCAGGCTCCCCGACGGCGAACGGGCGCAGTTGAACCAGACCAACTTGGAGGGGTGAGTCATGAGAAAGGATCGGTGACGTCCATGATATCTGCTATCTGAGCCACTGTGCTGAGGGATGGTGGATGACAAGAGCCCAAGGAACGGGCGGTTCCAGGCACGGCACCTATCAAGTGCTTCACTGTTTAGCCGCTGATCAAGTGGAGGCAGCTATGGCAGTGCAGAATGGCCGTCACCGGGACATTTGCGGCCAAATGACCAGCGAGAACGCCACGTGAAGAGACAACAGACCGCGGGTTCTGGAGGAAGCCGACAGCAAGCGCAACGAAGTCCGGGGGAAGGCCTGAAGGCAGCGGCATCTCCCAGAATGAATGACCTCGAGCACCTGATCCTGACTCACGTGTGGGGCTGCTCACCGCCTCTACCCCGTGATCCGCTCCGACCGGGCGGCCCTTATCAATAGCAGGCATGACGCGGGGCTGTCGCCTTCCGTCTCCCTTTTGTCATCATCCTCTCCTCTCCATCAGTATCACATCACCTTGTTCTCAACTTCTCATCTCACCCCGCCTACCCACAGCATCGGTTCATCAACGTTCGCTGGTTCCCCTCCGTTCATTCTTACCTTCTGTGTGCTAGTTACGCCCATTTCTATCTACTACCCGTCCAGCTCCACTTCTACTATCCGTCAATATGCGTTCCAAGTTCAAGGACGAGCACCCCTTCGAGAAGCGCAAGGCTGAAGCCGAGCGCATCCGCCAGAAATATGCAGACCGTATTCCGGTATGTAGGATTCATTTCCCCTGCCCATCCTCACCGTGTGGACGAGGAAAGACCGCTTGCCTTGCCTCGTGCCCGTCGTTCACCGCCTGTTCCCTGATCCCTGTTCCCTGTTCGAACCGCTAACCTCGTCGTCGATGAATAGGTGATCTGCGAGAAGGTCGAGAAGTCGGACATTGCCACCATCGACAAGAAGAAGTACCTTGTACCGGCAGACCTCACCGTCGGGCAGTTCGTTTACGTCATCCGCAAGCGCATCAAGCTTTCCCCTGAGAAGGCCATCTTCATCTTCGTGGACGAGGTCCTGCCGCCCACCGCCGCGCTCATGAGTAGTATCTACGAGGAGCACAAGGACGAAGACGGGTTCCTCTACATAACGTATGTCCGCCCGCGTTGGATTTTCGGTCCTTTGCCCACCTCGTTGCTGACGCTGAGACATCTAGCTATTCTGGGGAGAACACCTTCGGTGAATGTTGAGCCTCGCTTGGTCACCTCTAGACCCAACGTAACAGTCCACAAAGTCAAGATTTTAATTCGGGTGATGGGTGTGGTCGACCAATCCGCAATACGGCGAAGGGCGGAGCCAGGCTTTGCGACGGTTCATTCATTCCTCTTGTGTGTACGGGCGTTTATCCGGAGTTTTCATTCATTTTATGAACGTGCTTAGCAGATATCTTGCTGTCCTTCTGATTTGAATTCAAAGTTCATTCTTCCAGAGCTGTAACCTGAAGGATACGTAGCGTAGAGGGTGGTGATTCTGTCTTTCGATGAACTGCATAAAACCGCATGTAAGTACTTCACTCGGTGCAAGGGATGCAGGAACGGGTCGAAGATTGGGGTTGAGACAGGATTCGATTCGATTCGATTCGAATGTGCACAGAGAATCCATGAGAGGCAAAGCAGCGAAAACACCGGAGATCGCTGGACTAAGAAAATAAGGGGATCGAACGACAGCACCAGACAGGGAAGATGTCTGTGATGTCCATACCTTGCGTCAGTGGGCCATATTCCGGAGGATAAATTAGGTGATTAGTAGTTAGTTATTAGTTTGTTAACTAACTATCGCGACTGGCGATGGGCGGGGATTAAGTAATCGCCTCCGAATCGGAAGGCAGGACGAAAGCTCCGAGCCGGCGCAGAGTCAGTCTGTCGGTGATGGTCTATCGGCTTTTCCTCTCTCTTTCTCTCTCTTTTCTTCTTCCTGGACTGCTCTGTATCGGTTGTGCCATTCTTAGGTTGCCTCTGTTCCGGATCAGCCCCCAGGTCTTTTCTTTTCTTTCCTCTTTCTTTCTTTCTTTTTTTTCCACTCTCTTCTTATATAAAGTCAATCAAAAACCTAGAAAAGAAAAAAAATCTCTCCGTCTACCCAGGAACACAAAACAACATGTCTCCCGCCATTGCTCAAGCCGGGGCTGGCTCCGCCTCCAAGGATGTTAAGAAGGAATCCGCAACTGCTCGTCTCTTGGGTTCTGGTGTGTATTCCCCATTCAAACGTTGTCGGACGATTTATCAAGTGCTAACGACACATTCCAGGAACCGCTGGAATTGCGGAGCTTTTGGTCTTCCACCCGGTACAATTTTGCCTCCCCAGTCGACAGCGTTCTCCGCCTAGGTCTTTGATCGGTACTGACACGACTTAAAGGTCGACACCACCGCAAAGCGCTTGATGAGCAACCAGAGCCGGGTAAGGCACCGATAACTGTTCCCCGAATGTGTTTCTGCGACAGGAACTGACTCGATGGGATGCGCTAGATCACCAACGTTAGCGGCTTCAAAGAGGTTGTTTTCAAGGAATATGCGACGGCTCCCTTCGGTCGCAAATTCACCTCTCTTTTCCCCGGTCTGGGCTACGCTGCCGGCTACAAGGTGTGTGCCCATGTCCCAAAGCCCCGACGCCGACGGTGATTGGCTGACAAAGACCTCAAGGTTCTCCAACGTATCTACAAGTATGGCGGACAGCCTTTCGCCCGAGACTACTTGGCTAAGCACCACGGAGCCGACTTTGACAATGCTTTCGGAAAAGGATCCGGCAAGGCCATCATGCACGCAACGGCCGGAAGGTTGGTCTTCCATTGCCTTGGTCTGACACCGTTGTGTACAAAACCTCACTGACAACTGATTGCAGTTTGATCGGTATCGGAGAAATCGTTCTTCTTCCTCTGGATGTTCTGAAGATCAAGCGTCAGACAAACCCCGAGGCTTTCCGTGGCCGTGGTTTGTTCAAGATTATCTCTGATGAGGGAATGGGTCTTTACCGTGGTGCCGGCTGGACTGCGGCCCGTAACGCCCCCGGTTCCTTCGCGGTATGTTTCCCTGGCATCGGTTGACGTTGCGATAGGCGACTTGTAATTTTGATGGCTAATACGTGGATGTGCAGCTTTTCGGTGGCTCGGCTTTCGCCAAGGAATATATCTACAGCCTGAACGACTATAACTCGGCCACCTGGGGACAGAACTTTGTCGCCTCGGTCTGCGGTGCCAGTGCCTCCTTGGTTGTCTCGGCTCCTCTGGATGTGATCAAGACCCGTATCCAGAACCGCAACTTCGAGAACCCCGAATCCGGCTTCCGCATTGTGTCCAAGATGCTTAAGAACGAGGGCCCGACCAGCTTCTTCAAGGGACTGACGCCCAAACTGCTGATGACTGGACCCAAGCTTGTTTTCAGCTTCTGGCTGGCTCAGACGTTGATTCCTGCCTTCGGTCAGGTCGTTTAAAAGGCCAAGCCAAAGATAAAAAACAATCAAAAAGCGAAAGCGATTCAAGCCAAGAGCGGATGGGTTATTTACCATGGAAGATGTTCTGGCTATATTCTTCCTGTTAATCTCTTCTCCCCTTTTCCAATTTTTGTTTAATGCCTTCCCCATTTTCTTAATTTTCTCCAGCTTTTCGGTGCCGTGATAGAGCATTCTGTTGGACCATTGTATTTTGATAGACAGCTTTTTTTTTCTCTTTTTTTATACGGGTTAGGATTTTAGGATTTCATGAAACTCCTCTTAATAAATCATAAATCATTTGCGTGTTGCAGTAGAAGCTGTCCCGTATTTTTCTTGAACACCGAAAGCGCAGACCGTCGACTTGCCCCGGTGGTCATCACGTGACCATAGCTTGTCGAGCTCTATTCAGCTCCGTGATCTTGTTCGCCTTTCTCGCCGCCCCGTTCAATTCAACGCACTCCACCTCTCTTCGGCACTGGCCACGATTCTCCCACAATGCCCATCTATCTGATATCCAAGTGCGTCCACACTCCACAGCCTTCTCTCAGCCTTCGAGGCCAAGGGAGGAGCAAAATGAGGGGGAACCGACAAACCCTCTCCGTTGTAGAGGATGCAGGGAAACCCCCGAGACTGTCAACTAACCAAGTTACGATGAACTAGAGCCGCCGACCCGGTGTTTGCCGTCTCGATTGGCATCGCCGCCGCCCTGTCCCGGGTTCGTCGTGATCAGCGCGAAAAATATCCCGAGCGAGCTGCCGAGATTGGCTACGGGCAAATACTACAGACGGGAGGCCGAAGACTTCAACGATGGTGGGCGGGAGATTTCCAGGGGTTATAATGGGGTGGATGGTGGTGCCAGTCGGTCGTACTGGTGGAAAGGCCAACAATCATTCTTTCTGCGTGGAGTACGAGGGAGTCGGGGTGTTTGAATATATATTTAATGGAATCGAACTCTACGGCGCGGATATTACCCTGCAACTCTATTTAGGGGCGCATTTGCAATGTCGTGGGTGCACCGGTTTAAAAGCACAGTAAGCATAGTGATCACTACAAGATACAACTACATCAATGAAGAGCAAACCATTTTTTTTTTGTGAATATGATTGAATTGGTCATAAAGGAACTTTTCCCTCCCAGATTTTCTGCATCGCAGATTATCATGCATCGAAACTCAACTCGAATCTATGCAGTCATGAACAAAAGAAGAAAGAATCCCATAATTTCGTTAAAAGACATGAAATTAAAACAGGAGAACGTTTGAAAGAAAAGCCATTACTGCCAATCGCCTATGCGCAAAGAGCCCAGAAGGAAATTAAGAAAAAAGGAAATTAAAGGGTGAGAAATCGAGACGTTTAGTCAAGCTCCTCAGGGCGCTCCTCGACCTCGTCAGCAGTGCGAGTGGAGCCACCGGGGGCAGCACCGCCGGGAGCGGGACCGCCGGCACCACCGTAGGCAGCGGAGATGATGGGGTTGGCAACGCTGAAGAATGGGTTAGCAGCTGGTCATTGGGACTCGAAAGCGGGAATTGATGATTGAACATACCTCTCAAGCTCCTTCTGCTGGGACTCGTACTCGTCCTTGGTGGCGGTCTGGTTGCTGTCGAGCCAGCCGATGATCTCATCGATCTTGCCCTGAACCTTCTCCTTGTCGGAGTCGCTGATGGTGAGCTTGCCCTCGTTGAGAGTGTTCTTGAGGGAGTAGGCGTAGGACTCGAGACCGTTCTTGGCCTGGATACGGGAAGCCTCAGCCTCGTCCTCCTCCTTGAACTTCTCAGCCTCGGCAAGCATGCGCTCGATGTCCTCCTTGGAGAGACGGCCCTTGTCGTTGGTGATGGTGATCTTGTTGGTCTTGCCGGTACCCTTCTCGATGGCAGAGACGTTCATGATACCGTTGGCATCAAGATCGAAAGTGACCTCGATCTGGGGGACACCGCGAGGAGCGGGGGGGATACCGGTGAGCTCGAACTTGCCGAGCAGGTTGTTGTCCTTGGTACGGGCACGCTCACCCTCGTAGACCTGGATCAGGACACCGGGCTGGTTGTCGGAGTAGGTAGAGAAGGTCTCGGACTTCTTGGTGGGGATGGTGGTGTTACGCTTGATCAGGGCAGTCATGACACCACCGGCAGTCTCGATACCCAGGGAGAGAGGGGAGACATCGAGCAGCAGGATCTCGTTGGTGGACTTGGAAGAGGTGTCACCAGACAGGATGGCAGCCTGGACGGCGGCACCGTAGGCGACGGCCTCATCGGGGTTGATGGACTTGTTGGGGTCCTTGTTGAAGAAGTCGGAGACCAGACGCTGGATCTTGGGGATACGGGTGGAACCACCGACCAGGACGATCTCGTGGACGGAGGACTTGTCGATCTTAGCGTCACGGAGGACACGCTCGACGGGCTCCATGGTGGAGCGGAAGAGGTCCTGGCAGAGCTCCTCGAAACGAGCACGGGTGATGGAGGTGTAGAAGTCAATACCCTCGAAGAGAGAGTCGATCTCGATGGAGGTCTGAGCGGCCGAGGACAGGGTACGCTTCGCACGCTCGCAAGCGGTACGGAGACGACGCAGAGCACGGGCGTTGGTGGTCAGGTCCTTCTTGTGCTTGCGCTTGAACTCGTTGACGAAGTGGTTGACGAGACGGTTGTCAAAGTCCTCACCACCCAAGTGGGTGTCACCAGCGGTGGCCTTGACCTCGAAGATACCCTCCTCAATGGTCAGGAGAGAAACATCGAAGGTACCACCACCCAGATCGAAGATCAGGACGTTACGCTCGCCGTCGTCCTTCTTGTCCAGACCGTAGGCAATGGCAGCGGCGGTGGGCTCGTTGATGATACGGAGGACGTTCAGACCGGCGATCAGACCGGAGTCCTTGGTGGCCTGACGCTGAGAGTCGTTGAAGTAGGCGGGGACAGTGATGACGGCGTTGTTGACGGTGCCACCGAGGTAGGCCTCAGCGGTCTCACGCATCTTGATGAGGATCATGGAGGAGATTTCCTCGGGGGTGAACTGCTTGTTCTCGCCCTTGAACTCAACCTCGACGACGGGCTTGCCGGCCTTCTCGGCGATCTTGAAGGGGAAGTGCTTCATATCGGCCTGAACCTCAGCATCGCCATAGCGACGACCGATCAAACGCTTAGCGTCGAAGACGGTGTTGTGAGGGTTCATGGCGACCTGGTTCTTGGCCGCATCACCGATGAGACGCTCGGTGTCGGTGAAGGCAACGAACGAGGGGGTGGTACGGTTACCCTGGTCGTTGGCGATGATTTCAATGCGGTCATCACGGAAGACACCCACACAGGAGTAGGTGGTTCCCAAGTCAATACCGACGGCGGGGGCCATTGTGTGTGAAGTAAGAGAAGATGGAGGGGTTCGTTAAAGAGAAAGGAAAGAGATTCGTAAGCGTGTAGAAGAGGAGACAGATATGGGGTATAATACAAAGTGAGGATGTCTCTCTGTCTAGCAGGTCAAGACTTCAGATGGAGTGTAAAGAAGAGGGAAAATTTTTTGTCTGGAAGAGAAGAAGAATTGTGCGAGAGCCAGCGCTGATATAGTGGAGGGCGGTGAGTTGTGACTCCAGCGAAGCTTCTAGCAAGCGACTGGTTCGACGGGCATCCATCGGTTTCGACGGTCTGTTGCCGCTTTTCTGGAACCCTCACTTTACGTTCTGGGCCTTTCCTGTTCTTTCGAGATCCTGCCTTTTTTTTTATTTAATTTTTTTTTTTTTAATTTTTTTTTTCTTTATTATTTCCTTCCTCCTCTGCCTCGAACCTTCTTTTGTCGCTGTAGAAAATCTCCTAATTTCCCTCTACGGAATTGAATTCCACTCTCATGGCGGACAATCCGAGGGGCAGCAGAAAAAAAATCCCCCCAAAATTCCGGCGGGTCGATGACGCCGTTGGCGGGGTGAATGGATGACGTAACGGAGTAAAAAAATCGAAAGGCTTTCGCTACCAGAAAGTGCCAGAATCCGCCCATTCACTTCGTCATTCTGAACCGGGCAGAAAGTTGGTTGTTCCGGTCGAGATTGATTTCATCGACCTCTAGGTCCCTTGGAGCTAGCTGTCTCAGATGAAGTCACATTCACCACTCCTACGGAATACGGAGTAGTACTTGGATCGCAGATTGATGGCCTCAGGATTTTATTGCGTCCTCAGGCCGCCATATAACAGGGCCAGATGCCAGTCCCGTGCCTTTTTTTTCTCTCGCTCCCCCTGCTCCGTCACGTGCGTGGTCTACTGGAGGAAGCACTCTGTATCCGAAGGTCTCCTAAATATGCCCTCAGGAAAGCAAAGGGAAAAATTCAATGATGATAGATATCCGTAACCCCCCATCACCCTAATCTACTCTCCTATATTCCCTCCTCCCCCTGAAGCACCAAAGCAGTAGAATGTTTGTTATGGTTACGGGCCAGGGCTCACCCCGTCACGGGAGCAGCGCCCGCCGATCGCCGACTGCCCGGCAGCCAATGAGCGCCCCAAACACCCTCGAGGTGAATCTCCCCTTGCGACTGGAAGGGCCGCTTGTTGTCTTCTCTACAACTCAATCCTTCACCTACTTCTCCCTTAACTTGACTTAACCCTCTTTCCCTCTCTCTCGCTACCTCGGATTGTTGTGATCAATTCTTCCATCCGTTCCCTTCCATCCACCAGCCAGATTCTTTCGCCGACTCTACCTAACTCCCTCCTACCTCCACATCTTTACATCTTCACATCTTCACAATGGGTGACAACAACCAGGCCACGACCTTCGGCAACGACCCGGCTGCCAATGCTTCCGATGCTGCTGCCTTCGGCAAGGGCAAGGGTAAAGCTACCGAGGACCCTACCGCCATGGAAATGAGCATGGATGAGGAGGAGGAAAGCGAGAGCGAGGGCGAGGACATGGTGAGTTTGTCTGGACATTCCTGGATGTACAAGCGCAGAATTGGCTGACTTGATGATTGCGATTGATAGATCAACGACGGTATGATCCCGCCCCCTCCCTCGACTGGCCCCTTGCCGTCCTTTGGCCTGCTCTGGCCGACTCCTTGAGTTAACTTGACTGACTCCCTTGGCTCTTGCTCCAGATGACGACGACGATGATCAGGACACCCTTGAGCCCATCTCTTCCGATAACATCATCAGCGGAGGACGGCGCACTCGCGGAAAGAACATCGATTTCCAGGAGGCTGCCGAGAAGCTTAAGAACGACGACATTGACGATGATGACGATGACGAGGACTTCGCACCCAACGAGGACAATGACGACGACGACAAGATGCGCCAGTAGCTGCAATTTTCCGTGGTGATTGACGAGATACCCAAAAATCAATGAGAAATGAAAATGCTACAAACAAGCAAAAATCTTGGGAACAAGTAGCGCAACTGGGAAACATAGTGGCCGGCGCAGGTTAATCGGGTGCTTTCTCTGTCTTTACTCCAATAGTTCGTATTTTTCTTTAGCTGCGAATCTAATTGCATACGAAAGTCTATGGGATTGGATATCGAGCATCCTATCAAATCTCCAGGGCCTCCGTAGGACATTGGAGATCTAGTATTCGTAGCAGGTCTGCCAGCACGTGCCTCCACAGGCAAGGGTGCTCCTCCATCCATGTCGGATTACAAACTCATCTGACGAGGGTCGTAAGTCTTGCTAGGACACTCATCTACTAATGGAAGGTACATCAACTTACTACTGTATTCCGCCGTATCTAATGATTCCCCCGGTAACCTTGACTGCTCTCACGTGCGGGTAGTTGGGAAGGTTGCGGTACGGCACGCCACAGGCACCCTTGTAGTAGCCACTTGTTCTCGACCGTTATCGCCGAAAGCAGTTCAAACAATCATTCAGATGCCAAACTTCCGGTCTTGAATTACTCCACCATGTTTGTTGACTAGCAACTTAGCACCAGATTCATGAACAAGAAGCAAGAGGAGAAACACAGAAAAAGAGCAAAAAATCGATCCTACTCTAATACCTTCACTACGACAACTGACGATCTGTTATGGCTTCACGGTATGTTTGTTGATCACGACAATGGGTGTGCCTCCTATGATTGAACTGATGTGTGCTGATTTTTGGGACGAATAGATTCCCACGCTCTAATCTGCATCAACGCGATCCCCGCGCTGCTTCGTCTCTTTTTGACTCGTACGGTGGCAATTCTCGACCCGCCAGTAGGTCACCCGGCCAAGTCGGTGGGTATGGGTATGGAGGATACCCTGGCCCTGGAGGGGATGGGTCTTCGAACGGCGGTGCTACGGCGGGAGGCTATAGAAGCGCGACACCGAATGCGAAGTGAGTGGCCTGGCAGTTGGATCTGTGATGTGAATGGCTTATAAAAATACAGGGGACAATACTCGGATGCCGTCCTTTCCCATCTCGAATCCCAGAATGACGTGGAGGTTGAAGGAATCAGTGCGAAGGTGAAAATGCTCAAAGATGTAAGCCTGGACTGGACTGGATGAAAACCAAACCATATCGGATGCTGATGTCGCAACTAGATCACACTCGCTATCGGCGATGAAATCCGGGACACCTCTACTATCTCAGAGCTAAACGATTCATTCGACAACACACGTCTCCGAATCCGAGGAAACATGAATCGCATGCTGCGGATGGCTGAGCGGACTGGCGTTGGCTGGCGTGTGTGGCTGGGGTTCTTCCTGGCTGTGTTCCTACTTTTTGGGTATGTCTGGCTGACTTAAATTGGAGCGTCAGGACCTTCTGTTCTGCAGCCCTGCTTCATCCTCAAGGTGCTCTCCGCAGTGCCATCTACCCATATCCGTCAAAGCAATGCCCACCCGTGCACAAGGGCCTCCTTGTACAACCGCTTTTGTTTATATAATTTCGAGGTTTGCCAGCTTAGCATGATTACTGGACTATGGCGTTTCCCCTTTTGGCGTTGTGCTTTTATCAATGTTCTATCCTGCGATGGGATTTGCATCATCCAACTAGATTCTTTATTTCCTTCCCTGGTGCCTCATTTTCAATATTCCATTTATAGAAAAATGGTTGTAACTTAGTCTCATGTACCATATCGAACCACCCAGATTTCATCATATTGCATACCCGGGTTTCAGAGTCGCCTTAATCCAGTATGGCTGTTCCAGTTGATGAGGGCTTCTCTATTCCGATCATTCTATGTTAATGACTGCGAACTGGAGCCAAGGTTCTGGAATTATTTGCATTTCAGTAGTTATATGTTAGTGGTTGGGTATTGTCTAGCCTTACAACTATCTAAGCACTTTCGCAATTCATCATTATGGCTCATAAATAATCATTAGCATTAATATATTGAGTAGACTAAAGCCCCGAGAACGATGAACTTTCAGGGCTCAAAGCATTAAGCTCACTGCCGGATTTCGCCAAACTCCCTACTGCCTGCTGCCATTCGATCGCAGAATACCTCAAACTCATAGCGAACGGGGCCGAAGTCCCTCGATCCCGACGTAGAGCTGAAGCATATGATACACGTGCCATTTCAATGTTCCGGATTGACTGGTCATGGTATTCAGTCAAAGCTATCCCTGGGGCCGCCTGTTCGTCTTCTAGGGAATCTGCCGAAGACACTTCGTCGGCTTGCTTGACTGGCCATAGAAGCTCGGAGGTCATCTTCATCGACTACCATACTGCTCGAATTAAACGCATCGCCGCCGCCACTCCATCGTTGGAGGAACCGTCGCTGGGCCTCCGTCTCTTGCTGCGCTGGCGCCGGAGGGAGTCCACGACTGCTAGTGGTGCTCGCTCGAAGGCTTTGGCTTAAATGTCCCTGCGTGAAGCTGACCTCATCTTCTTCGTCGTCGAATTCGGCATCTGTATCAGTATGTTGCCATTCCTCTTCTTGCTCGAGGCGATCTTCATCTGCTTCAGGAATATCGTCGTCTAGATCGTGACCCATGTCTTCACTCATTTCATCACTCCCTTGCTCGTAATCACCACTCGGGATGTCATCGTCCAAATCTGGCTGATTGTTGAAGTCGTATTCGTTCTCTTCCTCGAGTCCTTCGTCGTCATCGTCCTCCGGAAATGCTTCGGGGATATCATCATCGAGGTCTCGTTCCATGTACCCATCCTCGTCCACCTCGTCGTCCTCTTCAAGGCCTTCCTCCCCTTCCTCCACGAGACCTTCCGCGTCTGCATCCGGAATGTCGTCATCGAGGTCTCTTTCCATCCCCGTGTCGTCTTGTCCCTCGCCATCTGTCTGGCCATTCGGGCCCCCACCCATCCCTTCCATGCCCTCCATGCCCGGGTCGACGGCAGCGGCAGCAGCGGCCATCTCTGCCGCCGCCGCCGCAAGGGCTTCTTCTCGCTCTGCCTCTTCTTCCTTCATCCCTAGCATAGTTTTGGCACACCCTGCGGGTTTGATCCACGAGTACCCGAATAAGGCGATGTTGTTTTTTCGGACACGAAGGGCGCGCTCCTCCAGCATTAATGATGACAAGCTGTTTCCGGCCCCGGCAGAGGACATATGCGCACGCCCGTACAAGTTATGACCGCCATTGCGACGCGAGTGTCCTTGCTGCGCGTCTACCGTCGGTTGATGTTGTTGCGAGGAGCGGTAGGGTTGAGAGGAGCCGAACCAGAGTTCGTGAGACTAGTTAAGAAGAGATGGGTTAGTTTAGGAGCTTCACCGGTTCGGATTTGATAGCAATCGAGGGGTAGCTAGCGAAGACATACATCGCGCGGTGTGATAAGAGGGAGTGAAAGCATTGTCAGTCAGATGGTTGGGTCAGCGGGAAATGGTGCGTGATCTCAGGGGATCAGTTGCAAGGAGTTCGTCAGGATCGTCAATCGGAGGGCGTTTCGGGACGTTCGTGTGTATGCCGACCGGGTTATCGGTGTGTTTTTCGAGTGTTGTTCCGGTAAATCTCGAGCCTCAGATGGCAATTTCTTGGGGCTTTGTCTTGGAGTTTGTAGAATTTGTTTTCCCGAAGTTTGAGGCTGCTATTTTGCTATATATGCGCATGATCGAGCGCACTCAAGCCATGCATTGTGGTGGAGGGGAGAGGATGGATCGAAGAAGCTCCGCGGAGCACGGTAGAAACAATCAAAGTAAGCTCCGCTCCACAACAAGGCGGAGGGGCCAATGCGGGTGTCCAAACATCTCGATTGATAGACTTGTCCGTTGATGTTTACAATAGCGAGCACCCGGAGGGCTCTTAGAATCACTGATTGTTAAGAAGCAAATACGGGCAATATAATTGAAAATTGGAAATACTGGGCAAAAGAATAGGGCTCTAAACAATCCAAAACAAAATATATGCTGTAAGAAGGGGAAACGGCGCGAAAAGCACGTGCACCCTAAAAACCCTAAAGAAGTGAAAGAGCGAAGTTGCTAATAGAATACATTGCATTTCCCCAGAAGATCGGTCACCCTAATGCAGTATTAGAAATATGTAGGTATGGAGAGCTCTTCAATTTCGGGTATCATGCTAACAGGTTTGTCTTGTGCAGTCGAAACACTGTATATCTCACAGAAATGATAAAACAACACATGAAAAATGCTTGGTCAGGAAGGAGGGCTTTGCTACAGCTTTACCAGTTGCTAGAAATGCCCATGGACTCTTGTTAGGAGTTATCAGACAAAATAGCCCACAATATCAGTAGATGCTCTCTCACCAGAATGCCATTGCAGCTCTTTCTAGACAAAAATTGCTGACAGTATCATATATATCCCCCTCAACTAGTGACACTAACTCGCTATAAACCATGCCCGGCTCCATGGTACAACATATTGCTTCACCGAGGCTGCACACAGAGACTGTAGATCTCAAAGAAGCCCCGAGCAGAGCAGCCGCGGCTACTCTGATGACGTCTTCTTCCCTCCATAGGACATATTAGATGGAAGAATGGTGTCTCGACCCGATATGACTAGAAACACACCATCTGAGTTCTCGCGAAGACCAGAAGAACTCCGTGATAGACAGCCGGTCAATTCCTGATCATGGGACAGAGTCAATTTCATGTCCATCAGCTGGAACACAAATAACAAGAGCAACTCTCGAAGCCAAGCCCCCCAAAGCATGGCTCGATTCGTGATTATACAGGAAGTTAGCATTCAAGGTGGCCTGAGTTATCTTGGGCATCAGTGTCTTCCATGAAGGCTCGGCAGCTGCAGAATCTGGACAGATTCTGGATTCACGAGACTTATCGTCCGCGGTGCATGCCGGTCGCAACAACTGATTTAGCCGAGCGCTCAAAGAATCTTGGAAAAGGCCCTTCAATGATCGCTTTCTCCTCGACACATCGGGGAGATTTGTTGACCAGACAAACATCATTTGTTGTTGTCGCTGAGCCTAGGCGATCAACTCTCATCAGATCACCGGCTCAAGGCCAATGGTATGCAGTTTCGTCGAGTTGGATGTGGCAGAGCATCATCAGGCCACAATGATATCGATCCAACAAACCCAACTCGCAGGGCATGGACATATCAGACCACGGGCACCAGGTATACCGTCGTTAGGCTTCAACCAGCAAGACCGATCGCAAACCGGCACCAATCCAGGACGCAAGACATGCTGTGACGTCGCTTTAGAAGCCAAGTACGTCGCGATAACAATAGGAAGCGTATTGGGCCTGCGCGAATCACCTACTCCTCGCACAACGCAACAGCTGGTTTAGCGCCATTGCCAGTACGGCAGGAATACGGTGCATAATCACCGTGATCATAATGCATCGGTGCTCGGAGATCAACAGGCACAAGGCCGACCGCCAGTTTCTCCATCGTCATCCTCGCCTGCTCGTCAATACGGACCTAGTGACATGCCCGGTTTTCCGGCCGTTTCGACCATGGATCCCGGAATCGCCCGAGGGGTCGCAGTTTCCCGCTCCCTCGACTCGATGATGCCCGGTGAACCCAAAGCGGGCAAGACCGACCAGGACACCTCGGGAGAAACCGGAGCTTCCTCTCCGCCCAATCATGTGACGACGTGCGGAAATGGGGGGTTCTCTTTCTCCTTCATTCTCGGAGTACGGAGTGCAGAGAAACGGAAAGGCGCCTGCATGTCTAGTGCGCGATCCTCCTCCGGGGCCCTGAGTCACTCGGTTAGTGGGCGACTAATTAGTAGTCGGTCCTCTTGAGTTGGAGAAGTCAGTTTGCCCGTCGGAGATGCAGTAGGCGTATTTTATTTCCTGCCGGAGTTGGCCAAATGAAGAGGCAACATTATTGTGTCCATACCAGGATCTTTGATCGGCCGAGAGACACTCATATTCATGTGACAAGTCATCCATCTCCCTGGAGCCCGGACGTAATCAGGCATATCCAAACTGTACCCATTCTCTACTCGTCCTATCACGGGCGACTGGATAGATCAATGGCTTCCAGTTGTTCTCGAGTGTCTACATGACAAAACGTCATACTCTGGAAGTGGCAAAAATGATGGGATAGAGAGCGACAACGAAGAATCCCGGATATTGGGAAAGGATGGGCATATGGTTTTATAGTAGGTAGGTAATTAACATTGGTATTATTCACTTGACCATTAATGGGATTCAAAGTTCTACCAGGAGAATGATGAAATCACTACGGAGTACCTTAGTTAGTAGGGTCCGGAGTACGGTGCGCGGTAAGGAGGTATCTCCGGGGTGCTGGATAATTCCTGGGTGCCGATTGGTCGGGGCCTGCCAAAGGGCACAGTCACGGGGCACGGAGTGGGCTTCCCCGGGAATTGCCTCCAGCGACCCAGGGCCGTTAGAGGACAGAACTTCGAAGACTACGGGGGTTCTGGCTCCCTCGGCCAGAAGGTCGAATGAGAAATTAGGCAGGCAATGTGAATTGGAATGGTGCAGTGCCTGATAAGTAGGTGGTTTGATAGGCACCTGATAAGATGTTTGATGACCTCAAACGATGAGATGGAGAAACCTCCAGGGCCCAATGGGCGAACGCTCCTCAGCGGCGAGATGCGGCTCAGGAGCCCCGAAATCGGGGCGTGGCTGGTAAGACTGAACGGAGAGGGAGGAAAACGTGTACGGGGGGAGGGGTTGGACTTTCGGAGTCCAGGGGGAGGGGGAGGAGCGAGGAGCGAGGAGCGAAAGGGAGGGAGTCTTCTGGGATGGAAGAGGAAAAGCGTCCTTGGCCGTTGTCGGCAGAGTTGATGGAATTGATTGCTCTGGGCGGACCGGCAGGCGTGGCAGGTGTGGTTTGCTCCGTGCCAGTAACTTACCCACCCGACCTTGGCCAACATGGCAAAAATACATACCGTGTAATCCCTGTGATCGTCCGACAGGCTGCACATGAGCGTGGGGTATGCAGGTTTTTGGGTTAGCGTTGTGGACAGGGCACCACGTACTTTTTGCTTTTTCGTTTTCTTTTCCTTGGCCGCTCGTCCAGTTTTCTAGTCTCCCTAGAGATCCCATTTTATTAATGTCTAGGCCTTAGCGCCAGGCCATGATGCCACGCAAAATTGAATCAGCACAGATAACTTACGTGCCTATTCCTGCCGAGTCCCTTAGATCCCTCTCCACGACCCCACCCCGCCGTGCCGTCGGAGCATGTTTATGATCATTTTTGTCTGTTCAACAGCCAGTATTAAGCGTTTAGCCATCGGGACCACGGCAATTACCAAGTCCTAAGCCAAAGGGGATAATTAATTTCCCTGGTCTGACCATTCCAAAGGCATGAAGTTGTCACGTACCACCGGATACTACGAACTCTCCCCATCCGTTCTCCTCTGCATGTGACCCCCTACTCCGTAATTCGTCTCACCCTCTTCGGCTCTGGTATACTTGTCGATTATTGCCCTTGGCGTTGACGCCTCCTTACTGATTTGTGGTAGCCCGCAGTGTCTGCCAAGGATTGACCACCACTGTTTCTCTTCTCTTTTCTTTTTCGTCTCTTCTTTTCACGGATCTCTTTTTGAGGATGACTTCCATGCGCACTCTAGCCCGGTTGAACCAACCGTTTCTGGTAAGATCTAGGATAAGCACCGTACCCTTGCGCCGGACCCACTTTTGCAACATCCATCCAGTCGGGTCTTGGACATGCCAAGGGTGAATGGAACCTCTCGCAAAGTACATACTCGTCGGACAGGACAGGACGTGTGGTCAACTTATCGTAGTATGTCCAGATGTGATGGATCTGTTGACTTATGGAACTTGAGTCGGACTAAATGGCCAACCAAGCTAACTACCACGCTGGAGAATCGAAAATCAGGCCAGGTGCTTGTTCTTTTCCCTTTTCTCAACCCCTTCCGGCTCGGCAGATGGGAATGATTACCAAAGAGTAAGTGATGTTTATTATCCGAGATGCAACTGCATGGATACCTTTTTCGATTCACGCCCAAGCCCAAGTTAGATAATATGGGTCATCGCCATTCTCCAATCAGAGGCTCAACAATCAGCAAGAAGATCCTGGGTACTTTGCGCTGATCACTGTTGATTGTCGGGGGCTTTCATTTTACCCCAGTGCACGTATAGAATCACTACCTAGGTACAGGACTCTGTAAGTTTGAATGCTGGGACCTCATTCTCGGCCGGCATCGGCCAGCGATTCGAACGCGACAGTATTAGCGCTGGTATGGGAAACCGCCCTCGAGGGCAGGGAGTGCGTACCGAGTGGAAACGAGCGGGAAACTTACCAGTTACACGGGCGATACCGACCTGCGTAAATAAGAAATGCTCGACACTAAATCCGTTTTCGCACTAGTCGGGTTTAATTTGGAAATTAAGCCTGGGCCCCACCGGGTTGGATCTTGACGTAGTGAAAACCTAATCTTCTTGGCCAAAAGGTTGCAAAGCCAACGCGCTGATTGGCTGCCAGTGTCTTATCTTGACTTTAGAGTAAATCCCCGGTCAACTGCAGTGCATAACGATTGGTATGATGGAGTGGCCAGTCATCCTGTGGCGGGTTGGAACGACTTCGTGTTCAAATTCAAGAGACCATTGCGACTGGATTAATAAGTCAATGATTTTTTTTAATGCCTTTAACTCTGATGATTTTCTTTGATTTTATTTTAGATGAAATCAAAGAAAGGGGGGAAAAAGTAGGGAAAGGAGGGGGGATAGTACGCTCTTCTCATCCACACCCCCCCCATTTGCGTCAACCATCCTATTCTGACCAAGGACGGAGAGCGCCGAAAACGCTCTATAGCGCCAATGACTGAGATAGAATATTTGCACCCAAATGCGGCTTCGGATACCTAGACAGTAAATTGAAACGGCCCCGGCTTTCATTTTTCTTCTAGTTTTCATAATTCTCTTTCTTTTGCGCCCGTCATTCTTTCCACTCTACAGGGATTACGGCGACGTCCTTGGCTAGAAAGACAGAAAGAAACGAACGACCTGCAATCTTGCCACGGACTCCTTTTTCGCCCATCCCCACAATTGTAATTTCGCCCATTGTTTGATCGGAAGGTACCAGCAGCTTACCTGCCTAGCTCCTACCTGCTCCTACATCTTACGGTGGGTTCCCTTCCTCTTGTCGTTACCGTCCATTCGTCCACCTCCAATACCAAATACCTACAGATGTACACCTCGGACTTGTGCCAGTGAATTCCCCGGACCTCTGCCTCCCGCCCTCCCGCTCCTGCTACCAACCTTTTTCTGCTCTACTATTTCTCTCCCCCCTCCATCCCCCCTCCTCTTTCTTTCTTTCTCTTCCCTCTTCCCTTCCATCTTTCTCGGAGCAAGACGCTGGGTCAAACATAATCTCTCTACTGTCCCTCGCCCGCGTTGTTGACCCCGTACATACTTATCAGTGACGACATTTGATTGTCTGGCATATTCCTTATCTATACGTAACGACATCCCGCCCTGCCCCGAGTCCCGCGGCAGTCCCAGTCACAGAAGCCAACAACCCCCCCTCCCCCCTAGTTTCGTCATTCCATTTTCTGTCGGTTGCCGGCGGAAGAATGGGTCTGAACTTGGAGGAAATCTATGGCCAAATTTTAGAGGAAGAGCAGCAACCGAACGAGTATTCGGAGTACCAGCCAAAGCAAGGATATGGCTGGGCGAACACTCTGCCGGAGCGGCAGGGATTGTACAATCCCGAATATGAGAAGGACGCTTGCGGCGTAGGCTTCGCTGCGTAAGTGCACAGGCGCATACAACCTGTCTCGTCGCTAGCCACAAATTTAGTCGTTCTGGCGCAGTATTGGCTAACACTCGTTTCTTCCGCTTCTAGTCATATCAAAGGCAAGCCTAGCCACAAAATTGTCAGTGATGGTAAGGGTCTTCGCTAACTGCGGTCACCCAATCGCTACATGGGATCCCGGCTAACATGAATCGCCTTATAGCTCGCAACCTGCTCTGTAACATGACGCACCGAGGTGCCGTTGGTTCAGACGCAAGAGATGGTGATGGTGCCGGTGTGATGACCAGTATTCCCCACAAGTTTTTCATCAAGAATTTTGCTCGCGATGTCGGGGTTGAACTCCCACCGCTTGGACAGTATGCAGTTGGAAACTTGTTTTTCAAGCCCGACGAGGTGTCTTTGAAGGAATCAACGGCATCGTTTGAAGAGATCGCAGGTTCTCTAGGCTTGCGCGTGCTGGGCTGGCGTGAGGTCCCTCGTGATTCAACCATTCTGGGCCCTGCTGCTCTTTCTCGTGAGCCTATCATTTTGCAGCCGTTCGTGGTATTGAAGTCCGCCTACGGCGATGGAAACAAGCCGGAAATCACCGATCCAGAGTCGTTCGACGAGAGAAACTTCGAACGCCAACTTTACGTGCTGCGGAAACGCGCCACCCATGTGATTGGACTAGCTAACTGGTTCTATCTGTGCTCTCTCAGCAACCGAAACATTGTGTACAAGGGCCAATTGGCACCTATTCAAGTATACCAGTACTACCATGATCTAGTCAATGTGGATTATGAAGGTCACTTTGCCCTCGTGCATTCTCGTTTCTCTACCAACACATTTCCCTCGTGGGACCGGGCACAGCCCCTGCGTTGGGCCGCTCACAACGGTGAGATCAACACCCTCCGGGGTAACAAGAATTGGATGCGGGCCAGAGAAGGCGTGCTCAAGTCAGACATCTTCGGTGATGAGCTCGACAGCCTCTATCCAATCGTGGAGGATGGTGGTTCCGACTCTGCGGCCTTCGACAATGTATTGGAGCTGCTGATGATCAATGGCGTGTTGTCTTTGCCCGAGGCGGTGATGCTCATGATCCCCGAGGCGTGGCAGGACAACCCGGCCATGGACCCTGCCAAAGCCGCATTCTATGAGTGGGCTGCTTGCCAGATGGAACCTTGGGATGGTCCTGCTCTTTTCACCTTCTCTGACGGGCGGTACTGTGGTGCCAATTTGGACCGTAACGGATTGCGTCCTTGTCGTTTTTATGTGACGGACGACGACCGCATCGTCTGTGCGTCCGAGGTCGGTGCTGTGGACGTCGACCCCGAGCGTGTGGTCCAGAAAGGCCGTTTGCAGCCCGGAAAGATGCTTCTAGTCGATACCGTGGCTGGCCGCATTATAGATGATTCCGAGCTCAAGTACACGGTTGCCCATCGCCAGGACTTCACGACGTGGCTGGATAAAGAGCTTTTGAAGCTTCCCGCCATCAAAGAGAAACTGATTCAACAAAATATTGACCTCCGGTATTCTATCGACGATGTTACTGTGCAGAATGATCCTCGTCTTAAGGCTTTCGGATATTCCTTCGAGCAGGTCAGCCTGCTTCTGGGACCGATGGCCGCCGACTCCAAGGAAGCTCTTGGCTCCATGGGCAACGATGCTCCGTTAGCCTGTATTGCCGAGCAGCCTCGCCTTCTCTACGAGTACTTCCGCCAGCTCTTTGCTCAGGTGACCAATCCTCCGATTGATCCGATTCGAGAGGCCGTTGTCATGTCCCTGGACTGCTACGTTGGCCCCCAGGGCAATCTCTTAGAAATGGACCCCTCCCAGTGCCATCGCCTACTGCTTCCTTCCCCCATTTTAAGCATCCCGGAGTTCAATGCCCTAAAGAATATCAACCAGGCTCACAAGGACTGGACCGTGAAGACAATCGACATCACCTTCGAGAAATCAAAGGGTGTTCCGGGATATGTCGAGGCACTTGATTCCATCTGTGATGCAACCACCGACGCTATTCAGAACGGGGATAAGGTTATTGTGCTGTCGGACCGTGCAACTTCTGCCGACAGAGTTCCTGTTTCTGCTCTTTTGGCGACCGGCCTGGTCCATCACCACCTGGTTCGTAACAAATGGAGATCCCTTGCCGCGCTGGTTGTCGAAACCGCAGAGGCTCGTGAAGTTCACCACATGTGTGTCCTGGTCGGATATGGTGCAGACGGTGTCAACCCATACCTGGCTATGGAATGTATCATCAAGATGAACCGAGAAAACCTGATTCGCAAGCAGCTCTCGGATGAAAAGGTCATCGAAAACTACAGGGCCTCCTGTGATGGCGGCATTCTTAAAGTCATGAGCAAGATGGGAATTTCTACTCTGCAGTCGTACAAGGGCGCTCAGATCTTCGAAGCTCTCGGTATTGATGATAGTGTCATTGATCGGTGTTTTGCCGGAACTGCAAGCCGTATCCGTGGCCTAACCTTTGAACTCATCGCCCAGGATGCGTTTGCCTTCCATGAGCGTGGTTACCCCTCTCGTTCGGTCACTGAAATCCCAGGTCTCCCGGAGTCTGGTGAATACCATTGGCGTGATGGAGGTGAGGAGCACGTTAACGATCCCGTCAGTATTGCCAACATGCAGGATGCCGTGCGTACGAAGAACGACAAATCTTATGAGGCTTACGCCAAGGCCGAACATGAGCAAATCAAGAACTGTACCCTCCGTGGTATGCTTGATTTTGATTTCGAGCAGCGGACGCCCATTCCAATTGATCAAGTGGAGCCCTGGACCGAGATTGTTCGCCGATTTGTCACCGGTGCTATGTCTTACGGATCGATCTCCATGGAATCTCACTCCACGCTAGCCATCGCTATGAACCGTTTGGGTGGCAAGTCTAACACTGGAGAAGGTGGTGAAGACGCTGAGCGAAGCAAGCGCATGGAGAACGGAGATACCATGCGGTCGGCTATCAAACAGATCGCCTCTGGTCGTTTCGGTGTGACATCCCATTACCTGGCAGATGCCGATGAACTGCAGATCAAAATGGCCCAGGGAGCCAAGCCTGGCGAAGGTGGTGAGCTCCCAGGCCACAAGGTCGTTGGTCCCATTGCCCATACTCGTTACTCGACTCCCGGCGTTGGTCTGATCTCGCCGCCGCCGCACCATGACATTTATTCCATTGAGGATTTGAAGCAGCTCATCTACGATCTCAAATGCTCGAATCCCCGTGCACGTGTCTCCGTCAAGCTTGTCTCGGAGGTCGGTGTTGGAATCGTTGCCTCTGGTGTCGCCAAAGCTAAGGCGGACCACATTTTGATTTCGGGCCACGATGGTGGTACTGGTGCCTCGCGTTGGACTGGCATCAAGTATGCCGGTCTTCCATGGGAGCTGGGTCTCGCTGAAACCCATCAAACTCTTGTCCTGAATGACCTGCGTGGGCGTGTTGTCGTTCAGACCGATGGTCAGCTTCGCACCGGTCGTGATCTTGCCGTTGCCTGTCTTCTTGGTGCCGAAGAATATGGCTTTGCCACTACTCCTCTCATTGCCATGGGTTGTATCATGATGAGGTTTGTTTACCCTTAGGGCTTCGCTATATAAACTTTTTGTGCTGACTTTACGGTAGAAAATGCCATCTCAACACCTGTCCCGTGGGTATTGCAACCCAAGACCCAGAGCTCCGGTCTAAGTTCTCGGGCACTCCTGAGCATGTCATCAACTTCTTCTATTACATTGCCAACGAAATGCGTGCTATCATGGCAAAACTGGGTGTGCGAACTGTCAACGAAATGGTCGGACGCGCCGAGCTGCTTAAGGTTAGGGATGACATTCGGACTCCTAAGCAGGAAAAGATTGACCTGTCTCTCATTCTTACCCCGGCTCATTCGCTCCGCCCCGGGGTTGCCACCTACAATGTCCGCAAGCAGGATCACCGTCTGCACACCCGTCTTGACAACAAGCTCATCGCCGAATCCGAGCTCGCTCTCGAGAAGGGTCTTCCTTGCAGAATCGAGTGTGACATTGTCAACACCGATCGCGCCTTGGGTGCTACTTTGTCTTATCAGGTTAGTCGCCGATTTGGTGGCGAGGGCCTTCCCCAAGACACAATCCACGCAAACATCAAAGGTTCCGCGGGTCAATCCTTCGGTGCCTACCTTGCTCCCGGTATAACCCTCGAACTCGAGGGCGATGCCAATGACTATATCGGCAAGGGTCTGTCTGGAGGCCGTCTCATTATCTACCCACCTCGCGGCGCCGCCTTCAAGGCAGAGGAGAATGTGATCGTTGGTAATACTTGTCTCTATGGTGCCACTCGTGGTACTTGCTACTTCCGTGGTATGGCTGCTGAGCGGTTTGCTGTCCGTAACTCGGGCGCCACCGCTGTGGTGGAAGGTGTTGGTGACCATGGATGTGAGTACATGACGGGTGGTCGGGTGCTCATTCTCGGATCCACTGGTCGTAACTTTGCTGCCGGTATGTCCGGTGGTATCGCCTACATTCTAGACAAGAACCAGGACTTCCATTCCAAGGTGAACATGGAAATGGTGGAAGTGTCTGGCCTGGAAGACCCTGCCGAGATTGCCTTCGTCCGCGGTCTAATCGAAGACCACCACCACTATACCGGCTCAGAATTGGCTGCTCGTGTTCTACTGGACTTCACCCGGGCGCTTCCTCATTTCGTCAAAGTACTGCCCACCGATTACAAGCGGACGTTGGAGGAGGAAGCTGCCAAGGCCGAGGCTGCTAAAAAGGCCGAGTTTACGTTGCCTCAACTTCCCAGTACTCCGGCGAACGCGGAGAAGCCCAAGGCCGAAGGCGAGTCGAAGAAGGCCGAGATGCTGGACATCGAGGATAGCATCAGCGACTCGAAGACCGAGAAGAAGCGGTCGGCTCTCATCCTGGACAAGACTAGGGGCTTCATGAAGTACAACCGGCGTAGCGAGAAGTACCGCAACCCCGTGACCCGAACTCGTGACTGGGCGGAGCTTTCCAACCGCCTCAGCGAGGATGAGCTCAAGTACCAGTCTGCTCGTTGCATGGATTGTGGTGTTCCCTTCTGTCAGTCGGACACCGGTTGCCCGATCTCCAACATCATCCCGAAATGGAACGAATTGGTGTTTCAGAATTCCTGGCAAGATGCCTTGAACCGTCTCCTCATGACCAACAACTTCCCCGAGTTCACTGGTCGTGTCTGCCCTGCCCCCTGCGAAGGTGCTTGCGTCCTAGGAATCAACGAGGACCCCGTCGGTATCAAGTCCATCGAATGTGCCATCATTGACCGTGGGTTTGAGATGGGATGGATGGTCCCTCGTCCTCCTTCAAGCCGCACCGGCAAGACCATCGCCGTCATTGGGTCAGGCCCTGCTGGCCTTGCGGCTGCTGACCAGCTCAATCGAGCTGGCCACAGTGTAACTGTCTACGAGCGCGCTGATCGCGTTGGTGGGTTGCTCATGTATGGTATCCCTAACATGAAACTTGACAAGAAGGTCGTGCAACGACGTGTTGATTTGATGGCCGCCGAGGGCATTCAATTTGCTACCAGCACCCCTGTTGGCCCTGAGTACGAGGTTTCTCTGGAGTCCCTGCGCAAGAGCAATGATGCTGTCATCATTGCTACCGGTGCCACAGTAGCGCGCGACCTTAAGGTCACTGGCCGCGAGCTCGATGGTGTGCACTTTGCCATGCAGTTCTTGCACCGCAACACCAAGTCGCTTCTCGACTCTAACCTCGCCGATGGTGCATATATCTCTGCCAAAGATAAACATGTCGTGGTTATCGGCGGTGGTGACACGGGCAATGACTGTATCGGCACCTCTGTTCGCCACGGTGCCAAATCCGTCACCAACTTCGAGCTGTTGCCTCAGCCTCCCCCCGAGCGTGCCCGTGATAACCCGTGGCCTCAGTGGCCCCGTATTTATCGGGTCGATTACGGTCACTCTGAAGTGAAAACTCATATGGGCAAGGATCCTCGCGAGTACTGTGTTATGTCTAAGGAATTCGTTGACGACGGCAGTGGTCGTGTCAAGGGGATCAACACCGTTCGTGTCGAGTGGACGAAGAGCGCTTCTGGTGGGTGGGACATGAAGACTGTTGAAGGCAGTGAGCAATTCTTCCCCGCCGATCTTGTCCTTCTTTCTATGGGTTTCCTTGGTCCTGAAGATCGCCTCCTGGGCGAGGAAATCGAACGCGACGCCCGCAAGAATGTCAAAACCCCTCCTGGCCAGTATACTTCGAACATCCCGGGCGTCTTTGCCGCTGGTGATTGCCGCCGCGGCCAGTCTCTCATTGTCTGGGGTATCAACGAGGGTCGCCAGTGCGCTCGCGAAGTCGACACTTACCTGATGAACACCAGCTCTCAGCTCCCCGTCACCGGTGGTATTGTTCGTCGACCAGCAATCGATGCAGTTCCCCAGGGTACCGTTCAGACGGTTTCTGCATGAAGGAACCACTCGAGGACCAATGCGTCTTGTGCAGCAGGACTGCCTCCGATGACGCCGAGCTCTGTGTATGCTTTACGACAAACGAAGATGACAGCGACCAATGAAATGCTATTTTATGCCCCAAAATTTTGCTTTTATCAAATCATCAAGTAAGATGAGGTTTTTGTATCTATGAAAACTACCAGTCGGGCTTATGTTACGTGGGTCATATTCCTAGCTTCTGGGTGGTTTGGATATGAGCCCGGTTGTATTGATTTGATTCTCTTTCTATTTCCACGGTTTGCCAGCCTTCTGATTTTTAATCTCCATTTCGTTTCTTCTATTTCTCTCTCTCTCTCTCTCTCTCTCTCTTTTTTTTTTTTTTTTTTTTTTTTTTTTTTTTTTTTTTTTCATGTTTCCTGCTCTATTTCTCGTCTTTTTTTATTATTATTTTCTTTTTGTTATTTTTTACCCGTGGGTGGGTGGACTTGCTTTTGGTTGCAGCGAATTCTCAAAACTGGGATACAAAGGCGCCCGAGCGTTTGGTCTTGTTCACCCTATTCTCCTCGTATCTTGCTTATATCGTACATATATCTCTTCGCAATCTATCTTAGTTTGGAATCTTTTGGGCATGTCCGAGCGTATGATAAAATCCCTTAGGCCATTCACCGGGATGTTCGACGGCGCCTGAGCCTTGTATGCTGAAGGCTACGACTATAAGCCTCCTCTAACGACAGCTCGTTCAACTGATAGGCAGTTTCAAGAACTTTTCGCGTCAACTCGTTGCGGACGGAATGCTCTTCGCACTTCATGATGAAGTCGAGAGCCGAGTTTCCCATGTTGCGCATGTCCCCGATGCACTGGTAGGTAAACTCCAGGCGCTCATCGGCCATACCGACCATGCGCCACATGTTATGCCGGAACATCTCCTGGTCGAGTCTGGTGGGTGGCTTCAGAATCGATTTAACGGGACGTCGGTCTGAGACATGGCTTCCTGGGGTGTAGTATCTCGCCGGGGGCAGAGGACCCATTTCCATCACTGGCCCCCAGCGAACGGTCTTCTTGGGAGCGCGAGCGGAGCGGAGCTGTGTCCTGTTATCTAATGGGGGATACGGAAAATATTCAGGCTCAGGAGGTGGTGACTGTGGCCGATATGCTCGGCGTCGAGATCGGCGGAGCTCCTTGAACTCCTGGATCAGAGATAGGATCGAATCCATCGAAAGACTTACTAAAGAGTAGAACCTAGGAAGGGATAGCTTCTAGATGATGGCTTCTCTCTTTCAACCTTCTCTATCGTCTTTCCCCCTGGGTTTACTGGAGTTTATATATGCGATTTCCGGAAGGTTTCACCCTCGAAAGTGCATGGCGTGGAGCCCAACAGACAAAGGATACAATGCGAACAAAGAGGTCATTGTCCTGACAGGATCTCCTTATTCAGAGACAACAATATTATGACTCTGGCGCGAATCCCCTTTAGCCGACAGGGAGTTGTCCTTGGACATCAAAGAGGGTCAAAGTTCTACCCAGAGAACCGAACAAAGACGAGAGATGCCGCAGACGCTTTGAAGGTGATATGACATGAATGTATTGTATTTTACAGGGCCCCCCTCCCAACAAGAGACAGACATCTGTTGTGCTAACAAACAACGAAGCCCCAACAGTGCGTTGTCCTCGAAGATCGCTAAACGGCACCAGCGGTTCGGTTGGCTTCTTCCTCGGCCTTCATTTCCCTCTCCAGCGCGGCAAAATCCCCCTCGAAGGCATTTCGATCCGGCTCTGTCCGTAAGTCCCAGACATCCTCACTGCTGGGGCCCGTCTTGAATTTGATGGCCTTCTTGCGGTTGTGATCGCGGATGGCCTTCTTGCGCGACGCATCGGACCACGTCCGGGTCTTCATGCAGAGCCAGAAGTTATCCCAGTGTTCGCTACACGACCGTAGCTCTCCGTATCGATAAACGTTGACAAACTGGCCCCCGAACGATTGGCAGAAGAACGCATAGTCGAAAGCGGAGCGGCAGGACATGGTGTCGGGGTAGAGTGACTCGGGGGCAATGGAGGACGGCGGTACCGTGGCTTCGGGGCCTGATTCGCTTGGGGATGAGGTCTGTTGCGAGGTTTTCGGAGAGCCGCTATTGATGTCTCCTTCTAGGCTGGCGAGCAATTTCTTGAACTCCGCGTCGGCTTGTTCCTCGCGAGTCAACGGCGGCGGGCGTGCGGATGGTTGAGGGTCTGACGATGGCTGTTGCGGAGAGGAAGACGACGGAGGGGCCGGAGAGGCCGGAGAGGCCTCCTTGGGAGACGAGGAATTCCACCACCAGCCCATTGTGAAGGCGCGAGAGAGGAGGGAGGATTGATGTATGTATGATGTCGGGGATCTTTGGAGAGCGGAAGAATCGCGAATTCCATCCCGGCGAGCCTGATTTTACCCAATACCCGCCCGTGACGGTATTTGCGGGGGAACTCCACCAGTGACCGTAATAAAACCCGTAATGTCTCGTATCCGCCGGGCTGTCGACGTCACCGGAGGAGGTCGGCCTCTTCCTCTCCCCAACAACTCTCGCTCTCCATGCGCCATGATGCGTCCGTTGTGTGTTCCAGGAAGGAGACCTCTGGTCTCCTCAGTGCCCCTACATTGGACGAGATCTGCTGCCGTACTTCCCGCACCGTGCGAGGTGGTTCGACGGCGGAGTACTACTAGTACTACTAGTTCCACTACTTCTACTACTTCCCACGCCTCATACCTCGAGACCGGGCATATCGAGGTGGGCGAGAACGAAGGGCTCCTATTTGTGAACAGTAAGCTCTACGTGATCATCCTGGCAGCAGGTCCGCACACCGTGGTCCTCGATAACTGATTTCCATCGGAGCCAGATATCTTTCCGTCAAGGTTACAGTGGGTGTTGCAGGGACCTCTCCGCGCCACGAGGTCATATGAAGAGGCCTTGAAACGCATTAATAGGCCGCACCTGGCCGCATCTGACCCGCTGCGCATCATTCACCGTGTGTTCCCGGAGGATCTGAACCTGGAAATCCAAGAAGTCGTCCCGCGCTTTAGAGAAGGTGGCGCCTTTGTCAAGTACGCCCGCAAGGCAGGACTGAAAGACGTCGATATCGAAGCGGCCATCAAGGCGAACCTAGAGGATCATCCCATCCGACCATGGTTCAATCCGTTCCAGACGGTCAGGGTTGCTCGGGTCTTGGGTCGCCCGTGGATCGAAGACCTGTATCGCATCCCGAGCAAGCGGCTGAGAGTTGAGTTCCTGGCGGGATCCGCGGACGGATGCGCCGTGGATTTGACGACCGAAAGCCTCTATTCGGCATTCCGTGGCTATGGAAAACTGAAAGACATCGAGAAACAGCCGTCGGACTCGAAGGTCTCGCCTAGGTACGCCCTGGTTGAATTCTCGCGTCCCCTGTACGCAGTCATGGCCAAAAATTGCATGCACGGCTTTATTGTCCCGGAGGTGCTTGGCGGTGGGAAAGCAGGGACGAGAATCAGGATCATGTACGAGCGAAAGATCAAATTCTCCATGCTCAAAGACTGGATCATGAACCATCCAAGGCTCGTGATCCCTGCCGTTGCCGCGCTGGTCGCGGCCATCACGGTGGCTGTCTTTGACCCCATCCGCACGTTCTTCATTGAAATGAAGATCAAAGCAACTCTTAATACCGACGAAAATAACGTACTGCGCTGGATCCGCAAGCAAGTCAGCAAGGCCAATATGATTTATTTCGGCAATCCCGGTGCCGACTCGCGCGGGCTCACGGCCATCTGGGAGGACCGCCAAGCGGACATCTCGCAGCTGCGCTCCTGGTTGACGGAGAATGTCGAGACTTTTATTGTCGTCCATGGTCCTCGTGGTTCAGGCAAACGGGAACTGGTCCTGGACCGGGCCCTCAAGGATTACAAGTACAAGATAGTCATCGACTGCAAGCAGATACAGGATGCTAGAGGTGACACGGCCAAGATTGCGCGAGCAGCCAGCCAAGTAGGCTATCGACCGGTATTCTCGTGGATGAACAGCATCAGTAGCTTCATTGATCTCGCAGCGCAGGGCATGATTGGCACCAAAGCAGGGTTTTCGGAGACTCTGGATGCGCAACTCAGCAAGATCTGGCAGAACACTGCTACAGCCTTGAAGAGGGTTACGCTGGAACATAGGCAAAAGACGGACAAGGACTTCCACCTGACCGATGAGGAGTACCTAGAGGCTCATCCCGAGCAGCGGCCCGTGGTAGTTATTGACAATTTCTTGCACAATTCCTCGGAGGATAGCGTGGTGTACGAGAAGATCACCGAATGGGCCGCTGGACTGACGGCCGGCAATATCGCCCATGTTATCTTCTTGACCACGGATGTTTCCTTTGCCAAACCTCTCAGCAAAGCCATGCCGAACTCGGTGTTCCGCATGATTTCTTTGGGAGACTGTTCACTGGAAGTGGGACGGAGGTATGTGCTAAACCATCTGGGGGATGGTGCCAAGATTAGGAACCAGCAGCTCGAAGGGAAGGAAGGTCCCGAAGGCCTCGACAGCTGCATTGAAATGTTGGGAGGCCGAGTAAAAGACCTTGAATTCATGGCACATCGCATCGAAGCAGGAGAAACGCCCCGAGGTAAGTTGCCAGGTCCGCAATCCACAACGGCCCACTTTCCCGGCTGACAATGCTCTAGCCGCGGTCAATCGAATTGTCGAGCAGTCCATTTCTGAAATCCTCAAGATGTTCATCTTGGGTGGAGAGACCGGGACCCAGCAATGGAGTCAGGAGCAAGTTTGGTCTCTGATCAAGATGTTGGCACACGCGGCGGATGGAACGCTCCCCTATAGTCGAGTTCTCCTCTCAGATCTTTTCAAGGATGATGGCGAGACCACCCTGCGGGCACTCGAGCAGGCGGAGCTCATCACCATCGCCTCGGTCAACGGCTCTCCTGAGACCATTAAACCCGGCAAACCCGTCTATCGCGCCGTGTTCCAAAGATTGACCCAGAACACGACACTAAGCAGTCGCATGGACCTAGGAGTCTTCTCGCAGCTCATTCGGATGGAGAATAGAAGCATTGCCAAGTATGAAGAGGAGCTACAGCTACTAGGGTCGTTACCCAAGCAGCCTCGAGAGCTCACGCCGAGAATCCAGTGGCTTCTGCAAAAGGTGTACAGCTCTCAAGACAAGATCGGCAAATATGAGGCAGACAGTGCGGTCTTGAAGAAGATCTTGCAGAGTCAGCATTGAGATCACGAACGAATGGACGAATATAGTATCAATCAATAATAGCCCGGCAGGTAATAAAAAAATGACTGCTCGTACATGTCGATTGTCGAACGGGTAAATTAATGAACGCATAAAAGCAATTGTGCATGCTGAGATAAGCCGTATTACCGTCCGGCCGCCACGCTATTCTTAGAACTTCTTTCTTTCCTCCACTGCGGTCCAATTCCCCTTCCCTTGGATCCTGCTTGGATCATCTCGGATTCTGTTTTGGACTTTGCATCTTCGGTGTTGGATTGGAGGTTGCGAGCTCTTCCGACTTATTCCTTTATCTTCCCCTTATTTAATTATTCATCTTTAGATGGCGTTCCCGACTGTGCGCGTGAACCTCGTTGCCCTTGAAAGCAGCTCAAAATAAATAAATCAATAAACATCTCACCATGGGTAATCTGGGATTATCACCGGACGGCCCAGTCCGCAATATCCAGGAACGCCTGGCCGAGCAGGGCTGGCCAGTGCTGGTTGCGGTTTTTCTCTTCGTCTGCATTTCCACGCGCATCATCACTGGCCTGCAAAGTGGGAAGGCAGAGAGCGAAAATCCGCGGAGAGTTCGGATGGTGCCGTACTGGCTTCCTTGGATCGGCCATGGTGTTTCATTTGTGTGGAACCATGTGAGACTGCTCAGTAAGGCCAGGTAAGTGTTTCGTGCCAATGGACTACGGCAGCTAGCTGACTGTCAGCTGTAGGGATCGAATGGATGAGCCCGTCATGGGCATCTATCTGGGCGGGAAAAAGCACGCCGCTGTAGTATCACCATCGATGGCCAGGTCTGTCATGTCCTCACGAAGTGCAAGTTCTACTACTTTGATCAATCATGCGCTGAAGGCCATCTTCGGTGACCGGGGACCCCTGCGCCACCTGGACCCAGCCAACGATAAAACTTTCCATCACACCATCCCTAATCTTTTTACGAAGGAGCCTTTTATTTCGGAGGCTTCTGCGTCTCTGGTCCGTACAATAGAACGCGATTCTCCGAACTTCGTGACCTTCTGCCATAGTGTGGTGGATCAAGCCCTCTGGGAGCGCAACAGCGACCTGGCAGTTGTGGATTCTAATGGCAAACAGGCTTGTGAAGTGAATTTCTTTGCTCTGTTGAGAAACTTCGTGGGACAGGCTACTACGACCACTCTTCTGGGACAAGGGATACTGGATGAATTTCCCACCCTATTAGACGATGTCTGGAGAATGGATGATCGGTTTCCCACCATGGCATTGGGGCTGCCTCGCTGGCTGGTGGTTCCGGGACTTCCTGCAGCGTATGCAGCTCGTGACCGTCTTCTCGGAGCTCTTGCGGAGTTTCAGCAAGCCTTTAACTATTGGGACGATGGCGTAGACCCTGGCATCAAATTCCGAGACCTCGACGATGTCTGCGAGCCGATCAAGCAACGAATCCGGTTGTCCAAAAGTATGGGACTGTCACCGCAATCTAGCGCCCCGGGCCATTTGTCTCTCCTCTGGGCCATGAATGGCAATGCGCCTAACATTGTATTTTGGCATGTTCTGCGTCTTCTTGCGGATCCAACGCTTCTGAAGGACATTCGAAAGGAGATAGCCCCCTACGTGAAGGCCTCGAGGCCTACCCGAGAAGAGACAGGGTTCCCATTCCAGGAGGCCCCCAAGATTTCCATTGATGCCGAAGGCTTGTTCAAATCCTGCCAGTTACTCAAAGCTAGTTACTATGAGACATTGCGTCTGGACTCGGCAAATTTGTCGTTTCGAGAACTCACTTCCGACGTGACTGTCTGTGAATCTGAGGCGGACGCCAAAATCGCTGGCTCGGAGCAACCTCGATCCTACGAGATCAAGAAGGGAGCAAGCGTTGCTATTCCCCACGGCGTCATTCATACCGACTCGCGGTACTTTTCGAACCCATCCCAATTCGATCCACTGAGGTTCATTCTTGCAGACCCTGAAACCGGAGAGAAGCGGGCCAAGTTGCACACCATCAACCCTTTCGGTCTCGGTGCGTTTGAATGCAAGGGGAAAGCCTTTGCCGAGAGAGAAGTCTTGTCCCTCACTTCCGCAATCATTTCTTTGTGGGATATTGAGCCGGCAGATGGAAAAGATCTCAGCCTGCCGGCCCATAAAATGTCCACCGGCGTCTACTTGCCTAAGAAAGACATCCGGGTGCGGATTTCCTCGCGTGTTTAATTGAGAATAAAATCTGGCGAATTTTTGTTCTTTTTCTTCTTACTCTCCTGGCATGTAGGGTATAAATTAGGGTCTTGGACTATGTATTAATTCTTATCAGTATCGTCTAGCTTCCCATCCCATGAGCTAGAGCCTTGACATTTAAGAGGGTTTAATTCTATTTCCTAGGGAACAATCGAAATGCGTTCAAACGAGGATAATCTATGAAAGCCAAGGCATGCTATAGCGAGTCCAGCCTAGCAGGAACCAATCAGTCCGGAGGTAATGGGATTAGCAACCGTCGATGAAGCGGAAAAATATCCGGGTCGCGGAGTTTCGCCGATGAATCCAACGATACTTGAGCGTCCGATCACCTCATCGTTGGTGTCGAAGCCGGACCCGCAACAACTCAGTCTGTTGAACAACGGAACTTCGGGCATTGGTGAGATTCTGACGATGGGAGATCAACATCAGCCTAATAGCCATGATTATGATCTGGCAACGCCGATTTCATCCTCTTCAGGTCTTCGTCAGGGATTGACTGCGTATGGGGATGCGCATTTCTCTTTGTTTCTGAGGAAAGTATTCATCAAGGCGCTAGGATACTCCGACGACGCTCTCTCGCGGCCCATAATTGGAATCATCAACACCTACTCCGGATTCAATCCGTGCCATGCCAATGTACCGCAATTGATGGAAGCTGCAAAGCGAGGGGTTCATCTCAATGGCGGGTTGGCCGTTGAATTCCCTACCATCAGTGTCCATGAATCTTTTTCGTATCCTACCAGCATGTTCCTCCGGAACTTGATGAGTATGGACACGGAGGAAATGATTCGTGCTCAGCCGCTGGATGCGTGTATTATGATCGGAGGTCTGGCGCTGTCCCTATGCCCTAATCGCCAGTCAAGGGGGTAAAGCTGATGAAGTTCAGGGTGTGATAAAACAATTCCCGCTCAATTGATGGGCGGCATATCTGCAAACAAGCCGATCTTGCCGCTGGTAACGGGTCCAATGCTGCCAGGCAATCATAAAGGATCAAGGATAGGCGCCTGTACTGACTGTCGGAACAACTGGGCCGCATTTCGTGCCGGGGAAATCGACATCGAGGAGATTTCCGCTATCAACGAAGAACTTGCTCCAACGGTTCGTCCCCCAAAGATGGCCAGGTGACCATTGCCCTTTCAGCTTCTCGATGCTAACTACGCGCTTGTCGTCAGATCGGAACGTGTGGTGTGATGGGTACTGCCAGCACAATGGCGTGCATTACTGCCGCTCTGGGGCTGATGCCGCTTCGAGGCGCTTCGGCCCCTGCAGTGTCATCCGCACGGATCAGAGTAGCAGAGGAAACCGGGGCAAATGCCGTGTCTGTGGCAGTTAATAGTCGAAAGCCACAAGACATCCTCTCCAAAGAATCATTCATAAATGCAATCACGGTGCTGCAGGCCATTGGCGGGTCAACAAACGCCGTAGTACACCTACTCGCCATTGCGAATCGACATCCCCAAGTGAGCGGCGTGATTACCCTCCAAACATTCGAGGAGATTGGCCAGAAAACGCCATTGCTGATCAATCTCAAACCGAGTGGGGACAATTATATGAATGATTTTCATAACGCTGGTGGTATGCTGGCGCTGTTGCATACCTTGCGACCGCTGCTTCAACTTTCAGCCATGACCATCAATGGCCAGACAATGGGCGAGATCTTGGATGCTTCTCCTTTCCGTACATTTCCATACTCGACGCAAATCATCAGGCCCCTTTCGGATGCTCTCTATCCATCCTCCTCTCTTATTGTCCTTCACGGGAACCTTGCCCCCGATGGTGCCGTCATGAAGGCCTCGGCATCCAAGGATCGAAGGCTACTTTCTCATACAGGACCGGCGGTAGTCTTCGAAAACTCGGCGGATCTAGCACGACGAATTGACGATCCGGAACTTCCCGTGACCAAGGACACTGTTCTTGTTCTCCAAGGAATAGGCCCCATCGGCAACCCTGGCATGCCCGAGGCGGGCCTAATCCCGATACCCCGTAAGCTTGCATCTGCAGGGGTGAAAGACATGCTGCGTCTTTCCGACGGCCGAATGTCTGGTACGGCGGGAGGGACCATTGCTCTTCACATTTCCCCGGAATCTGCACTGCCCGAATCGCCGTTCGGAGTAGTGCAGACCGGCGACCTCATCACCTGTGACGTCGAGCAACGTATACTGCAAGTGGAGATATCGAGCGAGGAGTTGCGGGCACGCCTTGACGCGCGAAAACGACGAGTTATCGAGAATAAGGATCCTGCCGGACAACAAGGAAGAAAAAGAGGTTATCTTGGCCTATATGAGCGGAGCGTCAACCAAGCGCAACACGGGGCGGATTTTGGTTTTCTTGCAGCCAATTGAGTAGGCGTTAGCTGGCCCGTAACGGCCCATGTAAATCCTTGATCCATACCTAGGTATATATGTTATATTATGTTATATGTACGGAGTAAGAAACGCGTCAAGTGGCCAAGGCCAAGTAGCACGGGCGGAAGAAGCCCTGACCGCGTGCCCTAAGCCCTTCATATTGCCCGATTAGGTAAACCATCGGCGGAGTCGCGACGCGACGAGACGCGTGACTTGCCCGGCGGAGTCGCCATCCTGCCAGCAACTAGCAACCAGTGGCCGGTTGGCTTCATACCCCCAGACCCGTTCTCTTCCTCTCTTGGCTATCAGTCGGACCTCTGCAATGGCCTCGGAAGCCATTCGTCCCAGGGGCAGGCCTGCCCGTAAGTAGAACCCCATTGTCGGCCCTCGCCCCTACTCCTGCCGTATCATACCATGGCTGACCCGTGCCGTTCATTTATGATTAAGACACGCCCGGAACTACCGTTTTAACGTATACGCCGAACGGTCGCCACGTTATCACCGGTGGTTCAAACTCTGCGATTCGAATCTACGCCGTCGGACAAGATGGTGAGCCCAAGACGGTGGACGAAGGTGTAGATGGCCATCTCGGAATCGGCGCCACAGTATGCCTCACACACCCTCACCTGTGTTTTTTCCGGGAAAGAACGAAACTAAGAAGGGCCTATGAATAGAATGAATCGTTTATCATGGGCGCGGAAGACGGCACGGTCTGGCAATATGAGATTGGATCGGGCAGAATGGACAAGCTCCTTGTTCGATGCGCACTGCCGGTGAGAGACATTGCGGTTTCCAAGGATGGGGAATGGGTGGCCGTGGCTAGCGAGTCAGTAGTTCCGGTCTGATAGAAGTGTTACGTGCTCGGCAAAGCTGACTTGGATGATATAGTGAACTGACGGTGAAAATTGTCAACCTCGATGACATGACGAAAGTGAAATATCTTCGCGAACAAGCCAAGGGAACGAAACACGTTACCTTTGATCCCAGCGGGCGCTATGTTTCGGTCTCTTGTACCGATGGAATCGTTTACATCTACTCTCTGCTCTCCGAGGAACCAGAGCTGGTCCGGAAACTTGATGGCGTGATACAACGACTTGAGGCCGAGGACGAAGGAACGTCACGGGTGGTTTGGCACCCGGACGGAACCGCGTTTGCATCCGCAGAAGCCACGCGGGATGTTTCGATTTTCTCGACGGGCGAGTGGAAGAAGGAGAAGGTCTTTTCGGGTGGCCACAACGGAGGCGTCACCGCGATTAGCTGGTCTCCCAACGGGGCCCTTCTCGCTACCGCGGGTGCTGATGGCCAGGTGCTTCTCTGGGAGACGAAGACCCAGCAGGTTGTAAAAAGTTATGACTTCGCGAATGTCATCAATCTGGCCTGGCACCCCACAAGCAATTCACTCTCGTTTACCACCTCGGATGGAGAACTTTTCATATACGACGGGATCGTACCGCGAGAATATCAGCCGCTCCTCCAGAAGCCGCTCCAGGCTGCTCCGATCTTCCCTGGTCCGCTGGCCGATATCTCCGATAATGTAAGGCGACCATTGGCGAGTAGGCCGAAGGAGACGGATCAAAAACAACGAGCAGGGTCGCCAGACTCCCTTGATGATATTCTTGGCTCCGACCAGGGCATGGAGGATTTTGTCGACGACGACGATGGGGCTGGGTATGCAGAAGGCATGAATGGGTTGGGGAAAAGAACAAATGATCACCTCGACAGCATCGAGGGACACGCTGACAAGCGGCTATTAACCTCGTTCTCCAAGCCAAAAATCCATCAACCTCTCCAGCCCGGCAGCACTCCCTGGCGAGGCAACCGACGGTATCTCTGTACGTATCAGTGTGATCTGAAAATTGCCATCGGTATACTGACTGAATCCAGGCTTGAATCTGACCGGCGCTGTGTGGACTGTTGACCAGGAGACACACCACACCGTGACTGTTGAATTCTACGATCGGGAGATGCATCGTGATTACCATTTCACTGATCCCTATCTTTACGACCGCGCGTGCCTAAGTTAGTCCAAGCTACCAAGCTAACCGCGTCGATGTACTGAACTATGCTAACTTTCAGCTAAAGATGAACATGGATCACTCTTCTCCAACAACCCGACCGATGGCAGCCCGGCCACGATATTCTACCGACCACATGAGACGTGGACGACACGGGCCGACTGGCGAACCCAGCTGCCCCAAGGGGAACTTATTCGAGGTAAGGATCTGCTATGCCAACACGTTCGAGGCCCGGCTAATTCGGACAGCGCTGGCGCTGAGTGATTCATACATTGTCGCCGTGACGACGAAAGACTACGTTCGTGTATATACGCTATTTGGCACCCCGTTCAAGGTTTATCGGCAGAAGAGCCCGGCCGTGACATGTGCGGCCTGGCGAGACTACATCATGACCATTGGGAACGGACCATTGGGAAGCGATGGCCGCACTGCCGGTCTGCGCTATTCCGTCGAGAATGTCAAACGGGACGAGGTTTGTCAGAATGAAGACGTGGTCGCCGTCCCGGAGGGATCGGACCTACAGAGCGTATTCTTCTCTGACACGGGAGTAAGTTGCCAATCGCAAGTCGAACCGATTGTCGAAGCCATGCTGATGTCATTCCCCAGGATCCTTGCATCTACGATTCGGAGGGTGTCCTTCTCGTTTTACAACACTGGCGTAGCCAAGGGCAAGCCCGATGGGTGCCCCTTCTTGACACTAAACAGCTCGAGCGTCTAGCGACGGGGCGCAAGGAGGAGACGTACTGGCCAGTTGCTGTCGCGCAGGACAAATTCCACTGCATTATTCTCAAGGGTGGAGATCGGTATCCATACTTCCCGCGACCATTGCTGAGTGAATTCGACTTCCGCATCCCCATCTCTGACACGCCGGGAAAGAGCGCACAGGCAGAGGATGCCGCAACTGGGGCCCGGAATGAGGGAGCGCAACTCGAGGAGGCCTTCGTCCGCGGTAATGTCATGCTCTCACTTTTCCAGGATGTCCTGACGTCGACGAATGCGACTGCGAGCCAGCGGGCCGAGCTGACACGCAAGGAGCTTGAATTGGACAAGGTCCTTCTGCAGTTGCTGGCCGTCGAGTGCCGCGAAGGCGAGGAGCGGGGGATGAAGGCATTGGAGCTCGTCCAGCTGATGAAGGACAGCAATGGCAAGATGGTCGAAGCGGCGGTCAAGATTGCGCAACGGTACGGGCGCGGAGTGCTGGAAGACAAGATCCGCGATCTGGCGGAGCGACGGTACATGGGGGAGGACGATGATGATGAGCTTGCATGATAGGGAGCGACTTGGACTGGCAGACGAATAAGTAATAAATGAAATGAAATGCATTAAAATGAAAGGCACGTGGGTGTTTGTCTAGTTTGCCGGGCGGGCCCGATCGGGCAAGCGCGTGGGTCCAACGTCATCATTAGAATTTCCGTCGCTCGCAATGGCTTCTTCCATCCTCCTCTCGCCTCCAACCCATGGCGTCCCTTGCTGTCGTCGCGCACGGCCTGGCCTTTCCTCGTCACTGTCAATCCATGTATCAGGAATCTTGCTGCTCGTGATGCCAAAACTGGTCCCTTCGGCGGTGTCGACACGCCCCATCCGCAATCATTTCCACCCCCCTCGCCCGGCCAATTTCCGCAAACACTTCTCGTCGCCTTTCCGGCCGTTAGCGCAACCCCGGCAGGATCTGTTTCTCCATGATCCCTGGCAGAGTCCGACGAGCTCGCCGACGCTGTTTGCCCAGACAGGTTTCAATCAATCCGTATCCGACGGACTGCGAAAAGACCTCAACGGCGGCGATCATCAATCCCCCGATGAGCGCGTTCTCAAGCTCGGGAAAAGTAGGTTCAGCTGAACTACAATTGTCATCTTGCCTTCTTGTTGCTGACCAATCCTCACTGTCCTAGCCCTGCGCATTCTTTCGCCGCTCTTACCAACCCTTCTCGTGAACCCGTTGCCGTCGAGCATCCTCTCGCCAAGCGTCACCCTCCATCTCTTCCCCTCGACACACCCGCACTTGCCCACCGTTAAGGGGCGAACGCTCTACCGTGCGGCACTGTGGACCGTCCCGGTGGCATGGAGCAGCCTGCCCTTGGTCGGCAACGTCAAGCTCCAGATCCTCAGCGAGCGCATGGTTCGTTCCGGGACGGTGCTGGATCCCGAGCGCTGTGGGCACGGTGACTGTGGCGACGAGCGTCTCGTTGTGCGGTGGCGCACCGAGCCCCGTCGCGACGACCATCCGCAGATCCCAAGCTCCCTCGGTACTAAGCGCGGCGCGCAAGACGAGCCCAGCCACGTCTCGGCGTCGAAGAACGGCATCAACAAGGGTCTAAGCATGCTGTTGGGCGGCGACGCCCCGATCTTCAAGCTGGCTAAGGAGGAGCAGTTCACGGGCTTGTTCATCTTCTCCTTCGACGAGGAGGGCCGCGTGCTGTCACATACCATCGAGCATGCCGACAACGCCAGCGGCTGGGAGCGCACGGCCAAGTTCGTCAGCCTGACGGATTGGCTGATTGGAAAGGCCAGAGGATCGTTGGATCCGGCCGCCGAGCCCGGGCTAGCAATCCAGGGATGTCAGTCTTTCGAGCCTTGTTCCTCGAGAGGGGCATCTCGATTTTCTCGTCGCTCATGACCGATAGGCACCTTGCGTTCATGCTTGCTTTTTCCCTATTGCTTCGTAATTTCCGGCATCATGGTGCCTGACCGGTTTGGTCTACACATGACGCGAGTGTGAATGCCTTATTTCTTTTCGTGTCTCTCCCTACTGCTAATCGGATCTTACGGAACCATGGGTGTCGGGGACTAATAATTCGACACGACATTTCTGGCTAGGGGGTCGGCGCTCTTGCGTACTGATCATCTCATCTCTTTTCATTCTGTATTTTTATGATTTGTTTCCGTGTATACTATACCCAGCAATGCAGAGATTTAGGCGATTGTACATAGGTAAAACGATCAGAAAATGTGGAACATCGGAGAATGGATCGGTCGATCTATTCCACGAAAAACACATTAATATTCACAGCCACCGACCCAGCAGTGGCGTTCAAGAAGTCAGCGATTGACGTCGCTGAATTCTAGTTGAAAGGGGGAGGAAGGATGGAGTCCAGCCAGGACTCGATACTGGGAGAACATCTATATATAGACATGAAAGCGGCCGGCACGAGATCGCCGACGCCCCAAAAATCTATCCGATCTAGGCCTTCTTCTTTTGGGCAGGTGCAGTCGGACCGACCGGGGGTGACTTGAGGGTCGTGAAAACCGCCGCACAGACAATCACCATGACGAATCCACCGGTGGTGTAAGCGATCTCCCGTCCAGCCCACCAGAACAGCGAGCAGAACAGCACCGGTCCCGCGGCGCGACCGGCCTGTCCCCAGCTTCTCAGCCGGCCCAGGACGGCTCCGCGCTCTCCTTCCCGGGCCTCCAGACTGCCCAGGCTGTTCAGACCGGTGACCACCGTGGCACTGGTAACGGCCAACAAGCTACCGGCACCGTATAATCCCGCAAGAGACGAGACGCGAGCAAGGAGGAAGAACGAGGCGGCGCAGGCGACCACACCAACACGCACGATGATCAGCGGAGGCAGTCGCCGCACGACGCTCCCCTGGAGTAGGGAGGCGATAAGTCCCATCATGGACAGAAGACGACCGTTCAGGGCAGACGGGCTACCGGAGCCTGCGGCATAGAAGGTTGCGGTCAGGAACGGCAGGGAGAACTCCATGCCCGAGAAGGGTAGGAGGAAGAGGAAATGGATGGCATTCAGAATGGCCGGCTTGTTGGTGTGCTTGCGAGGGGCAGATGATTCGGTCGCGCTGTCGGACGGTGCAGCAGTGGCTCCAGATGTGGATGTAGTCGCTTGGCTCAACTTGGTGAGCCGAGGATGCGTCTCTGGAAGACACATGTACAGGTATGTCGTCTCGACGACGATCAGGAGCAGAGACACCCCCGCCGCCGTTGCGAACGGGTTTGCAGCTACTGTGGTGATGGTCGAAAGGGCCGCTCCCAGCGCCGGCCCAAATGTGAAGGCAATGCTAAAGCAGGCGCCCACCAAGGCCATGGTGGAGCCGCGTTGACTCGGATCGCTGATATCAGTGGCGATAGCGTGGGCGAGCTGCACATTGCCCTCGCTCAAACCGCCGACAACGCGACTGGCCAGAAAGGTTCGAAAATCGGTGGCGGCGACCCAGAGTGCAACACTGAGGGTGTTGCCCAGCATCGAGTAGAGCAGAGCAGTCTTGCGACCATGTTTGTCGGAGAGACGGCCGATGAAGGGGGCGGCGATGGCCTGCAGCAACGAGAACAGAGACCCGAGGGCACCTCCAAGAAGGACAATGTCATAACGCGAGTCGATAGGCTTGGCAAACGAGTTCTTGTAGGCGTTGAGGTAGTGGAAGATGCGATTCAAGAGGGAGTTCGGGGAGGGGTCATTGTTGCGATAAAACGTGAGCAGGGAGGGGAAGAGCGGGAGAATGAAGGTGAAGGATATCTGCAAGACTGGTCAGCGCCATCTGGAAAGAAGATTCCAAAGATCATCTCACCAAATCCAAGAGCAACGAGATCATCAAGACCTTGAGGATCCTCTTCCGCTGATCTGCGGCTAGCGCCATGGTGGTTCACGGGAAGGGGAAGGGAAAAGAGCGAGAGCCCAGGAGAACCGGGAGGTAGGAAAACAAGGCAAAGAAACAAAAAGGAAAGGGGGAAGAGAAAGGAATGGATGAATCAACAATTAGTCCAGCATGAGGAGAATATGGAGCAGGTAAACAGGAGTGGACAAATCCGGCGGCGGAGAAAAGAGACCAGGTCACGCCGCTTAGCTAAGCGAGCCCTACCTCACCTTCGGCGTCGTTCACGATCCAGCAACTCGTCTCTACGGCTACGGCGAGGTTACGAGCCAAATCTGGTGGGTTCATGCCGTGGAATTCATTACTTTAACCACCTCGTTCACCGTCATCTGGCAAAAAGAAACTAAAAGAGCCCTCCCCGGTTCGTCTCATCCCAATCATCCCATCCCGAAACGATCCGGCCTTCAGCTCCATCCCCATGCATACCAACAGGATTAGGGAAGTAAAATACAGATGAACGGGTGTGCATGCCGCCAAGATGTGCACCATGCACCCAAGCGTACAGGCCACGCCAAGGGGAGAAGGAAAAGACTGAAGAGCAGGAATACTATGCACGCTCAATAACTGCAAGACATGTACAACCAGCCACTTTTGGGATGCACGCCATCCAAAAGAAAAAAAGACCCGGGGTGAAAAATTAAGAGCGACTGACCATCACTCTCACCCAAGAAGTCCTTGTTGTAAACATTTCAAGAGATTCGTCGCTTTCGTGAACCATAACACCACCATTACCCATGAACGTATTAGATAGGAAAGATATAAAAGACATGCTGCAGATGCCGGAGGCCAGGGTGACCGCAAGACAGAAAAGACGGAAAGATATGTGAGGAAAGATCCTGGGAGGGCAAAATAGAGAAGAAAAGATGTCGGGTGTAACATAAGGCGGAAAAACATCGGCGTCCGGAGGTATTTTCTGGGGAATTTTCCTCCTCGCGCCTGGGGTGACGGTCGATTCACCAGAGTTCACGATGCGATTGAAGCTTACTGGGCTGCCGCAGTAGTGGCGACCGGTGCGCCGTTGGGACCGCCGCGTCCACGGCCTCCGCGACCACGTCCACGACCCCTGAACTCGCCCCGGCCACGTCCCCGCGAGCCATCGCCTCGTCCTCGTCCACCTCGGCCACGACCACGGAAGCTGTGCTGTCTCTGGTGTTGCGCTGCCCCCTCCGGCGCTTCTCCCTTCTGGGCCTTCGGGGCGGAAGTTTCCTCCGCATTGGCACTTACAGCCTCCGCGGCGGCCGCATTCTGCGCGTCGACCTCGACAGCAGCCGGGGTTGCCTGGAGGCCGGTATCGGTCTCAGCCGGATCGCGAGGCACTTCAACCCAGCCATCCGTCGTCGCGGAAGGAGAGCCGGCAGTGTTAGGATCCCAAGTGGCCTCCGCTACCGGGTTGGCGGCACTGGAGACCTGCGTTTGAGCTGGGGGAGCTGTCTGTTCGGAGGTTTGAGGGTCGGCAGAGGGCTCGTTCGCAGCAGGAGCACTGGCGTTATAGGAAGGATCCTGTAGCTCGGTGTAACCCGCGTTCGCCAGCGTAGGGTCGGACGCGGGAGCGGCAGCCGGGGCCACTTCCTCAGTCGCAGGCGCCTGTTCCTCGGCAGACTGTTTGACTTTGCCATCTAATGAGTTGAACACAATTAGCACCGAAAAAGTATTTCAAAGCGTTTGGTTGAAAAAGGAATCAGGGGGTGGGGAGCCTACAAGTGACTTCCAGGGTCTCGCCTTCGACGCTAACAACGGGTTCGTCCACACCGTCCACAACCTTAAGCATCGAGGTAACGGCGTCGTGCGACCCAGCGTAGATCTGGTAGAGCACGCCCTCGAACGCACGGGTCACATTGGAGGTTTCATCCCCGGAGCGCCTCATGGTAGCGGCAGTGTAAAGGAACTTGCTCAGACTGAGAAGCTGAACCCTCAGATCCTTCTTGCTTGCATCCTTGGCCTCGGCAACAGCTTTCTCCTGAACGGCCTTCAATTCGTCCTGGTGAAGCTTCGCTAGCTCAGCCTTCTGGCTTGCGAGGCGCTGCTCGTAATGAGCGGCAAACTCTTTCAAGTGGCCGATTTGCTCCTCGATCTGGGCGACGCTGGCTTGCAGGGCCGGTTTCTTCTCGGCCTGTGCCTTCTGGTCGGCATTGATCTTCTTTGTTGCGACCAGTTCGTCGAGTGACTTTCCAGGGTTCTCGGTGATGATGGCATCGACCTTGGCGGTAGCATTCTGTGGGAGGTATAACGGTGAGCGGTGAACGCGAGAGACGTCAGCGTTGGTGACTAACCAGCTTCTTGTTTGCATTGCGCAGGCTCCTGTTCCAATCAATCCCGTCAGTCCAATCGCGTTCCAGGCCCATAAGACCTCCTCCGAGGGCCAGGCAGTATGGCAAACTTCATTGCGTGACCTAGGCGCCGACTTACTTTTGGAGCTCTTTGAGGTACGGGCTGTCGATGCTGTCCAGACCGTTGGCGGTCGCCAAAGCTTCATCTGACTTGGACACGATAGAAGCGCTGGGGGCGTGTTTCTGCTTGAGCTTCTCCGACGAAGACTCGGACTGTGCTTGGGGGTTGCTGTTGATGGGAGCGGCAGCCATGATGCTTGATAGGCAGAAGGACTGTGTGGGTTGGTGGTGGGGGGGAATTGAACCGATCTCGCAACCAAAAAAAGGGAAGAATACAAAAGATGTAACGATGCTAAAGGATAGAAGGAGAGATACGAAATGAGATGAGGGACTAACTGGGAGTTATGACGGCAACAGAGTGGGGACGCGAGAGAGGAAGAGAGAAGGAGAGAGGGAGAAAGGACAAAGCGAAGAGAAGCTGGCGGAGCGAAAGATGCGGGTGGAACTCTTCCGAACCTCAGGCCGCCCTGTCGCGTGCTGCAGGACCAGCTCACCCCAGCCAACGCCCGATCAGCTTTGACTCCCCATTCACTACTGGCTGCCAGACGGGAATGGAATATTATCTTCAGGAGCAGATCTTGGATTCTTGCGGGGGGGTATCATATCATAACACTCCACGAACGCCTTCTCTATCATCTTCATCTTCCCGGTCAGTCCTCGATGTATGGAACTACCACCAAGGCTAACAACAGGGAAGGGAAAACATTGAAAAAAAGAGCAAAGGAAAAACATCAAACACAGAAAACGCATGTCCCCGATCTCATCCCGAATCTTTTGCAGTTCGTGCACTACTTCCTACTGTAGTTTCCTATCAGCCAACAGCATCTGTCATCCGCTCGACTTTCACGCAAGGCATTCCATAGTCCGATCAACCCTTGAACTTTCGGAGCGTTCTCTAGGAAAACGAGAGACCCGTTAGTTGAGCAATGGAAGAGCAATGGGCTCCCGGTGAATGAGTCTGGTCCACCCACCTCAGTCACTTTGCGAACCGAATTCGGAGAGATGTTCTTTTCACCCGCTTTCCGGGATCGAATGGACGATTCTCGCATCAACCTAGAGAACAAACATGCTTTAGTATCAAGGATGTCGTCTCGACCTGATCTTCCTCGGGCGGCGCTCATTGTGAATCAAGCCAGAGATTTGATGGCCCGGCGACTCGGATCTCGACACGTTCAAGGGTGGCTCACTCCTGCATAAACAGCATATAGTCCAGGAAGATCTACATCATTAGCTGGATCCTTGCGCGCCGTTCCTGGAATGCAGGACTCACCAATATATCGGCATTCTTGCTGACATTGCGGTTGGCGTGAGCTTTCACGATGCGTTTCACCGTGCCGCGAGGGTAGAGCTTCTGAGTGGCAGCCATGACGACTTTGGCGAACGCAATTGGGGGGGAGACAGAAGTGCGGGCGGAGGAGAGTCAACAATCCATCTCGAGGCCGATAAGCGCGGCGCTTATGTAATATCGATATCGCGTCCGGTATGGTATTGACAATACCACAGCCAGAACACATTCATACAGTACCCATGTATATCGAGGTACCTTCGTGTATACCTATGGATTATGGAGGTAGGTGGATTTAAAAAGTCGGCCTGGGTCGGTGGAAATAATTACATTCACCCCAATGCTACGGGATACTCTATCGTATGTCTACAAATGCACCGGAATCACGGGCGCCGTCGAAAATATCGCCAAGTATATATCGCCGCCACAGATCCCACGACAGCCCGCCAGGCCAGGAAGATAGAGACAGCAACCCGCAATCGGGAATAGTACCCTTTGAGCATGATGCCCACGGCGTATTTACTTCCATCCGGGACCCGGTCGGACGGTCCGTAGTATCGACCCACGCCGAGACCCCCGATGCCCACTTCGTTGTTATCGTCGGTTGTCGGCGCTACTGGCAGCGCAGCCGTTTGACCGTCCACCGCCGTATTGCTGGGGCGCGCTCCCGACTGAACTTGGAGCTGATTGCGTTTTCGCAGACGGTAAGTCAACACGCTCACGATCAACCACAAATCCGGCGTGGTGAACGTTGGGTATTTCCACATTTTAACCGCGGTATGAGGCGGAAGCATGTCTAGGAAGTCGGCTAAAATCCCGAGGGTCAGCCCCCAGAGAAGCAAAGGCCGCTCCTGCTTGACCGGGTCAGATTGATTGCCGGAGAGCCACGTCGTCCATCGTCGCATTGGCGAGACAGAAGGAGACGTGCGAAAATCGTCCGGGAGAAACCCCGGGGTCGTGTTGGACTGCAAGCTCTCCGTCGGCCGTAGACGAATGGCGGAAAACTGCATCATACCCAGCAGGCAGCGATAGACGAACCGCGGTATGATCCCACCCATGTTCGAGAGCCGCTGCGACATATCCACATTTTCCACTGTCCGCAGCGACGGCGACAGAAGAGCCCGTAAGGGTACCCAATGGGTAGATGCCACCTCGGTTGGCTGCAATCGGAGAGGAGGCGAGTCGCTGCGAGTCATCAGGAAGATGAAGGGACAGAGAACCATCAACCTGGAGCCACTCGGGTCAGTAAATGAAGGCGCTCGCTCACAAGACAAAAGAGACGAACGGCACCGAACCCCAGCTGGTGGTGACCACCCTTTCTGGCAGGTTTCCCACGTGGATACAGTCCTCCGTCGTCAGATCCAACCCTACTTCCTCTGAGGCCTCCCGGATGGCAGCCGCTTTGTCGTCGACGTCTTCCGGATCTCGCTTACCCCCGGGGAGCGCGACATGGCCAGTCCATCGGTCCCCAGCGCGAGATGCCCGTTTGATGAAGAGAACCTCCGGGTCTCCATTCTGAACCCAATCCTGGGCGAAAAAGGGCGTCAATCGATCATGGACCGAAGCGGTGTGGTCTAGAACAGGCAGGGAAGAGGTCTCCGGGGTGGGCCAGTGGCGATACGTGGGCCGGATTCGAAGGACAAGGGCGACCGACGCACGTTTCTTGCACGACGGCGGATTAGGCACATGGGGATATTGGTTTTGATGAAGGTCTGTCAATACATCATAGAGCGAGGCGGACAATGACGCCGGCTCCGGAGGCAGGTCGGAATTGGCCGATGCCATTTGAGGTCGAGGCACCGAGGTGGCACCTGTAGAAGAGGCTGTCAGAAGAAGAGTTTCGTCAGAAATGAGTCGAGGACCAGGTCATTCTTGGAGCAAACCAGACCGCTGCGCACCGCACACGACTATCAAACTATCAACTCCAGAGAACGTTATCGATGTACGGGCCAGTCACGGTCACGGTATCGGTAATTCCGTCCGGGGCGGAACGCCGTCCGGTCACGGGATCACATGCTGCCTCAGGTATCCAAGCTGTCGGGTGGGTCTGAGACGTCATGGGCGCGCGGTGATTGGCCGGACCGGGCGAGCGAGCAACTTACCGGAACGGGAAGGCAGCTCAGCACGTGCGGCGATGCGGCGACGACATTCACTCGTCGGAGGTGAACTACTGCTGTGCCTAACGTTTAGCTGCCATTTAGTCTTCATATCCTTGTCGCTTCGGCCTCGCCCTCGTGGGGTGACTAAACTGACCCTCGTCGGCTCTTTTTTTTTGCTGCTCATTCTCTCTCGTTTTCCCAACTTCTTACCCCTTCCTTCATTCCCTCTCCCTTCGCCTTCCCCCAACCTCTTCTGCTCTATCTGTCGGTCAATCGTCCGTGGCCATGCGGTTTGGCAAAACCCTGAAGAAGTCTATCTACGCCCCGTGGACTGGGAAATACGTTGACTACCACCGACTAAAAGTCCTCTTGAAGGAACATGATGTCACCGGAGACGGAAGTGACTCGGAGAGTAGCCAATGGACCGAACAGGATGAGGAAGCCTTCGTGCAGGAACTGATCAACGTCCAGCTGGATAAGGTCAACGCTTTTCAGGTGGAGACCTCTCAGCAATTGAGGGAGCGCACCTCAAAGTGCGAAGCGAAGTTGCGACCGTTGGCATCCGACACCGACCAGGAGGCACCCGCCATTGCGGACGAGACCCAGCGGCGCTCTCTTGCCTCTGAGGTCCTCCAAGAACTAGATGGGATCACGAGGGAAGTGAGCGAGCTGGAGAAATATAGTCGCATTAACTTCACCGGGTTTCTCAAGGCCGCCAAAAAGCACGATCGCAAGCGGGGGGCTCGGTACCGGGTTCGACCTCTGCTGCAAGTACGTCTGTCACAGCTGCCGTTTAATTCGGAGGACTACTCCCCTCTGGTCCGTCGGCTGTCGGTAATGTACTCTTTTGTACGTGAAATTCTCAGTCAAAGTGATGCCGAGACCAGGGATCCCGAAGCGCCGCGTTTCGGTCAGGAATCATACTCGTCATTCAAATTCTGGGTGCATCCCGATAACGTCCTGGAGGTGAAGACCTTCATCCTTCGGCGATTGCCGGTGCTCATCTACAATCCGGGAACGTCCAAGGACCCGGAGACGCTTCCTGACGACCCTACGATCACATCCCTCTATTTCGACGACCCGCAGTTCGATCTCTATACGCAGAAGGTTGCCCGGGCACCCGAAGCTGGCTCTCTCAGGCTCCGATGGACTGGAAACCTGAAAGATAAGCCGGCGATATTCTTGGAAAAGAAGGTCGTTATGGACGATGATCGCAGCCGGGAGGTCCGGGTGCAGTTGAAGCAAAAGCATGTAAAGGAATTCCTGGATGGGGAGTATCGGTTCGACAAAAAGGTTCACCGTATGGAGGACAAGGACAACGGTGAAACAGGGGAAGCCGAGTCGTTCAAAAAGGATGTCAGCGAGCTGCAGTCGTTCGTCAAGGAACACAATCTGCAACCGATGCTCCGGGCCAACTACACGCGAACGGCATTCCAGATCCCGGGCGACGATCGAATTCGTATCTCTCTTGACACCAACCTGGCATTGATCAGGGAGGACAGCCTCGATGTTGAGCGTCCCTGTCGGGATAGCCATGAATGGCACCGCACGGAAATCGATGATGCCGGCATGGAATATCCTTTCGATGCCATTCGAACCGGAGAAATCGTTCGCTTTCCCTACGCTCTGCTGGAGATCAAGCTCAGGGGACCAACGGCACATAAAGCGGAGTGGGTGAACGACCTCATGGTCTCGCACCTGGTGAAGGAGGCCCCTCGTTTCTCCAAGTTTGTCCACGGCGTTGCCCAGCTCTTTGAGGATTATGTGAACAGCTTCCCCTTCTGGCTGGGTGAGATGGAGAGCGACATCCGGCGGGATCCCGAAACTGCGTGGCACGAGGAACAAGAGCGACTTGCGAAACGCGCCGAAGAAGAGATGGCAGTTGGCAGCTTCCTGGGGAACAAGGCGAGTCCGACGGTCAAGCCCATGGTCGGATCTCCCGTAACGCGGATCTCAGACATGGAGCCTTCCTCGCGAGCGCGGCAGACCTCGCACATCACGGCATCGGGCCCGGAGGAGCGCGAGCAGCCCCAGCCCCAGCCCCAGCCTCAGGAGCCCGAACCTGACCAGCAGGATTCAAAGCCCATGAATCTGTCTCGCCTGGCCTCGCTCTTCCCCAATTTCCCGCTTTCCCGTTCCCGTCGTCCACAGGACACACCGGCGCCCCTGCCGCCCGGTGTCCGGGATCCGGGAACGTGGATCAAGGATTCCGGTCCCGTGCGTGTGGAGAGCAAGGTGTGGCTGGCTAACCAGCGTACGTTCATCAAGTGGCTTCATATCAGTATTCTGCTCTCCTCGTTATCTCTAGGATTGTACAACGCCGCGGGAAAGCACAACGACATCGCCCGCGCCCTATCCATTGTCTATACTGGCTTTGCCATCTTCTCCGCCGCCTGGGGCTGGTATATGTATGAGAAGCGAGCCCGACTGATCCGGCAGCGAAGTGGACGCGATCTCGACAACACGTTCGGTCCGATCGTGGTGTGTATCGGATTGGCAGTGGCTCTGGTGCTGAACTTTGCCTTCAAGGTATGTCTAACCCAACGCCGGACAGGATATGCCAGGATCCGCCTTTCCGCAAGATGCTAACGGCCAATCATCGCAGTATTCTTCTACACTCGAGAAGATTAGGAGTCAGGAGTCTCCCCTTGACATGGCTCCAGTCGAGACCCCGGGCACTTGGCCCCTAGTTAACCAAGGAGGCCAGGCGCTCTAAAAATGAAAAGAATCAGATACCGCCCCCGCATGGATGATGAATATGTACAACTTGTATCAACGAACGCCCTCCAGTATGAAAATGATCAGCGTGTATTCTTCTGAGTTTTCCACCCACCAACCTTTGATTATCATCTTTATTTTCTTTTTCTGAGAACGCATGCCCCGGTACGTTACCGGTCAGACTGGATTTCAATTAAATGCGTTTCCCGGGGGAATTACTGTTTTTGTGCTTTGATCTGGATGCCCTTGCAGAATGACTACATGGAGGGAGGGCTTTTCTAACCCAACCCGTCGATTGCGACTGCGGGATTCAATTCTTCTGTCAAAAGTTTGTCTTTTCTTGTATATATACACATACCTACAGAAGAAGGTAGTTGGGTCATGACGCGTATACAGGCATCAACGTCGTTTCTACGTATATTTCCCACCTCCAGCATGGGCCAGTAATGGAGCACGTTCCGGGTCGGGGTCGGGCAGAGCGCTCGCGGACGGGCCAAACGCCTGCCCGGAGGGTTTTCGGCGCGTCGGCGGGTGATACAAGGCACTGGGAACGCAGGTGTCGAAGCTCGTCCTGAACGTGTTAGCTATGTCTTGCGGGGTGTATAGATCTAGAAATAGCATACCGGTCTAGAAAGCCACAGAACAGCCATAGATAGACGGTGCCCAGGAACGCAATGATCCATTCCAAGATGCCGGCAGTGCGGTAGGTGGATATCGGATTCTCCTCGGAGACGGTGAGGGATATAAATGCGACGGCGAGGAAGACCTCGACGAGGATCAGGGCCGTTGAGAGCGAGGCACTGCCATCGTGGCAATTAGCACTACTGGCCACATACCACTAGCATTCGATGAACGGGACGAGGAGGGAAGGATAGCCGTACAATACCCTCACGCGCTGACTTCTTTTCCCCCAGTCATGCTGCCAGATGCCCAGATGATAGACGTACGAGATGAAGCCGAGGACCTCGTTGGAGTACACGATGGCCGTGCAGGCCGACTGCACCGCCAGCCCGGAGAAGCAGATGCGGAGGAAAACGTGATGCAAGCGCTTGTAGCGGAAGGTATCCATGACGCCCAGCAGAATGAGGGCGGTGCTGGCGACGCTGGCGGCGAAGATGGCCAGCAGCGAGACGAACTTGAGGGTCTTTGTGGTTTCGTGGTCCTCGTCATCGACGTCATCGTGTTCATTCACGTGGGGATGCACGTGGGAGTCGGGGTTGGCATCGTCGCGGTCATCGGCGACCGGCGCAGGCGAGACATCCCCACGGCCGGTAGCAATGGAGGAAGCCTCCGCGGGACATCTGACCAGCGCGAAGCCGGGTTCGTAGCGTACGACATGCACTATCGCAACGCTAAAGGCGAATCCCACGGCGGTGATGGAGGCGCCGACGAGAAATAATGGCTTTAGCTCGAAAGACGCAATGTCGGATATGAATCTAGATGTCGGCAGTCGTCAGCACCACTCAACCTTGGATATATCGCATCGCGCGGAGGTGGGAGGAGGGCGGTTCGACGAACGCAACATGGGGGTTACTCTGGCCAGGATACTGCGGCCTCCCACGGGCAATCCAGGTGAGGAGGAGCGAAGCCAGCGTCAGGAACCAGACCGAGCCCGCTAGAGCAGGGAAGAGGGGCAGGCGAGTGGGCGGGATATTAAGGATGATGCCATGGAGGGAACACCAGACGGAGTCATGACAGCGATCGAGAAAGGGAGGGGTCATGGAGCTGGCGTGGACCGGACTGGAATGGTTCCTGGAGCTCTGGCAGAGGAGAAGCAACGGCGCGAGGGAGAAATGAGCGGCATGAAGGAACGAAGTCGAAGGCGTTTAAAAAGAAAAGAAGAAGAAAAAAGCACCCCGTGATGCAAGTCAGCTGACGATCGACCTTGATTTGGATGTTTTCATCGTTTGTTTCTTCCCCGGATTTTGTCGCGCGCGTGTGACGTCATTGCGGTGTTCGTCGTCCCCTCGTCTTCTCTTCTGTCGTCTCTTCCCCTTCATCCTCTCTCTTCTGCATTGCTGCCACTGGGGTCGCTTCGTCAACACTCTCCTTCCAATGCCCCGTCACTTGCGTCGATTCTGGAGTGATGGGAAGCCACAGAACCCCATCGACAGTCGCTGACAAATCAACATCATGTCCCCCAGCAGTATATAAAGCCATGGGCCAAATCCGCGGAAAGCCCGGCGGAGATTTTTACTGCACATCCAATTGCCCACAATGACCAACATCAACATCCAAATAATCTCCGACACCGTCTGTCCCGTACGTCCTAACCCACCCATTCTCCCCCTCAGTTCAAAACCAACCACTAACCCATATATATCTAGTGGTGCTACGTGGGGTTCCGCCGCCTCTCGCGCGCCATCGCAACCCATAAGACCACCCACCCGGCCGATACGTTCACGCTCACCTGGCATGCCTTCTACCTGAACCCCAACGGCACTATCTACCCGGGCATCGACAAGACGGAGTTCTACCAGAACAAGTTCGGCGTCGATCGCGCCGCCGCCATCTTCCAGCGCATGTCCGCCGTCGGCGACGCCGAGGGGATTGCCTTCCGCTACGGCGGCCGCACCGGCAACACGCGCGACTCGCACCGGCTGCTGTGGTATGCCGGTCAGCGGGAGAAGCAGCAGGCCGCGCCGGCGCAGTCGGACGTAGTGGGCGGGTTGCAGACGCGCGTGGTGGAGCGGCTGTTCCGCGCGTACTTCGAGGAGGAGAAGAACATCACGGAGCGCGAGGTGCTGCTGGAGGCTGCGGCCACGGCTGGTCTGGACCGCGCTGAGGTGGAAAACTTCCTGGCGTCGGAGGCTGGCGGCCGAGAGGTCGACGAGGAGGCTTTCCGCGCGCAGAGACGCCTGGTGACGGGCGTGCCGTATTTCACGATCCAAGGGGAATACGCCATCGAGGGCGCGAACGAGCCCGATGCGTTCCTCGAGGCCTTTGATCGCGTGAAGGCAAATGCCTGATCGTGCTTTCTCTATCATGGCCAATCTAGAGCAGAGGCGGCAAAGGGCTCAATAAACCAATTAAAAATCCTCAGGTCTATCTGATTTCCGGAGCTAGAGGATACATATTGTACCATACAAAAAAGAAGAACTATATGTACTCAACGGGGACATATTCGCAATAGGTACACTGCATGATCGAAAGGCATGTCCATCGCCATCTAATCTTCCTTCCCGCAGCCTCTCGGGAAATTAAAATGCAAAGGAAAAGGCCTTGCATGAGCAGATGCGTGTAGTGACAGACTCACGGCAAAGCGACATCTTCACCAAAACGCCTTCAGATGCCATGCAGGGAGAAAGAAAAAGAGTGATTCGAAAAAGGAAAGGAAGAAGACACGAAGGAGAATTGAAAGGAAGACTTGCCACCCGTCCAGCGCCTGAGCATAAAACATGACACTGGGAATAGAAAGAGGCCGTAAATGGGGAGAAATCCGGGCGTCTTGCTGTAATGCAGGCGGTCCTGGGCACGAAGAAACGATGTAAAGAATATAAAATGCAAGAAAATAGATCAACGCCTTAAAACAGCCGTAACACCCAAGGACATAGGTTGACAAATGTCTAACACATTCCCCCCGTCCGAGGGGTTGTGATATTAATGTCGTAGCCAGAATCATTCGTAAACAAAGTCATGAAAAAAAGATAATAAATCTGGAGACCCAGAATGGAGAACGCCGAATCTAGGTCAGGAAGAGAATCTGGGGGAAAATCCCACCAAAGATCGAAGACAAGATCAACATGCAGTCGATCCGAGATTTTAATGAGCAGTTGCTTGACACAACGCGAAGTCGGGAATGTGATCAAACCAATCGGTGGTTGGGTTGTATCGGTAGGCCTTGAAGTCAACGCCGTACGGCTTAGGTTCCAGCATGTACAGCATGCCCAGCGGCACATCCAGCCCGGCCACTTCGTCGCGCTTCAGACCCATAAAGTACGCCAGCAGGACACGAGCCACGGATCGATGGGTCACCAGGCAGACGTGGTCGGTCATTCGCTCCACCTCAATGATCACCGCGCGGAGTCGGTTGATCACGTCTAGATACCCTTCTCCGCCAGGTCCGGGGTACCGGTAGTACAGCTTCTCCTTGCGGCGAGCGGCGTACTCGTCTGGGAACTTCTCTCGGATTTCATCGTACGTCATGCCTTCCATCATGCCGGCGTACAGTTCGTCCAGCATCTTCATCTGCTTAACATCGTAATCGTCTTCGTTGAAATAGTCGACGGTCTGCACCGAACGCTGCATCATGGAAGACCACACGCAGTAGTTGCGAGGCCGATCCCTGGGGATGTACGACGGGTTGGGAGGAGTGCTATCTCCGGCCCGTGGCGGGAATTGTCCCATGATCTCCTTCTGCCTCTGCACGGTCTCCCACTGCTTGCGTTGGTGATCGATGAACTTGGCCAGCGCCTTGCCGTACCGGTGACCGTTCTCACTGAGTTCCGAGTCACCTCCGATGCGCCCGGCCTGGTTGTCTTTGCTCTCGCCGTGTCTCGTAATCCAGATTTGGCGCGGGGACAGGTTGAAGTTGAGGAGATAGTAAACCACCTGCGACGAGAGGAAACCATGGGTCTGGTGGGATACCATCTTGCGGCCAACGTCGATCATCTGAATGTAGGCCATCCCGTTCTTTTCCTCGTAGTCGCCCAGCGGGACATATGACCGCTCATACAGGGCGACACGCTTCTTGAAGTCCTCCAGCGCCTTCACGGGGTTCTGCTCCTTGTAGTCGGGGCCAGAGAGCTTCAGGCGCATGTTGGCTTCGAGCAATTCTTGGTCGACACAGCTACTTTCCAGGAACAAGATACCGAGCTCGGGTCCAGCACGCTGGCGAATGTGGTCGACGATGGCCTTGCGGCGCTCCATGGTGCTGTTCGTGGCGTCGAGGATTCCAACGCTGCCACCATCGTCCAAGATATAGTTCAGCAGCTCATCCAGGGTGTCCAGGGCCACTTGCTCTCTCAGCTTGACGGCATGCTGATTTTGGGGGTCGAAGAAACTTGCGGACTGGTCCAAGGGTTCCGGCGACGCCTCTTTCATGGCCAACTGGTCTTGCGGGCCAGCGAGCTCGGCCGGGATGATGGAGCTGCCGTTCGAGAGGCCGGAGGGCTCTTCCTCTTGGCCGTTGATGAGGATCTTCGAAGGGACGGCCGGAGGCGGCAAGGTATTCTCGAGTTCCGGGGGCGAAGTGGCCACCGCAACGGACGGGGCGCGCTCCTTATGGGACGGCGAGTTGATGCCGACACTGACGCTGAGACGTCGCACCGAATCGACCAGGTCCTTGTGGATGGAGCTAGTGCGGTGGTCTCTGTGTCGCCCTATCGGGGAGGGCGATTTACCGGCGGCCACACGCCGGCGTTCTCCCACGTTGAAGATCTCGGTGTCGTGTTGGAGCCAATTCAGGTAGCGAGCGAGCTTCTTGGTCACGTAACTCTTACCCCGCGCGGGGAGGCCAACCATGACGATGACCAGTTTCGCACCGACATCTCGCTGGGCAATGCGACCGTCGGGAGAGACTTTGGATTTGGTGAGACCCGGAATATCAAGGGTGGTGGCACGAACGCGGCCGGGGGTTGAGGGTTGAGTGTTTTCGGCGTGACTGCAGAAGGCGGGGAGGGGCAGGTTAGTTTTTATCGAGCCAAGAACTCTTAGGTCAAAGATCTGAGAGATTGCAAAGAAAAAAGAAAGAAAAATAAAATAAAACCCCCCTGGGGGATCGTCATGCACCGTTCATTCGATATTTCCCGGGGGGAGAACAACCCGAGACATGACAAGCCAATTGGCGATCCAAGCATCCAACGCAACGAGCAAGAACAGCCAACGAACGCGCGAGAGAAAGGGGGCACCTACAACTGTGGAGACGAAGGAGCGGTAGAAATCGGAGTGTCACTTAGGGCACAGCCGACACCGTCCTTGGAGGCCCTGTGGGCGTCGGCATGCAGCTCGTTGCCTAGCGCTCGTCCGACCAGAGTCTTCGCGGGAGGCATAAGAGTCGAGTCCTTGCCGGGACCGGGCCTGACAGTGCCGTTGGAAGACGAGGCCCCGTTCCGATGCTGAGACAAGTCGGGATGCGCGGCGGAGGTCATGATTGCTGAACGTGCGATGTCGGTATGCTGGGCCATCCCCGCCGGTGGCGCAGGGACTGCAGCCGAGTTCTAATGAAGGGGGAGGGGGAAAGGAGGAAGATGGAAGATAAAGAATGCGAGATGCGATGCGTCGGATGAAGACGATCAAGACGAGAGGAAGTGCGAGTTGGAAGAGGGGCAAAAAAGCGAGGAAAAAAGAAAAATAAAATGGGGGGAAAAGCGGATGAGTCAACGTCACTTTCCCACCCTCGATTTGCTTTGCGCTCGTTCACGCAGACACACTCTCTTTTCTCTCTCTTGGTGTCTTGCAGAGAACGCAGACAATTCTCTCGGTCGGTCGGTCTCTCGCCCTGCCAATGACTGATTCACGGGGGTCGATCGATTGGGGATTCCAGGTCCGATGGAAATCACACAAAGCGACAGGGTCCACGAAGGATACGAACAATAGGATGGCCAGAATAAGCCCGATCCGATCCAATCCAGTCCAATCAAGGTGGCAGCCAGCCGGGCGTGAAGGTGTTCAGATGTCTAGGATGTCCCAAGAAGTCCGAAATTATGCCACGAGAATGCAGAGGCCTCTACTCCGTACCCCGAACGCCTTAAGAGGGCGGACCGACAGGCTGATGAAGTCACCGCGAGTGGATCTGAGACGCTTGATCGGCCCTCGTTCGTCGCGCCAAATGATGTAAAGCGCATCCACGCCGACGGTTCCGGTGGTTATAAAGTAGCCAAGTAGCCAACGAGAGCCGACTCTCCCTTGCCCGGCAGACAACGACAATCCGGCTTGGCTTTGCTCGCTGCAGGGAAGCACAAAGGATCCAGAATGCTTGGCAGTAGATTGAAAGACACTATTCTATCGCCTACGGGTTCTGGCATCCCTGTCTGGCATGTATTCTAAGACGGAGGTCGGTCTAGTAGGAGCCTCCGCTGCCGATTGTGAACCCAACGGGCTGTGGTGCATTGTACGACCAAGCGTCTGCTCTGTCCGACTTCTCTTTTGGGAGAGAAACGAAGGCCCAGAAAAAAAAAACCCCCCCTCCCTACTACGCCCTTATATCGTCACCACATCATCAGGAGATCAGGACTAGGCTTGGCAACGTCGTACGCTCCTCCGGGCGTGGTACGAAGGGCGGTCTTATGATAATGATTTCCGCTCACCCTTCGTCGCCCTATCATCCCATCCCGCCTGATTTTCTACTCGGAAGCCAGACAACGGCACGGTTGGCTCGGATGGGCGACGTCGAAGGACGGCATTCTGCCCTTCTGCGGGAGTCTTGGCGCTTGGCAGTTACGCAAGGAGGGAGTGGGTTGCCGACGCCTCGTCGATAGACATACAGGAACATACATCCCTTGAATGCGGCCGCGCGGACTACTCTTGTGTCATTAATGATCCAGTCGGACGGTGAGAGCGATCAGGGTGGCGTAGGCGGCGATGCTCAGCGCGGTCAGCACGACGACGGCGTTCCCGCTGGTGCGGAATTTGTGACGGTGCACGCCGTCCTCTCCCACCTCGGAGAAGAACTGACGGTTGCCCTGCTGCCGGCGGAAGAGGCCGATGATGAGCACGCCGGTGCCGTAGATGGCAAACAGGGCGCCGGTGCTGTAGAACTCGTGGGTGAAGATCTTCAGGACGACGAGGGCGAAGGAGAACTGGGAGAGGGCGGTGCGGACGTAGGCGCCTTCGAAGGTGCGCTGGGCGGCTCGCACCTCGACGATCTCGTCGGAGGTCAGATTGACGGTGCGGGCGCGATGCATGCGCAGGCGATAGCGGTCGGCGGCGCGACGCTGAACATGACGGGGCAGGTTAGACGGACGGGGAAGAGCGACCAGTTGGAAATGTCACGGACGCACCTCGAACATGGCGACGTGCAGGGAGGTAACACAGGGCCAGGCAGGACTCTGACGGGGAGGAGCCTTATGGAAGGAAAGCAGCGTCGACAGAAGTGGAGGAGGAGGGCGATCAAATAGTGGGAAGCTGGACGGCGAGGTGTGACTTGTCGGTGGTCACGCTGGCTGGGGGAAGAAGGTACAGTACACCTCAGTATGGTAAGGTAGGTAAGAAACGGTGTATCGTGTACTGAAGTGGTACTGCCACGGCCGGACGTATCGCCACGCCCATTTCTCCGCCAATCAACGTCACCGGCTCTGTAATCGCGGACGGTCGGCTTTTGACATTACCCGACGGAGTAAGGCCGACCCCATTCTTGGAGCAGTTCCCCACCCGCCAAAAGCCAAAAGGCGTCGGACTTGCGGCCGATGCATGAATATTGCAGACAGACGGAGGAGACTCCAGCGACTCTTCTTTCCTCTCTTCTCTTATTCTTCTTTATCTACCCCCTGACTCTCTTCTCCTCGTCATCTTCCCATCTTCTCATCTTCACTTCTCCCCCTCTGCCATCGCCTGCCCCATTCGGCCTCCAATCCTGGCCCCTCATTCTTTCTCCGCATCCCGCGGAACTTGCTTAACGAACCCCCACGCTCTCGATTTTCTCCAAAATGGCCAAGGTGTTGGACGCGGCCGAGAGTCTGTCGCCCGAATTCCTCCTGGGATCTTGATTGCAATCCATTGATGGCTGACACGAATACCCGTTCATGCAGTTGCCAAACACAATACCCCCCAGAGCTGCTGGGTGATTTTATATAACAAGGTTTACGATGTATGGACTTCCCCCGACGGTGCCGTATTTGGACCTTCTCAACGGAACAACTAACGCGAATTCCCCCAACACAGGTCACAGACTTCCTCTCGGAGCACCCCGGGGGTGCCAAAATCATCCTGAAGCTGGCCGGTAAGGATGCCACCGAGGAATACGACCCCATCCACCCCCCGGGCATTCTAGAGGAAAACCTCAAACCCGAGGCCTTCTTGGGGACCGTCGATCCGAACACCCTCCCCAAGCCGGAGAATGAGCCGGCCGCGGCGACGGAGGAGGTCAAAGAGGGCCCCCCTCCGATGGAGTCCCTCCTGAACATGGACGACTTCGAGCAGGTGGCCACCAAGACCGTGAGCAAGAAGGCCTGGGCCTACTACTACTCGGCCTCGGACGACAAGATCACCAAGCATTTCAACAACGAGGTCTACCGGTCCATCCTGCTGCGCCCGCGCGTTTTCGTCGACTGCACCGTCTGCGAGCTCGACACCTCGGTCCTGGGCCACAAGCTGGGCATGCCCATCTACGTCTCGCCGGCGGCCATGGCTCGTCTGGGTCATCCGGCGGGCGAGGCCGGCATTGCCGAGGCGTGTCGCAGCTTCGGCGCCATGCAGGTGATCTCCAACAACGCGTCCATGACCCCGGAGCAGATCGTGAAGGATGCGGCGCCCGGCCAGACCTTCGGGTGGCAGCTGTACGCGCAGATCGACCGCAAGAAGAGTGAGGCCCTCTTGGCCCGCATCAACCAGCTTAAGGCGATCAAGTTTATCGTGCTCACCCTGGACGCGCCCGTCCCGGGCAAGCGGGAGGACGACGAGCGCGGCAACCAGGTCGGGGCGGCGGCGCCGGCCCCCAGCGCCGTGAAGATCTCCAGCGACGCCCCGGACATCAGCGAGGCGCCCGGCGGCGTCGGACGCACGCTGTTTGCGGGCACCGACCCGTCGCTGACCTGGAAGGAGACGCTGCCCTGGCTGGCCAAGCACACGGACCTGCCCATCATCCTCAAGGGTCTGCAGACGCACGAGGACGCCTACATCGCCTCCTTGCACACGCCGCAGGTTAAGGGCATCATACTCTCGAACCATGGCGGCCGCGCGCTGGACACGGCGCCGCCCGCCGTGCACACGCTGCTCGAGATCCGCAAGTACTGCCCGGAGGTGTTCGACAAGCTGGAGGTGTGGGTGGACGGCGGCATCCGGCGAGGCACCGACGTAGTCAAAGCGCTGTGTCTGGGCGCGAGGGCCGTCGGCATCGGACGTCCGTCGCTGTGGGGATTATCTGCCGGCGGCGTCGAGGGCGTGAAGCGAACTTTGCAGAGTACGTTTTCTCTTCTTTACACATTCACGCACTTCTCCGGTTCACTAACATGTCCTGCCTTCAGTTCTGGCCGACGAAACCAAGACTTGCATGCGGTTGTTGGGAGTGGAGCGCGTGCAGGACCTAGGACCTCAACATGTAAGTGGACACCCGCAAGTCCAATCGCAATGACCTCGACTAACGCCGGCAACAGATCAACACTCGCCTGGTAGAGCAGCAGATCTACGACGGACCGTCGGGACTCGAGTCCCTGCGGAGCCAATTCCGAGCGAAGCTATAGAGTCGAGAAGTCATCGGAACAAAAGAAAGCGTCGTTTGTATTTTTTATATACCAAGATGTTTGGATTTGCATTGCTAGTTTAGACGTAAATACTAGTCCATCGCCATGGAGATTCGGAATCAGAATAAGATCTAGAATATCGGGTTTCTCGCAAGTATCATGTATCCTGTAATCGCCAGGGGTTGCTCACCGAAACAAACACCCCCAGAATCCACCCTCGAACCAATCCCTCTCCTGGCGCCAGCCCTTGACGATCAGGTCGCGTCCCAGCTCGATGATCTGGTGCACCTGTTCCTGCGTGCCCCAGTCCGTGATCATCGTGCCCCAGCAGATGAAGTGCACCCCTACGTGGATTGCCACGCGGAAGGCCGTCGCCTCCGTGAGATGGGGGTAGGCGCGCGCCAGCCCCTCGATGATCCAGGGCCCGGCGTCGACGTCGCGGAAGTGCTTGACAAAGTACAGCTCGGCCATCATCTGGCCGAGATCAAGGGCGCGGGCGCCACACTGGGCGAGTTCCCAGTCGATCACGAACAGGGGGATGGTGGTCTGTTGGTCGAAGACGTCTTTGGGGATGAGCACGCTGTTCTTGTTAGCTTGTGTTTCTTGAGGATTAAAGATGTAGTGGAAAGACATCGACAGGAAAGAAAAGAACAGAGAAGGGAAACCAAATAAACATACTTCCCCGACCAAAAGTCCCCATGAATCACTCCAAATGCGCCCCCCTCGCCGTCCTTCCTCCCTAATTCACTCCGCGCCAGATCCCGGACCTCCTCGAACACGCCCCGACTGGACCCCAGGCGATCCGGATACCGATCCACCAGGCCGACCACGTTCTCATAGTTGATGTTGAACTTGAGATCGCGCATCAGCTCGTTCCCTTCCATCTCCCGGACCAGGACCGCCTGCGCCGACTCCGCCGTCCACGCGTGGAATGAACCAAGCCACTGGCCCAGCGCGGCGCCGAGGGAAGTGGCCCAGGGATGGGAGAGACGGGGTGCGATCTGCGGATCGGTGAGCAGCGTTTTAAGGTCGACTGCCCGGGGCAGGTCCTCCATGACTTGGGTGTAGGAAGGACGGTCGAAGGCCAAGAGGCGGGGTGTTTGAACGGTGATAGAGCCGGCCGAGGAAGAGGCCGTGATGGTGGGTGGGAAATCACCGAGAGATTTCAGGATGGATGCTTCGATGAGCTGGGTTTAACACCGCTCCTCCCATCGTGGGAGGGTGGGACTGTCAGTATAGTATACTACACCGTAGATGGCCGGGAAGCATGGGGATAGTATATAGTACAATGGCCATAGACTGGATACCAAAGACTACGCAGTAAAGAAAGAACATACACATCTCTCTGCCGGCAGCTGGAACTCGCGGTTCGACGCGATATAATCCTTGGTATGCTTGACAATGACCGAGTCGTGGTCGCGAGTCCCGCGGAAGACGAAGTTGGCGGTGCCGCCGCTGAGTCGCTCAAGATGCGTGCAGTCATACGAAAGACGGCGGAGAACGTCGGGGAGGCTCTGTAAATCGTCCGCCATGATCTGGGAGATACTGGACAGAGAAAGAGGCAAAGATAGCAGAAGAACAGGGAGGAGGATGAGGAAGAGGAGAGGAAGAAGTAGATGAACTACGAGAAAGTCGCTTAAATAATGAAGATCTCCGCTAAACCCGAAGCGTTGCCCGCCAGAGAAGTCGATGGACAGCTTTCATTTACTGCATTCTCTGCACGAGGGAGAAATAGCTAGGTACAAACTGGATGATACACAAATTGAACGATCACATCATGCCAAATAAACCAGAGAGATATTCGGGGCGAGAGTACCCCGCAAAACTACTGTCTCAATGACCCAACTTGGTATCGCAGATGATGGTGGTAGTAGTGGTGACCGTGTGAGCGCAAGGAGTGCTCGTGGCCATAGTCGAAGAAGGCATCGAGATGGGGATACTGGGGACGGTCATCGTTGGTGCAGGAGACCAAGATGTGGTCGCATCGTCACACGGAGTGCTCGACGTATGTTTGGTGGGAGCCACCGCCGACACCGATGTCCAAGGCAGGGTCATGCCAATACTGGTGCCGGTCCATTCCTTGTATGAAGAAATCGACAGAGTATGCCTGATGGGAGTTCCCGCCGGCGCAGAAGTCCAGGGCAAAGTCATGCTGATACCAGTGCTCGACGTATTGCTGCAGGGAGTCCCCTTCGACGAAGGAGTCCCGTAGCTCGTGGTGAAGCCCGACGGCCGAGACCACCAGGACGAGGGCGCGGACGGAATGACGGGCGGGAATCGCGAGGTGGGTGGCATCGTGGTGTGGTTGGTATGGTTCATGCCCGTGGGATAAGGAGGCAGAGGAGGAGCCGTCGAGTTGGCAGCGCAGGGCCTCGAGGTGGTGGCATTGCCCTTGGCCACTCGCACGCAGACTTCCGTATCCCCAAGCAGGTTACCACAATCGGGATAGGAAATGGCAGGATTCCACTTGTAGAAATCCTCCAGGGGAACGCCGTTCCACATCGCAATCTTGTCGCAGTTCTCACCGCGGCCGACGCGCCACCAGCCATCACAATTCGGCGCCACCCCCGATTGACGAGGAACTGCAGGGGGCCAGACTTCCGGAGGAGGAGGCGCTGTGCGGTTGGCGGGGGTGCCAGGCACGGCCACGCAGTACCAATAGTTATCCTATCGCATGTTAAGACACGAACTGGAAGAAGAAGGGGACAAGAAAGACTTACTTGGATGGCGGCGCAACCATCTCCTACGGTCGGATTCCAGGCGATGAATTCTTTCACGGAGAAGGTGCCAAACAGATCGACCACATCCTGACAGGTCTCCCAGTCGTTGACCTGATACCAGGCGCGACATTCCTTGGTGGTGTTGGCCTGGACGAGCGAAGTCGGCGTGGCCGTGGCCGTGAAGGGCAGATCCGGTTCGGAATCCGTGAGAGTTGCGCCGGCCGAGTAGGGCCAGTGACTCCGAGAGGTTGGCGTCCAGGGCGTTGTCTCCGGCAGGGATACAGGCCCCGAGGAATAGCCATAACTGAACGGGCTCTGGGGCACGCCAACACACACCCACCAGCCGGCAAAGGGCAAGTCGCAGTCGAGGGCGAGGTCGGGATTCCAATCCAGCCTGGAGGCGGCATTAGTCGGCCCACGATGACCCTGAGAGACACGGGGGAGAACTTACAGATTATCCATGGTGATCGTACTGTACAGCGCTTTGATTCGCTTACACGTGTCCCCATATTGAACCTGATGCCACTTGTTGCACGTCGACGGCTGGCCGGGGCGCGTCTTTTTAGGCGGCCAGGCAGTATCGGTGGAGGACGGGGGAGTCAGCGACGGCGACGTGATGGGGTGATTGAACGTGTAGGTCGAGGGACCGGAGGGGGAGGCTGCAGAAGTAGAAGGAACCGAAGGAACTGAAGGGGCTGAAGTTGAAGCAACAGGAGGTGAAACCGAAGGCACTGAAGTCTGGATAGTAGGGCTAGGGCTACTGCCAACGCCGACGCAGTATGTCTGGTCCACCCAGAAGTTCTTCAGGCAGTCCGCCGACACGTCCGGGTTCCAGGCAAGGAAGTCCTTGGCCGTGATCCCCAACGATCTCTGAACGGAGTCGCAGGTGTCGCCCTTCTTGACCTTGTACCAGCGGTTGCAGTTGGACACGGTGCCAGGCAGAGTCGAGCCAACCGGGGAGGGGGAGGAATCCGCCGGGGTCTGACCCAGAGCCACTGCAGAGAGCAGCAGCAAGATGAGGAACTGAAAGGGATACATTGTAAGGGGATACAGGGAGAAGAGATGGAGAGAAAAGATAGTGTGTAGAGATAGGTAGAGATAGGATGAGCAAGGAGAGGGTTGAGGAACAGAAGTTCGAGAGACCGTGCAGCAAAAATCAAAGGGATTGATATAGACAGCATCCTGGGGATCCGAGCACCAGCTGGACAGGAAGCTTCCGGTGGTTCTCATTCCTACGAAGGATTCCTGCGTGAATCTGGATATGGTCGCCACCGTAGCGGATATCGCCGGTAGCCTTTCTGGCAGTAAACAGACGCGTAGGTTGAAGATTCAAGATTCAAGTTTCAAGATGCATAGATTCACAGGTTCATAGTTGCATAGGGTCAAGATTCATAAGTTTCCTTAAGTTCATCAAGCTCACCAAGTTCATAGATTCACACCTTCATGATTACAAGACACACAAAATCTTGATACATGATGAGATTCAAGGCACAGTTTCAAACCTTCCACGCGTCATTCATAACTACATGATCACAGGATCTTACGCTGAATACTAACGATGCTGATCACAAGGAAGCCATATTATAGCACGTAAGATACATACATTGTATTGAGACTACCGTGCTATCATCATAAAACAATCCCTTCCCAATGGCCGGGAGAAAGCCGGGGATCATTTCTATTTCTTCAGCTGCCTGTTACAAGACCCGGCCTGCTTAATCCGCTGGAAGGTGACGTAATGCTCGCTGCGAGGATCGAGATAGAGTCGCTCGAAGGCTTTATCCACGGCGGCGTCGTAGAGCTGGATGAGCGCCTGGACATCTTTCAGGGTCGGCTGATGATTGACGCTGATGCGGCCGTTCATGTGGCGAGTTGTCTTTAGACCAAGACCACGCAAGCCCTGTCTGACGCCCGACCGGCTGTTGTACATCATAATGGAATCCCAATCCACATCGTAGGCCGTGGCAGCACGGTTTGGATGATGGAGATGCGCCAGTTCCGGTTCGTCGGTCATTGGGAGAATTTGAGCAGCCACCTTGAATCCCGCCTCCATCGCAGCCCGGCGGTTACCACAGATGCCTCTCTCTTTATCGAAGAGGGGAATTCCCCGCGGGGCGCGCAAGAGGGCATCCTCGTAGCCGTACAGGTTTTGGCAGTTCAGCTCGAACTGATTGGATTCCCAAAACCAAGGGAGCTGATGTTCATGGTATAGGCCGAGGATGTGTCCGATTGCATGCATGAATTTCTCCTGGCGGGAACTTCCTCCTGGAGCCCCCCATCCAAACTGCTCGTCATAAGCGTTGGGGATGATCATGATAGGTCCATGGTTGAAGTCGCCGGCCTCGGGCACGTATTTCCCGACGCTCGTTGCGAACTCATACGGACTTTCCGCCATGATAACGAGGAGCGAGTCGCGCCGGCTTCGCGTGCATTCGGCCTGGGAGATCTGGGTGAATGTAAATCGTTGTTCGGGCAGGCCGGCAGCATACCACACGTTGATAGCAGATCTCAGGATGCGCTCGAAGCGATCCCTCTCAGTCTGACTTGCCCAGCAGTATCTAACTTCGCCTAGAGGCCAAGTAGTGACCACTTGGGAATCGACACTGATCGGCACGGCATGCTTGATCTTCGCGTGAGAGGACTCCCACAGGGCATGGCCAGCGTTCACCAGGCCAGGCCCAAAGAACGCGACAAGCCAGAGGGCCAGGCCGAGAACGGACTTCCACTGAAGCATCGAGATGGTTGTTGGTACGTAGGGAGGAACAGATATTATGAAAGAGGCTAATTGAGTGGTAGTGGTAGACTTGGTAGAGTGGTGGAATGATAGACAGAGAGATGTAGGATGGTGGAGTGGGAGAAGAGAGGGAGATCCGGGGTATGAAGGGAAGTCCATATAAATACCCACGATTGAAGCCCCAGGAAATTCAGTACCGGGGATTTCCATGAAAGCAGGGCACCTCGGCAATGTGAAGTTCCGTTACGAAAGGCCTCGAGGGCCTGGATGCATCTATATTTAAAGCTCTATACCGAACCCCCCTAGGAGTTGCGTTTCTCTTCTTCCTCAATCCCATTCGTTTCTCTCTCATCGTCTCTTCCTTCTATCTCGTAGACTTCTGCCCGTCATGGCAAAGTTTTCCTGGTCTCTTCTTCTGCTCCCTCTTCTCCTGTGCCATCTGGTGGCCGGGGTCTACGCCGTCATCGCCCCCGATCTGCCCAACTTCCAGACTCTAGCTGACAAGGACGATCCATCGTGCACGAAAGACACCGGCTGCAAAGTTGGCTGCTGCGGACCGCTGTAAGTGGGCTTCGTCGCTCTTTTCGTTTCGATTGCTAACTCTCGATACGCGCAGAGACCCAAAGACCGGTAAGGGTACTTGCGGCTTTGGACCTGACTTTTGCGGCAAGAGTTGCACCTCGCAGTGTGACCGCAAGAGCGAATGTGATGCCGGCTGGGGGATGCAATGGTCCAATGCTTCGGCCTGTCCCTTGAATGTGTGCTGCAGCAAGTTTGGTTTCTGTGGTGAGTACTAGCCCCTTGGACTTGATCTCATCGGTCCCCATCTCACTCGTCCGGCTCGTAAGGCACCACGCAGGACTTTTGTCAAGGTCGCAAGGTGATTTCCCCCGAATGCACTGGTGATTCGGCCAAAGCCAAGACCATCGGATACTGGGAAGGCTGGAATGAAGAGAAAAAGTGTGATCGTGAGTGGATCTGCCCCCTGCCCCCCTTGTCCCCTTGCCCTAATCCCAATCCCATACCAACGCACGAACAGACATGCCCGCCAAGGACATTCCCCTGGGCTACTACACGCACTTGAATTTTGCCTTTGCCTACATTGAGCCCTCGACCTTCCGCATTGCCCCCATGGATCCGGCCACCTCCTCGCGCTACGGCCAGGTGACGGCGCTCAAGAGCCGTCAGCCCGGCCTTAAGGTATGGATTGCCATCGGGGGCTGGGCCTTCAATGACCCGGGCCTAACGACGACCACGTTCTCGGATCTCGCAGCATCCGAGGCCAATCAAGATGCCTTCTTTGAGTCGTTGATCAACTTCATGGTGGTCAATAACTTCGACGGCGTCGACCTGGACTGGGAATATCCGGTTGATGCCGAACGTGGAGGAAAGGCGGCGGACTATGTCAACTTCGTCACCCTCTTAAAGCGCCTGCGAGAGCGTTTGAATGCAACGGGAAAACAGTACGGAGTCTCGATTACCCTGGTAAGCCTTATCCTTTCTTCGTTCTTCCCTGGCATTGCGAATTCAAGGCTAACATTCGGCCCAGCCTGCGTCCTACTGGTATCTTCGTGGATTCGACATCGCGAACCTGGAGCCCCATGTGGACTGGTTCAACATCATGACTTATGATATCCGTGAGTACTTCTTTTTATCTCAGAACTTTCCCAAGCCCATCGCTAACCAATCTGGCAGATGGCGTTTGGGATAAGCTTCCAACCGCCGGACCTGGCGCGTATGCTTTCGCCCATACCAACTTGACCGAAATCAACATGAGCCTGGAGCTCCTGTGGCGAAATCACATCAACCCGGGACGTGTCGTCCTGGGCTTGGGCTTCTACGGCCGGAGCTTCACGATGAAAGATCCCAAGTGCATCACGGCCGGCTGTCCCTTCCGCGACGGCGGCCGCAAAGGCAAGTGCACCGATACCGAGGGCATCCTGTCGGGTAGGGAGATCAAAAGTCTCATCAAGGAGGGCGCCAAGGTTTCTTTTGACAAGGAGGCGGCTGTGAAGATGGTGACTTGGGACAATGACCAATGGGTCAGCTGGGACGACAAGGAAACGCTGAAGATGAAGCTGGACTTCGCCAACAAGCGGTGCCTGGGCGGAACCATGGTATGGGCAGTGGATCTGGACGATGGCTCGTTGATCGAGTCATTGGCAGAAGCCATGGGCAAGAACAGGACCAAGTTCTACGAAAAAACCCTCAACCCCTTCTACATCCAGGAGGTTTTGTAAGATGACAATCTGGAGTCCGTCTATCCCCGAGGAATAGCCTCACATTGGATACTTGGTGATGCAAAACCTATTAGATTTGGTAGTTCTTCATAAATTGGAAGCTATATCGTTCTAAGATCTTACTACTGCTTTGCACGCACCTCAAGCTCGTCGTCTGATTGCCCCATGGCGGAATAACTTCATCCTCCGTGGGTCGATCTCGTCTTTCTGGTAACTTGTAGACAGGTAGGAAGTTTCCATCGAGACAGAGGGGACAGCATGTACATTGCCCATGTCTAGTAGTAGATGATGAAGATTCAAGCATACTGGAAGTCTCCGCTTGACGATGGATCATCCCCAGTGAAGAATTAATGGAGCCTGCCAGGTTCGTATCCTACGGCTTCAATATTTAAGGGCCGTTAAAACTTTTCTCTACTTCTTTCTCTCTCTCTCTTTCTCTCTCTCTTCACTCTATCCTCTACTTCTAACAATTTCCTTTCCTCCTCCATCTTTCTCTTGTTTCCCCAATAATTACTGCTTCCTATTCTTCCTTCCTTTGGCCCATCATGGCGCCTCTGGCATGGATCGTGCTGCTTCTTGCGCTGCTCGTTCATACTATCTCTGCCGTTTCTTTCTATCCTTCCGCTGATGTGCCAGACCATACTCTGCCCTCTGATGTATCCCTTGCCCATTCTCCGGTTGATGTGAACAATACTCTGATCTCTGATCCCTTGATCCTTGAGCCCCGAGACGACAAATTGCCTGACCCAACCGACTTTCGCTGGATTAAACGGTGGGCGGCACTCGGTGACAGCTTCAGCGCCGGGATTGGGGCAGGGAATCTGTATACCTCTGCTCGCGGTGATGACTGGAAATGCTCTCGATACGATCGGTCTTATCCTGCCCGGCTGGAGAAGGTTTTGGGAACTGGACCGAACTTCTTTCAATACCTTGCTTGCTCCGGAGATCGTACCGAGCAGATCTATAGTCAGGCCCTGAACATGGAAGCCGATATGGACTTTGTTGTCCTGACCGGTGGAGGGAACGATCTGTGTTTGGTAAGAAAATAACATAATAATACCCTTGCTACCCCCAGTCCTTCATGCTAATCAGTTTACCGTGTGGTCAACAGTCGGACATTGTCAAGACCTGCGTGTTGCTTCCCTTGAAGTCCGAGGCGAAATGCGACGAAGCCCTCAGGATAGCCGAGGACAATCTGCACTTTATGCTCAAGCGCAACGTCCGGGAGGTGCTCGAGGCACTGGATAGCAAAATGCACAAGAACGGCCTCGTTCTTTACGTTCTTTACGCGCAGTTTTTCAACGCCGACATCGAGAAATGCGGACTGGACCAGGACTGGAACCTGCTCCCGTTTGGCAACTCATTGCCCTTGACTCGCGAACGCCGCGAGAAGTTCAACAGCCTGGTGGAGAGAACCAACGGGGTACTGCGCGAGGCCATCAAGGAGGTTCAACGAGGCAAGAAGATCAGATACCGCGTTCGTGCCGTCGACTGGAATGACTGGGCCCGCCACGGCGTCCGCGGCCAGTACTGCTATCCCGGCACCAAAGGCACGTATCCCGATCCTGGCCAGCCTGACCTGCAGTTCTTCAAAGGGAACACGTATCGCTTGCCGAAGAAAGATGGGCACGACGAGCTCCGGCGCGTGAAGCGGCAGGCACCGATCGAGGAGCCATCTTTCCACGACACGCTGGCCTACAAATCGGCGAATCCCGCGGCTCAGGCAATGAACCACCTCGACTCGCGTGCGCCCCTTCCTCCCGGCTGCCCATCAGATGGTGGCGGTTTTCTGGAATGGTTGGGGTTGGACTTTGGGGTACCGGATAATATTGGCAAGTTCTTCCATCCGAACGAGCTTGGCCACACCACCATTGCTTCGTTCGTGCTGCAGGAGATGTACAACGCGCGCGCCGAAGACCTCGGAACCTTCAATCCGACCTGCGAGAACTTCGACCGGTTCGAATGCCACAAGCAAGGCGACAAGCTGTTCGAGTACTACGCCGACGTCGATCAAGCCGTTAGTGCCATGAAGAAATTCTGCGAAAATCCGTCGACGGCCGATGAAATCGGGGAGCCCGTGCGCAACAAGCATTTCAAGAATGTCTACTATGAGTTCACCCCGGACCAGATGATGTTCGAGATCGGCATAGTGCGTGCAAAGGAGGAATCCTTCCACGACCGCGACCAGTGCCTCGATTCTTTCAGTCGCATCATCCACGGCTGCGACGGCCTCGACCCCGAGAATCCCCTGAATTTCAAATACGGCGGGAGCTGGATTCGCGGGAACTACATCTACAAGCTCACCATGGGGGGGAAGGATATCAAGCGAAACGAGGTGGTCCCGAAGAAGGTCTCGGGCTCGTGCACCTACAAGAAGACCTCCAAGGGGCTCGAGTACGAAGTCAAAGGCTCGGCCTTTGCCAATTGGGACTTTGGCCATCACACGATCATGCAGGAAGTTTCCAACTGTGCTGGGGGAACGCAGAATATCTCGCATTGGGCGTGGACTTACTGGCCCTATCCCGTTGATGGCTATGACTGGCGGGTTCGGTATATAGTCCCGGAGGGTTCCAAGGCCAACTGTCACCTCGTCCCAACGAATACGATCGGAGACACGGTCGCCTGCAAGAAAAGAAGCTGGTGGTGAGCTGAGATGGGATGGGCCATGGTTTGACGCGAATCACCACCCAACTTGTATTTGCTTGATATTTCTTTGTTTTTGATTAGTAACTATGTTTTTCTGACTGCCGTGACAATCATAGGCCTTTTTTTTGTTTTTGGTTTATGATCCAGCATCTTGAGACTTTCCTATTCTGTCATTCTTGGGGCGATAGGAGGTACATATATTTGTAGACTGCCAGTAGAAAGGCCCGGAGTTAGGGCTAATGACCCAAATAGGAAATGCATGTGGCATCAACCCGGCAATCGCTTGATCTTGATATTTATGGTGTAGTATTTTCCAGCAATCCTTAATTCAAGGCCTAGTACTCTACTGTTTCTTACATCTACCCGATATATAATATATATATCTATCTATCTATCTATCAGTGATTACAAACGATACATAATTTATGTAAGTTGATTTTCTACGAATTTTCAAAGTTTTGAAGCCTCACCTCTATGCAAATTTCTATACCAAAGTGCGGGATCGCTTCGCGCAGACTTTTGATCTAGTGCTATATGTCGCTGGCCTGAAGGTGCCTTCGTCTATTGGGGATTGGGGTTCAGCCAGTGGTTTAAAAAGCATGAATGAGCCGTAGGAAAATAAAAGTCAAAGCAATACCGAAACAACGCAACGAATATAATACATTCTATCCAAATCTATCTATGCATCTTACATGTCATGATATCATGATCGTTTCACCGGCGTGAGAAAGACGTGCAGCGGCGGTTTATTCCACAAGAAGAAAATATTCTGTCGCTCCATCCACCCGACACTGTCATCGGCGAGCTTCAGGTCAAAGTTATAAATCAGACGGGTCAAGATCAAGCGCATCTCGGCATACGCCAAACTAAATCACTTCTCGTCAGCATGAGGGGAAGAGACTATAGCTTGATGTTCAGAGGGGCACACTCACTTCCGTCCCAGGCAGTTCCGAGGACCGAAATTAAACGGTTGTAGAATGTCAAACTTGTCGTTGGCAAATCGCTCATCCCCAAGAAACCGTTCCGGATGGAAGCCAAATGGGTCGGTGAAGTATTTCTTGTTGTGGTAGGTAGCCCAGTGATGAATGGCAACAATGGTCTGCCAATAAACTCAGTTCTGATATTCAGGAATTCTCATAAAATGAGAGGTGGGGGGGAAGCTTACATCTGCCGCAACATACTGTCCAAGAATTTGCCGCCCGCTCTTAGGCACCACTCGAGGTAGCCCGATGGGAATCGGGGGGTAGGAGCGCAGGGCTTCGTTCAGACAGGCTAACAAGTATGATAGACTGTTTACGGAATCCATAGTAATTTCCTCCTCTGACTGAAACGAGGAACGAACTTCTTTAGTCAAACGCGCCAATACTTCTGGGTTCTGCAAGAGTAGGTAGGTGATTCCGGAAAGTAGGGTTGCCGTGGTTTCAGAGCCTCCAATAAGAAGTATAGTTCCATTCGCCTCGAGACGATCCATGTTGAGATCCTGAACTATGGTCAGTAGGGGCACTAATTATATGTTTCGATGATTGGATGTACCCACCAGTTCATCCTGTTTCCTGAGGAGTCCTTCGATCAAGTCATCGCGTTCATTTCCCGCCTGCATACGCTCGCGTAGTTTGGCAACGGACACGTCTCGATGGTCCTGAAACGCTTTAACTACCGATTTCGGCACCATCGCCAGGAAGATTTTCTTCAGAAGGGGATAGAAGCTCAAACTCAACATCAGTGTCCCCATCTTGGCCGACTCGAGGAGCAGCGGGATGAACGGATGATATACGGAGTTCTCCAAGGACCCGAACGGCTTTCCGAAGGCTAGATCGCCAATGATATCGAAAGTGGTGAAATTGTACCAAGATACCATATCAAGGGGCTTGGTGCCGTCACCACACTTCTCGTGTAGTCGCTGGATGAGCAGGTCGACATACTGGGTGATGAGGGGCTCTTGCGCCCGCATGGACCGTTCAGAGAAACCATGGGATAATTGACGTCGCAAGATACCGTGCTCCTCCCGCTCTGCATTCGCGATACTGGTGGGCGTGCCATCTGCATACTTGTAGAAGCTCATCCATTTCCCACACTCCTCGCCACCATTGGGCTGATGTCCATGTATATCTTTCCAAGCGTCTGCATGCGCGAATGCCAGCTCGCCTGGTGCGATCCGGACGACATCTCCATACCTTTCATGCAATGCTAGCATATCAAATGGGAGCCGGCCCCGTAGCAACCGATAGCAATATGGAATGGGAGACATGGCATGAGAGACGGGGCCGGGAAAGGCCCGCAACGGATGGAAGAAAACATTGTAAATGGCCTTTCCGACGACTTGGAGAACCACCTGGACTCAAGTTAATGGATTGGGGAAAGGATTAAAAAAAAGAAAAGGAAAAAACATCAAATTCACGCCAGAAAGCACAAGAATACAAAACAAGATGTAAATTGGAGCATACATACTATAGTAATCAAGGCTTTGACCAAGGTGCCAGTCTGATCTACGAAAACCGCCATGGCATACGGCTTTCCGATGTAGTGTGTACAAGGGGAAATTTGATCGGCCTGGCACGATTTAGAGCAAATCGAATCGAGTCGATCCTAGCTTCTCGACGGACAACATAGGAAAGATTAATAATAAACCGAATCTCAGGGGCGTTGGCGGAAAAGGGAGTTCCGACGCCGAGAGTAGATAAATACCTGCCTGCCCGATAACAGGCGAGGGAAGGGAGAGGAGCGACAAAGACAATGAGCGAATCGATTGATATAGTTGTGCAGAAGACGGACAAGCCACACCAATGCCGACTAAAATGAGCGACAGACAGGATTCTAATAGCGGTGGTTTCACCGCATGGAAGTTGCTGACCCGATCCACTCGAAGGATTTGCTTTGGGCCTTTAGGGTACTTTTTTTGGTCCCTGCAATCCCCGCTTTTTAAGTCGAGCGATTTGGTCGCGTCGGAAGATCGATGGAAGACAGACGTTTCAGTGTTTCACCATGAACGAAGCCCAAGGGCGACGTCTAGCGGCCTGCAGAGGAATGAAGAGCGCCGATTCATGCCGAGTTGAGTATGACGCGGGATGCGCTAGTCCCGGCCTGGCAACGGCTGGCCTGGGGCTGCAGTCTCCTATTCGGGTATGGTCGCTGCCCACTGCCGGCCGAGAGGGGCGGATTAGTCAGCCACCCCTGGTCCTCGGACTAGCCGTCTCGGGTTAGCCCCAGATGCGGGTTATGCATCCGTCGTATGTAAGATATTATGGGTAACGTAATCCACAAGCGAGCCGCGGATACAACCGAACCGCGGATCCTTCGCCATGGCCATTACTATTTGAAGCTATTCAATCACAAACTCCATTAAATTTACTGAATAAATATATGAAAATTCAGCTATTTACTAGGACAGCTCCGAATTGTATGTCCAACTGTTCCACAGCCACTGCAGCGTGGCAAAGCCCGTTGACGAGGTACAGGAGTAGTTTGCTCAGGCTGCTCATTAAGCTGCGTATTTAGCTGCTGAACGCGATTTTGGCCTTCCTGTACAGATAAAAGGGTATCATTCCCTAGTAGAGCACGCCTTCTTGCTTTCTTTTTATATTTTCGCTCATTTTCGGCTCGTAAAGTCTTGATTTCTTGCTGTAAAAGGAGGTTGGTTTGCATCGCCATTTGAGCAGCCTTTTCAAGATGTTGAATATGAGCAATTGGGCTACTAGAAAGCTTTCGTTTAGCACTAAGACTGTTCTGTAAGCTGCGTATCTCTCGATCTAACTGGCGAGTATTCTGTGGAGTCTGGAAAGCAGAGGAAATTGACCCTTCAACTAGTGACGGTGCAGGTGTAGGTGTATGTAGTCGAAAGGTAAGCTTTGAAAGAACTCGTTCTTGATTAAGTGGCTTAAGCCCTGCTCCTGCGAAACCACTGCAGATATTCGTAGAAGTAAAGACTTGAGCCCGTGCGTCTGGATATAGTGATAAAAAGTCCTCTTTATCAATATGGTTGTTACCCGCAATCATACGCCCTTCAAGCAGTTTTCCGTATGCGCGTTTAAGCGGGCCAAAAACACCCACATCAAGCGGTTGAAGAAGGTGCGAAGCGTGAGCAGGCATACAAAGACATATTATTGCATTTTTTTTGCAAAAATCGTCGAATTCAGCAGTCAAATGACTACTATGGCCATCCAGAATGAGCAGGCGTTTTGCCCCAGTCATATAACGCCTAGAGGAGGGTTCAAAGACATTCTTTAGCCAAAGAAGACCTATTTCATCGGTAGTCCAGCCATTTTGGCTTGTTGCAATCCACCAGTCTCCGGCAAGTTTAGGTTCTTGAAACCATGCGGCCTGTTGATTGCCTGCTTTAAGTATAATGACTGGTGGTATATGTACGCCGCTTGAGCTGACTGTTTCGATGATTGTAACCCATTCACGATTACCCTGGATAACCCTGCGTGGCCGCTCACTACGCTCTACTGCAGTAATAACTTTAGCAGCTGAGCAGAGCCCCATTGCAAAGCCAGTTTCATCAAAATTCCAGATATCGTCTTCGTGTATGCCGTGTTCTTGGATAGTCTCGTGGACAGTTTGAAACCATGGTATTATAACCTTCGGATCTTCTTGTTTTGCGCGTTGATATGTAATCCGTCTGCTGTATCGTGTACGTAGTTGAGGATGGCGTTTAGTAAAATTATATGACCAGTTAACTCCAATCATTGCCGTAGGGATTTGAAGACGCGAACGAAGTAATATCTCTGCCATTTCACGTAGGAATTCGGGGCGAATTGGAAATCCTCGCGTATCTGCATCTAGTAATCGCTTAACAAGGATTTCTTCTTCAAATTGAGAAAGTTTATGGCCATTGGCGCGCGTTTCTGATCGTGGTTTTACACCGCGGAGTCGATCGCGTAGAGTATTTTCAGGGATCATAAAAACCTGTGCAGCGCGTAATATAGATTTAATTTGACCCTTTTGATAAGCTGAAATAGCCATCTGAATACGCGATTCTTTAGAAGGAGGCATATTGCATTCAGTGTTGAAGATATGACGCGTTGAATAAAGGGGGTGGAATGCTGATTGAGGATCCGCGGTTCGGTTGTATCCGCGGCTCGCTTGTGGATTACGTTATATGTTATGTGCATTATGCTATGTATGCATTTCTCATATTTCTCATATTTCTCATGACGCATCATTCATCGTCGAACATCTCCCGACGTTCGCTCAAGTTCACCAATATTCTTCGTCTTCCTCCACCTCTTCTTCCGCCTCTTCATTGCCAGCTGAGGTCTCGGGAATCTCGATGATCTCGTCAAAATATCTCCGGAAGTTTCTTTCGGCAGTCACGCGGGCGGCGTTCTAAGCCATAAGTCAGTGCTCGCTGGTCCTAGAAAGAGGGTGAGTGACTGACCATGGTGGTTCTGAAAAACCGACGGCGTTGTTCGCCGCTTATCTCGCGGATCAACTCGGCGATTGCATGGTTGTTCGCGAGGCGCGCAATGTAGACGAGGATTTCCTCAAAGGCGGCCACGTTGAGCGGGCGACCGTGTCTAATAAGCGCGTTCACCACGAGGGTGTTGCTAAAGGCACAAGCCATCAGGAATACCCCGCGGAATACCACGATATCCTGCAGCTGCTCTTTGACGCCCATCTCCATCAATGCGTGCACCACGGTGGACTGGCCACGACGGATGGCATAGAGCAGCTCGAGCAGGCCCATTTTCTCGACGTCAACGTCGGCCATGAGGCGCTTGACGACCTCCACGCGGTTAAGCTGATCTGCCACTTCCAGTGCACTCGCTCCGCTCTCGCTAAGAGCATCTCGCCTGGCACCCATGCGCATCAGCTGTGTGACTTGGTCGGCATCGTTCTGCAGGCAGGCGAAGTGCAACGCCACCGTGAAGTTCTTAAGGGGGTCATCAAGAGGCACCATGCCACTCTGGAGACCCAAGGAATGGATTATGCAAGGTCTCGCGATCTGGGCCTGAATTTGGTTGCTCATGGTGGCGGCTCACTCTATGAACAATCCAGATTGATTAGCCTGTACTGCGGTCCATGGACAGGAACAGAATTCTTCGTTGGCCTTTGGGGATGCCTCTCTGATGAAGTCCAAAGGAAGCATATGCTTACTTGTTTCTCAGGATATCAGTTGGGATGATTCGGTTCCAAGAGTAAATGGAGATATCCAACTGACCAAAGGTCGTGATGATCGCCAAAGAGGAAAGAAGTACAGCTCTGGACTAATGCACTTGATTTCTCTTTCTGGGCTGGGCAGAAGCAGGGCCCTCTCTCTGCTTGTCTAACTCATTAAGAAGCCAAAAGCTTGCCAACAGGAGAAAAGAGGTAGAAATGTTGAGGCCGGTAGTTTGCTTGTCATCAAGCCCAGTACACGGCAGTCTAGGATCAAAACAAAGGTGACAATCAGCAACAGAACACTGCTGAAGGAGAGGTGAGTCTGTTAGACGGGGCTCATTCACTCCAGCACGTAACGCGACGACACCATCAACCAGGGTTCCGGTACAGCTTTGGTATTCACGAGGGCTCCTTTTTTCTTGGACAGCTACGCTTAGTGGAAGTGACCGGCAAATCTGTGATCAGTAGAGCTATAGTTTACTTATTGGCCTACAAAAGATGTTTCTAGGACGATCTGGATTTGGGCAAAGTCGCCAGAGGAAGGAAATGATGGCAGCAGTAATTCCATAGTTTAGATACATAGGAGCAACCAATAATAACGAACCTGAAAGCCAAACTCCATAACATGCCATCCTTCAAAGGTTTCTATGACCCCCGAAAAGGATGCATAACCAGAACCTGCACCATGAGGAGTTCCATCTCAGCGTTCTGGTTGGCAGCAAACAAGCCAGCGGTGGTGGGGAGGCATCAATTGCTACTGCTCCACCTCCTCCCCCCCTCCCCTTCTTTCTTTTTCTTCCCGACAACAACGCCGGCTTCCTTTCTTTACCCTCGTCCATCACTGTCCGTCTCTCTTTCTCTGCCAAAAAAAGTTATTTAGCTGTTTCTGCTTGTTGATTCCCCCATCACGAGTTCTCGTTGGATCTGCCTCGTAGCCTCGAAACAGGGACCGAGAAGGTCCATTTCGAGCTGCAGGCCGTGGATATTCCCCGCGCAATTTAGCTCCTGCGGTTCACCAAGCTTAACGGCGCCGCCAGGCACCTTCAATCCTTTATACAGCATCGTACGCCTTGTGTTGCTGCAGATTCCTTTTTTCGCGACCGATCCCAATCCCGAACCCGACGCGATGAACGACACCACTCCCTCTCCCACCCCCGGCCCGGCGACCAAGCCATCCCCCAGCTCGCGATCCCCGCCGGCGTCGACAGCTGGAACCAAGCGCAAGCGAACGCCAGCTGGCAAATACTATGCAGTCAAGGTGGGCTATCAACCCGGGGTTTATAATCTGTGGAACGAATGCTTGACCCAGGTGACGGGATACAAAGGCGCAGTGTGTAAGTGGACCGGATAATGAAACCGCATCTACGCAATCGAAGACGATCGGAGCTGACAGTAGCTGTCTAGTCCAGGCTTTCACTACGTATGAAGACGCCAGTGCGTTTCTGACAGGCACCCGGCCTCCCAGCGCGCGAGGTGCCACGCCCCTAGATTCAGAACCTACCCGATTTTACGGCGTTCAGCGTGGACGGGTTCCCGGCGTGTACACGAATTGGGCCACGGCCCAGGATCAAATAAAAGGATTCACTCGGCCTCGATACAAGAAATTCCCTACCCGAGAAGAGGCGGAGGCCTTCGTGAAGCTGGGTCAAGGGAGCAGTGGCGCGACGTTTGCTACGACTGCGCCCGCTTCCAAGCGTCTGCCGGGGGGCGCGGGGATGACGGACGAGATCCCGCGAGACGAGCAGGGCGAGCCGTTCGAAGCGGGCGATGGGTTTTTACCGCCAGATGCAGAGGACGGGTTCGATCCCAACGTCCATCTCGATCCTAAAACCGGGAAGGTGGTCTATAAATCGAAGGAGCAAAAAGATGCCACGAAGACCATGCCGACGGGTCCTCCGGGGATGCTGCGAATCTACACGGATGGCAGCTCCTTGAAGAATGGCCGGTCGGCGGCATCGGCGGGTGTTGGCGTATATTTCGGGCCTGGAGATAAGAGGTTTGTTTCGTCGCTTTGAGATATTTTTCGTCTTGTTGTGATGTCCTGGTCCCTTTTTACTGACGCGTCAACTCTTCCTAGTAGGAATGTTTCGGAGCCTCTCAAAGGTAGCCGTCAAACGAATCAGCGGGCTGAGTTGACGGCAATCCTGCGAGCTTTAGACATTGCACCGCGACATCGCGACGTGACCATCTTCACAGACAGCCGATACGCCATCGACTGCGTCACCTCGTGGTTCATCAAATGGCGGAAGAACAATTGGATGACCGCCGGTAACAAACCGGTCGAAAACAAAGACCTGGTCGAATCGATTCTCGTGAAGATCGAGGAGCGCGAAGAGCTCAAGGTCAAGACCTTGTTTGAATGGATCAAGGGACACAATTTCGACCCTGGAAACGAGGCTGCCGACCGTCTCGCCGTCAGCGGCGCTCAGCGAGGCGTGTCCGAGAAGGCGGCCGCGATGCAGGCCCTGAAGGATATTCCGGACGAGGAATTCGATGATGATCTTTAACCCATCAATTTTCTTTCCACGTTCTTTTCTTTCTTTTAATTATCCCTATTTCCTCTCGATCCCGTTCTCCTGACGAACGATAATGATGTCTCTGCGATTGTTCGACTGCTCCGCACTAGCTCTAGTTATTACAAGTCCGTGGTGTACCAGCGTGAGACTCGCACAAGGCATAAGCCATAAGCCATATAGCAGCAGCATCCATGGTCTCCAGTAGAATTTTTCTTGAAATCGTCGGGCGAAACGCTGGTTGCGGATTACCCCATTGGGGATGGCGGTGCATCAGTCATCCGCCCTTCTCTCGCGCCGTTTCTCCATCCTTCTTTTCCCTCCCCACGCTCTCTTCATTCTTGACAGCATCATCCCCTGCCGTCCCCCAAACAGGAATCTCGCTATCCTTCTTCGTCCTCTATCTATGACAGCTCAACTCTCGCCCTACGTACTCTGGATCATGATTGAATAACACGTGCTTGTACTTTGATCAACATTCCTCACATCTGCATACTATTCCTCAGACGTTCTTGGCATCATCGACGTACTTGGCATCATCGACGTACTTGGCACTGTACTAGTTAATCGATCCTGGTACTACTATTTAAAGCTCCACCTGGCGAAGTAGGGGACAGCACAGCATGCCCAGCCTTTCGCTGATCAATTTCAACATCGTTTGCGCCACCCTGGGGGGCTTCATCTCGGTGTTCGGACTAGTATCTTACTTGTTCAAGGAGCGATTCTACTTGTCCGAAGCATGTTCGTTCACCATCCTCGAAGATCAACGGCGAGCCGTCCCATACTAACGCAAACGCAGTGATTTCCCTCCTGGCGGGGGTCATCTTCTCCCCGCATGCTGCCAATTTCATACGGCCTCACGAGTATGCGCTAGGCTCCGAGCAGAACCTAGAAGAAATCACGTTGTATTTCACGCGGCTCGTTCTGGGAGTGCAGTTGGTTCTTGCCGGTGTACAGCTCCCCAAACGCTATCTCCAAATAGAATGGCGGAGTCTATCGCTTCTCCTGGGGCCTGGGATGGCGGCCATGTGGATCTGCAGTAGCTTGCTTATTTGGGCGATGATCCCGAACTTCGAGTTCGTCCATGCTCTTGTGGTCGGGGCATGCGTTACCCCCACGGACCCGGTGCTTTCGAACTCCATCGTCAAAGGGAAGTTTGCCGACAAAAATGTCCCGCGCTCCTTACAGCGGATCATTATTGCCGAATCCGGTGCCAACGATGGTCTTGGATATCCTTTCCTCTTCTTTGGTCTCTATCTTCTCCAGTACGTGGGCATGGGGAGCGAAGGCCAGAGTGGGGGTGCCGGAAAAGCCATGGGGCTGTGGTTTTACGAGACTTGGGTCTACACTGTTCTATTGAGCGTTGTCTACGGAGCCACTGTCGGCTGGATTTCCCGCGAACTGCTTCATTGGGCGGAGGAGAAGCGGTATGTTGACCGTGAGAGTTTCCTTGTTTTTGCAATCGCACTTTCGGTATGTTCCCCAATCGCGTGGATCGTGATTATTAGCTACTAACACCCTCGCCGTAGCTTTTCATCTTGGGAACCTGCGGCATGATTGGGACTGACGACCTGCTTGCATGCTTTGTGGCTGGCAATGTTTTCACTCAAGAGTAAGCATCCCGTCAATCCAATTGGCTCTAGAGGTGTGGTGCTGACATGAAACTCGAAGTGATTGGTTCCGTCTGGAGACGATGGATGATTCGCTGCAGCCGACCATTGATATGCTGCTGAACTTGGCAGTCTTCATGTGGTTCGGCGCCGTCTGTCCGTGGTCCTCGTTTCTCAACAACGAGATCATTCCCATATATCGCCTGATCTTCTTAGGGATCTTGATCCTACTCGTTCGCCGGATGCCCGTCATCTTGGCAATGCATAAGCATATCAACCAGATTGAGAATCTTTTCCAGGCCGCCTTTGTCGGTTTCTTTGGCCCTATTGGAGTAGGTGCTGTCTTCTACTTATCCATAAGTCGAGAATATCTGCGTCAAATTACCACATCAGACGGGCAGATGCGCGAGGACGCCCAACGAGTCTCGGAAGCGATCGATGTAGTTGTGTGGTTTCTGGTCATCTGCAGTATTGTAAGCCCATTCCTTCGCCATAAAATCGTGTCTTTTCTAATTCGGGATATGCAGGTTGTCCATGGGCTGTCAATTCCCTTGGTGAAGGCAGGGTACCATATTCCTCGGACTATTTCCCATGTACTCAGCAATACTACAACGATCGAGGTTGAGCCCGTCTCGATTGCAAATGTTCAGCATACCCACAGTACTGCTACCCAGGACTCCAATTCTGCCAACAACCGAGGGCGTAAACGCCCTTCTTCGCAGGCACCGCCGTCAACCATTCTTCAAATTGGCCGATCTATCATAAGGCCTCGTTCGACGGATCAGCCACCGCTAGGTACTGGTCATGCCGAAGAGCCCGAGCGGCCGGTCAGACTCGTGGTCACCGGGACAAGCCTCCTGGATACAGGGAAGGGGCAGTCCCCGGTGGACCTAGGAAGCTCGTGATTTTCGAATCTTGGGGATCTGGCCTTGAAGATTTCCAGTTGCAACCGAACTAACATACAATCCCATGGACCGGTGGAAGGGATTGACGGGGTCCCTAGCAGAACTGGGAGTTCCTAAGAATGCGGGCTTGCCAGGAACTACGGAGTACGGGATCTACTAGAGTTCTCCACAGACTGTCAGAGGAAGGAATATTCAGCCTGGTATCTTGTTGGACAATTTGCCTACGTATAAGGCCTTTATGCCAGAATTAGGTCCTGGAAGTAGACACCTAAGGACGGACAAGGACGTATTTGGCCTGGGTACGAACTACCGGGGAATCAGAAGTAGCAAGGTAGCAGATAAATAAGATTTTCGGATTTTTCTAGGACAAGCTTTTAGGTAATGTCTCGCTGCACCCACATCTCACTCCTCCGACACGTGTCAAACCACCATTACATCTTTTAGATTCAGCCCCTTGTCCTCCCTCTCTCGGTATCTCTAACTCTCGCAATGGTCTCGTCGCTGACACATGGACCATCAAAGTCATCCATACTCCCGCCGCCATTAGAGTAAAGATAAGCAGGTCGTGAAAGAGAAAAAGGAACAAGAAAATAATAGGGAGATAGGGGGTAGAGAGAAAGAAAAAAGAGAGGGAGAGAGGAAAGCAAGGGGAAGAAGAACACGGGAGGATTGAATGGAATATGCAATACCTGAGCATATCCCAGACATTTTGCCCCCGTCACCGTTGAAAATCCAAGGACTCGATTACCATCAAGAGGGGGGAAATAATCCGCCTATTTCCCTATCTCTTTTGATGCAATGAAAAAAAAAAAGTCCGTTTGTCAGTCCTGATTCCTTATTCTGCGTCTTCCTCCTCGACATCGTCTGGGCCTCCATTTCCAGACGAATGAGATCGAAGAGAAAGACAGAATGCACCACATCACATCCAGCGCCCTAATCCACACGTCTATGGAAAAATAGGAAACATTCATTCAGTCGTTAAGAGTCCCATCCACACGTCCACACATCAAAATCCGATCTGCTTCCGCCAAAGCAAATCGGTAGGTCATGCGAGGAAAATAAATCGGGGTATATATCAGAGCGACAGTCCGTTAGATAGAGCATCGCAAACATGTCGATCAAAGAGAAGTGATGAATCAATCCATCACCAAGGACGGGTTTTCTTGTTCCATTCATCACGAATGCACAAAACGATATGCAGGAAGGAAATAGCAAGTAACAAGCAAGTAAGCAAGGTATTATAAGAGGAACTGTAATTGAAATCGAAGAAAATAAGAAGGCAAAGAAAGAGGAAGAAAAAAGAAGACAAGTGATTGAAAATGTTGAAGGAGATCATTCAGGTCGTCCTAAAGAGAAGCGCCTCCACATCTCTTTGGGTAGATTTGATTTGTCTCCGCAGTCGAGGTAAAGTTCGACGGATAAGATGACCAGGTAAAGGCCATTCAATGCCATGAGAGTTCGGGGGGGCGAAGCAAGTCACCCCCACAAAAAGGGGTCTTTTTTTTCTTTTTAGATGTTCGGTAAATGTCTCTCTTTAGATAGAGAAGGCAGAAACCACTACTCCCTTGGTGTTTGTATGTGCATTTGGGAGGAGAGAGGGTGGAAAGGAAACAATCAGGCAATGCGCTGGTAAAACAGCAGGTATGCCACCTTGTTGTCTCGAGAGCCGTATCGGCCAAGAGGCGTGCGCACGCCAGAAGATGGCCCAGATGGGTTTCCGTTGACTGCCGAGGTGGACTTTTTGCTGGCGTGGCCACTGGAGCCGGTTCCGTTGACTTGGCTCCAGCCTCTTTCGTTGTCGGATTGTTCCAGATCATCGATATGATCGAATATATTCGCATTGGGATCCTTCTCGTGCTTGTGCTGCTCAAGCGCCGCCGCGAGCACCTTGGGATCTTCTTCACCACCAGCCTCGGCAACGTCTTCGCCCCGAACACGACGAATGACGGTGTCGTCCAGACGAATCCATTCGCGACCCTCCTGGCGACGAACATCAACAGTGTAATGTCCGCCGCTGGCATTCTTGCCGTGGTGATAGATAACCCCAATCAGTCGGTACTTGGGAAGACCGCCCTGACTCATCATGATATTGCGTCTATTGGGAGGAAAGACCTCACGCGGAATTTCCAAGTCCAGGGGGTACCCGATTTTCTTCCAGATCTTCTGGGTCCCATTGGTCACGCTGTCGTATTGGAAACGCTTGAGGTGGAGGATCAGCACGGGCGGCAGGTCCTCGATGAAGATTTGCTTCGTAGCGGTCACGTTGGAGCCTCGCGACGAGTTGAAGTCACCCTGAATGCTTTCTGGCTTGGTCAGGCCCTTAAGAGCGTCGACGATGTTGTTGATCTCGGGGGAGCCGATGTCCAGCTGAAGCGGTTGGTAAGGCTCCAGGGTCACAGAGGTCTTGTTGCCAGGAACCCTGAATTCAGATCGGATTCTGCCGCCAAAGATCTTGGTCATGGGGGATTCCTGGGAGATGTGACCAGATGATCGCGTAACTGCCGGCTTCTGTTTGTGACCAACTTCCATCCAGCCGTCTGCAGGCTCTCCGTCCGCGGCCGAGGATTCTTCATTCGAAGGGTCGGCCGATCCATCGGGTGCAAAAGAAGCATCTTTAGCAGCACGGGCACATTCTTCGTGCATCTCTTCCAACAAAAAGCCTAGGAATTCTTGGGCATCTTGCTGGTGGCCACGCTAGAAACGAAAACGTTAGAGAAAAAAAAGCATGCGAATGTTAAATAAACGATGACTTACTCGCATATCCCGGAAGCGTGGAAGCTGTCGAATTACTTGATAAACAAACTCCGGAATAAAAGCATCGCCGTACTCTTCCAGCTCATTTGGCTTCAGTCGTAGTTTCAACTGCTCCTCTGATTGAGCAGCGTCAATAATGCGGAATTCTCTCATGAACATAATCCTAGAAGCCGGGAATCAGTGTTGGTTACAGGTTATAAAGAGAAAAGACACCGGCTTACATAGCATCAACCAATGGGAAATCGCTGTGGAAGCTATGCGACGCTCTTCGTCCGATATGATCCAAAAACTGATAGAAAGGAACGCACGAAACCAGAATTTGAAGTACCTGAATCACCGTGATTAGTGGGAGGCTATAGCCAAAAGCACGAGGGAAAAGAAGGGTGAACATACAGAATTCATATAACACATGTTCCCAGTATTTACAAGTCCTCTGGGTTCAAGAAAAGCAACTTTATCGCTGTACTGAGAGACATCATCTCCAAGACTCGTCAAGACATCCGCAAGCGACTCGCTTTTGGGCTTGACAACGCCGTTTGACACGGCAGATGGAGCACCCGACGCGGCCGCACCTTTAGCAAGTGCCTTGGAGCGAACGAGGTCTGCCCATGATTTCGGTGCCGGAGGCGAGGTTGGCTTGGCTGTCTCCTCGGAGCTAGCCTTTTCGGACGCGTGCTCGGGGGCAGTCACGCTGGTCTCATCCGTGGCGACGCCTTCAGATGACTTTGCTCCAGCTTCGGCGGAACGACTGGCTTCCTCCTTGTTTCCTTGGCGCGCAGTGGTGACACTCGAAACGACTGGAACGACGGGCACCACGGAGGCCCCCGACTTGGACCCTTTAGATTGTGACTGGGGACGTGCAGCGGGGTGAACCGCCGAGGACGGCGTAGTCGGCTGCGTAGAATTCGCAGCAGCCGAAGGGGCTACGGACAGAGTTGGAGACTGCGCCTCGGATGGCGTCTGCGAATGCGACTCGACGGGTTTCCGGTCGCCAGTGTCAACGGGGGCCCGTTGAGGAACGTCTTTCGAAGGCAGCTCGACCGAAGCTGCCGAAGACTGCAGCAACCGGTCTTTCCGGCGCCGACGGGGAACTCTGGCGGGAAACGGGTGTTCAGGAACAGAGAGCCAGGGAAGCTACGGTTGTGTCAGGAACAAATAAACCGAAGTGTCGGTTGGAAAGGAGACTTACGGGCGGATGGTATGGCTCTTTGGGTTCCGGAGCCGGAGCCGGAGCCGGAGCAGCCTTCTCCGTGGGCGGGACGGACGGCGAGGGTATGGCAGGGCTCGGTGCCGGATGGACTGGAAGAATGGCCGGAGACTGCGCTTGCATGCCGAACGGAGCAGGCGCCGGGCCAACAGGAGGCGACATGGTAGACTGAAGGGGGGTCGCGGTCCTGGGCTGCATGGGAAGTGACGGAGGGGGCATGTGGGCGGGAGCCATGACCGGCTGCGCAGGAGGGTATGACGAAACAAACATCGGTGCATAGGGAGGCTGGAACGGACGGGGAGGTGGCTGGATCTGAGGATACGGCGGCGCTGCCGTCGGATGGTACCAATGGGGGTACTGCTGCGGCGAGTAGGCGGGAGGGAACTGGCCGTTCATATGGGGAGGATATCCCATGTATGCGGGAGGCGAGCGCATATTGGGAGGCCCTGTCGTGTACATGTCTTGCTGTCTTCGAGAAGCGGGCAAGGGTGGCTGCCCATGGGGCATAGCGGGCAGGTGATGGTTCATCATGTCTAGACGTCGGAGGGTCGTCTCGACGATTCAGCCACGCGTTGCCTCAATGGGAGCCATGCGAATCGGGGCGGGAGACGGGGGGAGAAGGAGGCGATATAAGACGGAACGGGGAGGAGAGGAGTGAAAGCCGTAGACCGTCTTAAGCAGCCATTCTTAGCTTCACAGCCGGAGAGGGAAGAACCGTGAGGAATGGCGTAATCAATAGGGGAGAAGCTTGGCGCTGGTGGTCCTGTTCAAGCCTGAAGGGATTTGTTAGAGCGCGATGGGAGGGAAGCGAGGGAGCCAAAGCCGCATCCAATAGAGGGGAAAGAAGCCAAAGGAGAAGAGGAGCATACCTGGGACAGGACACTTGCGTAGAAAGAGCGATAATTGACTATACCTCGGGAGTGGGGGGTGCGCGAGGAACCAGCGGCGACAGACAAGGCGGAAGAGAGAGAGAAGTTGCTGAGCTGAGATGAGATGATGTTTTTTTGGGTGCGCACGTGCCTGAGGCTCCGGCGTGCCAAGACATGACATACTCCGGCGTCGCCCCTCTTGGCCTCGTCTCTTCGTCTTCCGTTCGCCTCGTCCCTCGCTGATTCCACCGTCGGGAGAAGCAGGCTTCGCCATCCTCTGCTGCTTCTCCTCTCCTGTCCCATCGTTAGACTTACTATGTGATCACCTCACTTTGCCTTCCTTTAGAATTCATTCCTTTTCCCCGGACCAAGTGATCGGCCAAGTGTTTTGCGCAAGGTACCCCATTCCTCTGGCTTCTGAGAAATCGGGCAATGTCGTCCAATGCTGGTCAGACTCCAGGCTCTTCGAAAGCACTGAATACCTCGAATCAATCCGCATCCGCAACGTTTCACTCGGCCCCTTCGGTTGACAGCGGCTCGCAGCGACGGGCGGGAGGCTCGGGCAGTTTTGGAGCAGGATTAGCATCACGGAATTCGAGTTCTCCGAGAAACAATCAGTCTCGGAGGAATAGACACAAGCAAGCGCGTCCTCGGTTACTGGATGATGACGATTATAACGAATCCGTAGGTGCCCCCTCCCCTAGGTCCCTCCGAAGCCCCCTCTCAGTTTGCATGAGTCAATCCGTTCTGACCAGGTCTGGGACGCGTGAACTAGGCCATCATGAGATCAACCACCAGCCGTAAAGGACAAACGTCCATCACGCATCTTATGAACTTCTCTCTCCCTCCGCGCCCGCAGTATCAACCCCCACCCCGCAACCCCCGCCGGTATGCGTCATGGGGTCTGGGGTCCGGATATCATGCCATGGACAAGGCTCGATATGTTCATGCCAATTACCGGTTTATCGTAACGCCCAATCGAAGTTACCAAGCCCAGGCGGCCAATGCGGATGTTCATCTGGACTGGAATTCCGTGCTTCAAGTCCTGGTGTCGGCCGAAACTCAATCGGCCAGCTGTCCCATCTGTTTATCGACACCAGTGGCCCCTCGAATGGCCCGATGTGGTCATATATTCTGTCTCCCGTGCCTGATACGCTACATGCACTCGGCCGATGACGAGGGCCATGTTCCCGAGAAGAAAGCGCGATGGAAAAAATGCCCCATCTGCTGGGACTCGATCTACATCTCGGAGACTCGGCCCGTGCGATGGTTCCGCGGTCAGGAGGGCGACTTGCCCGTCGAGGGTGGAGATGTGGTGTTACGACTGGTCAAGAGGGAACCGGGTAGCACGTTGGCTCTCCCTCGAGACGGCGCCGAGGGTCTTGGACCCGAAGAGGATATTCCGTGGTATCACGCTGCGGAAGTCGCCGACTACGCCCGCATCATGAAAGGCGGCGAGGACTACATGAACGCCCAGTACGACGTGGAGATCGAAGAACTCCGTCGGCAGGAGCTGGAGGATGAGCTTCTATTCGGTGACGAGACCACTTGGACCCGAAAGGCCGTGGGCGCAATCAATGAGGCCAAGACGAGGCTCCAGGGGATTGGCAACCCACCCGAGATTTCACACCAATCCCCCGTCGCGAGGCAGGCCAAAGAGCCCGTTCCGATTCAGCCTCCGCCCGACGAAGTTGCGATAATGTATACATCCCAGCATGCGACTAAATCGGGGAAGAGCACGCCGGCTACTTCAGGCGAAACGGACAACGTCACGCAAGCCATGGGCCAGGTCGACCTCAGCGCGGCCCCTGAGACCAAGTCTAAACAGAGAGACCCGGGGGTTGGCCGAAGCCGACAACCCAACGGCTCCCAAGCCTCCGACCACCCGTTCTACTTCTATGAGGCCCTGCCTCAGTTCTACCTCTCTCCTCTAGACATTCGCATACTCAAGGCGGCTTTTGGCGACTATTCCGTGTTCCCTGCCACGATCCTTCCTCGGGTCGAGCATATCTCCACCGGACATATCGTCGACGATGAGCTTCGCAAACGGGTGAAATACCTGGGCCATCTGCCCCAGGGCTGCGAGGTGAACTTCCTGGAATGCGATTGGAGAGACGTGGTTGTTCCGGAGATTCTCGACCAATTCGGCGCCGAAACTGGCCGGCGACGAAAGCGGAACCAGGATAAAGAGATCCGCGAGGAGAAGGACCGAATCCGTGCCGAAAAGGAGGATGACAAGCGGTGGGCTGCCTCTCATCGGAAGAGGACCAGCATCGGCATCAGCGACCCGCCATTTTCCGATCGGGATTTCCAGCCACTGGCGAGCGAAGCCTTTGGTATCGGCTCGTCATCGACATCGCCTCCTCAGTCATCATCGAACTTCGGGGCGCTCACATCGCCCTCGACCAGTCCCCCCGGGGCTCGCACCGTGTGGGGGACCGCCGCGGTGGCACAGTCCCAGCCGGCCGATTTGCAATCCGGAACCGCTCCTCGCGACGGGTGGCTCGAGGGATGGGAAGAGGAATTGTTTGCCCAGCAGGAGCGCGAGATCATGGCTCAGACGGCTCCGGCTCCCGAAACCGGAGGCAGCAATCCTCCGCCATCGTCTGCGTCGGGCGGCAAGAAGAAGAAGGGCAAGAAGATTACGCTGATGTCGACCAACATCCAGCGAGGGGCCTGAGCGTTCTCCACGCCCTTCGTTTTCTTTTTACTAATGGTCTAGAGGCCGCCGACCGATTGCGTGTAATTATGGATTCTTTTGGAGTGTGAATGGGCTGTACTTTCTGGGAGACGCATGACCGGAGTTCGCTGCTTGATGCATTTTGCCGAAATTATATACATACATCCACATATTTAGTATTAACGATGAGTCTCGAATGAATAGATTTTTTTTTTCTGCAGGGGATATTGTCCGAATAGATCGGAGTGCCTGCGAGGGAACGGAAGAAGACTCCGTACGCAGGAAGAGTTATGCGTATGCTCAAGATTCAGACTGAGACAGCAATAAACAGAATAAACAGAAAAGTCCCTGATCGTCCGCTGCCCAGGACGAGTCGGATACGCCGGTGCGCGCAAAGTGAGACAAGGGAAGGCGACGGAGCCAATAATCGGACGGTGGCGTGGCTTTTATGTCACCGACTGCTCCACTGCTGTCGATCCCTTCGATTTCCATGGAATTAATTGTTCTGATCCGTTCCGTCGTGTATTTTTTGGTCGTTCGGCCGGTGCAGTTCCATATAAATATCGCTCTCTTTCCCCTCACATCTGCCCACTATCTGCCCATCTCAACCAGAATATCTCATATTTCACCAAAACCCCCTTCTCCCCATCACAATGAAGCTCTCCGTCGCCGTTGCCTCCTTCCTGGCCGCCAGCGTCTCCGCCAGCTTTGACAAGTACCAGCGTACGCTTCCCCTCGATACAAACATTCCATGTAGGACATCACTAACGTCAAACAGCCTGGGGCAAGCGGGACTACTCCTGCGTCAACATCTACCAGGGTATCCCCGACAACTCGACCGTGGCTCCCGGCGCTGAGATCGACCTGCGATTCAACCGGGCCCCGACGACGCACTGCGCCGACCCCCTGTCCAAGTACGAGGCGGGCACCTACAGCGTCTGGCTGTACAACAACCCCGTGCGCAACCTCGACACCATCTCCTTCGACCAGTCGCTCAAGCTGAAGACCGGCATCCGCGAGTCCGACGGCGCCGTCACCGTCACCATCCCCAACAACGTCACCGCCGTCAAGGACAGCTCCGTCTGGTACCTGCGTGTGGACACCTACCTTCCTAACGCTCCTCAGGTGAGTACATGCCATGGATTACATCTAGGGTTTGCTCTGACTGTTTTCTAGATGCCCACTCTCTTCGACGCTGCCGGTCCCTTCACCATCAAGGCGTAAATATCAATATAATTGTACCCCCGCATAAGGATGGCTGACCGAATGGTGTCCTTCCGATTTATGTATACGTGAGCGAGTTGTCTGGTCTGCATATAAAGTAAATAATAATAATAAAAGATCTTGACTATCTTGATTCCGCGAGCGAAGCCGGGGAAGAGTGGACTATATATATATATGCACCCACACTACTTACGTACCTGCCTTTCCATGACAGTGTAGATTTCCTCAATTCCTACGTGACAGATTCTCATCGACGGTCAATCGATGGACTGATCTGAATTGAAAAAATAACCTTAAATTGGCACCCTCCGGCCTGTCAGCAAGTCCATCGTGGACCCTCTCACGCGTTTCGTCTTCTTCCAGAACTTCCACGTCAGGGTATTAAGAACAAACAACAGGATTCCGAGGTAGCTCAGAATGAAACTGTCCGCCGTGAAACGAGGTATGAATGCATTATACCCTGAGCTCCTCATTAGTCGACAAAATCGATCCCCGAGAACCGAGCAACTAACCATTGAAAAAGAGCACCGTCATGGTAACCGCCAGAGCATAGTAGCTGGCATACGGCTGCAAGAATCCAACATACGGAAGCCCTGACGCTGCGATGCCTTGTCGAGAAAGACCTCGACGAAAGCCGAGATGGGACAGCAAGATGGCCAGCCAGTTCAATCCGGCGAAGACGGTCACCAACGAGACCAGGTCATCGAAGACCGACGAGGAGGACTTGCTGGCGTTCATGAAGCCAAGGGCGATGAATGCCGCCGACATGGACGTTGCAAAGATCGGAATCCCTCTTCCGACTGTTTTGGAAAATATCGCCGGGGCTTGTCGGTCGCGAGAGAGTCCGTAGAGTGATCTCGATGCGCAGTAGATATCTTCCCACCCTCATCCCCTTGGTCAGTATCATCCTATGCGATTGATGGGGGGTCAATTGAGACGCACCCGAGCTTGCCGCGCTCAAGGTGAAGACCAAGAGAGACGCGTTGGTGAAATCAGGCAACACTTTAATACCGGCGTTCCTGATCGCAACGACGAACGGGCTTGCATCTGCACTGGAATTAGAGAGGATTCGTCGCCAATCATGCCAACGCCGACGTACCGGCATTGGTCGAGCTTGTGGTGGCACTGAGAAGAACGCTGCTGTCGTAAGGGAGCGCCATTCCCAGAACGAGAATGCCCAGGATATAGAAGGTAAAAATTCGCCAGAAGGTCTGCTTGACAGCACGAGGGACATTCTTCTGAGGATCCGACATCTCGCCAAATGTCATCCCGACGACCTCAGTTCCGGTGAATGCAAAGCAGGCCTGACGCATACACGCCCACCACCCCAGAAGGCGCCCTTTGGGACCGGTCAGGATATGCTCTGCGAATGCCCCCGGGCTGTTCCAGTACCCAAACCCCGATGCGTGGTGATTGGGCCCTCCGCCAACCGCAACGACGAAGCAGGTCAAGATCAGTATGATCATGATACAGACCTTGATGCCTCCTGCCCAGAACTCGATCTCTCCAAAGACCCTGACGTTGAAGAGCTAGAGTATCAATCCGAGTTGGGGTTAGGAAAAGATCTCCCTCACGTCCAACGCGCGCACTTACATTGACGGTGACCACGGCGACGCCGAAGACAGCAATACAGATGGCCACGTTGAGGTCCGGTCTCCAGTACTGAATGACCAGCCCGGCAGCAGTGAGATTGGTTGGCGCTGCGATGATATATTTGAAGAAATAGTTCCAGCCGGTCGCAAAGCTTCACATCCATTTCGAGTCAGCCAGCACTCTACAGCAAAGAATCCCCGCAATTCTTACCCCAGAGCCGGATCGACCATGCGAGTGGCATAGCCCCCGAATCCTTTATTCATCGGCAGAAACGTCGCCATCTCCCCGAGAGCTGTCATGACCGAAAAGACCACCGTGCCGATGACCGCATATCCAACCAGGGCGCTGCCGGGACCACCCCTGGCCAACGCCTGTCCGGACCCGATGACAAGGCCTGTGCCGATGGAGCACGCAATGGAGAACATAAAGACATGACTGGGTCGCAAATCACGGCGCAGTTCATTGACCTGCTGAGCTTCCCCGACCTCGCAATTCTCGGGCTGAGAGGCCGGTTCGAGTTGCAATTCGACCTTATCCTCGGCCATTGTCGTCAGAAGTGCACGCGAGGATGTGAAATCACAGGAGGGAGTGTTGAGCGGGCAGGGACTGGCATTTCTACTTCCAGTCTATATGCTATACGTCTTTATCTATCAACTAGAAGATATTGACTTGTTAGGGTTCGGTGTCGAGGCCCCGAATCCCTCCAGATGGTCTCGGGACATCCCTCCGAAAGGATTCCGAAGGCTCTCGCGATAGGATTGTACTTGGGAAATCTAGTGATACTTGGCGAGTGGATTCACGTATACATTGACCCGTCTTAGGTCGACTATGTGGCTAGGAAGGAAAAATGTTCAATTCCTGGTACTAGATGACGATCGGTGTCCGTGGAGTAGAGTAACTCCGACCTTGTACATCGATTATGACGATAGAGGTCATTGGCGAATACAAATATAACATTCTAATATATATTCTAGTTGATCTGCCTAATATCGCTGTCATGATAGAAGGTGAAATTCATGGGCTATCCTCAACGACCTGGCTGATACAGCGCCCTACATACTCTATGTTGCGATCCGAAAGACCGGACAAGGTGATCCGACCATTGGGCACAATATAGATGTGGTGCTTTTCCCGAAGATCCTTGCACTGCTCAGGGGACAGCGGCAAAAGACTAATGTAGTGGTATGTTAGTATAGAAGAGTCGGTTCGAGAGTGCTCTTCAGCTCACCAAAAAAGACCTTTTCCCTGCAGAATAATGCCCCAGTTCCCCGGAACCTAGTAAGTTGTCAGATGTCGTCTGTTCCAGAACAAACCATCAGGATCTCGTACCTTGAGCACATCGTTCAGCTGACGGAAAAGAGCTTCTCTAATAGACCGAAGACGGCTTCGAATAAGAGATAGCTCGGAATTCCTGGCGATTTTAGCTTAGACGTCGTCTTAGAGAGAAGCAAAATCTCCGAAGATAGATATCTAGTAGGACACGTACCACTCTGCTTCTTTCAAAGGATCCGACAGCACCAAATCGACCAAACGGGACCCGTAGGCCGGGGAGGATGAGAACTCCCATCGGATCAAACAGCGGAGCTGGTCATGAACCGGATAGACATGGCTTCTGGAGGCGCAAACAACATGGCAAACACCGACGCGCTCACCATAAAGACCCAGGCTTTTGGAGAAGGACTGGCAGACAATCATTTCGAATCCCATCTGCGCAAAATATCGGACGCTGTAGGAATCCTCATCAAGACCGTCTCCCAGACCTTGGTACGCAATGTCAAAGAGCGGCAGCAAATGATGGTTCTTCATTTCCACGGCGAGCGTGCGCCACTGCTCCCTGCTGAAGTCCGCCGCGGTCGGATTGTGACAGCATCCTTGCAGGATGAAAACGCTGCCTACATCGGCTGTACGTACGGCGTCGAGAACGGATGGAAAATCGACTCCCCCGGTCGCGGGATTATAATGGGTGTACGTCTTGGTTTCCAGTCCTGCCAGATTGCACATCGGCACGTAATTCCCCCATGCCGGGGTTCCGATATAAACTTGGCGATTCTTGCCCTCGGGGGAACGAGCCAGGAACATGAGTGCAAGGTGTATGGACCCGGTGCCGGAAATCGTTTGGACGGATGCAATCTTTCGGTTTTATAAGCATAGGGTTCGAAGTCTGGGTCATTCATTCCATACCCTTGATTCATCGAGGACCGGAGAGTCGCCGCCGAATGCGACCTTTGCAGCGTTGGCTAAATACCGGGGATTTCCAGTAGTGACTTCGTACTGTATATCTGCCGTGTTAGAAACTAAAAATTCATTTTCTATTTCTTCTCATGCTCCCGGGGATGCTCACATCATGGTCTGGATTAAGCGCATATAGCTCGTCCTTGGCCTGAATCGCTGTCGAGTCAGAACGAACCGGTTGTTTGTTCGAGAGCAGCATCCACTCATACCTTTCTTAGAACACTCATCTCATTGTACGCCCCCAGCTCGTTTCGATAAATCCCCACCCCCAGGTCTACCTTCAGTGGGCTCTGGTCTCCATCGGCTGCGATTTTGAGCCCGTACATGACGTCCGGTGCACCCGCTTCCACGGCGTCGAAGAACATTTCGAAGTCGGTTTGGACAAACAGAATGGGATGAAAAGTCCATTACCTAAAGGGAAAGCTCTTATCTTATACGTCGAGCCCCTGCAATCGGTTTTGTGGACCCCTGACACCCCCAAATGGGCCCAATGGGCTATCAAAAGCCGCCAAGTTCGGAAAGGGCCTCCGTTTGAAGCGTCTTTGTAGTATGAAGATCCGGTAGAGATTATTGTTCCATGCTTGGATAAGCCTGTGGCACATATCTGACACTAGATGCTCAAACTCCAAGTCTCAACCATCTGAGTCCCCATTTCGGAGGGTGGCTCCGAGACACCTCGGCATCGCGAGTATCTCGGGAACCAACCGCCGAAACACTCTGTCTGCAGCAGAAATACATAATCCTATTGAATGGTTCATGAACCATAAAAGATATGGAAATCACGTCTCAGATATCATGTCTACTCCCGGAGCTCACGAAAGCTCTCATATACTTTTTGGAAAGATGGCCACGGAAAGCGCAAGCCCCAATAGCCTTTATTTGCAGGCTGGCGCAAACCAGGTCTGTAAGGCATTCGGCATCAAAATCTCGTCTAACGGGCAGGTGGTGATAACGGCAAGAAATGCCGGGTTTGATTCGCTCTTCATCGACATGGAACATGCTTGGCTCTCGCTGGAGCAAGTGAGTAACCTTTGCCAGGTTGGACTTCTGGCTGGGATTACGCCTTTTGTTCGCGTGCCTCACCAATGTGGAAATGGGTTTGTCCAGCGCGCTCTAGACGGAGGTGCAATGGGGATTATTTTCCCTCACATTCATTCAGAAGGTACGCGCCTACGCGTCAATCCGGCTTGATGCATTCGTTCCCCCTCGTTATCCATGTCATTGTGCAACATCCGCTAATGCTCGGCGAATACAGATGATGCGAAAAATGCAGTGCGCATATGCAAGTATCCGCCCAAGGGTTGCCGATCAATGACAGGTATGCTTCCCCAGGTCGGGCTTCGGGGAATGCCCCTGGACACCATGATTCCAGTTGCGAATCAATCTCTGTCCACCGTGTTTGTCATGATCGAAAGTGCAGATGCCGTTGAGAAGGCCTCTGAGATTGCAGCGGTTGACGGAGTGGATGTTGTTTTGATTGGGTCCACGGATCTGTCTATCGACCTGGGCGTGGGAGGACAATTCGAACAGCCGACGTACAGAAACGCGCTCATCAAAGTCAGTGAGGCCTGCCGAGCACATGGGAAAATTATGGGATTGGCTGGAGTATACGATTCCTCGGAAATCCAGTCATGGGCGATCAATGATTTGGGAGTAAGGTTCATTCTGGTGCAGCAGGATACGTCGCTCCTATCCCAGGGCGCTATTCGAGCTGCGAAGGCGGTACCCGCAGTAATATAGATACTAGATCGATGTTTTTATGATGGTCCAGATTGATCAAGATGTGGTTTTCTCGCGCCAGAATCATGAAAGCCTCAATTAGCAAGTTTTTGCTTGGGTAATAAACGTCATGGAGCGAGTTTAGAAATGAACCAGGGCGATGAACCAAAAAGTCGAGTGGTTTATTCTCCAAACCCGGGAAAGCAACTCGCTAATTCAGCAAAGTCAATGGAGTCCTGCCCAGTTAAGGCCCACTCTGGATTGCCCAAAATTGCATTGTACTGTTCATTGGTATCCCGGACAAGCCAATCTCCAATCGGAAGTTCTTGAAAGTCATCGTGATTCGCCGACCTTTGGTGGTGTGAAGCTTGGAAAGGACTACCGCCCGATTCGGTGCCAGCTTCACGATGACTTGCCAAATGTGTCTGGATATAGCCCATAGTTGATTCTGCGTCACGTCTTATGTCCGAGGGTCGCACAGACTTGGATTGTTCTGGATTCGGCTCTTGCGACGCTGGGAAGACGCCCGTCCAGTTAGAGCCTGCCAATGGTCCATTGTGTAGGTTGTTGTCGACATGCAACTGCGCCCAAATGTGCTCAACTTCTCGGAGTTTGTCACCAGCAAAAATATTCCCGCGATCTGAAAGATGGCGCAGAACCTCGACGGCCTCGGCAAGCCCCGGGGATGGGGCGAGGACTTGATCACCCTCACAGATAATGTTGAATATGGCCGTCAGAATCATGATGAATGCTCCCGAAAAGGTTGCGTCGAGATCAAAAAACCCGAAGATAGCTTTGTAGAGAAAGGTTAGCAACCTCGGCCCTCATATCTCTAGTTTGGGGTAAAGGTAATGTGTGTACCGATAATATTTTCCTTTTTCAGCAGTAGGGTCATGGAAAGCATCCTGCGCGCTGCTTCCGCGCAAGTTCGGGATAGTCGACCCAGGGAGGAGCTGTAAATTTTAGAGCGACTTGTTTCATCTCCTACCAGTATGAGCCGTGCGACATATAACATTATTGGCCGAATAGTGAGTAGTATAGCCTGTTTCGTATAGCGATAAAGTCAATTATTTGGGCCGCAATGGATGATGGTAAACACTTGGACAGAACACACCTGGTAAAGCATAATATGAATTGAAGCGAACGTCCTTATGTTTAGGCTTGGGGTCTGGCCGCGAGTCCCATCTGAGAAATCTGACGGTAGCTCTGCCAAGATCACCTGCAGCTCTTGGATGATAGACTGAACACTGTGTATCAAACTTGCATCCTTATGTGGCTTCCGCTCATACAGTACTATTTCAGTTAGCAGGGACCAAGGCGCAACGAATGACTGAAGGACCTTACTCTGGAGAATCCGACCTGTAATATGTGCAATTCTAATATTGAGGCAGATTGGAAACGGAGAAGAAAACCCAAGTGCATCTGTAGGCATATCGAGCTCGATCGTATCGCTGTTGAGGCTGGATGGATTGCCGGTTGCAGCAGCCAAGCGTCTAGTTGAATGAATGATCTCAGTTAATCGGTTCGTATGGAAGAGAAACAGAAACCAACTTTTCTTGCATGTATATTGTCCACCAGAGACGATTAAGGTGGGTCTTCTCGGACTGCAGATACTCTTTTAACCGACCACGAACGTGGAACCCGTGAGCGATAGCGATCCGCAGCGCTGAATTGACCTGTAGGTAGGACGTTAGAATCTAAACGCCCGTTGTCAAAGCCAAAGAGACTCACGTATAAGTAAGCTTCTTCCCTTCTGCTGACACTCTGGAGGTATAGTGCTACCAGGTTGAGAGCCTCTACACCATGTCTTTTGGATGCGTGAAGCTCACTGAGGCTTGGAAGGAGACCCTGGGCATACTTGAAGTAACGATCTCCCGGCAGTGGCTCACCATCGAATCTCCCCTCGAAAAGCTTTCCAAGAGCGAAGATCAAGACCAACTTTATGTACCAAAGTTTTGGCGTTGGAGAAGACGACAGGCGGTCATCGAAGAAGAGCTCCAAATGGTCCGAGGCCTCCCGAACGTCGAAGTGTTGTTGGGTCTGGCCAACGTAGAAGTTTACACAACTCAAAAGATCATAAGCATCGCTTCTACTCGGAAGGCTTGGGGGTTCAAGCAACGCGTGTTGCGCATGAGACCAGCTCTCGATCAAACCCCGTGTCGGTGACGGCACGAAGCTATTATCTGCGACAGGAATGGAGACATTGGGGTGGATCGGTGTCTTCTTCCAGAGGAAATCCCCGACGCGTGCAGCAGCAATATGTGTAGAGCTTATATAGGTGTCCGCCGTGAGGGCTAAGAAGTAAGGGCGGACTTTAGCTCACGGGAAATTTCCGAGCTCGGTCGACTGATAATACGTACCGGAAGAAGTCGATGATTCCGGGTTGCAATGAGACATTTGCGCTCTTGGACTGGACGCCGAATTGAGATATGCCGGGTCATTGGCGATTTCGTTGCGGTCCGGTGGAGGATCACTTGACACCTGACGGTCCAGGGCTTCATTGTTGCTGTCGACGGAGGCCGCTGTTTCGATTCTGGATCAGTGCCCGTCGAAGCTGTGCAATAGACGAAGCATTGAGCGAAATTACCTGACCGAATAGAAGCCGGAAGCTGGCCTGCATTTTCGTATCTCTCCAGGCGATTTTCAAGATCCTCGACATATCTGTAGGGGAAATGTGTGAGGACGGGCGAGAGAAAGGTGGCAGATAGCGATTGCAAGGGCTAGTTTACTGAACGGAATATGATCTCTTCTGGATTTTCCTGGCGGAACGACATTCCAGCTGTCGATCACGACAGTAGTCACAGGGGAAAGTACCAGAGCATTTCACCTTCTTCGAACGGCAAGTCGCACATCTGTAGCTTATTAGGTTGGACTCTCTCCGAGCCGCTAAAAGAAATTCGGTCTGTTGACGTACGCAGTGGGGGTTCTGTCCTGTAGGGCCATTGCTCGCTTCACCCCCGCGAGCTATTGCATAGAGCCCTTGGGTGGTGGGGAATCGTCTAAGACAGTGAGTAGAGGTTAATGAGTAGATATACTTGCAGAAGAGGTAGGAAGTAGAAGTCCAATTTGTGGGGGTTTAGTGAAATGTCGGGGGAGTGCGGAGTTCACGTAAGATAAGGCCTCATTGGCGCTCGGCTGGTCTTGAAGCCAGAGTTCCCCTTATCAATATACTTGAGTGGGAGTCGAACAAGTAGGCGATTCTCAATGTTAGTGGCTAGCCAGGCAAGTAAGAAGTAAGGGTATGCTCCTGGTCAGCTCGGTCTTTGTCAAACATCCTGTTTGGAGTAAATCTCACAGCAAAAGGCTGGTTTTCAGGCCAAGATCCCATCGATTTGTGATGGAATGCCACTGCCCGAGTACTAGTGAAAAGCCAGTGCGCGCGCTAGGGTCTTTAAATTGCTTAGAGAAGAATAATATAATACCTCAGTAACGACTAACAAGAGGCACTCTGTAAGTAAATAACATATAATATATATAGCATTTAAACATATCAATTAGTGGGGTTGAACAGGACATTAATGTACTGCGTAGGTCACAGTCATACTCTGGAGAAGTACGCAAAAGAATGAAATGAAATGGAATGGAATGAAAATTACTGGTCGAGTGGGACGCCGGTAAGTTACCGGCTTACGGGACATACCGTACCGCAGTTCCCCCCCAAACCTGGAAGACTCCGCCAGAGTTTAAGTAACAACAATACCGAAATCAACATTCTCTGCTTTCCCTCTTCTTCTCCCTCACTTTCTCCTCGCGTCAGTTCCACCGCCTCCAGAGGCTTTCCCCCTACTTGGTCCTGGTCTGCCCTCACTTGCATTGCGCTCGTCGCATGGTCAGCTCGTCATGACTGTCACACGCTCTCAAACGGGGAAAACCCCCAGGTAAGTAATTTGTTTGTGTGTCCGCGGCAAATAAAAAGAAGGGGGAATTCGAATGGAAGAGGACACCTGGTGGTTGTCGTCCCATTGATTCGCCCTCGATCTCCCTTTTTCCCCCTCCAGGGCTCCCTGGGATTGGTTCTCGGTGCCATTGACTGCCTGGACCGCTTAGAACTGACACCGTTGTCTTCGTTCGCCAGGAAAATGGAGCGCCCCGGCTTCATCGAAACCCCCGGCCGTCGGGTCACCCGCAGCAGCGCATTGGCTCCTGATGCCAACACGGACGATGCTTCGGACTCTGCCATCGATATTCGCGAAAACTCGAAGTCGGCGACTCGCAGGCGCACTTCCGGAAAAGTGAAACCCGAGGATGCCTCCGAGGAGGAACCCAAGGAGATAGCGACGAACGGGCTCGCGCGCGACTCCCCTCAAAAGAAGCCCCGGGTGGTGGACGGCTGGGAGGAGGGCAAGGATCCGAAAATTGATTACAGCGGCCACTTTGAATTTGGAGGCTCCTACGGAGTGCTGTCCATGATGATCGGGTTCCCGTTGCTGATGTACTACATGTGGATTGGCGCCACCTACTACGATGGCAAATTCCCTCGTCCGGCCGCCGACCAGAGCTTCTCGGACTTTGTCGCGCATTTGGGTCACTTGGTGTACGAGGGCGCATTCCCCTCGTTGAAGGCGTGGACCATCTACTGGGTGTTCTTCGTCTTTGAGGGCGCCTGCTATCTGCTTCTTCCCGGCATCACGGTCATGGGTCGTCCTCTTCCGCAGCTCGGAGGAAAGCAGCTGCCCTACTACTGCTCTGCCGTCTGGTCCTTCTACACCAGCATTGTGCTGGCTTTGCTGCTGCACGTCACCGGCGTCTTCAAGCTCTACACCATCATCGACGAGTTCGGCCCTCTCCTCAGTGTCGCCATTCTGTCCGGCTTTCTGGTTTCTTTCGTCGCCTATTTTTCGACGCTGGCCCGTGGCGCGGAACATCGCATGACGGGTCATCACATCTATGACTTTTTCATGGGCGCGGAACTCAACCCCCGCATGTTCGGCATCCTGGATTTCAAGATGTTCTTCGAGGTCCGCCTCCCCTGGTACATTCTTCTTTTCGTCACCATGGGTGCCGCGGCCAGACAGTACGAGGTCTACGGATACGTGTCTGGAGAAGTCGGATTCCTTCTGATGGCACATTTCCTCTACGCGAACGCCTGCTCCAAGGGCGAGGAGTGCATCGTGTCGACTTGGTAAGGGCCCCCAAGTCCTCGGACAAGAATGTCCCGTTCGAACGGAAGCGCTAACACGAGGAAATAGGGACATGTACTACGAAAAATGGGGCTTCATGCTGATCTTCTGGAACCTCGCCGGCGTGCCGCTCAGTTACTGCCACTGCACGATCTACCTTGCCAACCACGACCCTGCCACCTACCACTGGAACCGCTACTTCCTGGTTGTTCTCTACGTCGCCTATCTCTTCGTCTACTGGATTTGGGATACGACCAACAGTCAGAAGAACCGCTTCCGTCAGCAGGAGCGTGGTACCATGGTCTTCCGGAACACCTTCCCCCAGTTGCCGTGGCAGACCGTCGAAAACCCCAAGACCATCACTTCCGCGGACGGCTCAAAGATCTTGGTTGACGGCTGGTGTAAGTAATCCTGATTGTCGTTGATCCATGACCGGAAAAGCAGTTTCTAACTTTCTTCGCAGATGGCAAGGCTCGCAAGATCCATTACACTTGCGATCTCTTCTTTGCCTTGAACTGGGGCCTCATCACCGGCTTCAACAGCCCCTTCCCCTGGTTCTACCCGCTTTTCTTTGCCTGCATGATTAGCCACCGAGCCATGCGCGACATCCAGCGGTGCCGCAACAAGTACGGCGAAGCCTGGAGGGAGTATGAGAGACAGGTGCCCTACTTGTTCATTCCCGTAAGTGCCCCAAACTTTATACCATCGACCGACCACTAACCGGACATGCAGTATGTGATTTAAACGAACGACCCAATCCCCTCACCGAGCCTTCGCTGCTCGATTTATGGCTTGGCCGCCCTGGGCGACCTTCAATTTCAATTCATTTTCCCAACTTTCGACATTATAGGGACTTGTGTGCCGCTTCTTTAATCATGCTTACTGCTGAGTATGGCAGGGACATGCATGCCTGGTCATCCCCGGGCCTGTAGCTAGAGCTTGCTGTTCTTGTCTTCTTGATTGTAATTCTCTGACATTTGCCTTGTCTTTATTCGATTTTTCGTCTTTGATGTTTCATAACGCCTTTTTCGTTCCATGTACATTATTTCCCCGTTATGATCTGGGCTCCCTATGCTTTTCTATATCTAATTTCCAAAATATTTATGAATTGTGACTACGCAAGTATTCAACTGGACTGGAGAATCAGGTCACGCCGGGCGAGTCACATGACCGGGCCCCTCGAGGGTCTTATCGATAGACCCCGCGATGTGTTTTGGCATCGATCTTTTGTTTCGTGACAGCCAGCGTGCCAGACGGGATTATCTCACAATGTTGATCCAAGAATCCTTCCATGATGTGCCGACCCAGGCGGACGGCAAGGGAAGCATGCGTATGTCTACGAACCGCCTTCTCACTCCAGTGCGACTGCTGACCCGAGTGCGCCCCCCAAGGCATCTATGTCTTCCATCCCACCATCCCCGGGTATCCCAAGGCCCGCTTCCCCGGCGTAGTAGTGTTTAGTGAAATCTACCAAGGCAAGCCACCGCCGTTTCAATTCTCCGCGTTTTGGACAAGTCATCAAGGCTAACCCCGCCTAGTCACGGGCCCCGTTGCGCGCTTCGCTCGACAGATTGCCGGTCAAGGCTACATTTGTGCGGCGCCGTCCACTTATCATGAATTTACTGGTCCGGAGCCATTGGAATACAATGCCCAGGACACGGACAATGGGAACAAGTGGAAGATCACCAAGGTGCGTATCTTCCTTGCTCAACCCCGAAGTACTACGGACGGATTAAGAGCCAGCCGACAAGCCGAGCCAGTCAGGCGCCACGAAGAACCCGGCTTTCTGACTTTTTGGCTTTCTAGAAACTCGCGGCTTACGACGAGGACGCCTCCTTGTGCGTCGACTATCTCTTGTCGCTCCCCACGTGCAATGGCCGGGTCGGCGCAACGGGTATGTGCCTAGGTGGGCATCTTGCGTATCGCTGCGCGTTGGACAGCCGAGTGAAGGCAGCGGTGTGTTACTTCGCCACGGACGTCCACAGCAAGACTTTGGCCGAGGGCAAGAACGACGACAGCTTGGCGAGAGCCGGCGATATCAAGGGTGAACTACTCATGGTATGTCTTGACTAGCCCTTGTCTATTTTTGATTTGATTATTATTCGCCCCAAACGTTTCAAGGGCCTTCGTCTGGATTCTGTACCACCGACTAACGGGAAGTGGCAGATCTTCGGAAAGAATGACAACCATGTCCCACCGGAGGGAAGGGATTTGATCCGGAAGACTCTTCATGATCGAGGGGTCCTGTTTGGTTTTTACGAGGTGGCTTGGGCTCAGCGTAAGTTGCCATGGAGTTGCTCCCGAAGGGATGCTTTTCGTTGTGTTTCGTTTTGTTTCGTTTCGCTTCTTTTCTTTTTTTTTTCTTCTTCCCTTTTTTCCTTTTTTCCAACTGACGACCTTTGGGATCTCGATCAATAGATGCTTTCATCCGCGATGAACTCAGCAAGGGACGGTATGACCCGGCCATTAGCAAGGTATGCTTTGAGATGCTGCTTGAGCTGTTCGGACGAACTTTAAAGCTGGATCTGGGCGAGCATGACGGGAAGGACCTGGAGATCGAGGATGTCTGCTAGAGAGATGTCGGTCGCAAGGTGGGCTTTATTGGTCGATCCCTCTATAATCATGACTAGGCAACGAAATCAATGCCACCTTGCTTTCGACCAGTTCAGATTGTGCAAATTGGCGGTTGCGTCATAAGCTCCAGGCAACTGTGGCTCGGGTTAGCACGAACCAGTCTACGGCGCCGACTATTTTTTGTCTACATGGGGCCACCCTAGCAACCGGATTGGCAAAGACAGCCACCGCACGTACGGAGTAAGGCTCGCATGGGACGGAAGTGAGCTGCGATGCTCATGGAGTCATCCTCGTCCTCATCTTCATCGTCCGTAGGTCGACGCAAGGGCAGGCCGTAATGGATACGGTCATTACCGTATGGCCCGACGGATTGGCGGTTGTTTTTGCCGTCCCCCGTCGTATTGGCATTACGCGCCCCCAGTTGCCATGGATATTCGATATACAGACTTACTCCAGTCGATGTACGGCGACTAGAAGTGAGATCGGCAGAGGACTCGACCGATGCACTCGAGGTAGATCGTAGATCGTAGACATCCGTCGGGGGAGGAAGAGGATTCCTCTGGAATGTGCTACAATTAGGGGGGCGAACGAGGCTTGGAATTGGCGGAGGATCGGAGCGATCCATGGACGGACAAGCAGAGGATCCAGGCACGACTGAATCAAGGGTGCGAGATGGACGTCCACGAGCGAGGAACCTGTCCAAGGCGACCAGCCTCTCCAGGGGGGGACAAGGAGTATGAAGTACTCGTCTGCTACTGTGCTACATATTGCTCCGTAGGTATCTGCTATTCCGCAGTTACTATCGTGATCATTCCGTCTCTCGTTGCAACGGGGCCGTTAGTGTTTCTGCTAGTCTCTCGACCGTTCGCCGACTAAACGCCCATCGACCAACGGGATCTCCTCGTCACGCCTCGCTCATTTCCCCCCAAATCCAAAATCCCAATCCAATTGATTATCCTCGCTCTCGCCTCGTTCGCTGGCTCCGCTGCGGTCCCTCTCCTCGACCTCGTCCATCGCATCGGATCCTCTCCTCACGTCCACCGTCAATCTTATTCTCCTGCAGTCTGATTTGCCCCACGCTCTCGACTCCCACTCTTTCTCTCTCGTTCGCTCGACCTTGCAGTTCCTGCGCTGCCTTTAATTATTCTCGTCACGCCTGCAGGTCTGACGCTCAACCCAACGTGTCCATCCTCTCTTTTGCCGGCCTGGTCGGGCTCATCGCGATAACAACGAAAAATTTACATTAATTTCTCTGAATCCCCCCTCTCCGTCTTTCCGTTTCTCCTGCCAGAAGCTCTTCTGTGGTCGACGGGATTATTCCTCTGCGCCCGAATCAATAATAAATAATACCAAGAAAAAAAGAAAAGAAAAAACCCGCCCAAATTTCGTGCACCGGAGATCTGCGCCGGGAACGCTCATAATCCGGCCCTGAGCGTGGGTCCGAGGAAATCGACCATTTTAACCACGCCGCGCCTCGCTCGTTCTGGTCCTCGTTCTCTCGGCCAAACCATCCTTCGCATGGTCTATCGCTCCCACGGTCGATAATCATGGGCTCGACGCAGTTTGGCAAGTTCCACGTGAGTCGCCGGCAATCAACGACATCCCGAGCTGAATGGGAGAATCCATGGCTTGAGCAAGAACATTCTGCTGACCGCTGATCTTCCGCACGTGTAGGACTTCTGTCGGGATTCGACTCTACCGGTCTGCAATGTACGTGAATGGATTCCTTCTCCCCAGATGGATAGATGATATATGATATATCCAATTGCTTGCCTGCGGTGATTATTCAATTGGTCCGTCACGTCTCGCTAATTCCCGGTCTTCTTGCGCCCCTCAGCTTTTTGTCGACAACAATCAACCCCCTAATCGAGAGTTCGGCGGATGTGCACTACTGGGCATTGGACTCAGCGGGGATCGAAATCTGAGCAATTTGGGTATGGCATTCTGAGGGTTCACACCCTGCGTGCGCCAATGCGGCAGTCCGCTGACTACTTCGCAGGGTCGATTTTGCTGGCCTTTATCGCTATATTGACGTCGCTGTTTTTGCTGTGGCGGTCAGACCGGAAACAAGCAGCCGTTGGGCGAAGGTATGTCCAAATTATTGACTGCGAAACGAATCGACGTTTCTGACTGGCGGTCTGACAGGGAAATCCAATTGTTTTTGCTCGGTTTCATTGTCATTGAGATTTGCGAAATCTTTAGCGTTGGCGGCTTTCCCCTCGATAGCGCAGTTCGCAAGGTATGTTTACTTGCCGTGATTGATTTAGGATCTTGTCGTGGGGTGGTGAAGCTCATCCGCCATCTTTTGCCAGGGATTTTCGGCTGCGCATATCGCCGCAATTACCGCAACATGTTGGATTCTTCTGTTGAACGCCATGGTGGGATTCCAGTTCCTCGATGATGGCACCCCGGCCTCCCTCGGTCTCTTCATCGCGTCCGGCCTCGTGTTTTTCATTGGAACGGGTTATATCGCCTTGGACACAGGTTTCAACTGGACCGGGGAATTCGCGCCGAACGAGTCCACCGGATATCGCAACATTGCGCTCTACGTGCTGTACCAGTTGTTTCCCCTCGTCTGCTTGGTACTGTTTTTCGTGTTGGAAACCGTCCTCGTGATCCGCGTCCTCGGTGAATTCCGGCCGATGTGTACGTTGCCCTTTCGCGTTCTCCCCTCCAGACTGCTGCGTTTGGAGATTCTCTGACCGTCGCTTATAGTTTACCTGGCCGGTGCCGGTCTTCTCTTTGCCATCGGGCAAATCTTCAACTACGTGGTCAGCACCCACCTCTGCCAGGCTACAAGTGGGAAGATCAACGGCGCTCTATTCGAGACCCTCTTCACCCTCCTGTCAGTGGTCATGGTCTGGGTCTTCTGGAGCAGCATCACGGAGGACGACTGGCCCGTGCCTTCGCTTCCCACCGGAACATACAACAACTAATCGATCGAACGTGCCCCCCAAACACACTCATATATGCCCGCAGACCGTTTTTCCTGTTTTCCACTCCTTAGAATCTCGACTCGACGATTGCCTTTCGGAGTAGGGACGCGATCCCGGGGTTTATTTCCCCCCGCACACACGCAAACCTGCTTCTCGTTTCATCTAATCCTCTCCCTCAGCCTGCGCCTGCGATGTTTATTGCCTGTGATATGTTTTCCACGGAATCTAACGAGTCCGGATGTTTTGATACCATGTTCTTTTTATGTTCTATACCTGATGTTTCCACGATATCTTTTTTTTTCTTTTGATGTGCCTTCCGGGGATGGTTTACGCTTTGATCATGATCGTTCATCCTGCCCATTTCCCCCCTCCCCGTCTGCTTGATCTCTCTGCAAGGCATCGTTATGGTCACTGTTGGCATACTCGTTTATTATATCTTTTCTATCACCCGTGTTAGATACCTATTTGCTTGTAATTAGTGTGTATGCTTTGTGTTTAATAATCAATCCTTACCTACTATACACGATACGTTGACGCGCCAGGCAGGTGTGGAGTATGTCACAATATTTCATTCGAGAAGGGAGGCTGTTGCCCCGAGTATCATCTTCCCGGTCATAAACAATTATAGAGCATGAGGTGAAGTATATGTACAGGTAGGTATAACGACGATCGGAAGGCCACGCTTCCAAATATAAGAGCGATAACTGCAAAGAAAAAAAAGAGAAAAAGAAAAGCTCGCTGCAAGGACAGAAAACTGCAGGACGTGGCCATCAAAAAGACGCTCGCAGTGCAAACAAAAACCAAGAGCATGCTCTTTCTCTTTCTATACCTGGAGCTTCTCCGATTCGAACCCGGAGAGTCCATTCAACAGATGATTGCTTTTGATCCCACCAAAACCTTTCAGTCTGATGTGTTTTGTGTCGGGGGATATTTCTTTTTCTCCGTTGCCGGGGCTGTAGACCAGCACTTCAGGTCACGGATGCGATTGAACGTGACATTGAATCGCGTAAGTCAATGCACATGAACAATATCACAGGAGACCGGCGGGATATGCTTGACTTTTTTTATTGCCCTTTTCTCCGAAGCTCAAAATCCTTCTCCCAATCTATAACCGGATCTTGACATCCACACACGGCAGGGTCCATTCGCGTCGACCCAGCAAGCTGCGCAACCACTCCAGTCCGATACCGGTCCATTCGTCCTGGCGTAGATCGGACATTCCGCCCGCAGCGTCGGCGGCGGCGGAGGTGCCGTTCAGGGCGAGACGACGCTGCGCCTCGTCGACGACGGCGCCGGCGAGGGCCTTGGTCGTAGTGTTGACGGTATCCCAGACGTACTCGGCCAGGGTCTCGGAGGGGGCCAGCATCGAGGCATTGGCGGGGGAGTAGAAGGAGGACGAGTGCAGGTCGGAGCCGGCGGGGAGCACGGTGCCGCTGGTGGTGGTGAAGCGAGGAGCGAACCAGTCACCGCGCAGGTCGAAGAAGCATCGGTCGGACCAGTGACAGGAGGAGATGAAGAGGATCAGGAGCAGGGCGGAGCAGTAGATGCAGGGGCGATGGAGGACGTAGGTGAGGGTGACGAAGGAGATAATGAAGAGTGGGGAGGCGTTGGTTGGAATGAAGAGGAGCGGCAGCCAGCTAATCTCAGGAGAATGGAGGGGTTGCGGGATTAGCCATCTGGACGTTGTGTCTGAATAGAGAGGGGGAAAGGGATAGGACTGATCATTTTATTCAGGGTCTTTGACTTACCTCCGTAGACAAAACATTGTGGTGAGCTATTCCCGTGTCTGGGGATGTACAGTACTTCTTCCGGGCCAAGATCGCAGGAGTCGGCGGAGAGAGAGGGAAAAGGCGGAAGGGAGCCGGCGGGTGGCAAATGCTAGTGATGCAAGTGCTCAGGATTGTACTGCAGGTGATGGGGGAGTGAATAACAACGGACGTGGCCAGCCAGACAAGTGGTGGGCCATGGATGAATGAATGAATGAATGAACGCAGCGGTCGCCTTGAGAGCGGTGGAAGACCAGCGATAGGCCTCAGGCAGGCGATGATCTCCCGGTTGGCGGTTACGAGACGGTAATCTGGCCTGAGTTCTCAGGTGTGCACGCAGCAGCACCGCCAGATAGTGTGATACCATACCGTACAATACCCGCACCAGCCACAGGGCAAAAGCCACCGTCGCTCGTCTTTTCTTTTCGCTCTCTCTTCCGCTTCTTCGCTTCTTCTCTTCCTCTCTTCCTTCACCTCTCCCTCTTGTCCCTTTCCCCCTCCCCCCAATCCCTTCAATCGACCCCTTTTTCTTTCCCCTGTGTATCATAGTCTATCATTGATCCCTTCCGTCCTTTGCATTCATTCCTTCGCTTAGTTCGGGCGGCTTCTTTCGTTCGGACTCTCGAAAGAGAGCTCAAGAGTCCTTCCATCTTGCGCCCAGTTTGGGAGCTTTGAATTTTCCCACTTGGAGGTCGCCTATCACTCACGGCGAGCGACAGAAATGTCCACCCCCAACGATCTTCAGGCTCTCCTGGCCAGCATCAGGCCGCGTCCCTCTCCTTCCAATACTCCGGGTCAGGATGCTCCCATGCCTCCCTATTCCCAGCAGTATCATCCGGGATACCGTCAGCAGCAGCAGCAGCAGCAGCAGCAGCATCAACAGCCGCCCTACGATGGCCAGAGCTTCCCTCATCCTCAGCTGCACCAGCACGGCTATCGTCACCCGTCGGTCTCGTCCGCTATCCACAGCCCGTCCCCTCTGAATACTCCTCCCCACCACGGTTCGGATATTTTGAGCCCCAACGTGCCGACGCCTCGTGGTGACATGTTTCCTCAGCAGCAGCTGCATCCTCAACATCACCACCCGCAGCCGCCACTGCACCAGCACCAGCCGCTGCCTCAGAATCCCGATCGTGCCGCCAATTTGTTGAACCTGTTGAAGTTCAATCAATCGGGCGCCGGTCCCGCTGTCGCTGCCCAGCAACAGGTGCCTGTTGCCGGCGTGGACCAGCATAGGCCGTCTCATGCTCACGAGGTCGTCCCGGAGGAAAGCAACAATTCCGCTCACGCGAGAAACATCTCTGCGTCGGACTTGGTCGCTTCTCTCTTCGGTCGACAGGGAGGTGCAGCTCCCCCCGTGAGACCCGCCGGCTCGCAGTATCATCCTGGATCTGCCGGGGTTGGAGAAGGCTCTTCTGCCGCCCCGACCGCAGAAAACACCCAGGACATGCTTCTTCGCTTGCTGAACCGTCCCAAGCCTGGCCAGGACGTGCCCGAGGGTCCGGTGAAGTCGATGTCTCAGTCGCCGGCCTCGATTTCCCCCCAGAAATCTCCCTACCCCGAGGTGGAATCTGGCAGTCTCCCGATGCCGTCCGTTCAGGCCGTCGAGGAGTCCCTAGCCATGGGTTCCGTGCCCGAGGACGTCGTGCCCGGGAAACCGGACGCGTTTGCTCCTCCTTCCAGACCCTCTCCGGCGTCCAAGGATTCTATCTTTACCTACGTCAACCCTTTTGATCAATTGGCCGCCGCATCTCCTCGCAAAGAGTCCCCCCCGCAGCCCAAATCCGGGACTAGCGAGAGCTCGGCCATTGAGGTCTCGGCGACCGAGGAGATCAACGTGACCACTGAAGTGGAGCCGACCCCCGTCTACTCGAAGGGGAAGCGCGCCAAGTCCCCCCCTCTGGCTGACGACCAAAAGAACGCGGTGAACCAGGTCGTCGACAAGCTGGTGGACCAGCTCTGCCGCGATGTTGGTGAGCCGGCAGTCCCGTCGGCGGAGGAGCAACTGAACCCTGCGGTGTCGACGAGTCGCGACGAGAGTGCCCAGGAGGTGCTTTCATCGGTGGCGAGCCACCTCCGCGAAACCGCTGCGGAAGCCAAGGAAATTGCCCAGGATGGAGAATTCAAGGAGGCGATCAAAGAGACTGCCGCTGCGGCCAAGGAATTTGCCAATCAGAGTAGTGGCGAGGCGCTTGCTGACAGCTGGGAAAGTGCGGAAGACAGCGCCGAGAAGGAGGAGCAGCGCGTGGTTGCCGTGCACAACTTCCCCCTGAAGCCTTTCATCTCGATCGCCGTGAAGGTCTATCCCGGCAAGCTGTCGGTCCTGCGCGATGACGGCATCATGGATATTGCTCGTCTCAAGAAGGATTTCGACCAGCTGGACCGCTCTCTGACGTCGGCCACTTCGGATTACATTGTCTACGCTCTGGCCAAGAACGGAGGTATTCGCATCATCCGCCAGGATGACGGCAGCGACAAGCAGGTGTTCCGGGCGGCTCGCGACCGCGTGTTCAACGTCGCCGTGTGTACGTCCCAGACCACCAGCGGCGTGTCCGAGGAGCAGGCCGTGCTGGGCATCGGCGTCAGCGGCACCGTGTACTGGGCGCTGATCTCCAAGGCCGACAAAGATCTTTTTGAACTGGACGCCCTTGAGAGCGAGAGTCTCATCTTCCCCCCATTCCCGGCCTCGGACGAGAACACCTCTGGCGGCCAGCTGAAAACGCGGGCCAAACGGAGCTCTCGTCACCCCGGTCTTTTCGCCATCGGCCGTGGCAAGAACATCTACGTGATCTCTCCGCAAGCCGCGGCCAACCCGGCTTATGGCGTGTCGGGCAACCAGCGCACCGTCAACACCGAGAAGTTTTTCAAGGAGCGCGCCCTCAAGATTTCCACCGGCAAGGCCGGCAAGGACTTCATGTTCAGCGACGACGACACCGTCATCGCCTCCCTCGACAAGACCGGCCGCCTGCGATTCTGGGATATCCGCGAGGTGGCTACCAACTCGGCTTTCTTCACGAGCGGACCCAGCCCGACTGAGGTTCGTGTTCCTCTGAACACTTTCGTGACCGGTTCCCCCGCGGAGAAGTCGTGGCCCACTTCGGTTCTCTTCATCGACAAGCTGCGGCCTTACGTCAAGTCGATGGCGCTCCGTTACGTTCTGGTGGGATTGAAGCAAAATCACACCTTGCAGCTCTGGGATATTGGGCTGGGCAAGGCCGTGCAGGAGCTCAAGTTCCCCCACGAGAACGAGTCGGATGCCATCTGCAGCGTCGCCTATCACCCCGGATCCGGCATCATCGTCGTCGGTCATCCCACGCGCAACTCGATCTACTTCGTCCATCTCTCGGCCCCCCGCTACAACCTGCAGCCCATGTCGCAGGCCTCGTTCATCAAGCGCTCCGCCGAGAAAGACAGCAGCCTGCCCAAGCCCGAGTCGACTGCCTGTCTGAGTGGCATCCGCGAACTGTCTTTCAACTCCAAGGGTCAGCTTCGCAGCCTGGATCTGCTGCCCATCACCAAGGCGGCGGGAGACGACAGCAGCAGCCTGTTTGAGCTTTACGTGATGCACTCGCGCGGCGTGACCTGCCTGAACATCAAGAAAGAAGACCTGGGCTGGAGCCCCGACAACAAGATCGTGCGCCCTGTCAACGCCCTGGAAGAGGGGTTGATCGAGATCTCCGAGCTCCAGACCTTCCCGACGTACGTGACGGACGAGCCCTCCATCAACGGGGATACCGCTTCGACTCCCTCCAAGACTGGACCCAAGGAGGTGGTCAAGAAGGTGTCTGAGCCGAGCGCCGAATCGGCCAGCGCTGCTGCTTCCGCCTCTGCGCTTCGCACCCAGTCCCCCACCAAGCAGCCCAAAAAGAAGGTCGCAGATGAGCCACCGGTCGCCGAACCCGCTGCCACGGTGGCCGCTTCCGAAAAGCAGGACAAGAAAAAGAACAAGAAGAAGTCTGCGGCCGACGTGGCCCCGGCCAAGGCCAAGGATGTCACTCCCAGCGCAGTCTCCAGCGAAGCACCTGTGCCTGCCGCTCAACCCTCGACCAGCGGCGAACAGCTCAACGGAAGCGATGCTTTCAAGGCCGCCCCCGCTGCCCCCGAGACCACACCTCTCCCCGTCACCCCCAGCGTCGGAGTCAGTGACAACCTGGACCGACACTTGGAGGCGCTGCAGAATGGAGTGTCTGCCGAATTCAGCAAGAGCCTCGGCCGCGAGATCGAAGGACTGTACCGCCGGTTTGACGACGAGCGGCGCAGCTGGGATGCCGCGTCCGCAGCCAAACAGGACCAGGTTCTGCGATTGGTGTCGAGCACTCTATCCGAGAACGTGGAGAAGAATCTTGCACGCATTGTGTCGGACAGCATCCGTGCCGAGGTGGTCCCCGCTCTGTCCGATCTCACCTCGACCGCTGTTGGAAAGCAGCTGAGTAGCGTCGTTGCCCAGCAGATCGGCGGCGTGGTCCCTCGCGAGCTGCGCCAGGCTCTGCCCGAATCCGTGAGCCGCGCGGTGCAGCAGCCGGAGGTAGTCAAGGTCCTGTCGGAGGCCGTGAGCCAGAAACTCACCCCATACCTGGACGGCGAGATCTCAAAGAGCGTCAACAACGCCGTCACGCCGGCTTTCAAGAACCTGACTGCCAGAGTCACCGAGAAGGTTGGCGCCGATATGGAGCGTCAGATGCAGGCGCAGTTCCAGCAGTTTGAGACTCAGCGTCAGAACGACGCCGCCAAGATTGATCAGCTCACGACCATGGTTCGTGGTCTGTCCGATACGGTTGCTTCAATGGCCGCGGCACAGACCAACTTCCAGAACGAGATTTTGAAGCTGAACCACGTTGCGGCCTCTCAGCAGGAAGAGCAGCGACGCGTCTCGCGTCAGTCCCCCGCGGCTGCCTCGTCGGTTGGACCGGGAAGTTCCATGAACGCGCAAGATGCGGAGCTGGCGGACATCACCCGGTTGATCAGCGAGGGGCGGTATGAAGAGGGTTCTGTCAAGGTTTGTACCACTCTTCGATCTTAGATTTGCGCATTTGTACTAACGATCGTGAACAGTGGTTGCAATCCGAACATCAGGCCGATCTCTTCAACAATCTGTTCATCCAACTGAGCCCTTCGTATCTGACCAACCTTTCGCCCATTGTGGCTTTATCTGTTGGTGTTGCTGTGACGTCTTCTCTCCAGACGAACGTGACCGAGCGTCTCGCCTGGTTGGATGTGGTCCTGCAAACCGTGAATCCCATGGTATGTCCCCCGGATAGAAGATGAAAACTCTGTCCCCGCTAATTTCTCTCGACAGGATCCGGACATTATTGAAGTCGCGCCTAGAATCATGTCGGTACTGCTGCAGCGTCTCGAAACCTTGTACATGTCAATTGCGCAGAACGCACCGCACGATCCCATCCTTCGAAAGATTCCTCCTCTTTCGCGCCGCGCCCGAGCCCTTCAGGGATAAAATTTGGAGTTGATGAAGTTATTCTTTTCTTATCTTTTGCTTTGATCCGGTAATGATGACTAGGTCTAATATCTCGGCCCTCGGTCCACCTGATGATCATCATGCATAATGGAAGTAATGGCAATAAAAGCATAAAAGTTTGAGATGCGTGGTTTTCCTTGGGGCGTTCCTTTTCCTTTTTGACCTGTACCTTTGGGAATCCACCGCGGTGGAGCAGCACAGGGGACGCAAATGAAGGCGACGCATGCATGTTCTCATTAATCATTGCATATCTCTAGCGAGGGGCCTTTGCGGTCTTTTCCATCTGTTTGTTGGCGCTCGTGTTATTTTGGCTGCGGGAGCAGCGAGTTGCCATTTGATACGAGACATAACCATGACCTAATTTCATTTGCATATATCTATTGTTTCAATCCATCTGTCTATCTCTATACCAGCCATGTAATCTACCCCTGGGAAGGCGGCCCCTGCCACCCAGACCTCACCAACCACTCTTCAAACGTCGACGCCCTGACCCCCAAATCCACCCCCGACAAATCCTCCGCCTCGTCCATCGTGCCATAACACACCTTCTCCTGCGGCGCCACGACAATCCACTCCATCATCTGCCGGATATCCCGCTCGTAGCCCCTGCCCGCCGCGCGCGCCACAATCTGGCCCCATTCGTCCAGCGAGATGGGCTCGAAGACGGCGCGCTGGCCCGTGACGGCGGAGAAGGTGCGCGCCATGTCCGCGAAGGTGATCTTGGGCGCCACGACGGGGTAGATCTTCGAGGCGGTTTTGTGAGGCCCGAGGTGGAAGATCTCTGTGGTTAAGTTAGTAAGTAGGTTTTCGTCCCCCCCCCTTCATCTGGGGCATTATATAGCACGGAGACTAGGAGGACATACTAGCCGCGTAGACACCTATATCCCAGGCCGGATCGACCCAGTCAGCTGGTTTAGATGGTGGACAGGGGGCGCAGAATCGGACGATGTTGTCTTCTATACATGTGACATGGCATTTTAGCGCTGTCCGCTTCCTTTCTGTATATAGCTTGGAATGAGGGAGTAGAATGCAGTACGGACCCGTTCTTCGGCAATATTGCGGTGTTGATAGATTCGAGTAATACAACCCTTTGATTGATGTTAACATTCGTCATACTACCCACCCCACTGGCTCACTGGCCAGTGCATGTGTTCAAACGGGGAAGGGGGAGGAGACAAACCCGGATATAAAACCGTGACGGCAGGAAGCTCTTGTCTCGCCCACTCCTCGATCTGATTCTTATGATCGAAATGAAACACCTTGGTGAACCGTCCCTGGCTGCACCGCGATAGATTCGGCAGACTGCTGAGGATGACGTGCGGGATGTGGAATTCCTATACACATACATCTACTTAGTCTCTAGTTCTCTTGCTCACCTACACCAGAACGAAGAGTGACAGGGGAAAAGGGAGGTACACACCCTCGCCACATCGACGATATTCCTCCCCGCCACCAACTCATGCCTCATCTCGTCCTCGGTCTCGATCAGACGCCCCGGGAGCCGGTTATGCGTCATGGCGAAGAGGGCGTCTGCGTCGCGGAACCCGTCGCGCAGGGTCTCCGCGCGGTAGACGTCTCCGGGGACCAGGCGGATGCGGAGCTCTGGGAAGTCGGAGAGCAGGGACTGCGCGGATTCAGAGGCCGGGTTGCGCGTGATGGCGTGGATGGTCAAGTCCGGGTGGTGGTGTTTGTTGGCGTGGAGGGCGCGGAGCAGCCCTCGGCCTTGGTTGCCGGTTGCGCCGAGGATGGTGAGCTGGGGCATTTTGTTTCCTCTTTCTTTCTTTACTGGGTTGGACTAATGCAGAGTGTGTGGATTGGAATTCAAAGTGGGAGAGAGAGAGATGAAGACAGTGTCAAGTGATGTCATGGGGTCGGGGTAAAGTCTTTGCCGTGCTGTATGTCAGTTGATAGTACTTCATTTGGGACCCTTTCTGGTCATTCATGGAATCATTTCCCTTCGATTAGCTACAACTTCAATTCAGAGATATAATGATAGAAGTAATATTGTTACTCCGCCGGGCTTTCGCGATCCGGGAGATCTCGGTGTTCAATCCAGAGAGAGATGTATATATAGCATAGAGATAGCTCGAGTATAAGGCCCATATACTACAGAGATAGCAAAAAACAGACTTGACAACGCCGATCACGGTGCTTGACGTCGATCTGCTGATCCTGCAGGTGGGCTCCAAATAATCATTCGTTCTTGGGCTCTAGTCAATCCATGTGACTGGTCGAATTCACTTGTGGCACCACTGCTGTCCACAGGGCGATTCAGGGAAAGATATTTGGAATATTGAAGAGGCAAGTGAAAAGGGTCACGCGACCTATTGAAATAAGATTGTTGACACAATAAGAATGTCGCATCGGAATGCCCCTGGATTGGTGCAACTCGGCAGAGATTGTCAAGTTTCCCTCCAAGTAAATACTAGAAGCAAGGGTTTGGTGAATCCCGTAGATCATCATATAACCGTCCAGAATAGGGTTGACTCAAGTAGAATTCGATGTGAAAGGGGTGATATCACATTCGTAGATCTAACATAGTCATTCCCAAAACGCAATATATCACTTCTACCATGCAATGCAACAGGGATGGCCTGCAGGCCTGAAATAGTGGGCCCCGAAAACAATGAATGAGCCGCGACGCAGAAGTAAGGCTGAAGACTGTACGCTGTGTTGAATTGCCTCGCAATTGCCCGTTCGTCTTCGCCTGTCGATGGCAATGACAGTTCGGAATGAAGATTGGACAAACAGGACCAGATCTACAATCAGCCGTCCGTGGTGAAAATCAATTGACCATGGCTGGGGAGTCCGTTGAGTCGGGACGTGATGAACACTTTCAGGCAGTCCACAGCGTCTTCTCCGAAAGGCAGAAGAAATTCTCGATCATAATCTCATCCCTGGTGAGCTTTCTGGCCCCCGTCTCAGAGAGCATCTATTACCCGGCCATAGGATCGCTGGCGGATGACCTGGATGTCTCGAGAAGTGACATCAATTTCACCATCACTGCTTTCATGGTAAAGTCCGTTCTCTTTCTAGTCAGGTCGTACAGGCACAACAGGACTGACGTGGTTTCCATGCAGATTGTGCAAGGTGTGATCCCTTTATTCACCGGCACCATCTCAGACCGGGGAGGCCGCCGGCCAGTCCTCCTCGTCTGCCTCTCCATCTACCTTATAGTCAACGTTGGATTGGCACTGCAGACCTCGTTTCCGGCCCTGACAACCCTGCGATGTTTCCAGAGTATTGGAAGTAGCGGAACCACCGTGGTTGCGATTGCGACAACATCCGATCTGGTCACTCGCGCCGAGCGTGGAAAATACATGGCGTATTCCTCGATGGGATACACCGTCGGGCCGGCGCTGGGCCCCATCTTGGGCGGAGTTCTAACCCGATACCTGGGCTGGAGAAGCGTGTTCTGGTTCCTGGCCATCTTGACGGCAGTGATCATCCTGGTGATCCTTCTGTTCCTGCGTGAAACCTGTCGTGCGGTGGTGGGAAATGGAAGTCTGCTACCCCAGCCCTGGAATCAACCGGTGCTGGAGGTGATCCGCCCACATACCTACGAAAAGCCCGACTATGATACTCGCGTGTCGTTCCCCAAGGGTTCAGTGTTCCTGGACAGCGTCAGGGCTGTGAAAACCAAAGCGATGGGCATGCTGGTCCTCGGCGGCACGCTCCTGTTCTGCGGGTCTATTGCCGTCACAAGCAGCATTCCCGCCCTGCTGGAGCGGAAATACGGCTTTGATTCCCTGCGGATTGGGCTGTGCTATCTTCCGTACGCAGCAGGGGGCATCGCAGCGCGCTGGACGATGGGTACGCTGATGGATTGGAATTTCCGGCGCCACGGCCGGAAAGTCGGGGTGGAGGTGCAACGAAACCAGCAGACCGCACAACAACTACGGGAGATCCCCCTGGAACGAGTCCGATTGCAGCTGACATTGCCGCTGGTGTATCTCTCGAGTATCTGCATGCTCGGTTACGGGTGGATCATGAACTACGACGTTCATATCGCCGGTCCTTTGGTCATTCTATTCCTGCTAGGCAACGCCAACACCGCAGTGAACAACTCACTGAACGCGTTGATCGTGGACCTCAATGCATACCAACCGGCCACGGCCGTAGCAGTCACAAACCTGTTCAAATTCTTGAGCGGCGCTGGAATAGTGGCTGGAGTGCTGCCCTTGATCGATGTCGTGGGCATTGGGTGGGTAGGGACCATCATCGCGGGCTTTTGGTGCCTTATCTCGCCGCTGCTATGGCTGCTGTATGTTTATGGGCATGAGTGGAGGAAAATAGGCGATGTGTGACCAGTTCTGAAATTTCCATCGTGTATATATAGGCCCAGGGAGCGTGTATCGAATCCTTATGCATGAAAGTCAACCTTCTCGGTCCCTTGGTCTGACGACCCGTTCTCGATGAACTCAAATCCCAATGCCCGCCAGTTCAATTCCTTTCGCCAGTGCAGTCCGTAATACTCCCGATTAGATTGGGAAGCGGTGTCGTTAGACTCTTCGGTAGGCCCATCTTTTGAAGGCTCGTCGATCTCGTCCGTGTCCGCCGTCGGAGCTACAACAGGCTCCGATGCCAATCCTCCTGTCATCATGCGTCCCTGTCGAGGAAAGGTCACGGATCGGAAGCGGGAGAGAAGCATCCCCATCGAGCAGCACACACATGGTTCGTGGGTCAGATAAACGTCAAGGTCCGTACAGAGGTAGCCGCCATGCTCCCGCGTGCGGATCCGAGGAGCAAGCTTGCTATCACCCGAAGACGACGATCGGGGAATCGCTTCCTTCTCAGTCTTCTGGTACTTCTCTGCAACAGGGGAGTGCTCCCTCGACTCATCCAAGGCGTCTTCGGAAAAGCTCTCCGACTTCGATAGGAAATATGCCTCTAAGGGGTTTAAATGTGGCCTCTCCTCTTCCAAGCTAGCCTGGCGCCGCACCCCAGCAATGAGGTCAACTACACGCATCAGCGCGTGCAATTCTGGCCCACCCTCGAGGTCCGGGTTATACGTCTCGCTGGCAGGATTGGGACCCGCTCCTAGATGTAGTTCCGACTGCGACATCGCGCCGGCTTCTCGACGAGAGTACCGCGCATCCCCAGCGACCGCCACAACCGCATCTGCCCAGCGAGTCTCCGCATCGTCACCGGTCGTCTCAATCTGAGATTCCAGTTCCGAATCCACGACCACTGCCCCTACTCGGCGCCCTCGCCCCGACTGTTCCGCCTCGTCCGCTACTTTGAACGCCAGAGCCAGGTAGTATCCGGCCTTGGGCTGGATCGATTCGTGAGTGCGAGTCAGGATCTGCGGGGGCGGAGCAATGTTGGCCTTGGGAGCGGCGGGGTTGAAAACGACCGGCCAGAATTTGGCCGACCAGTTGTCGGCCTGAGGTACATTCAGAGGCGGCAGGAGTGGAACCTGTATCGTGTAAAGACTGATTTCATCCGGTGTGGTGGACGGTGCAGAGGACGAGGGGTTCTCAGCGTCCGGAGTAGGAGGTATAGGGACGAACGGCGCAAGGACTTTCCGAAGTTCGCCAACGTCGGGTAAAGGAGGCATAATCAAGGCAAAGATCGTCTGCGAAGAGGGCTCGCCTTTGATGAGAGTGGATCGCAACGTTTCTGGCAATTGGGTATGCTTTGCGAATCGTCGGAGGTGGTTTGTTGATTGCGATGAGTCGCGAGGAAATTTCGAGTCTAGCGCTCTAGGACCTGTAAGCACAGGTGCGAGGTACATGGAAATGAACTTGGAGTGAAACACTCACTTAATTACTTTGGAAGCACCTTTCACATTGACCTCTACTACATAGGCATCGCCTATTGTGGTATCAGCTCAAGTCCGTTCTTTTTGGGGGGGGGGGCAACTCCTTTGCCCCTCCTCTATGCTTTATCCCCCTTGTGGACTGTAAAAAAGTTCACACACTAAACGCACCAAATTCTATACGCGGCCGTGCCTCCTGCACGGTTCTCACAGGAATCACTTGGCCCACGAGAGGCTGCACTCCCTTGAGGATCTCCTGAGCGCCCATTGACTGGTCCATGGAAATGGTTGGCGAAGAGCGGGGTATAATCGGCAAATGTGGTCCTCAAGATACAATTGCTTCTTCGAGGGGAGGAGGGGGTATTGTGAGACAGAGTAGGAGCAAGATTCACGGCATCTTTGCGTGGGATTGAATTCTCCGAGAGAGACTGATTTGAGGAAATCCCGGTCGAGAAAGGTTGGCGGTCTCGACGGGCCCTCAAACCCTATGCGCGGTACCCTATGACCTAAGCCCTACCCTTTGCCAATCCGGGATCTACAGATGAAAGACGGGCCAAAACTTTAAAGGATCATTTGGGAGATCACCGATAGATATGTAGATGTTTAATGGAATTATGTACACGCCCCAAAAGCCAGTCATCCGTAAATGCACCGACTGTTGAGGCACATGAAAGCCCAAAGCAATGGAGATGAGAAGCTCAAACGGGAGAAATGGAATGTCTATAATCAACCCAACGGGGGCACTGGGCCGCGTTTCTTGTGTTGTATGTATACACAGCATCAACTCCGTGGCCTGTCTTATGCAAGATATGTACTGTGACAAGGGGGAAAGGGGGAGGGGCATCTTTCGATAAATCGCGGAGAAGCGGGGTTGGTCCTCCGTGCAGATGGTCCACCCCATAAATCGAAATATTAAAAAGAAATGAACTCCGTCGTGGGGAAACAACAATGAGAATGAAGATAGAAGATAGAAGATATTTTTTTTTAACCGTCGCGCTGGATTTCGAATCCCTCGCAACGCTCCACCAAACTTTGGTAATAGTCCACCAGCACCTCGGGTTGAGGGACAATGCGCCACTCTACGCGGAACAGAAACTCCAATTCGAGGAGCGCCAGTTCCGTCATACTGATTCCTCCAACGCGAGCATACGTTTTATTCGTCCAAAAGCTGTCGCTCAGTCCCTTACTGGCAACGGTGGCGCTGGCGATGAGGAATCGATGGATGGTGAGGCTGGAGACGGTGAAGGAAGGATAAAGCGCGCACAGTCGATCAATATAATATACCATGCTTAATAGAATGGGTGGCGAAAGCGTCGCGTGGGTGGCAAGTCGCTGCAGGTAATCCTGGACGGATATCCGCGGGGGCGTCCGGGAATGAAATCGCGTCAGTCGGCCCTGGTGCAGAGGGATCTTATCGTTAAACCGGATCAGCTCCATGAGCATGCTAGAGATCAAGATCACAATGTCCCGCGGATCCGCCTCCTCATACTGGGCGGGGAGCACCTTGACGGCGGGTTTGCTCGGTCGCAACCGCTTGGTCTGCGAGCCTTCGAGGTCGGAGCCAGCCAGGCCGGCCGTGTGCGCGCCATTAGCAACGGGGTCATTGGGGCTGTTACGCTTGTTGGACCCTGCGCTATTCCCTGCGCCGTTGCGAACGGGGGCGGTCATTGGGGGATCGGAAGATGATGGAGCGGCGGAGTCGGGAGCGGAGGGATGGGGAGCGGCACCGTTATTGGTCGGACGGTCGGAAGAACAGGGAGGTTGAGGACAGGGGACGACGGTGTCAGTGTGACCTGCAGCGTTCGACGAGGCGATAGTTCCGCCCCCAAGGGTGGTCAGCCCAGCGGATCGGCCGCCCGGGAGATCCCCTGAGGGTCCGGAGGACGTAGAAGCAACGGTGTGGCGAGTTAGGGCCGATCGAAGCTCTTCGATGGCCACGCGGGAGGAGCGCCGAGAGAGAGGACTACCAGACGATGCAGCAGTTGGGTGGGTGGCAGGCTCATAGTGCTGATGCGGGTGGTGATGGTATCCCGGCGCGGCGGTCGTCGGAACGGCGGCGGTGGACGAGGCAGAGGCGACCGGGGGACGAGGAAAGGAGGGAGAGGAGAAAGAAGAAGAACGAGGGGGGCGCGAGGAAGGAGAGGAGGAAGGGCGAAGGGCGGAGGGCGAGGGCGAGGAAACTAGCATCTCCGCCCAACGAGAGCACCACGTGGGCGCACGACTGAACGACGTGCAACGGAGCTGGCAGACGCTGCGAAACCTTGTGCTGCTGCTACTAAGGAGGATGGCGTGCCCAGACGCATCATGATCTGCGCGTCCAGCTCTTTTGAAAAAAGACGCTGAAATGCGGGGAGGTGATGAAGCAGAAAGTGTGCACGAGGAGAAAATGAGATGAAGATGGAGATGGAGATGAGGGAAAAGGAGAGGGAAAAGTCGTCCAACCAAATAATCATCGGCAGAGGAGGGGAACCTGGAGATTTTGCCTCGTAATAAAAGAAAAGGAAAAAAAAAAAAAAAAAAAAAAAAAAAAAAAAAAAAAAAGGGAAAGCCGCCAAGCCAAGCCACGGCAGTCTGACCAAACAGCGTAAGGCTGAGACGAACCAGCCGTATCGAAACAGGGAATTTCGGTGGACGGGAACCGTATCCTGAGGAATTGGCCAATCCGCGGCCGCAGCGGATGCAATCCTTTAAAACTTGCCCAGCCCTATTACCGATGCATTACCGTACAGGCCCTTTCCAAAGGTTCTCGGCACGGAACCCCGACCCGCCTGAGTGCTCAGCTCGAGATGGACCTTATGTTTATCACTCATCTACGCCGTAAGTCTGGAACTAGTGAGAGTCAATCGGGGCCATACCTCCGTCGACATGGGATCGAGCACGTCTCACCACTTCTCAGCCGCGAAGAAAGCTTCGGTCGAACCAGGGCGGTCAATCACATCGAGCCTTGGGGTGTACAAGCCCTCGAGATTGCACTGAGGACGTCAGCCAAATCCCTCTCTTCCTGGTCTTCCTTCGAATGTGCCCCGGTCAGGTGATGGCGCCGCGGCACTGCGATTCTCGTACGGAGGAGCCCCGAGTAGGTCGTCTTACTATTATCCTACTACTCGGAGTGGTTCAGAGAGTGGTTCAGAGTCCTGCATTCATGGATATCCTGGAGATAGTTTCCCAATCATTATTGCTCTGGGAGGAATACATCATTGCATCGTATCCTCGGCAGTTCGTGCGTTCCCCTCTTTTCTTCTGCCCATGCAGTAGTTGGCGTTTTTAGCTCTGCTTAGCTTGGCTGCTATCCTGCTTTCCCAGCGTCCGCCGTTTCAGCACTACGCAGTAGGGCCACCGATGCTGCAGAAAGGGAATATCGACCTACGGAGTACGGAGTAGGAGATCAATAATAAGAAACCAATCGCTCGGGTGTGCCTTTTACGAATCATACAGTCTACAGTACTAAATGTCTTCAGGCAAGCGTCTCTTATGGTCCATATCGAATTTCCCGGCCAATTGCCTTTACCGCACCAGGAAAGAAAGAAAGAAAGAAAGAAAGAAAGAAAGAAAAAAAGAAAAAAGAAAAAAAGAAAGACAGAAAGAAAGAAAGAAAAGAAAAGAAAAGCAATAGTACCAGACAAATTCCAATAGATTCGTACCTACGGAGTACACCGTGCTCGGAGTACATTACCTATACTGGCATTTACTAATACCTATTCAGCGCCTAGTCGCCACGAGACACGGTCTGACCTCTCTTCGAAAAACGTCGAGTCTCGCATGACTCTCGGTCTCTCTCAGATGCCATCCCCAGACGCTCGTCGGTGCGCCAAGATGGCTGATTGCATTATGGTACCACGTCCGATTTGAAAGAGGACGAGAATGCTCGGGTGGAAGGGTCAGCAGTGATGGGATTCGGTCGATGGAAAGGGGTTTCCTAGGGCAATACTAGGTCCTCGATGTACTACTAAAAACTCGGTACTCCAACCTACTCCAAATAATGACGGGCGGGAGGGACCTAGTCCTTGACACTTCCCGGAACGGAGCCGAGGCGTGCGCGGCGCGATCCGCCAATCATCGTCCCGCGCGGACTCGAGCGGCGAGGGGTCACGTGGCACGCGACACACCGCTTGCCTCGATGAGTCAGCCGCCGCGCACCTGACCTCACGTGATCCCCGTGCCCGCAAACGGCAAAGCGGCGGCCCCGGAAAGGAAAGGGAAGGTGCTCCAGTCCAGTCCGTCATAGAAGCATCTCGCTGGTCTTCCTGTCTGCCCGCTGCCATTGCTTTGCTCTGCCACCGTGCCGGTGTTATACTCGACACTTCCTCATTGTGAATACCTTGGATGCATCTTGCTCCCGGGACAGCGTGGTGGCTGTGTTATCTCCCATGATCGTCGACCGCTAAACGCCTGAGACTCTTCGGTTGCCGGCGAAGCTAGCTAGCTGTACGAATCCAAGCCCCTCTCCTGGACCATCGACGCCGTTGGCACCCTCCCAAAAGCCTCCGTCGACTGCCTTGGCTTCTCTCGCTTCGAACGTGCCGAGTCGCCATCGGAACATAATACCGTTGCTCTCGTACCTTTTTCTTTCCTTTTTCTCGGCTGACCTGCTCGGTCATAGAACCCTCCCGCGGGAGGCGGTGATTTTCGGACCATGACGCGCGCCTCGACGCCCCCGGTTCTTTTACAACTGCAGACGGCGGATTCCCCCTCCTCGCAAGCGGCCGCCCTTCGCACGCTGAAAAACGAGACAATTGGCCATGACCAGCGCAAAGAGGCCTGGATTCGATGGGGCATCGTCCCAACCCTTGCCAAGCTGCTTGCCTCCCGACCATCCGGTGATAAGACCTCGACGACGATCTCCGAAATCAATGGGACGGCCTCGGATCGTGACCTCGCCCATCCGAAGTCGGAAGCAGATGATGTCTGTCTGCAGGCGATCATCGTCATAGGTAGTTTGGTACAAGGTATTTGATTGCCCGGGGAACATGCGATGGCGGCAGCCTGGCTTATCTCTATCAAACGTTTGCATGTGTGCTGATATTCTGGGGCCCAGGCGGTGCATCCTTCCTATCACCTATTCTTGCCAGCGACCTACCCTCAATACTCTTGTCTATTATCTCTTCGCCTGAATGTCCCCCCTTCTTCGTCCTTCCTATCCTTCGCACCCTGAACAATATTGCCGATCGACTACCGTTACAAAATCAGCCGGAGGGCCCCAAGGATCCTCGTCTAGCCGATTTACTCTTTTCCACCGAGTATATTGGCTTTCTGCCCCGGATCATAGCCCAGGAGTACAGCTCGCACGAGAAACAGACGGCTATCGAGCTCGCCGCGGCTCTCGTCGGTAAACTATGCACCGAGGAGGCCCATAAGGCGGTGCTGGCGGAATGTGGGGTTCTAGATGCTCTGGCCGTGAAGGTGGCATCCTTTGTGGCGGCGCAAGGCTTCGTTCTGCCAGGCGCAGAGGCACATGTGCAGGAACCCGGCGCTCTGGGGTCGCTCCCTCTGCCTGCACCCCCGACGGCCAAGCTGGCGCCGATCCTGCGCGCTGTAACCGTAATCATTGAGCACTCTAAGTGGCGGGCGGAACACTTCCTCTCGTCCCCGGGGATAGTCACGGTGTTCCCCAAGCAGTTGCCCGAGTTTGCCCCGGCAGATGTTAAGAAGGCCCCGTGGGGTTCGACGTACTTGTCGGGGTCTGCGGTACCACGCCACGCCGGTGCAAGCCCCCTAGAGCATCTCCTCCCATCGGTCCCGTTGGCGCACAACAAAGCCTCCACCAGCACCCCCAATTTCCCGCCTTTGGGGCAGCAGGGACCTCGCCGCCGACACAGTCAGTCATACCCTGCATCGCTTCCCGTCTTCGACGCACCTAGCACCGAGGACGATGAAAATGCCATAGTTCCCTGGCTCCTTTATGTCATTCGTGCGGAAACCGGCATGGCGCGGCTGATGGCAGCTCGTCTCGTCACCGTTTTGTTTCGGCGCGGTCTCACCAAAAAGCATCGGGTCTCCATGCTGTGTTACTTGTTGATCCCGATTCTGATCCGGATGCTCGACAAGGACCATGAAATGTCGTGCGACGATGGCGTGCAGTATGGAGGGTTGATTTCTTCGCCCGATCGTCTGCGAGAAGAGGCCCCGGCAGTGCTCGCCACCCTCGTCATGGATGACCAGGAGTTGCAGAGACATGCGGCCGAGGGCGGGGCCATCCAGCGACTTTCCCAACTGCTCAAGGAGACGTACAATCCCATCCGCCAGAACACCAAGCCGATGTGGCATGCAGAGGCCGACGATACTACTGGAGGATCCGACACGCAGCCGGCAGAGTGCAGGCTCGGCCATCCCGGATATGCACCCACCCACTGTCATGTGATGCGTTATCGCGAAAACATCCTGAAGGCCCTGGCGGCCCTGGTCCCGTTCAAGGACGAATACCGGAAGGCGGTCTGTGAGAACGGGGTGGTGCCGTATATCATTGACTCGCTCAAGCCCTGCTCGAGCGATCCCCAGTCGGATACCTCGAATCCCAAAAACACCGCTGCCGATGGCAATCCAACTCCGACGTTGCTGGCTGCTTGCGGTGCTGCGCGGATGCTCACTCGTTCCGTTAGTGTCTTGAGGACCAGCCTGATCGATGCTGGTGTCGCCACTCCCTTATTTGTTTTGATTCGTCACCCCGACATCGAGGTCCAGATCGCCGCCACGTCAGTAATCTGTAACTTGGCCCTCGATTTCAGCCCCATGAAAGAGGTAGACCCTGTCCCTTTGTCCATCGTTTCTTGGCTCCTTCAAACTGTGTTCTGACAAAAGTAGGCAATCATCTCTGCGGAAATCCTCCCCATCCTCTGCGAACACGCGCATTCAGTCAACACGAAACTACGTATCGAATCGCTCTGGGCCTTGAAGCACGTTGCCTACAACTCTACCAACGATGTGAAGATCAAAATCATCACCGGCCTAGGGCCCGGGTGGATCAAGCAGGTGATCACGCAGGATCCAACGACCGCGTTAGCCAAACGGGGACTGGACGAGGAGCTGGACAGCAACAACTTGGCAGGCATGAGTCGAGCCAACTCGGCCGGAGAACAGGTGGACTTGCTGAATCCCATGGAGCATTCTCAGCAGCGCGACGAGGACATGAAGATGGCCGACACGTTGCCGCCATCCAAGATGAGTCTAGAGATGTTCCTGCCCGACGTGACCCGGCGGCGCAAGCTTGCCCTTCACGGGGATCTAGACCAAACGACCCAAGCTCGACAGGATGACATCGCGGTACAGGAACAGACATTCGATTTGTTGCGTAATCTCGTCTGCGGACTGGGGGCCTCGGAAATGATTGACCACCTGTTTACGGAAATCGGGCAGGATCTGATCCTGGATGCCCTGTCGGACAAACTACGCCCTCGCAGCATCCAGCTTCCGCATCGAAGAGAGTCATCTGCGCAGCGGGCCCTTCAAGTTCCGACCGAAATTCTGGTTTCGGTGACATATGTCATCATCCACCTTGCTGCCGGTCTCCCTTGGCACCGTCAACTTCTGGTCTCGCACCGGGATCTTCTCCGCCATCTCATGGGCTATTTCAACCATGCCAACCGGGATGTACGGACCAACTGTGTCTGGGTTGTGATCAATCTCACGTACGAAGACGATTCAAGCGATCATGACGGGTGTCGAGAACGGGCCTTCAAGTTACGTTCGATCGGGGTCGCGGATCGTCTGGCCAGTCTCGAGGACGATCCGGATCTTGACGTCCGAGAGCGCACTAAAACTGCACAGCATTTGGTAAATGCTTTGACGCGTTGATAGCGAACGTGTATTGGTTTCTCTATCCTTTCTTGCTCATGCATTTGGGCCGATAGTGGGAAAGTAGATGGATCCTACCGGGAAGCTTTTTTTGTGTTCATTTCCTTCCCCCTTTTCCCTTTCTATTTCTTGACACATAGCAGGCGTTGAACTGGCTGTTGGATGTACAAAGAGAACCGAGGAGATGCACATGATAAATGAATCCGATAGATCGTTCTGCCTTCCGTAGAGATGGAAAGGAAAGGAAAGGAAAGGAAAGTAGTTCCGGTCGAGTCTTATCGATAAGCCGGAGACGGCGTGACGTCACTTGACCGGCTCCAGACGTTTCCCGACCGGATTTCCAGCGCTTCATACTTCCATCATTTCTGCCACCCCTCGCCCATCGCTGGGATAATCACTCCGTCCTTGCACGACCTGGCAACAATGGCTCCCGTCCCGGCGTCTCTTTTGCGAGCTCTTTCCATCCCCGACCCGGATCGCGCCAGTCTCTCGACCGCTGGCTTGGGGTCCGGGTTCACCAGCACAGGTGCTATTCGAGCCACGGTGCCCTCGCCCGCGGCCGAGGATGAGGAGGAAGAGCGTCGATATTTTGTCAAGACATCTGCCGATGGCAAGGCAGCCGAAGAGATGTTTCGAGGGGAGTACGAGTCTTTAAATGCCATCGCGAACTCGGTGCCGGGCTTTTGCCCCCGCGCGCTGTCCTGGGGATTTCTTGAAGAGAGCAACGGGAAGAGCTTCTTCCTGGCAACCGAATTCTTGGAGCTGGGGGTCGGCGGCCGGACGGGTCCGTCGCTAGCTCAGCGCCTGGGCAGGCTGCACTCGACGCCGGCACCGCCAGATCCTGAGACGGGCAAACGCCGGTTCGGTTTCCCCGTTCCTACGTTTTGCGGCGACACGAAGCAGCCCAACCGGTACCACGACTCGTGGGCCGATTTCTACGCCAATGAGCGGCTGCTGGTCATTCTAGATACGTCGGAGGCGCGGAATGGGCGCGATGCCAGTCTGCGCGACTTGGTCGAACGGACGGCGCACAAGGTCGTTCCCACCCTGCTCGGCGATGGGCATCTGGGATATGACAAGGATGGCAATGGAGAAGGGATCATACCTGTCGTGGTTCACGGCGACCTCTGGAGCGGGAATGCGGACCGCGGACGCATCATCGCCAGTGGTCGAAAGGAAGACGAAGAGGTCGGGGACGTTGTGTACGACCCGTCCGCATGCTATGCGCATAGTGAGTTTGACCTGGGGATCATGAAGATGTTCGGAGGGTTCGGATCGGCGTTCTTCGATGCCTATCATCGCATTGTTCCCAAGACTGAGCCGGTGGAGGAATACGATGACCGAGTACTGCTATACCAGCTGTAGGTGCTCTCTTCAGATCCCCCCCATTGCTATCATCGGACTGACGCTTTCAGGTATCACCATCTGAACCACCATGCTATTTTTGGAGCCGGATACCGATCGGGGGCAGTGTCGATCATGCAAAAATTGGTCAAGAAGTATGGATAATAGGATAACATGACTATGATGCATTTGAATTGGATAGGCTGCCTCCTACAGCGTTCTGTTTACTTTTGTTCTTACTTGATTGTGGCATGCCTGTCCATATTCAAGGCATCGAGATACCCAGATTGTTTAGGATAGAATCTCCTCGCGGATTCTTCGTGGACGAATGGTGTGATACAGATACATACACACGCATTTGCCAATAAGATGGAGGCCAAGGGTCTTGGAAGTAGTCTTGGGTGGAATTAATAATAATCAATGAATCCACGCGGAATCTTTTCCAGTGAACTTCAACGATGACGCCATCGAGCCCGCGTGCGGAGTTCTTCTTCCACCAACTCATTCTTACTCCCTCTCTTTCCTTCTTTCTTCTCTCCATCTCCTTGTAATCTTCTCCGTCTATCCAAAATGCCCTCCCATCCAGATGCAGCAGTCTATCCCGAAGCAACGGGCCCGGCCAAAGCGTTGGTCGACCAACACCAAGCAGAGCAACCACTCAAGCTGTATGCGGGGTGGTTTTGTCCGTCAGTCATCTACCAATATCTATCCCTTCAATAAAGGAGTAACTGCTAACCGACCGTCTAGATTCGGTATGATCAATCAGCAACTATTCCGCTAGGGGTCCTAGATAGAGACGGAGTTGCTAACCCATCCCATCCCAGTGCAACGCGTCTGGCTGGCACTAGAAGAAAAGCAGATTCCATACCAATACATTGAGGTGAACCCATACAACAAACCGCAGTCACTACTCTCGTTGAACCCCCGCGGACTCGTGCCGACGCTGTCCGTCCCGACCTCCGAGGGCAGTCGACCGCTGTACGAGTCAAACGTGGTCCTCGAATATCTCGAGGAAGCCTATCCGGACCGCTCACCCCGCCTGCTGCCGGAGGACCCTTACGAGCGAGCACGGGCGCGCATCTGGGTCGACTTCGTTACTTCCCGCGTGATCTCGGCCTTCCATCGCTTCCTGCAGTACCAGCCTTCGTCGGCGGACGAGGACGCCGTGGCCGAACTGGACCGGCACCGACAGGAATTCCTCGACCTACTGAAGCAGTGGGCACGGGAATTGCATCCCGAAGGACCGTTCTTCCTCGGAGACCAGATCAGTCTTCCGGATCTGGTGCTGGGCCCCTGGGCGATCCGGCTGTGGGTGTTTGACGAGTTCAAGGTGGGCGGGCTGGGGGTGCCTGCTGAAGGCCAGGGAGGAGAGGATGAAGCCGTTTGGCGGCGGTGGAGGAAATGGGTGAAGGCCATAGAGGAGCGTAGGAGCTTCCGGGAGACTATGAGTGATGCGCAGCAGTACCGGCCTATCTACAAACGATATGCGGACAACGTCGCGCAGAGTGAATTGGCTAAAGCGACTCGGAGTGGACGGGGAGTTCCTTGATGGTTGTGGAACATGGTGGTGTGGTGGAGACCATGGAGTGAATTTTCCATATGCAAATCGATAGCACAGCACGAATATATTGAAGCGATTGTCAATTATAGATGGGATCTTGAAGATATTGAAGCTATTGCGGAGTGTAACTAGAGCCGTATCCCCCGTAACGATACCACGATACCACGATACCGGCCGCCAAGCCCCACGTGACCTGGGCGCAAAGAGACGCATCGACGAAGTCCACTCGTTTCCTCTTCTCATCGACCAGTCAGTGAGCTTTTCTTGCATCAGATCCCAAGATGTCTTCGGACAGAAAGGATGTCGCCAGTGTATCGGGGTCCGAGGCGGCCTTGCCCGATCCGCCTCCAATCCATCCCTCCTTCATCCAGGTCGCCAAACCGTACATGAAGGAGCAGACCATCCAGAGATGTATCACGACCATGGGCGTCGACCCTCTACGGGAGGAATCACTCCGCCTGCAGGGCGTGACGTGGATTGACAATGTCCGCCGTGTACTTTGCCTGTATGTGCTCTCACCTGTGAGCTCTTGATTCATTGGCGGTCCCTTGGACGGGAAAGTCGGCCAAGTCATCACTTGTATTGGAAAACTGACGATATCAGACCCATACGGACTTTCAACACGGCTGTCGTGTACTATCACCGATTTCGACTCGTTCGTCCAGACGAGTACCCCTACATGGTAGCTATGACCCTTTTTTTGCCATCGGTCTCGCAACGAGAGCCTGACCAAATCACGCAGGATGCCGCAGCAGCTGCGCTGTTCACGGCCTGCAAGATCGAGGACACGCTCAAGAAGTCCCGCGAGATAGTGTGCGCCGCGTACAATCTCAAACTCGCGCCGTCGGAGCACGTCTCGTCCGACAACCCGGTCTTTGAGACCCATGCGCGCGGCATCATCGGACTGGAGAGACTCATGCTTGAAGCGTCCGGCTTTGACTTCCGCACGCGTCACCCGCAGAAGACTCTGATCAAACTTGCCCGGAAGTACGGGCTGGACCAGCAGTCGGAGGCCTCCAAAGTCGCCTATCGCATTGCTCAAGACCTCTACCGCACGTTCGCGCCGATCAAGCAGACTACGTCCACAATGGCATTTGCGTGTCTAGAACTTGCCGGTCGTCTGCTGGACCAGCGTATTGAGGCTGTCGACCAGGGACTGGATTATAAGGCCTGGAGGACGAGCCGGGAAGAAGTCATGGGTATGCCCCTGCCCCCTATTTATTGAATCCCTGATCTTTCCGTCAGGTCAACGCGCTTACCCCTGTTAGAAACCCTTTTTGATCTTCTAGAAATGTACACGCATAACCGAGGGTCCACGTCGGTTGGTCCTCGGTTCCCCTCAGACAGGTTCCTCAAGGTCAGGATCCCTCTCAACCAAGAGGCAGAAGCCCAGAGTCTCCCTCGATTCACCAACTGGGTCAACGAACGCGACACCAAACCCCCGAACGGTCTCAAGATCAACAGCGGCAACAAGCAACCCGGTGCGACCGAAAATGGCGACGCGCGGATCCACCCACTGATCCCCGTCGCCGCCAACGGAGAACGACCCAAGGCCGGCGAGAAAGTCGCGGTGCGTTTCATGATCGACCCCGAGTGTGCCGATGGCGAAAAGTCGCATGTTGCGAAGTACTTCAAGGTCGAGATGGAGGAGTACGAGGTCGACGAATGAAACAGCTGTTGCCATCTGCAAACGCATCTCAAATCCCACCATATCCGTACTGCCCGCCGCTTCCTCTTCCCTTGACCTATCTCACTGACAATCCCGAGGGGTCTTTCTTTATCCCGGACCGCAAGCCGGCAAGTAGCCCATCGCTACTTATTCGCGCATGCGTTGCGCCCAAGCTAGCTAGCTAGCCCCCGTTCCGCGTTTCTTGACTCCGTGTCTGGAATATCGATTCCCAACTGCAGCCTGTTCACTGTCCAGGCTGAACGGATCCGTCTCTGCCGATTCTGCTCTCCTATCTACTCCATGCGTACTCTTACTCTTGATTCCCAGAAAGAGCGATAATCAAGACACGAAGAAACAAGGAGAGTCCCTCGCGAGTCAAGACTCAAGAAACTAAAGCAAATACCATGCGGCCGTCTCCAATATTCGTCTCGATCATACAGATATTTCCGAATGCCTGATGAGGGGTTGGAGAGGAGCTGAGGACTCAAAATGGACAATGGATATAGAGTGGCCGTAGCAAGAAGAGTTCTTGCTATGATTCCATGAGGGAATGAATAAAGAGGGATGGCAATAATAGAACGAGCTCTGGATCTGGAAACGGTGCTCCTTGTATATTTATTACTATACCGGATGCCTGTCAACTGGGGCACTGCTGGATATAGAACGAAGGGCCGGCTGTGATAGTAGTAGTACTGTCATATTCTTTACTAGTGGATATAAATATATACCTACTATACTATTATTACTCAAGAGCATGAAGAGGCAAAAGATTTTTACATTGAAGGAAAACGGCACTCTTCCTTTAAAGCAAAATAGAAAAGAACAGGCCCAGTAATCGAGGAACTAATCCACAATTGTATTGGTTATATATGATTGATTTTACACTATCGGCCTAGACGCAAGGCCCTCCATTCCATCTCAAATCAACGCAAGCTAGCTAGACATGGAACGCAAAAGCGAGGTAAAGGAGAGCGACCAAAACCCGGCTCACTTTTTTTTTGACCTGAAACCTGAGCAACCATCCATTCATCATCCTTCCCTGGCAGTGTGATGACCCAAATGCGACGGCGAGAGAGAATGAGTTATAGCAAAGTATACCCTGAATGTGTTATGCGTGGCACACGTTTTCCCCAGCATGACATTATACAGGGTATTTGGCAGTTGGAAAGAAGAAAGAACAGAAGTAACTGAAGCAGAAGAGAAAAGGTGTCGTTTCACGGAGTTCTATAACAAGAAAGCTCCAGAATGCTTATTCGGTGAGAAAACAGTCGATTAGAAAAGGAAGCGTAGTTTGCGGTTTTGTTTCCAGGGAGGTCATCCAGGACGAGGCCAAAGGGAGAATGTTGAAGTTCATCATTTGAGTGGAATGGAAAAGGGGCGGGTCATGATTGAGAGATTATTTATCGTCGTTTGAGTTCGGTGGTCAAGCAATCCAAGATCTATACACAATCAGTATCTGCGCACGAGCAGTCAAGTGTTAAGAATACTAACCGTCTCGGAGACTGTTCCCTGGTTGTACAGGTACTTGCCAAGGCCGCGGACCACCTCGAGCTGCTCCTCAACGGTCAATCCATTGATAGCGGTCTCAATAATGTCACCAACGCTGGCCTTGTACACAGCGATGAAGCTGTGGTAGTACATGTACGCAAAGAATCCCATGATAAATTGGCAGTCCATGCGATCGGTGATACCACCATGGCCGGGGATCGACTCGCCAAAGTCCTTGATCTTGAACGTCCGCTTGAGTCCGGAAGCGAAGAAGCCGCCGAAAGGCGCAATGAGGGAGGCGAAACTCGCAAACACCAAGATGTGGAACTGCATGGGCTCAACGTAGAAGATCTTGTCTAGACCGGTCCATTCGGGGAAGGGGAAAGAGTAGGGCTGGGGCACGAAGGCAGGGTTGAGAGTGCATTCCAGTCCGGTCAGAACGTTGGATCCGAGGTCGTTCACCGGGCAGATGAAGTATTTGTAGCGCATCAGGACATTGGTCATGAAATAGCCGAAGATGATGGTGCAGATCCAGGCACCAAGGAATCCCTCGACCGTCTTCTTGGGCGACAATTGGATGAGCTGGGTCCGACCGAAAGTGATTCCGCAGACATAGGCGAAAATATCGTTCGTGATGACCAGGGAGGCAGGCAGGAAGAACCAGATCATACCCTCCAGGATGTTGTTCATGACAAAGTGTGCTTGCACAACAATTAGGTACAAAGCCATGTGAGTCCAGGCGAATTGAGTGAACTGGAACCGATAGTGGCCCTTCTGCAAGGAGCCAACGAAGAAAACAAATCCTATAGATTAAGGTCTTAGCGGAGCTACGCTTCCGGGCAGGTTGCTTTGATGGCAGGAGACTCACCCATGACGTATAGCGTGAAACTGATAAACCGGTGGTGAGTCGCCAGAGGCAGCAGCACTTTGTCAACCAGGAGAATGTGCTTGAAATAGTAGATGACACTTTCTCCGTAAAGAAAGTACATCGTCGTAGCCAGGAAGTACCAGTTGAGCGACTTGGTAAATCGAAGGTTCTTCTCGCGACTGGGGACGTTGGCAATGGCAATCACCTCCTTGAACGAGACAATCTGTATGGCCGAAATGAGGCCAATGATGTAGATGTGACCGGAGAACATGGAGATGAAGAAACCGGCAATCATCACGAAGGTCCATATTGTGCGGGTGATGAAGGTCTGCCTCTTTTTCTCGTACTCGGACAGCTGCGGCTTCTTGGACTTCTGCTCCAGCTGTCAGTTAGCCTTTCCCAACAATTTCCCCATGCCGAAAAAACAGGCTACTTCACCTCTTCGGGAATCGTCGCTTGTTTGGACACGCCGCCGTTCTTGGACGGACTACCGGGTTCGGAGACGACATCGCTAGCATCCGAGATACTTGGGCGTCGATTTTCGGATCCGTTGGACGCCCGATGTTGAAACCTAACGTTCCGGCGTGATTTGGACATGGTGGTGTCAATAGGCCGGGGAGGGAGCGAGAGGGAGCGAACGGAGAGATGCGTTGCGGACGCGGGGAAGGAGGGGAAAGCGTCGGATTAGAAATAAAAAAAATTGGGGGAAAGCCTGGGGATCGGAATGGGCCCAGCCAGAGGATACGACCAGGGGGGAAAGAGGAGAGAGAAAAGAGAAGAGGAGAGGATCGAGTGGGAGTAGTGATCGCCGTTTGCTAAAATTTCATGTGAAATGGCGACCGGACACGGTCGGACAAGAAAAGGGGTGAAAAAAAGCCGGCACGCGAAGATCGAGGAGGGGGTTTGGAGGTGAAAAAGAAGCAATTCCCTGTCGATATCACATTGGACGAGATGGAGGGAGGGTGGAGGAGAGCGGAAGAGGGCGAGAGAGAAGGAGGAGAGAAGAGAAGAGGGCGAGAGGCTGAATCCCGTGCGGCGCAGGTGACTCGACGTCAGTGTTGGTTTTCGCGCCTCGATTCCTCCACACTTTCCTGCTTCCTCGCTCGACCCAGCACCCGGATTCTCTGCTCCCCAGTCTCTCCTTCATGGCGATCGTGCATCCAGGGGCATGGAAGACAACGACGATGACTTCTTTTCCGACGATGGCTTCGACGATCTGCCCCCTGGCACATTGTTGCAATTGGAGCAGAACGCGTTCCAGGCAACGCAAGCCCAGAACCTGGCTCCCTCACAACCTCCAACCCAATTAGACACGCCTGCTGGCAATTTTCGGACCCGATTCCCTCAGAAACCGCCCGCCTTTCAGGCCAGACAGGCAGTCCCTGCCCATGCAACGCTACAGCCCCCGGCGCGATTGCACACCGGATTGACCAACGATTACGGCGATTTGGATGTAGGAGAATTGGATGCGGAGGTATTGAACGATGAAAACGAGACAACTATCGCATTCGACCAGCCGGTGGTTTTCGAAGCGCAGCCCAATTACCCGCAAAATGTCCTTGCGCCGGCCGACGACAGTGGGGAGTTCGATGACACCCTGCCCGACCTCATGGAGGTTGAGACGGGTCAACCGTATATTGCGGCCCTCCAAGAAGATTCAAATGCTGTCGCGGAAAAGGTAATTCCTGGACAGACTCGCCTGCTACTTACCAGGCTAATCTTCTTGCTCTGGAGGAACAGTTGGAGCGCGAAAATGAGCGGTACAAACAAATGATGGAAGAGCTCGCCACGGCTAAATCCACGGCAGCAACCAAAACAGGGGAGATTTCAATTATACGATCGAATCAAGTCAAGCTCACCGAAAATTACGAGCAACAATTGGCAGCCTTACGCAAGGCAATCGCTGAATCGGCGGCTCGACACAAGGAGGAGGTAGAAGCCGCACGCGCGGAAGGCAAGATGTTGGCTACGGAGAACGCATTTCTCAAACAAGACCTGGCCGAGGAGTCTATGCGGATAAACAACATGAAGGCAAAGGGCCGAGCAACCGAGAAAGTACCACCGGTGACACCCAAGAAGACCAAAACTCTTCCTTTTCGTGATGGGTTTGACGACGAAGAGATTCTCGCTGTGTCGCCGAGCAAGTCAGCGCGATCGAAGCGAATGACACCGGTAGTCCCGGGGAAACGAAAGAGAAGAGAGAGTCAGGACAGTCCAATCCCGCTGCAATTAAGTCCGCGGGATGAGCCCATGGCTATGGACCCCGACCCCGCGGACTTCTCCGACGATGCGATAGGCGATGCGTTGCAGGCGCCTGCTGCGGTCTCGAATGAAGAGAGACATTCGCAGTCAATGAAGCGGATCTTGAATCACCGAACGGTTCCTAACGAGGAGCCTGACATTGAAGTGATGTCACGGTTGAAGTTCCCATCAGAGCCGCAACGGACGCTGGCCACCATCCTGCTGGAAGAAACGGAAACACTTCGCATGGGGAATGCTGTGGTTGAGTATGCGCGAGCGATTATATCCCTGTGGTCTCAGGCCCTGAAAGAAAAGTTCTTCCCGCCTGTGCCCATGTTCATGGCCATCATACAGTATATCTTCGCCGTGGAGGAGCCGTCTATCGGATCTCAATTGGTGGAGCACCTTGTCCCGTTATTGCAAGAATCTGGAGACGTCAACGCAGTTCCTCGATTTAAGCATTCGCCCGTGTCGCGGCAAAACTTTGGACAAGTGCGGCAAACGCCGCAATCGGAGTTGGAACCTCTAGTAGACTCGACCAAAGCCCTCGAATTGCTCTACCAGATTGCCAGTCGGGTTTTGCACCTTGATCGGGAGCTGGAGAGGTTCTGGCGGCACATGCGCTACGATTTCGTGCTGATGATGCTGAACTGTTCGCAGCTCATCGCCGACATTACCTTGACCTTGAATCTCCTCACGACCAGCGTCCGTGCGCAGTCCTTCGGCTCGATCCAGGAAACCGATCAGGATCAGATCGCCAACGAAAACTACATCGTGGACCGCGTGGCAAACCTCTTGAGCGAGAAGCCACATGTGGACGAAGGGCGGCCGCCTTATACGCCGATCGACATCTGCGGGATGCGGCTGGAGGCTTTGTCCCTGCTGATGTGCATCGCATTCAACATCGCAGCGCCTCACAACACCCATGGCAGCTCGGTCCTCGCGTCTCATCCGACTGCCCTAGCACGGTTGATTCGGGCAATGCATGACGAGTTGGATGCCCTGTATTCCTCGCCGCCTGAGGCTGCGCAACACGCGGCCCTGGTGAATGGATTGATGTCGCTGGTCTACGGGGTGGTGAAGCGCCATGCCGACGTGGATTTACAGGGCAAATTGGACCGGGTGGCGGGCGGGAAGCAGAAATTCCTGGTCGTCATGACGCGGCTGGCGTTTAGTGAAGGGATCATGCTCGAGGCGAGGATCGATGACGAGACAGTCGAGATGGCGCACGAGATCCTTGACGACGCAGTCAATCCGCAGGAAGCCGAGGCTTTGCAGGAAGTGTTTTCGAGTTCGAAGCGAGAGGAATAGGGTGGAGAGGGACTACTAATTAATACCAGACATGATGAGACATGAACAAGTCAACGAGAGTAATAATGTAAAATAGAGTAGCAGTTCAAGGTTGATGACCGACAGGACTGATGATATAAGTAGTGTTATAATTGTTACTGCTACGGATTCTCTTCTCCAAGCCCCCGCATATAGCGAAGAAGTGATGAAAAGAAAGTAAGGTCCAACAAGTGGAAAGTGCCAAAGAATACGCCTGTCAATGACCCGAAGGCCGTTGAACGGACTGTTCCGCCGCGCTGTGCAATGCAGGGACCAATCCGTGGTGGACCGCCTTCTTGATCGCAGCCACCCAAACAAGGTAAGTATGAAGAAAAGAAAGAAGAAAAAGGCCAAAAGGACTGGGGCTCCCGAGAGATTAAATACTTTTCGGTGGAGCCGCGGAGAACGCTCTAGTGTAAGCGAGACCCCATCGTCCAATCACGTCCATCGGGTTGAAGACCTGACAATCTGGACTGCCTGACAGCTCAGGCACGAAACTCCCGGCGAACTACCCGTCACGTGGATTCATATCACGTGAGCCCTGCGAAGTTTTGGCGGCCGCAGAACGAATTGCACGGAGGAAGAACCGGAGCAGGAGAAGAACTTCGTTGCAATCCCCCCCACCTCTCCTCCCTCACCTCGCCCATCATGAGAAACAGGGCCACTACGCCGTTGAAGCCGGTGAACAAGCCGGTATGATGCCCTCCATTCCGCTGAGCTTGCAGCTCGTGGTCGACCGCGCCTTCGTCCCCCGATACTAACAGTGCTATGCCCATCCCAGAGAATCCGGCAGTCATGGAGCAAATACAACCTGTTTAACATCAATCGGATGCAAAACCCCAACACCTTCTACCGGACGTTCTTCCAGCAAAAATGGATGGCCAAATCCCTGGCCCGGTCCTACCACGGCGAACAACTGCCCGAGAAGCAGTGGCAGCGCATGTTCAGCCCCCGGATTCGCAGCGTCGTGCCCATGGACCCCTACAGATTGGCCGCCGACGACGGCTCCGCCATGTCGGCCGGTCGTGGATCCGGTCTCACCGGTCCGAGGGGCAGCAATCCCCGCCCGATTCCCTTCTCTCAGATGACGTTTGCGCCTTTGGAGCGTCGGCTGGACGTCGCCGTCCACCGCGCCTTGTTTGCCAGCAGCACCCGACAGGCTCGGCAGTTCGTGGTCCACGGTGCGGTCACGGTTAATGGAAAGAAGGTACGTCTTAGGACCCTGTCCAATGCGGCCGGGAGAAAAGCTTTAGATATCAGACAATGCTGACCGCCGCCTGCCACTATGTTAGATGAGATACCCCGGCTACCTTCTTAACCCCGGCGATCTTTTCCAGGTCGACCCCGAACGTGTTATGTACGCCACCGGTGCGCCCAAGGACAAGCACGAGCGTCGCGAGAGCCGTGTCGCCCGGAGAAAGGCCGCGGAGACGCCGGCGGAGGGCGAGGGCGCCGAGGAGGGCGCCGCTGCCGAGGAATCGAGCGAGAAGAAGGAAACGGAGACGGAGGTCGACAACAAGAAGGCCGAGGAGGAAGACCCGCGGGAAACGTTGAAGGCTCTGCTGGCTCAGGCCAAGGTCATCATGGGCAGTAACAAGGAGGTGCTCCCCGCCAAGCGCAAGCAGGAGTTGCGTGGATTCCAGAAGGCCATCAAGCGAGTCCTGTCTCGTTCCGACTCCAGCACCATCCTGGCGGACAGCTTGGAGGCGCAGTTCTCCCAGCTGACCCTGCTCTTGAAGGCCAAGAGGGCCGAGGCCAAACAATCGAAGAAGTCCGAGCAACCCAAGGAATCCGCGCAGGAGCAGTCACCCGAGAAGCCTGCCGCTGCCCCCGAGGCTGCGTCCACCGAAGCTACGGCCAACGAGAACAAGCTTGGCGAGGCCCTGACCGAGGCCTTCCGACAGGCCGCAGAGAACCCCGACGCCGACGTGGACACGTCCGAGCTCAGCGACGAAGAGTTCAACGTGCTCAAGCGGGCTCTTGTGCAGATGCGCGACAACCCCATCGACAGCACCAAGCCCTACGCCACTCCCTGGCGTCCTCGCGACTACATGAGCGCTTTCGCCTTCATCCCGCGGTACCTAGAAGTCAACCACAACATCTGCGCGGCCGTGTACCTGCGACACCCGGTGGCCCGGCCTGGCATTTCGGAAGTGCCTTCGCCGTTCAGCGAGTCTGTGGGCACCTTGGCCTATACCTGGTACTTGCGCCGACGGTAAAGGTTGCGATAAACTCTGCATGATTTCTATTTCTTATCGACTGGGCAATGCTCCAGTCTTGTATTACTGGGTCTCTCTCTGGGCTGATTTTTAGTTGTTTTTGATCTTGTTCGGTGCTTAGCCATGTATCTACTACGTACTCCTTTTTTTTCTATCTCTTTACACCTTATCTACCTGACTCCTGCCACCCACATCTTGGATTGTTTTCTAGAGGGACGAAAAAGGGACGGACAGACGGCGTGATGTGACGACGGGGAAGGCCGGAAGGAAGAATCTGTATAATCAAAGCTCTATCGAATGGAACGGCATGTAAATGTATCATATTCTCTTCTCTACTTCTCTGATCCTCTCAACTCCGCAACAATATCTGCATCTTTCTACTTTGTATAAAGACTGAAAAAACGAGCACGGAAATGGCGATACACGCGGCGGGTGAAAAATACCGAGTCCGCGACCGCCTCGACCGGCGCAGAACCCGAAAATTGCAAATCAGCGCGGGATTTTTCATTCTTGCCTTCTCCTTCTTCATCGCGCAGCATCGCGACTCGACCTCGACGGCGTGGATTGACGGCCTTTCATGACTGAATGACCGCCACCGACACTCCCTGCCATCAATCACCGACCTCCGCTTCCTCCACGACTCAATAATCCCCTGCCTCCCGTCCTCCCCCCCTCTCCCCTCCCTCAGATCAACGATCAACAGCCCAGCGGGATCAGATCAGTCCAGACCAGACCAGACCAGATCCCATCACACCACATCAATGTACACCTGGTCTGCACCCTCCAACCACGCCGGCAACGCCGCCGCACCAGGCCCAGCAGGAGGCACAGGACCCACGGGGCCGCCCGGTCCAGCATCGGGAGTCGGATTAGGAGGCGGCGCAGGAGCCACGACCGCGGGAGGAGCAGCGACAGGCCCAGGAGGACCAGTGCCAGTGCCGGGGGGAGGAAACCCACGCCTCGAGCCCCCGGGGTCCGCCGCGCAGTCCGCGTCGTCGTCGTCGTTCCAAATGCCGCACCTGCGCTGGCCGCCGTCCATGATGTCCCGGTCGTCTGCGGCGGCGACGACGACAGCGCCGCATACGGGGCACGCACACGGACACGCAGGGCAGCATACGACGCTGCCGAACCTGGCGGCGAATCTGCGAATGGGCACGCCGAACTCGACGGCGCAGCATCTCCCGCATCAGAGTCCTGTTCACCATTCGCATGCCCAGATCCAGATCCCGACTCCGGGCCATCATCCGCATCCGCATGCGCATACGAATACGCACCCGCATTCTCATTCGCATCCACACTCGCATCAGCATTCACATTCGCAGGCGCAGGCACAGCCCTATGCGCCGGGCCGTCATGCCGATGTCTCGGTGGTGGTTGATGCACGACAGGGTCAGACGCCACAGCATCATCAGCATCGTCATCAACAGCAGCACCCGCACCAGCAGCAACACCAGACGCAGGCGGAGTCGATGGAGAGCTCGGACAGCGAGCAGTCGGATGGCGGACACAGAGAGGGTCGCGGAGGTAGTGGGGGAGATGGGTCAGGGGACCCGGACTTTACGCCGTCGCCGGGCGAGAACATCCCGTCTCGTCGGGAGGGAGGCAGGGGACGACGAGATAATGGACGCGGCGGGGGTCGACGTGAAGCTGACGGCATGTCGGCGGCGAACCCAGTCCTCATCGACAACTCGGTGGGGGATGAGATCGCGAGCGGCGGCGGCGGTGGCAGCGGCGCAGGGAACGACGCGTCGCGCAAGCACGGCAAGCGGTTGACGACGAAGGAGGAGGTGTCGCTGTTCGACATCTGCAACCGGCACGCGGAGGAGTTTGGGCAGCGCAGCAACCTCTGCAACTGGTGGCGGACGGTGACGGCGGAGTTCACGCACGAGCAAGGCCACCCGTACTCGTGGCACTCGGTGCGCCGCAAGGTTGAGCTGGTGACGAAGCAGCGCATGAAGTTTCTACATGACCAGCGCGAGAAGGGCGGCACCGAGGCCGACGACATGTCGAATCCGCGATGGCGCGCCTCGGTGGACGCCTGGATCCCGACGTGGCAGCGCTGGGAGGACGCCGAGGCTCGACGCATCGAGAAGCGCGACTCGCGACGGCCTCGCAAGCGGAAGGACCGGTCCTGGGAACCGTCTGCGGGGGGTTGGGAGGCACCGAACTCATCGGACGGAGGCTGGCGCGCGGCGTCGAGCCCCGTCGTCGACAACAATCGCGCGTTCGTGCACAACACCAACAACCAGTCCACGTCCACGCCGTCGCAGGTCCGCCTCCCCCCGGGCTTCGACAACATGTTCACCACACCCACAGCAACCTGGTCGCCCATGACCGGAGCACCAGCAGCCAGCCCTGCCCAAAGGGCAGCAGCACCCTCGTCGTCCGGCGCCGCAGACAACAGCATGATGTCAGCGATGCTAGAGACCCTCGGCAAGCTCAACAAGCACCTGGACACCGTCAACCCCGAGCAGCAAAACGCATCACCTCTGGCCTCGTCTCTCGCCGGGCCCCCCAACCAACCGAACGCAACCCCCCGACGCGCCTCCCAGCAGGACGCCGACGGCGAGGACTCCGACCCCCCGACCCTCTCCGCAACAGCCATGGGCAAACTCAAGGACGAGCTGCGGCGGGAACTAAGGCAGGAGATCCGGAGTGAGCTGGAGAAGGACCGGGCTGCGTTCGAGGACCGGTTGGATTCGGTGCAGAGGACGCAGGAGATGATTCTGGAGATGCTGCGACAGGAACCGGCCTAGCCTAGCCTAGCTTTGTCTGTCTGCCATCTTCGCCTTTCGCGCCGTTTTCTTTTTTATTTGCAAGTGTGTTTTTTCATTGCTGACGTTGCTCGTAATTTGTTGATCTGATACCCAATAACAATGTCATGTTTCGTGTGCCGCTTCTATCGATATCAATATCAATATCTATACCTTTACCTATATCTTTACTTATGTCTTTACTTATATCTATCCAGTCAGGCTTACTAGTCAGCAGTAGATATATAAACAATCTCCAATAGTATCTAACTCTAATTCTATGGGAGAGGAGAGAGAAGGAAAAAAAATGCAAAACCATAAAATTCCCGGCTAAATTACAATAAGTTAACATGCATGGTATTGCTGCATAGGAGCCCGCCAAGCCAACTCTGCTGTTGCCTGTTGTTTTTTTCTAAATCTGTATAAACCAACCCCCTTGTGTTTGTGATTTCTTTTTTTATCGCTCCAGCTTCAAATCGTACGCGTCCGAACACCCTCTAGTAGTAGAAGGTCTCGTCGACGGTACGGCCACGCATCCACCGGGGCTCACTGCCGCGGACGTAGATGTCCTCGTAGAGGATACGGGAGGTGTTGTCGGGGACGGGCATGGCCTCGGCGATGGCGACCTCCTCGTCGACGTGGGCACGAGCGGCCTTGTCCAGGCTCTTGAGCTCGTCCTCGCTCGTGACGCCCCAGTCGAGGATCTTCTGCTTGAGACCGGCGATGGGGTCGTTGGTGCTGCGCATGCGCTGGATCTCCTCACGGCTACGGTAGGTGGTACCGGGGTCGGACATGGAGTGACCTCCGTAACGGTAGGTGACGTACTCGAACACCAGGGGACCGTTGCCGGCGACGGCGTAGTCCTTGGCGTACTTGACGGCGGCCTTGGTGGCAAGGACATCCATACCGTTGACCTTGATACCGGGGATGTACTGACCACGCTTGTAGTACTCGGTCAAGGCGGAGGAACGGGCAGCGGAGGTACCCATACCGTACTTGTTGTCTAGGAGAATAAACCCGTCAGATATTTCCTTTGCGAATCACATCAGAGGCCGTAATACTTACTCTCACAGCCGAACAGAACGGGGAGCTTCCAGAGCTTGGCCATGTTGAAGGCCTCGAAGACCTGACCCTGGTTGGCAGCACCGTCACCGTAGAGGACAATGCTGGTGGTGGGCTCCTCGTTGTACTGCTGGGCGAAAGCCAGACCGGCACCGACAGGGACCTGAGCACCGACGATACCGTTACCGCCGTAGAAGTTGGGGGCGAACATGTGCATGGAACCGCCCTTGCCGTAGGCGATACCGTCACGGCGACCCAGGAGTTCTCCGATGATGGAGCGAACGGAACCGCCACGCATGTAGGCGAAACCGTGGCAACGGTAAGCGGTGATGATCTTATCGTCGCGAGTGATGGCATGCTCGATACCGGTGGCGACGGCCTCCTGACCGGTCGACAAGTGGCAGAAACCTCTGATCTTCTTCTCCTTGTAAAGACGGTCGGCAGCCATCTCCATGCGCCTGTGGAATGGGAAACACGGCACGTTAGACCCCAAAGATACTAAGCGCCGAGGAGTGGGCTCCGGGTGGGTATACATACCGTGTCGAGACCATATCATAGTACATCTGCTTCAGCTGCTTCTTGGTGACCTCGAGGGTGTACGGGGGAGGGTCGAGCTCATAGGTCTCGAAGCTCTCGTCGGAGAGACGGACGGTGAACGGCTTGTCGTCCTCCTAAAAACAGATCGCATTTGCATCAGTATCCGGCAATTCCCCTGCGGTGATATAACACTTTTTTCGGTGTTTCCCGGGAGCTCTCAACAAACCTGCGGAATATTTTCAGCATGCGACGAAGCGGCGTCGGTGGTGACGGAGCGACGAGCAAAGGGGGCAAAAGCCTGACGCCTCAAAGGCGCGGCCTGACGGGTCCATGCAGCACGGAACAACATGATGGACGAGGGGGGAATAGGTCCAATTGACGATGAAAAGGAGCCGAAGGGAAACGAGGAGATTCTGTTATCTTCAACGACGGAGATGTTGGGAACAAACTTTCCCCTGTGCACTAGTCCGTATTGGGAAGGGGGCTTACCTCAGCCGCCCTTCCTCTTCGGGGGAAGCCGGTGTAGACTCCGGGACAACCGTTGTTCCGGCGTCATTGCAAAGAGTTGTTTAGTATGGAGCACGGAGTAACTATAGAAAAGGACTTCCGGAGTAGTCATTAGCAACTATTTTACTCCGTCCAGCTGAATCCAACCCCTCAATTTCATTGTCATTGCTGAATCCCTCCTCGTCCATAAGGCCTCCCGGGCTGTTGCGGAAGACCGGTGAGATTTCGCGTCAGTGCAAACTGGGCAAACTGTACAAATGGTGCAAACATCGGGTCCTTTCGCAGTCAGCAGTCCTGATCGAGAGTCACCAGAGCCAGCAACACCGCCATTCCAGTTCAATCATCATGGTTGATCTTATCTCTCTTTACTCTGTACTCTGGCCTGACGCGAGGGCCATCCTCCAACACTGATGGTGGATAGAGACTCGGATAAGGGACCTCTACCCTTCATCAACGGACGGACACGGTGGCTCTGATAAGCCGCATCCCGTCAGTCTGGACCTATTCTATCGCCTGCGCAGGCTGGACTTTTTGAATGTCTGAAGGCCTTCCAGCGTCTGTCAAACCCCATCTGTATTCCCTATCGAACAAGCGAACCCCCTTTTTCACGTTGAAGACAGCGCCAGGAACACATTTGGCCCTGGACCTAGACATTGTCTCGGCCTCACGGCTTCGGCAGAGACCGGCTTCAATAGTTCAGTCGGTAGATACTAATGGCGAAATTGATATTATTGGCAATATTAGTGTAGTATGAGTCTCGGGAGTCGGAACGCTAGAGGACGAAAAGGAATCAATAAAGCATTTTTAGTACGCCTTTAGTCGTGTCTTTCCATGACGTTCAGTGTTTGAAACAAATGACCAAGAGATGTTTTGACTAGAGTGAAAGCCAGGTTAGTCCCGCAATTGCTGGTATTCTTTTCATGCCGGAAAAGATGATGTTGCGAACTTGCGATGACATGGGCCAGAAGAGCAATGATGTATTGCCCTCAAGTCGATCTCCAACATAGATATATAAAAACATCATCGCGGGGGTCTCTCTGACAGGAGAGACGGTTTCGAAACACCCAAAGCCTTCCAAATTTTCCGATCACCACCCGTCCCGTGCAGCCGACTTCCTGATCGTCCTACAGGTGAAGCAACTAAGTCGCTGCCAGATCTCCCGCTTACGTCGTACGGTGCCGCCGGTTGCCAGAAAGACCGGGGCAATGTTTCGAGATGTCTCGACTCCTGTCGGCCGCGCCAAAGAAATTCTCGAAAAAGTTTGTATGACGCGTAGATTCCACATGGTGCTTTCCGGTCTCCATCTCGCAGGCAGGGTTTCATGGGGAGCCGTGGTGGACAATCCGAGGAGACATTCTACTAGTCTCTAGTCTCTCGGCTCTCCCGAGTTCGGACGTGTTACACCATATTGGGGGACAATATAGCCTTGCAATCGGACGGGCCTTAGGCACGGGAAGATCCCAGGGTTGCACGAGATGCTGTTATCAACATGGCCCAGACCATGGGTTCGAGAGGGGGATTCAAGGTATATATTGGCCAGGTTCTGAAGACCCCCTGCCAGTACGTGGTGTTCCTGCACCTAGCATGGATGTCAGCCAACGTGGTTGGTAAGAAAAAGAATTCAACCAACACGAGGTGCGAACAAGAGGAATGATGCCATCGAAACACTCAATGTCACAGGATCCTTGTTTTCCTGAGCCGTTCTCGTGTCCTCGTTCCGAATATGCCAGTGGGTCGAGCCAGGAACAACTCAAGGCCCGACTGCGGTGCACCACAGCGACCGAAAATCACGCGAAAATCATTCTAAAACTTCCCACAATTCCAAAGGGCCCGGGGAGATCGAAGATCGGATCGACTGTGGATAAGATACCTTCTTGTCCATTGCAACCCGAGAAAATTCGAGAGACCTTTCAACCATGGCAGGCGAAACTTACTACTATTTGGCTTCCGGCTTATCCTCCGGCTCAGTTGTTTCACGTCGGTCCAAAATAAATAATGACGATAAAAATAAAAATAAAAAAAGAAAAAAAAACCGCATCCTACCCCTTTCGTTCATCTCTACGGCCCATCCTTCAAGCGCCGGATAATACAGTTACATCCTCGTGGAAGGATGGATCCTAGGATTTCTTGGCCGCATTGCGGATTGCGAACGTCTTCCCCATCCAGGGCGCCGTCTTCCTGGTTCACAAATCGATATTCCCTCGTAGTTCGCCCTGTCTGTCTCTGTTGAGTCTGTTCTTGCCAGAGAATTCCAGTCCAGACCCGGAGTGGTCCAAACTACTCGGACGGAGGACGCGGAAGGACGGACTCACAGGGCGAAAAGCATCGTCCCCATCGTTCAGCCGAGGGAGAAAGCCAGCTCAACGTGGCATGCAAGTGGATAAGCTGAAGGTCGGATGAGGGTCTGAGTTAATATGTTTTAGATTGGCCCCATTCTGCTTAGTTGAAGCCTGCACCTCGCATCGAAGGCAGCAGGACCAGTCGGTAATACCGAGTACGACTTGGGGATTGTTTTTTTTTTTGCAAACCGCGACAGCCCCAAGCCACAATGCATGCAGGCAGTGGCTATCCAGATCAGCCCAATAATTCCTTCACGGCCACAGCATCTCCCTCAAGCGTCCATGATGATCGATATTCCATTGGGCCAGAGTCAGCCTGCAGTACGGCCCCTTGCAGAAACTCCCCCAATCGGCCCCCCTCCAATGGCCACCGCGAAGCCCTCCAACTGATCGACATGACTGCATGGCCCCATCGTCAGCCCAGCGAGATCCCCGTCTGATCGCATTGACATCAGTAGACTGCTACTCCGGCACGGAGGATCCGTGGATTCAGGTTCAGTTCAGGGGAATGACGCCAGGTCACAGGCAGCCGTAGATTAGCCGCGGTTCCAAAATTAGGAGGTTTCCAGAACTTCCAGGCGGATTCGCCTCGTCCTTCGTAACTCGAGAGACACTGGAAAATCTCCGATTGTGTCGGGTGGACCTGCTTGGTGATAAACTTTTCTTAGCACAATTCCTGTACGCAGCAGTACTGTCCAGGCCGATTTTGCGATTCCAGATTACGGGCCTGCTCGTATCCTGTAATGGTATTCTCGTTGGTTGAAACCATCACGGATGACAGGCAGACGGGGAATGCGTCTACTTGCAAGGGTCTAGAGCATTCTAGGGCCAAATCACTCTAACCCTCTCATCAGCCAAGTGTCGATCTGTCAACTGTTCAGGCTTCAGAGCCCGCGAGACTATTGAACCAGAGGGGCGAATTCCAAGGTCTCGAGCACACCATGCGATATACCACAGGATCGACGGCGTCGCGATAAGATTCCAGGATCCTGCATTGGAAATCCTGATGCGATCGGAAAGCTCCCATGCTAATCGTACTACCTGGCATTTTCCTGAGCGCTCAGCAGATCATCAAATCAAACCCCGATGTTAAGTTGAGCTATAGCATTGACAGATGATCGGCGATGCGGTGCATAAACCCTCCCGATATATATATATCAATGGTCCGATATAGCTACTCACTCCAGGGCGCACCACCGCAGCACAGGCCACAGTTTCCCTTCAAATCATGCGAACGACTGGCCCATAAAAATACCGTGCATGATGCGCTGCAGCCTTCTCCATCAACGATTGAACAAAAAACCGGGAAACCGTTGTCCATGCCCACCACTACGACAGGTCACAAAGTCGATCATACGGTCTTTTCTTTTTCCTTCTGACGAGTCCGATGTTCCTGTTGCTTTGAAAGAAACCAATCTCGAATCCAGTTTCCTTCCCTGTGGCCTGACCGGGGGCAGGTCGGGGGCGGGCTAGAGGCGACCAAATCCCGCGACAATTTCGCCTCAGTTTCAGCATCCAGCGATGATTTGTTTGCCGTAGGGCGAAAAAAAAAAAAGGGCTTCAGGGCTGACGAGCCCCAAACCGCCCTCTTTCCTGCCTCCCTGGCCCCCGTTAGCTGGACCGGCGCACGGCGCGCACTGACTAGCCTCCCCACGATGAGTCTCACGACTGTTTCATCCGTCAGGGATGCCAGCCATCAGGGTGAGTCTGCCTGACAGCCGGGAGAACGGATGACTCGATCACGATACTTGGCAGAGTCTAGAGTCTCGAGTCTCGAGTCTCCTCCTAGTCTCCTACAGAGGATGTGCGACGAGACTGTCATGCCGCGGCCCTCCCCGTTGTAATCTTAATCGGGGCCCGTCGCGTTGCCGTCTTCGGTGAATGATTGACGCCGTGGAGCGACCTGCCTGCACAGATAGAAATTACCAAAGGACCAGTTCCATACGGGACTCGGCACTCTCGTCAGGACTAACCTGAAGGGGAGGACTGGTTACTGACCCTTACGGAGTAGGGGACCAGCAGGGAAAGGTCGAGCGAGCCTGGACCAGTGGACGCACGGCGTATACATGCTGGATGACAGGTCTTGCCCATCTGGACGGCGTGCATGAGTTAGCGAGTCCGGGCTCAAGCTGCGACAGGAACTAGGGGCGTAGTTCGAAGTTTCTCGTCGACTCTACGGAGTATCTACGGAGTAACAGCCAGCTAAGATAGCGACTAGGGAAGACTGTCAGTCCCGTGGCAGCACTATACGCTGGGCTGAACCAGTGGCAAAACGCCGCGGGTGAATAATCCGGGGACGATAACGACGAAGTGGAAATTAATTAGGAATGGAACGAGGCTAAACGCAAGCTCTCCTTGGGTCCTGCACCGCGCGACTCCGTAATTCCTCAACCCAAAATTGTGACACCTAGCAGGATGCACCATGCGAATGAAATGTCTTGAACCGGTGTTTGAGCTCTACTGGTCGTCCACCTCCGTGTCCGTTTATTTTACTCTGTCCTCGAAATCGAATCCAACCATTCTATTGCCACCGAGGCAGTTGGTTCCACGGGCGAGGAATTGGCTTGGAGGCAACGGCTGCTCGGATGCATTCCTGTGCGCCCGGTCGCGGAGCTTCTTTCGACGGTCCAGTAGGATGTCTGCCGCACGGAAGGGCCAGCACTTGGTATTCAATCCTAATTTCGCGCGACGTCCAGGAGTCGACGTATGGCATGTTTGTCTGGGAGGTGATTGGGATTCTTAATTTCCACCGGACTCGAGCCACCGCGACTCGGCAAATGCGTCGCGCCTTAACTGCCTCGCCTATGGACTAGTCTCGTCGTCCTCCGTAGGCACTACGCTGTAGGGAGTGTAGCTACGGAGGAGGATAAATACGCCGAGACTACGGAGTAGGAGTAAATGATGCAATGCCATATCGACCCTATATTATCCCTATATTAACGCAGGATGCAAAAGGCAGCACCTCCGAACCACGTCGTAACGAGCCGAAACCCGGAACTCAGGAATTAACCTACGGGGGAGTCTCGGGACGCAGGGCATATCAGAGTGCAGACAGAGGCCACGAGGACCTTGGGAAAAATCCCCCCGGTCGGAGTCGATCATCCACTGCCATCCCATCCGTGGGAAGGAAGGGCCGGAGGTTGGAGGTGCGCCCGCCGGTCGCATCCCATGGAATGGGGATGATCGCATATCATCATCATCTCCATCGTCCAGGGAACATCTGGTCCAACCGGGTTGCTGCGGCGGGAACCCTAAAACCGTACCTTTTTTACGAGTCGCTCACTGGGCGCCCGAAAGTACGAGCCTCCGGTGCATCATCCATGGACTGAGGACTCATCCTCCGTACGGAGTCCGGGGTTCGCAACGGATCCTACTTCTGGAAGACGCATTATTAGGGTTTTCCCAGGTCTGCAGTAGTCGTTGGAACCGTGGACCAGGCGAAGGGATTGCTCAAGGCCAAAGCACCGCGAGCAGCCATCCGTTCTTCCGACGTCTTAATTCCTGACGGAGTAAAAGGGCAAAGCAAAGGGTGGAGATCCCGAGGTCTCGCCCGTTGATATGCAGCGCTAACCCTGGCCCGCTTACGCACTCGGGGGATGGTGCCAGAGCAGTGCCAGACGCTCACGACAGAACATCAATTCAAATTGCCCATTCAAATCCAGGTGCAGTCGGTGTGGTTGGGATGAGTCTCTTGCCAATCAGGCCATGGCCAAAATACCGACGACCCAATCCAATGACAGAAAACGCTCGGGGATCGACGGGGGGCTACCAAGGACCCAAGGACCACCGGTCAATCCTTGCTGGATTGTGCAAAGAATGGGCTCCGTAGGGCCGCTTATCCATCAATAGTCCAGTCGCTCTTCATTTGCGCTGTCATCCTAATGACTCGGGGTTCTGCAGAGGAGGCCCGTTTCTCGTCTCTCGTTTCTTTGTGGGCGCCATGGTTTCATTGGGATGTTCATCGGATTTACAGTCTATTTTTGTCGCGGCGGCCGTGAGATTCCTTTGATTTGAATAATTCTTTGTCGGCGGTGCCATTGGAGGCTCCGGCCAATGCGCGCGGATTACCTCAGAAAGCAGAACCCCTGTTCCCTGTCGACTTGCCCGTCGGCCCCATGCGCATGACGATGACCTGCAGCTGCCAGTCTGCCTGGTGGCGTTCCGGCCATATTGTTCACGGATCTGAGGTAAGCCGGGACCGGGGTCATTGGGGGTGGAAGAGCATCCGGGATGGCTCAGGTCAAATCTCCGAGGGGCGCCAGATGATAGATGGAATAGATAGATCAGGACGGGGCCCAGGCAAGGAGGAACCGAGTGGCCGGATCAGTCTGGGTAATATTGAAGGCGCTGCGTCGCAGTCGAACTAGAGGAAGTTTAAAGCTGGCGGTTACGGGGTGTGACTACCTACGGAGTAGTAGGTACCTCCGCAGTAGTAGTGAATAATAATGTCTTCTCTGTCCTGCTACATGGTACATCTGGACAGAGTACAGGTACACGCAGTAGTACGAGGTATCGTACGGAAATGAGAAATACTGGCCGCAATTGCAAATCCAAAGTTTCCGTCCCTGGATCTGCCCCCACTTCGCCCGACTAAACCATGGCTGCAGCCAACACCGCCCCGCCGTATGGTAATGCCGTACCGACGGGAATTTATTGCATTTGCATTGTGACGGATTCGGAGGGACTGGATGAAGTCAGAAGTATACTACATACTGTGTCGATGCACCGACTCCATCCAGCATGGACAGCGACAATAATAGACGAGACTATCATCCATCCGGGAGCCATGCCATCTTTCCAGGACTCATATTAATATTAATACCCGGTCTGCACTTCAGCATCAACCATGGACCGCTGGCCGATGCTTATCCCCTGATCCAATGATCGCTCGCCCGCCCCAGTGACTATCAACGGCTCCTGAACACCGGCCATGACGCCGTCGTAAAATTATTCCCCCATCGTCGACCAACTCGCTCTCCCTCCTTTCCCATCCTCGACCTTTCACCTTCCTCTTCCTTCCTTCTCTCTCGCCCTCCCAAACCTTCGTTCCAACTTTCTCTTACACCCCCCGGTCGATTTAATTCCTTTCTGCTCGGGACTTTTCCCCCTCCATCTCCACCCGCACTAAAAAGTCCCCAAAACTAAACCTCGCCTTCTCCCCCACTTTAAATCCTCCCCCTAAAAATATTATTCCATTTTTTGATTTTATTTTTTTAATTGTCATTTTTTTTTTTTTTTTCATCCTTCCTCCCCTTTCTTTCCCTCCCGAATATCTGTGACTCCTTGTCCCGCCAGGAACCTCCCCTTTCGTGGCCCATGTGGAAACATCGCCCGTCTTCCAGATCGGAATCCACGTCTGGGAGTGTCGATTCAGGTTCCGGTCGTCTGCCTCTGTCCGAGCGTGGCTTCTTTGGCCGCTCTAAAAAGAAGTCTCCGCTCCGTAAGTATAGCGTCGTGAACTAGTCGTGCCTCTGTCCTGCTCTTTCCCTCCTGCCCCCTTCGGAGACGGTTTTGCATTTGGTCATTGATTTTATTTTTATCTGCTGGACTGGATTTGTTTTTGAATTCCATCCTTTCCCGTTTGGACTTGGCTCTCCAACCTTTTCTCTCTGCTTCTGCAGCCTATTCCCGTTGGAGTTCCTTCGTCCTCCCCCCATTCTTACCTTATCATTGTTCTCTTTGTTTCGTCCGAAACTTTCTTTCCTTCTAGTTCTTCTACTCCTGGACATCGCCGGCTGGCCTGCCTTGATCTTCTGTCTGCCCTCTTTCTCCCCGTTCCTTTATATCCCTGCTCCCTCCGGTGTCTATCCCCCCGACTACTGGATGCGCCACGGGGATTGAGAGAAAGGAAACACGAGCATCCCTGCACTCCTGTTATGCAATACCACCACACCACTGCCCTCGTGCCGTCTCTCCCATTGGTGTCTCTTTGCCTGCCGGTCGTCTGTCCCCTCCATCACCATCACTGACTCGGACGATTACGTCGTGACCTGCAGACCGTCCGGAATCCCCCGCTCGTTCACCATTCCGGTCATTGCGCTCTTTCTCTCGTTCAGACCGTCCGGAGAGCCGCCTCTCTGCCCACACCCATTCATCGCTGTCTCGTGCTCCGTCCAACGTCACCACCTCGACTTACCCCTACCATCCGGGGTCTGCCTGGCAGTCTAACTCGCAATCTCTGTCCACCTCGTCCCGTGCCTCCTTTAATTCCCGGTCTGGTAGGCCAATGGCGGGTTTGATGGACGTCGATCGCTCCCGCTCCCGCAGAGACCGGACTTTCGTCGGAAGCGAATGCGCCGTCTGCGAGGAGCCGTTAGAACACACGCTGCGTGGCGAGCGTGTGCTGCAATTTTCTTGTGCTCACGTTTCCCACGAGGCGTGCTTCTATGAATTCATTCGGGAATTTGAAGGCCAGTACTGTCCGACATGCGATGCGCCGTTAGGGCTCGACACGAGCCGCGGAGGAAACGTTTTGGATATCGGTATGTCCCTGCCGGCACCCCCTCCTTCTCCCCCCTCCCGGCAATCGGCCCGAGATGAAATGCTGATTCCCCATGCAACAGAGAAACTGAGCAACATTGTCCGCTCTGTAACGAGTGATGCAGCCACTCAGCGCAGCGGTATCACTACCCCCACGCCGTGGGAGCCGAATCCCCACCCGATGCGCCATCCCAGCAACGCCGGTAGTCATGCCGGGAGTCACGTCGGCAGCCATATCGGAAGTCAGCTTGGAAGCCAGTCGTTCAATCGTGATAGTCGAGACATGTATGCTCGTCGCGACAGCCGCGACACCGGGAGCCACCGGGAGCGGGAACGGATCGAACGCCTCACCACCGGTTCCCGCCAGCAACATTCGCGGAACGGTAGCGCGGCGGGATCGTCGGGCGAGTACAACGATCAGCAGCATGCGGCCGCCAACGTGCGACGACATGACTACGACCTGCAGGCCATGGAGTCGGATTTGAGCCCGCGCGCCGGAGCCACGAAGAACCCCATCCCCGCCCCGACGGTGACCATCCGCAGCGAATTCCCTACCCTCAACCGGTCTCGCCAGCAGCAGTCGTTGACCTGCTTGATCACCGTCGAAGTTCCCGAGGGCTGGCATCCCGATACGGAGGATCTACGCCTGTCGACCATCCCCTCGCCACCCCAGGATGAACCTTACGGCGCTATGCGCTTTCCTACGGCCCCCTCGCCCCAGCCCGTGCCTTACGAACCCCAGGAGAATTTGGATGAGATCGCCGAGGGGTTGCGGAACAAGGTGGATAACTGGCATGGTCTTGAGTTCCAACGGTAAGATCCCGCTTTAATCTGCATACCCGGAAAGACGTCACCCTGCTAACGTCTTTGCTCAGGTTTGGAAAACTGCGTATGTATGGTCAAATGCGGGTCGGTAAAGATCGGGAATCATGGCAGGAATTAGAGTGCTACCTGTTTGCGGAGATGCTTATCTGCATCAAGGAGAAGAAGATCAGCAACCGTCATACTCAGTATGAGGAACAAACATCCAAGCCACGCACTCGGTGCACACTCAAGGGATCGATTCTCATCAAGAAGCATCTCAAGAACATGGAGGCGTCTGGAGAAGAGCCCATCCTCACTCTGAACCTGTCTGTCAGCGAACTTCCTTGCTTCTATCTCCAATTCCAGAATCGGGGTCAGCTGGAGCTTTGGCGCCGTGCACTCCTTGACCTTAATCAAGTCGAACACACTCCCCGGAACCCCGACTACGATCTCGATAACTCGGGCGCGGAGGAGGAGGAGTATCGGGCGAGTCAGATTAAACGACAAGCGTCGCTGAACTCCTCGTACGGAGCCGCACGATCCAACAATACCGCCATCACCGATTATACGACCGCGGGTGGAGAGGGTCCATCCGCTTCCTTGCATATTCCGCTCGACATCGTGGTGGTGATCCCGGTGTCATCGTCCATGCAAGGGCTGAAGATCACCCTTCTGCGCGATGCGCTTAAGTTTCTCGTGCAGAGTCTCGGCCCGCGCGACCGCATGGGACTGGTAACATTTGGCTCGAGCGGCGGTGGAGTCCCTCTGGTGGGCATGACAACCAAGTCCTGGGGAGGATGGAACAAGATCTTGAACTCCATCCGTCCGGTTGGACAGAAGAGCCTTCGCGCCGATGTGGTGGAAGGTGCCAACGTTGCCATGGACCTGCTGATGCAGCGGAAATCCTCCAACCCCCTCTCCACCATCCTCCTGATCAGCGACTCCTCCACGTCGGACCCGGAAAGTGTGGATTTCGTTGTATCCCGTGCTGAGGCTGCCAAGTTAGTTCCCCCTTCTGTTATAACTAATTTCCAACCGTTCATAACTGACTGTTTACTTGCAGAGTTAGCATTCACTCCTTCGGCCTCGGCTTGACTCACAAGCCCGACACTATGATCGAACTGTCGACGCGAACCAAGGGATCCTACCTCTACGTGAAGGACTGGATGATGCTTCGCGAATGTGTTGCTGGCTGCTTGGGGTCCCTGCAGACCACGGCGCACCAGAACGTCAAGCTTAAGCTTCGCCTGCCCGAAGGCTCTCCGGCCAAGTTTGTCAAGATCAGCGGAGCCCTTCATACCACTAAACGAGCGACCGGACGTGATGCCGAGGCAGCTTTGGGAGACCTGCGCTTCGGAGATAAGCGCGACGTTCTGGTCCAGCTCGTCATTCAGCCCGACAACTCCACGCAGGACAACATGCCCCAGGATCCCTGGGAGAGTCTGGTGTCGGGATTGGAAGCCCTTGGCGGAGGGTCGGACGGGGATGAGCAACGCGTCATCAGCGTAGAGGAAGTCCCTCTCATCCAGGCCGATCTCACGTATGGCGATCTCCTGCGTGACGGCCACCTGACCCATTCCCCTCGGCCGTCGCTTCTGGCGATCACCATGCTGCCCCCGAACCCGCGGGCCAAGAGTTCCGGCCGACCGTCGACGCCCCCGATCCCACCCCATCCTTCGATCGTTCAACGACGCATGGAGCTTCTCACGTCGGACATGCTCACGCGGTCTCTGACGCTGGTGTCCCGCGGACAAAGCGACCGGGCCCAACATCTCTTGATGGAGACCCGTAGTATCCTCAAGGGCTTAGGCAAGGGAAGCCTGCCTCCGTTGCCACCCGGCGCTCCGAAGCCGTCTGGCGGTAGCGACGCCGGTAGCAGGGGAGAAACACCCACGTCGAGCTCGCCGAAGTCCTCGAACTTCGGTGACAGCCACTCCTCCGCGCCTTCCGATGCGCCGACCATCTCTCCCGGTGCTGCGGTCGACTCTCAGACCATGACGGCACTGGATGCGGACCTGGCCGCTGCCCTGGAATGGATCAACCACCCTGCCGTGTTCTCGCGGGACTCCCGCAAGGCCGTTCTGCAGGGCATCGGAGTTATTTCCTCGCAGCGAGCCTACACCTTCCGGTCGCCGTCTGAAGCTCATTGGGCTCAGCGAGTGGCCGGTGTACGTCGATTGACCGAGCGGTCCAAGCAATGGCGTGAGACGGGCGATGATGCATTGACTGAAGAATAGACGCACTGATGACCTTTCTCCTTCTATTCTTTCTTCGTTTCTTTTTTTCTTCGACTTCACTTCTTCTCTTCCATTTTGATTCATTTCTTCCATCGTGTCACCGGTTCAGTGGCTAGGCCTTTTCTTTTCTGTTTCGATGATACCACTTTGTTTTACCATGACTGTGCAGCATGATACCACGGGTTTGGTTTTTTTTTTATTTATATTTTTCTTATCCCCACATTGATCTCGCTCCACCCTCTTTCTGTCTCTTTTCTCTGGATATCCATGGGACGTGTATATATCAGGGTCTTTTTCTTAATTTCTTGGGTTGTGGGTTAAAGGTTTAGGTTGGTTGGATCTATATGTATGACTTATGTCTCTTGAATATCTTGTTTTTTCGGCTCGGTGGTATAGGCTGGTGGACAGTCACGAAGATCTCCTTAAGGCCTCTCTTTCTTGATCCGATATCTATATATCTATCCACTATCTTCCATTGCATGTCTCGTTATATATTGCATTATGTTTGATCTGCTCCGCGCACAGGAAGGAATGCTACTTCATTGGTTTGGCGTTAATGGCAATAAATTGAATTGGCATTCTTTGACTAAATATTTCCATAACTTGAAGTAGAGAATTTAAACAATATCATGAACCGTATATCATACTCGAATCATAATTACTTCTCTGAGTAAATGAGACATGCAACTTTTTATTTTCCGCAAGACCAACTCAGATCATTCTGAATATGGCTACCCCCACTTGTTGAGTCAGAATAGAGGCTGTCCACTGTAAACTTGTCACACTGCCTAGTGTCTTTGGATGAAGTTGATGTGCCATTCCATAGTCTCTCCAAATTACTCCGGAAAAACTAAACCATGCCAAGTTGCAGAAGTGACAGCCGTTGTGTATGTGGTCAGCAGTTTTTGGTCGAACATATAGATAGACAATGCAACATTCCAGCAGTATTCTCAGTAGATATTAAATCTTATGTGAAATGGGGATATCTATTTGCTTTGGTTTCTAGTCTATTCAACTGAAAATTAATAAGCAAAGCTAATATTAAAATTCAATCCTAAGAACAAAGTCACTTAGATTGAGGGGTGTCCAAATCCACCCAGTCTCCAGAATCAGCCGATCTTCGGTAGAGACTGCCTGAACCAGGTTGCATTCTAGAGAAGAGGGAAGTACAGATAAGGATATTGGGTATAGGACGCGGGACAGTTACAAGTGTATCGTTGGTCCCCTTCGACCGATCCATGCCTTGGAGAATCCTAAGAACCCAGCATGAGATAATCGCAAGTAATCATTACCACGTCAACAACGCAAAAGATATGCACGTTCAAAATATAATTAGAACTGCAAGCTAAAAGGCAAGGCACGGAGCCCTCGAGACGCTGGAGCAAGATCTAAATCCGGGATTGGTTAAAGGGTGCGTACAATGTGTACAGCAGCATGGTAAACGTCGTCGTAGACGCCCAAAGCTGAGCAATACTGGAAATGAAATGATTGCCAGGGACAAACTCCACTTTTAGCGAAGCACTCTACCTGGTGACGACTTCAATGACGCCAATACCCAATGCCACTGCGGTGACAGTGAAGTAGAGCGAATGAGTATAGAGCATAGGCGCGGACGAGATATGTATAGAAGCATTAGCAGTCGTCACCCCCTGTATACAGGGAACCGCAGCACCTCGAAGCGCCCAGGTGAAGACGAACTAGGTCGAGCATGAGATCTTAATTTAGAAATCATGTCATGATGCGATGTGATCGTGGAGAAGGAGTGCAGATGAAGGTAGAGGGGACTAGGGTTGAGAGGCAGAAAGGTGTGACGGTATGGTACGGTACAGTACCGAGTATGGAAAAATGGGATGGGGGACGATAATTGGATGCGTCTTGCGACTGAGATAGGGATGGCGAGTGCCTTTCAAGGAGGGGAAGCGCTGGGGAGGGGAACAGAGAGGAGAGGGATTCTAAAATTAACACGCATAAGGATAGTATGTGGACGAGAAAGGGACGAGGAGGTATGACGATGGAGGGCAGAAGGGACGGGGGACAGGGAAGTGAGAGATTGCGTCCCAGAAAAACCCACGCAACAACCCAATGACAGGGCGAAGAAGACATCAAGAAGCCGGCGCCATTTGGCTGCTAATGCAGGAGCGTTCATGATAAGAATAGAAAATAGAAAGTCGCGAGGATATCAGTGGTGTTTGGGCCTACGGTCATTTCCGCTTTGGGGCAGGTTCCGGGGACAACGGGGCCTTGGATCGTTCTTACTTTCCCACCAGGGCCTATCTATGGGCTCGGGGCCTGCAGAGGCAATTTCGATCTAGCGAATAGCGGTTTCCGTTCAGACCGGGATCCGCGCGACGCTTCCAATGCATCTAATTGCTGCCATGATTGCATATCGCTCCGTCGCCCGGATGGTGGATTGGGTGCTTGGTTTCTGCCCACCAAGACAGTGGGATGTGGGCTGGGTCGGTGCGGTTGACCGTGGCGTATCTATGTGCAGGGACTTTCCAAATACGGTCAAAATCATCTGAGGGACAAATGCTCGCAAATTCCCTCGAATATATAGATTGGAAATGACCGTCCTTCGCCAGCAAAAGAAGAGGTGAGGTTGCCGGTCCAAAAATAGACGAGATCTGCAACCGCGGCGAGCTATAATTAGATCCCCCCCGGTCGTCCTGCTCGTCCGCGACCACCCAACAACCTTCGCAATTGGCCAGATCACCGTTTGATGATCGAGTGCCTGTCGGAACTAAAATGTCATCACTTTTCCAGATGGTCCACGCTTCCTCGTTATTGGTGCTTCAACGAGATCACCCGCTTCGGCGGCTCTACTCCCATCCTGAGTTGCTGGAGGCCGCCGCCGTCCAGAGGTTGTTTCTGTTTATAGATTCGTAGAGGTGGCTTTGACTCATTCTTTGACTTTGCTCGAAGCGCTGGGATTGATCATTGATGTATGCCGACCTCCTGCGAGCCAACTTTGGGGTGTGTTTATTCGACATGAAGTTGAGAGCGAAAGAATAGCACGCGATGGCGGGAGCCAAGGCAGGCGGGGTACGCCGTAGTACCACAGACCACATACCACAGGCCATGGACAATATACCATAGAGCGTACGGAGTAGACCATATGTTATTTCACCTACACATTGACAAGAACAGCGGCTCCGATTCCCGCAACATCGGGCGCCAAGACACAACTGCTGGCTTGATAGATCCGGCGCTTAACGTACATACGCCCCGAACACAAAGGAGGTGGCTCATCACCTACAAGGAGCTAGCAATTTGATGGAAATTACCTTGGCAGAAGTGGTCAATCAGACCCGGCCAGATATGAATTGTCCATTGGATTCTGTGAGACTGAGCGCTTCCTCTATGCGCCCGCGAGAGGCAAACGTTGGTCCATTTTTCACGCCATGAGATGGCCACGGCGGATGCCAGATCTTCCACACCGACTGCGCGTCAGTGTATCAGGGTCACCTCCCCGCAAAGCGCCTAACTCTCGCGTTAATGCATGGAGAACCCTATAGCTGAAACCTCGTCCCCTCGACAACCAGCGTACATGCCGTCCGATTGGACATAATGGACTTCTCTGGCGTCACCTGTAACGGCAGTTCCTGGCAAATCTTCTTCAAACTAGTCCTTCTAGGTGCTTGGTGCTGCAGGAACGTGTGTTTGGCATCGCCTCCCTCGGCTTAGACGTGACACGGGGAGCCCGTGGTTAGTTGTAGAACCGCGCGCTTTGCTCTCCAACGAACCACGCAGGAGGAAACCACCAAATCGTCGACGAAAAATGAAGAATTCAAGCAACTTTGCAGAAAAAAGGGGGTTGGACAGGATGAGACTTGCTTCAGATGGCGCGCGACAACAATTGCAATGTGCGCAGTTGTTGTGCTGATGAGAGGGAAGGCTGGCGAAGTGAACATATATAATTCGGCTCAAGCCAGGAGGAAATACGAATACTCTCTCATCATCTTCTTCATCGTTTTTCATTCCTCATCATAGACTACTTTGATTTTCTGCCATTCCCACTTCTTTTCTGTCGTTATTCATAGACTCGAGGCATCAGCCGGACTGATCTACCTCGACTTGACTTGCAGCGGAATCTTCTGCCGTCCCATCGTTTTTCTCAGCTCCAGCTGAACACACCACGCACCGAGCGCACCCCGCGAAGGCAAAAACATAATTCTATCACTGCACGACCTGGTAAGTGTGCCCTGGTGGATCGGAGGTTGCTATTTTGGACGAGCTGAAGGGACTAAAGGTGCTAATCGAATCGGCCGACCAGTATATTACCGTATTGACTGTATCATTACCGTCCGATACCCAGTAAGTATGCGTATTATACGCTCTATACCCTTCGGCCTCACTCCATCCACCATCGGATCTGTTCAGGGCTGACTTTGCTCCCCCAGACTCCCCTTGTCATCGATTCCAGCCCGTCGATTTTAGTTCTTCTTCTGCGGTGCCACCGGCCAGATAAATCAGCCACCTCATCCACCCTCGTTGCTGTATATCTCCAGCTGGATCATCGGCTGAAAAGCACATACTTGCTCGGCATCTTCCAGCCCTGAGATCAACTCAACGTTTATCCTATCTATTTTTATCCTGTCACCCGGATTCTTGGATATATAATCCTCCTCGATCCTCACCATGGCTCCCAAAAGACCATCCCTCCATCCATTGACCACTCCCAAGACCATGACTTTCCCATCCGAGCTCCGAGAACGCACCTACACCACCACCCTCGAGCCCAACGAGGGATGCAAGAAAGAGGACGAAGATACCGAGTTCTCCATGACGCCGCCGCCAGCCTACACGGAGTTTCTGAACACCTTCAGTCCCATCTTCGCCAGCCCGGACACCTCCCGGGCCAACTTCTCCAAGTACATGCTCGACAAGCCTCGTCCGTCACCTACCTCCGCTCCGTCCAGCTCCACGAGCACCACCTTCCACGGCGGCAATCCTTCCCCGCGGACTCTCCCTCCTCCGCATCTCTCGGTGCCCAACAGGACTCCGGATCATGTCCGTCGCATGCGCCTGCCTCCGCCGTATGGCTACACTCCGGCGTCGGAGTCCCCGCGCAGTGCGCACCCTCTGCGATCCCCCTACACTCCGTCGGAGATGCGCACGCACCACTTTGACTCGCCCGTCAGTGACCACGCGGGATACTTCAGTATCCGGCACGTGGTCACCACGACGATCACGTACAAACGGACCCCTCAGCTTGAGGCTCCCCCGCAGGGCAAACGGAGAAGAAATGGCGATGATTAGACGGGAGCTTCGTATCTTTCGCCTCCCCCGTCTGACAAGGTCAATGTATGATGGTGGTCATCGTATGCCGAATACGTTGGTGTTTAGTGTCTTTGGTCCTGTTTTCCTGCCGCTGTCTTGGTAGTGAGAGTGGGCCGCATTGGGATTGGGTTTCTTTGCTTTCCGCTTTTTTGCTTTTGTTGTCTTTAGTTATCACGTCAGTCAGGTTACTGGACGATATTCATGCATTGCCGTTGGGTAGTTGGTGCTCGGACTTGTTGAACGGACTGGAGTTGGGCTACTTTGTGCCTACGGCGGGACTTACGACCATGGATCTATCGCAATGATTAAATGAGAATTTTTGTATCATCCCTGCTAGTGTAGTCTGAATCGTAAATAGTAAATACTCGCGGTTACTCTACCTGCTAGTTCCCTAGGTAGTACAGCGCTTGACGCAGTAGTACAAGCCAACCAACCAACCAACATGCCCAAGAACAAAGGAAGGCAGGTTCGGTAGTACATACAACAAAGCAGTCTTGTCCGTTGTCCCACGAGGAGGGAAAATCCCACCGAAATCGAGGTCTCAAACCAAAACTACACATCCTGAAGGATTCCACGTGTTACCGCCACAGTCGACACGGCCAACACGAGGGCCGCACTGACAGCCACCAAACCCAACAAGATCGGGATCAGCAGCGTCTCATTGAGCAGAACCTCCGAGGGCCCCGCGATGGTCGGGAGGTGCCAACGGAGTACGGAGTCGGAGCACTAACGTCTGCACACGGTCCTCTTACTGGACAGGTAGTTAGGTAGTTGGTGGTACTCTGTACGCAGTACGGCGTAGGAAAGTAGGAGTTGGTGTTGGTGGTGGTGAGACAGCCGATCCCGGCGAGTAAGTATCTAGTACGGAGTAGAGAACGGTGCGTTGGCATTGTTGTTTGGGGGCGTTACGGATAGCAGGGTCTTTCTAAGTGGTAGCGAGCCCAGAACTGGCGCATACGGGCAGTCGATTGGGTGGATTCGGCGTCTAAGGCAGGCCTCTGACTGCTAGCGCCCCGCTAGAAATGTATGGATCGAGTTCCTAGTGGTGCGCAGGAGTATGCGACAGCTCCTGGTGATACTCGAATTGTCTCATGTTATTATTATCTCCCATCCTGGCGCTCAGGCCCTGGCTCAATCATTTACGACCAGGCTGTTGGTTTGGGCGGTCTGCATGGCAGGTATAGGAGCCGACTGCGCCCCTCTGGTCTTTTTTTCTACGCTCCAATTTCTCCCGCTGTAGTCTGGCTACTGGGTGTGATGCTGTGGTCTTACTGTCCTACACTTGCTATGGCCCTGGAAAACGGTCTGAACGCGGTCATTGCAAATGGCATTCGATAACTGAACTAACAGACTGGCATCGAATTCAAAAAACCAAAAAAACAACAGATCATCAGAAGTAAGTGAACGAGAGAATAAGAAGAAGAGAAGCTCAAAAGCCAGGTAGCAGATGTTTCTGCTCGTCGAAAGAGAGGAAGATTGCCAGAATCAACAGAGAATCAAAACGCAGCATAAACGGAACACCATCAAGGAGCGTGTTATGTTGGCGCAAAAGCATTAAATCAAAACGAAAAAGCAGATTCAAAATCAGCACAGAAGACCAAAATCAGAGACAGAAACAGACCCATCAAGGGTGAAGGCACGGCAACAACACGAGAGCAACGATCATCCTCGCCAGGGCATATGGGCAGGAAGGAGAAAGAGACAAGCGAAACCAAAGAAGAAGAACCAAAGTAAGCAGTCAAAAACAATCAAAAACTCAGCAGCAGAAAACCAGAAACCCAGAACATAATCTCACTGAAAACAGACAAACACAGGACTCCAAAATCAACCCAAAACTGAACAGCAAAACAACTGGCTCAAATCAAGAACGCATCAGATGAAAGATCAGAAAGCAGAACAAGCAGTGCAGAACTGAAAAGCAAAACTCAAGACCAGAAAGCAAAAAGCAGAAAGCAGAAAGCAGAAAGACGAATCCAAGCCGAAATCCAACCCAAACACCCGCATGGCAAACAAGCAAACAGGCAAGCAAACAAGCAGATAAAACAAAACAGAAAGCAGAACGACAAAAGACGAAAAGACAAAAGGCAGATAGCCAACCTATGTGAGTATAAGTCAAGAACTCGGTCCCCTGTTGAATGTGAGATGATATGAAATGCCCTGTGCTCGTTGCAATGTGTTGTTGGTTAGTGCTTCACCTGACCAGCCTGTACTGTGTCTTGTTCCCTCCCTTCCCTCCGGTTCCCCCTTTCCTTTCGATTCAATTTACCCTCTCCCTTTCATCTCATCCTCAACCATCATTTTTTGTTTCCTCCCAAAATCTCTTGCATCGTCACTGACATCAGCATAATTTGACGTCAAGTCAATTACATGAGAAGGAAATCCCAGTTGTTGCGTTTCATGATCTCCCGCCAGTGAAGCTCCTCTCTCGCAGGCTCCTGAGTTTCAGTAACTGGTGGTCGGATAGTGGCATCGCCATCGACGAACTCCGGAGAGCCAGGAGCATCTTCATCATCATCCGAAGCCGAAGTGATGGGACCTTCGGCCGCTAGCCAGATCTCTCTCAGGAGGCGATACATCCGGCCGAAGCTGGCGAAGTCTCCCAGATACCCCAAGGCAGCAATCCGGTCCGTTAGAATACGGCGGAAAGAGCAAGCAGGAGTCGAGTAGGCCCCCACGATGAAGAGGGGCCATACAATGCAGCGATCATATCCGTGAAGACCGCCAGGGATATAATCCAAATTATCCGCAAATATGGCGACCAAGTCGGTCACGGTAAAGTCGAAACGGCTGAAACCCGGAAGGAGACTTTCCAGGTAGATGCGGGCCGCGATGCGGAATAGGGAAGTGATGTTCTTCGTCAAAGACATCGCCCCTACGGCCCCATTGGAGGTGTATGGATGTTGCAAGGAGCGATCGGTCGGTTCAGTCCACTCGATCTGAGCCCTCAAAGCATCGACATGCCCTTTCATGTCCTCGTCGTTAATTTCGCCATCCAGTCGAAGATGTTCAAGGCAGGTGATCTCCGAAATGAGGTACATCACGCCGTCGTCACAGCCCATCAAGCCCCGCAGCCCCGACAGAGAGCCTTTCAAGTGCTTGGTGCGATAAGCGTGCGCGAAGTGAGGCGTGGTTCCCGTCATGGTGGAACCCAGGATATCGATCCAGGTGATCAGAGAAATGTTGAACTGCGAGGGAGAATGCTGCAGCTTCTTCACCAGAGTGGCGACTCCCAGAAAGTGAGCACTCCATGGAATATCGGGCAGATAGTCGTCGGTGTTGCTAATCTTGCAATGGTAGTAGATCATACCGAGAGTGGCATCGATGACCGTAATTGGATTGTACCCGCGACCAAGGGCACGACAGAGCTGAGAAATCGCTTCATACCGATGCTTCATGATGTCATGGTCCATCTGGTCTTCCAGCCCGAGACTGGTCTTCATATGGATGGCTGACACGCTGAGGCAGCAGTGCAAAAAGGAGCGATTGAACCGCATATTGCGAAAGATTTCTTTCAGCCGGAACTGTCCAACCTGGTGAAGATCGACTATGGGGAAGGCCAGTCGGAGGACGTTCTCTACAAAGTGGTCCAGAAACGGACTGTCCTTCTCATCCAGCGGAATAACAGTCTGGAGAGGCACCGGCAAAGATCCATAGGGGTATGCGAAACCGGGGACATCCATCGCGGGATAGTGCTGGAGCTGACCAAAGTTGTTGAGTCCATTGGAGCTCACAGGGTTCATGCTGTTCATGCCCATGCCGTTCATATTGTTCATGGTGTTCATGGTGCTCATGCCGTTATTCATGTCATTGTTCATGTTCTGGTTCATGCTGTGGTTGTTGATTCCGAACCAGCCATCAACGGGAAGTTGAGGGCTGGGGGGTACTTGGACTGGCATGATGATCGGCATCTGGGTCCGTACCTGAGTCTGCAGCTGAATTGGCAGCTGTGCAGCAATCTCAGCAGGTGTCGGACTTGTCAATTGCGGAGTAGTCATCTCCGTACATGCCTGAGTCGGCAGCTGAGTGGACATCTCGACAGGTGCCGGAGGAGCCATCTCGGTGGTCACCTGGACAGCCGTCTCGGCAGGTGCCTGGGCTGCGACCGAGAGACCATGGGTCGGGACAGGAATGTCAGTAGACATCTGAGTCGACATCGGAGACGGCAGCTGGGATTGCATTTGGCTCGACATCGGCCCCTGAGGGGCGTTCACAGGGGTGAAAGACATGCTCGACGGCGAGCTAGCCTGGAGCGACGACGGAAACCCGGGGCTGATAAACGTCTCGGAGGTGACGTTGATATTGCACGGAGTGGCCGGGGGCAAGAGGGGAGCATCCCAGTTGTACTGCTCCCCCATCATGGGCCGATTGGATTCCTTTTCCGAGGTCTTTGGACTTCTTTCGGTGAGAGCGCGGATTCGATCCATGTATTCTAAGAAAGTTCAGCGACCGCAGGAGTAAAAGGCACGACATCACTTACCCCGGAAGGACCCGTGCTTTTCCATGACCTTGGTCTGTCGGATTCTATCCTTTATCCGATCCTTCTGCCGGCGACGCTTTTCACCAGTGGACCACCAATGCGGAATTTTGTATTCGCATTTGAGCCCGAGCTTGGTGCACGTCTCGCAGGAACGCCGGGTTTCATCGCATTTCTTCCGTCTGAGTCGACAGGTGAAGCAGCCTGTTAGGAAAGACTATGGTTAGCACTTATCCGAGCAGAAAGTGGGACGGAGCGAAAGCGAGCTTGTCCTCAGCTGCGCTGCTTCTTCCGACAACAAGAGGTTTTACCTGAGCGAGACCGGCGATAAGACCTGATAGGTCTCTCGTTGGGATGAACCGGAGGCTCGCCCAACGGAGCTATAGGCACCTTGCCAGGAATGCCTGGTCCGGCGACAGCGGCGCCGTTGGCGACGGAAGAGGAGGAAGCACCATAGGCCGACATGGTGCTTGGTAGTTGAAGCTTTCGACGAAGACCTTGAGGTGATCCGGCAAAAGGGAAACGCAATGACGACGAAGTAGTCAACGACAGCAAGATGTGAAGTTGTAAGAAAGATATTGAAGCAAGCAAGCAACGATGTTGGAACAAGAGTACGAAGAACGAGAAGGTTGGCGATAGTCAAGGACCTCTGCTGTTGTGTGAAGCAAAGATGAGACTGGAAAAGAAAGGGAGGAAGGATGGCGAGGGAGGAGGTCCTTTATGAATCAATTGCGGCGCGGTATCATGAGATATGATGGTTGCAAAGATTCAACCCAGAACGAGGACCAAGCACCCCGTGCTTCTATTTTTTCCTGGTCAGGGATTAGGAAAAACGAGGATATTGTTTCAAAGGCTTTCCCGACGATGCGAACCCTGAGTGGAGCCAGAAGCCAAGCAACAAATCAATGTCGGCATTAGGATTGGTGATAGTGCAAAAAGTGTCTAAATTGGGAGGATGGATGGAGGAAGATGGTGGTGGACAGCATGGTTCCTGGGATTGTGGTGTTGATCACCCATGCCGTCATGTCGCCTGTGCCATTAGACGCGGACCAAAACTGATGGCTGCAGGGATCACGTTGGGCGGACGGCTAACGTTAGGGTGCTGCCAGGGCCTCGAGGAAGCCCGTTTTAGCGCACAATTCGAGGGTGGTGGAATTGGATGCTGATTGGCACCTTTCGTCCCAAATATCTGGAAGTTCGTCTCTGGATGATTTGCTCGGCGCTTTGCCCCTACCGGCCCCGGCACCCCATTTTCGACGTCCATTTCGACAGAGCCGTCGGTTTCGAGCCACGACGAAGCGATTCCTTTTTTCCGCGTATTTTTCCCGATTTTTGCTGAATTTTGAGGGTGGTCTGGAGGCCTGCGACTCCTATACAAATGCCCCCTCAGTTAGTCGCCGGGGTGGTGTTGGTCGCGATGGAGAGCGACGCCCATCTGGCAGGGCCCAATCAGCAGCGGGAGAAGCCACGACGATGGAGCTCGGCCCGTGCAGAAGCGGGGCGGATCGGAAACGCTTGGACGTGATAACTCGGCATGACCATGCCCTAATTAGCAACTTTTAGCCGCCATTGATGCGGCATGGGGCAATTATCGACATCCCCCCCCTGGCTAGTCCCCGAGTCCGGCGCCATTATAGCGGTGTTTAAATTTAGCTAAATGCCTGCAACGGCCTCGAATATCTAAGAATAACTCCCGCAAGCTGTCATAATTAGCAACAGAACCCTATGCGGGGTATACACAATGCTCGGACTTGCAGCTTGCCTGCATGCTGCTGCTGCATCTTGATCAATAATGCCCGCCAATGATCAAGCGCGGCGGCGTGACTCCGGGAAAGCATTTCGTGAAAGAACGCGCCGTGCCAGGGCCCCCTGGACCAATGAGTTGGTCCCTCTGCCCGGATCCAACTACCGCAGCTACACGAAGAATCTTCTATCGTCCGTTCCATTGGCACTTGCACCCAAGCTATCACCAACGTCGCTAACAAGATCGAAACGTCAAATTGGCTCAGATTCTAAAATAAGCTCTTTCGTTGCCATTCCTGCAACGAAATAAACGCAGCGCATAGTCCAGCGCTTCTTTTAATAGAATATCCTCCAACAACTTCCCTGCGCGCTTCCATCTTGAAACAGAGACCACACGTTAGCCCAGAGTCTGAAGCACAATGCGATTCTAATTTAATTTTGCATCCAAATCAAGAACACGCGAACATCGACATGCGCCGCATCGAAGCGCCCACCACGGAGGATACTGAGTGATATCTTTAGTTTATTCTTAGCCCACCTATTACTACGGATGTCTATTGTTGGATCTACTACGCCGTTCTGGAATTCGATATGCCATGCGCACGTTGTGCTAAAAAAAGGAACTCTCCGAGTCCCCCGTGGATGTGAGTTCCGAACGTCTGGGAGCAGTTGGTCTCGAACTGCGATTTTCTGGAGCGTCGGGACCAACACTCTTCGCACCGGATCAAATGAACCGGTACAACGAGTTGACCGGCGAGGAGCGCCTTCTGAGCAGGTCGAAGGGAGTACCGCAATAATGTGACGAGCGCAATCACATCTACCCCGCTCCATCACCTGAGAGTCCCTTTGCCGTGGTCAATTTACTCTCCAGGACTCGTCACCCATAACTGGGGATAATTTACTACACATCAGTCTGGTCTTAAGTTTCTTCATTAGCTCAATGCCATCTGCCTTGCCCGAATTGCTGCAAGTCCACCGTGCTGGCCCGATTAATAAGAATCCTTCCTCAAGCCCTACAAGCCTTACAAGCCCTTCAACACCAACTGGATACCAGTTCTTCTGCAGACTCATGGCAATGAGAAGTATAACCACATGGCTTATCTGCAATCACTCTCTGACTCTGTCAGAATGATTGACCGGCCTAATCACGGTTGCTATCCCAACTAATTTCCACACGCCGGGAGCCTACGCCGTTCTGGTCAACTACAAGTGAGGGGGAGTACGTAAGGGCCTGCAATGCAGTTGGTTCACATATCACACTACAGTAGTCTCGGAGTCAATTGATTTACAGCCAACGGACCGCCATACCAAGACCATCTAATTCGGAGCCACCGCCGTAGTTACTACGGTTCAATCCTGAAAGAGCGGTGCGCAGAGCTATACAACGGCATACTATGCGAGTGACCTGCACTGATCAAGTACAGAGATAGCACTGCAAACCGCACTTAAGCGAGGACCACGAATTGGAGGCGGCAAAACAGGATGGCTGACAAGGTGGGCGCGTTCTTCGTGGGGTTGAGTAGCGAGAGAAAAAAAAGTGGAAGGAAACGAGCAGCGACTCAAAGTGTCTGGAAGGATCCAACTCGAGAAATGCGGACGGCTATCGCTATATAGGCTCATTTGGGAGAACTGCTCCGTCTCGGATGGTTTTTCGCATGACTTGGTTGGTCCGCAGTGCTTCGCACGTTGCCGCCCAACAACTCGCAAACGGACGAATCGCATCTCCTGTTTCGAGAGGCCCGAGTACTGCCAGCCACCAACAGGACGATTGGACCAGCGGGGTTGACGGAGGAAAGGAAGAAGGTGGGCGGTTAGAGAGGAGATGCGATTGCTCGGAGGGGACGATAACGGAAGACGGCGGTATGTCCAGGGCGATCCTCAGGCGCTAAATCGCTCCGCCAGTCACGGGCCGCGAAGCACGACGTCCCCGCCAGCCCGGCGCGTAGAGAAAGCACAACCACCACTCTGTGCTCCTCTCGTCGTCCGGTTGCTGAGGCAGTCCGGCCTCGGCGCCAATCCATTGGACGAGAACTGCCTCTCGTCTCTGCATTGGGCTCCGGACTACTGCAAGGTCGTCACTCGACATCACCCTCTCATGAAGGTCCCTCCATCCTGCCCAGCCCTCTGGCGTGAAGACAATGCCACTACGTTTCACGATCCCTGCAGGGACGGGGCTGCGTTTCTCGTTGCCGTGCCGTTTGATTCGACCTATCCAGAATCCTGCAGTCGGTGCTGTGTTTCACACCCCCCCCCCCCCCCCCCCGCCACCTTGGTCGGTCAGACCGGTCACCGTCCGGCCTACCTATTGACGATACTTATACTACGATGGGCCCTGTGTCCCCGTTTTCCCTACTTCTTGTTGCATCTTTCTGTCACTCCCCCATAATCGGACTGCATGTCCACCGTATTGCTTTTGTTTCTGGCTTTTCTTTCCTATTCTGCTGCCAGGAGCCTGTGATGGTCGCAATAGAAACATTGCCTGCTTTTGAGTTTCTTTAATTACCACACCTAATCCAAAAATAATCACCCAATCTCACATACATCATGGTAAGAAGGATACCCGCAAAGTCTGATCTCTCCATCTGGAACCCCGGTCCTAACGACTATCCCTCTCTCTAGGAGTCCCTACGTGGCCGCCGCAAGGCACCACCTGCCTCGCTGAACATGAAGCATACCGCTCGGTTCAACCCACCATGGACGGCAGTGCACAACCGTCAATCGAATACGACCAACTTTGACGACACCGACTTTGAGTTTAGCGACTCGGATACTGAATCTCCACGGATGAGCATGGGATCTGTATGTTATACCTCTCCCGATATTGTTGCAGATCAACAGACTAATATGATTCCGCAGTTTGGCTATGACAGCAACTCATCTCTTTCTACGCCGGACCTTCCCACGCCAGATCACGCTCCTAAGGCGCCGTTCAACTTCAGACTAGACAACGGAGTAAAGGGACCTTCAGGGCCTCATCTCTTCAGGTCTTCAATTGGCTCTGCTGGTTCAGTGTCATCAACCGAGATCGACCTCTACTTCGAGAGATCACCCGTGAACTCTCGCTTCCAGCAGTCCGACAGACAGACTCCAAGCTCCCAATCTCAATTTCTCCAGTCTGATGGCGAGACCCTGAGCTCTGGGTCTTATATCATCCATTCCGACAACGAGACCCCCAGCTACAGATCTGAGTTTTCCCACTCCCAAAGCGGGACTCCTAGCTACAGGTCTCAGTTTTCCCACTCCCAAAGCGGGACCCCTAGCTACAGATCTCAGTACTTCCACTCTGCCAGCCAGACTCCAAGCTCCCGGTCTCAGTTTTCTCAATCCCAAAGCGAGGCCCTGAGCATGGGCTCTGAATCCATTCGGACCTATTCTGAGACCCCAAGCTCCCGGTCCCAATTCTCCCGTTCAGAGACCCAGACGCCGAGTACGAGATCTCAATTCGCCCAGTCCGAATCCGGAACTACGACCAGTTCTCGATACCAGTTCTCACCGCCCACCCCCAGAGCCTACTCGACCGTGTACCCTGATGTTTCCCAAGTGGAAGAGAGTGAAATCCGAGGCTGGGTGCCGAGTCAGGTGGCGCACTGGTTGCACATCGCTGGGTACGATGAATTCGTTATTGATCAATTCTTGATCAATGACATTACTGGTACCGTCTTGCTCAATCTGCAGGTCGATGACCTCAAGGAGCTCGGGATCAAATCATTTGGCAAGCGCCATCAATTGATGTCTTCGATCGATCATCTGCGCAATACCATGATGAAGACACCCGCTGCCGATGAGAAGCCCCAGGAAAACCGACGCTCCTACGCCATGTCTGTCTCCCCAACGGGCGAAGTGCTCACCAAGTACGACGGCACCCAGATCACACCCGCCGAGGCTGTGTCGATTGTGGGCATTGAGCAAGTTCTCCCCAAGCCGCACAGCTGCTCCAAGGGTGAAAACTGCCCCAAGTTTAGAAGACGCCAACGCCAGCTGGAGAGACTTGCGGCTGAGTTCCCCGGTGCCAATCTCTTGTCAGGCACTTCCATCTTCACTGGGAACCCTGGCAATCCCGAGACGGCAAAGAACATGCTGCGACCCAAGTCGGACGCCGAGCCTTCCATCGTCGCGTCGTCGGATGTTTTTGGTCCATCCCAGACCACACCCCGGTTGAGCGAGGATGTACTCAATGAGGTGTCAAAGTTGGATCCGCAAGAGAGCGTGCGACACTTTCTGAGCTACCAGCGTGTTGACCCTGCGAGCTCGTCTGATGACGACGACTCAGACCCGTGCTCACCACCTCTACCACCACCGAAGCCGGAGCCGGTCCCTACTCTGTCGTCTCCCCCAACCAAGTACACGGAGCACATGGCCGCGAACCTTCGCAGCCTTCCTAAATTGAGGATCCCCACAGATTCGGATGAAGAAGACGAGTTGACCACTGCCACCGTCACCACGGCTCAGCCGACCATGTACGGCTCACCGACCACCACCCAAGAGCATGGCCCCTTTACCTCCTCTCGGTACATGCCTCAAGGAGGCAACTATCGCCTGGGTACTCCCTTTTCAGAAATGGACGTGCCCATCACAGCGATCCCTGACGACCCGATCGCCCGTGACACGTCCCAGTCGGTTCCCCCAGACATGCAATACGGGAATCTCATGCACCTCCGATACCAAGAGGGCATCTCTCGCAGCGCATCTACCCGCCCACGAGCCAACTCTGCGCTTCGCCCCGTCAACGAGGGTCGGCCGCTGACCCCAATTGATGGCCCGGAGGATATGAAGAAGAGAAGCCCTCGCATCGGTTTCAACCCCAACCCCAACTCCACCAGCTCGGCGATCGCTGCCGACCCTGACGTCACTCGATGCGGCTGGATGAAGAAACGCAAGCAGGCACGTTTCCTTCGCCACGAATGGCAGGATGCTCACTTCACCTTGCGCGGAACCAATCTTGCCATGCACAAGGACGAGCTTGCCGCTCTTCGTCACTCCAAGGCATTGGAGACTATCGACGTCGATGACTATGCCGTTGCCTGTTCGTCGCTGGCCACCAGCTCCAAGCTGACCGCTGCATTCAAGAAGTCCATTCTTCGCAACGGCCAGAACCCGAGCCAGGACGACGCTGCCTTTGCCTTCTCGCTCATTCCCGCTACCAAGGAAAACGAGAAGAAGATGCTGTTCGGAAACGGCAACATCAAGAGCCACCACTTTGCCGTCAAGACCCGCGACGAACGCATTGATTGGATGCGTGAGTTGATGCTCTCCAAGGCCCTCCGTAAGGGCAAGGAGGGAGGTGCCGCAATGCAAGTGAACGGCAACTTCATCTAATTTTTACAACTATTCCTTCATACCCTTTTGCCTTTCTCCTTTTTTCTTTTCTTTTTCTTTTTTTTTATCACGCCAAACTCAAACCATCTCTCAGATTGTCTTGTCAGATGCTGTGTACTCTAGTCCAGGAAACGAATTTTCTTTGTCTTTCCCTTGCCATTTGTGGTCTATTACTGCATTTTAACAGGACTGGTTGTTATTTGGATTGCATCTGGAATTCCCTTTGTCACGACCAAACGAACAAGACACATCGCCGCAGGACGGCCATGTGAGATACCCCAAAGTACCTCTCTATTTATCATTGTTTCTGTGGATTGCTTTCTTTTCTCTATACTATGGGTCAGGTTGAATAATGCATCGGAGTACTGGTCAGAATTAATGTACAGAAAATATAAATAATCCCGTTCTGGGTGCATAAACCTCCTTCGTAGAGAGCAAATCGCTAGAGTCTCCCCGCTTTCAACTGCGAGGATCTTACAAATCCACATCCAAGCACCTCGGTCTTCCGTATGGCCATCGGCGATCAGCTACTAAGTATATCTCCCTCTGGGATTCGCTGGAACCCCGCTTTGATGGTGCTTCCAAGACTTTGGTTAATTTTGAGGATTTTGGCGTCCGTAGGAACAGATGTGATGGGTATTGCCTGATGCCCCCATGTTCAGCTGGAAGTGCAGGCGAAAAGTTTGATTAATTTTTTCCTTAATTTTACTTGATTGTCTTTTTGCTCTCCTTTGGCATGTGACTGTACCATACTTGCTCAATATCCCCATTAGGAAATGCAGCGTTTCTTTGGTAATGGTGAGGTAGATTTTCTGGGCTTCACCTAGCCACGATCATTATTCAGTGAAGACATATTCACCTCTCCTTATGTCTTCCGGTGACTGATTGTAATCGTAGAAAAGTGAATATAGAGCAGGAGTAAGCTTCACTATCTTCTCCTTGTAGGCAATATTTGACTGGGACGCCAAGTCGTTCTCTCCTCTCCTTTCTTCCTCAACCTTCTTCCTCATCCTATACCCATTCCGAGGCCCATCTATCAAGAGTCTACCTTCTATTCCGTTCTATCTATATAGCCCATCGTGTATCCTCTTTCTGGAGCCTAAGCTATCATAATTGTTGCATGCGGACATTCCAGCTACCAAAACACCGTTTCAGACTACAGTTTTTGATAGATAAATAATCCGCAGCGTCAATAGGCCACGTCAAATTGCTCCGTCTAGCATGATCTCTTCTAGGCTAGAAGATAAAGAAGCCACCAGAAAGTCTTGCTTGACGATTACCGGGCGGCAGGAATGATCGTTTGATCAAGTACATTGAGCGAGGAGCATACGAGATGAGCTGAGCTTTCCACACATCACCAGACAATCCTCATCTCGGTCCATCGATCTTGCTGCGTATTTCTATACGCGTCTGTTGTTGGCGTCAACGCTATGCTGAGGCACAGAGACTACCAACAAGATAATCATTGAAGATGTCTACCAACAGACAGCAACACAATCAAAAAGAACAAGCCAAAGGCGGGGTATTGATAACCCGTTGTTGGCATCGGATCCTTGAATTGCGGCTTGGGATGATGCATCTCACGACTGTCATTTCAAAAGAACTTGTAAATGGATGCAGGATCGTCAAGGCTTGAAGAAACATCACCAGACACATAATGCTGGCACTGATACTTAACGTACGTTGCCTCCGGAGAGAGAGGTTCTCCTCCCAAGCACTTCAAGAAAAGAGCCTGGGTCAATTTCTACCACAAGTCTGGCTTTGGCACCCGGAATTCCGAAGAAGATTACGAAGCAAGCCGATAAACCTGGAGATATTAGTTCTGCTAAGCTCCCAGCACTAGAGGAAATAAGCACATGTACTACCTTACAGGCAGCCTTTATCGAATTCGAAAGGCAGGCACATCTACTGTCTCCTGTCATAGGAGTTCCTTCGATTTTTCGTTCTTCCGGTCCTACATCGATTCAAAAGGAAGAATTCCTAAGTGGACAGTTTGATTCCGATACATGTCAATGAATGCTCCAATTCTACATGGTCACACCACATCGAGCAAAGCACATATTCCAGAACGTTATTATTTGACTTGGCATCAACGCCCAACCGAGCAACGCTATGGGAGAAACAGGATCTTCAATACAAAACCATCAAGTAACTTGGGCACATGCTGCATGCCCTCGTTCACAATATAGAGCTCCCAATGTCAAGAATAAAGATCGAACCAGGTTAATACTCTCGCAAATACACGTTCCAAAGCCATGCGGAACTGTTTTCACATCATTCTATTCCATCCGACCCCAGTTGCTCTATATTACTTGACTGATGGTAGCGCTTTTCGAAGATCGATGGGAGCTTATTAACATATGAGGTTTCGAAAGATGAGACTATTCTCAGTCAAGTGGCTTAGAAAGCCCACATACATTTGAAACAAAGCACAACAATCTTCGACACCTTCTCCACTACTATGGTTTGCCATATCCTCTTTCTTGGCCCAAAATCATAGACAATGCCGAAGAGAAAGAGAAGCGGGATTCACGAAGGACATGGCCACTAAGAAACCAAGTTTGAAATCCCTCATGATGAACGAGTCATAATCCAAGAGTCTATAACTGCATCGTGGACTTCGCATACATCCTTGAAAAGGATAGAGTCGGAGAGTTTCTGCTGCAGTATGCCACAATCACGATACATAACGCCAAACCAGTCCAGAAAGATTAACATAGCATTTGCTTGGCCAATTCTCTGGCTTCAGGAGTTCTCTAATTTCCCAGGCGTTCAGATTATGTTGCATCCCTTAGGAAGTGACTTATCGCGAACAAGGCATATGATACTTTCGTTATCAGTTTACTACTTTTGCAAATACAAGGGATAAAAGTCCGCAAACGGACCTTGGAATAGAGCATCCCAACAATTTGACTAGCATTCACCAAGCAATAGGGAAGGCCGTTCTCTCTTGAATACCACGTCGATGGAACAGGTTTCTCTGCGACTCTGGCCGATTGATGATCAGGATGGCGATATTAAATCCCAAACCGACGAGACGATTCTGCCAACACCGCAGAATGACTCACATATCCGACAGAAAAGTTTGATTGTCAGCAGCGCACACATCCTGAAGGGGCGGATCGATCCCAGGAATACCTCTCACGACAACATGGCATTCGTCCTGCTATAGTCTCTCCGAGTCCAGACTTCTCGACGCCCTTGCCGCCGTCTCCTCTTTTGGTATCGACCTAGATGTGTGGAAACACAACTGTGATACTGACTTATTAGAAATCTGTTATAACCCCCATCACATCCAGCAGATATGGAAGCAGCCAAGCGAGAAGGCAGACCTCGCCTGTTTCCTAACCTGCCGCTTCTCACCCCGGATGAGCGCACTAAAAAGGTCATGGGAGATTCCAGGCCTCCCCTTCTGACTTCCGTATCGTCAGGGGTGCCCGATCCTTGCGATTTTGAGCAGGACGGGCGTCCTGTTGACTATCCTAATAGGGATCAAGAGCGTTTCGATATGCCCCCGCCTGCCGTTGGGTGGCAATGCCTCTGTCCCCGCGCAGGGTGAATAAAGGAGTATCTTCGGTGCCTTTCGACCTTTGGTTATGGACCTGCTGCACAGCCACCTCGTTCCGTTCTGGAGCCCCCCATGGTCTCGCCGGTCTCGCCCTGGTGTCTTCGATGCACGAAGGCGCTGGGGGCTAAACCTGAGACCGTATGTGTCCGCCCTTACGTCTTCAAGACGCGCGAAAGCTGCGAGACTAATAAACGCCCGTGTAAGCCCGTTCCTATCTCGATACAGATGAAAACTGCCGAGCTGTGGGCCGCTCAGAATAACGAGGAACGTATAGAGGCATATCGGCAGCTCATTAGTCGCGGAGATTCATGAGCGCTACTGCAGGATACTGCGGACGGTGTGGTGGTCCTTGAATCGAAATTTCTTCCGCCTGGTCCAACTTCAACGTATCTCCCTGGGCCTGCCCCCCTTAGACATAAAAGAGAAAGACCAGAAAGGAGCGAGATCCGATGACACAGTTATTATTGATATGGGAAAGAAAAGCGAGGCAGTCAGCCTCAGCCATGGAAGAGTTCATTGCTTTTACTTCAGGCCCCTGGCTCGCACTGTATCCCATAATCACCTTTATGGAAAGTTAGTCTGTTTTAGAGGACTCGATTGATGATTTGGAACGCGAATTCCAAAGTGGTCATCAGTGGTGACCGACACAGGGGGAGAGCACTTGCCGACGTGTCCATCTGCAGAGAAGTCTGCGATCAGTTTCATCGCCAGTCACCAGTGTCCATTTTCCATGCATTCCTACCCCTTATTTGAATTGCCTTCTGCTTTCTCATCTTGATTTACATCCTTTTCGTGGTTTCTCTGGCCGCCAATCTCAGAGGGCTACAGATTTAGCCCATCATCAATTAACGAACGCTTCGTCAAGCAATTTGAGTGAAACAACCGAGGTTAACAATACTCTAGCATCCGCCACCAGTTGAAAAAGGAAACGAGAGCCCCATAAGCCTCGACCAAATACGAACGAGAGAAAGACAGGAAAGAAACACCATGACACGCTCTTCCTCCGTATCCTGCCTATAAAGATAATATTGTTTAAGAACCTGCTGAGACTATGAAGGCACTCAAAGGCCAGCTACGACAGGTCATCATCAATCCGATACAAGTGCCAGCTTCGCAGAAGAGCAAGTACAAAAGGAGGGCTAGCCGTATAGCCTAATCCTTGGATGAATTAGTTGGACAAGGGTCAATCAACCCCCAGCATGCATCTGGGGACCTGGAGGCTCACCTATACCAATACCTTGTCAGCGTCCGTTGGTATAGAAGAATAATAGACCACAAGCAAACGAAGGGACGTGCCCCGTATGGAGTGTGCAGACGAAGCATACGCATATCGGGGAGCATTACTATGCCGAATATACGAATACAATCTACAAAAGAATGAAGCGCTCGACCTGAAGAATGGTCAATGATGGACTAAAGGATCTCGCAGACTTAGGACTTGGCCTAAAACATTGCACAGAATATGACCATCTATGAGAACAATTGCACGACGGCTTATTCCGAGATTTATATTCGCATTTCTTGGAGGTATGCCCCAGCAGCAGGATAATGCTGGCTTTAAACGTCCAACAGCTCTACGCTCCTGTCACCAGTACCTAATCAAAGAGCATGAGCGGAGGAATATGAGACTCAATATCCAGCAACAGAGTTACTTTCGTCAGTCCCTTTTCAAGGTCGGTGCTACATTCGAGGCTTGATACATGCACGCCTCCTCTATTCAAGAGCAGCAGCACGCGAGAGCTGGAGCGAGTAGCAATATCCGGGCATCATACCAAACGAGAAGCAAGTCCGGACATAGGCTGTACTTGACAAAGTCTATCAACCGCCGAGTTTGAACAATGGATATGGATGACATGGATTGTCAAATCGACCCTACAAGAATACAGACCGAGCAAAATGAACAGATGGATGAAGAAGTTCATAAGAATACCGAGTATCAGAACACCTCGCTTACACAGCAAAAAGCCTTTGAGATAGGAGTGTCAATATGGCACATTTTTGGGTTCGACTGCAACTGACAGTTGTGTGGCGCCATTTTCACGCAGCACCATATACGAGGAACCATGTTCGCTCCAGTGGCCTTCTTGTCCTCGTAGCTTTGAATCTTCCGGTCTCGATACATGCCTCGGACTGGCCATTGGGCTAGACTAAGATTCAATCGGCGATATAGGGCCTGGAAAACTGGAGACTTTGTGTCTTACTACTGTTATTCAGATGATCAGTGTTAAAATTCTAGGGGACAGAGTTTCGTTGGAGCAGAAATGAGACAAGATGTTTATTCTAACATCGAGTCAAATCTTTCAAAGTCCAGAGCAAAGGCCGTCTCGTGGGAGCAGGAGAATGTGGCTTTGTGACCGAGATTTTCTTAAATCTCCCCTTCACGACAGATGCGTTGGAATTAAGTACCAAGGAGCGTGCTGAAGAATGTATATAAATTCTCTTTTGTCAGTTGATAGGAAAGATCCCACACAGAGACATATCTTGTAAGCATATACCATGGAACCACATCATATAAACCAGAACGCATCTCCAAGATTCAACTTCTCAACAAAAGCAAAACTGCCACAAGCAGGTAAATACCCAAGCAACTCCCCAGGACAATCACCCCATCATCCTAATCACAACGTAGAGCCATCCATCCCCGTACATCGAACTTCTCACTAACTCTTCGACGGGCGTCGACATGGGCACCACAGCGCCGTGTAGTACTGGCTTCGCGAGCACAGGGGTACGGCGACTGGGGAAAAGATTCGGAAGGAGCGAATGCAATGCGGTGCCAATGGTCTGGGTCTGGGGAGCCGGGCTACCACGGGACGGAAGCACTTGGCTGGCCGCCACATTGGCGGACGGGAGAGTGGGGGAAACAAGAGATTGAACGACTTTCAGAGACGGAGACTCCGAGTCGGGAGGGAGAGGGAGGAAGAGTCGAATGGGGATGTTGCGGAAAGATTGGGAGGGAGGGGGCAGAAGCATGTTGGAGATGCGTTGGAAGTCAGAGAGGTTTACTGATCGATCTCATCAGCTAGAATATTCACTGTCGAATTTCGACACGTCTTGATGAGAGATGAGTTAAATAGGAAAATGCAACTTACCATCCCGAACGGAATCCCATAATCCCGACGAGTCCTCCTTCGAAAGGCTCATAATTCCCTTAGCGTTTCCGTTGCGCAGGAAATCCGCTTCCTTGACGCTGTTGATAAAAGCATCGTGCATGACGAGTCCGTTGCTGTCTAATTGAACCAGCTCCTCGTGCGGCCATTCGCTGAAATGCACCACCAGCCTCCAAGGGAGGGTCTCGTCGTTCGAATCCGCATCGTCGGACCTACTACCCCGAGACGCTGGGTCCGCTCCAGCGTACAGGTCATACAGCAAGCCGGCGGGGAGGTGCCATTTGAGCGGAACGCCTTCAAACGAGAACCACCCTTCGTGGGCCGGAGTGTCGGACTCTATCAAAGAGGATGAGAAGAAAGCTTTCAGTTTGGGCAGTAAAAACGGCAGATACGAGAGGCGTGGATAGGCGATCTAAGAGCTGGTTAATCATCTAACGTGCAGCATGGCGGGGGTTGGCAAAAGTACAAGATAGGGATCTGTCTGGTCATATGTACGGCTCTCTGCCGGAGCCAGGGTTATTTGTAATGGTAGCCGGCCGTCCCAGACGGCCTTTTGGATATCACTCAGACCGGCGGAGTTTTCCATGATATGTGTGGTTGAGTTTCAGGGATCTCAACTGTGGCTTGTTAGCGAATCTGGCTGAGTCTAAACCTCGAGAATATCTAAATACCGGATGATAGATATTGTTCAATAGGTTGAAAGCGACTTTGTCGGAGAACTACGATCCCAGGCGGTAAGTCGAAATAACGGCGCTACCCCTCGAGGACATGATCCGAACGCTTCCTCTACAAGGTCACGGGGCTGTTCGGCGTAGAAAGACGTCTCATTTAATCGATGTGTTTATAGGCCCCGGATATGTGGGCAAGGGACGACGGGGACGCGCCAAAAGACCGGAAGGGGGGAGGTTGGAAGAAACATCGTGGATGCATCGCCGGTGTTGATGAGGATTGCCCGATCAGGAACAGCGTGCACGTGAGTTATGTTGTGCCTGAGGCATCAATATCATTGCCGACTTCCGAACTACATTTTTGCTTCACAATCCTACTTGAAAGTATCTTCTCGAGATCATTCCCGGAAAGTACCAATTCTTTTGCGCCTGACTAATTGTATTCATCAAGAGTTGAATCCATAAGATGTATACCATCTCTAGCCTCCCCCAATTTACTGCTAACCTGACCCAGATCCGTCACCTGAGGGTCGATCTAGAGAATGCCGTTATGATCAATGACGTCGCCAGGCTCGTTATAGTCACGGGAAAGCCATGCTCTAGGCGCACATGGCTGTCTTGTCCGATGGAAGCCATCCGGTAAAGCCTGGTTGCCTTGAGGTTTGCCTGATGATTAGCTCATACTCCACTCTAACAATAAACTTCCCCCCCATGCATGTTCGTGTCCTTGCGTCTTGCTTTCGTGGCCCTCATGTGCTCCGCGATGGGGCGGCGTACTTGGATAGAAATCCTGTCAGGCATGACCAGAAAAAAAAGCAGTGAAACATTTCTCGACCCGCAGGAGGTTTATAGCGCGGAGTCATTCGTCATCGGATGGGACAGGTCAGGTTACACAGATCCATACTGCGATGCGGAAAACCGAAGTTCACCACTGAGCATGATTTTGCAATCGACTGTTGGTGTACTTTGGGAGACCCTCGGCTGACTTGCTAGTACGCGTGTTGTCAAGAAATGGGGCTTCCCTAGCGAAGAGGAAAAATGAAAAAGAAAAAGGTAAAAGACATGAGTAAGACTATTGATCAAGATTTTACCTGTCTCTCCATTCTTTGGCGGGGGTGCTTGGAGGGAAACGGGGGCCGGTTTGGCGGGAAATAACTCATACTGTCCTCATGATCACCGACAAGACAGTAACAGAGGCCTGGTTGACTGGTCGGGCTTTTCTTCATGGCCCCGGCGTTGAGAAAAAAAATTAAACCCAACTGCTTGTCGTTCACCGCAGTAAGAATCTATGTGTCTTGGTTATAATTCAAATCTCAATCGGGAATGGTCATTCTAGTGGGTACGTAGACCTGGAAATCAAAGGATCAAGAAAGATCACAGGACACATCTCGGTTTCGTATTCAAATGCCCTTATTGTAAGCCGGACTGACATTTTCGAGAGAGAGCCGGTCGGAATTTTCTGTCGAAGCCGCGTCCAATGTGTTTTGGGCTCAGCCATGATTGCACGGGTTTAAATTAGGCATCCCAAGGCTGCTAAGCAGAAAGTAATAAGACTTTCCCCGTTATCCCCGGCCATAATTGCAATTATTTGGGAAATAGATCTTCGTAGTGTCATTTGTTTCACTTGCGTGGGTACGTGCAGCGGACGAGTAAAGACATTCCGGGGAACGGGCCCATCAGGGCCATTGGGCGTAAATTGATAGCCGGCGGCTGGCCCTCTCTTTTCACTCCTTGGCATCTTGTGAATACTGCTTTTCTTTTCTTTTCTTTTTCTATTTGCCTGTCCTTGAGGGCATTGAAAAAAAAGAAAATTCCAAGGCCGAGACCTAGAAGGAATACCATGTTGAATTGGATTGGATCCTTGGCGGTCGTGATTACAGACGAGGCGAGTATTCACGAGTAGGACAAGAGCCGTTGCATGCCGAGTGGATAATCACCTGAAACCGAGCCATGGAGACTAGCTTGCTGACCCATGCAGAAGCACAAGCCACCTAACTTCTGGCCAAGCTGACCGGGAATTGATGCCGACGAGCAAAACCAGTGGCTCCGTTTATTCGTCCAAGAAGCCGTCTCCTGTGGCCTAAAATAGATCGTGGCCATAGCTTCTCCCACATGGTTCTCGGCTTTGAGAGGGAAGGAGAGGAATACGAGCAAAGCGAGTATTTTAGTTTCGGCTGCATTGGCGTTGTGTAACACCCTTCCCTGAATTTGGCAGGTAACCCTGAGTCTGTGTCAAATGTGGACATTTCGGTGGGCTGGACTGCGCTCCGGATGGAAAGGGAAAAAGGATCAGTTTGCCCAAAAGCAATGACGAATGAGTGGAATGCACGCATCACTGCAAGGGCTCAGCGCATCGGAGATGTATCCCGCCTTCAACGTTAGGCTGTACCGTTCGGATGTACTCATCAGCAGCTGGCGTAACCTCGTTCCTCACAATTGACGTAAGATTGCGGATTCCAGGAGTTGTCTCACCTCTTTCCTGCGGTAAAATCGTGGGCAATGTCCGTTCATCATGCCCGATTTGGAGGCTAAGAAAGGGGGCGCGGATTGGGACAGGAGTTACGCCGGGAACGGCTAGAAAAAAATCAAGACGGTTTATTCTCCGGAATTCAATTAGTCTGTTTTGAGTTGATTCGAATCACACCCCTTCAAGAGAGATCGACACAGTGCCGTTCAATTACCGATGCGTATATGTACTCCCATCGGCTGTGCAGAGCACGATCGTGCCTGCGGATTTGTTCGCTATTCTCGTAGCATTGAATTGCTGTGACGATTGACATATCCCAGTGACGACAGCGGCTATTGCTGCCGGTTCTCCTTGGGATAACCCTCAAATCATCAATCGTTTAAACTCGAGGTCCATGCAGCTGCCATAATTCGGGTCGGTTCGAGACGTTGCGGTCTGAAGTCAAAGACCACGCGGGGCGGTATGCTTAGCATTCATAAATTATGAGGTGGGAAGGCTGACTGGCGAAGGGAGAAAAGAGGTGAGATCTATCAGAAAGCACTGACCCCAGCTCCTGCGGGAATGTAGATCGGAGTTCTTCGCTCGAAGGCCAATGAGTGAGACTTAGCAAGCGAGAAGCACTCCAAACAGAGGCAACCGTGGCGGAGTGAGCCGATAAGGTTGCTGGATGGGCGCCGCTTGGGCCAGGCGTGCCTTGCATGTCTAACAGTGGAGCCCATGCACCCCGTGTCAATAACTCAATAACGCTATGTAGCAAAATAATAATTAATTCCGTAGATGGTGACTGCTCCGGGAACTCCGGCATAGGGCATCATCGGCTCCTTTGGGGAAACACCTCTGATCTCCTCGCGGGGGAGTCACCGCAAAAGACATCATCGCCGAGAATGCCCTTGGAGACCGTGTCCGGATAGGGCTTGTTTCAAGCCCTCGATCATGAACCAACAGGGCTATTCCAGCTGCCAAGACGAAGGCTGCAGCACGCCCCCTTTTCGCGTCGGATTTGGCAACCTTTCGCCTGAAAACGCGACTAGAATATGCACCATTGCAGGCGGCACTCGAAATCCGACTCCGTGGTGACCCAACTTTGGAGCAAACTAGTAATGGACCTCGTCTCAATTCCCACGGGAAACACACTGAAAGCCAGGAATGATGCATGTTTGCGCACCTCCTAATTTCCACCGGTCGGCAGAGCTGGTTCCATTATTGAGGAAAAAATGAAATTGCTTTTTCCGGGGCTGATCGCAAGTTATCATTGCGCCGCATAATTAACTCCCTTTTGACTGGTAAATTCTTCCCCCTTCCCGAGAGTTAAAGCATCTTTCAGGGGGGTGAGGCTTAGCTTGAATGCCCTTTTTCAGCAATGTACTTGCTGATCGTGAGATTAAAGGGACATTTCTCAGCCCCGGATGTCTAAATCGACGTATTCTGTACATTCCTAGGGGCTGTGACAACGAGAAAATTATGTGAAGGGCAGTGTGTAATGATCGGTAAGTATCCTGACCGAACGATGGGGCAAACGACCGTACACCTTTCTTGTTTCTTCCTCTTCTTTTCCCCCTTCGTTGGGACTTTTGCTTTTGCGATCACTCAGGTTTATTCCATGTCAATCATCGAAGAACGAGAAAGAAAAAGGAAAAAAGAACGCATGGTGGGCGTGCTTCATGACGCGTGCCTTGTACCATATCGTAATTATATCTTGCATCTCGAATCTCGCATAAAGACGCGTTGTTAGTGGGCAAGGTATGGGGGTCATCCACGCATAATTGCGGACCGGACTCGGAAAACGGAACGTTAGCATAGCTGCAACTGTCGTAGATCTTCACTCGAAAGAGTAAATGAAGGGGCAAAAATAAATAAAATGTCAAGACACCGTAAAGCTGCAGGAGCACGGAGACGAGTGAATGAGGCTGTGCATGAACCACTTCGATGTGATCAACCACGTTTGCCCACCTGAGCTCAGTCTCAGCCGATCATCTAAACGGTTGTCTGCCTCGATCACTCCCTTCAATCCGAACTATGACATCGTACAACTGGGCGCACCATGATTGCCCAGGGAGAACTGGGGTCTAGACTCGTGATGAAGCTTTCGGTCTTGGGTGTAGAAATCTGACGTCGAGGTTTCAGCCTTAGCCCCTTCATGAACGGTTCGATCGCATGACGACTGTCGGGAGATGCTCCCTATCCGTACCCCATAGGGCCGCCCTAGACCCTAGATCACATTTTGTCAAAAAAGAAAAAAAAAAATGAAAAAAGGACGATGTTTTTTCTCGGCAAATGGTCCGAAGGACGCCATGCCTCTCGTTCATGCATTCCCCAGAATCCATTCCGTATCTGATGCTTTTGCACCTAGATCGCAGGCTTGCGGCCAGACTCGGCTCGCGTGATCATCGATGCCAATCCCTTCAGGAGCTCGGCTTAGGGTAACGAGCTCCGCATTTCTAGTCATGATAGGCCCTTAGCTGAGCCCAGTCTGAAAAGATTGACACATACCAAGGAGTCGTAGGGCAGAGTGACTGACCCTGAAATTGAAAGAAGTCACAGTTCACCCCAAGCGAAACATGTCAGGATTGTGCAACTAAGCAACCGGAAGGCAGCGTGCCCAAAGACCCATTCACTGAAGATCTCATCTCTTTGCGTCATCTTTTCATTTCCACCCTCGGGTGCTTTCCCTTTCGGTTTACTCCTCCTTGGAATCGACCTTTTTTTGGGAGTCGTATAGGTACTCATCTATTCTTGGACCACTTCGCCCGGGCTTACCTGTTTGTGGAGGCGAAGTTCACTCCTCAGGTATAAAGAGGTGTAGTCCACCAGCTCATCTCATCGACATTCACCATCAAACTCCTCCGACGCCCTCATACAGTCAAGCCCGAGTCTCACAACTATACCTCGAAAGTCCAACGTACAATCTGCCCCTGTCAAGTGTGTCTTTCTCATTCATCATCGGCAGTAATTACTGTTATCCGTCTTCTTCCTTGTTCGTGCCTGAGGACGATATTCGAAATAATACCACGTTTCGATCCCTTCGGCACCATAACATCCGTTTTCAAAATCTGACAACCATGTCTTCTGAGAACAAGCAGGACCAGAAGTAAGACTTTCTTTCGTTGCTAGTCGAACGGCAAGCATTATACTTACCATACCATAGAACTTCCAACGGTGCAGGCAGCAGCCTCAGCGCGGGAAACCTCCGTCATTTGCCGGATGAGAGCAAGAACGGCAATGTTGATCGATTCATCCAGGCTGCTGCTGCGGATGAGCCGTATTTCGCTCGCGCGCGCATGCCGAGTCGGTCTGAGCATATGTCACGACTCTCAAGTCAACTTGATGCGACAGATAAGATCATGAAAGGATAAAGACACAACATTCTATTCCGAAGCATGCCGGCAACAATGGAATCATCGCAGAATCAACAAATGGAGACATCTATGTACACCTGCATTAGAGGGGAAGCGTCGCCGAGCAAGAATTATGAGCTAGTCTCACAAGCGCAAGTTCAGGGGAAACCGGACGCAGGGCCCGGAAGCAAGCAAATTTGGCAGGCCAGATATTCCGAATTGAAATATAGACTCAATGCAATAACTCCCAAATACTCTGTGCTACCTCCTCATATTTCGTACTCGGGAACTCGTGGCCGGCGTTGAAGCACTGGAACTCCACATTTCCCTGTAGCGCCGAGGTAGCATCCGGTATGAGCTCGTCCTTAACGATGATAGAATCATGTTCTCCACACATGATCAGGACTTTGTTGGTCGAAAGACCGTTGCTGGACTGATCTTGGGGCGGAAGCTCTCTCTGGCTACTCAGATATCGGCCCAGGCGCTGCCACGATCCTATCTGGCGTTGCTGTAGGATGGGCCCGAAGCGCATGCTAGACATAAAAGCATGGACAAAGCCAGAATGCTGGTTCACTTGCCACTGTACGGCCGCAGGAACGTTCACGTGAGGGTAGGCTCTGGACAGCAACTGGACCTCCTCCCCACCTTGGGATGGAAGCTCCTCCGTGAGCGCATCAGCAGCTGTAAGCTTTTTGTCCTGTTTTGGTTTGGGCGTAACCAATGGTCCGGCACGAAGCCGGCGGCCGACAAGGAATCCCAAAACGCGCTCGGGGACAAGGCCGCGGGAATACAGAAGGCGCGACTGAAAGCTGATTTGAGAGTCGCGAAGCAGGCCGGAAGGAGCAAGCAGCACCAAAGACGACAGAAGCTGGGGGAAGAAAGATGCAAAAGCAGCCGCAATGCCTCCACCAAGGGAGTAGCCAGCGAGACAAAACTTGCCGGAGCCGGCTCCCGTCCAAGAAATTGGGGATGAACTGAGGGCCAAGAAAATTTGAGTCGCAAAAAGCCGGTCGTCTTGGGGAATATCAGACGGGCAATCGGAATAGCCTCTTCCAAACCTAATATTAAATAGTCAGTTATCACGGACAGCTTGGGATCGAATATCAAGAAAAGTCAATGCCTCGTACAAATCAAACAGCATCACTCGGCAGCCCCGGTCGACTAGAGCATGGGCCACCCCACCAAGAGCAATACAGGGCGTAGTGATTCCGTGGACAAACAAAACCTTCGGGCCATCAATGGGACCCCACTCGTACACTCGCACTGAGCCATAGGGCGTTGGCACATCTCGAGCTCCCGGGAGCACATCGGGGGGCAGGGGCAACTCCCGGTTCCTTTCAGGCGACTTCGACGCTAAGACCGACGCGCGAGGAGACGGCAGGACGGTGCTGCCGGGGTGGTCGTCCGACAGAAACGAGCGAAGCGCAAGGCCGAGCGTTAGCGATGCCCCTGTTGCAGCAACAAGAGGGAGCTGGGAGCGATGATTCGCCAAAGAATCGGAGAGAAAATCGACGGTTTGGCTGTACCAGGCCATTATGTTGGTTGTTGACACGTTGGCGGTCTATTGGTCTAGAAGTCTATAATCTACAAACGAAAGGAGAGCCAGAAAAGGAACGATGCAACGATGGAAAATATACACAATCAAAAATAGCACAAAAGAGAGCGACGTGAAGAATGAAGGTGATGGAGAAAGAGAGAAGAACGAATAACCGACGGATGGCGGATGATCGATAGGGAAAGTCACCTGCCGAGCTGCCGAGGTTGGCCTCAGGCAGGCCCCTCTCTCCTGTCATCTTCAAGTTTCCTGCGATCATCTCAACTGTCTCCGTGTCGCTTTATGCGTGCTGTTAGTATCCCAATGTTTAGGTTTCCAACTCCCTCATTGACATATATGTTTAAGGTCAATTCACTGCCATTTTCATTGAAATAGGATTCTATATATTTTAGCTCAATATGAACTATGGGACCACAGAACATGATCCTGTTCCGACCCCCAAAACTCGAGTGAACCATGAACCTTTTCAATGAACATAAAGCTGAATTAAGAACAACAAAGCAAAATGAAAAAAAAAAGAAAGGAACAAAGAGAGAATCCGTAACAGCAGCGCGAGTCGAGCCGCACAGGCGCTTCGGATCAGCGGATAAGAACCGAAACTGCTCGAGATGCAACTTCATACGGAGCATAACAGACTATTATCCAGAAACAAGGCAATAGATCAGTAAAGAAAGACTTGGCAGGATCCCATGCTTCATCCTTTCCCAAAGCGGCACTTTGCAGGCTGATTGTCTTCGTATCCGCCTGAGGCCTTTTTTTGGGACCGGATGACAGTATACTAACGATCGCACAGTGGAGGCAGTAAGCGGTCTCCTAAATTAATCCCACGGTGCAACCGTCTTGGAAGTGTCCATATCCTTGTTCTGAACAATGCGGAGGATTGCCCGTGTGCTTATTCATGGCCTAATTTCGGCTAAATCAAGTCGCAGTCTGTGCAGGCCCGATGAGATTCGGAAACGATCTGCAAGGTACAGCGCCACGCATCTGGACGTTTGGATTTGTCCCCAGTTGGAAAGAGGGTCAGGAATGTAGTGGCCTGCCTGTCATACGATTATGGTAGCTGTCATGCGTCCGAGGTGGAGAGCATTCACGGATGTAGACCGAGGGTTGAAGCCACAACCTGGGCGCGGTTTATCCGTCTGTTCATCCAAAGAGGTGGAATTCATCCAGTGATCTGACACTGCTGAACCGGCGACAATCAGAGCAGCAAGGTTGCATTCGAACGGCCAAAGCCGACTCGGCTCTTGGCCCATCTAGCATGAACGATCAGAAAATCAGTCATTCAGACATTAACTCCGACCAGGCCTAAATGAATGGCCCTTGGCGAAAGTTATGCAGTCCAAAATGGCCCCGGTGCCCTGGAGGAAGAATTACAGGCCACGAAATGCCGGCAGGATCAGGAAGGACAGTCATTGATGGATCTTCTCCCCGCAGTCCGGGGATCGGCAGGGCTAACGGGTCATCCTGGAGGTTTCCCAGTCCTTCATCTTAAGCGTCGACGCCTCTGATCCCGGCTTGCGCCCAATCAGCGCCACATTCTGCCACCCCGTCATTTCCTTAGCGCTTAGTTTCAACTTCATGTTGCCTGGGTTGTATCGTTTGAGCCGGACCGTGGCCGTTGCCTGGTCGAGTTACTCGTCTGCTCTCTAGCCTATACTCAATTCAAAGTCAATCCCATAGCGAAAAGGGCCCGGAAAATTTAGGCAAGCACGGAATAGATAGTAAGGGAGATTCTGGAGGCTGAATTTCAGTTGTGACTCTATCTGTTGCATCTCTTCGCCCGTGAGTTGAGAAGCCCAAAGCAGGCTAATAGGGAAGCGTCTAATAGACTGGTCCCTGGATCAATGCAGTTCATACAGGATATTGCCCTGCAAAGTCCGAATCTACCGAAACGAGCATGGAAGGTAGCTCCGTGCCCTGCTTTCTGGCAAGGGACCCTGTTGAAGAAATGGGTCTGTGGAGAAGGAAGTGCAAAACCATTCATAACTCGTTAGACCCTCAGTATATTTCCCTGGACAGAAACAGTCCGGAGTCTCCTCCGTTGCCGATGCTAAGAGCTCAAACACCAATCATGCGGGCAGAGAATGTCTCGATCGTTTATCACACCCTGGCAATCTAAATCGGGATCCATCTCTAACGTGTTCAACGGCCATAGTTCCGTATGGGGCCTTCTTTGACCTCCTAGTGTTGTAGCGCTTCGTCTATCTCTATGAAACACTCAGTTCGACGGCATGGCGGTCCGCGGCACCGGACAGAGCGATACGGTCAAGAATCTCCGTGATGAATTCGGAGCTGTTGAGAAATGCTCTATCCATCTACTCTGAGCGGTCCGGATAGACATATAAAGAGGCTCCTCCTTCTCGAGAATTGGACATCATCTCAGCAGGACAGACAGACAGCAAATACCAATTGACTTCGCTCTCTATCACACTCCGCAATGCAGCAACGCGCGCTTCTTTTCTCTGCCCTTTGGTCGGTCGCCCGCGCCCAACAGGCCGGAACGCTGACCGAAGAGAATCACCCTGCTTTGACCTGGCAGAAATGTACGTCTGGTGGTAGCTGCACGGAGCAGAAGGGCTCGGTTGTGATTGACTCCAACTGGCGCTGGCTTCACGACGTCGATGGCAGCGAGAACTGCTACACTGGCAACACCGTGAGTCTTCATTCCATCCAGAAGAAAAAAGCTAGGCTGATCAGGACGCCTTTCCACAGTGGAACGAGGAACTGTGCCCAAACAATGAGGCCTGCGCTACCAACTGCGCCCTGGATGGTGCTGATTACAGCAGCACCTACGGTGTGACCACTAGCGGCGATGAACTTACCCTCCAATTCGTCACTGGCGAGAACGTTGGCTCTCGTCTGTACCTCATGGACAGCAGCGATGAGAAGTACCAGGAGTTCGATCTCCTCGGCAACGAGTTCACCTTTGACGTGAACGTCGCCGAACTTCCCTGTGGATTGAACGGTGCCCTGTACTTCACCTCGATGGACCTCGACGGTGGTGTTGAGAGATACCCCGAGAACAAGGCCGGTGCCAAGTACGGAACTGGCTACTGTGACTCTCAATGCCCTCGGGACTTGAAGTTCATCAACGGCAAGGTATGTTTATCCTAGCATTCCCGAAGGTCCATAAAGAAATACTCATACTCCAAACAGGCCAACGTGGAAGGCTGGGAAGGCTCTGACAGCGACGACAATGCCGGTGTTGGTGGATACGGCTCGTGCTGCCCCGAGATGGACATCTGGGAGGCCAACAGCATCTCGAGTGCCTTTACTCCTCACCCCTGCGACAGCGTCAAGCAGACCATCTGCGAGGGCGACAAATGTGGTGGTACCTACTCCAGCGAACGTTACGCCGGTACCTGCGACCCCGACGGATGTGACTTCAACTCCTACCGGATGGGCAACAAGACCTTTTACGGCCCCGAAGGCACCGTCGACACCTCGGAGAAGATCACCGTCGTGACCCAGTTCATCACCGGCGACTCCGGCTCCCTGTCTGAGATCAAGCGATTCTACGTGCAGGGCGGCAAGGTGATCCCCAACTCCGAGTCTGACATCCCCAACGTCAGCGGCAACTCCATTACTTCGGAATTCTGTGATGCCCAGAAGGAGGCCTTCGGGGACGACACCATCTTCCAGGACCACAAGGGTCTCAGCGCCATGGGTGATGCGCTCGGCTCGATGGTTCTCATCATGAGTATCTGGGATGACCACTACGCCAGCATGAAGTGGCTTGACAGCACCTACCCCGACGGTGCCACCGAGTCCACCCCCGGCGCTGCTCGTGGTACCTGCGAGCCCGGCGTCGGAGACCCCGAGAAGGTTGAGTCCCAGCACGGCAGCGCCTCCGTCACCTTCTCCAACATCAAGTTCGGTCCCATCGGATCCACCTTTGATGCTCCTTCTTCTTAGATGAGAGATTCTGAGGGTTGCATAGGTCTTGCAGATGAAAAATTGATCCCCTTATCAAGACAATGTACATAAGTTGAAAAGCAAGGCACGACGGGGTCATACACGATGGTTCAAGAAAGGCGAGGCTAGCTCCTAACTTCTTCGGATCACGAGTCGGTTTGCTCTTGTCTTCCTTGATTATTTCCTTTCTCTTGACTCCTCTGGTAGTCAGTCGCCTTTCGTTCTTGGTCTTTTGTTTCTTTTCTTGTCTCTTTCTCTGTATTGAGTCGGTATAAATTGAGATGAAGTTGTCCAGTTTTAAAGTGATCAATCGTTTCAAGTGCTTCGTAATTTGACCATTGCATGCGATGACCCCTATTAATAGGCTAGTCCACAAAGGTGATATCAAACTGCAATGGTGCAAATCAAGAATAGGTTACTGAGTTTAGCATGAGTTTAGCAGCAGAAACGCAGAAGAAACGCAGCGTGGAGACTGGAGATCCACTGGCGCTAATCCACATCAGGACGGAGTGGATCAGGCACGTGTGGCCTTTCACAGTCATAACGGTAATTTACGAGAAGTCTCAGCCAATATCCCGGGTAAGGAGGTATCAGCAGGTACGAGCGGGTGTAAAGACGGCGCCCCGCTGTTAAAACGGCAGCTTCAATGAAAAAAAGAGCTTTTGATGGAAGGTGAAGAAGTCCTGCTTTTGAGACGCTTCGAAATAATCTCCTCCTCCTCCTCTTCTTCCTCCTCCCGCCCCACCCCTCGCCATGTTCGATACGGTCTGTACTCTACCCCTGTCGGCAGACCTGTTCTCCCAGGCTGTGCACCCCAATGAGCCCGTCGTCTCCGTGGGTCTCTCTTCCGGCCATGTGCAAACCTTCCGGCTGCCATCGGACGAAGGCGACAGCGACAGCGACGGAGCGTCGACGTCCTCGTCGCGCAATGGCCGCGGACACATTGATACGATGTGGAGGACGAGACGGCACAAGGGCAGCTGTCGGTGCCTGACGTTCGGAGTGGATGGACAAACGCTGTACTCTGCCGGCACGGACGGGTTGGTGAAAGCCGCGAACGCGGAGACCGGCATGGTGGAAAATAAGATTGCGATTCCTACCACGAAAGATGGGTGAGTCTGAATTTGGCAATCGAAGGGTTTAAGGAATGCGGTTGCGGTCAATGGATCGAACAAGTTTAGCGATTCCAGTGGCTGTGGTTAATTGTTTTTGTATTTCCTCATTTCTAACCATTCTGTTCAACCAGATCTGTCGATGCCCCCACGATTGTCCACGCTCTCTCCCCTCAGACCCTTCTGCTAGCCACGGACTCGAGCGCCCTGCATCTCTACGACCTGCGCATTCCGTACTCAAAAGTCTCCGCCCGGCCGGAGCAGAGCCACCACCCCCACGATGATTACATCTCCTCTCTCACGCCGCTCCCGGCATCCGACACCAGCACTTCAGGATACAGCAAACAATGGGTGTCGACGGGCGGCACCACGCTGGCGGTGACGGATCTCCGACGTGGCGTTATGGTGCGCAGCGAAGACCAGGAGGAGGAATTGACCAGCTCGGTGTACATGGGCGGTCTGCCTTCGTCGGGGACCAGCCGTGGCGAGAAAGTGATTGTGGGCGGCTCGAGTGGAGTGCTGACGCTCTGGGAAAAGGGCGCGTGGGACGATCAGGACGAACGGATCTACGTGCAGCGCGCCGCCGACGGAGGAGAGGCCTTGGAGACTCTCACTGTCATCCCCGAGGAACTGGGCAAGGGCAAGATGGTCGCCGTTGGTATGGGCAGTGGAAAGGTGAAATTTGTCAAGATCGGTGCCAACCGGGTGGTGTCGGAAGTGATGCACGACGAAACGGAGGGAGTGGTCGGTCTGGACTTCGATGTCGAAGGTCGCATGGTCAGCGGTGGAGGACAAATCGTCAAGGTGTGGCATGAGGCTGCCGGATCGGTGAACGGAGCCCTGCACGGCAAACACATGATGGCCGATAGTGATGACAGCGACGACGGCGACGATTCCGATGATAGCGATAACGAGAGCAAGACTGACCAGTCGCGCCGGAAGCAGCGCAAGAAGAACAAGGGCAAAGATCGCGGTGGCGCTCAGAACATCATGGCTTTCCATGACCTTGACTAAATCGATCGGTTTGGCAAGTCGAATATCATGTCCCAGGACAGAGAGGAGATCATGAAAAGAGCGTTAGAAAGCATATTGTGGGTATACCCATGAGGACGCAGTCCTGCTGTACAGCATTTCCAAAAGTCAATTGTTATGCATCATGTCCGCCTACATATTTAATGATAACGAATCTATAAGATTCAATGTTTCTCTGTTTTCAGATGTAAAGTACCGCTCTGGAGGATCTCTACGTAGTATATCCTACGCCACTGGATTCTCATCCTCTGTCGGACATGCAATGAAACTGGCCATATTCTACTATCTATATTCTGTCTAAAATGTAAGATCGACCCCGGAATCGAATGAAGCGTAACTGCCGAGTCCCGCGGAACAGACCCACGGTAGAATGATTTGCCCCAATGACTCGAGGCGTCCGACGGTGGGGTGTGGGGAGCTGCGAGGATTAATCATGATGATCAAGCTTGGACGGCTATGCGACGGTTCTCTTATAATTCGAGGTAACCAGCAGTGGTCTCCATCTTGTCATTCCGACAGATTGGAATCCTGCACAGCACCTCCTCAACACCATGGATGCCTTCGAATACAACGCCAACCCCGGCCGTGTCATCTTTGGCAGCGGCACTCTCCAGAAACTGCCCGATGAGATCGCACGACTGAACGTCCAGGCGCCGCTGGTACTCTCGACACCACAGCAGGTTGGACAGGCCGAGAGCGTCCAGGCCGTCCTGAAGGGCCAAGTAGCCGGCATCTTCAGCGAGGCGACCATGCACACGCCGACGCACATCACAGACAAAGCGCTGGAGTATGCCCAGGCCCAGGGCGCGGACGCGGTCATTTCCGTCGGCGGAGGCAGCACTATTGGCCTGGGAAAGGCCATCAGCATCCGCTCTGGGCTACCGCATATCTGCATCCCGACTACATATGCAGGAAGTGAAATGACGCCGATCTTGGGCGAAACGGCCGACGGGCTGAAGAAGACCCGCTCGGATCCTAAGATCCTGCCTGGCACGGTGATCTACGATGTCGATTTGACCATGACGCTGCCGACGGCGATGAGCGCGACGAGCGGTGTTAATGCCATTGCTCATGCCGGTGAGTGTGCTTCCTATTCCTGTCCTTCTGCCATGCCATCGCAACTCCAAGGCTGACTCCACTGACAGTCGAGGCACTGTACGCCCGCAACACAAACCCCGTCATCAACCTGATGGCCATCGAGGGCACTCGGTCCCTGGCATCTGCTTTGCCGGAGATCGTAGAGAACCCTGGATCGCAATCTGCCCGGTCCCTCGCACTGTACGGTGCTTGGCTCTGTGGAACCTGCCTCGGCAGCGTGGGGATGTCCATCCACCATAAACTATGCCATACCCTGGGAGGAAGCTTCAACTTGCCTCATGCAGAAACCCATACGGCTGTCCTCCCGCATGCCATATCCTACAATGCTCCTAAGATCCCGGAGGCCCTGAAGAAGCTGGCCGAGGCTCTTCCCGACAGCAACGGGGATGCCATTCACGGTCTCAACGTCCTCCTGACGAAACTGAAGGTCAAGAGGGGTCTTCACGACTTTGGAATGAAGGAAGAAGACGTCGATAAGGCAGCCGATATTGCTGTGGGCAATCCATACTGGAACCCGCGAGCGATTGAGCGCACTCCAATCCGGGAATTGATTCGGCGTGTTTGGGCGGGCGAACCGGCGCGAGCAGATCTGTGATAATCGCCAGTTAGTTTCGTTCCTGTACATAATTTCTGGGAGTAGATCTCAGCAATCTCCATCCCACAAGAATGCCACTATGTAAGATCATAAGATGGTGCCATCAATGAGGATCCGTAATTGGCGAACGCATCATTGGCTCTGCGGATGGCGGGGTGAAGGGCAAGTGGGGGTTTTCTTTTCTTTGCGGCCTCGCGATAAAAAAAAATATCCGCCACTTTCTCACCCCGCGCCATTTCGACAATCTCGCCCAATTCCCGTCGCATCCTCTCGTCAACATTTCCATACCTAGCGACTCACCCATCTTGTCGAAATGGGCACCGAAATGGAGGCAGCGCCCGTCCTGTCGACTCCGGACGATCGCATCCTAGAGTCCACCGACCCCGTCACTTCGCACGATACGACTCGGTCTTTGTCGGATGATGAGCTGTCGATTACCTATGATATCGATCGCACGCTGAAGGAAATTCGTCAGGCACGGTACAAACGCATCGCTCTTCAGTTCCCCGATGACATGCTTCCGGATGCTCCGCGAGTCTTCCAGCTGCTCAGTCGGGGATTGGACACGCGCGACGTCGATACAAACGAGGGTAATGGCTCGCAGGCGCAGGGCAATGGGACGGACACCAGCGCCGATGTGAACGGACTGTCCCAAGGAGTGTCTCAGCTCAACGTGGAGGCGAAGGAGCCGTCGCCCAAACTGTACATTTTGGCGGACACTTCCTACGGGACCTGCTGTGTCGACGAGGTGGCTGCCGAGCATGTCGATGCCGACGTGGTTGTGCATTACGGACGGTCTTGCTTGTCTCCCACCGCGAGACTGCCGGTGATTTATGTGTTTACGCACAAGCCTCTGCCGATGGAGCCGGTGGTGCGGGCGTTCAAGGAGACCTACCCCGATACAACCACGAAGGTCATCCTCGCAGCCGATGTCACCTATACGGACCATGTTCCCTCGCTGTATTCTCGTCTGGTAGAGGAGGGCTACACCAACTTGTTCGCCACGGAGCTGCTCCACAATCCGTCGTCCGCCATCCCCAACCGAACTGTACCTGATTCGGTGCGCGACTCGTCGGAGACCTTGTCGGACTGGCAGCTTTTCCACATCTCCGATCCTCCTACCGCACTCCTCTTGACCCTTGCATCCCGTGTCGCTTCCATCTATATCTATCCCACGAATGATCTGGCCAACGAACATGTCAAGCCTGTTCCCGCGTCGACTGCCGCGACGCTGCGGCGACGATATGCCATTCTCACCTCGCTCAGCACGGTGCCGATCTTCGGCATCTTGGTCAACACGCTTAGCGTGAAGAACTACCTGCACATCGTAGATCACGTGCGGGAGCGCATCGCGGCCGCCGGCAAGAAGAGCTACCTGTTCGTGGTGGGCAAGCTCAATGCCGCCAAGGTCGCTAATTTCAGCGAGATCGGTGGCTGGGTGGTGATCGGCTGCTGGGAGAGCTCTCTGGTCGACAGCAAAGATTTCTGGAAACCGGTGATCACTCCGTTTGAGTTGGAACTTACGCTCAAGGGGGATGCCGAGCGGGTCTGGACTGGAGCCTGGCAGAGCGACTTCCAAAGTGTGCTGGACCAACCGGACCACGCTGAGGATGCCAACGCCTCGACCGGCGACGCGAACGCGGACGACGAGGAGGATGAAATGTCGGAAGAGGAGTCCGCGCCGCCCGAGTTCGACCTACGCACTGGACGGTACGTCTCGCACTCGCGTCCCATGCGGAATCCTGCACCCCGCGTTACTGCCGACGACGCTGCCTCTGCGGCCGGCGGACCGTCTGCAGCGCGAGCACTGGCCCGGCGCGCAAAGGGGGATGTGGCCATGATCGGCGGCACCCTGTCGCCAGGGGCGGAATTCTTACGGTCGCAGCGGACGTGGAAGGGGCTGGGAAGCGATTTCGATATTCAGTACGAAGACGACGAGCCACGGGACAGTACGCTGGTGGTGGAAGGGCGCAAGGGCATCGCAAGGGGATACACGGAGGGCGGATCAATAGAGAAGCACTAGACTCGGGCCTAAGCGTGATTAGCAGGATTTAGCAGCGAGGAACACCCGCAGCAAAACGGGTCGACCGATGGGACCCGGACTATCTGGGCGTTATTGCGAGGACTAGGGACTCAAGGAGACTAGATCGAGAGATATCATACCCCGTTTGGATTGGCAAAGCATCGAGGCGAGGAGGACAGCGGAGCGCAGCGAATGGAAGCCCCGGTCGCAGGCGCCACCGCAGAGGCCATCACGAAGCAATAGATTAAAGAAGGGAAAATAATAATCCATCACAATAATAATGACCCCTCTCGAGCAAGGACCCAACCTGACCTCCTCTTTCGGGGCGACCTATCACATGATGCAACGGGCAGATCCCGGAATGAGTTGGATTTGGTCTGAGTTGTCCCAAGCCTCTTCTCCTCCCTCCCGGCGCCTAAATCCTGTCCCCTTCGATCTCCTGTCATTCCCGCCCTTGGATGGCCTCGCATGGCCTCTCTCTAGATTCGGTCCTCCGTCCTTGCGCATTGTCGCCCTTCCGCCCTCCTTATGATGTCCTGCGTCGACCGCATTCTCCGCTGCGTTCGCGAGCTCGCGTCACTGTGACCTCTCGCAGCCTGACTGCAATACACGAGGTGAAAGCAAAGAAATACTAGTCCACCGCATCCCGCCTGCGTCGTGCCATCTGTTCTCGACTGGCCCGCGACGGCGATGGAGAGATCGGATTTCGATGCCATGGACGATACCGGCCCCAGCCAGGTGCTGGTAGCATCGGCGCTGGAGCAGTCGGTCATCCCAGCCCAGCGATCGCTGTCGACCTTCGAGCGAGTCTTCACCACCCACGCCCCCATCCTTGAATCTCTGCTGCTTCAGATCCCGACCGATACCATCGTTAAGCTCTACCACTCTTCCGCCTACCTTCGATCCTTCCTCCGATCATACCCGACGGCATGGAAGCAGCTGTCGTTTCGCCTGTTCTATCCATCCAGCAACCCATCCCCGCTGCGGGTGGTGGTCCCGGGGAGCTCGGATGCGATCGTCTCTCGACAGTCCCGACCCTATGCGCTGGATCAGCTCCTGATGCACGTGGTCATCCCGTTTAGCCCGTGTCTGACGAGTCTGGAGTTGGATAATACGGCCGTATCCGGGCAGATTCTCATTTCGACGGTGCTACACTCGCGACGTGAGACTCTGGAGCATCTGTCTGTCCGTGGATGCAAGAATGTGTCTCTCAAATATCACATTATTCCCTATTTGATGATGTTTGGACTGCAATACGACGTGAGTATGGAGAAGAACATCGGCAGCTCGCCGTGTACAAAGCATCTCGCACTTAAAAGTCTGTATACATATCGGTGCCGTCATCATCGCCGACGGCCGTATCTATCGTCCTCCCTAACACGGAAGGACTCGGATTCGGAGCCAACGCACGAACTGGTCAATCTCTGTCACAAGTTAGGTATTTGGACCGATACGGCGTGGTGTTCTACCCCGGCTGGACGGTGCTTCAGACGACGGGGATATGTTTCCATGAGGGTCCCCCAGGGGTCCCCTGAGGTCTGGGTAGTTTTTGATCGGCTATGGAGGTCGAAGAACTGGATTGGCCCGGTTGATCAGGGATTCCGCCCGTCCAAGAAGGACGGCAAGCTGTGGGAGCACTGCGAGACCGGCTGCCACGGCGAGCCTCTTGGGACAGGGGAAGGAAGGGATTATGGCGAGGGCAAAAACCTGCCGGCACACCGGCGTTGGAGCCACAGGCGCTTCGTGGAGAACATTCGCTGTGACCACTGCTATGAGCCAATCTCGGAGCGATGTGAGCAATGCAGTATCCTCATGCACTGTGTCGGGTGCCGGAAAACCCTCTGTGCCAGCTGTGCATACGATCGGCCCTTTGTCCGGTGTCGTCCCCAGTCTTCTACCGCCGAGGAAAAGCCCGACTCCCTGTGGTGGGCGCCAGGTGCTGTGAACTCGCCGTGCCTCATGCAAGACCCTCCCAGCTACCTTGTGGGGACTAACGCTGTGAACCATCATACCGCCGTTCCCTACCCCAACCTGAACTTTCATTGGTGTTGTACGGAGCCCATTTTCTCTGGCGGGGGTGGTATCAGTATCGGAACTCCTAACCGGGACGTGAATCAGGTTCGTGCGGCGCCGCTTCCCCGGGGCCAGGGCTGGGAGGACCTAGAGTACTCGGCCAACGAGTGGAGCAAGAACTTTCCCAAATATGCCTATGGCGATCCCCAGAAGCCGGACTACACGCTGGAAGCAGGGCATCTTGCCATGATGAAATGGCTGCTCGGCCCTCCAGACCGAGACCCGACCGCTTGTCCGCGGAACCTGTGCCAGGAATGCTACGACACTCCGCAATGGAAGGTTCATTGCAAGAGCTGCTCGAAGCCGCTGTGCATTGAGCATGATCTCCGCGGCCTCCGCCTGCGAATCTGCGGGTATCGTGACCTAACCCTGGAGAAGATGTCTATCCAGAACCGAACTGGGTCGGTCTCTCAACTGGGCTCCCCATCCTACGTCTCGCCGCCTCTCCAGTTCGCAAGTCCGCCGCCTGAATTTGATCTGCCGTATCGTACTCAACGTGCCGTCGGCTCGGCAGCCAGTAGCTATATTGAGGATGTCCCCACCGATGGTATTGCCGACAGCCTTGACCCGATGGTGGTTTCTTCCAACCCCGACCCTGATCGGTATCGGAGTTTTTCCATTTCGAACTCCAACCGGTCGCGCTCTTCATCACCTGCGTCAGTCTACTGCGAGTCGCCGATAGAACCTACGAAGTGGCAAGGTTGTCAGTCCTTCTTTTGTCCTCAGTACCGCGCCGTCGGCGATCAGCGGCAACGGTGTGCCAGTGTCCTGCGGGAATGCACGAGCTGCTCAGTGCACGTCTGTGAGGAATGCATCGAAGCGAGCCCTCCCTGCAACTGCACTTTCTGCGAAGTCAACTATCTCTGCCCTAACTGCTTAAGGATCCGGGAGCGGGATGGGACCTGCCGTCGCGTGGATGAAGAAAGAGAACGACGGGAGCGGCAATGGAAGAAAGACATGCAGATGCTGGAGGGCATCGTCGAGACCAAGATTGCCAACGAGGTTGCGGAATTTGCAGGGCAGTTTTTTGACGCGGTTGAGCAGCCGGGCATTCAGGTGGAAGAAGTAGAGGATGTCTCCCAGAACGCCCACGCTTCTTCGGCCTATCAGTCCGGTGATCATAGGGACGCCTCTGGGACTGAGCTTTTCCTCGAGGACATATTCACAGATAGCACCGAGTAGGATCTCGGGTATTATTGCATTCAGTTTCGGTGTTTCGGTTTAGGAATTTTGAGCAATCGTTCGGGTCTAGTTGACGGCGTTATGGCGGGATTTTCTATTTTCTTTTCATTTTTGTTTTTGTTGAAACTCGATGAGCGACTCAGATTTTGTATGCAGAGTCTCGAATCTCACATACAGTCGACATGAATGCGCAGGAAGCATGCCACCGTCGAGTTCAGAGGAAGAATACATACGCATAACGCTCCACTGCACATGCACCAAGCATCTTGACATCTTGATAACACATCGTTCTGCCTGCTGGCATATGATAGAGCTCCGTTCATGTGTTTTGCCGTTTCGGTCCCATTTCAAGGCATTTATCTAGCGGTGATTCGAGCTTACCCTGGAGTCGAGATATTGTCGGATGTGTGATGGGTGAACCTAGAAAAGTAATTTGATCTGCACAAATGCATCTATCTATGTGATTAATGAATTTTCCGCTTATTAGTTTTGGATATTGGTAGTTTCTGGTTTCTACGAATAGGTGTTTCCGACTCAAGCCACAATAGAAGGGACTTGCATAGTAGCCGAGGATGTGGTTATCGGCCGGGTCTCGACTAGCAAATAGTCTCGCCCGACTGTTCTGACATCATAAATGTAGTTCTGGAGGTCTTTGCAGTATGGACACAGACGCATTGATCCAATGAGCGGCCTCAGTCTTTGAAATCATCTTACCCCGACTTACTCCGCAAGTAGATAGCCATTCCATACTACATAAATACCACCCCTCCAATCCACCCAACCATCTTCATATCCAGAACATTCATCTCAATCCACCCCCAGAAAGACAGAAAGAAGCAAAATGCCCCTCTACACAATCGAACATGCCATCCCCCTCGACAAGTCCCAGCGAGACGCCCTCGCCCAAACCCTCACGCACATCCACACCCGCAAGTTCACCACCCCCAGCCTTTTCGTGAACGTGCAGTTCGTCGACTCGACAAGGCAGTGTAACTACATTGCTGGAAAGGAGGTATGACACCTACCCTCTCTTCTCTTCCTTTTGCCCTGGCAGCTAGTAGCTAGTACTACTTACCCACCCCGAATTCCAAATCCAAGACCAAGGATCACTAACAAGAACCCCCCAGCGCCGCATCAACCGCATCCTCGCACACGTCCGCGCCGGCGGAACCAGAACAACGGCCGACTTCCAGGATCTCGCGCAGAAGATCGAAGACGCCTGGAACGGGATCGTGAACGGCGGCCAGCGAGGCAGTAAGGAGACGGAGCTGAATCGGGTGTTTGTGCTGGGCGCTATCACGGCGGGGTTGGAGAATGGGATTTTGTTGCCGACGGTTTGTTTGCCCCTCTTCTGTCCCTATCTTTCTCTCTGTTTTACTTGGGGGTAGACAGGGGATATGGTACTCGGGTTGGGGCTAATGTTTGAGGAATGTAGGCCGGTGGGGATACGACTTGGTTGAAGGATAATATGGCTACGTTTGAGGAGCGGGCGAGAGAGGGGGATGCGGATTTTGTGGAGTTGCTGGAGGAGATTAGGACGAGGGAGGATCTAGCTGTTTAAGGCATTGGCTGGGGGGTCTTCTGGGGGGATTGGAAATGGAGTCGAATCATCTGTTATTGCTATTGAAGTCTCCTTGGCTAGTGACGATGTTACGGATCCAACCCCATGAATTGGAATAGGAAGTAATCCGGGAATTCTATCGAGGAATTGCATAGTATATTTCAGGCTGTTTGTCTCCCAATCTGCCGCCAGTTCCAAGGCTCCTACCTGGAATCTGTCTATAAGGCGCAGTGACACTGCCGAGATACGATGATATCCGCGCGCCCTGTAAACGACACGTTCCGAAGCGCAGCTCTTAGTAGGTTAAAGCGGAACAAAGTTGGGCCTGAAAGTAGCCGATGATCCATAATCGGGATTTGAGGACGGGATAAAACACTCCGATCCTCTTTGTCATATCCTCTTGGTCAGTGACGGATCGATTTAGTACTAGTGACTGGCTACTGTCAGTCTATCCCCACTTGGAAGCCATTCTTTACGTGGAGCTGTAGGCTAACACCTCCACCATTCTGCTGATGATAACATGCCATGAATAAGTTGAAAGTCTCCGAATCAGTCTGCAACGGGGCAATTCATAACCCGTTCATTCCTATGTTGGACATCACCATCGTGGCGACTCCAAAAAAAGGATCCGAACAGAGAAATGAGATTAGTTATCATGTTTAGTCAACAGTCCACGCTGCATCGATATAAATTAAATAACATTGGACGCCCGTATGGATGTAGCACAAGTCTGTATCATCCCAATTCAACATGAGCGTGACATATGACGTTTTCCGTGGCTCTTCTGAGGGCAAGATTGTTGCCGACAAGGTGACCCGCACGCTGGAGCAAAACGAGGTCTACATCGAGACCACGGTATCAGGTCTGTGTGGAACAGACGAGCATTATTTGAAATCAGGCCAGGTTCTAGGACACGAAGGTGTTGGTATTGTCAAGGCCCTTGGTCCTGGCGTTGCCTCGGTCAAAGTCGGGGACCGAGTGGGATTTGGATACACTCATAGCATCTGTGCAGCTTGCAATAACTGTGCTACTGGTAAGATTCTTACCTTCGAGGATATACTGGTTTGGGTTTCTAACACTGTCTCAGGTTGGGACCAGTATTGCCAGGAGCGAAAGCAGTATGGGTTCACTGACTTCGATAATGGAACATTCAGCTCGGGCGCTGTGTGGGATGCCAACTGTGTCTTCCCTCTCCCAGCAGAGTTAGACTCGGTCGCTGCTGCACCCTTGATGTGCGCTGGCGCCACAGTATGGACTGTCTTGACCCGGTTTGGCATCGAAGCTGGAGACCGGGTCGGGATCATGGGTGTCGGAGGACTTGGGCATATCGCCATCAAGCTTGCCGCTGCACTGGGCTATCACGTAGTTGTTCTCTCAAGCTCCGAGTCCAAGAGACAAGAAGCCACGGAGTACGGTGCTTCTGAGTATCATGTGTTTCGCTCAGGAGAGAAGCCGAAGGACCTGAAGCCTCTCAAGCATTTGCTGCTTTGCGGAAGTGGTGGTTTGGATTACCAATCGTATGTGGCCTGCCAATTGACAAATGACCATAGCTAACCTGTATCAGTCTAATTCCACTCATGGATTCGCCCAGCTCCATTTATCCGCTGACTGCGACGTTCGAGCCGTCTGCGATTCCCACGCTGCAGTTGTGCTTCCAAGGTATTCGGGTTCAGGGCTCTTTGGTTGCCTCTCGCCACAGTACTCGAGCTCTGTTGGAATTTGCAGCGAAGAAGAAGATATTCCCTACAACCCAGACCTTTTCGTTGACTGGGGAGGGTATCGAGGAGGCAATGCAAGTGCTTAGAGAAGGCAAGATGCGATACCGCGGGGTGCTGATTCGGGGAGAATAGAGAGCTTCTAGCGTTTAAATGAATGTCTCCATCTCCAACATCTCCAAATACTTTAAATAGAATGAACGTAAGCATAACGCACGAATCCCAAGATGACATTGACAGGAGAGTGACGAAGCCCAAAGCAGTTTAGGCGGATGGAGCGAGCGGGTCCCGCGATGAAGTCACGTCGAAGATGCTCGAATCACTCCGGACTTTCCCATTTCTCGATCTCCACAGTCCACACCTTTTCTGAACTCCGTCGCAGTGCCTGACTGTTTGACTGTTGACAAAATCCACAAAGTAGGTCAACCCACCGTCGCTGCTCACCGCAACGGAACAATCGCTGACCCCACCATTGCCCCTCCACAGCTTCCAGAGCTACGACTGCGAACCTTTCCTCAACCTACACCCCCCAACCACCGCAATGTCTACCGACGTGGAACGCGATCCCACCGCGGGCGAGACCGCCGAGCGCGAGCGCGAGGAACGAGAGCGCAAGGCCAAGGAGGACGCCGAGCAGGCCCAGCTGCCGTACAAATGGACTCAGAGCATTCAGGACGTGGACGTGACGATCCCGATTCCCGGGAACATCAAGGGCAGGGATATGGATGTGGTTTTGACCAAGACGAAGATCAAAGTCGCCATCAAGGGACAGGAGCCGTTTATTGAGGTACCTCCTTCCTTTTTCTCCTACTCAGGACGATCTCCTTCATGGGAAGAGGAAGAATCGCAAGGCTAATACCACTCTAGGGCGATTTCCCCCACCCCGTTCTCGCGGATGAATGTTCGTGGACTCTGGAGACGACGTCGCAACCCCCCGGAAAGGAGGTGGCGATTCACCTGGACAAGGTCAACAAGGTAGAATGGTGGCCGCACGTGGTGACCTCGGCGCCGAAGATCGACGTCAGCAAGATCACCCCCGAATCGTCCAAGCTCAGCGATTTGGACGGCCAGACGAGGGCCATGGTCGAGAAGATGATGTACGATCAGCGACAGAAGGAAATGGGAGGTCCCAGCAGCGATGAGCAGCGCAAGATGGATATCTTGAAGAAGTTCCAGGCCGAACACCCTGGTAAGTCGATCGATCGTCGAGCCCTTGACTTTTCTAACAAGCGATGCAGAAATGGACTTTTCGAATGCCCAGATCGGTTGAAAGCCGCGTGTTGAGAACTTAACGAACGGTGTATGAAGTTATGAGCGTGTCTACTTTTCTACTTTGGGGAACGGAGTCCCGCGAGTGCATAGTATATGAGCTGCATTGATTAATATCCGGGTATGATGGCTTTGCCAGAACAATCAACCATATCATTAGGCATTTGTAGAAGAAGAAGTATAGTTCCTCAAATGCTATAAAATGGGCGAATACGAGAATTGCCGAGTCGGGACTAGTGCCAGCCTCGCCCCCAACGCCTTCGTCTCTGAACACCTCGCGGTCTGCCATTCCAATCTACTGTTCTTGTTTAGTGTGCTGCATAGTAGCAAGCGCTCCTTCTATTCACGCTTAATTTGATGGGCTGCTCCACACACATTGTCCGCTGGGCAAATGAGGATGCAGAACTGGGATAATTCGCCTGCCACGCTTGTCTTTGGGCAGCACATCCCCCGGACTGCAGTATCAAGGATCTCAGATCGGTGGTCCTAGATCGTGACGCAGCTAGCTGCTTAACTCAATCGTTTGATTTGATCCATAATGCCAACAACCTCGAACAGTACGCCCCCCAAAAGCGCACAGTCGCACAGCCCTTCCAAACCATATGGGACCCTGCAGGGACAGAAGAGTGTATTCCGGGTATCTTTGCGTCGGCCTCCCGGGGTGAAACCTTCTGGAAGGACCGAGAAGAGTGTCTATCATGCCCGGCGAGCCCATCGGAAGTCTCGTGGTGGTTGTGTCAAGTGCAAGGAGCGAAGACTCAAGGTAAACCAAGCCACTTAGATATCTATCCCAGATAGAGCAGTGTCTCATGTAGGAGTATCTGACCATGGTTAGTGTGATGAAACTAAACCACACTGTCTGCGATGCCAAAAACATGACCTAGACTGTTCTTATGAGTCGCAGACGAGCTCCAAGCCTGACAAAGACATTGGTGCGCTTGTGGCTGAGAAGGCGCCCAAATTGAGCTCGCCAGACTCGACCGCATATACAATGTCACTATCAGCAATTTCCAACAAGATCAACATGCTGCTACAGATCAACCCTAGAGATGGAAAGCTGTCTGACAGCCTTCGTGCCCTACACCATTTTCATGAATACACAATGCCCACCGTCAGCAACAATACCAATGAAGGTCTTCTCCGAAGTAAAATGATTCAGCTCGCATTCCATGTCAGCCGCACCCTTGACATATTACATCCCAAATCTCAAACACTGTCCTAACCATCACCCAGTCCCCGTTCCTCATGCACACCGTCATCGGCACCGCCGCAACCCACCTCTGCCACATTGTCCCGGACAACAGCTCCCACGCCGCCGTCGAGGCCTACCACTGGCAAAAGGCCATCAGCCAGTACTCGCAGGAAATCTCGCGCATCGGGCCTCACAACATGGACCCTCTCTTTTCCGCCTGTCTCCTTCTAACCGTACACACCTTCCGCCTCGAGACCTACAACCCCCGCAGCTCATTCGTCTTCTCCGACCACCCAGACTCCCTCAACTGGTTCATGCTCCAGCGAGGCCTCAGCCACCTCCTCGGCCTAACCAGGCCCTGGCTGCGCACAAGCATGTACTTCGACCTCTTCATGGCGTCCCGCAAAGAGAACCCCCTCTTCGACGACGAACGGCCTGGTCGCGAGGGTCTCGATCCCGCATTCGCTGACCTCTGCGGCATCGACGAGACCAGCACCAGAGCTACGAATCCCTATCTCTGGCCAGTGCGCATGCTCACCCCGCTGCTCTCCGCGGAGCGCTCCATCCGCAGCGTGAACATGTACATGAACTTCATGGGCCGACTGACCGGTCCGTTCTACGAGCGGTTGCTGGCGAAGGATCCCCCTGCGTTGCTCATCTTGGCCTGGTGGCTGGGTCTCGTGGACTCGGTGCATTTCTGGTGGATGGAGACGAGGATCAAGTCCGAGTGTGTGGCTATCTGCATGTATCTGGAGTACAGCGACGATCCGCGGGTTCTGGCGCTGTTGAAGTTTCCGGCGGAGGTGGGCGGGTATCTATTGCGACATGTGCAAGATCGAATGGCGCTGGTTGACCTGAACAGTCCTGAGCCATTTGGGGTCTATAGATAGTCACCAGACATGCTATGGACGGATAGAACTCTTCCTGTACAGAATGTATTGATTATTATTGATCCCGGACATACCCAGGACTTATTATAGTAGTATAAAGAACGAACAATCCCTAACGCCGAATCCCATGCTACATTAATCCACCATGACCCATCCCTCATAATCATTAGTATATCCAACCACATCGCACCCAAACAGCCAAAGATATGAGATACGAAAAGAAAAAGAAAGCAGGAGAGCTAATACCCCCTCCCCTCACACGACCTCCTCCTGTCCACCTGCTCCTCCACACTCCTCCTAGCCACCAAGCTCCTCACCAGCGTCTCCTGCCTCTGAAAGACCGGTCTCGGCTGCGCAATCTGCATAATCTGCGCCGGTCCACCCCCACCACTCCCAGTACCAGTACCTACAGCCCACCCCATCGACACCATTCCCGGCCCCGGCCCCGAGCCCGAAGAAACCGACTGCGAGCGACTCGGCACGGGGGATCCGTCTCGGGGCGAGTACGGCGGCGGGGGCGTGTCCCTCGTCGCGGTGGAGGTGTTCCCGTAGCTGCTGGTGAAGGAGATAGCGGAGGAGACGTCGGAGGAGAGATCCTCGGGGCGGTTGCCGGGGGCGGGGTGGTCGATGGAGTAGCGGTAGGGGGCTTTTTCGTCGGGGTAGCTGTGCTGGTGCTGGTCGGGTGCCGAGGTGGATGAGATCGGGGGATCGCGCATGTGTAGCTCTAGTGTCTTTTCGTGGATGCTGACGGGGCGGGGCGTGTAGGCTGGGAGGCCGGTGGGGGACGTGTAGCCTGTTTCTGTGTTGGGGGCATTGCTTGCTGTGGTGGTGGTGGAATGGGGACGAGGCTGGGGCGAGGCTGAGAGCGGGGGAGGGGATGGGCTGGATGGGATGCAGCAGAGCCAGCTGAATATGCCCATATTCTAGGGAGATTGGGTCGATTTGGTTTGAGATGGTGGGTTTGGTGAGTATGGCTGGCAGTGGGAGTATATAGAAAAGCTGTAAAGAAATGATGACCGATGCACGGTTGTGTATGTCTACTATGTAAGTAGTAGTAGGTAAGGCCAGGCGCTAATAGAATAAGAATGACGAGCCGGTCAGGTCATTCCGCAATGAACAAAGAGGCCAGATATCACACAACACACAGCCTATCACCAGCTGTGAGCGAGACTCGGGAGGAGGTGAGGAGAGTGAGGAAAGCCCGACGTGAGTCAGAAAGAGAAAAGAAGCAGAGACAAGGAATGGAAGTGAAGGACGGAATCCCGTGAGATTCGTATTCTGCTGCCTGAGGCCGCGAACAGATTGCAGATCCCTCAGGCATCCACATTCCGAGCCGGCGCTGATTGGTCCATCCCACATGCCAAATAGGGGCTCCGATCCAGGCCCGTTGGTGCCTGAGGCAGCCAGGGGCCCCGCCATTTCATGCTTTTTTTTTTTTTTTTTTTCTTTCTCCGCAAGGTTTGCCTCCAGGACCTCCTTTTGTCCCCCCTGAAGACTTTCTCTCTTTCTTTCTCTTTCCTTCGACCAGATAGAGAAATCACCATGTCGTCCTCAAATCCAATCTCGCCTCCCGACCCCCAGGATATCTTGAGCATTGCTCAGATCGTGCAACCGCCTCAAGTCCCCCCGCATCGTTCGCACGACCCCGCCAACAACCTCAAACGCACCGATCCCTTCCAGTTCGGCTCGCGCTACCTCGAACAGGGCGACAACGTATACGAGTTCAACGCCTGGGACCACGTCGAGCCGGATGATGATTTCAAGGCGTTCGCCGAAAACCAGTACGCCAAGCAGCGCGAATCGCCCGTCTCCGACTTCGACCGGGCTCGCTTCAACGCCGACCCCGCCAAGTGGTGGAATCTATTCTACAAGAACAACACGGCCAACTTCTTCAAGGACCGCAAATGGCTGCGTCAGGAGTTTCCCATTCTAGCCGACGTCACGACTGCGGGGGCAGGTCGCCAGGTCGTGCTGGAGGTGGGCGCTGGCGCTGGAAACACGGCGTTCCCGTTGCTGCTGAATAACGCCAACGAAGAGCTCATGATTCACGCGTGCGATTTCTCCAAGACAGCCGTCCAGGTGATGCGCGACAGCGAGCACTATAACACGAAGTTCATGACTGCCGACGTGTGGGACGTCTCGGCCGTGCCGGACGAGAACCAGAATGGCTTGCCGCCAGGTTTGACCGAGGGGTCGGTGGATGTGGTGATTCTGATCTTCATTTTCTCCGCCCTTGCTCCGAACCAGTGGGAACAAGCCATTCGCAATGTGCACCGTGTCTTGAAGCCCGGCGGTCGGGTTCTCTTCCGTGATTACGGACGTGGCGACCTGGCCCAGGTGCGGTTCAAGAAGGGTCGGTATATGGGAGAGAACTTCTACATCCGTGGCGACGGCACGCGTGTGTACTTCTTTGACAAGGAGCAACTGCGTCAGATGTGGGGTCAGTGGACTCCCGAGAAGGGTCTGCCGGAGAAGATAGACGAAGAGGCGGGTGCCACGGATTCCTCTGCGGAGCCAGGAGCGTTTGAAGTCCAGAAACTAGCCGTCGACAACCGGCTGATTGTCAACCGCCAACAGAAACTGAAAATGTATCGGGCCTGGATTCAGGGCCATTTCCTCAAGAAGGGAGATGCTGCTCCCGAAGGTGACGAGAAGAGCGAATCGTGATTTCCCTAGATTGTGCACAGCGTACATTCCACTGCAAGTCAGTCATGCTCTCAGAAGACTTCTCAGTCTCGGGTTCGAATTGGGACTGTCTCTCCAAGCCTGTTCGACAAATGTCACCACGCATTCAGCAGTCAACCCACGTGGGATTTGAGAACAGGCTTGGAGTAACGCCCGCAGGCACGGAGATTGAATCCACGCCAAATTTGCAATCCCACGAGATTATCCGGGTCAACCATTTGCCTGAGCACATAACACCATCCAAAACTGAGATGGTCATTTCACGATGTCACGACAGATAGAAATCAATCGAATGTATAGACAGGTCTCTAGAATATCTCCATTGATGCGAAGAACAGTTCGGCGGCTGCCGATGAATGACACTTTTGATGAAATCTGACAATGCTCTCTATTTACCGCAAACGTAATGCTTAGTGATAAAGTCCAGTCCGAGGACCAGAGGGAAGGGTCACCGTAGATACAAAGGCACCATGCTGAATCCCGAGAAGCACATGATCGCAAGGGGCACGGCTCCGAAGGGATAGCGAATCCAAAAGTATGTACAAGAAAAGTGAGGCCGGGACCCCGGAAGAAATATGCGGGAGGCCATGCCGACAACCTAGAGGAACCATGGATGGGAAATCGAGCTAGACATGGGACGGTGGAGACGGAAAATTCAATCCACCGGCACAAGGAGACTTGCCGAGATCTATCCAGCAAGGTTGGGGCATTCTCCCTTGGCGCGCTGGAAGGCATTGGCGAACAGATCCTGCATGGCGCAGTAGTGGAACAGAATCCCGCCCAAGACGGCCAAATGCCAAATGTTGTGGCTGCCTCCGACGTAGTCGAAGAGTCCGGGACTCCACCGCTCAGGCACCTGGGAAGCGTAGACACATGCTCCAACAAAATATACCATGATACTCTTCACGACCGGCGCGTAAAAGTACAGGCACCATGAAAATCCCCGCGTGTAGGTCAGCTGGGCCAACGGTGCAAACCCGGTCAGGGCCAGTGTGACGTAGAAGGCAACTCGAGCCCAGGCGAGATCCGCCCGGTTGAACGTCGGGTGCCAGGGAAGAATGACTCCGCCGACTCCCAGCGACATGGTGGTGAGTATATAAGTCCAACGCGACACGGGCTCGCAGTAGAACGCCGTATACTCGGTGGTCACGATGGAGGCCGCCACGAGCATCGAAATGCCGGTGTAGTCCACGCAGGCAAACCGCTCCATCAGACCTTGGTTGGCAATGCTGCTCATCGTGTGCCAGAGGGTGCTGCAGACCAGGCACTTGCACGCCGCGAAGAAAAAGACGGCCGCGATCAACACGTCCGTGTTGGTGCTGAGGTGGAAGTTGGGATTCAGAGGGTAGAAGTAGAAGGCGACCGAGAGAACGATAAACAAGCCGATCAGGTGCGACCAAATGTTGAACATCTCGTTGGAGTAGGTGAACATGGAAGTGAAGCATTCCACCTTGGACGAGGTAAACCGATAGCCCTGCAGGATGTGCGGGTTGACTCGCCACGGGTGCGGGAGATCCGCATAAGTGATCAGCCGCTGCTCTTTGGCCAACATGATGGCTTGGTCAATGTTTTCGCGCAGGGCCTCCTTCGCTTTGCGAGCACGCTCCATGCCCTCATCGACCACCTCACGGGCATGCACCAGCTTCGAATCAACCGCCTTCCACCCGTCGTCCAGGGCGCCGTAGATGCCTCGGTCCCGCACGGCATGGGCCCGGGACTCCAGTTCGGTCAAAAAGGACTCCATCAGACGGATTCCAGCCTGAGCCTTCTGCTCCAGGGTCTCCTTGGTTGCCAGAGCATCGTTATAGCGGTCTTCGAGGGTCTCCACCAAAATCTTGGCTCTCTTCTTGCCACTGCCCATGAGTTCCCCTGAGGCATGGGAGCATGAGTCTCGGACGGCCTCGAGCGTTGCATATCCGCGCCGTAGACTGGAGTCGACCTGGACCATGTGCGAGCGACGATATTCTTCGATCCAGTGCATGCGTCGTTCCAGCTCCGCCAGGAAGAGTTCGACCTATAGACGAACGGGTCAGGGGAAATGTTCGGCAGCGGGAGGGACAAGACGGGGAGGCGTGTGCCACCCGACCGGACTACTTACTCTCAGGAACACAGCGTCAGCATCGTAGTCGCACGAAAGCTTCCTCGCCGTATGAAAGGAGTGTCTTCGGCGTCGGTCCCGCAGAAGCTCGGTTTCTTCGGAGGGAGTGGCGTAGGAACTCGACGAGGCTTCGGGGTACGACTCGATGGTCATGGATTGCGCCGAACAGGCCATGATGATACCGTCCAACAGATTCCCACCGGTCAGAGAGTCGAGAGACTAAATGTACATGTCACGACCGCGAGGGAGAAGGAGTGTATTGTTGGGCTGAGAAGTTGAGAAGTCCGACGGTGGTTGGGGCCCGAAGGTCGGAGGGTGTCGGAGAGAAGAAAGAAAAGGGAAAGCCAAGAACGCAAAGAATAACAGACTCGAAGCAATCGAATGCAAGGGAGAGAAAAGAGACTGAACTGGAAAAAGGAGGGGAGAGACTTAAAAATGGAGCCGAACGAAGAACCGGAGAGGAGAGGAGAAGAAGAGAGCGAGCGAGTCAGGTGGGGGGGCGTCAATTAACTTCAATCCATTTAATTAATTTCTCGCCGAGACGCCGCCCTCTTTCTCTCCTTCCAAATCTCCTCCAATGATTAAACGCCCTCATTCCACTTGCTCGCGACCAGACCAGCCGCTACCTGCCCTACGTCGTTGACTCCGTCCCTGCGCCTGTCGGACTTTATCCACAGGAAAAGACTTTCGACTCTCCGGATCAGCGGCGCTCTTCGGCCCATCAGCGACCGCATTCCATCCACGTTCATCGCCATCTCAACTCTTCGAGCCTACCGCTATGGCCGTCCGTGACCTGGTCGCCGAACCCTCGCTGCTGCCTGTGCTGTCCACCAATGCCGAGACGCGCGATCAGTGCCAGCGATTGCTTGCTGCCTTGGATCCGACCGCTGATTCCGACCCGCAAGAAGCTGCCTTGGCCGCATCGAAGGAACAGAAGCGGTTATTTGCTCTGCTGGCTCGCCTGCGTGGTCAAAATCGCGAGGCCATTCTCCGTGTGCGTGAGACGAAACAATCCACCGCGGAAGGTCGCCAGGAGATCGATCGGTTACATCTTCAGCTGCAGAACCTGTACTATGAGCAGCGACATTTGACGGGCGAAATCGCCGCCTGCGAGTCTTATGAGTAGGTAGTCTTCTGACTGTCGCGTCCTGTCATCGCTAATCAGATCTCTTTCTTCTCAGCCACAAGTATCTTGCTCTCCCTTTGATCCCCGTCGAGGAGTTTCTAGCTCTGTTCCCCGAACACAACGACTCCGACGCCCACGAACTGATGGTCGCTCGAATCAATCATGAACACGCCGAGCGTGAGAAACTTGAACAGGCCCGACAGGAACTCCTCAAGCGCAAGCAGGCCCTGATCGCCGAGAATAACAAGCGAAAGGATGATTTGGCCAGCTTGGACCAGGATCTGGAACGGTTTATCGATGTATGCCCCCTGCATTTCCCCCTTCTTCGGTATCAATCGATGACTAACGGACCTACCAGGCCGCCAAACCTATCCAGAAACTATTCGAGAAGGAGTATTAGACAACATGGGGAGGTGTTTGGGGTTTGTCCTTTTGTGTTTTATACTGTAGACCAAGATACCCGGATTGTTTGGTTTCTTTTTTGCATGAGAATGATAATTTGCGCCCGTATGAACCAAATATTGATAATTTTAATTGCTCTCCCATGCGTATGATAGTATGTCTTTTAGTTGGCTGTAATGCGATGATGATGGATGGCGGTGGTTGCGGTGACTTCGGCATTTCCGCCCGTCGACTACTTGTCCAACTCCGTCTTTCCTCCACTCCCCTCCTCTCCAACTGACTCCCTCCTGCACCACTGCAGGCAACCGGATCGCCTATAAAATTCCAGCAAAGCATGTCCTGACCATGACGGCCAAGAATGAAGACCGGGGGTCTTCGACGCTGACTCCCTCCAAAGACGACTCCATGGCCACTCCGTCCGCCCCGCGAGCTCCTCCCCCGGAGAAGCCAGAAGCCATCCAGACGCGATTCAAAGTGATCGCTGCCTTCTGGGCCGTCATTATTTTCCTGGGGTTTCCGATATGGTGGAAAACGACTTCCATCTACCGGGCTCGGCTGCCCATCGAGGACATGGTGGATTGGGCCGATGGAAAGGTAACGAGCGACGGACACTTGTCGGACGACCCTTGCTGATCAGTCAATTGATAGATCTGTCGTCCAGTATTTCCACTCGATATCCGGTTCGATGCCCCATCTCTGCCAGAACCCGACGCGCAGCATCTTCTCCGATCGACGCAACACACCCTAGATGACCTGAACGAGTTCTCCGCGCATCACCTCCGACTCAAACTATCCGACGATAGAGAGGAGAATGGGAAGGCCGACACCGCGTTGACAGTTCGCCTACTCGCGCGCGATGACTTGACAGCGCCCCAGTCGGAGCTTCATGCCGATACAACCCAGCTAGATGTTTATTATCCGCCCAGCCAGGTGCCCCCTCCGTCATCCTCCAGCCCGCCATTGTCGACGTATATCGCAGGAACACTCCAGAATCTGTTCACGGAAGAGAAAGCCATTGTGGCGCATGTGTTGTCCGACAACAATGTCGTGAGCGCAAACACCAACACTCCCGCCTCATCGAACAACCAGCAACCCTCTGCGCTCCTCAATTCCATCTCTCCACAGCTGGCAGAGAGCATCAGCCGGCGGTTGCGCCGCTCTATGAAACACGCTGACACCTATCACTTGGCCTTCTCGCTATTTACGCCGGGCTCGCAACCCTCGTCCTGGGATATCCAGGCTGCCGTGGAGGAGTACATCTCACCTCTCCTGCACGCCTACTCGCCTATCAGTAACTTCACCGTCGACACTCAGGTCCAGCTCTACGCGGGCTTCTCGCCAACGGCACCCCTCCCGGAATACGACGAGTCGCAGGGGGCTTGGACCCTCAAGACGGAAGATCTCAGCGCTTTCATCAATGCAGCGGAATGGCCTTTGAGTCCTAGTATTGGCAGCGGTCCCACGATCAACTTCATTCTTTACGTGCCAGACCCCTCTCAGTCCCCGATGGTCGTGAAAGAGAGCAGCGCAACCAGCTGGATCATCCCTCAATGGGGCGGGGTGTTTCTCCTTAACCCTCCCTTGTCCAAGACCTCTGAGAATCCCAGAAATCCCTCGTCTCTCCCCCAGGAGTCTCTACGCCCGGCTTTCTTGACTTTCTCTCACCAGCTGCTGACCCTGTTGGGCGCCCCAACCACGCCATCCTCTCTCCCCTTCCGTCTACAGACCCTTATCCGCATCCGCGCCGCAACCCTTCTTTTCTCCGCTTCGTCTACGATGGGCTCTTTGGCCCGTCTTACCGAGTCCTTGCCCTCCATCCCTATTCCCGCCTCGGTTGCGACCTCCGTGTCTACGACCCTCACCCATCTTACTTCCGCATGCACTCATCTACAAGAAGGCCGCTTTCACGCCGCATTAAGCAACGCGCGCGTCGCCGAGTCGGAGGCCGAGCGCAGCTTCTTCGAGAAAAGCATGGTCGGTCAGGTTTATTTCCCCGACGAACACAAGGTGGCCGTCTATTTGCCCTTGCTGGGGCCTATTGGAGTGCCACTGGTTGTTGGATTGCTTAAGGAAGTCAAGCGAGCACTGGCCAGTTGGAAGGCCAAGAGAGCACGTCAGTGAGGTTACCAGTTTATATCTATCTTCGTACTGTAATATAGTATGCTTGGTATTCAATGTGATTTCTTTTTTATTCCTACTGAGATGCCTTCTTTATGAAACTATTAAATGCTGACTTTGAAAAGAGCTCGATTATCCCGCGGCTCGACATAATTAATCCACGACTCATGCACATTATATTGGGATGGTATCTCCAGGGAATCTATATAAATATACAGAAAACGCAACCGCAATGTTTCCAATCTCAGAGAACACGCATATGCAAACAAACCGAAGCCAAAGAGAATTCATAATGAAGAGAATCACGACCTGCGCGGGATCCGTATCTTGTCCGGGCTACCCTGAGGAGTCTCGTTCACCCGGTACGACGGATCGCCCTTATTATCCTTGAATCCCACCCGATCAATCATGTCCGTGAACGTGGTATCCGGGCGAAAACTCGGATACGGGTCCGGCTTCAGCACGCCCGTGTTCGCAAACACCCCGGGAGGCGTATACACCCGGATACTCTCCGTGCTGGGCTGACGCGGCGGCCGGGTCTGTCGCGGCGGGGTGACCGGCAGAGGAGGCGCTGCGGGCATGGGCGGGATCGCAGGCACTTGAGGCACGTTCTCTGACGGCGGCTGCACGGTGATCTTGGGGGTTGAGCCGAAGAGACTCCTGACGCGGGTGCCGGTGCGCTGGAGCACGGATCGAGCGCCCTCGGAGTTCCGTTTCGAGGATCGAGAGCGCCGCAGGAGGAAGTCGGTGCGGTAGGAGGTGTCTTCGGTTGGGATGGGGCTCGAGATTCCGATCAGAGTGCCGTTGGAGGAGCGTTGCGTGTGCTGCGCGACCTTTTCCGACACCGGCAGCTGTCGGTGCTGCCAGCGTCGGAAGAAGACCATCCCTAGGGCGGCGAGCACGGCGCCAAAGATTGCGCCGGGGAAGAAGCCCGCGAGCACGGCTTTGCTGGGGTATGAAGGGCATTTGGCAGCCAGGGCGGCGGCGGTGGAGTTGCCGTCGGAGGAGAGGGAGGCGGAAACCTTGGGGTTTGTAGGCGATACGACCGTGGGGACGGCGTGGTCTGTTGTCGAGGAGGGGTCTGATTTTGTTGCGGTGGTCTTCTCGGACGGAGCAGATGTTGTCGTGTGCGTCGAGCTTGGTTTTGTGGTGGTCGAGGAAGATGTGTCGTCGTCCATCTCGCACATCTCGTTTCCCTTGCACTTGTATCCAAAGGGACAGCACGAGTCTCCGCACTTGGGCAGGGAATCGTCCAGCCGGGTAGTTTTGATGGCGTTCGTCTCGTGCAGGGTTGCGTTCTGCAATTGCACGTCGCAGGTGATGGGCTGGATATACGAACAACTCTGTCCCTTGGGACAGCATATGGCCGACGTTCCACCGTCCAAGGCAACGCACGTTGACGACGACGGGCAGCAGAAGGAGTCCGGGAGGCCTGCGTTCTCGCATCGCGAATAGGTCTTGGGACAGCTATCCGCACGTTCTAGGAGAGCATTAAGCGCACAAGTCGGCGTGATCGAAGTAGCGACTAGAGCGAGAAGAAGGAGTGTAGAGGGCGCTCGAGCCGTGAATTCGAATCCGGTCGTTTTGGCCATGATGCAGCTGGTTGCTCTCGAGAGCTCGCAGTCGCCAAGTGGCAGTCGCTAGGACGAACCCTTGATTATAAGCTGATGAAAGGATCTGGCAATGGCACACGCAATACAAAGAGCGAAGCGATCGGGTGAAAACAAGGTCTCAATACTCAATGACAATAGAGACCAAAGGAATGGACAATGAAGCCGACAAAGAGTCAGTATCGCGTGAGCAAGAGAAAGAGTGAAAGAATGAAAGAAAGAAAGAAAAGAACAAGAACTTGTCAATTCCCACCTCATCTCATGGAGGATCCTCCGTCTAGTCCTCTCTCTCATTCTAACCGCCAACATGATGCCCAAAATAACCTGCAGCTGGAAGCGCCGAGGTCTCTAGCAAATCGCCTACTGAGCACGATCGACGTAAGCGCCGGAGCTCGGGCGATCGATCCACACGATCCACGCTGCGAATGTTTATTTGTCTGTGGCAGGGGGGTCGTGAATGAATCATCTGTAGTCTGTTTCGTCTTCAGGACATGAAATGAAAGGATAGCCAGTGGGTTGGGGAGTCAGAGACGCCCGTTGTGAGTCGGCTGTGTTGCGGTCTCGGGACGCTGGCGTCAAAGAGACACTGATTGATGGTGGTATTTGACCCTGGACTTTGAAATGGTGGCATGGCTCAGGATAAAGTGGCTGGGGCTTTCTTATCATGAGCCCCGTTGTGTGTAAGTTGTTTGTTGTTTGCTTCTTCGGATGATGCTAGACAGTGTCTAACCTGGTTAAAGTGCTGAACAACAACAAATCATGTAACGGTTTTCTTTGCCATTCCTTTCGACTAATCAAGAAAGAAGAGTTCTTGTGTCACGAGCGAGGAGTTCGTCTTGAAGATGCTTTGTCCATGTTTTGACTCCATTGCATCCCTGCAACTGGCCCACGAGCCTTCATTATATACTTCGGTAACGAGTAGTTCTACTTACTAGCAGATGATGATGACGCATCTTGTACAACATTATTTAAGGCTTATATCCTAGATCCAATAAAGTCGTTTGTCATTGATTAAAGTTACTTGTGTGAAAGGAAAGGAAGAGGGAAGAGACGAAGAACCCCCTTGTGTTACAAGACAGACCCTTAACCATGGATATGCGCAAGCCCTAGCAGGGAATCCACATCGCCTTTACTTTCACACTCTCTTTCTCCTTCTCCTTTTCTTCTACCTTTCCATGGCTCTGAGAGTCATTTTCACTTGAGATGTATGACATCACTTATGCCTTGGTTAATATCCAACAGGACAGGAACCATGGCTCTACCACCTCGATCACAAGACAAACAAGGAAAGTGGCCTCACGACATGGATAAATGTTACAAATTGGAAATCATTTTATTACAGCCTCTAATCAGTCTCTATCAAAATGCCTAACAGAAGAATCGAAGCTGCCGTCCAAGGAAAGCTCCTGCCCACCATCATCGAGGAGCTGGCTTCTGATGAACCCGACAGCTTATGGGCCGAGTACCCCTCGTCGCCGTCGACCTACGACGCAGGATTCAGCGGCATCACGTATTCCCAATTTGCACGTGCAGTGGACCAGATCGCCTTCTGGCTTGAAGATGCGCTCGACCGGAAGGATACCGGTGAAGCGTTGGCGTTGCTGGCGCCAAATGACCCTCGCTGCACCATTACGATAATTGCCGCAATGAAGGCGGGCTTTAAGGTATGATACATACTGACTGAGAGTTCACGAGTCAATGTCTGATGGGGTTTGTAGCTGTTTCTGATTTCAGAAAGGAACAGCGTCGCTGCAAATTATAAGCTGTTTGACGATGTCGGCTGCTCAGCTTTGGTGACGACTAATCGCTTCTTTCGGCCTGCGTGGGATACTTTGTCGGATAGAGAAATGCCCCTGATTGAGCTGCCTTCCTTGGATGATCTGATATCCAGGCCCTGTGCTGTATATCCCTATAATAGATCCTTGGATGGCATGTATCAGGAGGCTGCCGTCATGTGTCACACCTCAGGATCTACAGGTAGGCTGAACCACAAGTACGCATCCACCTTGTTCACTCAGCCTAGGATTTCCCAAGCCAATTTCGGTACCGCATGGCTTCTTCATGAAAACGGCGCGGGCTATAGGGCTGTCACCACCCGAAGGGTTTGATATGCAGAATTCACTGATTGGCAGCAATCGATGCGTGTCACTCCTGCCCCTGAGTCAGGTATGAGGACGGGTCTTCTCTCTATCCAGCCTTCCACCGTATATCTGCACCCGAGCATCGCTGCCCTTGCGGTTGCCGTGGATAAGTTGATGAGAGACGAAGAGGCAGCGGCTGAGCAGAGCAGGAAGACACGACTGGACAACAGAAGTGAAGTGCTACAAAGACACACGGCGACGATCAATGCACTCGGCACCGATACTGTTCAGCAGAGGAGCGATTTCCATCGTGATCAAGATGATGCTGCACCCCAGGTGGTCATCCTAACCAGTTCAACCGGCACCATCGGCTCTTACATCCTCAACGCTCTTCTCCATCGTCCTGAGGTGGCCCATATCTTCTGCCTCAACCGAGCCCCCGACTCTGCCTCGGTGCAGAGAGAACGCAACTCCTGCGCTGATCCTAACTTGTCTGTTCAATTTCCCGCCCAAAAAGTCTCCTTCCTCACAGCCGATCTCGCAGAACCCAACACATTCGCTCTACCCCAGTCCACCTACGACACCCTCCTCACCACCGCCTCCATCGTCATCCACAACGCCTGGACCGTTGACTTCAATCTGCCCCTCTCATCCTTCGACTCCCACCTTTCCAGCGTCATCAACCTATCCGTCTTCTGCGCCCAATCCACCCGCCACACCTCTCTGACATTCCTGTCCTCCATCATCGCCGTCATGAACCTCCCCAATTCCCCCACCATCCCAGAATCCACCCTCCCACACATCCAATCCCTCGCGCCAACCGGCTACTCAGAGAGCAAGTACATCGCAGAGCGACTCATCTCCCATTCCGCCTCAACCTTCAGCCTCAACGCCACAATCCTCCGTCTCGGACAGATTGCCGGGCCCGCACACAGTCCCTCTGGACGCTGGAATCCGCACGACTGGGTCCCCGCCCTAGTGCGGAGCTCGCGCTATCTTAACGCTCTGCCGGACTCGCTGGACGGGGTCAGTGATGGCGACGGCGGTTTTATAGACTGACTACTTGTTGATCGGGCCGCGGACGTGATTGTTGAGATTGCGTCGCGTTCGACTTCGAGGACGGGCATATGCGATACCATAGCCCAGGACCCGGTCCCGGTCCCTGCGCTGCATCTTTTGAATCCTCATCGGACGACGTGGAGGGCTCTAGTACCGTCTGTGTTGGCTGCGTTTGAGGATTCTGGTTCGTCGGGGGAGGGCACTGCGCCGGTTGAGCTCGTTTCTCCTGGTGTTTGGTTGGGTAGGTTGAGGGGTAGTGCGGGGTTGGAGATGGATGGGAAGGGGTCTTCCTTTTCTGGTTCTTCTTCTGTGGATGTGGATGTGATGGGAGCTGTGAATCCTGCGCTGCGGTTGTTTGGGTTCTTTGAGATGTGGCTTGGGATGGAGGGGAAAGGTGGAGAGGGAGATGAGGGAGTCGTTCGGAGGTTGAGGTGGGAGACGGAGAAGGCGGAGAAGGCGAGTGAATGCTTAAGAGAGGCGGAGGAGATAAATGGGGAGATGATGGGGCGGTGGACGAGGCAGTGGATGGGATGTCTGTAGTTGTAGTGTTGAAGCGTGCTTCTTAAAAGGAGCTTGGAGGTTCGGGAGAGAACACTAGGTAAGTTGCACAGTTGGATGTCAATATCCCGAGGTTTATATGGCCTGTATATATAGAGTTCAACATATCCAGCCCTCAATAGAATACACATAAAAACAATAGATGTAGCAGGATTAAGAAATCTCCGCCTTCATGGCCACGACCCCATCCGGCCGCAGAATCTGTACTCTGGCAACCCCATCCCCGGCCTCCTCATCCAAGACAACCCGGTACTCCTCCTCCGCATAGAGCGGGCTCGTCGCGCGGTACGAGATCTTCTCCGGAAGAACCAGACCGTCCCCAGCGGATGCAGACCGGGTATCTCTCCACAGATCCAAGATGGAGATCAGATTCAACGGCCCGTGCACCACGATGTCCTTGTGGCCTTCTACGTCCTTGGCCCACGGCGCCGAGTAGTGGATCTTATGCGGGTTGAACGTCAGGGCAGAGAAGCGGAACAGCGTGACGGCTGTTTGTCTCAGGGTGCGCGTGTGCGTGTTCCCCGAGGTAGAAGTAGCCGAGGAGGCCGGCTCGGAGGCGATAGATGTGAACTCTGACGCCGACGCCAACGCCGACTTCATCGGTGCCGTCAACGCCTTCCTGAACACCCAGTTCCTGTCGAATGGCATGAGCACTGCGCCTGAAGAAACCAAGAGAGAGGAACATACCTGCGGTCCAAGATCGCCACGCCGCGCTCATTCCGGAATTCCTTCTCCACGCCCACCACGATCATCTCCTCGCCTGTCTTCCGGACCGTCTTGGGCTCGGCGCTCAGCACCCTCGTCGTCTCGCTCACTTCCTGGCCCACGCGCAACGGATTCGGAGCCCCGTCTGCGCCGCGCGGCCAATGCACCTCGCCGCCGGCCCACATGCGGCGCGTAAACGGCGAGGACGGGTTGTACGAGACATCGGTGCCGTCGGGACCGAGTTCGTTCTCCAGGAAGGCGGGGGTGAAGTAGGCAAGGTGGTAGCCCGGGGGGAGAGGGGTGTTTGAGGGCACGGAGACAGTGGGGGAGGTGTTGGAGAGGGATGGGGAGGTGGGGAAGAGGGAGGGGCGATTGAGGGTTAGAGAGAGGAGTTGCAGCTGGTTGGCGTCGAGGACTTGCGTGCGGGATTGAGGCCCTAGCGATTGGAATCGCGACAGGAATGAGGCGGCGATGGATGAGGCCGACGTTGTATCGGATGTAGATGCGGAGCGGAGTCGGCTATACACCGAGAAAGCGCAACGCGAGGGACGTGAGAATTGAGTGGCCCATCGGGTTGTAGTATAGAGGGACATGGCTGGCAGGTTAGGAGTACATGCGAGGACTAGAGTCAGGAATTGAGAAAGGGGGAGGTCTACTATATAGTCGAGGGAATTACAGAGGAAGAGAAGAGCGTCTCGGAAGGTCAGTCACTCACGGTTTCCGAGGCACTAGACCGCTTCGGGGAAGACGCCGTCTCGGGTTTATGCGGTTATATCACTCTCTCTATCGATCGGGGCCTATATCTGTATCTGATCTGGTTCTAGATCTTCATTTTGATTCTAGTATCAACTTTCTGTGTGGATTCATTCAATGAGTCAACGACATGCACACACGGTTATCAACGAATGAATTGCTGAGGCTGATTGCCTTGGAGGTATCCGGTTTCCGGTACTTGGCTCACGGATCATGATTCATGAAAGCTCTGGATATCCCGATATGCTGGACTATAAGCTTCAGGATGCAGCCGGAGAAAGACGAGTCGACGTCGGACAGAAGATGCCAGTTGGTGGCGGGGTTAGCCCGGAGTTAGCCCCAAACACCGGAGGATGCGCTGCCGTCGGTCGCTGTTCAACTTCGCTCTTTCAGCCAACCAGTCCATCTTCGTGCATTAGTCCAACCAAGCGACTGAATTGATCCCAGCCGCACTAAATGTCTGACATTCTATCTCGAGAGTCAACGACCGTTGGCAAGGAGAAGAAGAGGACCCGAGTCCAGCTATCGTGCACGGCATGTCGAAGCCGGAAGTAATGCGCCCGCATCCCACTGTAGTCGACCAAGACTGACCACCCGTCAGGTTGAAATGCTGCCGGACACACCCCTGCACGAACTGCAAAAGACGGGGCGAGGCGCATTCGTGCACCTTTATCGGGCGCGGCCCTCGAGGGAGGGCATCCAATGGACATGCGAACCCGACTCAGGTCCAGGACCGTCTGCAGCATTTGGAGAACCTCATCCTGTCTCTGACGCAGAAGAAAACACTGGAACAAAACCAGGGCGGGTCTGAGGCGCTAGGGGACCGGGAGAATGGTAGTCCCCAGGATGACAACCAGGCCATGCTGGACACGCCCGTGTCGCATGACAGTGTGGAAACGAAGAATTCATCAATCGATGCGTCGAGCAAGCTGCTCGTGAAGGATACGGGCACAAGTTATATCGATGGCGCGCACTGGAGTGCCATTCTCGAGGAAGTACGTAACCCTCTTTGCCCGCGACGCCCGGTACTAATGACTGCTGGATGAGAACAGATCAATGGAGTCAAAGAATATCTAGAAGAAAGTGATGATGTATCAGACGAGGAAGACGAGGAGGAAGACTCCTCTGATGTGGCCACTCCGACCCTGCTGTTTGGATTGAGCAAGCCCGCAAGCAAGGAAGACCTGCTGGCAGATATTCCACCTCGACCCGTGACCGACCGGCTGATTTCTCAGTTCTTCAACAGTAGTGAGCCGTTTATAGGTATGCCCTGGCAAGCCGGTCGGATTATGCACGAAGCTTACATTGCAATTGCTACGCAGTCATCTTCCATATATTCACATTCCAAAGCGAGGTATTTGAACTGTCTATTCTCATGGCTGTTGTTGCTAACTCCTTCAGTATAATAAATTCTGGGAATACCCAGAAAAGACCTCACTGCCCTGGCTGGGTTTAATCTACGGTATCTTAACCATGTCCGTCTCCATCCATCAGCGCCTTCAAGAGCCACTACCCAGCCCTCTCAAAGACCCGGCGAACGCCCTGGCTACGTTTCGCAAACGAACTGCCCAGTGCCTAGCCCAGTCCAACTATACCAAACCCGGACGGTACAAGGTTGAGGCGCTGTTTCTATGCACAATGGGGGAATTCTACCGCACCAACGACGCCCAGGTGGGCGTATCGTTCATGCTCGGACTCACGATCCGACTGGCAATGCGCATGGGGTATCATCGAGATCCACAGCACTTCCCCGGCATTTCTCCCTTCGACGGGGAGATACGACGGCGGGTGTGGGGGATCATGTCTCAACTGGACTGCCTGATTTCATTCCAGGTGGGCGTGCCTCGAACCATCCAAGACTGGCAGCACGACGTCGAACTTCCGCGAAACCTCTCGGATGAAGACATCTATCCGGACATGGAGCAGCTGCCGCCGTCGAAACCGGACAACGAGCTGACGGCGACGTCGTATGCTCGAGCCAAATCGAGAATCATGTCCGTGTTTGGCAAGATCTCCGACCTGGCGTATTCGCGAGAGCCAGTCACCTATGAGAAAACCCTTGGGATTGACCGGCGTCTTGAAGAGGCCCACAACATGGTCACGCCGACTTTCAAAATGCGTCCCCTCGACCAGTCGATCGCCGACCCGGCAGAGCTGATCCTCCGGCGCTATACATTACAGCTTCTCTACCTGAAGGCGCGATGCGTACTGCACCGACGGTACCTGGGCGAAGTCCATTCCGATCTGCGGTATGCATACTCCCGATGGGTTTGTATGAGTGCGTCGAAAGAGATCCTCCGGCACCAGGCAGATCTGTACCACGAAACGCAGCCTGGAGGGATTCTGTATCGAGAACGTCAATTCCCCAACTCTCTGCAATATGCCGACTATTTGCTCGCCGCCATGATCATCTGCTTGGAACTATCGTCCAACCCAATCACGGGCCCGGAATCGAGCCAGGCGAACGATGTCGCGGTGGTCATCAAAGGTCGAGAAGACCTGCTCGCAACGCTCGAGATGTCTCATAGCATCTTTGAAAAGTCCCGCCGACAGTCGGTGGATGCACAAAAGGCGCACGCCGCTTTGACCATGATGCTGCGCCGGGTGAAGAATGAATCCCAACTTCTCTCGCCGCAAAAGGTGCCCCAGCTCCACGGCATAGCGAGCGAAGCTTCTGGATTACCAACCAGTAAGAACCCTTCTGCAGAAAGCTCATCATGATAGTACTAATGCTGTTACTAGCCCAACCTCCGGCGTATGGAAGCTGGCAAGCATCACAAAATCCGTCTTATAGTCTTGGTCTGGACGCCGATGCCATGGCCGATGCGACCAGCATCATGCAGCCGCCTTTGGCTTCTCTGGATGTCATCGGAGACATGCTTGACGCACCGACAAACCTCGACTGGGTAAGTCTCAGACATCTTCCTCTCGTTCACTGCTAATCCGTTCAACAGGGTCTATGGGACCAGCAGATCCAAGGTCTAGAAGATCGCGGAATGAGCTTTTGGAATGACCCCGGGGAGATAGATAAAATGCTTGGGAATGCGTAGTGCAGTAGATAGGAGTATCTCAATGCCAGTGTATACATCAAGTTACGTTGATTGAGGCGGACCAAACTGCCTGTCGGTCTGATGTCTATGTCTAGATCCAAGTCTCGGCACGACCCGCGTGGACCCGACGCCTAAGGAAAAAAACCACGAATATCCTCATCCTCTCTTCCACCACCACCAATTCAATCCACCAAATCGCTCATTCCAATGAACCCCTCCACTACCACGCGCGGCCTCAGCCGACGCATCCACTCGCTCATTGAGTCCCGATCTCTCTCCACCACCTCGCAATCGCTCCTTCGCCCTACAACCCTCTCCAAACAACCACAACTCCGACCAAGACTCCAATCCCCCCGAACCACCACCCAAACGCGAACACAAACCCGCCCCTTCCTCTCCTCCCTCTTCCCCTCCGGCGACAACAACAGCCCCAAAGACCGCATCCTCACCGCCACCCGCAGCCTCCCCTACGCGCCGTCCGGCCTCTTCGACGTCATCTCCTCCGTCGAGCTCTACTCCGACTTCCTCCCCTTCCTGTCCGCGTCGACCGTCACGCACCGGGACCCGGAGACGGGGTATCCGACGCGCGCGTTCCTGACGGTCGGCTACGGGCCTGTCAGCGAGACGTTCACGTCGAAGGTGGACTGCGACGCGAAGAACTGGGTGGTTGAGGCGCGCAGCGGGGCGAAGTTCGGGGTGGATTCGAAGGATGGGCAGGTTCGGGTTCAGGATCGGGGACAGGGACAGGATAAAGGACAGGGGCTGTTCGGGGGGATCTTTCCCGGTGAGAATGAGGGGATCTTTGAGTATTTGAGCACGAGGTGGGAGTTGGTGCCTGAGAATGAGGGATGGACGACAGTGCGGTTAAGGATCGAGTTCGAGTTTAAGAGTCAGTTGCATGCGGCGATGATGGGGGCTGTGGAGCAGCAGATGGCGACGGCGATGATTGATGCGTTTGAGCAGAGGATTAAGCAGGTACATAGGGGTTGATTGGGATGCGTTGCTGCTGGGTGGAGGGGGTAATGTATAGATGTTAGAGTGTAGAATAGATTTTCTGTTTTCTGTCAGGATATTTGATGTTTTCTATGGCGATCATTCGCTGTACATTGAATTTGAGACATAAGACATCTCCCAACCGAGAGATCCGAAAGATCCAGAAGGAGAAAAAAACAAGTAGTAGTGTATAATACAATTATCAAGACATAATAGAAGAAACCGACTTATGCTCCCGCTCCTGTTCCCTGATCTGAATGTTCGGTGTTCATAGCATGTTCAGGCTGCGGTTCCAGTTGGCCGTTTGCCGTCCGGCCTGCAACGAGCTGACCGCGTTGTAGTTGTCGGCCACGACGTCCCAGTTGATCCGATCCCACCACCGCTCGAGGTACTCGTCCTTGCCGCCGATTCCGTAGTCCATCATCCAGGCGTGCTCCCACGTGTTCACACACAGGATGGGCTGAACGTCCAGGGCGCCGGGCGCCAGCATCTTCTGGTTCTGCGCGTGGGCGCCCATCGCGCCGGCGTACTGGTTGCCCAGGGGCGCGTCCGGCGAGTGGGTGGCCATGTCGACCGCCTGTCGTCGGGAGTGCGCGGCCGGGTAGGGCGAGCCGGCGTTGTAGGTGCAGAAGATGTGCATGAGGCCCTCCCGCTCGAGGTTCTTGGCCAGCCACACGAATCCGGGTCCGAACATGGCGTTGGCGGTCGCCAGGAAGTCGAGCTTCAGGGACTCGACCGAGGAGCAGGTGTCGACGATGTCCTTGGCGAACTTTTCGGGGATCTGGGTGGAGGTGGGGGCCTGGAAATGCGTTAGGTTGGTTCATCCTGGAACGGAGTCCCATTCGTCAAAACTACTGACCAGACAGTTGAAGAAAAAGTGGTTGTTGTGGGCCATGGAGGCGTAGTTGAACACGGAGGCCATCTCCGGGCGCCGGGAGTACTTGACCAGCAGTTCTCCGGGCTTCGCGTCGGCATCAGGGGTGTCTGCACAGATTTGTATCAGCAATTGAAGCCTTCCTTAAATTGTTGCACGCAGACTCGGTAGATTGTAGCCGGCATGATCTTCAACATCGGGGGACGCGAGGTCACTCACCCTGTGTCAAAAGGTTCAGCTTGTCGACAAGGAGCGACTGGTATTGCGTCCAGGCGAAGTCGAAAGCCTCGGGGGACATGAATTCCGAGATTCCATTGTTTTTGAAGTGGTCGTCGTTCGTCAATTTGGGGACACGATGGAAGCTGCGGTACTGGAAGCGTGGGAGGGCGGAGACAGGTTTCTAGCAACGATTGCAGGTCAGACACAGGACCAGCCTGACGGGGGATTGGGAAGGGGCGAGAAAGCTCACCTGGACGAAGGAGGACGCCGCACGCAGTGAGCTCTGCGGCCGGAGGAGTCGGGGAAGCATGATGGCGGGTTGGACACTGGGGGAGTTGATATGAACGGCCAAAACGACGAAGCAAAACCGCAGAATTTCCATCGCCGAGTCCGATCGGGACTAGCGCGGCTGAGGTAAGCACGCCAATCAGCGTCCACTCTTCTACTTCTTCCTCCTCTCCCTTTCCACTTTCTATCTTCCATCTCCATCCTCTATCTTCGCGTCTTTCATTCTGTACGGATCCCATCGTATATCATCCCCGTCTTCCAGGTCAAATCGTATATCTATCCATAATACCTACCACTCATCAGAGCAGAACCTGGAGCTCGCGAGTCCTTCATGCAAGATATATACCATGAACTCATGCGATGGATAATAATTACCCTCGATCCTTGTTCAGAGACCTTAACTAACTTCCAAAAATGACGAACAAATCGCTTCAATCAAATGACTTGTCATCTTCTCAATCAAGAAAATTAATGACAGGTCCCTCAAACACAATAAATCGCTTGAACCTAGCCATCGCCACATTCTGACAGGTTCTCGTGCAACTAGCCCAATATCGAACGGAAGGATTCCTAGAAAACAAGGTTCTGAAAATGCACTTATTTTGCTCTCTTCCAGTATACATCAACCTAGACTCAGCGCAAACCAGCCATTGGCTTCGAGAAACGTTCCCAACCGTGTCGAGAAACCGGCTGCACTAAAACTGCTAATGCAAAGACCCAACCCTCCTGAAAATCCATTTGCAGCTCTCATTCTACTTGGCCATTCGAACCTATCGGATGATCTGTCTGGAACGCCTCCCAGTCCCAGACCTCATGTGGCTGTCAAAAAGAATAAATAGTCTGGTCTGGCCAGGTATAGGAGACACCCCTTGATTAGAAGGGATATGACAATATTGGGCCAATACCTTCAACTGGCTTGGTCAGAAGACCACATGGAATGCATGTGTTTTGCTACTCCCACAGCCTGTACAGTTCCTTGCCGTCGCTTCTGCAGTCTGAAAGGTGACTGTAGCATTGAGCCCACGGACAGCCGCAATGACCCAAAACTTTCGGGAGTTCCTTACATGCAGTGTAACATCTCAGCAAGGGAATTTGCAGAAAACGAAATGCTCATGCAGCTTTCCAGGATCTAGGCTACCTCGGTCAACATTCAGAGGAGAAGGCGCGGGCCCAGAACGGGAGTGTACTTCAATTGGTTTCTTTGGAAATTGATGCCACTCAAATCTAGGCATCCGTTTTCTGGTCCATTCTCTTGGTAGGTTTGATGGCTGTATGTGCAGCTTTTCTGGATTCCCAGGTCCTGACAGACCCGCTCGATTTCCGGGCATTTTCATGAGACAGAAAGTATATAATGGAGTCGATCGACAGTACATACCTCCGTGCAAGATGATCAAGACGCAATGTTTCATGGCTCGATGATGCACTAAACACGACGATCCTGCAAGTTTATTCTATTCTATATTTCTCTAGCGTCGATTATATATTAATCTATCCACTTCAAACCTGCCCTCACCATTATCTATGGCGGATCCAGAGCTTGGCTCTGATTTGCAGTCGCCATCTAAAGAGATAAAGCCAAAAGTGATCGCACTTGAAGTCACCCACGACGGGTCCATCGAGCCGCTGTCCAAGTATCGCAAGTATGCAGATACTTTCACTCGGGTCTTCGGGTTGGAAACTCGAGGAATTGAACGTGTCGGAGAGAATGAACGTCACCCTCCACGGTCCAATGATTATACTCGAATGTTCCTGCTGTGGCTGAACTCTTCATTGACCGCCAACAACGTGATAGTGGGACTATACGGTCCGGCACGGTACGGTCTTGGTTGGAACAATGCCGCCATGTGTGCTGCTTTAGGAGGAATCCTAGGAACTATGGTAGTGGGTTTCATGAGCACATGGGGTCCGAAGAGTGGCCATCGCACCTTGGTATGGACTTCTCATCCTGGGGTTCCATCCCGATAGCCATAGCTAACAATACTCCAGGTGGTGACTCGGTGCTTCCTAGGCTACTACCTTAGCAAGGTATGCTGCGTACTGAACGTCCTCACGATGCTGGGCTACGGCATGGTGAACGTCATACTCGGAGGCCAGGTCCTCTTCGCCGTGTCCGATGGCCACACAGCAGTACCTGTCGGCATCGTTGTGGTCGCCATCCTCACCTGGTTCATCGCAACCTTCGGCATGCACCTGTTTCACTTCTATACGCGATACGCCTGGATTGTCCAGCTATCTATCCTCTTCGTCATGGTCGGCTGTGCCGGCCCCATCTTTGACACCATCACTTCCCCTTCCTCCGCCAATCCCCCGGGGCCCACAACTACCAACTCCAATCGCCTCTCCTTCTTCTCCCTCTGCTTCGCCTCCGCCATCACCTGGGCGCCCTCCAGCGCCGACTACTTCGTGTACTTCTCCTCCTCCACCAAGCAATGGCGCATGTTCCTCTCCGTCAGCAGTGGCATGGGTCTCGCCATGGTCATGACCACGCTATTAGGTATCGGGCTCGCCACCGGCCTCTCCACGAACGCCACCTGGCTCGACGCCTCGCTCACTTCGCAGGGCAGTCTCCTCGTAGCCTCCTTCACCCCGCTTCACGGCTTCGGCCGCTTCTGCTCCGTCGTCCTCGTCCTCGGCATGGTCTCCAACAACATCCCCTGCACCTACTCCGCCGGCCTGAACCTCCAAATGCTCGGCCGGTACGGGCCACGGATCCCGCGCCCGCTGCTGACCACCCTCGAGGTGATCGTATACACGGCGTGCGCGGTCGTGGCGCACGGATACCTGCGGGAAATCATGGAGAATTTCCTCCCGTTGATGAGCTACTGGATTGTGATTTGGCTGGTGATTGTCGTCGAGGAGGGGTGTATTTTCCGTCGTGGCAAGGCGTATGATTGGGACGTTGTGGACAATATTCAGCGCTTGCCAATGGGTTTGGCGGCGGGGGCGAGCTTTGTGATCGGGTGTGTGGGTGCGGTTTTGGGGATGGTAAGTTCTTTTATACCTTGCGATTTATATACTCGTGCTTGATCGCTGACGTCTGCTTAGTCTCAATCATACTTCGTCGGTCCCATAGCGAAGTCCCTTTCGGGAGACTGCGACCTTGGAATGTGGCTGGCGCTGGGGTTGACGGCCGTGTGCTATCCGGGTCTTCGACTGGTGGAGTTAAGGATGACTGGCCGGTGAGTTTCATTGCTGTAGCGAACCAGCGGCGCGATTGGGTACGAAGGAATGTATGATATGCGTAAGAGCGACGCCACATAAGCCAGTCTGATGTACTTTGTATCTGTGGAAGGTACAGCCGGAGAGAAAAAGGATATATAAACATACAGCTAGACTATTGATAGTATAAGAAGGGAATAAAAACAAATGGCAGGGTATCTAAAGACTGTCGGTCAGAGCTTGAAACTTGAAAGCTCGAGTACAGAGAAGTAAGCATAAAACATAAACATAAACAGACGTAAAACAACCATAGTAATATCAAACACTTGACTCAGACTAAGAGAGCAGACTACAGCTTCACCTGCCCCCCCTGAAGTCTGTCCCAGTCCTTCTGTTCAAACGGCACGTAGGTGTTCCCCTGAAGCCAGTAGATCTTGTCGGCGGCCGTGACTAGGGACGGATCCACACCCTCGGTCCGCAGAACGTGTTTCTGCTGCTTGTTGTTCCCCGTGGCCTGCATCTGCGGCGTGAAGCGCAGGAACAGCGGCGCAGCGTAGCGCGGAAGGCTTTTCAGGACATGCGCAGCAAGGCTCTCAAGCGTCGTCGGGCTGGGAGGCGACAAGACGGAGGTATCAGTCGCCTGGAGCTGCTGCTCCATGACGACGGCGGCACAGCCAGCGCGGCCGTCGTGGTTGGGCAGTGCGACGCCGTACACGTTGGCCTCGTGCACGTCGGCATGGGCGCCGAGGATCTCGGCCACTTCGCTGGTGGATACGTTCTCGCTCTTCCAGCGGAAGGTGTCGCCGAGGCGGTCGTTGAAGAACCATCGGCCCTCGGGGTCCCAGCGCACCATGTCGCCGGTGCGGAAGTACGCGTCGCCTTTGCGGAGCACGTCGTACAGGATCTTCCCCTCCGTGGCCTTGGAGTTCCCTAGATAGCCCTGAAATTTGTCGCCCGGATCACGCGCGTCGATCGCCCACATGAGCTCGCCTGGTTCACCGCGCGGAACGGCCTTGCAGAGGCCGGTGGCGGGATCGCGCCAGGGTTGCTGGGATTCGTGGTCGACCTCGACGACTGTGATGCCGCCGCCGAGGATCAGCGAGCTCAGTCCGCCGTTTCGGCCGATGGCGCCGGCGGTGAAGTCGTTGGATGACAGGTTCCAGGATCCCGAGGTGCCTTCGGTGGCGGCGTAGAACTCGGCGATGGTGGGGACGTTAAATCGCTCTTTGAAGCGGTTCCAAATGTCGGGTCGCAAGCCATTGCCGAAGGCGGCGCGGATCGTGTGCTTCTTGTCTAGGTCCTCTCCGGTGACGGGGTCGATGGTGGGAGGGACGGCTAGCAGATATCGGAGGGTTTCGCCCACGTATTGAACGATGGTGGCGTTGCTCTCGCGCGCTTCTCTCCAGAAGTTCCGGGCGGAGAATTTGCGACCAATGATGATGGTGGTGCCAGTCATCAGGCAGGACACAAGCCCTAAAATGCAGGCCGACGAGTGGTAGAGCGGCATGCACTGTGATTCGTGTTAATGGCATGCATCACAACCTCGGAACAAAAAGGTATGACTTTACTTACTGTAAACAACCGATCGCCCTTCGACAGGCCAAGCCAGTTCGGCACGAAGATACCTCCATTCCAGCATTTCCTCCAGCTGACGATCGCGGGCTTGGGAAGACCGGTAGTGCCGCTGGTGTAGATCAGCATCGCCATGTCTCGAAGCGTCGCGCCACTGCGAGCTTCGTCCTCCTCTCGCGTGGCTTCCGTCTGAAGAATTTGGTTCTCCACCTCGGGCGTCAAAAAGACCACCTCTACCGGGCCCTTTCCTTCGCGGAAGTCGGGCGATCTCAAGGTCTCGATCTGCTCCGGTGGGAAAGATGGGTGGACTTCTTCGTCCACGATGAGCAGCCGCGCCGTCGAGGTTTGGATGCTGTGCGACAAGGGCTTCCCCGCCAGGTTATAGTTGATCAGGGCGGGCACCGCACCGATGCTCCAGAGACCCATCATCAAGAAGACAAACGTGGAGGAGTTCATGAAATCAATTGCCACGACTTCCCGGGGCTTGACCCCGTGAACATTCTTCAACCAGGTGCCATAGCGCAACGCCGTCACATACGTTTCGTGGAAGGTCCAAGAGCGTCCGTTGTAGACGACGAATTCGGCATCTTTGGTCGCGGGGGCCAGCGCATGCTGTTCCAGGATGTAGAAGAGATTCACGCTATCCCGACGAAAGGCAAGGCGGGATTTGACGATTGATTTGAGCAAACCACCGATCAACTTGACATCATAGAATAGCGCGTACTTGGCATTCAGGTATGCGAAAGTGGTTGCGGCGGCAGGCGCAAGAAGCGAGAGGGGGATATCTAATCAGCTCTAGTGAGTGTGATGATAATAGAGGGAAGCTGAAGGATTTGTTGGCAACATACCGGGAATCGAGATGGGTAGCATCGTAAACACTGGCAACCGCGATGTTCAAGAGGTGGTATGACGCAGGAATTCCAGGTACGAATGCCGAGGAGTGGGCCAGAACGAGAGATCGGCACGAGGCAACACAGCAACGACTCCGAGGGGAAATTAACAACGGGAGGGAAGCGACGCGGATAAGTAGGCGATGAAAAGGGTGAGGGGAACCATGGAAGTGCAAATGGCCAAGGAGGAAAAGTTGCCTCGGTTCGATTCATGGCTCGCCGGCATATTCGGATGCGGTTAGAGAGCGAGTTATGCTCGGCACCGATTCACAATAATGGACGATGGGTTTGACAAGAGATCCACTTCTTAGTGCCGGTCCCGCTTGCAGGAGTTTCATCATCTCTACTCCGTACTTCGAACTGCACCAACGATGCTCTGGATACAATCGCGTCGTTACTGTGTTACCAACGACATCTTGGCGTCACATGTGGACCGCGGACGATGACGCGATGGCGTTGATTCGTTTATTCGTTTATTCGGACGAAGCCACCATTAAGGGTTTCTTCCTCACCACCGGCACCTCGTCGTATCCCTCGTCCATAAACGAGGCAAGCGCCTCCAATCCCTTCTTCAACACCTCGGTCTCCTGCACAAATCCGATGCGCACGTAGCCGTGGAAGTCCTCTCCTTCGCCAAAGCAAAGGCTGCCCGGAACAAACATCACCCCAGTCCGTTGCAGGAGCGTCTCGCAGAAGGCGACATCATCTACGGGTTTTCCCATCTTGTTGAACCGCACAAATGCCGTCGTGCCCGCGCGTGGTTTGACCCATTCACATGCCCACCGATGCGACTCGATAAATGTCTCCAGGATCGCCAGGTTTGTCTTCGCTAATTCGATGTTTCGTTTTAACAGTCCGTGGAGGCAGGCGGGCGCCAAGGCATAGCTTGCAACCGCATCGTCCAGTTGACTCACGGAGATCGTGGTGTAGTCTCGAGCAGCCGCGCAGGTTTCAATCACCGAGCGATCGCGCGACGCAATCCATCCGACCCGGATCCCCGCCAGACTGTATGCCTTCGACAGCGATCCCGTTACAATTGTGCGTTCATACCCCAGGGACAAGAGGGATGACGGAAAGTCCGCGTCCATCGGCGTAATGGAGTGGAAAATAGGCCGGTAGACTTCGTCGGCATGGATGTAGATCGAGGAGCTTCGGGCAATCTTAACAATCTCCTCCAGTGTGGCTTGCGGTATGACGGCTCCGGTCGGGTTCTGGGGATTGCTGTTCAACGGAAAGGAAACAAGCCGTTCGCGTTAGGCAAGACACCGAAAGGCAGACAAGGAAGGAAGGCATACTTGAGAATGATTAATTTGGTGTTAGGTCGGATGAGTGTCTTCAACTCCTCGATATCCAATTTCCACCCATCCTTCTCCTTGGACTTCCACAGACTCACTTCCGCGCCAAGCGATTCTGGGACCGAATAGAGCTGCTGGTATGTGGGGTAATGACAGATGACATGGTCCCCGGGTCCAACCAACGAGTAAAGCAAGAGGAAATTAGCATGAATGGCCCCGGTGGTAATCAAGACATTATCCTGTGGCAGCGGCGTGGGGGTTTTGACCGAGTAGAGGTTGGCCAAGGTACTCCGAAGGCGCTCCGACCCCCGAATGGCTCCGTAGGTCAGCTTCGAGGAGAGATCCAAAGGACTGGTAGATTTGTCTTCGGAGATTTCCTGGAGGTCGTTCACAGAAATAGAGGCGCAGCAAGTCTCCGCAACATTGTACTGGGCCTGAAGTTCATACTTGTCCATCCACTTTGATTGGCACCGCGGGGTTAGATGGGACTGTGGGGGAGCAGATGAAAGATGAGGCAGGGTGGGCGCAACGTACTTGTTCCACTGCAAATTCTTTGAACTGAACCATGGTGGTGGTCTGGTCTTCGCAAAAGCCTGGCGGGGGTTTCGGATATTCTGAGGAATCGTTGACGTTGGAGGTTGACTGAGGGTTTTGCAATTGGTCGCGATGCCAATATGGGACACATCACGTGATACGATACAGCAGATGCCGGGGAAGAAGTAGAGATCGACAGCACAGGGCCAGAGAATAAAGGAGGTGACAGGATGAGATCGACACAAGATATACTTGTCGACCTCGAGCTCCATTTAGTACTCCGTACTCAGAACTCAAGGACTGTAGCAGACCCGATCGAGTCCAACGCTGACAGGTCATGTGACGCGGCTACCCCGAGGGATGCCCCAGGCTGCCAGGCACCGGCATCGTCATCGCCCCGTTGCGTTTCACCTGCGCCTTTCCGCCTCGCCCCAGCCAACTTCTCTCCATCGCTCCATCCACCGCTTCTTTGCTCCCCTCCCCGGTAAGTTGGCGTCCAGAATACTCGGCTTATTTCCCTATCACTTATCACGTTCTCTTTCTCGACTCTAGACTTTGGCTGCATTCGGATTGCGTGGTGTGCAATCCCCCGACCAGTCCTCCAGTGATCGGGCTACTCCGCATTGGTCGCTCTCCGCCCCGTTCCCAACAGATACGCCGACGAACCATAGGACCGGTGGTCGTCTTGCAACCCACGACTGCTTTCCGGGTCCACGATGCGGTTACAAGCATCAGTCGGGTTCTCGTTGGCCACATTTCTGTCGTTCTCCGCATCGGCCATCGCGCAGAGCAGCAACTACACCGATGCCGCTGACCTACAGTCTCCGCTCCTCGCCTCCTTCATCGACCGTCCCAAGGACTGCCCGCCTTGCTTTAACTGCCAACTAGACGCCTTCCAGTGCAACCAGTTTGCCCCCTGTGACAAGTTTACTGGGAAATGTGTCTGTCCCCCGGGATTTGGCGGAGATGATTGTTCGCAACCCGTCTGTGGCTCGCTGGCTGACGGCCACGAAAGAGCTCCTCGAAAGGGCAATGAATGCTCGTGCGAGGATGGCTGGGGTGGAATCAACTGCAACGTCTGTCAAACAGACAATGCATGCAATGCAATGATGCCAGATAGAGAAGGGGGTGTTTGTTACAAGCAAGGCGTCACGGTCAAGGAGAACTTCCAGATGTGTGACGTTACGAACCGCAAGATTCTTGATCAGCTGAAGGAAAGAAAGCCGCAAGTGACCTTCTCTTGTGAGGCAGAGGATGAGACCTGTAACTTCCAGTTCTGGGTGGGTCAACGGGAGTCATTCTACTGCGGCCTAGACAAGTGTGAATGGGGTCTGGAAACCACTCATAACCAAAACAAAACCCACTACCGATGCGAGACCATCCAATGCAAGTGTATCCCAGGACGAATGCTCTGCGGTGAGGAAGGCTCCATCGACATTGGAGATTTCCTTGAGGAGTCGATTCAGGGTCCGGCTTCCTTCTCGACCGTGTCAACCGAGGGTGGAAGCCCGGAAGATGGCAGCAAGTTTCAGGAGCCGGCGATGAATGATCTGATCAAAAGCGTTTTCGGAGATGAAAGCATCACTCTGAACTGCGATGCCGGCGAATGCTTGTACAAGACCGATGTGCCGGGATATACCCGGCCTGTCAAGCAAATCAACACTCCGCTGATTGCCGGCGTCATCGCAGGATGCGCGCTCTTTGTCGTTGCGGTCATCTTGATCGTGTGGTACTTGTCGCGCCGATCTTATCGCGGACGCATTCATCTCCCTCTTACCGATGAGTCGGATGATGAAGCTGCCAAACTTCTGGCTGAACACAGACCGGCAGCTCTGTACTGGGACAACGTTTCATACTTCTTGAACGGGAAGGAAATTCTCTCCGGTATTCAGGGTGCCTCGCAGCCGGGCCAGATCACCGCCATAATGGGCGCGTCGGGCGCTGGAAAAACCACGTTTTTGGACATCCTGGCCCGGAAGAATAAGCGAGGAGCCGTTCAGGGCAACTTCTACGTGAACGGCGAAAAGCTTAGTGACCACGACTTCAAAGGCATGATCGGATTTGTTGACCAGGAGGATACTATGCTTCCCACTCTGACCGTCCACGAGACTATCCTGACCAGCGCGCTCCTGCGCCTGCCGAGGGACATGGGCCGAGCAGCCAAAGAGCAGCGGGTATTTGAGGTCGAAAAACAACTTGGAATCTTCCACATTAAAGATCAGCTCATCGGTTCTGAAGAGGGTAAAGGTCGTGGTATCTCCGGTGGCGAGAAGCGTCGGGTTGGTATTGCTTGCGAGCTGGTCACTAGCCCAAGCATCTTGTTCCTTGACGAGCCTACCAGCGGACTCGTAAGTTTCCAAACCCAGACCCATCATCTACCCAGACTAATGGCATTACTTATCAGGACGCTTTCAACGCTTTCAATGTGGTCGAGTGTTTGGTGACTTTGGCGAAGACCTACAACCGGACGGTCATCTTTACTATCCACCAGCCTCGATCCAATATCGTTGCACTCTTCGACCGCCTTGTTCTTTTAGCGCAAGGCAAAACCGTATACTCCGGCCCTTTTTCGACATGCCAGCGATACTTTGACAACTCCGGATACTCATGTCCTCCCGGCTTCAATATTGCGGATTACCTTGTGGACATGACCATGCATGCCAGTGTTACTCGGTCTCATCACGAGGAAATCGAGTCACCTCTGCTGGATGTTCGTACAGACCCGCCCAAGACCGCTTCGAGCAGCCTCAGAGCCGTCAAATCTGTTGCCAGTGCGTCGAACGCAAGCATCGAAGACAACTCTAGCAGTACCTTGGATGCAAGTCGCCGACCGAAGAGTAAGCGACGGGTCTCGCTCAAGCAACGCCAGGACAGACAGCTCTATTCTCGGAAGAAGGATATGGAAGCCCCGCCTACGCCTAAGACGGATGAAGAGGACGCCCAGATTGATGAGGTCGCCGAGAACACTCAGCAGTGGCTGCGCCTTTCGCGTCAGCCTGGCAATGTCCCCCCGCAAATCCTCGACGATCCAGACCACCTGCCGCCGGCGGCTCCCGGCCAAACGGACCTGGACGTTCTCGTTGCCAACTATTCTTCATCGGATGTCGCCCGCTCTGTGCACGACGAGATTGTCGCCGCGGTCCAGACCGCGCGCGCAGCGAACGGATCGACCAACTCAGACATCTTGTCCGACCGCCCTACCGGAGTGCCGAAGAACTACGCCCGTGTCGGTCTGGTTCGACAGTTTCTCATTCTGTCGCAGAGGACCTGGCGCAACCTGTACCGTAACCCGATGCTGATGCTCACGCACTACGCCATTTCGATCCTGCTGGCCGTGTTGTGTGGCTACCTCTTCTACGGGTTGACGGACGACATCAAGGGCTTCCAGAACCGACTGGGTCTCTTTTTCTTCATTCTGGCGCTGTTCGGATTCAGTACACTCACCAGCCTGACGGTGTTCTCTACAGAACGCCTTCTGTTTGTGCGGGAGCGAGCCAACGGCTATTACCATCCCATCACGTACTTCGCCTCCAAGGTGGTATTTGACATTGTACCCCTGCGAATCCTTCCCCCCATCATCATGGGCATTATCGTATATCCTATGACCGGATTGATCCCGGCCTGGCCGGAGTTCTTCCGATTCCTTCTGGTCCTGGTGCTCTTCAACCTGGCGGCAGCCAACATCTGCCTCTTCATCGGCATTGTCTGCCGCGACGGCGGAGTGGCCAATTTGATCGGCAGCTTGGTGATGTTGTTTAGTTTGTTATTTGCCGGGCTGTTGCTCAACCACGACGCCATCCCCAAGTCTGCCTTGTGGCTCCAAACGGTACGTCCTCTGGCCCTGCCCTTCTTGGTTCTTAGTTTCTCGATCGGAAATGCTAACGGGACTCCAGCTGTCCATCTTCCACTACGGGTTCGAGGCCCTCATTGTCAACGAGGTTACGTTCTTGACCCTCATCGACCACAAGTACGGGCTCGACATCGAAGTTCCGGGAGCCTCTATTCTTAGTGCATTCGGATTCGACACGCTCGCACTGTGGAAAGATGTGATCGGACTGGCGGTCATCTCGGGGGCGTTTATTGTCATCGCCTACGGTGCTATGCATGTGTTGCTGGTTGAGAAGCGGTGATTCGGTTGACAAGTGTAGTGTATATACGATGTCTTTGTGCTAGTATTGTGTTTTTGTTCCTTTTGTCGCATGTCATTCGCACGGGAACATTCCTATAGTTCAGGTAGTGCGGATGTCAATAATGGTTGTTTTTGGGATGCCTCAGGAATGGGCCGATGCGGAGAGCAGCACGTGCACCGCGTCATCATCTCATCGTGACGGAATAAATTCCATCCAAAGAGGATGAGACTTCTGTCATCTTTTGGAACCCTCTGTAGTCTGTACATATCCGCTCATTCTGTATCCAATGTCCATAAAGGAGCCAGATAGATGGACTCCACTGTCCAGTAATCACTAGGCTGCGAGACCGATTCGGTTGCGGTGGCTGGGAGGCGGATGGACCTCCACAAGGGATCCGATCGGTCTTTAATCAACAGTAGCCTCGGGGCTGGTCTCTCTGTCAGGAGATTCGGTGGCATTCCGCGTCTTTCTGGCGGACTGCCCGTGCATCTGCCATCGTAGAGTCGGTAGGATTGTAGAATTATCGGATCTCTTGAAGGGAAGTGACATCGCCCGGGGACTCACCGCCTTCGAATCCACACCAACTTGGCTGCTCCTCTTCTGCTTCTCTCGCTCTCTCGCTTCCTTTCCCTCTCCCTCTCCACTCTCCATCCTTCTGTCTCTCCGACTCCGAGCTTTGCTCTCCTTGATCCCTTCGCCCTCCCTCGCGGGTCCTCGTCTTCGTTTCTTTTCCCTCCCCACCCACTTTCTCACCACTTCCCTCCGATTTTGGAATTTTTCCCATGATGTCCGGTGAAGCGTGGCTCTACCTGTTGGCGGTGTTGATCAACGCCGTCAACTTGTTCCTACAGGTGTTCTTCACGATTATGTACAGTGATTTGGAATGGTGAGCACCTCTGCGTCCCGTCTCGTATAATTTTTCAAGTCCTGTGGCTGCCTGTCTTTGCGCCGCAATCGGCAACTCGCACTCAATTGCGCCGGTGATAAGCTAGCGAGCTAAGCTAACCGGTCCTCCCAACAACAGTGACTACATCAACCCTATCGATCTCTGCAACCGTCTCAACGCCTACATTATCCCCGAGGCCGCCGTTCATGGATTCTTGACTTTCCTCTTCGTGATCAATGGCTACTGGCTGGCGATCGTGCTGAACTTGCCTCTGTTGGCTTTCAACGCCAAGAAGTACGTTATGTCTGACTGACGCTGCGAACTCCCTTCTGGTGATGGACATGTCAGCTAACTAGGCTTTCCCGTGACAGGATCTACGATAACCAGCACTTGCTGGATGCGACCGAGATCTTCCGCAAGCTCAATGTGCACAAGAAGGTCAGTCCGCTCCCGGGTTTACGTCATACCGACAGGGAACCGCTCGCTAACTGTAACACAGGAATCCTTCATCAAACTGGGTTTCCACCTGTTGATGTTCTTCTTCTACCTGTACAGCATGATCGTCGCTCTGATCCGCGACGAATCCCACTGACTTCGCGGCGAAACGGAACATACGATGCGCCACGGGCGTCCCGACGGACGTGTCGCGTGATGTACCAGGTCGGTCCGGCCGTGGACGAGAGAAGGGATTCGAGGACGACTCTCTGACTTTTGAGACTCCGCCACCATATATTGCTGCGGCCCTCTCAGCGATGGGAGCTTCTCCCATAATTCGATCGTTTAGGGCTGCGTGGACTGGCCGGAGTATGTAGCAGTAGGAGCAAGTGGCCAGGAGCAACTGGGACGACGTGGATATTAGGGGTTGCACCTGGCAGGTTCTGTTTTTGGATTCTAATGACGTTGGGAGATGAATGGAACCACGACATTTCTCACGATGGCGTGGCATGGAATTTTTTTTTTTTTTTATTATTGCTTGATCTTTTCTATTTCATGTTGATGCCTTAATGTGTGCTGTATATACCTCTAGCGGTGTGACAAACAATGAGCGTACGATACCCTCGGAGTGCCATGAGAGTAGAGTAGAGATGAGGAGCTGTGCAGGAGAGTAGATGGAATATATTCATGGAGACGACGGAGCATCGCCGGATCTTCGCAACGGGGCGGTGCCGCCGCCCGTAAAACTGCCGGACTTTCATTCTTTCTTCCTTTTCCCTCCAACTCTCTTCCTCATTTTCCCCGACACCCCCGTCCACCATGGCCTCGTTACTAGGCGCTGGTTACGATTCCAGTGACGATGACTCGACGCCCCAGATCCAGGGAGCTGCTCCCTCGGCGACCAAAATTGTCGCTGCCCCGGAAGTGAACACAGAGGTTTGGTCCCTCCAGCTTTTCCTAGCTTTATCCCGCCCCGAATACATGTTTCCTGCGTTCCTAGTTTTATCAGTCCGACATATCGCGATCACGTCCCCGGTATCTAACAATTCCACAGGACCAGGCGCATATGCAAATGATGCTGGCTAACACCTCGTCGACGGCCCTCACCTACAACGCGACCTACGACGATCTCGCGCGGCCGACGCAAGGTCCCTCCAACCCTTTCAAGCCTGACGGGCCCGCCAACGGCCTCAAGCGCAAAAACGTACCGACCGGATTCGCCGAAGAGGCCGCCATCAGCGAGGCGACTTTTGCCGCGCAGCATCGCACTTTCCAAAGTCTGGGGTATACGCGCAACCCGACGCTCCCCGGGCAGTTTGTCGGCGATCTAGAGCAGGCCGCTCAGTATGGCGGTCGGGATGTCATTCAGATGAAACCGTCCAAGGAGACGTCGGCGGCTCTCCGGGCGAAGCGACAAAGGAAGGGCGACCCGAGCATTGTCGAGGGTGCGGGCGCATATCTTGGACCCTGGGCGAAATACCAGGATGATGACCACGTGTACGAAGAGGAGGTCGCTCTGGCGGACCAAGAACTTGCCAGCGACGAGGAATACGTGGAGGAGGAGATCGCGCCGTCGAACATGCCGGCCATGAGCAAGGAGGCGACGGATTACCAGGACGATTCGTCCAAGGTGGAAACGACCGAATTCCACGGCTCCGAGCAGTTCGACTACATGGGCCGCACGTATATGCACGTCCCGCAGGATCTGGATATCGATCTGAAGAAGGACGTGGGCAGCATCAAGAACTACGTGCCCAAGAAACTCATTCACACCTGGAAGTCCCACACCAAGGCCATCACGTCGTTGCGGTTCATCCCCAACTCCGGTCACCTTCTCCTGTCGGCTGCGGCGGACGGCAAGGCCAAGATCTGGGACGTGTATCACCAGCGCGAGCTCCTGCGCACTTTCTCGGGCCACAACAAGGCCATCACCGACACCGACTTCCACCCGACGGGGAAGACCTTCCTCACGGCCTCCTACGATCGGCAGATCAAGCTCTGGGACACCGAGTACGGAAAATGCCTGGGTCGCTTCTCGACGGGCAAGACGCCGCACGTCGTCCGCTTCAACCCCAACCCCGAGCTCTCGCACGAGTTCCTGGCCGGTATGTCCGACAAGAAGATCGTGCAGTTCGACACGCGCTCGGGCGAACTCGTCCAGGAATACGACCACCACCTGGCAGCCATCAACACCATCACCTTCGTCGACGAGAACCGCCGCTTCATCTCCACCTCCGACGACAAATCCCTGCGCGCCTGGGAATACGGCATCCCCGTGCCCATTAAGTTCATCGCCGAGCCCTACATGTTCGCGCTCACGCGCGCCGCGCCCCACCCCAACGGCAAATACGTTGCCTTCCAGTCCGGCGACAACCAGATCGTCGTCTACGGCGCCACCGACAAGTTCCGCCAGAACCGCAAGAAGAGCTTCCGCGGCCACAACAACGCCGGCTACGCCATCGACCTCAAGATCTCCCCCGACGGCCAGTTCATCTCCTCCGGCGACAGCGGCGGCTACGTCTGCTTCTGGGACTGGAAGACCGGCAAGATGTACCACAAGATCATGGCCGGCGGCAAGGAAGGCGGCGCGACGACTTGTTTGGACTGGCATCCTCAGGAAACTAGTAAGGTGGTGACGGGTGGTTTGGATGGGTTGATTAAATATTGGGATTGAGTGGTTTCAATCCATCTTCATAGTATATGAATCGGATTTCTTTTAACGGTTTAATTCAACTAGATATATTGGATCCCTCTTCGAGGTACTTTCGACGTTTTTAGTTTTCTTCGTTTGTACGTGGTACATGTAAATCGATAATGTGGATATCTCATTTTCAAAAAGCGAAATATAACCTTGACTCTCGAATACAATATACTGAGATAATAGTCTACTTCGTACATCACATAATGCCAGATCTATAGATTTATTCAACTGACAGCACGAATGTCAATGATTTCAGATTAGAGATTGATATGGTATTCTTCATGAATGTAAATGTTAAGCATGTTTTGTGAGCCCAAGTCATCACGGAAAGAAAGATCACTGTACAGAGGTTTCCCGAGCTCTCCCACATCAGAAGCCATCTCATCAGCCAGTCGGATTAAAAGCTGGCCATCTCGATCCAGCTGGCGACAAATGCCAATCGACGGCCTCGATCGGCGGACATGCGCCGCGTGAATTCATCGAAGTTCAGCTTGGCACCGCTGCCGCCGCGCTGATGTGCTTGGCGCTCGATGTAGTTCAAGTACGCCCACCGTGAGAGGACCAGTTGAGAGGGGGGTTGAGGCGCGGCGTTTCGACGGGGAGGCGAAGGACTGGCGGTGGGAGGGAGAGGTTGGATAGGGGAGGGGGAGTGTTTGGGCGCGGTGGCCTCGGCTTCGGGCGAGAATGCTGCGAGAGAGGCGGGCGCCGACGAGGTTCCAAAGAAGGAGGCCGCGCCTTGGGGTGGGAAGCGGAGTTCGGGGGGAAGGTTGTGTTGCTGGACGTCGTCGAAGATGGTATGGACCGAGGACGAGTCGGAGCCGGAGTCAAAGGCATCCAGAGTGCCTTCGTTAGGACGATGTTGCGGCAGAGTAGGATCGAAATCTGTCTCCACAAAGGCAGGTTGTCTCCCTTCCATGGTTAAAGAACCTCGAGGGAATGTGGCCGGTGGAAGGGCCAGTTCGTCGGCGTGTATCTCTGGCGAGGTCAAGACAATAAGTCCGTCGGCGTCCTCGCTTTCTTCCTCCTCTTCGTCCTCATCGGCTTCTTCTTCCACCTCGTCAGGCTGTGCGAGGTGTGTGGGCCGGACGTCGTCATCCGGGAGTCGCAGCTCGGGGGATCGAGGAGCGAAAATAGGGCTATCTCGCAGAGGCTGAAGAGGGGGGCTTCTAATCGAATATCCCGCACGGTCAAGAAGCTCCTCAAGCGGTCGATCGCTGAATGGGTTCTTCTCGTCTTCCTCGGTCTCCTTACTCTCTTCCTCCGCCCTTTGCTTCTCCTCGCGTTTCAATATCTGGTCGAATTGATTTTCAGGACGCTGCTCGGCCAGCTCAATTTCTCGGGCCCAGAACTTGCGTTCAGCCCGGGTGTCATAGGCTTCCATGAGCAAGTCTTCCTTCGGCTTGAACAGAATATCCAGTAACTCGTTGAAGCCTTGCTGAGTCACCTGGTAGAGAATCTCCTTTCCTACGTCCTTCTCAACCTCGGGGACTTCAAACCCTCCCCATCTCTCACCAACCAATATGCTCCGTGAAGATGTCGACGGATTGGATCGCACGTCGTAGTCATCCGTAATGTCGTCCTGGAAACGAACCTTGGATGATGATCGAGACCGGGGAGACGGCGGGTGAGACTCAAAATGATCATCGAGTGCGTCTTCGTCGGACATTTTTTCGGCATCAGGGTCAGTCTCGTAACCCTCTGGAGCAGTCGCCCCGTCTTCTTCATCGGTATAAAATGCTCTTCGGCGCCACCGCTCATCGATGCCGTGTCGGCGGACCTCATCCACTTGCCGCTGGTCATCATCGTACATCCTGTTATACACGGCTGTGTCGATGCGAGCTCTGTCAACCGGATCGGTGACTTCTTCGAGGGGCACAGCTGCTCCAAGAGCGCTGACAATATCTTCCTCAAGAATGTGCTCAGCGGGAGGCCAGCGGTCAGTGGCCACCGACGAGCTCGAGCCATCGACAGAGCTACCGCCTTCATCATCATCATGATGATCGAAATTTTCGCTCCTTCTGGCCGATGCACGGGGCCCAGTTGGCGTCGATAGCCGCACGGAGGGAAACAACGGACGCACGCTGCCGAAACTGGTTCGAACAGCAGAATCTCCAACAACTGAATGTCGATTTCCAGTGTCGGTTCCATCGGGCCTCAACACACCTTCGCTATCAATGATATCCATATCCCCTTCCGAGTTCATGCGTTTTCCTTCCCCGGTTCTAGACGCTTCGCCAGAGGGAATGTTGCCAGGGAACGCGGAGCTGATCGGTTGCATTCCTAGAACGACGTCTCGTGCGCCGCCCTCTAAAAAGTCATCTTCCATACCCGCAACCATGTCACGAGTAAGCTCTCTGCTGAGGGTGTAGTAGGCACGGAATACCCGTAAGAAATCCTTTCGCTCGACGTAACCGTCACCGTCGATGTCGTAGCCACGGAAAACGCGACGCATCCTTTCATCGATGCTCTTATTATTGAGACTGGCGAGACCTTTGAGAAATTCCTCAAACCCAATAAGACCATCGCCATTGGTATCGTAAAATGCAAACATCCGATCATATATGAGACTAGGCGGGGGAGGGCGGATCGATGTGTTGGGAACAAAGCACCGGTCAAACGTCTTGCGGTCGATAGCCATGCAGAGTTTATTGGGATCATCGTTCCATTCATGGTTTGCAAGGCAGCGGAATTGGTCCCAGAGCGCATCAAGCTCCGTGTTCTCAAGACTAGTCTCCTTCATTAGACGTTTTGCTAGAGATCGAGGTAGGCTGCGTGGGAGCATAGACGGCTTCCCTGGATACCACACGGGCTGAGACTGTCGAGGGTTCCCTAAGAATGGCGCTGGAATCCGGACCTTGTAAAAAAGATGGGTTTTGATGTGTACTTGCATGGCCTCGCATGTCTCGCAGAGATCGTAGTCAATGCAGTTCGCGCAGCGATACCGAATGCCTTGGATGGGCATGGCTCCGCAGCTGTTGCACGTCACACCTCTGTGGATGTATCCATCCCTTCGGGCCTGATCCTCCGCAATGTGATAGAGCAAGTTGAGCAAGTTCTGACCTTCGCGCGTCGGAGAAGACTCGTTGTTGCCGTCGCGCCACGAAAAGACGCTCTGATCATCGACCACCGTCTCGCCACCATCCATATTGATCGCGGGCGGAGATTCATCCGGGAAAGTCGATGTGGATAGCGTGACTCTCTCGCCATTTTGCCGACGCCGTCGCAGTTCGTCCCCGTAATTGTTGTCCGCGTTAAACCGGGTCAATGCCCGCTCGATGCCTGCGCGAGAGATTCCCCGTTGCTGAAGCTGCTCGGTCAAGTATTCTCGCTCGGGGCTCCCATCATCCAAAGCATGTGTCGGCGGGAAGTCGAGGGCCAGGAAGGACTCCAAAAACGTGTCTTCCATCATTTCGCGCATCCGCTCGGCATGCGCCTCGGGGACTCCGACTTCCTCCATCAGCTGGTCCCGCGTCGCCAGTAGCGACGGCAGCAAGCCGCTTTCCACCCGGCGACCATCTTCCGTCTCTATGCGAAAAGTTCCGTATACTCCATTCTGGCGTTCCAGTTGTTCGAGGTGGGCGATAGCGCGAGAGGAGGGTGTTTCGGCGGCGGCAGGCGGTTCGGGCTCATTCCGTCTCGTGCGGCGAACAGCTCTCCGGCGGCGAAGAGATGACTGCGATGATGAAGACGATAGAAGCTGGTTGTTAACATAAACGAGAGCGTAGGCGGCGACAACTCCCGTGAGCAGGTAGAGGACTGGGCGATACCGTGACAAGTCCGGTCTAGAGTGAGAATCCGACATGGCGGTGCAAAGTTGTACCCCAGCTATGGAACAGAGCTCATTATTATCTTCGAATTCTCATCTAGCAGTAACGAGAAATAAAATTCCGAGGGTCGCAGATTATGACAAAAGAATGACTTTGGGGAAGAGGGGAGTTGCTAAAGGAATGGGAGAAGCCGAAGCTGTCATTATTCTCGCCCGCAAGAGGAAGGCGGCCGCGCTCGAGCTCGACCGCCTTCGCGCGTTGATCTTCGAGACTTTGACAAACTACACTCTACAACCGGAACATCTCACGAGAAACAAAACATATATTCATTCTTATCCAATTAAGTCAATGTGCTGCAAAAGCCAGTCCAATCCCGAGGCCCATCTCGGGAAAGGATACCATGATATCTAGAGACAAGTGCGCTGTATCAGACGCTAATAATCCTCGAAGTCGAGATTGCAAATACTTTTTCTGTTATGTTGTCCAGTGCGATTTTATGTTCACATCTGCCGGGGGTTTACTGTATAGTGTGTCGGATTTCTTTTGGCAAGGTCGTGATCCATCCCGGTCAGACGTGATTTATCGGGTCAGTCTCTTCTCGCGAATGAAAAGACTGCTAACAAAGGCGAAGAACACGGTGCCAATCAAAAAGGCAAACCCCTTGTTCGTTGCCCATCCATAGCAGCTTCGAACGATCTTTCCAACGGCTGGGTCAAGAGTCTTGATGAAATCGAGACTCTGGCGCACGCCGTCAACGATACGATCGATGTCCTTGCTATCGCGCAGGGCGTATCTCAGTCGGTTGCGGAGGATTTGCTGCACCACGGTGGAAGACAAGGAAAGGCCAATCACTGATCCCAGAGACCGGAAGAGATACGAACAGGCAGTGACCACGGCCTGATCCTCAGGGGTCGAGTTTGATACTTTACAACAAGTTAGAAAACACAGAGACCGACACGCAACAGAAGAAAAAGCGACTCACTCAAACTGATTAGTGTCGTCGTAACACCGGTGCCATTACCGAATGATGCAGCCATTGTTCCTAGGATGATGGCACCGAGATTCTCGCCAGCTCCTCCCGAAAAGAGGAAGATCAATGTCACTCCCATAGTCAGGAACGCATAGGAAGCCACCGTTAGCCAGTAAAATCTACCAGTCCATTTCATCATGAATCCAGCAAATAGTGAGCCAGTCACCCCAGAGAGGATGCTGGGCAGCAGCCGCAATCCAGCAACGGTAGCAGATACGCCATCTACGGCCTGGAAGTACAGCGGAATGTAGAACAGACCCGCGATCCAGCCTCCGAAACTGAAGAAGTTACAGCCGTAGGCGGCGAAGAAGGTGCCGTCGAAAATGATGTGGCCCGGAGCGAAGGGTTCCTTCGCGTAGTAGACCTCAACCACAACGAAAAGCACAAAGAGAGCAGCTGATACGCTCAGCGAGATAATCGTTATAGGCAACGACCATGATACATTACTGCCTCGGTCAAGACCAAGTAGGAAGCCGAAAACCGCTCCGACAAGCACGATCGCCCCGGGGAAATCGATGCGCCGAAGTTTTGTTTTCCAGTGACTGTCTTCCTGCGAAGGCAAATCCAGCATAAAGGACACGGCTGCGAAGGCAATGATACAAAGTGGGACTTGAGCAATAAAGGCCCTAGGATGTGGATTAGTGATCGCGCAATTGTCGCGCTAGATGAGGAGATGAAGCACATACCACCGCCAACCAATATAATCGGCCAAGACTCCACCTAGACAGAAAATGAGTCAGTTGGTTTGGTCGTGGTAGCAACAGGAGCAGTCTTCAGTACCTAGAGGTGCCCCGGTTCCCGAACCAGTTGCATAGATGATATTAATGACTCCTTGCCATACTCCCCGATCTCGGAGGGGAATAATATCACTCATGAGAATGCTAACCACGGTGGTCATACCACCACCTCCAATGCCTTGAAAAACCTGGAAGATCAATGTCAGCCGATGTAAACCTGTAAAGTCTCGTGTAACCTTACCCGCGCAGCAATCAATTGATGGATATTCTGCGCCAGGCCGCAGAACAAGCAGCCAACGCCGAAGATCGCATACGCCCACAACAAACAGGCCTTGCGGCCGAATATATCGCTCAATTTACCATATAGAGGCTGGAAGGATGTCAGGGTCAGAAAGTAAGACGTGGCGATCCAGCTGGTCAGATTGAGCGCTTTGAGGTCACTCCCAATCTGACCGTAACTGGCCATGATAATTGTCTGGTCGGCTGCCGACAAGAAGATCTGGACATGTTTTAGTATTTGCCGACTCAGAGCATACAGGGAAATTCCATGCAATTCCATACCCCAATTGAGACCGCAGGGATGATATACCCGAGCTTGTTCCTGGTCTCTGCGGCATCCTTGTTTTGTTGCTCTGCGGACGCGGCGTCCCTGGGAATGGCTCCGTTCGAGGGAGGCTGAGGAGCATTGCCGTTGCTTTGAGGCCCCAGCAACGGGGAAGTCTCTGTCGGAGTCCTTTCTGGAGACATGCTATCGACTCACTCACTGAGACTCCAGCACCACCATTCAAGACCTTGAGAGTTGGGGTGACGAGAGTAGATTCATGCTGGCCGCAAGATGACTCCGCCGCAAAACAGCCTTATCGCACACGTGATGATAAGACATCCCCACTGGGCTGACAAATCTGGGAGATACGGGAAATCCTTCGACACTCATTGGCTGCGTCGGCAGTTCGGCTTCTCGCTCGGCAGGAACTAACCTGTTTAGGACGTGACCAATGCGCGATTTGTCGCATACTTTCGATCCGCCTGTTCAAATAGCCTCTAAAAACAGGAAATGGACTTCTAATTCTGAGATCCTTAACCTCTTGCTATAATATAATACTACATTTTCAATATAAAAAGAAGTGGAAAACTGTTAGAGCACAGAGCTCGTGGGTGAAGAGATACCCTTTCTTGTTATGCTACTATATAAGGCGGTCCCAGGCATCTCTGCACAAGAGGTGCTGAGATAGTGGTCTTTTGGCCCTGGAGGCTGGCACGATTACCAACGGGACTAACCGTAATTGGAATGACCCAACTCCCAGGACGGCTAAGCGCGAATATCTTATCGCGCTGAGTAAGCGTTATCGCGTGTCTGATAGGCGCGCGGCAGAGAACCACGTGATCGAGCGGCAGCCAAGTCCGGTTGGTCCGGAGGGCCCGCGCTAGGCGGAATCGGGGCATCCGTGGGGCGGCGGGCGTGACGCAACTTTATCGATCTCTCGTGACTGGAAAACCTGAACGATTCCTGAGATTATTAATTGCTGCGACTTCTGTCTGACGCAAGGGGCAATCCCTTTACTTGTTCAACCACTCTTGGTGGCAATCATCATGGCTCAGTCTTCCCCGAGAAAGCAAAAGGTTGTCATCGTCGGAGCGGGGCCGGTGGGCTCTCTTGCGGCGCTCTACGCTGCGGCGAGGGGCGACGATGTTGAACTGTATGAGCTGCGAGGGGGTAAGTCTCTGCGCTTGACATGAATTGAACACATACCTGTACTGCATTGAATGGTCAATTTGGATCTGGTGCGACCAAATAACCCACATTGACACCACAATCATTCTTATCATGTACCCCGCTCGGAGCAATCCAGAACGAACATGCCATGATCGCAATGCTTTATACGTCTTCTTGTTGAGCTGAACTCACGCTGCAGGGTGCAACAGATCTTCGCGATCCTGATACCATTCCGTTGAACTTCACAAAGTCCATCAATCTCGCACTCTCCGAACGAGGCATTACGTCCATGCGGTCCTCGAATCGCGAAGCCATGATCCACAAGGTCCTTGACGGGTCAATTCCTATGCACGGCCGTATGATTCATGGTCGAGACAATGGCAAGCTCTGGGAGGATGCGCAGCAATATGACGTTCATGGTCGGGTTAGTTTTATACTATGCATGCCCGCCGAAAATATGACATGTCATATCGAAAAAGCCCTATATAAGCAGCCGTGCAGCTGACAGACAGACCCCCAATCTAGGCCATCAACGCCGTAGATCGCGGCACTCTGAATAATGCGCTCCTCGACGAGCTCGAGGGCACGCCCAACGTCAAGCTCTTCTTCAACCACAAGCTGACCGGCGCCGACTTTCGCACCAATAAAGCCTGGTTCGAGCGACGGACGCCGGGAGAGACTCCCCCGTCGGGGTCTGGCAACCGGGTCCCCGAGATCGAGGTGGACTTCGACTACCTCATTGGTGCAGACGGCGCGCACTCGGCGTCGCGATACCACATGATGAAGTTCGCGCGCGTGGACTACCAGCAGGAGTACATCGACACGCTGTGGTGCGAGTTTCGCATCCCCCCCAGCGAGACCGGCGACTTCCGCATCTCGCCCAACCATCTGCACATCTGGCCCGGAAAGGAGTTTATGTTCATCGCGCTACCGTCCGCCGACAAATCATTTACCTGCACGCTGTTCGCCCCGGCCATCCACTACGCGCAACTGACCGACTCCTCCGAGAACCTATTGGACTTCTTCGACCTCCACTTCCCCGGCGTCTGCCCGACCCTCATCGCCCCGGAGGCCCTGCACGAGCAATTCACCGTCAACCCCCACCTCCCCTTGATCAGCATCAAGTGCAAGCCGCACCACTACGGGTCTAGCGTGGTCATCGTCGGCGATGCCGCCCATGCCGTGCTGCCGTTCTACGGCCAAGGCCTCAACGCCGGTCTCGAGGACATCCGCATCTTGTTTGAATCCCTGGATCGACACGGGGTCTACGATCTGGATGCAACCCTCGAATCGCGGGGCGAGGCCCGCCAGGCCGCCTTCCAGGCTTACACCGATCAGCGCTCAGCCGACACCCACGCCATCAACGATCTCTCCAAGCAGAATTACCTCGAGATGCGCTGGGGCGTCAAGCTGCCGCTCTACAGGCTGCGCAAGACGATCGAGGAGTCGCTGGATCGCCATTTCCCCAGTCTAGGCTGGCAGACGCAATACGCTCGGGTCAGCTTCAGCAACCAGCGTTATTCGGAGGTCATTAGCGCAGTCCACCTCCAGGGTCGCCTGTTAGGCTACGGCCTCGTCTCTGCGGTAGTCTCGAGTGCGGCGGTAGTGGGAATTCTGGCGTGGAAGTATCCCGGTTCTTTCTCGCCCTTGTCTGTGCTACGATGTTCGCTGCGACGCCTCGGGGGGCTTATATCCCGAGGGACTGCGTAACCTGGCATGATTGCTTATTTTTATTGATCGTTGAGTGAATAATTGAGCTCTTTTGCATTGGTGGGGGTGGGGAGAAAAAGAAAACGAAAAAAAAAAAACCCCATTCTTTCAGCCGATGTGTTGGCCTTCACTTTTCTTTTGATTCTTATGTATACTCATGTTGCTTTTGAACATATTGTGGTCGTCATCACCTTTTTGCTTTTTCTCGCTGTTATTTGCTTTTAGAATGTAGTATATATCATTATCATAGAACCTATGTCTTTCCCCTTTGTCAATGATTATTTATCATGCTGCTGGAATTAGTAATTGGAAACAAATTGCCCAGTGACACTAACGTGCAAGTTCAAGGCGCCGAGACGTCTGGACACCTCATCATGGAGTCGGTGGCAGGCTGCTGGGGGTGTCTACCTGGATTGTCGGTGATCATGTAGGCGTCAGCAGATCCTTCGCGGATTCAACCAATCTAAAAAGTCCCGGAAAACAAGGGCCAGGGTCTGTCATTTCCTTTTTGTCTAGGACATGCGCCAGACACGATCTTTTTTTGTAAACTGTTCTCTATAGGTGGTTGAGCTCAGGTCAAAGGTGAAAAAAAGTCAAGACTGTAAGACACGGTTGAAACAAAATTAGAGCCCACCTGATCTGTCTTCTTGTTCTTGTTCTTCTTCTTCTTCCTCTTTCTTTCTCCCTTGCCTTAATTAACAGTCATGAGGCGCCAAGATGCGCTTTCTCTTCCAGCAGGGTGTCCTTGGCCGCGGTTCATATCCCAGGGTAAAGAGATGGGCCATCAGCCCGCCGGACAGGATATTCCAAGATAATTTCCAGGGTCATACATCGGATTCACATACATCAATCCCCATCACAGACATAACCAATAAACAAAAGTCAGATAGCAACACCATAAACAGAATGTTCAACGTGTGAATAGACAACAAAAAGAGTTGATCGACAAGAATCAATAGCAAGCAAGCAAACAAAGAAAAATCTAGAAACTGACATCAGACGTGGGTACATGTAAGAGTTATATCCAGAGGCCACATCCAGGCCTGAGCGTACAGTGTGACAACACGTAACGAATTGCAAACAAAATTCACCGAGACAAAGGGGCCATCCATAGATCGACAGTAAAGCTATAGTAAGAGTAGGGCATGGTCGAAGTACCATTCAAACGAGGTACGCCATGACATTGCACACTACACAGTTTCCGAAACGGTTTCGAGTCTCATCATCGCACTACCCATGTAGGGCTTCAGCGACAGGGCCCTTCTGGGATAACCGAAGGCTTGCAAATATAACTCCAGATTTGGGAATGCAAGGATCATCTCTCCATCGGGGTCCGTTGAAAGAATAAAAAAAGGGAGCCTTCATTCCAACCGGTTGGATAAAGGAAATTCCGGGTGGTCCAGGGGTCCAAAGTTGATAATCCAAAAGGTTCAATCCTGAGAAGAGCTTGTCAAGGGACAAGGGGAGAGGTATTCCAATACACAATATACGACTGGATGGGTTTCCAAAAGGATCCGGGGTTTGAAGCTGGAGAAGGAGCATATTGGCCATTTCAAAGGGGAAAACATCTTTTTGCGTTGTGGTAAAAAACGAAACCCCCTCAAGGGCTGGCGAATTTCACCCGACGACTGCGCCGGTCATGGATGCGTTTCTCCGTATCAAGATAAAGACGGTCCAAATATTCCATAGCATTGGCATCTTTTAGGATTTTTGTCACTTGAGTCCCGGCGGAGATGAGTTGAAGTACATTCCGGTCATCCTTGATGGGTCTAGATTGATGTTTGGCAGCATGTCTCATTTCCAGGGAATTTTCCAGGACCGTGACTAATTGCTTGATCTGGCCATTATAGAGAACCCTGGCGGGAATGCGGCGCTTGGTGGCCAACCTTTTTAGGAGATATACCCACTCAGTCCATTCGCGGTCTGAGGGAACCCTCACCTGTCTTTTGTCCGGTTCCAATGGAATTGGAAACTGATACTTTGCAACAAAATCAAATGCGCATTGTGACAGTCTGTCATTCACCGCGCTCAAGATGCGGTCTTGCTCTGAGACATCAAGATTAGTAGGAAGGTGAGGCAAATCCCTCGCTTGCGCCGCAACGATGCGCGGGGAAGGGATCTCTAGGAGCTGATGAGGACCATCAAATTCATCTCGGTTGGATGGTCGTCTCTGGGAGTGGTAACGAGTGCTGCCTTTGAACTTGTCGGCGGCACGTCGACCGTTCCTTTCCACTAGGTAGTCCGAGTTATCGGGCTTTCCGAAGTCGTAACTAGGTCTGAGAGCTTCCGGAGGGAGGCATGCAGGATGATCCCATTCGCGGTACAGAGAAGGTGGACGTGGCAACGATCCGGTCGATGATACAACAATACCGTTTGAAGTATGTGCCGTTACGGGGAGCCCGTTGTAAGACATCGGCAGCTCGAGATCGGGCGACACGTGCTTCGAGGTCCTCGCAGCAGCGATCTGAGCGTCTATTGTACCACCCTCGCGATGGGACGAAAATTGTTTTGCGCTGGGAAAAGCCATTTCGGCGGTCTTAGTACAACATGGCCTCTTTCCAGCAATATGGTACGAGGGCAAATCACACAGGCTGGCTAGATACCTTGGATGATAAATCACGGGGGTCTCGCTAGAAGTTCCATAGATTTGCGAGCGTTGGGGCATAATACTACTGCAAAAGGTGAGCTTCTCGTAGTGACACGGTCAATCAAAAATCGCAGTAGCATGCCAGAGCGTTACAAAGGAGGGGAGTGACAGATGTTCGCTTGAGCTAACCTATGACGGGACCACGTGTCGGAATCACTACCTATCGAGTGAGTGCAAGAGCCACCACTCCCGGAGGTTGTTCCGGAGTAATAACTGAAGGCCGAAGACATTGGTATGATTTGTGGTGGAAGGACTGGCGACATGGAAATTTATGCGTGACTAGGAGAAAACGTGTTGCTAGCAAAAGGGCATAAAAAGTATGGAATTCTTGGTGAAGAGTTCCGAGGTCTTTTGATTTAGTCCAAAGGACTTTGACCGACACCTCACTGAGGGGGTGGACGGCCGCGAGTTAATATAGCGATGAGGCAAACAAGGGCAGTAGTTGAAGGCCCAATCGTTGGGACACCAGATAAGCTCTGACTTCTTCCGGTCCCACGAGAGTAAGGGCAATAATATTTAAAATTAAAACAATGGAGACGGTAATTCGAAATAACATAAAAGAAAATAAAAATAAAATAAAACACGGAAAGGCAGGGTATGAAGAACTCCACACCAGCGGCAAAGGCGTACTGGTAGTCTGGTGCCCCCCGTAGGTAAGATGCCGTTCCTGTCGGGGACAAGCCTTCCGGAGGATATATCAGAATACCACGGGTGACAGAGTCAACGCAGTCACAATGGCCAATCAATTGAGGTCGGATCTTCTCCGCTGAAGTCTCCTTGGGACAAGGGTAGCTAGAGGAGGCTAAACAGGGCCGCCGGTGACGGCATGGAGATGAGAGATTAACTGCTACTTATCTTATGAGCATCGCTAAGGGCCAGGGAAGAACCTGGGGCCAATGAGCCAGTGGTCTGCCGAACCAGTGCATGGAGCGCAACCCCATGGATGAACCCAGTAAAGAACTGGAATCATCCTTTAAGGGGAGAGCAGCATCGGTCTCCGCGTGTTGATCGTATCCACAAAGGAGATAGAGCAGCAGAATGGAGAAACAGGACCAAAAGAGCACAGGATTGCCGACTGCATATTGGGGGGGGTTTGGGCAGCAATGTCCGTCAGGATCCAGCTGGGCGCATGCATATCCACTCGGCACGACGACAGGTTGTCTTTTTTTGTTGTCCTCCTTTTTTTTTATTGTGTTTTAATTTTTTTCTGTTTCGAGGCTTGACCCCATCCGAGATCATTCATCAATGAGATGGCCGAGAGGGTCTTGGGGATTAAGTTGACAGCGGGGGTGGATGGCGAAGAGGAAAGAAGGAGGGAAGATCGCGAAGGGTTGTCGAGACCCTCGGGAGATCCCGTGCGGCCTAAGGGGTTGGCCTCAGGATCCCAGTCCGTCACGCCTCTTCCTCCATGTTTCTCATCCCCATCTGATCCTCCCTGTGATCTAGACACTGCTCACTTTACACCGAATTTTCTGTTTCCAATGCTCAGTTCTTGTGGGTTCCCGAGAATCCTGTTGATCACCGACCCATCTAGAGCAGAACTCCGGTTCCAGCAGGGGGCGCACGGCGGGCCATAGTCTACGTTATTACCATGATGTCTGAAAGTAAAGGCAACTGTGGATATGGAGCACGCGCCAGAGTTGGACCGATGGCGGCCTAATTTTGGGATCCTACTGTGGAGAGCATGGATCTTCACCTGTCCTGTTGGGATTCTGATACTTCTCGACGCAGTTGGGCATACATTACTGCATGCCTTGTTGCCCAAGCTGCAAGCCATCGTATTGGCCTATTCTCGTCCCAGGTGTGGACGAGTCTGCAAAACGGATCCTGCGAAATCAGGTCATCGATCGAGGAAAACAACCCAATGATCGATTTCGCCCAGCTCTGCTTATCGGAAAATTTTATGTACAACAGGGGGTCAATTATTTCAGTGTAGAACCGGGCGATTCCCTTGCTCACTCCCTCCAAACGTCGGTACATGGAGGCAGGGAAGAAGCTGCCGCTGATGTCGCCACCCAGCAAAAGGAATATGGGAAAATAAAAAATGAGAATAAAAAAATGGGGGGACGTCAGGAGGTGAGAAGACCGAAGGTCAAACAAGGGGGTTCTTTCGATCCAGCGCAACTTGTGAAACATCACGTTGGCATACATAGTTAATATCTTAAGAGTCCATAGGAGCCCCCGGAAATGATCTCGTGAGCGCGAAGCCGAGCAATTCCCGTGCTTCGTAACCGCCTATAGCCCCTTAGCATGTCGCGTTCAGAACAACACGTTCTTTGTCCGTCATCGATGACAGGGTTACACCGGCCAAGTAGTCTCGACATACGTGGAGATCATTCTTCCTTTTCGGATTGCTTCTGGGCCGGTAATTTAATGCCTAGACGACGGGCATAATCCTAGAACCCCGGGTCAGAAAAAAATCATTCGATCGATTGGACAACTGCAGGCCATTCTAGATATGCACGTACCTCACAGCTCAAGCGAATCCCATCTTCCAGTCCAATACGAGCTTCGTACCCCAAGATGGTCTTTGCCTTTACTCCACTAGCATAGCGAACGGAACATGCATCTTTGACACTGCCGCGGCTCAGGGTAGCAGGTGTCCCCAAAACCCAGGTCAAACATTCGGACATCAAACCGGCAAAGTGGGCCAGAGCCTTGGGGATTTGGACTTCGAAAGGTGGGATATGACCAAAATGAGACCATACGGCGAGACAAAAGTCCCTGAAAGTGATTGGCTCGTTGTTCTGTATGAAGAAGACTTCACCGGCGGCTGTCCTCGACGACATCAAATTCTCGGCAGCCAAGACGTGGGCATCTGCAATGTTGGAGACATACGTGACGTCCCATAGGTTAAATCCATCCCCGATGATAAAAGGGGTTTCGCTCTTGGCAATGCATGCATGGATCGAGGGGACAAGCAAAGTGTCGCCAGGCCCGCAGAGCACGGAAGGCCGGAGGGAGCAGGTAGCCATCACATCGCCGGATTCTTCGATTACCAATGCCTCCGCAGTAGCCTGTTAAATTGGATTGGAAACGTCAGTCGGTTAATTATTACCTCACAAATACAACGACGGCCGACTCTTCGGGGGAATAAAAACCTTTGATTCGCCATATATCAGTGACGAGGGAGACGCCGGCCATCTTTCATCGATATTCGGAAATGGCAGGTCCAGATAATCTGTCACGACGCAGCAGCTGCTTGTGTACACGAAGCCCTTCACCCCGCTCCTTTTTGCCGCCTCCAGCATGTTCCTAGTTCCCTCAACATTGATCTTTCGAGTTAGGCTTTCTAATCTTCGACTGAATCGCTCGCTCACGCCTGGGACAATCCCGGCTGTGTGGATGACAATGTCTGGTCTGATCCGTTGAAATGCCTCGCTGACTTCTTCCTTGTTGGTGACATCGACCCGAACGAAGGCAACTCCCCCCGGAACAATATGCATAGGCCCAGGAGGGTTCAGGTCTATGATGGTAAGTGAACATTGAGGATGTTTCTCGGCAATTGCTCTGGCAATAGCTGCACCCACAAAGCCGCTACCCCCTGACAACAAGACCTTTTTCAATGATCTTTCGTCTGTAGACATGATGCAGCGACCTTGAAAGAAATCTTCGATTTTGCCTGTTAGTTCGAGATTGCTTCTCCTCTCACACTCACGCCCCCGAAACAACCGACGTCGCGTACGGTATAGTACGACGCGTGCCAACTAGTCTAATGCGACACACCCGAAAAATCTAGATGAACATGGTTGGGGGTGACGGTGATGAGTAAGTCAATTAAAACGATGAGGCTCGGTCTTTCGCAGGAAGCATTCACCGGTTCAGGTTGCTCTGAGAGGAAGGCAATTGGTTGTTGTTGCAGTTGGAAGGCGGAGGGCGGAGGCACATGACATCGAGGAATGAACGATAATCACGGAACATTCCACACTGTGCCACCTGCATATTACAGAAATATACCGTCTGCAAAGAATCCGAGGGGAGAGCGAAGATCAAGTCAATGAAGAAAAAGGTCCGTAAACACTAAGTAATACATGAAGTCGAGCCTATGTTACTGTACAAAGGTATCTATCCCAACAATCGCAAATATCAGATACCAAAACATGGGATGAGACACTGCGACAATCCAAACTCCAGTAGAAATGCAAATCCCACAACATTCATAAAGCAAACGCTCCATCTTCCAGTTTCCCTCCGTCTTTCGCCGCAGTTACAGAATCCGGCAAAGGACCAGGCCTCCCACCTTCTTCTCAACACATTCTCGCGCCTCCATGATACCCCGGTCCGTCGAAAGGTACAGACTTTCACCCGGGGATCGAAGTCCTTCCACATAGCCGCTCTTCTTTCCGCGGACCACATCCCGAAGACCGGCAACGTCGATCGAGATCCTTCGCGTGGGCTTGCTGACCATCTTCAATTTGCCTAGCACCGGCTCGCTTTGCCAGTACTTCAACCCCAGCCAGAGTCGCCTCGACGCCACGTTGGTTTGTGTCACGGGTTCCACGTTAGAAGTGTCCGGGTGACCAAGAAGCGTATGTTGGGGGGGAGGAGTTGGGCCGCCCCGAACGACGGAGGAAATGTAGCCGCCGGACTGAAGGGCAAGGCATAGTTTGAGGTGTAGTTTCGAGTTCGGGATAGACGTAAGTCCAAGGCGGGCCTTGGCGGCATTGTTCAAATGCGAACAGACATGGGATAGGTTGACGAGAGACATCTTGGAGGCGGGTCTTGAAGATTGTTGACGGGGCGGGAGTCTGGGATCGATAGTTGTGGTACCTGGTGAGCGAAAGAATCAGCGACACGATCACCCAGCACGATGGAAATTTGCGAGAATTGGTCAATAAGAAAGGCTTCGGGTTGCCAGCACATACACTCGCAATTGGACACTCCGCAACACCCAGCACAAGGACAAACCGAGAGAATGGGACGGGACGACGGCAGAGAAGCAGTCGATCTTGCGGAAACTCCGATGAGAAATTTTCGGACAAACAGTTCTGCCGCGGTGAGCTCCGAGGAAGCTTATGTAATCCCGCTGTCACCCCATTTTCTCTCGGCTCTTTTGTTCTCTCCTCCCATCTACTTTCTACCCTCAAGATATTATGGCCATCCATGTATCAATCAGCGATGCTGAAGAAGTCCATAGCTACCTGACATAGCTTTCTCGGCCCCTTTTCAGGCCTCCCTCAGACAATGCAACATGCCAAGGACTTATTTCTCCCGTGTCTCCTAGTCTTCTACTATTCTCTAGGCCGGTGGTGTTCCCTTGACTAGCTGCAGCTAATCAACTAATCACGGCCGATCATGCATCTCCAAGCGCCCTCGTAGCCGCCGGGGTCTCGACGCTGCATCTCAGAGGCCAGTTCCTTGTTTCCCCTCGTTTGATGCCTATATATATCAGAATGTCCGATTTTTATCCCTCCTGCTCCCCGCGCTTCTCCTGTCTCTACATTTTCCCCTCGTAGCCCAATTCTGCCACTATCCAACAGGTCACCATGCCTCCGATGCAGGGTGAAGAGCGTGTGCTGACCGTGTGAGTGAGGATACACATTACCCCGCATGCTACCGTTTGCGCTGCGAATGTCGAAATGCGATCGCCTGTTGTGAGCTGGACTGACTGTGTCTAGTTTTGCCGACATTCATTACTATTTCACAGCCCCCACCCCCAAGCCTTTGCATCATCGGTTTGATAAAGGCTCATACCTCTATCTTTACTACAATGCCACCCAGCAGAAGATACGGATTGAGGTAGCCAACAACCCAGGCGCCCCCGAACAAGACTCGTTCAATGGAGGTCAGTTACCATTGCTGCTTGACCACTCCATCATCCTCAGTCCGCTAATCAGTTGACCACTGACCACCAGCCCTCGACCGGGTTCATGTCCGCCATTCGACCAGGTTCCCGTCTCTATGTACATTAACGGTGGATGGGCAAGTGCAACCTCAGGGACAAGCCTTTCCCCCGCCCCCAGGTGCCGATGCCTACGAATGGCTACTGCCAAGTGGTGATCCTCGTGAGCAGAGCGACGACCTTTTGCTTCTTCACACGTTGGACATCTATTTTTGGACGTCTGACGACGCAGGCAAGTTTCTGGACTTGATTGAGCGCTGTCTTTCCCGCTCCCAGATAGAGACAGACCGGCAACCGCTTCCACCTCCGCCGCAAACCACGGCCACGAGTACGGTAGTTCAACAGCTAGAAAACGTGGCGATAACAGATCCCGCTTACCAGAACGGTCAAACCCGGAATTCTCAATCCAGAGCGAGTATCGCAAATCCTATTGTGCCCAACTTCCAATCGATGATAGTACCCGGCTCTCTCCCCCCTCCACCTCCGCTCAACGGACCTCCGTCATCAAACGTCGGACGAGGGCCCTCGGTCGATGAACCGAAAGACCCGGCGCAATTCACTCCTTTACCGTATAATCCCGCTGCGCCCGCCGCCCCCGAGCCGATTCAGCATCGCGAGAAAACCCCTCCGCCAGTCGACGGTGCTGACGGAACCGGGCTCGCAGCCGCTGTGGCTGCCGACAACGGCGTTCCTTACAATCCTCCATCTCAGCTCTCGGGCGTAGGAAGTTTCGCACCCCCTCCTACTCAAGGATTACCTTTTTCGATGCCGGGAAACTATGCCTCGCCACCTCCAAGCGCAGGGCTCACTCACTCTGGGTCTTTTTCTTCTCGGTCCTCCATCCAGAGTCCACCGGGAGCTCCGTCATACACACCCTCGTTCCCTGCCGGCACCAATCAAACCGCCACTACACCTCCTGTCCAGATGTCTTTTGCACCACCCCCCAAAGACCCCAACGCGCATCTCTACGGTCAAACGCAAAATCAAAATCCCTACGGATCGCAGCCTCAAGTCCAGCCTCAAGTCCAGCCTCAAGTCCAGCCGACCTCACCTCCGCCTCCGGTAGGTGGTTACTCAAACTACTCCTACGAACAAGCACCAAGGCGTCAATCTACGAATAGCGAATACGACATTCATAAGCAGATGTATCGACCCACGGAAGCAGAGGCTGCCTCTCATCATCAAAAGTATGCCCAGCAAGCTGTGCAGAACCCCGGACAACGGCCTCGAAAGCTGGAGGACAGTGCCTCGCGATTCGAAGGTGGTGTGAATAGATTTCTGAAGAAGCTGGAGAAGAAGCTATGAATGTTAGTTGTTGATACGGATGGGGTCTTTACTTTGATGTCTATTTCCTTTTTATTTCTCCGGAGTTTGGTTTTTATTCGTATGCTCTTTCATGGTGAATGTACGGCAGAATGTACGAGAGTCAGGCATGTAGTGCAAATATCCAAGTCAGACTGCTTCCTAAAGACAACTCAACGATGCTAAGACCATCCATGGATGGATGCCAGAGTTCACTCCTGACTTGGGACTAGTGAGTCAGCAATGGTTCGAATGTCCCTCCTTGATTGGCAACGGTCAATCAATGCTGACACTAATTCCTGGTTGGTTATCGGCAGTCCGATCACTAAAACAGCCCAACGATACTCCGCATCCACTCCGACTCCGCTCTCCGATCTTCGCTCTCGCCGACGCACCCTCAATACACCGAGGATTTTCATCTACACTTGTTAGCCATGACATCCCGACTGGCAGCCTGTGAGGTCTGCCGGAAGGCAAAACTTGCCTGCGATCACAAGTGGCCGACCTGCACTCGTTGCGAGAACAGCAACAAAACAGGCATTTGTATCTACCGAGTCGCCCCGTTCAAAAGGAAAAGACCGGCCAACCCTTCATCTCCAGAAGTGTCCAAAAGAGTCCATTTGTCCGGGATTTCATCGTCTTCCTTCAACTCTAGACCCAGCGTATATCCAAATCCCGGGTATTTGGGGTCCTCTAGTCACGCCACAATCTTCGAACACATCTCTTTAGATGAAAGCGCTCCTACAGGGGAACCGCGCCCTTCTGATCTGGCCCTGTCGGGACCACCATGTCCCCAGCTAGCCGATGACGGCTGTCTGCTTCGAGGAGCCGACATTCTCAGGCAGCTTTTAAATTCATTTCCCTTGACGACCATGAACGACCTCGTCATGTTTTGGCTTGCAAAAGGAGCGAACCTAGCCCTTGCCGAACCATTCGTTGACGGATGTGCTAATTGCATCATGGACTCGTTCTCATCACTTTCACAAGACGAAAAACTGGCACTTGGCTTTCGCGAGCCGACTTCTCCGCAATTCAGCACAGCCCTTAGAGTTTGCCTCTGATACAAGCCTTTCGGATTTCATGGCACAGTTCGTGGGTAACAACCTTCGATGGGAGGCTCTAGGTATCTTTTTTTCAGCCGTGAACCGAGCTACGTACGATATCCCGTTCTTTCCCCGGCTATACATGACACGAGAAGAGCAGTATGCTCTCCGTCAGCTTTGTACAAGACTCAGTGACGCTTCATTGAAGATTTCTCTGTCCCTAGATTGTCTCAATGACCTACAACTTATTTTACAATACGAAAATTTCATCATACATTCTAACGTCGATGGTGCTCAAAGTATGTGACTATTACATCATTCAATGAAACAAGTGGCTCATTCATCAAGGTTATCACCCGTGGCGCAAACTTGGCGATGTCATGTCTTCGATGTTTGCCCTTGGATATCACGAGAACGTCGAGACTAAGACAGATGCTCCTCCTTTTCTTATGAAGTTGCGCAAAACAGCTTTTGCTAGGGTCTACTCTGCAGACAAGAATATTGCGATCTTTCTTGGCCGACCACCACGCATGAGCAAACGTTTTTGTCATTTTCAAATCCCCTCGAGCTTTCCTGAGTCACATGGTAATGAAGCCGAATGGAATCCGGAGGCAAAGCCTAGCTACACGGAAGAAACACGCTGGTCTGCTCTTTGCGCTTCCTTGAAGGAAGAAATCCTTGAGCTAGCCCGAGACAAGCAGCATGCATGCGAACAGAAGCTTAGGTAGTCCTCAATCGCTGCAGCCAATCGAGGCCGTTTGCTGACGGAAACAGTGCAATACAGGATAGAGCCGAGGCTCAGTGGCGAGCGCTTCCTCCTCAATTCCGACTAGAGGGTAGCATCAGACAATATAATCAAAGGTCTCCATTCGAACGGGATTTTCTGATTAGTGCGCGGCTGAACCAGTTACATGTTCTCTTTCTGCTTCGTCTATTGCTATTGGACACTCTTGTTGATCCCGACACGTCGATAGTTATCATCGCCGGAGAGATGCTTGCTCTGGTCGTTGAGATTATCTTAATTCGCGACCAGCTTACGAACTCTGGCACCGGACTTATTTGGAAGGTAACTTGCGGTTTACGCTGTTTGCTGCTGAGATTGCTAAGCATATATCAGATTGCGCACTATGGCCTACCTGCTGCTGGTATAGTCCTGCTTGCGATGCTCAAACAGCGAACTTCACCACTACCGCTCGGTAAATCGAGGACAAAGATATTACAAGACCTCAGCATCTTTGTTGCAGAGATTCAGATAGGGGCAATTGTAATCGAGGCAGATCCAATCTACGGGCTGATCACCAAGGCTACACAGACAATCCAACGGTTTCTTGAATCCTTTTATTCCGAACCACTACACCCCGCACCAGAAACGACGACAGCGGATGATCATCGGGTCGACGATTGGGCAAGTGTATTAGGGCAAGATCTTTGGGATTTCGAGTCTGGATTCTGGCAAAACCTGGCAGATCACCCTTCACTAATGGCTTTTGACTCTGATTTAACAGAGGCCTAGCGGCTTTGAACAGTGCCAAAGAAATGCCTTGAATTAGTGCTTAGGTGTCTAACAAGAGAACTCGTCTGTTACAGCGTTGGCAAATATTCTCACCCCCTCGGCCAAATCACCCTCCGGGGCAGCCGCAAAGGTCATCCGAAAATGCAGCTCGTCCGTCAAATCCTTGTTGCACTGAAAGAGAGACCCTTTGGTAACCTGTGCTCCATTCAGGAGCGCACAGGACATAATTCGGCCCTCTATCTCCACAAGTTTCTGCGTTACATCCTCGAACTCGGTCTGGGTCTTAAACCGCGGATGCTTTTTCCAATCCAACTTGACCCAGAGGAACATACCATACTCCGGTGGTACCCAGTCACAGACCTCCTTGGGCAAGTACCGCTTGCAGGCGTCCAGAATAGTATCCCGGCGGGAGCGATAGCCACGGGATAGATTATCAAGCCAAGAGAAGAAGCCCTGGTGGCCCCAGGTGTCATCCAGTAACTTCCACAGCATCAACTGCGCCGGACCGTTCACTGCAATAGTGCTGACCTCATGATAAGCAAGGAACTTATCGATGACCAGGCTACTCGCCGTCACCCACCCAGCGCGCAGTCCCGGGGCGAGAATCTTAGATGCCGAATCCAGTCGCACGACGCGACCTGCCCGGTCAAGAGACAGATAAGAGGGAATATCATCTTGGTCGCTGTCATTTCTCCGCTGTCCAGTGCAATCGCCCAGTCTTAGGAAATAATACGGATCATCTTCGATGACAACCAGGTCAAACTCCTCGGCAACCTGATAAATCGCCCTTCTCCTCGCCACCGACTGCGTCGCACCCGTGGGATTCTGCCCCGACGGAATCGTATACAAAACCGAGGGCCTAGGTCCCCTTGACTCCTCATTCCAAGAACTCAGCACCTCACGCAGATGATCCGGACACATCCCCTCCGAATCCATCCGGATGCCTTGAACCTGAGCCCCCACCAAATTGGCCACTTCAACCGCCCCGGAATACGTATACCGCTCCGCCAGAATCGTATCCCCACGGTTACAGAAAACGCGCAACGCGATCTCCAGCGCAGACGTCGACCCAGCCGAGAGCATCGTCCCCCAGTCCGCATAGGGCGGGTTATGCACGAGCTCCACGTGCTCGGTCACAAAGCGCACCAGGTGCGGCGATCCAGCGGCATGACCGTAGCTCAGGGCCAGAGACAGGTTATACCCTTCATCGTGCTTGCCGATCATCTGCTCACACTTTTCATTCGGCAGCGCATTCCCCTTAGCCTGGAAGAGCACGGCATTCCACGGATAATGCTCCGCTGTTGGCCGGCCGGTCCCCAGAGAGATGACCTTCCGAGTACCCGGGAGACGCGCCGAGTTCTTCAACGCGGAGCCATGGAACCCTCGACTCTCGAGACTGAAGTGGTGGGATAGGGGTGTTGATTTCGGCTTTGCATGGTTGTGCGCAGACTTGAAGGACTCGGAGCTGGTGGAGGGTGCGATGGTGCAAGGGATAGGTGCGGAATTGGCGCGGAGGGAGTCGATGTCGGCGATTGATAAGCGAGACATGATTCTGGGTAGAGGTCTTGAACGATATAATGTACTTGGAGCGATGTTTGGGCCTTCATTCTGTACGAGCTCGACCTATTTATGTTTATGAAGATAGAGCTGATTCTATACGGAGAAAGTATCGGAGTATTCGGCGAGAACGTCTATAGTGCTATCTACTAAGATCTCACCAAAAAGACGAGTCCTATCAGCAGCATTGATTATAATCATATCATTTAAATCAATATTAAATCATTATCAACCAATAGTACAGTTCCTCCAAGTCCCTCAACAAAGACTTACTATGGTATCCAACGAAGTATACACCCAAAACATATACCGGAGTATACTCTAATCAGAACTACAGAATCTTAATAAGACTAGCACCTCTTACCTATAAATCTTAAACAGAGACTAGTTATCTCACCCCCGCATATCCCAGAACGGAATTTCTCGGCCCGGAATCAGATATCACATCCAGGCTGGTTGCCACATAACTTGCGCCCTGCGGGTGACCATCCCCATGACCGAGGCTAGCCTAATCTAACCCCGCCAGATTGCTCCGGATCTATGGGATAGCAACATATGTTTAATAAAAATAACATCTAACTGAATATGTAATTTCAGGTAAATTCAAACAAAATGATCAATGACAATATAAATATAAAAGAGAAGAAATAAAAAGAAAAATGCGGTGTGAACTACAAGTGCAGGGAACACAGTACCTATGAATGGCTAGCATCGGAGTAGACGTCGGAGTGCTCGGCGAACAGAACCCCAACCGCAACGCTCCAATCGCGGCGCTTCGATGCGGTCGTGGCTCATACGTAAGATGCTTGCCGATTGGCCTATATATACTTGGGTTATCGCAGGTCTGTCCGTATCGCTTCCTTTCTTCTTCCAATTCTCAACTTCTTTGTTTTGTTCCGGGATACATTCAGTACTCTACCTCAGTACCTGGATCTCAACTTCAGTATCTCAAGAATCCACATATCCTCTATCCTCTATCCACCTACCTTCCTACTGCTAGACCTTAACATGACGCAAACCAAATCCCCTCCCCAAACCACCACAGTAGCAAACTACCTGCTCACCCGGCTCCGCCAACTAGGCATCCAATCCGTCTTCGGCGTGCCAGGAGACTACAACCTGCGCCTCCTGGACTTCGTGATCCCCTCTGGCCTCCACTGGGTCGGGACCTGCAACGAGCTGAACGCCGCCTACGCCGCAGACGCCTACGCGCGCATCAACGGCCTCTCGGCCCTGATCACCACCTTCGGCGTGGGCGAGCTGTCGGCCATCAACGGCATCGCGGGCGCCTATGCCGAGAAGGCGGGCGTGATTCATATCGTGGGGACGCCGGCGCGCACGCTGCAGGATGGCCGCGCCCTGATGCACCACACGTTCGCGGACGGGGACTACCGGCGGTTCAGCAAGATGGCGGAGCATGTGACGGTGGCGCAGACGAATCTGGTGGATGAGAGGACGATGCCAGAGCAGGTGGATTGGGCGCTGAAGCAGGCGGTTTTGCAGAGTCGGCCGGTGTATATCGAGGTGCCGGATGATGTGGTGGATGTCTTGGTGTCGGCGGAGAGGTTGGAGAGTGAATTAGAGGTTCCAGAGGCGTTGGAGTTGGGCGGTAGAGAGGCTGATGAGCTGATCAAGCAGGTCCAGGAGCGCATCTACCAGGCCAAGCAGCCTCTGATCCTGGTAGACGGCGAGTGTCGTCCTTTGGGGATTCTGAACCAGGTGGATGAACTGGTCAAGAAGACCGAGTGGCCGACGTGGACCACGGTCTTTGGGAAAAGCCTGGTGAATGAAGAACTGCCCAATGTCTATGGGCATTACTCGGGGCCGCTTGCCAGCGCAGAGTGGAAGACATACTTCGAGACGGCCGATCTGATCATCAACCTGGGTCCGCACTACAGCGACACCAACACGCAGGGTTTCGCAACTATCCCGCGGGAATCAGTCTCGATCTCGTTCCTCCCTAACCGAATCCTGGTTGGCAAGGAAATACACCGTGAGCTACCACGCTCGTTCTTACCCCGACTACTTCAGAGCCTGGACACCACTCGAATCCCCAAAATCACAGGACCCCCTAAACTAGTCCACACGGACCTAAGAACCCTCAGCCGTGATGGCCCAATCACGCAGAAGACCTTCTATGATTTCGTCACGCCGCTCTTCCGCCCAGACGATCTCATTCTCACCGAAACAGGAACTGCGTCCCACGGCGGACGGAACTTCCAACTCCCCAGAGACACGCGTCTCTTCGGCGCAGTAACCTGGCTCTCGATCGGATACATGCTCCCCGCGACACTAGGTGCAGCAATTGCGAAGCGAGAACTAAAGAAAGACGAGAATGCCCGCGCTATCCTCTTCATCGGTGACGGGAGCCTGCAGATGAGCGTGCAGGAAATCAGCACGATAATCAGCGAGAAGCTCAACGTCATTCTCTTCGTCGTCAACAATGCTGGATATACTATCGAGCGTGCGATCCACGGACGGAAACAGGCGTATAACGACATTGCGGCATGGAGACATGACCGTGCACTTGGCTTCTTTGGGGCGGACGAGGGCCAGCTTGGGAACAATTTCAGTGCCAGAACATATCAGGAGCTAGAAACCGTGCTTTCCGATGATCGGATCCAGTCGGGGACTGGACTGAGAGTCATTGAGGTATTCATGGACAGGGAAGATGTGGAAGGGCTTTTGGCGAATCTGATGAACAGCCAGATCGCGAAGGAACAGCAACAGTGAATAGCCTGAATTGTAACTTAGATTTCAAACGTCTGGCGTCTTTCCAAAGCAGCAAATTAACACAGGGCATAAATCGCAGGTTACCTTCCAAAGAAGTCCAGTGCCATAAGTTGAGTCATCCTAAAAGCGATCAATCCACTGGATCGACCGGGCCATCAAGAAACTCACAACCAAGCAACTGCAGTAAACCCCAAATTCTCAATTAAAGACGACACTAAGCTCTAAACAGAAACAGAAATCGAAAGCAATCAGTCCTGGAGAACTCTGATATGTATGCAATATGCAGTTTATAACGCTAAGACAAGACCAAATGGGACCAAACACAACTCCACCAGCAGATGCTCCAGCTTGCACACATTGTCGGCCTTGCTCCAACCATAGAACACAAATGCTTTCCCGAAACCGAGACCTGCAGGACAGATCAAGTCAAGTAAAAAAGAAACCAGCTTGGAATAGAAAAGAAAAGTTGCGTGAAGACCTTCCTATTGATCGTATCACGACTATCAAAAGGGTATAACGAAGAAAGTAGATGACAAGAATTGAATAAAAAATGGGAGCAAATTTGAAAAAGAAATATTGGGGTTTTTTGATCTTCAAGCTGACAAATGGAACCACACGGCTAGCAGCTTAATGGTTTCATCTAGGTCAGGGACAACTTGGCGATATCAATCTCGTCAGTGTCCTTCGATTCGGGAGCGGGCGCAGCAGACTCGGGGAGATCGCTAGCGGTCTTGTCTGCCACGGTCTGCTCGGGGACTGCAGGCTCGGCGGGCTCCTTGGGCTCGACGGAAGAGTTGTTCTCACTCAGGTCCGTAGGCTGGGCAGGAGCATCGATAGACTCGACGGGGGAGGCAGCATCTTCGGTGGCCGACTGGGCAGCATCAGCGGTCTGTTCCACCGAGGGCTCAGTAGGCTGCTCAACCTGCTCGACAGAGGTCTCCACGGTAGACTCGATCGACTCCTCGGCAGGGGCAGCCGACGGCTCAGTGGGGGTCTCAATAGGCTGCTTCTCAGCAGTGGTTTCAGTAGAGGGTTCCACGGGAGCTTCGGCAGGCTTCTCCTGAGAGTCCACAGTAGGCTCAACGGGCTTGGGGAGATCGGCTTGGGGCTCGTCAGAAACATCGTTCGATGTCTCTTCCTTGATGACAGGCTCCGTGGCGATTTCCTTCTGGAGGGCCTCGTTCGCCTTCTCAACAGGTGTGGGCTGAGCTTTCTCACCATTCTTGGCCACACGGGGGGCTCGAATCTCGGCCTTGGAAGCCACCTTCTTCACCGGTGCACGAGTCGGCTTCGAGGTGCGGGGAGGGCTCTTCACGTCGACCTTCTCGTGGGTCTTGCTGGCAGAGCTGGCGGTGGGGCGCATCATGCGAGCCAAGAAGCCCTCGTCGACAGGCTTAGAGCTGCCATTGCTCACTCGGGATTGGGGTCGCTCGCCTCCGGAAGGAGGGGAGGGGCGGGAGGTCTTGCGCACGCTCGACGCAGTGGGGGTAATTGCGCGCTGCTGGGTCCCGGGGTTGGCAGATTTCAGGGTCGACGGCTTGCGAGTGAGTCTAGAAGTGGCCGTTCCGGTAGCACCTGACTTACTGCCGGCAGACGACAAAGTCGGGGCCGTCGCCGAGGGTGGGAGGCGGGTAGACTTGGCCGGGGATCTGGATCGGGGCTTGGTGGCACGGGATGCATCAGAAGCGCCGGTCTTAGTGGCCTCACGCGCGGGCATCGAAGCGCGGGCAGGTCGCGGAGCGGTGGTTCTAGTCGCAGTAGTCGCAGGGTTCAGGGATGTCCGGCTTGGCTTGTGAGCGGGGGCTCGAGTGGCAGCAGGAGGAGGCTTCGGAGAACGGGCCGTCCTGGTTTTCTCGGTTTCAGTCTTTGCCGGGGACGTCGGAGTACGCGGTTGAACAGAAGATTTTGGGGCCGTGGCGGAGGTCGGCTTAGGGGCCGGTTTGTTGGTAGCGGCTGTCTTTCCCACCTGGATTGCCGAGGGTCGCTTGGTAACGGTTTTGGTTGTTTTCGCGGGAGAGGCGGTGGGGGGCGCAGGGGTGACCGTAATGGCAGCAGGTTCCGAAACAGGCTGGTTTTCCTTGTCGTGCGATGAGACAGCTTCCTTCACCGGAGACTTCAAGCTTTCTTCAACCGGTGCCTCTGGAGCCTCAACAACCTGTGGAGCAGGGGCCGGGGGTTCAGACAGCTCCTTGGAGCTGATCTCTTTGGATTCAGTGCCATTTTCGGTCGCGTTCTGTTCGGTTGGGAAGCCACTGCTGGAAGGGGATGCCGACAAGGGACTTTTCAGACTGGCACCATCGTCGGAGTTGAAGCTTCTGACCCTGAGCGGAGCGGCGGGACTCTCGCTGCGGCCGCTGGTCTTGCGCAGACCGGCCACTGGAGATTGCACGGCACCATCGACGGCGACGAAGCTGGCCCGCACCTTGGACAGCGGTCTGGCCGAGCCCGAATTCTCCGAATCGACGGGAGACCGACCGCGGGAAGGAGGGGAGGTGGTGCTGCTCTGGCTGTTCTCAAACCGGGCAAGGAGATTCCTCACACCTGGATGAGCGCCAGTGTCGTTCATGACGTCTCGCTTGAAAGGGACAGCCACGTCAGGCGAGGTCTTCAGGCGAACAGAGGGGGGGAGGTGAAGAGAAGGTGTGGGACAGCGGCAGGTGGCAGCTTGAGGGGTAACCGAGTGCAGCGGGTCTGCAGGAAGAGTGGGAGGGACCGATAATTCCACGGGCAAGGTCGCAATGGCGGCTGATGCAGATAAATTGACAATGACAGGACGCGCCTGACGTGAGGGGAGCGGGTGACGTGATATAAACAGACCCAAACAATCAACGCGGAGTCAGAAGGAGTGGAAGTGGAGAGACAACAAAGCTAGCAGGAAGTCAACGTCGACAGCACAAAGTACGGATCGGACATTATGGGATCAATGAGAGAGCGGTAGAGGTGACCAGAGAGACCAACGGGCCAGAATCGATGGAAAAGAGAAGGAAGAAGAGAGAAGAAGAAAAGAAGGAAGAGAGAAGGAAGAGGGAAAGGAGAGACAAAAAGTGGAGGGACACGGGGGCAACGCCTGAGGCAGCGGTTTCAGGGGTCGGATCCGCGGCTTCACTTTAATAGTTTCAGGTGCCTCTCGCCATTATTAATCGCGTCGCACTCCCTCATCCCTACGTGGCCAGGCATTTCAATATACGGAGAAGGTGGGTTTCCATCGAAGCCCTGTCGCCGTTTATCGCCTCCTAGTGCCTTCGTCCTTGGTCGATATTGTTGATCGTCGTCTAGCCGGGGAAGACCCCTTGCACGAAGTACGCTGGCTCAGGGCTGGATCTCTTATTGGCCTTCTACGCTCTTCATCGGGCTTTCAGAGTTCAGATCAAGGAACGAACCCTTGGAGAGGAGGGGGGGGCATGTCATACATGGCCTCCTGCGGTAGGACTAGGGCCATCAACCATGTATCACTATTTCTCCTGTCCCTGCAGTCGGCGGTCCCCCACAGTCCCTAGAGGCCAGGTTGCAGCAGCCTGGACGAATCAACGGTCCGAATCCGTGAAGTCCACTTCCGATAGCCTGCAGAAGGAGACCAGAATGCCGACTGGGCGTGGGAAGGATGTCGCCTCCTGGAGCTGACCCACCGGTGCAAACGATGGTCTGTCTGTGGACTGAGCTGACTGTACGCAGTATACTCCGGAGTACTCTGGAGTGTCACAAGGATAGTGTAGATTCGCTTGGGTTCTTTTTCGATCAAAGCAAAGAGTTGGCTCCTAGGCCTAAGCTTACTGCAATAACCAACGGTTGTCACCGATATCCAGGGGCCGGGGCCACCAGAGGTCCGACCAACAAAACAAGAATAATACAATGAAAACCAGATCAATACCTGCTCACTCATCTTGGTTTAATATATTGTGTACGTGCTAGTAGCAACTGATTGGCTATGCACCGTACTACTTGTACTCAGGTGTTGTTGACTTGCGTCATTTGTCCCTGACTACTCCGTATACATGCGTACGAGTAGAATATAGATGGAAAGGGCCGAGCCCTACGGGTAGATCTCCTTACTACCGCGTACTATCGTGCGACTCTAGGCTCTAGAGCTCCTTCTCCGTATGGAGTACTCCGTAGAGGGGCCAGAAATAATAACGATTTCATCATGACATCGTCAGCACAATCAAAACAAAACTCCGACCGGCAGATCGCAAGACGCAAGACGATCGACGACCAGCGGGAAGACGTTGATCCGCTCCGCATACAAATGGGCTCCGATTGCGGGCGCCGTTAAACGGACGTTTCTTCCGCGGACTCATTCTTGCTCATCACACTCGCCATGGCTGCTGCTCGGACGCTTCGCATAGGTCAATTGGTCTTTTCCTTCTGAATTTGTCTTCGTGATGTCTGTGGGAGCAACAACTGACCCTCTCGCCTCTCCTTAGGTCTCATTCCCGGTGATGGTATCGGACGGGAGGTCATTCCGGTATGACTCCGACCTGGAAACTCCGATTGAGAATTCCCCCATGCTAACTGCGAAATTGATAATGACAGGCCGGTAGACGGATCCTGGAATCCCTGCCCTCTTCTCTCAACCTGAAGTTCAGCTTCGTGGACCTGGATGCGGGTTACGACACCTTCAAGGCCACCGGAACTGCGCTGCCCGACAAGACCGTGGATACTCTGAAGAAGGAGTGTGATGGAGCTCTGTTCGGTGCTGTCAGGTGTGTTCAATCCTGTTTATCGTATATTCTACGCTACGTATAATTGACTAATCTTGCTTCCCCATGGATAGCTCCCCCAGCACCAAGGTGGCCGGCTACTCGTCTCCGATTGTCGCCCTCCGCAAGAAGCTGGACCTCTACGCCAACGTCCGACCGGTCAAGTCCACCACCGGTGGCAGCCACGGCAACCCCATTGACCTGGTGATTGTGCGTGAGAACACCGAGGACCTGTACGTCAAGGAGGAGCAGAGCCGGGACACCCCCAACGGCAAGGTGGCCGAGGCCATCAAGCGGATCTCCGAGAGCGCCTCGTCGCGCATCTCCACCATCGCCGGTGAGATCGCTCTGCGCCGCCAGAAGATCCGCGACGTGGCACCCACGCCCGCTCTGCGCACCAACCCCCTGGTGACCATCACCCACAAGTCCAACGTGCTGTCGCAGACCGACGGCCTGTTCCGCGAGACGGCCCGCAAGGCCCTCGCCGCCCAGCGCTTCTCCTCCGTCGAGGTGGAGGAGCAGATCGTCGACTCGATGGTCTACAAGCTCTTCCGCCAGCCCGAGTACTACGACGTCATCGTCGCCCCCAACCTGTACGGCGACATCCTGTCCGACGGCGCCGCCGCTCTGGTCGGCAGTCTGGGTCTGGTGCCCAGTGCCAACGTTGGTGACGGCTTTGCCATCGGTGAGCCCTGCCACGGCAGTGCCCCTGACATCGAGGGCAAGGGCATCGCCAACCCCATCGCCACGCTGCGCAGTGTGGCGCTGATGCTGGAGTTCTTGGGCGAGGAGAGCGCCGCCGCCAAGATCTACACGGCCGTCGACGGCAACCTGGACGAGGGCAAGTACCTTTCGCCCGACATGGGCGGAAAGGCCAGCACTCAGGACGTGCTGAACGACGTGCTGAAGAGACTGTAAGAGGATGTACAATGTAAAGAGTAGATAAAATGTATGAATTTGTGACTTGACTATACAATCATTGTAGCTACCCAGCATCACATAGTACACCCATCTAAGATCAACCCCGATCTAATCAACATCATCAGCCCTCGGCTCGGCCTCCCACTCAAACCTGCCCAACTTCCCATTCCCCTTCTCATGCTCCTCCTTACTCTTCTGATTCTCCTGCGCTGCCCACTCGCGATGCATCGGCTCCTCCTGCGAGTCCTGCAACACCAACGTAAACAGCACCACCAGATAAACCTCATCCGTAGCCTTATTCTTCAACACATACCGCAACGCATGATGATCCTCATCAATATACTGCAAAACATGCAGATTGAAGCCGGGCAGACGCAACGAGAAATCTATGCATATCAGCCACCACCCTTTACCCCCATTTCCAACCACAAACAAAAAGAAAAGACGGAAAGCAGAACGTACCATTAAACCCCAAATACGGATTCCCAAAATCCACCCAATAAACCCTCCCCTCCTCAAACACAAACTCCGCTCTCTTCTCCTCCTCCTGAAACCACTTCCTCCGTCCGTCTACATCGCCAGGGACCCCCAGTCCCTCTCGCACCGCAACCCCATCCCCATCCGCCCCCTCCTCGACGACCCCCGCGCCATGCAAGACTGGAACCTCGTCGTCGCGCCGCACCTTCTCCCCAACCCGGAACTGATTCCACGTGGCCAGCGCCGGACTGAACAGGTACGGCTGGTCGGCGTAGGCGTCGCCGTCAAGCGTGGGGTCGATGGACCAGCGGACGAGGCGCAGGGCGGCGTTGAAGCCCGGGGGCAGACGGTCACGGATGGGGCGGTCGAAGTTGTTGCCGAAGAGGAGGTCGGGGCCGGGGACGGGGTGTTTGAAGACGATGGCGAAGGAGATGGAGTATTGGTCGGAGGTGTGGAGGGGGTGCGTGAAGTAGGGGTGGGTTGGGGGGGAGTTGTCGGGGTAGCCTTGTAGTTTGGTAGTGTTAGTGGTTATGTGGTATAGGGAGATAAGCAGGGACGGAGCATACCGGTGTAGTCTTGAATGCGCACGCAGAGGCTGATGGTGGCGTGTTCGTTGTCAATCCGTAGCGTTCTGTCTTCGTTGACGGGCACGATGCGATGCGTGTCCGGGCTGTACTCGGACCCTGCGGTCACTTTTAATCGGTACTTCTGGGCGTGGCTGGACTCGGACATGGTTCGTTTATGTCTATCCGTATGGGGGGTTGTGCTGAGTCTCTACTAATCAATGGTGGGACAGGGTTGCCTCATCCACGAGATTGAGAGCGAGCTAAAGGCATTTGACTGATGATCGACACGACGTCATCGATCAACCATGGTTCGCTCTCGGAACCTAATGTCAACCCCAGTATATACTAGAATCATAGATCATGACTTTCCATTCTCTGCTCAATTATCCTGGTCATTTTTACAAAGCACCCGAAATCCAAAGACCGAGTTTAGCAAGCATACACTGCTCATATCAACAAAAGAAATTCATCATACCCAACCCATGGAGATCAAGCTTGACAATTAAAGATCAGCGGGATCGGAAGGAAGTAGTCCTCGGCAATCCTGCTCACCAGCCTCATCCAGCAGGTCTTCATCGGTAAGAATGCCAATGCCACTGTCCAGCCTTCTCCGCTGCTTCCCCCGTCCGACCTCCACGTCGACGAACCGTGTCGCGCTGAGCGGAGTGATCGGCTCACTACCAGGATTCGTATTATCAGACTGCAGCTCGTCCGACTTCAGTTCGAAATTGGCGGTGCGGACTTTCGCTCTCCGCCGTTCTGCGCTGACGGTTTCCTTCATAAAGGCAAAGGAGCGCGCTTGGTCGGCAGCCCACCTGTCCAGCAGGCTATCCCGGGCCTCGACTTCCAGGCGCAGCTGCTCCTCCAGATCTGCGTTGCCACAACGCAGCTTCTCCATCTCCGATTTGACGCCCTCGAGTGATGTCGTAAGCTCAGAAACATGGACGTTCATTGATCCGAGTTCCTGTTGATGGCGTTGAAGCTGGTCGGTCGCTTGTTGCTCTAGACTCTCGACGATTCGTTGGCGTTCTTGCTCGAGCGACTCGACCTTGGCAGTTAGATCGCTCGCGCGGATGCGATTCTGTTCGACCGTCGCTTCCAGTCCATGAATCCGTGCCTCTCGCTCCGCAAGAGCCGATTCCGCCGCACGGCGGGCTTCCAGTTCGTCCGCCACCTTGGTCTCCAGCTGGGAGACCTGTTCGTTGTGTTTCTCGTTCGCCGAGACCTTGTCTTTTTCTAGGTTCATCACTAGTTGTTCAAGAGTCTTAACCTCGTCGCGATATTTGCTGAGCGCCGCATTTAGTCGGTCAACCCCGATGGTCTGTTCTTGCCCTTCGCGTTCAAGTTCCTGCATTCGCATTCTTGTATGAAGCATGTCTTCGGCTGATGAAGCAATAGAAGCTTCGAGGTCTCCAATCTTCTTCGATGCGACCTCATATCGAACTAGCAACTCGTCAAATTGTCCACGTAAAGCTTTTTCACGGCCAACAGTGCCTTCATGTCGCACTTCTTCTTCCCCTAGGCTCTTCACGAGTAGCTCAACTCGTTTTACCAATGCACCCAGAGTGGCATTTCCATCCCCCAGGCCAGCATTGGCGGTTTCCCCGGGAACTGCACGTTCCAACTGGAGACGAGCTGTGCGAAACCTATCACGCATTTCGTCGACGATCTCTTCCACGTTGCCGCCTGGGAAACCGAGACCAGAAATCTCCTTTTTGATTGTATCCAGAGCGCTCACGGCATCTGAAGCCCGTGTGACAGCTTCGGTTAGGCTAGGAACAAGTTGATCAAAGAATTCTGGTGGTGGAGAAGTCTGGCGCAGATGATGTTCCAACTGTGTTCCCTCCAAAGAAGCAAGCCGAGCTCGACATGCATTGAACAGGTCTTTCTTCTCCTTCCTCGCGGCTTCCAAATCCCGCGAAAGAGCAAGGATATCTGCCTCTCGACGATCTTCAGACCAAGACACGGCTGGAGAGGATGCATGAACTGAACGCTCGGGGGTTAAAGGAGGAAGGTCATGTAGATCCAGCGGCTGGTGTTTGTCGGAGCCGCGGAGATCCGGGGAGTATGACATGAGTATCGTCTCCCCTTCGAAACCGCTGTCGTTGATGCTTATGGTGTCAGCTTCAGATGGCGCGACATCGGAGCGGTGTTGGCGTGAAAGGAAAGAGGAGGACATCTCCCGCAGGCGACAGTTTTCAGATTCCAGATGATCAATTCTCGCCTGGGGAGTCATGCACTCTGTGTCCTCGCCGGACGAAAGGCTGTCGGGAGTATTGCGCGCTCTCTCGCTCAACTCTAGCTGCTTTTTCAAGGCATCCCTCTCCTGCAGCAGAGTCTGTAGAGACTTCTCATACTGCGCAGCCTCCCGCTTCTCACGTTGTATATTATTGATCTCGTCGCTCAGCCCGACCCGACGGATTCGCCGTTGGGTACGAGAATCCAAAATTTGGCGCAACGGGGTAAACTGCACCACTCGCTCGGAAGTAGCTGGGCTGATTGGCATCAAAGGATCCAGCGAGCGGCGAGACTGCGGGAGTGGAGTTGAGCGTCGTCGCGCTCCCCGAGTCGGGGTGCGAGGCCCGTCCGACGTTGCCGATTCATCAAAGGATGTGCGAAGCATTGCCGGCGTCAGACCGGTCGAATAGTTCCGGTCATTCTGCAGCTGAGGGCCCGGGTCGGAAAAACGCACCCTTTTGGCTGCCTGACTGGGAGTTCTGCAAGATGAAGCCCGGGTCAGACGAGCAGTCCCGCACGAGGCAGTGGAGGACGACGGGTCCGCCATAGAAATGGCACTGTTTCGTCTCTTTCGTTGAGACTGCCTGGTATCCATCACCATGGCTATATATATTGGTGTGTCGTTGACGGCAGAGGCAGCTGAAGATATCGAGTTGGTTGTCTGAATATATTTCCGCCAAAACCCAGAAATGAAACCGACAGAACGCTGCCAGATATAAGACTCCAGTATAGATAGGCAGAAGCACAACAAACAGACTGCCTAATTTAAAACACGGCTCGTTGTTACCCCGGAACGCCCGATCGGGAGCCCTTGCGCGTTGCCCTTGCTGTTTTGGGACGTAAACAAATGGCCCGGCAATGGGCGCCTGAGGCCTCAGGCAGCCACTGCCTTGCGTTTAATCAAATGCAGCTGCCGTCAACTGACCTGACAACCTCCGAGAGGATGACAGGCAGCATTCGGCCATCATGTCTCTGGTTGGCTGGCAGGCCGTGCCGCTAGACGTGGGGGATTTTCTCGGTCGAGTCTGGCCAACTTCCCTTCCTTATCCTTAGTGTTGTCAGTCGACAGGGAGCTTCGTTATCTTATCGCCGCTCGCCGCACACATCGCGGGGAGTTCCTCCCTCGACAGCCCTGTTTCTCTGCCATACAGTCGAATGATAAGCACGCTGAATTAGCATACCAGGAAGCACCAGCCGATGACATCGTTCTCTGCCAGAATCGTATCTTGGGGTGGTGTCGACAGCTGAAGATGACGTCATCCACACGCACACTATCGACTTGGTCCTCCTGCCCTCCCCTGCTTCCTTCTTTCCACACTCCCACCGGCGTCTGACTCGCTCTAGGCCAGTTAGCTATCTTCCTTACCTATGCCGATCCACGTCTCTCGTTCTCCGTCTACCACGCCCTCCCTTCCCCTCTACTCCATTGCGTCTTATTCTAGTGCTCATCACCCGGGCGTTCGTCCAGTGGGATTGAGCCCGTGTCTTGCCAAACTCCCCGTCTCTTCCTCGTCTTCCACCCAAGACGACCCCGATGGCCGTGGCATCGATGGATTCGAGACACAAGGACCCGACATTAAGCAAAATCCACCAGCCTTCAACCGTGGAGGTCGAAGTGGACGAACAGCCACGGTCGCCAATGCCAACACCTCCTTCCGAAGAGTCCTCCGACGCGGAAAAGGCCCCGATTCTGCGGCTCCCGCCTGAAATCATACACTCGATCCTATCCCATGTCTCGGCATTGGACCTCGCCCGTGTCTCGGCTACCTGTCGATTTCTCGCGGAGCATGCTGCCTACGATTTTCTCTGGGCGGATTTTATCAACTCGTACTTGCCAACGAAAATCCACGACCCGGGCCCTTTTGACTCGTACCGTAGTCTCTACATTGCCCACCACCCGTGTTGGTTCATCCCGCAGAAGCGGGTGTGGTTTTCGGATACCGAACATACGGGGAATTTGATTCTGGCCCGCTACGATCATCGACGGGGAGTCATTGAGGCCTATCGTGTCATTGCAGAAAGACGCAGCCATCAGTTTCAGATGTGGGACTGGAATCCGGATGTCATTGTCCAAACCTTCTATCCCAAGGCCAGTCTCTGGCTGGACGACCCTGTCCTTCTTCTGAGAAATCCACGGGGGCAGCGGCATTATCTGAATGGCGAAACGCGCATGCCCATGGCTCTTGAGACGCAGCATGTTTTCAACGCCTTCTCGCTATGCTCCGCGGAGAACCCGTCTGACGCGGATCCCAACAATCTGTGGCCACCACCTACCATCCCGAGTGACCACCACGTCTACCGAGATGTAGAACCTCATTTGGCAAATGGAACCTGGCGCCCTCCGAATCTGGACACGATGTCCGAACACGCGTTCCGGATCAGAAGATGGGCCCATTTCCGTCTTGGTATGCCCATCTTCACGGCAGGCCGGAGTGAAACTTTGTCAACCTACTCAACCCTTGATCCCAGCCTATATACTCCTACACGGGAGAAACCCTACCAGGGGATCTGGGTTGGGGACTATTCTGCACATGGCTGCGAGTTTTTGCTCTTTTTGCAGCGTGACATAGAGGGCGGCCATCTTGAAGAACCGCCATCTGACGATGATGAAATTATTCATCGAGGTAGTTTCGAGGCGGTCAAGCTGACAGGGGACCCGAACGTCCCGCGGGGTGAGATATCCTTCGCTTCAAACGACATCGGCCCTGCCGGTTTTGTTCGCACTGCAAACGAATCCCTCTTCCAAGGAGCTAGGATCGTGAGGAGCCGAGGCCATGTGGCTGGTCTCGGATTTAGGGACGGTAAGTCTATGTGATAATCTTCATCTTGGCAGCAGTTTTCTGACATGGCCCCTATTCGTATAGATTCCTTCATTGATTCTCAACTTATCCTTATATCACCCGATTGTATAGCCCACTACTGGGAGACCATGGGGCACATCTCTTATTACCGTCGTCTTGACATCGACGAACTGCTAAAGATATGAACGATGCACAAATTCTTCACCGCATCTTACGAGATTAACGAGTTATGTCTACACCCACTTCCGCTCAATGGCTGGTATTTTTAGTCAAGGCGATTGTGTACACAGTGCAAAGCCAAGCACTTTTGGACTCTTGATTGTCTGGCGAGCACAATCACCTTTTGATCGACATATGGCGGCCATTACTATTCCTTACCAAGTGAACGGACGGGGGTTACGAATGCAATTGTCAAAAGAACCATATTTCGAGGCCTCCATAGCCTTGGAGACCAACCAATTGGCACAGTGAATCGTCCAAGGGGATGTGAGATTGACGGGCCCCTTGTATCACGGACTGATATGATAGTCCACGGTCGACTGGACTTCGCGGCACCGTATTGGACGACTGATGGATCTGTAGGCCAGGCTTAGGAAGACACTGGTGGGTTATTGGTAGAGCAGCGCCAAAGCGACCGCATTCAGAATTGCCAAACCGACACTTATGTACATGCAGGGTATACCGAGGAGACGGGGCAGGGGATATAAATGCAGGAAGGTATACAGGCAAGTCGGAGAATTCCCAACGCCACGGCCCGCCATTTTGTTTGAATGGCAGGCCCAAAAAGGGTGAATCATCAATCATGACACGAGATTACCTGGCGGGAACAGATAACCCTCTCAGCCCACGACGGCTCCTATTCCTCTCCGCTCTACCTTCACTCAGAAACGCAGCGGATGACCCGGCCGACCAACTCCATTGTATTTGAACATCGACGAGACAACCCAGTTGCAAGTACTTTTAGAGTCACAGAATCATGGCCGAAAAGGAACTCGGACATCAACTGTCGAAGGAGATTCGCGTTTATCGACGGCGCTCAAACCAGCTCGTGGAACCCAAGACAGCGACCGACTGGTCCATCACCCACTCGCCAACACCGAGGTAGTTGTCGATCCATTTCTTAAAGTCCTTGTTATCGGTGATGCTGTCGGAGTTCAGACTAGGGCTGTGGAAAACCCCGCGCGATCCCCTCTCGATTGAGGTAGGGGCGCGGGATGAAACGGTCAGCCAAAATCCCATTCCCAAAGCCCAGAGTTATAAAGCAAAACAGCTAGACCAAGTGGTCTGCAGATGAACCACATCCTCCAGGTGTATTATATAGGTATAGGCGATCGAAAGGGGGGGGGGGGGGGGGGGGTATTTACGTAAGACCGGTTGAGCGCTTGACGCCAGCCAGGAAGGCCGAGACTATGGCACTGTTAGCGACAGATCACATGCGGAGGAAGGTTAGGGATAGAAAGGAATAATAAACATACCGAGAACCGCATCGAATGCGTAGTGAGTGATTCGTCCGAACTGCATTCGTATTGAATTAGCAATTGTCTTTGTTGAGCAAGAAGGACCCCATCTCTCCTCTTGCTCTCTCTCCACCTCATCTCAATTCCACCACCAAGCACACCCCCTCTCAAACAGAAACCAAACACACAGAGAGACAGAGTACACACCATCATGAAATAGCAACCCAACCCAACACTTAAGAAGATCCAACAAGATGCGACAACCAGCTCGTAGCTAGGGTATAGATCGGGACCGCGTAGGCACAAGCACAGAAAAGACAGCTGCAGAGGGAGATAGGTAGGTAGCGAGAAGCTCTGATCTGCAGAAAAGCAAGCAGCCTGTCGGATGGTGCCTGCTCGGGCAGGAAGACGGGAGATGCGGGACTCACGTGCGTGTTTCACATGACGTGGGCAGCTGATGGGCGGTGAAAGAGGCTGGTGGGGTTTGCTTGGTAACTGTGGCTGGGTGTGGCTGGGAAGGCATGGAGTATGGCTACTTTGTATGTTGTGGATTTATGGACTTTATTCTTGGTTCATTTTGCATTTGAGTGTGATGTTATTCTTCTGTAGTGTGGGGTTGTTTTGTTCTAGGATCGCTCGCTGGGAGAGACGCCATATTCATAAAACGATGCCATTATAACCACCTAGCAACCGGAAATCAAAAAGCCCAATCCACTGATCTGTGAACGTGGGTGGGTAGATGCAGATGCCAGTTTTGACAGACTTGATCCAGAACTCTTCCAGAATATACCAGGTCACTTAAGAATGCCCCCGCAGGATTCTTCACAGCCCATCTGACAGAATGACAGGCCCGTGATGACAGGATTGGACCACATTAAACGCACATGCATATTACTACCGTCACATCTATGCTTATCTTAGGTACCTTAATTGCGAGAATGCCGGAATACCGGAATACCTAAGAATAATGCACCGTGACAGTAACAGGGACATGAATGGTCACCGGCACTAGTAGCAGTAAGGTAGTCATGTCACTTTAGCATGTCATGTCAGGGTTCTTCGGTCTGATATGCAGTCATCCGACAGGATTATATTATACGCACTAAGATAGTCAATCGGTATGTATACTTAGTTCTGACTGTCATGTCTAGATCTAGTTCCTCGGAGCTCCGGGCCGAATTTCGACATCCTTCGTTTGGCGGAGTATAGTGTCCGAGACTAACATCGAAATTAAACAGAAAAAGAAAAGTGAATTATATTATACCTAAATTGTAGTAAGTAGGCAGTTGAGCCATGCATGACTTCTGCCGACTCCGTTCACGCATGCCGACAAGAGGCTGGGAACGTGGCTGGGAACAACCGAGAACATCTACCTGAAAACGAACGGGGATAAACAGTACGATAATAAACAGTCGTTTTCAGCAGCTGATGTAAATTATCTTCTTCCAGAGGCTGGAGACAACCATTAAATAGCAAGGTAGATGATAGGAAGAAGACCCCACGATGCCAATGCCATGCCAACGCCAATCCAGAGTGTCTAGAAAGCAAAAGCAAAATCGGGAAGCCGTTGTCCCTCCCACGCAAAGTCAGGAGGGGAATAGTCCGTGGACCCAGACTCCGGACCACTGAATCTCAGGAATAGTGAATGGAGAAGGACAGTCCGGCCAATGACGAGAACGGATAACAAAAGGCCGGCCGGAGGTTCTTTGCCGCCTCGCCTAGAGAGGTGATGCCTGAGGCAGGCACATATACTACGACTGACGGCATTTCCGTCCGGACTAGCGGATGGTTGAGAATTGAGGTCTTGGGAGACAGGGAACTGAAGATTGACGATACTCCAGAGTACTTCTTAAATGATGACTGGTGGGATGCGTTGTCCTGCTGCATCCTGGACCGTCGAGATGTACCTTGAACGGAGTACCTCTTAGTCGGTGGAGACGAACAGAATCCAGTGACTTTGTCATGTGGGTGACTAAAACCAAATCAGGTTCAGGTACCCTTTTTTTTTTTCTTTCTTTTTTTTTCTTTTTTTTTTTTTCTTATGTCTTTGCCTTGTCGGATGGCAAAGCACGGCCCAACCTAATCGAGGCCCCGATTGATTCGTGATGGGAACTACTTCGTACAGTTGTGAACGTTCAAGGGAGAGGGGAAAAAAGAAAATAACACGATAGTGGGATGAGATTCTCGGACACATTTCCTTGTCTAATTGTTTTGTAAGGTAGCGATTATCTAGTAGCAAGATGGGGGATTTCCCAATGACCAAGACCAACCGAGTAAAGTTTTTCTCTGAACAAGTCGAGCCGCGGGGGACCGACCGGAGATAGTGAGGGCAACGGCGACACACAGCAAACCCACCAAACACCCAATCAGTCGGGAGCCAAACCCAAAGCAGCCCCTCTCTCACCGGCTCTCCTCTTGGCCACCCCCCATCCATCTCATCTCTTTTTTCCCGTCCTTCCCTCTCCCCTCCTCTTTCCTTTCTCCAACTCACCTTTCTCTCATCCTCTCTACCCCTTTTCTCTATCTAGTCTCGACTTACAGAGAAATCCATTCAAGATGGCCGCCAGCTCCTCTCTCGACCATTTGAGCAACCGTATGAAGCTGGAGTGGCACTCCAAGCTGAACACGGAGATGGTCCCGGCGAAGAACTTTCGTCGCACCTCCATCATCGGAACCATTGGTATGTCCTGACCTCTCCATTGATCCTGCGCTCGACTCCCCCCTCGCCCTGGAGAGCGTTGGGATTGTTCCGCACAGTGCCGTTCTAACCGTTTTTTTCGCCCCTCTTTAGGTCCCAAGACGAACTCGGTGGAGAAGATCAACCTCCTCCGCAGATGTACGGAGAGATTCCTCGAGATGCCCCCCGATCGTGAAGCTGACAAGTCTCGTAGCTGGTCTTAACGTTGTTCGCATGAACTTCTCCCACGGCTCGTACGAGGTATGTCGTTCCTTCGGTTTTTCTTTTTCGTTTTTTCTTGCCCCTCTTCGCGGGACTAACCACCAAATTAGTACCACCAATCCGTTATCGATAACTCCCGCGAGGCCGCTCGCGTCCAGACCGGTCGTCCTCTCGCCATTGCCCTCGACACCGTAAGTTCGCTTCGTTTTCCGACGCTTCCGTACCGGCACTGACTCCGCTTTGTAGAAAGGACCTGAGATCCGTACCGGAAACACCACCGACGACCAGGACATTCCCATCAAGGAGGGCCACGAGCTGAACATCACCACTGATGACCAATATGCCACCGCCAGCGACGACAAGAACATGTGAGTATCCTTGGACTTCCCAGCCCATAGTCGAGAAACGGCCGACCGCCTCGGTGGCTGAAGACGGCATATCGTATGGTTCAAAACTGACGAGATGCGGCGGAAAAAAGGTACCTTGACTACAAGAACATCACCAAGGTCATCTCTCCCGGCAAGCTGATCTATGTCGACGATGGTATCCTCTCGTTCGAGGTTCTGGAGGTCGTTGATGACAAGACCCTGCGCGTCAAGTGTCTGAACAACGGCAACATCTCTTCCCGCAAGGGTGTCAACCTGCCCGGCACTGACGTTGACCTTCCCGCTCTCTCCGAGAAGGATGTCAGTGATCTTAAGTTCGGTGTGAAGAACAACGTCGACATGGTCTTCGCCTCGTTTATCCGTCGCGGAAGCGACATCCGTCACATCCGTGAGGTTCTCGGTGAGGAGGGTCGCGAGATCCAGATCATCGCCAAGATCGAGAACCAGCAGGGTGTCAACAACTTCGACGAGATCCTCGAGGAGACCGACGGTGTCATGGTTGCCCGTGGTGACCTGGGTATCGAGATCCCCGCCCCCAAGGTCTTCATCGCCCAGAAGATGATGATCGCCAAGTGCAACATCAAGGGTAAGCCCGTTATCTGTGCCACCCAGATGCTGGAGTCCATGACTGTCAACCCTCGTCCTACCCGTGCCGAGGTGTCTGATGTCGCCAACGCCGTTCTTGACGGTGCCGACTGTGTCATGTTGTCGGGAGAGACCGCCAAGGGGTCGTACCCCTCCGAGGCCGTCAAGATGATGAGCGAGACTTGCTTGCTTGCCGAGGTCGCCATCCCCCACTTCAACGTCTTCGACGAGCTGCGCAACCTTGCTCCTCGTCCCACTTGCACCGTGGAGTCCATCGCCATGGCTGCCGTCAGCGCCAGTCTGGAACTGAACGCCGGTGCCATTGTTGTGTTGACCACCAGGTATGTATACCAGCTCGATGTCTTGCCGATGAGAGGATGAAAGATTGCTGACACTGGATGCAGCGGTAACACCGCCCGTCTCCTTTCCAAGTACCGCCCCGTGTGCCCCATCCTGATGGTTTCCCGTAACCCCCGTGCCACTCGCGTAAGTTCCCAAACGTTGTCGAAATTTGGCGGGATCTTGGTTCGCTAACATGTCGGTCCCGCAGTACTCTCACCTGTACCGTGGCGTCTGGCCCTTCCTCTTCCCCGAGAAGAAGCCCGACTTCAACGTCAAGATCTGGCAGGAGGACGTTGACCGTCGTCTGAAGTGGGGTATCTCCCACGGTCTCAAGCTCGGCATCATCAACAAGGGCGACAACATTGTTTGCGTCCAGGGCTGGCGTGGTGGCCAGGGCCACACCAACACCGTCCGTGTGGTGCCCGCCGAGGAGAACCTTGGTCTGACCGAGTAAATCCGAAACCATGACATCGACCCGATCACCACCTCGGGTGGGATCACGTGGTAACGACAGCGCCGAACCATGAAACGATAGAAATGGGAGGTGGGTAAGGGGACGACGGTTTCTCAAGGCATCGTAGACGGCTCTTCAACTCGAGCATGACGACCAACAAAGTCCGCGCCGGTTTCCAGGCCAGTCTCTCCGCTGCGAATCTCTTTGGAGGTGACCGGGACTCGAAGAAGCAGTGTCGGACGGACGAATAGAGCAACGACCGGAAGGGTGTCCTGAAAGCGAGAACGCAGCGGCGAGGACACGTCGTACCCTCCGGAGCATAACTGCGTATTCTTGAGCCATAATTTCTTTCTTTTTTTTTTGGGTGATTGATTATTTCCTGCGATGAAAAGCTAGATTAATGATTCCGCATGTTCATAATGAAATTCAGGTTGAATATTCACGAGGTTGTTCAAGTAGGCTGTACGGTGTTAGTCCAGACATCTAGTTAGCACGAGGTCACATCGACGGATGCGTCTGAATCTCGAATCGAGAGAAAGAACAATCCCAGTCTTTCAAATAATAAGAAAAAGGCGAACCGACACAAGTGCAAAGCAGGTAGAAGAAACCAGAAACAAGCGCAAAGTGGAAGAGAACGAAAACCCCTTCTTCCTGCAAGACCAGGCAGGGGACGGACTCCCGAAAATCACTCAATGCGCGGGGAAAGAGGGACTCTGTTCAACCGAGGTAGTATTCCCTGCGCGGCCTGGTTTTTCTTGCCCTGGCGTGATCTGCTCTGCTCTTTGCATTTCTCTCAGCCAAATTGCTAGAAGAGAAGAGAAATCGACGCAGTTTCACCCGGCGCAGGTTCATCGGCAAGTGTCTGTCGCGTTACCCATCCTCTAGACATGTAGGCAACAGTACTGAGTACTATGCAGATTCCACAGACACATTCTCATGCGAAATCGCATCTGTATCAAAGAACGACAATCACCAAGAAGCGCACGAAAAGCAAGAAAGAAAAGAAATTCCAAAGAGGGGGAAAAGAAAAAAGAGAAACGAAAAAACCCCTCGTACTCCGGCGTCGCTGAAATGAGGGCAAATCAAATTCCCGAGTTGTCCCGAGTTCAGCCGATCGGGTCGGTTCCAATGCGTCGGTGAAACGGAAGGGTTTATTTCTGGAGGATGCACTCTGGATTCTGACTGAGGAGAAGGGTGAGGGGTGGAATATAGGGAATAACTATGATAGAAAAATTCTGTTAATTATTTAAACTTGATGGCATAATCTGTCTATTCCAACTGGAATGGTTTGATTGATTTCGTTCTTCAGGCCGGTTCTCATGTGACGATGACGTAATATCTCATGCTCTGGCAAAACACATTTCCTTTCCTACGGTATTTGGGGTAAAAGAAATAAAAAAAATCGCTATACTCCAATGAATGCAATCATACAAAAAGCTCAGATACAACGCCGTAGATCCCGCAGTACAAGTAAGAAAGATGGTCATGTTCTCATGATAGTCATACAATCAATGGCACATGTCGTAAAGTCATTTATCCATAATCAGTCCTCTCCGGCCAAAAGTGCGATTTGTTCAGTATCCCGCGGACTCGAAGTCAACGATATCACCACCCTGGACTTGTTGCCTCATCGAGGGAACCTGGGACTGGATAGGGGTTCGTTGGAGTTGATGCCAGCAACTGAAGTCCTGTGTCAGCTACATTCACGAGAAGCAAGAAAAGAGAAAACGAACCTTGGTGCTTGGAGGACGTAGCGGGCCATTGCCTCCCTGAATCGGCTCTTATACTCCTTCGGACTGGTCACCGTGGGCCGATTCTTGCCGCCGCCGGCGAAGCCCCGGTCTTTGATCCACGACTCCAGCTTCTTGTCCCAGGTATATGTGCGGATGCAATCGATGACTCCGACCACTAACTCGGACCGTTGCTCGTCGATAGCGATCATGAGCGAGTAGTCCATGACGTTCTGTCGTCCCAGGAACAGCGTGTCGTTCCAGACACTCTGGCTCAGTAGTTTCTTGGAGTGATCGCGGGCGAACAAGGGCGTCTCGTAGATGAAATCCACCATGTTCTCGTCCAGAAGGACCTCGTTGCGCTCCCCCGTGCTCTGGACCTTGCGGTTTCTCATGGATCCCTTCAAATCGAAGATTCGCGTGGGGACTCGATCATAGAACAAGTTCTCCATCAGCAGAAGGAACCAATTGAACTCAGCGCCTGTGGCCGGATTCTTGATGATCACTTGGTAGAACCCAAACATCTTGGCAATGGCAGACGGCAGCTCGTGGAACAAGGCCTCAGACATTATCTGGAAATACGCCGGAGCGAACTTGAGGAACGCCTGTGTTTCAATCGCGGCCAACGATTTCAGAATGAAGCGATCGTCCAGAGTCTTCAGGAACAGCGACTTGGTTTTGCCTCCCCGTGAGTCCCATTTAGCGCAGCGAGAAAGGGATTCGACTATTCGCTCGGAGACGCCGCATTTCTTTCGCAAGGCATCGAATTGCTCGGCATAAAACACCTTGCAAAGCATCTTTGCCTGTCCCTCTTGGAACTGGTATTTGAGATGCGTTCCGGTGGACCTCAGCAGCGCATGTTCAACCCGGGCCTCAGCATCTTTCTCGGGGCCCGCATTAGCCGCGTCGAGATCCTCGTAGCGCTGCTGTATACTGGCCAGCTTCTCTTGATAGTCCTGCGAATCCAAGGCGAAGGCAATCAAGGAGCTTGGCTCATCCTCCCGCACAATGATATCACAATCCGCAAAGACGTGGTCGGACATTGTGAGCGGATATTCGAGGGGACTCCATCCGCTCGCCGAACGCTCAGACCAGAAATTGGTTAGCAATTTCAGAAGCGTGCTTCGTTCATGCCTAGGCAATTCCTTGAGGTCCATGTTATCGTCTTCGGGAGACATTTTCGGTAGGTCCTCGTTGGAGTCGATCACTTGGAGCCCATCCGCCGAGGCTCGATCTTCGTCGCTGTGCGCGTCTTCCCCTTCACCCTCAGACAAGACGTGATGATCCTCCGCCGGGGCATTGCTCTCAGTTTCAACCCCTTGGGTCGGTTCATGTGGACTTTGATCTTTCCGCTGCTCTTCATCCGAGGTCCTCTTGAGGAATTCCTCACTGCCTCGGCTCGAATTGTCCGCCGAGACTCGCGGAGCGGACGACGACAAGTCTTCGCCTTCTCCCGTAGGTTCTCGCTCTTCCACTGCTTCTCTGACGTTCTTATAAACTTCCACAATGGGCTTGGAGCTGGCCAGTGGGTAGGCGCGAGAATGCGAGCCTTTCGCAGCTCGCTGTGCTCGCTCGCGCTGACGTTCTTTTTCAAACTCACGACTCAGCTGCTCGAAGTGTTTTGCCAAGTAAGAAACACGCGACTGTTTCCGTCTGGTCGGAATTGAACGAGGGATGAGGGAGGGACCGGAGGCGAGCCGTCCATTCCGAAGGGCTCCTAGTCCGAATCGATCCGACAGTTTCTTATCCGAAAACTTGAACTTCGAGTCCAACGGCCCGGGGCTTTGTTTCCCGGTTCCGAATTTATACCCCTTCGGTGGGGTTGTGTCATTGGCAGCGTCCTTGAGATGGGCAGGCTGAGACTGGGCACGCAGCAGCGGTGGAGAAGTCGCCTTGCCAATGCGACGACTGGCGATTTCGGTAGGACGAGGGATGGCGGATGGGGGACGACTTGGCGTAGCCACAGGCGTAACCGGAGATCCCTCGCCTTCGATACTCTTTTGACTTTCCCTCCGAGATTTCACCTGCTCCAAGACACTAGTGTCCGTGGGAGATACGCTGGAATCAGGTGAGTTAGAAATCGGTCCCGGTCGATCCTCCATGTCTGTACGCGTAGGAGTGGCAATAGTGGCAGAAGGCTCCAAAGCTCTTTCGGGCTGAGACGAAGGTAACGCCAAATCGAGATGTTGCACCTCCTTCTCCGCCACAATCTCAGGCTGAGTGGATGAGCGTGGTCTTCCTTCCGGGGTGGGCGAGGGAGCGGCAGACTCTATCTCTTCCACTTTAGGTGTTTCTTCTCCTTGAGCTACGGCTCCTTCTTTCTCCCCCGAATGCTCTTCGACAACAGACACTAGCACGTCCTGCGCCTTTTCTGGAGAAAGCGTCATGCGACGCATTGTCCGTAATTCTGTGGGCTCCTCGTTGTTCTCGCTTTCAGCCTCTGTCGGGGTAGTCGGGGTCTCCTCGGTTGAACTGAGAGACGTAACGGAAGCATCCTTGTCCAAGAAGATCTTCTTCAATTGCAAGGTTGCCAGTCGCCTGATGTCTTTCTCGGAGGGGAAGAAGTTCTTCTCAAACTCGGCGAATGCGGTATCCCATTCGACAACCTTCTCCTGCACAGATCGAAGCACCTCGTTCAAAGGGATCAGTTCCCAGTAACGAGAGTTCGTATATTTGTCCTGCAGTTGTCGGATGAGGAACGCGTGATCTTCACTCGCTTTTTTAGTCAAGACCTCGATTTCTTTCTTGCAGTCATCAATCAATTTGGGAACGACGCTTTCGACGTTGATCCCCTTGAGTCGTGTTTTGACGGAGACCATGAATTTGTTCAGACGGTGCTCCGTACGGACGTAGACCTCGTTCCTGAGCTTCAGATCATTGTCGACCTTCCACGTGACTCGAGTTCTGGGAACGATTATCTCCAGCAGATTGATCGTATCGTAGTGAATACGAATGGCGATATCCTTGAAACCGAAGTAGCGCAGATGGTCACGCTGTAGATCGTGGGGACAAACGCCTGCCCGAGCGTGAAGGTTTTTGCTCCAGAAAGAGAGCTCCAAGTATTTCCCAAAGGAATACCTCCACGTACTTTCTGACATTGGGGTGACTTGGGTTTCATTGCCACAGATCTTGCAACTGCTCCACATCAAGATTGTGTCATGAAGACCTCGCAACTTGGATGGGTGAGGCTGAATAAAGACGCTAATTTGGGCTTCCCCATGAACGTATTGCCGGTGATGTTCAAACATGTGCTTTTCACAGCCATTGACTGTACAGATAGCGTGAGCATTGAGGCAGACATCCTCCACGTACTGACCAATCGTGCAGTCAGGCTCGAGAATCACATCCTCACCACCATGTTCGTTGTAGTATTCCAAGGCGATCAGATCTGGGCCAGAGCAAGGGACTGAGGAAGTGGTGCAGACCAGACTATAAAGCACAACGATATTCTGGTGTGTATACGGATCAAAGATATCCGTGGTTCCCCCGATATACGCCTCCCACTGGCGTTTTTGGGTCTGGTAGTGATGCAGAGCTCGGTCGTATTCGGCATCGTGGGCCGCGCGCAGAACCTCTTTGACCTTGGGCGAAGCGCCCTGAGGTGATTCGTGAACCATCTCTGGCGTAATAAGAACGAATTTCTGAGATTTGCTTTTCTCGTCCAGTGATTTATCAGATTCGAGATCCTGGTTTTGAAGACGTTTGAGGTAATCTAGCCTGCGCTCCATCTCTCTAGCCCGCATCAGCAGGTACGGAGGCTCAAATTTGACGAACGGAGAGGCCGAGATAATTTTGGTTTCGTGATCTCGAACAATGTCCTCGTAATAGGTTGGCATTGGCACATCGTCGGGCACATCGGTGTCTTCGCCGGTGACTCCACTGCTCTTCTCCAGGGAGGAACTGTCACTCTTGCTGTCCGTCGATTCTGCCTGCGGAAGAGCCGGAAACCTTTGATTTTCTGCTTTGATTGTTGAAGCACCGGAACGAATTCGTTCATCGCCCTTCTTATCTCGGCTGTCGGTGTCGAATGAGGTGGGAATCTGGGCGAATTCATCCCTCATTACACACGTCTCCAACCTTAGATTGTAAACGACATATGCCATGAATTCTGTGATCTTCTTCACACGGCAAAGCACTTCGCTATCGCTACCGCGGAGGACGATAGTACATCCGAGCTCCTTACTGCAGCCAGAGAGGTACATGTACGTCTTCTTTCGACCGTTGAAAACGTGCGTCCTAACGTCAAAGCTGCCACACTCACTCCCCGTGGGGGTAGTCACCAGTTTATCCATGGATGTGATGATTTTAGTTTGAGTGCACCGCGACACAGCCTCGAGTACGGAGGACTTGACATTGTAGGCAGTCGCGATGTTGGCTTTCTCCAGCAACTCCAACGCGAGGCCAGAGACGTTCTTTTCCACAAGAAGCAGATTAGGCCGGAGAGCAGCTATGCGGCCGACGAGGTTTTCGAGAAATTCACGCTCCTGGCGAATTACAGGCTCCAAGCTCATGAAGTGCTGCTGGTGCCGTGCATATTCGAGGGGGAACGCGATAATGAGGATTTTGGGCCGTGGAATACTCCGGGACATGCTTTTGAGAGCAAGGTTTTTCGTAAACACCAGGCCGGAGACATAACATGTATCGCCTGGCCGGCCACCCAGGATCTTTTTGAGTTTGATGTAATGGCGAATGTCCATATCGTCACCTCCCTGGACATCTGGATCAACATCATCGGCTGCTTTGAGAAGAATGGGAAGCAGCGCCGTCTCCCAGCTATGCGCGTGAGGAATAACTGAGTCGGTCAAGAGCTGACGAAGCAGTTTACGAACGTGCTGCAAACTAGCTTTGTTGAGCTCCACCGGGGGGGCTCCCGCTCCTCTCATGGAAGAACTTCTCGTCATCTTGAAACCACTGGAGGGGACACCCGCAGGAAAGACATGGGCGGCATTCGACGGTTCATGAGAAAGGAATCCGCTTTCCTTCGAGGCTCTCGGGGAGTGGCGGTGGACACTGCTGGCAACGCTGAGATTACGCCGTCGACGGGGAAGATTGACGGCTTTGGAGCTGCTGATACTTCCATCGTCTAGCTCACGGCCTCCCGCTTGATTGAAACTGGCAACGCTGCGGTCCCCAAAAGCGGAGCGGCCCTTCTTCATAGCAGCCAGAAGACCACCAAAGGTTGTTCTCTCAGTCTCGCCACCGCTCTTAGACAATGAAGCATCAGAGACCGCTGACATGAGACTGGGCTGCTCATCACCACTGGATGCATCGTCTGACAGATATTGTGCTAGATCTGGGTCGATGATATTGTCTTTGTGGAACGCAGGAAGGTTAGTACCGCGGCTGGAGTCGTCGGCATTGCGCCGCTGAAAGGGGGCGCGTTCATCATGGTGAGTCTTGAAGTTTCGAATAACTTGCTGACGGGAATGGTGGCGCTTGTGTCCCATTGAATGTGTTCTCCCACTCAGCGTAGATTTAAGAGACCTTGAAGAGGTGGGCCTGGCCAGCAGGGGTCGATCGGGACTGATCTCAAGAACCGCCGAGCGGCGATTATGACCCTCGCCAGCGCGTCGCGTAGCTGGGATCGCCATGGTTGGCGTCTTCATCACATGCTCCATTGGCTGCGAGATGATAGAAGAGGTGTCATCGTCATCTGTGCCCATGCGTGGGTAGGTTGCCGACCCCAGCTCTGAAACGCGAGGATTGACGGCGATCGGACTCTGCTCACTGTCCGAGAATTCGGACGAATCGTCATCATGTCCATTGATCATGGCCTCACATGGTTGGCAAACGCGAATAGTCCCCTGTTGACCAAACCTCTCCCCTGAAATAAGAAGGGTGCATTTAGAATCAAAGATTTGACCACAGGTTCGACAATGATGCTTCCGTCTAAACGTAGAAAAAGTTTCACCACAGTGAAAACAATCTTTCGCGTTCTCGTCGCGCATCCAATATTCCTTACTAAGAAGCTTGCTCCTGAAATTAGTACTCGAATTTTCTCTAAGAGGTGGGCGCCGAGCCCGGACGTCTTGACTACTCGGCATGCGGTCCACGGCCGTATTTATGGGAGGCACAATAGGAGGACCAGACACCGTCTCGGCGTGGGCGGTTTGGGGTGCCGCATAGCCTCCTTGAAGGCGGCTTGAACTGGACGCGACGGACTCCTGTCGGGTTTTATTATCCTTGTACTGGTTCTTAAGCGCCTCTCGCGATCGTGCCTCCCCATCCGCTAAGGATATTGATGTTGCGGCAGTGGAAGATGACGGCAAGCCATCAGGGTAAGCGGTTTCACCATTGTTTGGAGTCTGGAAGGCACTGTTTGTCCCCGAACCGGACACGATACTGGACCAATCGGGATTGAAAGACGCGGCTGAATCGGACCTTATCCTCTCCTGGGCTAACGAGGCGCCATTTTGGGAGCCATCGATTGAACCTTTACCCTTTCTTGCTGGTCCGGGCAGAGACACATCAACATCGTGAGCCCCTTGGCCGTCTGGTTTCTTCTTACTGTCAGGCATCTGATTGTCCGCTGTGGACGATCTGCTGAAATCTGTGACTCCAGGACTGTCGGTGGAGCCGTTGTGAACTTTAGCCTGTAACACGGGCGAGTGCGACAATCGTTGACTCCATCCAGAGGAGCTCAGCGACGGAGGATGTGGTACTTCTTCCTTATCTGTGCCAACTGAATCGGTTGTCTGCAAACTATGCGTCGAGAGGTTGACAGAATTATTACTTGAATAATGGGATGGCTCCTTGACGGCATTGACATGGAGTTCAGTGACTGTTGGATCCACGGCAGCCGAGCTCGTAGTAGATTTGGGCAAGGGCACAGCTGGAGATTTCAATGCAGGGGACGGCGAAACCGACGCTTTGGATGATATACTGGTGGTTTTTGATGAGAGCTTCGAGCCCTTGCGGGGCTCCAAAAGATGGTGGCCATCCTGGGCAGGATGATGCGTGACGGAGGTTGGCGAGTGTAGTCTGGAGCCCTGGGACGAAGGTGGATAGTAAGGTTGGGGCTCTATGGAGGTTGCGGAGTCAAAAGCAGGCCTCGGCGCGGATCGTTCCAACGGAGGGCTCTTTGGACCATGATCCTCAGAGGATGCCTTATCGGAGGACCTTCCCACACCGCTGACAATATCCCTCACACCACCAACCGACGTCCGAAATCGACTATACAACCCACTGAGGCCTCCTTGAAGTTCGCCCGAGAAGCTCTTTTCCTCCGCTGCGGATGTCGGGGCGGGTGGGTTCGTAAAATCATTGAAAACGGTGAGGGAATCCGACTGATAGGCCGCCGTGTGGATTTGGTCAAGAGCTGCGTTTAGTCCTTCTCGTTCGGCCTGGGTCGATAACGAGGTCCGAGATCCTCGTCGTCCGAGAGGAAGGAAGATCGACGACGCGGCCGGACTTGACGTCCCTTGAGACCGTTGAGACTCCATTCAGCCTATTATTGGGTGGACCCGGTACCCCAGAGGCCAAGAGCCAAGTGTCGAGCTGCTCACCCCGGTTTAGAGGACAAAATTAGTGGCACTCATTCGCGAGAAAGCAACTACCGGCGGAGCTCCGATGCCTTGAGGTGCTGTGTTATCGGAGGGGTGGGGATCGCGGGGGGGTCAGAATGTATGCAGAGAGAGCGACCATGCATCCACCGGGGGGTGTATGACCTGGACAAATAGCGATCAGAAGTCAAGTGAGGTAAGGGTGGGAAAGGACGTGACGGATCGAAGAACCTTTTTCAAGAATGCATGCTTCGGTCTGGACAGGAGGAGACCCCAACATGTGCCCAATGACGTGTTTGCGTGGCTCGCCGGAAGTGGCGGTGGATCCGGCAGGCGGTGAGGCGCGTCGGATTTCGCGTCCGGAGGAGCTTCGAGGAATTAATCTTCAACCATGTCTCGCTTTTGGATAGCTGCCTCGGACTGGGAATAACGCTCAGACATGTGATGCAACGCTGATGACAGTCCGCAGCAGATCTCCTCTTGCTATGCCTCACCTATAGGAATGTACTAACTGACAATCCCACCCGAATCCAACGACTATCATGCTACATGTACCTGCATCATGGCATCATCCATAGATTCGTGGATTGCTGCTTTGATTGAGAATTCTCTCTCTGTCCGGTGGAAGGCCTCAGACGTGGAAGATGACGGGAGTAATCTTCGGTTCTTCAATACCTCCCACCATCTCGCCTTGGTCAATAGCGTGAGTTGCCCACTAGCCATTTTATCGAGTCTTATCGCTAACATTGCCATTCTTACTGCTAGTGGGCTGGGGGCGATCAAGTACCCACGATCAACGTGACCGATTTCCATACCCAGATCGATGCGATCCTTTCCAAAGAATCTATAGAACTCTACCGCCAAGAATGTCCCAATCGCCCGTTCAATAAGGACACGATCCGAGGACGTTACCTTCAGCTGCTGGCTTTCGAGGTGGTTTTCGAATACCCCATGTCTCAGCCTAAGCTTCACCTCTACGTCACACACTTTAAACTCGCATTGGATAAACCCCAATTCAGAGGACCACCGCAGGGAAAGGGCATCAAAAGGAATGCACCTCTATACAAATTGGCGCGGAACATTCTTGGTGAGGTCAAATCCCGGGGGAAGCGTCCAAATATTCCGGCAGATACGGCTGGGATCCATGAAGCCCCTGAAACCCAACCCAAAGAACTCTCGCACGTGCATGATTCGCAAAACCTTCTGGCGACTCAGGTCCAACCAGCGTTCCATCCCCTTTCTAGGCCCTCGACTGGCTCTAAAAACCCAGAAAATGGTTCCACTTCTTCGGACAAGCTTCTAGGGCTTTTAGAATCTAACTCCAAAATCACACATAATGGTTCAAGCCACCCGGTACGAGCCACCTCAAAACCCTCAGGGCGTTCAAGTTCGATAGAAACCCAGAGATCGGGACAGGCTCATAGCAATGGGCCCCAAACTGCTGAAAACAATGCTGGAGGCACGGATATGGCAAACGTACGCAATCCTACGCCTCTTGCATCTCAGTCCAGAATTGTGGATGAGAATCCTGGTGCTGTCAATGTGATTCCACAACCCAACGCGGATGAGGACGAACGGCCAGGTTCGCAACCTAGTAAAGCTGATGACAGCCGAAATCGCTCTGTGGAGCCCAGTGAGAATGTAAAAGACACTACAAACCCAAGCCGAACCTTGACTGGGTCTCCTCAGAAGTCGCCCGATAAAGCAGCTTCCGGTGCAGGACGATCTCCCAACGTTCAACAAACCCAAAACCGTGACCCGTGGCATGGTATGACAAAGATTCACAAGCGAGAAATTACCATACCAAAAAGTCAAGCAGCCTTGTTTGAGCAACACACCCTGCGTTGGGTTCCTCCTGCCGCAGGGGAGATAATGCCCCAAGGCCATGTACCGCCAGCTCTTTTAAGTCAGTGGAACAAGATTGCCTATGATCGAAGCCGGCCTTCTAAAGAGAACGAATGGAAAGCTGATGTGTCTAAATCGATCGAATCGGTCGACTCGCACGAGCCTTTGCCGGAAGCCAGCAGTCCTGCGTCTGAGTCGGATTCAGATAACGAGTCAGATAGCGCATATTCTTGGGGCGGCTCCCCGGAGCGAAATGTCCGTCCTCGGAACCAATTGCCAGCTGACAGTAGTCCGGCGGAGCGACATCCACCCAAGATAGTTGTTGCGCGGGCGGATAGTGAAAACCAGGGCCATCTCCATTCGATACCTGAAAAGTCTCAGGAGCAAGATCTGTCGCGAGATGGCCAGAGCGCCCATGACCATGGAAAAGTCAATGAAGTAACCACTGCCCCTGATGTACAGATGGTGGATGTCGAAGATGCTACTCAAGATCGCCACCCAGATTCCGATGAAGAGAGCGATGATTCGATGATGGAGTCCTCCGTCCCTTGTGCACTCGGGGCTCCTAGCTCCCAGCAAATCGACTCCCACATCCAGGAGGAGGTTGAAATCACCAGTTCTGGACCAAGTCTTCCACAATCTCGCCAAGAACAAATCCAAGTGGTGGAAACTCCAGCCAGCAACTGCAGTCGTTCGAAGCCTGCGAATGCGAACAAGGTCCCAGATAGTTCAGTCCCTTCCGAACAAATAACAACTCCCCAGGCCAAGTCGTCATCTCAATCGCGCATTCTGAATACGTATGCTAGCAACCAAACCGGCACACAAAAGTCTCAGGAGTCCTCGAACCCTTCCCAGGAAAATGAGTCTCATGAAATTGACATTATGGCGACACAATGGAGCAATGGTAGCTGGCAACCTCAAAATGAGACCGTATCTCCGCGTCCGACTCCGCATTCGAGCATGGCTGTACCCAATTTTACGTCCCAATCAGACGAGTCGTCGAAACCGTTTTCATCTCATAGTGAAGTCATTTCTTCCATCCCGTCCGGCGAAAATGCCGAAAATGCCGTGAACGTATCAGATATTCCCAATTCTGCACAAGATCCGCCTGGTGAACAGGCCCAAAGCCGGCCGCCGAAGCGCTTTGCGTCCGAGATCGATGCCGAAGAACAGTCCTTAGCCAAGCGCTGCAAGACAGCCCAACAAGCTCGAGTAGTAAAAGAGTCAACGCCTAGCGTAATATTCCGTCGACAAAGCTACATTGGCGGTTCCAACAATCACGAGGAGGCAGAGAGGATCTATGGAAAATTCCGAAGCGACTACCCGCTTTATGAGGGAGACTTTGCGCATTTTACGGAGTTATGCTTCAAGTTGCGGGCCCTTCGAGCCAAGGGAGACCTGAAGAGGTCCTTCCTATGGGATGATTTCGTCATCCAACATCTGAAGGAATACCAACAGCACATTGAACAAACACAGTCCCAAGACGCCAAGTCGCAAGAATACGAAGTGTATTTCGCATCCAATTTCTCCAAACCGTCATTCAAAAAGCGAAGTCTCACGGCGGATGGGATTGAGATAGCTGCTTCTCAACACATGCCTGCGGGTCACACAGATGCAGCAGCGAGCCCTGCTGTTGCTAGATCTCAGATGGGCACTTCCTTTACGGGAAGTCTTGCGGACAAATTCTCGAATCTCCAGGCACACTCTTTCGGGCCTTCGACTCAGGATCTGCAGCCTGATACCGACGATGAGAAGATGTCGGATGCAATGTCTTCACCTACCCCGCATGAAAGGATTAGATGGCATACACCGATGGAAAATCAATCAGACCATAGGGATAGAGAGGAGATTCGGACGTCAAATCCTGAAGCTACCGAGCGCGAGAATCCTGAGGATAATGCTGCCGATACTGCCGACACCGTCCCAGGCGCTGAGGGTGCCGATGCAGTTGAGGAAGTCGACACGAATGGAAATGTTGAGCATTCTCAAGACATCGAAATGACTGGCGTAATTGAAGCAGAAGGCGCCAAGGAACCCGCAGCTGCTCAAGATGCTCAAGATGCTCAAGATGCTCAAGATGCTCAAGATGCTCAAGATGCTCAAGATGCTCAAGATGCTCAAGATGCTCAAGATGCTCAAGATGCTCAAGATGCTCAAGATGCTCAAGATGCTCAAGATGCTCAAGATGCTCAAGTTGTTGAAGTCGAGACAATTGGGGATGTCGAGATTAATAAAGATACTGAGCACTCTGAGAACATTGAAATGAGTAATGCTGCTGAAGAAATCCAAGAAGCTGAAACTTTTGCCAATATTGAAGGTGCCGAGGCGGCCGACAGTGTGCAAGCAAATGAGGAGAGTGAGCACCATCAAGCCAATGGAGTAGCGGGGACACAAGATCTCGCTCAAGATGGCACGGATGATGAGAGCTCCCAAGACGTGGAATACGTCGAAGACACCGGTGTCTCTGAAAATGCTCAGAAACACGATGATGGCCCTGAGAATGCCGAGGGAGCTGAAGTAGCGGAAGCCGTCGACGAAGCCGACATGATCCAGGAGACTCAGGAATTGGAGGATTCAGATGAATCTAGCCATGAGGAAGATTTCATGGATGACACGCATGAGACGGCTAGTGTCGAGCTTGGTGACAGCGAACCTACAACAACCGCTAAGGTCCCTGAGGCTCCCGGGGAGCATGATTTAGATGAGATACCTGCCTCTGATGTTGAACCAGAGGCCGAAGCAGAGGCCGAGCCCGAGTCTGAGCCGGAGCCTGAACCGGAGGTTACAGACGAAGTCGAGCCTAGAGATGAGAACGGAACCAAAAGCGTCAACGAGAACTGGTTTCGATCTCTACGACACATATATCAACGTCCACCGGGGCCAGTCTGGTCTGACGATTACAACACGCCTTTCAAAAAATGGGCGCGGGCCGACCAAAACGTGTTTCAGGAACGTCAGCGCCGCGGGGGTGCCCGTATTCCCGTGGACGAGAATGGAGTGATTCAACGCTTTGAATACTAGAAGTGGGTTCGTCCACTTCCGTGGCATTGTCTTGCGGACTCCTGGCTCTTTTCATTCGTTATTTTGCGGACTTGATGCCGCAATCTATCTGTGTATTCAATTTATTTTTATGATATCCTCACCACGCATTGCTTTTAGGTTCGGCGCTTTAATCGGGCATTACTCCGACATGTATACATACTTGTATAAAAAAAAAAAAAAACTTGATAACTATTTCAATGTCACTCTGTACGCTCATGACAATAACCGAAATCAAAGCTACCTGGTGGGCAGGAGAATGGTGCCAGTGGGGGCGAGGTAAACAGGATATCCCTGCATACAAGAGCAGTCAAGCACTTCTCCTGCCACTGCCAAGGCCACAATCAACGCAGTGCGAGTCAGGCTCGGTTGCGCTAATCGCAAGGCTGAAGCCGTGGGATTTAGCAAACACGCTACCGGAGCACAGCCTTGCGTGGGATGGGATTAAACCCCCGGCCACCAAGATGTGGGCTTGTCAGAACTGCTGTGTTGCATTTGGAAGTTAATCTGCCATTGCTTTCGAGCCCGACACAATGAGTGCAGACAGCGACACGACACACGCGCTTTTAGACGCACCGTCCGGTCGACAGGATCCCGATGAATCCGACCGCAAGCGTTCACGATGGGCCGATTCTCTACTTCCACGCAAACTGCTGGGAAAGACCGAGGAAGGGAGTGACTGGTTGAAAGGCGTGGCAATATGCACTGGCATCACAGGCCTGATCCTTGCCATCAATATCATTCTGACCATTACGGCGGCGGCTATCGCTTATTCTCGAAAAACAAACCAGGGACAGTTCCAGATGGCAGAATTGTACAGTGGACAATGCACACGCTCCAGCCACTGGGCGACCGGACTCCATGTGGTGATTAACGTGTTGAGTACCATTCTCCTTGGAGCCAGCAACTACGTGATGCAGTGTCTGGGCGCACCATCCCGGACCGATATCGACCAGGCCCATTCCAAGTCCCGATGGTTGGACATTGGCACCTTTAGTCTTCGCAACTTCGCCGTCATGGGGATCCGACGGAAGATCTTATGGCTGCTGCTTCTGATTAGTTCGACCCCAATCCATATGGTTTACAACTCGGCCGTGTTTTCATCAATATCGACTTTCGATTACGGGGTTTTTATGATCCCTAATGATCTATCACCAACCGAGTCCTTGGTAAATGATGTAAACACCAACAGCAGCAAGGCTTTCCAGTCTCATGTTGGGTCTGATGCGACTGTTGTTCGAGAGCAAATCTTCAACGGGAGCTTTACCAACACGACAATTGCGGATTGTCTTGCCAAGTACAACGTGGAATTCAATACCCAGTATAGCACGCTCATTTTTGTGGCGGATCGAGAATACTTTCACAATACTAGTAGTCTCAGGGGCATGAATATGCGGGGACTCAACAGCCCCTATTCAATATACAACGACCTTCAGGAACATCCATATGGATTGGTCAACTGGACAATGAACCGTTGGTACTGGAGCTATCGCGTGTGGAACTATTCTTCACCGGATCCCGTATATGAAGTATATGACGATCTCTACAGCGATGCCTTCCACTATGTCTACTCATTCAATTTTCGCGATTACCAGAACACATTCCAAGGTAACAGTTCCGGGCACGATGACGACATCCAAACCCTAGCAAGCTATAATTATGCCTACAATCCGTCTCATGACGCCCTCCGCGAGTACTTGGACACCCCGTCACACTGGACAAACAGCTCTTGGGCAGCCAATATGACCTTCGAGCTGATTGGTGATGGCGACATAAGCCCCTTCTATTGGTTCGATAACCCGGTGCAAATCGTTCTTCCGTCTCATTGTCTAATCAAAGAGGAGGAGCAACGCTGTCAGCTATTCTTCAGTCTCCCGCTCGCGATAGTCGTCATCATTTGCAATGCTACCAAAGCAGTCTGCATGCTGTTAGCAGCCCGGGTTAAGCGCAGGGATCTCCTGTTGACCGTGGGCGATGCGCTGGCCTCGTTCCTCACGCGGCCCGATTCCACCACTCGTGGCCGATGTTTGCTCTCGCGTGCAGAGATAGCCCGGGGGCCTCAAGCCTGGAGTTTCCCTGCTGCCACTTTCGGTCCATTGAAAGGATATGCTCTGCAGCAGCAACCCCCGGTCCCAACATCCCACCCGCTGGAGAGCCCTTCGGCGGTACCTGAAATCCATCCCAGTCTTCTTCCCCAGCGCAAAAGATGGTATCAAGCGGCCAGCTGGAATCGTTGGGCGGTGGTTCTCTTCTTGTATGCCCATTTGCCCTGGCTTAACTAGACCCTGTGCCTCGTACTAATGCCCTTTAGCTTCATCTCCTGCATAATCACAACCATCTATCTTTTTTCACGCGCCATTATTGCAGCCGAATCCTTTAAGTCTGCCATGGACCTCGGTTTCGGGCAAACCAGCGCAGACAATATGATCAAGTATCTTTCAACCAACATGATCGCCCTCGTTCTTCTCGCCAACACCCCGCAAATTGTCCTGTCAGTTCTCTACTTTCTTACCAACAGCACTCTTACCTGCATGCTCGTCGCCGCAGAATGGGACCGGTACGCCCGGCACCGCCGCCCACTGCGAGTATCCTGGCCGCGTGGCCAGCAACGGTCGACCTATTATCTCAGCCTCCCCTACCGGTACAGCATCCCGCTGCTTGTCCTGTCTGCCACACTGCACTGGCTGCTCTCACAGAGCATATTTTTCGTAAGTATCAAGACGTACCCCGTGGACAAGGCAGAAGTTCCGGGGCCTTCATCCCGCGGATGTTGCTACTCTCCGATGGCGATGTTTATTACGCTCTGGGGGGTCATCTTGGCCCTGGGCCTGCTGCTGGGGATCGGGACTCGGCGGTTCGGCTCGCATATGCCGTTGGCCACACATTGCAGTGCGGCGATTAGTGCAACGTGCCATCCGCCGGATGGGGACGAGGGAGCTGCGCAGAAGCCAGTCATCTGGGGCGAAATTCCTCGGCAGGTGACGACGGAGTATACGGGTGCAGATGCAGCGCTGGAGGACGACGCGGAGGTTTCTCACTGTTCGTTTACGTCTTTGGATGCTGTGACGCCTAGTTCTGGGCGGTTTTACTGCTAGTTTGGTGGCTTCTTTTGTGATGCTTTTGATGTATAATTTTCTTATAAAAATAGCACCTCAGCTTTTAGTACCATGGATATTATCCTGGGCGAGAGGCCCGGCATTTGCCCGGTGCCATAAGCTGGAGGGCATCAACCGTATCCGCATCGATTCAATTAGACAAATCGCCAATAGCCAGTCTGGGCCAAAGCCCGATACCGATCACGAGACTGTAGGCTTCAACCAATGGGACCGGCTTCCGTATCAACGGAAACGGCCCGGCACGGGTTTCGATCCGTCCCCTCCTCGCCTCACTCCGCTCAACCCTAACCTCAGGAACGAGACGTTATTTAGGAATATAAATTGATCGTAGAATTCTGCAGCATGCACGCCTTTTCAGAGGGAGGGTCGATAATAATTTGTCAGGAATAAATCATTACCATCCAGCATCCTTTATCTGGCCAGGTACGAGCGCTATGTATCAAAATGCCAGGAAGCCTACTCACTAACGTCTTCACAGGCAGTGAAAATGCACATCAGTGATATCACAGTGTTTAGCTACGATGCTAACTATCGTTACGGCACGTACTCGATGTCTCACGGCCGATCAACCAAGGGACAGAAGTCTATCGTCGTCCGAATCCTTTCTGACGACGGTATCGAGGGTTGGGCCGAAACTGCACCTCTCGGTAGCGACTATCTGCCAAGTTCATTCACCGGGGAACTCGCCGCGTTAAAAGAACTAGGGCCCCAGGTCCTTGGTCTAGATCCCAGGTCGCCCGCAGCGATTGATGAGGTCATGGACCGGACCATGATGGGAGCCATGGCCGCCAAGGCTGTCATAGATATGGCCTGCTGGGACATTCTGGGTAAATCCATGGGTCTTCCGACCGCTATTCTGTTCGGCGGATTCCTTACAGAGAGGCCCCGTGCCTTCTCGGTCATTGGAATCCGAGATGCGGAGGCAGCGGTCAGTCAGGTCCAAGGGGAGCGTAACAAGGGCGTGACAGCGATGCAGCTCAAAGTTGGAGATGATCCACTGGCTGACGCCCAGCGAGTCAAATCCATCCATGACGCTCTTACCGACAACGTCCATATCTGGGCTGATGCCAACGGCGGATGGACCCTCGGTCAGGCTCTTACTTTCGCTCGCGCCGTGGGACAGGACATTACTGTGGGACTGGAACAGCCTTGTCGTACACTGTCCGACTGCGCCGAGATAGGCCGCCGTACGGGGCTACCCATCATCCTCGACGAGAGCGTCGTGACAATGACTGATCTCTTCGCGGCGCATGCGGCGGGCATCACAGGCATCAATATCAAGCCCTCCCGGGTCGGTGGCCTGACCAAGGCCCGGATGCTACGCGACGCAGCTGCCGCCCTTGACATGGTTATAAACTGTGACGATACATGGGGCTCTGCGTTGACAACCGCCCAGAACGTGCTATTAGCCACTACCACCCCGAGCCACCGACTGTGCGCGGTTGACCTATTCGCGGAATGGACAGAACCATTGATTGCCGATATTCCTCGAATGGACTCGAACGGCAGGGTCACTGCCAACACTCATCCTGGCAATGGATATTGTGCCATTCAAGTAGAACACCTTGCCGAGCCACTATTCCAAATCACCTGTTAATTTTGTGCTAGCAATGAAATCACCAGTCTTGTAAGCTTTTATCCCTGCCAATCTAGTTCCGTAGTCTGCCTTCCTGTGACATACCTAGTTGGATGACGATATCCGGGCAAGAAGCCTCAAGCACATGACTTAAAATTCCGCAGCAGCAAGAGTACGAGGAATTTTGAAAGGCGATCATGGACATTCGTGAATCAAAAAAGCTAAAACACAATTAAACGCAAATTGCCACTGCTTGTTAAGAATGCTAGCGACTGCATCTGCCCGGCTATTTTGATCGCGCCTTCTTCCTATGAAACAGTACTAGTTTCTCGGAAAGACTTATATCTTCGTCTGGTTGTTCGCGATATGTCCAGATCCGAGGACTCTCGGTAGATGGCTCTCGTGCATTGCCACGTAGCTCTTCAACTGCCAGTGGAGAGCTCTACCGAATAGTATCTTGTGTTCAAACATGGCTACGGTATCATTCTTGGCTGCAGTGTCGTCCGAGAGGAAGGTGACCAATCTATTTTCTATCTACGGCTGTGTTGGCCAAGCGTGGTGCCATGGCTCTTGCCTTAGTTTAAGGAGTGCAGTGCCACGTCCTCTCCACTTTTCAGCAGGCCTGGTAGTATTCCTGCATAACAGCATGATCAGAAACAACATGCATCGGGCGAATGAATTCAAGATCATAACCATCATGGGGGCTAGCAATTCAGATGTGTGTTCTTGTTCTAGTGTACTTCAACTAAGGAAAGGGAGCAGGACAATAACGCTCGCCTAGTCCAACAGCGCAGCGATCTCTTTCGGTAGTTCTAATCCAATCCTCACTCTGGCCACCTTCTTGGCTTTAGCTTCCTGTTCCAGGTTTGCTCGCAGGACGTGTTTCCGCAACTCTAGCGCGGGTGTTCCTTGGCCCATTCATCCAGGTTACCATATACGTGGAGCCAAAGAGAGGTGTGATCGAGATCCTGACGTCCATCAGCTCAGACTCCAACGAGAAAGATAAATGCTATAAACTCGGGCTAAGCTGGCACTTACATGGGTACGAGGGTCGGCATCAACCTCTCGGAAGGCTTTGATAGCAGCCTCACCTGCACTCGGACTGATTCCGACCTTCTTCGCCGCATTGATGCCAATCGTGAGATCTTTAACACTCAGTGCAGGAGCAAATGCCCTCTTGTAGTTGTTGCTGGACGGAGCCTCAGGTACAAGACCAGGGACGGGCTGCTCTAGGCCCATCACCCACGAATTGGCGGTCCCCTCCCTAATGCACTTAAAAAGGGCCTTTTTGTCGATTCCGTACTTTAGCCCAATGGCCATACCTTCAGTCGCGACCAGGTTGTTCGCCAAGGTAATATAATTGTGGGCAATTTTGGCAACCTGTCCCATACCAAGACTGCCACAGAACGCGATGGTGCTCGGGACACCGACGAGCGACAGGGTCTCAAAGATACGCTTGCCAACTAAGTCGGTGTCCGTAGGTTCAGCATAACCAACCATGAAGGACAAGGTGCCTGCGTTTGCCCCCCACATCCCACCCGAGACCGTGGCGTCAACAAAGGTACCCAATCCGGCGTCAAAGATTGTCTTTCCCAGTTCTTTGGTAAATTCAATCTCGATGGTGCTGCATTCAATCAGAAGTCGGTCCGAATCCTTTGAGGCTGCAATGACGCCATCCACGGGATCTAAGTAGACTTTCTTTACGTGAGGACCAGCGGGCAGACTTGATAGAATCGTTTGAGTCTTAGAAGCCAGATCCTTCGCTGAGGAAGCCACTTCAATTCTTCCGTAGCTTCCGAACTCGGTGATCAGCCGTTGGATACAGTCTTGGTTGATGTCAAACACATAGAGAGTTGTCGAGGATGGTAGTTTCTTGCGTAGGTTGCTGGCTATGCCGTAGCCAATAATGCCGAGGCCTGGGAGAGTTAGCTGCTGGAAACCAGAATTCATTCAGTACACACACCGATAACACCATAGTCTGTAGTCATGCTCGCGGTCTGTGCTTGTAGACGGCTGGAAAGTTTCGGTGCGAAAGCTCAGGATCAATGTGTGGTTTGCTCCAGAGGGGACTGTTTTGCTTCGTTTGGATATCGGGAAGAAACCCCATCTTTATTTCTTTTCCCACTCGGACAAGATCCGTGTCACCGGCTTCACCTGTGCGCCCTTTCTGACAAGACAGTCTGCTATCCGATCATATGAACGGGAACTTTCTCATGGCTTACGGTTAAAAAGCGAACGGCCCGTAACCCGTCATAGTCGGGCCTTTAATCCGATTCACACGGACTCCGTATCCGTTCCTTCTTCCAAGGAAGATATCCGGCTGTGATCCGGCTGTGATTCTCATCTTCTATTTCACTGAGCTCTCTGTCATGGTTTCCGTGTTACAGTAATAAGTCGTCGCTCGGCTGACGTTACCGGAACTTGTCCAATCTACCATCAACGCCAGGAAGGGTGTCCCTGGGCTGTACTAAGCATCAGAACTATGACTTGCCCGGGCGAGATACACACGTTTTACTCCGGCAGGCCACAACCTGAATCGTCTTCGAACCTTTTCACCTTCACTTCTGTCGACCCGAGTAATGCAAAGCCGCTGGCCACGGTCCATACGACCACTCCACAGCAGCTCGATGACGCCATTGCTTCTGCTCAAGCAGCGTTTCCATTGTGGTCACAGACTCCAACAACACGCCGGGCTGCCATATTGCTGCGAGCGGCATCTATTCTCCGCGAGTGTAACGACGGTTTAGCTCTTACGGAGACCCTCGACACTGGGAAACCCTGGTCAGAGACGTCTACAGTGGATATCATGACCGGGGCTGATGTTCTCGAGTACTATGCACATTTTGTTGCGGGCGAAATTCCAGGACGGCACACACGCTTGGGGCCTAATATGTTTTTCTCGACGAGCCATGAACCAATCGGTGTTTGTGCGGGCATTGGTGCCTGGAATTACCCGATTCAAATTGCTCTTTGGAAGTCGGCGCCCTGCCTGGCTGCGGGTAACTGCATGATATACAAGCCAAGCGAGGTCACTCCGCTCCATGCACATACCCTCGCGCAGATCTATATCGAAGCTGGGGTGCCACCAGGCGTCTTTAATGTTGTTTATGGTGATGGACCGAGTGTGGGAGCGCCGTTGGTTGCTCATGAAGGCATTGCCAAAGTGAGCTTTACAGGGCAGGTTAGCACCGGTGCTAAGGTTGCTAGCGAGGCTGCTGCTGGGATGAAGGGAATTACGATGGAGCTTGGCGGGAAGAGCCCCCTTGTGATTCTGCCAGATGCTGATATCGGGGAGGCTGCTGATATTGCAATGGTTGCCAACTTCGTCTCGACGGGCCAGGTCTGTACAAATGGAACCCGTGTCTTTGTACCCGACACTCTTCTCAGGCAGTTGGAGAATGCTCTAATCGAGCGGTGCCGGCGCGGGATCAATATGGGGTTGCCGCAGGATCCGAAAACCAACTTTGGGCCTGTCGTGAGTGCTATTCAACGAGATAAAGTCAACAGCTATATCAAGTATGGACGCGACAACGATAGGGCACGGGTGCTGTTTGATGGCGCCATTGACGTCCACAAAGACTTTCCATCGAAGGAAGGCTTCTGGGTGCCTCCTGTCATCTTTACCGACTGCAGTGACAGCATGCGGGTTACGCAAGAAGAGATCTTTGGCCCAGTGATGTGCATTTTGCCATACGAAACCCAACGTCAGGCGCAAGAAGATTGGCTACCTAAGCTGATACACCGAGCCAACAATACTCGAATGGGCCTTGCCGCTGGTGTGGTGTCATCTGATGTGGGATTTGCTCACCGTGTTGTTCAACAGCTAGATGCGGGAATATGCTGGATCAACACCTGGGGAGAAAGCCCTGCGGGGATGCCTGTCGGCGGCTGGAAGATGAGCGGTATAGGGCTGGAAAATGGCCACGAAGGTATCCAGGCCTACCTACGGACGAAGAGCACGTTGGTTCAGTGCGGTAAAGGTGCCTGCAGTGGCTTTTTCACTGGGTCTTGAAATATCTACCCGGTTGATTCCTTGATCATTAACTTGCTTGATCTCTTGGTGCTCTCATCATTTCATGTGAACAGCATAGTAAACTATCAATATGAGAGCCATTTGTGAGACGTGATGCATCAGATCGGCTGTCGCGGAACACATCAGATCATAACGAAATGCTGCGGACGCCCACATGATAGTCCCGGATAATACTTAGAAATTGCCGAAGTCCCACCAAGTAGAGAATCCCTCGGGGCCATTACCGGCGGTGAGGTCCGAAGGAAGATTGCCCACGTCCTCAACGGTGGCGTATCCGGAAGGATATGCCCAAAGCCAGGGATTGTTGACCATGAAGCTCTCGGCAGGTGGAACAACGGTGTCTCGCGTACCACCACTGCGAGGCAAGTTCTGAGACGTTGAGCTGGCCTTGTACGGTGGCAAGCTTGCATCGTGCCCTTGGGAGGGGTCTACTGTGGCCGTTGGAAGCGTTGCTGTAACGCTGATCTCAAGCGTTGGGCTTCGTTCCGTTTCCTCAGTTGTACCAGTGAGGGTAGGGGATGTGGGTAGCAATGTGCCATCGGGAGAGGACGGGACTTTCGAACTGGAGACATTGCACTGCAAAATAGCCCACATCAAAGAAACACTGAGGTGTATCCTAGACGGCGCCCACTCGTACTCAGTATTTTCAGATATTGACGCTATTCGCGCCATTTTGTCAAGCAATCGAGACTGCAGTTCTTAGCATTGACATCAGAATCTGTCTACTGAGCCACTTTAGAGGATGAGCTAGACTGACCAAGCATTCGATGGCAGGCGAAAATGACGAGAAACCTCTCAGAAATCTTCTGCATTTCGCAAAGTCGGCCTTTGACTTCTGTCTGAGTCGGAGGTCGGTCGCGCAAGAGAAGTAAAGATGCACTGTAGCTGCGATGGCAGCTGCATGTCCGAAGAAAGGATCAAGTAGTATAACGTCCTTATCATGAACCATATCGATTGTGCGAACAATCCATGTAGCGTGTAAAAGGACCAGCTCCGAAGATTTACGCCAAAAAGTGTTAGGGATCGCAAGGATAGGATGACACTGTGACGCCACGATATATAGAAAGGGATGATTGATCATCGTCAATATTGAATGCCAAGTAAACTGGAGTTTCAGCCACGGCATCCAGTAATCCCTATCCGCCTGCACTTCATTTGATCGACGCTCATTGAACTTCACTATGTGATATCGATGACACAAGGGTGCCTTGTTTTCGATTTCCGTCAGATCAGCAAGCACCTTAGCGTAAGTCGAATCGAGACGCCAGGGTTCTATTAACTTGTTCTGAGAACACTCAGTGACGTACTCTCTAACTCTGCCCCAGACCCATCCAAAATGCATCGACAGGGTCCAGATTCCGATATCCGACGCCGTGGAAGCTCCATCGAGGTCGAGGGGGAACTCCGTATCAGCACTGTCCGAAAGATAGAACGGACGCCAATCTTCTGTTGCTGTTCTGAGGATACCACGCTGGTCACCATAGAATTGCTCTAACGATTGAAGACTCCAGAATACCCTCTTCTCGCGCTCAGCCGTAGGGTTTCCGTTGCGAGGTTTCGGTAAACGATCCCAGTTTGCAGACCGACAGAGCTGAAAGCCGAGGCCGAGATAAAATTGGCCAAGGTGCATGTCGCCGTCTGCTCGAAGTCAATCCCCATGGGAACAGAAACGGAAAGAGAGATTCAGAGAATTTTACCAATAAAAGCAGAGTAGGAAAGTAAGCAGAGGCTCTCAATAGTTTCGAGACCAGGAGTGGAATTTGCCATGCGCAACATTATTGACCACCTTGCAATTTCACCATAACTTTGTGAGTCATGATCCCGTGAGAATCTCGCAGTCAGTTCTAAAATACTACAGATAAGTTCTGTAGACACCTCAGTGTTGGACTCAAAGTCGTGGCGATCAAAGCACCAGATAGGCTGCCGGTGGAACCGCTCAAAGTAGACATCAAGGCCATGGGTGATAACGGAATCGGAGATGTTTGGTTTTGGGGCGTGAAGTTCGGGCATTGGAGCGAAGGAATACTTCGTGGACTGTTGTTCAGCACCTGAGGGATGATGTGTGGATGAGGCTTCAAGATTCGCGTTTGGTTGCAGTCTGATAGAAGCGCTGGGGGGCTCTGTGGGGCGCCCGTCATCTGGATGTTCGGGTGCATATCTCTGATCTCTGCAGTTCAAAATGCGATCTACCTTTTTCTCCAGGTCGGCCAATCGATCCTATTCAAAGATCAATACTGAACAAAGGATGTCCCCATGCAAAATGGCGTAGGGATTGCCATACATGTGGGTGTGTTTCATCATAAACACAGGACTGGTTGAGGCGTACACAAGTTGAACAGGTCGGTCGTTCAGAAGGACACCGTGCCTTTTTCTTTCTGTTCAACGCGAGGTTCAGCGCCAGTGTCAAATATGCGGAAACAAACAGTCACTGACCTGCAGTTTCTGCAGGCTTGACGGGCACGCAGTCTTTCGCGGTTAGGGTCACGGCGCATGGCGATCGTGAACGACTGTTTCCACTCTAATAAGGATTTTTAAATACCACCTGAATTGCAGACAGCGTTATTTGCCGAACCAGTGGTGCTGAGCCTTCAGGAGATGGCAGCTAGATAGTAATTGAAGAGATGTCGGAGAGAGAAAGGGCCTCTTGTGGGGAGAACTGAGAAGTCACGGTTGTGTGGTCATGTGGGCGAGATTACCGTACATGGGAATCTCCGCATTTTGAAATCGGCAACCAACCGTTCAAAAACCGCATTGGGCGGAGATAATGAGTAAACTGGGCTTTTTGCTCATAGTCCCTGATTTACTCGTCGATCAAATTTTCTTACGCAATTTTCAGCTGTTTGTTACCTCCCCATACACATATTTCATGGTAACGGGAATCAAAACCATCGTAGCGCAGTACTTCATCAGACCTGCCACCCTCTTCGCTCTCACACTACTCTTACTTAACATCCTCGGATTGTGAGATGCCTACGTGACGTGTATTATGTCTTTAATCATGCCCCATTGCCAAGCCATGCAGATGGCCGTATCCGGTCATGTGACCGGCTACTCTATCCGTCCGGATGGTCACTCTGGGATCTCTCTAGAAGCAGGAATTTACATAAATTTAGGCAGGCCATTGGACTAGCAATGTATTTTTCGAGTTCTTTCAACTTTGTGTCGGTGACAGATCCCTTACTTTTCGTGACAATATGGCAACATTCGACTGGCATTCAGAGAGGACCGACCTCTCCAATCTAGCATTATTGGATCGTGCTCCTGAAAGTGAGGGAATCGACCTTCGTGCAGTACGTCTCTATAGATTAGGCAGGGTCCGAAGCCAGATGGCAAAATATAGCATAGACGCTCTCATCCTCTCCGATCCGATTAACATTCGCTACGCTACTGGGAGCCGGAACATGCAAGTTTTCAGCATGCGCAATGCACCATCTCGCTACCTACTGCTCACTGCAAACCGCTCTATATTGTTCGAATTCACAGGATGTCTTCACTTGGGCCAAGGCTACGAGACCGTTGACGAAGTACGTCCTTCAAAAACAGCGAGCTTTGTGGCTGCTGGTCCCAAGATCGAGGAGCGTGAGCTCCTGTGGGCCAAAGACATGGGAGAGTTGATTACTGCACTTGCTGGCAAGTCAGCAACGCTAGGTTTGGAGCGCCTCAATGCCAATGTGGCCGTCGCGTTAAAGAACCTCGGGTTCAACATCGTCGACGCTCAAAGACCCGTCGAGATGGCGCGAGCCATAAAATCAGCCGAAGAGATCAAGTGCATTGTTGCATCATTGCGTGCAACCGAAGCAGCTGTTGGTCTACTGCGCGACGCAATCCGTCCAGGGATCACCGAGACTGCGCTTTGGTCAGTCCTCCATCAGTCTATCATCGCCCAGAATGGAGACTACTGCGAGACACGGTTGCTAAGTGCTGGCCAGCGCACAAACCCATGGTTTCAAGAAACGGCAAGCTACGTGATCGGTAAAAATGAACTCATTGGCCTTGATACGGACGTTGTCGGCTGCCATGGTTATTACTCAGACTTCTCCCGGACCTTTCATTCCGGGCCTGATAGTCCAACCGAGGCGCAGCAGGAGCTCTATAAGGCGGCCTACGAGCAGGTGACGCACAATATGAGCATTCTGCGGCCTGGATTAACATTTCGCGAATACGCGGACCTGGCATGGGATATTCCGGGAAAGTACTATGCGAATCGCTATTACCTCTCGGCACACGGCTGCGGAATGACGGGGGAATATCCATACCTCTACCACCGCGGCGACTTTCCTGATGCTGGCTATGATGGTGTCATTGAAACCGGGATGGTCATCTGTGTGGAGAGCTATATCGGCGAGGAAGGTGGCTCTCAAGGGGTAAAGCTTGAGCAGCAGGTTTTAATTACAGAGACTGGCATTCAAGTTCTGTCAAAATTCCCCTTCGAGCAAAGTCTGCTGCAATAGTATCATGCCCTTCGACAATACTCTGTGTTGATAGAGGCTGAATCCAGCCGCTGGTTGTGGTATTCAAATAGAATAGATTATCTTCTCCTAATGCATCAACTCTGCTACTCTGCTTTTCATTTCCATATCCTGACGGAATATCTTGATACTCAGCAATAATACTCGGCACCAGTGCGCATTTCATGGCTGCCTAGGAGCGTTCGCCAATAGATATAGGGTTAGACTGTAGCTCTATCCATGAAATACTTGCATTGCGCGTAGCAAACGCTTGTCTTTTTTTGCTGTCAGCGACGGGTTGCATGCTCTGATATTTCCCCCTTCGAAATAAAAAGCTGATTTCAAAGAAGTGTACTTGTTTCTCAAGGTTCCCCCGCAGAGTAACATACACTCCCAGAAAACCTCTCCAAGCCCATTGTCAGTGGTAAAGCAACACGATTTAGCCAAGATGCCGGTTCATTTCGCTTATCCATGTGTGCCTAGAATACTTCGTAGAAGTGTGGCTGCTGAGCTCATTTAATTGCTGGTTAATTAAGGTAATTATTAGTTAATGCCAATGGCCCCTGTTCGCTTTAGGAAATTGGTTTAATATAGGTAATGTCTTGGTGGTGGAATTCGCAATTTTCTTCTTCGTACGAGGTAGGGAGAGGAGATGGTTAGTATTTCTATTTAGAGCAGGAAAAGGGCGAGACAAGTCTTCAAAGTACTCCATATTACGCGTGATGATCAATATGACGATGGAATAGCTGGGTCTTCGTGAAACCAGACAGGATGGGTGGTCTAGAACGGCCAAGAACCGACCCCTACAATTAATCTGTAACGCACAAAGCCCCTGAATCTCAAAGATCATCATAAATTGAAGGAGGGTATCTATGTCATCGACATCTATCTATATCCTAAATCCGTGTCCACCGACAAGCCAAGTCGGTCCAGACCACGAATCAAAAGAATAAAAAATCACAGCAGATAAAATACAATATTGAAAAAGTCCCAAAGTTCAATCCCAGCAAATCAAGCACTTTGCAACTTCGCATTAAATTCATTAAGAGGGTCATCTCAGGAGGTTAGGGGTAAAGGTATGTGAGGTCGGAGTTGATGTGCAAGACCAATCGTGTGATTGTTCGCTTTAAAGACAAACGCCAAGGATGCCCTGTGTTTTTTTGTTTGTTTATTGGTTTTTTGTTGGTGTTTTGAAACAAGCCTGGTCATTTAAACATGACGGAAAGGCTCGTAGGCGTTAGTGCGCGTCTGGACGGGGACGTTGCCGGCGGCAGAAGGATAGGAGGTGTTGCCGTAAGGGGCGGGCGTTCCGTAGGGGCCAAGGGGCTCGTAGGTGTAGGGGGCCTTCTCGGCGGTCACGCCACGGGCAGCACCCTTGTTCTTGTGGTTGTACGGCGACTTTCCGGAGCAGCAGCACGAGCTAATCATCCAGAACAGACCGGCACCCAGGGAAAAGGCAACGGCCAACCAGGTCGCCACGTAGATGTTCTTGCCCATGTTACCCTTGATGCCGTAGTCCTTCAGGTTCTCGTTGAAAGTACCGGTGACGGTCGCAAACATCGCGGTCGCAGTAACCGAAGCGGCAGTGGTGAAGAGGAAAGCGACTCCGGAGACTAGGGTAGTCACGCAGCTGCCCCAGCGACTGCAGACGGCAAAGACTCCGACAATCAGCTCGACGACGGTGGCGACGAAAGCGACGATGTAGGCGACGAACATCCACTTGGAGACGTTCTTGTAGATGTTCAAAGCCTTGCTCATGCCGTCGGGCAGGGCGTTGTCGAGACCGGAGTCCTCCAAGTTCCAGACCTTCAAGGGGTCGAAGTAGAACTGGGCCTTGGGCTTGGAGCACTCCTCGACCTTGTACTCGTTGCTGTCGGTGACGTTGCCATCGCAGTATCCCCACAGGCCGACCGTGTAGAAATCAGAGATGCCGAACTGCTTCTGCACCTGTTCCAGGGCGGACTTGATGTCGCCGTCGTTCACCTTCAGGTGCGCCTTTTCGAGCGCGTCGGAGACTTTGGAGTCTGTCGTGGCGGATGTCGTCATGTTTTCCAAGTTGGCCTGTGCGCGGGTGGTTAGTTCTGGAATTTTGGCTGACGGGCTGCGAAGGATAACATACTCGGAAGAAATAGAGCTCATTGAGGTTGTTGGAGCCGGAATTCGTGCATCCCAACCCAACCATGATGATGCATATCAACGAGGCGATGGTGAGTACATAGGGAGTGAATATGCAGAAGATGCGACCGGCTTTACCCATTTTGGCGGAGTGGATCGAATGTCGTGAAGGTAGATACGGAGTAGTAGTCGGAGGCTTCCCCAGATGTCGGAGGGGATTGTTTCGGTGAAGTTAGGAGTTGAAGCGACAGTAGAGACAGATGGCGAGAGGATGAAGATAACAGAAAAAGCGAAAGGCTGGCCGACCCGACAGTTTTTAAGAATCACCAGCGACACCTGATCGGCAGCCTTGGGTTTGTTTGGGGGCGCAGTTGGGGTTTTTTTGCACTTGTCGGGGGTATTTTTCTCGATCGGCAGGCCAATCACCGCGGGACGGGATCGACTACGCCACGCTTGTTTCTATAATTGACAACCGGGACGGTAACGTCGGTTTCCACCGCAACATTGCTGTATTTTGTGGTTTGGTATCGATGCCACTAAGCCCAGACAGGCAATTCAGGGAGGGCACAATACGGGGCTAAACCCAGACGGGGCGACATCAGCCCTACCGCCACGTCATAAGTGGCTGGGGTTGTACGCGTCCTTCTTCTTAGGCCTCCATCCTTTCATCAATCTCTTTCCTTGAGATGTGGTACAATCTGAATCATTCCACATGATCGCCTGAAACTACGTCCTTTCTCTTTCATTACTCATTAATCATTACCTACTCTGTACTCCAGACTAATGAGGATACTGCGGACTTCTCCGTAACACACTCCGTGGCATTCAGCGATGATCAACCAGTCATCCGACCTCTCAGCAGACACGATCGTCCAGACTTGGCAAATATAGCACTCAATACCATCAATACTCGCAGCACGCAGTAACATAGTCACCAGAAGTTCACTCATACAGAAAAACAATCGGCCATGGCCCATGATCCCTCCATCCATCCCGGTGGGTCCCAATCCTTTAGGATCCATGGATCCATAAGGAGGCAGCCTAGACGGAGACGATCCACAGTCGCAGGTAAATGGCTTGGGCCCTTGGAAATTGGGCCGGAGAATTTGCAGCACGGACATTCATCCTTCGAGTCAGAGTTTTCCATTCGACGGGGTAAATCTTCTCCGGCACGGAACTATCGACGCTGGACGTGCAGGCCGAAGGCAAATTTATGCATAATGGCGTACGCTTCCAGCACGCCGGAGATGTCACTGTCCTGTCAGCCTGCCAGGTTCTGTCAGATATAGATAGAAACGCGTGAGGTCATTTCTTGAGTTAAATTCAATACTGCGCGTGCAACGCAAGGGGCTGCCGGTCGCTGACCATGGGATCAGCAAAGTCTGCTATTTTGGTGGCCGATCTGATCCTTTCCAAACTGCGTACTGCCGAGCTGATTTTGATTTAGGCATCTGCATTGTTTCGACCTCTCTTGGCTGCCCGTGATGGACAATTCGATTCTAATTAGCTCATGGCACTAACTTAACACTGCCCTCTTCTTGCTCTTAAATTTCTTAGTTCCTCCCCGCAACGATTTACCCTAGACTGACACAGTTAGGCTACGGCCGTAAGGCTGTGCAAGTGATCTAACCTTGATCGAGATAGTTCTGGTGAACTTTGCAAAGTCTACGACGCGTGGGTCGCTTCGCCTTGTACTGCGTGCTCCGTGCAGGCGTACGTATATCCTGACGAACTACCCCGTCTATTTTCATCAATCCAGCCAAAATGGATCGATTACCGACAGGATCCATAGATCAAGGCAGCAGTTATGGTTATTTTTGACCGGAGCCACGTATGTATCCACCTCATTCATTCTGCAGGCCAACCCTACCTAATCTAATCTAATCTCCCATAAGACTAGCAAACCCTCGCCTCTCTTAGGCGAAAAGCCTATCCCAAATACGGCTCCAACAAATCCAGCATCCCCGTGTACGCCGCTCCATTCGGCGGCTCCATGTTAAACATGTAATCACCCCACCAGGGGCCAGCCGCCCACCAGACCGCACCCTTCCACACCTCCGTGTTGTCCGCCAGATGCTCGAGCAAGCCCTCCAGCGCCTCGCGACACTGGTCGTTCACGCCACCCGCGAACTCGCCAAGGATACCGACCTTGTTGTTCTCCTTCAGCCAGGCTGTCGCGTCGCTGACGCGCTCGCTGCCAATCGTGGTGGACACGCAGGTCTCCGAGGTCCCGGAGCCGTCCGAGTCCAGGTACTGGTGCATCTGGTAGACGATCTTGTCTTGCGGGTCGGTCAGCGCCTTCAGGTTGTCGTTGACGTCGCGCCAGGTCCATGCGCCGGACCATGAGTTGCCCTCGACGAAGATGTATTGCGACTTGGCTCCTGCGGCGCGGATGCCGTCGATGGCGGCTTGGTTGAGGTCCAGGACCAGGTCTTGGTCCATGTCGTGGTATTCGTTGTCTTGGGAAGTTAGTCAAGCAGAATGAGAAAGGATGAGAGAGACAGGCATACTGGTATCGAAGATCACCAGCTCGTTGTCCTTGAATTCGCCGGCCAGGTTCTCCCAGAATGTCTGGAAGTCCGAGGCCTCGGTGATGATCTCGCCGTTGCTGAGATGATCAGTTTTGTGCTCAACTCTCAGTGGGAAAGACTACTCACAATCGACCATAGTTGTGAGGGTCTAGGATAGCGTGGACCCCGGCGTCGGTGACGGCATTGACCACCTATCGTATGTCAGGAAGGCTCCCTCCTTTCTCTGCGAACAAGACCGACTCACCGTCGTGAAGTTCTTCAAGTACGCCTCGTTATACGACCCCGTCATACCATCCGGAGTCAACCGCTCCATCATGAACTGGAGTCGAAAGATGTTCATTCCCTTGTCGATTAGGGTAGTGATGGCGTCGATTTCGGGGAAGGTGAACTCAGTTCCCTGAGAAGAAAGTGCAATTAGCTGCCGTGACTTCAGACGATACATAGATGATAGATGAAAATACCCATTCTCCGGGGATCGTATCTTCACCGAACTCTCCACCGGCTTCATTCGTTCCAATCCCTATATCATACACTTAGTCACGAATCAAGTAGAGGAGGTAAGTAGGAAGGAACCAACATTCAAACGCCGAAGCTCTCTTCTTGTGCTCCTTCGCAGCGGGAGCAGCCACCGCGGAGCCTGCCGCAGCGGCGACAATCAGACTGCTAAGCTTCATATCGGGTATCCAGTATCAATTGAAGATAGAAAAGGAAAAGAAAAGAAAGACGAAAAGGATTGACTATCTGCACCCTGATCAGTCAACTACCACAATCCAATTTACCAACGACGAGGGCTTACCGGCTTATATACCTATTCATCGTGAGCTACTAGTCGATGAACCAGTCCTAGTAGTACGATGACCAAGTAAGAGAACTGAACCCGCCGGAAGAATTCAAATTTCCCTTTCCTCATCAGTAAAGGACCATTTGACCAGATCCATTCTGTCTTCCCCCGCAGCCTTGATCGAATGACGCTCTGTACAGACAGGAAAGTGGATATTCGGGGTTTCGGACCGTGTGATAGAGACTCTCACGGCTGGATATTAGGCATAGTCTAGCAAAGACTAGCAAGTGGACACTGGGCGACTCTTCCGTACAGCTCAGTCGACTGACAGTAAGTGCTGCATGTTCAATTCAACAGTCAACAGTCAATCGTAGACTCCGCCTTGGCGTGGAGGATGAAACAGAAACGGAGATGAATGTCAGGCACGGAGGCTTGGGGAAGGGATCGACAGACGCCTCAATTTCCGTGGCGTTTGGGGTAAGGATTTACATCGGCACTTTTTTTTCTACATTCTTTTTTGAACTGGATTGCGGTTATTTTCTGCAGAGGATTATTTGTGTGAGTTTAGTAGGGATGGGGGGTTTAATGGGGGTGTTATTAGGAATATGGTCATGATCGTGATCATATTGATGGGGCTGGTCCTAGAGCTAGAGGTGCTAATGGCTTTTGCAATACTTCGGAGATGCAGAGCATGGGAACAAAATATGAGAAATATTGAAATAATTGAACCAGTCAATTCATGAATTGCAGAAAAACTACCATGTACTATGCTTGCTATATACCGTAACCACCTTACACTTAAGAACTATATACTACCCAGACCTCACCACGCGCCCAACGGCTTCAACGCAGCCTTCATATCCGCCGCCTGCTGCTTATGATACTTAGCCGAAGGGTGGTAGTTATTCCACCAGAGACAGGACGTGCCATCCTCGTTGATGCAAGTCGCATCGGGGAATCCGTACTCCGAGGGACTATCAATGACCTTGGTCATGAACGACCAGGAATCATAAAGGACAGTGGTAACCTGCGCGTAGATCAGACCGTTAGCTCTCTATCCCTGAAGGCCAGAAGATATGTCGATAACTTACGTCCGTGTGGTTCGCCTTGAACCCGTCCACCATGGCCTTCAGGTTCTTGTTGTACACGGCCAGGTACGCCGCGTGCTGCTGGACAGTCTCATTGCCCTGTTCAAGAAAGAAAGGGCTGCGACCTGTCGGAGGCACATTCAAGAAGAGGAACTTGCGACCACCCAGGTCGTAGATCTTCTGTACGAGAGACCCGATGCGGGCGGTCAGTTTAGGAGTGAAGGTGCTGGCCTCCTGGTTGTAGAACGAGTTGCCAATACTAGACACAATCCCTTAGCATGATGCAACAAGACAGGCGCACGGAAAAACATACTCATTAATACCAATCCAGAAGGAAAACACCGCACTCTCGGCCGTCCAGGGCGCCGAGTCCGGCTTGTCACCATACTGGTCCTCAAACACGCCGACCTGGGAGACAAGATCGTCGGCGTAAGATGAAACAAGGTCGTTGTCGATAGTGGCTCCACCGACTGCCAAGTTGTAAGAGAGCACCAGCGACGAGTTCTCGGCAGTCGTCAGGTATCCCACATAGTTGGTTCCACCGGCCGTCGTGCCAGTCCCTGGTTGTGTGAGCGTAAGACCATCGCGAGTCAAGACCCCTGGGCAGGATTCATACCTAGTTGAGGGTTTCCCATCGGGTTGGAGGGCGTGGGCTGCTCGCCCCAGGCGTTGAATCCGGTCTGGGTATACGAATTGCCACTGTAGATAGAGCATTAGTATTAGACTCGTGGACTGGAACTGAAAACAGAGTAAGAGGGTATCTGTACAAGGTGAAAAAATGGGTGGTGTTCAGCGCCCGCGAAAATGGCCGCGCAGCAGCCAAAGAAGCAGTACTGGCCATCACACACAGCGTTTGGAATCTCATGGTGAAAGGACGAGTAAGACACGATGCAAGACAAGCAACAAGACTGACCGATCACATCAAGACCCTGCTATGTCGTCTACTATATATGTGGCTTATTCTACCCCCTCCACCTCCCATCTCCTCCTAGTACTCCGTAGAAACGCTGGCAGAAATTGCCGGGGATCGTCAGTGGAGTGTCGGCCAACATGACGGGGGACAAATCCTGAAGCACGTTCGAAATTAATTAAAGCCTCGGAGCAAACGGCTGCCTCCATATCTGTCACGTCCGTACAATGGCTTCCATTTATCCGGCCGTCGGAAGGCCTCGCCTTCTTCTGCAGTTCTGTTGTCTGCAGTCGACGGAACAATTCGCGGATGAGAAGGGAAATGATCGGTCGATTCAAGCTAATTGCGGGGTCTCATCTATGGGGAAACCAAGACCGACGAGGGCTGTCAGTTGGTTGAATAAGTTGCTGGTGGGACATCGTGTGATGGACGGAGCTTTTCCCATACTCTTTTGGTCACGGGTTTTCGGTCTCCGAAGTCGAGGTCTCACCAACTGCATATTGAGCTCACTGAGCTGATTCAGCTGATTTTTTTTAATTCTAGAATTCCTTTTCTCTTTCACTCTATATACGTGCATATGGCCATTCCGTCGTTTCCGAGATTCTAATATCGCTAATGCAGTTGAACGCCCATCATCTCCATCCCAACTCCGCAGACAAGTAGCTTCGTATCGCCCGTCGTTTCCCGGATCATGTCCACCGTCGAGATGTCCGCCACGGTGCTGTACCTGTCGATCACATTCTGCACCTGGATCGCCTCGAATCCCTCCTTCGCCGCATCCACCTCGATCTTCCAGATCTTGACCCGGTGGTCGTTTCCGGACGAGGCAGCAGTGATGTGAGTAATCTTGCCATCGGAAGACAGCTGCTGGTCGAGTACTTTGATCGTTGTGACGCATGCCGTATGCGCATCGGGGATGGACACAGTGTACGCGTGGTCGCTGGCCTCGGCATGCGTGAAATTCGTGTTCAGGAGCGAGAGCGTCAAGGCGTTGTCGTCGCTGCCGGCAATGATCAACGATGCCGCATCGGATATGTGCACGATCTCGACGGCCTTGATACTGTTGGAATGGATCTGGTATCTGTTTTCGCAGGTAATTTCCTCAGGCGTTATCGTTGCCGCGTCGATGGGCTGTTTGACACGCAAGGTCGAGGAGTCCGCTGAGATGGCGAAGAATGGGTCGATCACGGACGTCAGGTTCCAGAGGGTGAGGTATCCATCCGTGGACGCCGTCAGCATCACCAGCGACGAGTCGCGGAGGATGAATTGTGCCTCTGTCAAGCAATTGCTGGTATATGTGCCCTTGGCCAAGAGCGTAAAGCTGTTCTCACTAGCTGAGGAGGTGTAGCGGAAGATCTATAGATGTCAGTGCAACCGGGCGCAGAAGATAAGAGACGGACTATACATACCCTGAGGGTAGAGTTCGAGTAAGACAAGCAGAGTAAGAAGTCACCCTCTGCTGCGCCCTCGATCTCGATCATGTCGAAGCTAGTCACGCGAAGATCGGAGCTGGGGTGACTCTTGGGACTCGAGGCCACGAGATTGGCCACTAACCCAAATAGAGGAATCGAGCGAATCCTCCACACGAAGAATTCCTCATTAGCGGCCCCCGTGAAGAGGAACTTCCCGTCTTTTGACCAGGCCACGTGCTGAAATCCAGTTTGATGCTGCGTGAGAACCCGCAGGCATTTGAACGCACCCCATCGGCTCTCCTTCTCCGGCTCAATCGGCGCGAATATACGCAATGCGGTGTCCTCGGCTCCAGTGGCATACAGCGTCCCTCGTTCATCATTGGGAGGCGATACACACATGGTTTTGATTTCTCGTCCGTGGCTGCCCGCGCGCAAAACCCAGTTGGCATCGCCCTGAATCTGGAACGCAGTGAGGTGGTTTTGTAGCCATACTAACAGGCCCGAACCAGGGCTCGTATAGCTGGGTTGGAAGGCCCAGATTCGATGACTACCACCACAGGTCATTCTGGCGGACTCGGAGTGAGTAGACTCATTCCATAATATGAAATCCGTGCCCGAAAACCCGTGCAACATGAGATCGCCAGACACCTTGTCAACATAGGCACCCGCGATGTTATATCTGGGAAGCGGAGTTGAACGATGAAATGTTAGAAGAGAGACCGACTGTCCTTGCGATTCCTGTTTCTTCTCATCTAGCGTATGGATGCCATAAAATCCATCTCGGCCACAAGTGAAGAAAAAATTCTGCGACCTTCCGGCCTCGCCGAAGAGGGAATAGAAAGATTCAACTTTATTGATGCCTTCCGGGTGGATGTACTCGTTTAAAACAGGCTGCAAGACCGACTCTGTCGATTCCAGCTGGTATATGGCAAGCGAGCCACCTTGGGATCCGAGTGCCAGGTACCGATTGCCACAAATCAAGGATGCATCCCCCACGATAAAGCGTTTGGGAAGAGACACTGTGATGTTTTTCATCTGCGGTTCTTCATTCTCGGAAACTGTGACCATGAATAATTCGGCCTTGTCAAATCTCGCATGGGATGTCAGAAAGTAGAGAGTCCCAGACTCAGTTGTGCTGCGATCATAATCAAGGGCAAAGAATCCCTGCGGCATTTGGTTCGTTTCTGCCACTCTGGATAGTGATTTGGTGTTGTGGTCGTATAACCGTATGGATCCTCTAGCATTCCCCAAAAGTGCCAATCCATACTGCGGTAGACCGGCAATCGCACAGTATGAACGGAGGTCTTCTTCCACCGATATCGTTTCCCTAGAGATGTAGCGTTCAGCTGATGCTGGAGATTCGACCCGACAAATTTGAACCTCTCCTTGGGTAGTGGTTGCGACAAAGCAGTCCGGGGAGACAAATCCAAACTTTTTCATGGTTTTCTCCAGCTTGGGCTCAGCGTCATGAGAATCAACAACGTAGTTAATGCGCCGATTCCGATTCGGAAGCACAAGGGCCCCATTCTCGCCAACTTCTAATTTGAAGACTTTCAGCGCACCGTCGGCGCCACCAGTATAGACCATCGTTTCTGTGCCAGCCCTACGGATATCCGAGGCCCAAATGTGTTTCTGGCAGTGTTGGCGCACGAAGGAAATTTCGCTTAGCTTGAACTCCGATTTCTCGGAAGAAGGATCCCAGCTGAGATCCCACACAAAACAAGTTGCGTCTTCACCGCGCGACACCAGGTTCAATTTACACTCCTCTCCCGCTTGTGTAGGCAGGAAAGACACATTCCAGATCCGCGCCTGATGGCCGAAAGCGCTCGCGATGCAAGACTCGGTACCAAGTGCACTGTCGCCAAAACCGGTGCTTCGCAGGTCGAAACCATCGGTTGAATAAGCCGAAGGATCGTGGCGAGACGACTTTTGGCAATCGGAAATGTCCCAAATCTTGATGGTCCTATCGTCACTACAACTAGCCAGAAATCTTCCGGTGGAGCGACCAGGCAAGGATGTGATTCCATGAGAAATCCTAACTCCAAAAATGGACCCCTCGTGTCCGGTGAAAAAATGGTGGATCGAGGCGACGGCGCTAGAGGTAGAGCTCTGGTCCTCTTCCAAAAAGCAGGACCAAACAATGATCTCGCCAAAGACTGTCCCGGCGGCGATCAATATATGAGAGGATGAGAACGAAACAGTGTCAGCGGAATAGAGAAGAGTCTTAACTCCAGCCACTAGATAGTCCAGATGGATGCTTTTCTCATATTCCGAAGAGCCCCCATCCATCAGGAGCAGACGAAGAACAGCATTGTGAGCAGTGACCATGTAAGCTCTTACTTCTGCAGTGTCCGCTTCAGGCACACAACCGGCCATGATCCAATCTGGAGCCACATACTCCGCACATATTGTCCGAAGAGAAACTTCAGGTTCACCGGAGGCGGCATCATGTGTAACCGAGAGGTCAATCACCCGCAGAGATTCGCCTCCCCAGATAAGAAACCGAGTAGATGCATCTTTGCCCCGCTGCTCGTGGCCGAGAACGATAAATCCATGGATGTTACTTCTTTTGAAGACTTCTAAACTGCCCAGCAGCTTTCCAGTGCGCTCATCAAAAAGCCGCACATATGGCCCTTGGCCCTCGATCACGAAGCTGTCGTCTCCCAGATCAAACGCTTTTAACGCAGTTATAGGGAGACAAGCATCAATGTGCTGGTAATTGAGTCAGCAGTTGCCAGGACACGTCCCTCCTTTGGAGTCATGACTGACCTCGAGCGAGGAATGCATGGGTGCAACCAGCAAAGCACAACGGCTGACTGGCTTTCCGACAGTAGAATCGAGTCCAAACGTTCTCTGTTCCCCGCATGGAGATTCGATCTTCCATCGCGAAATTCCAGAATTTCTATTGTCTGTGAATGATTATGTAACGCGCCCACCGCACGCCGCCTTCCCCGAAGCGGCATAATGCCACACGTGACATCGCGCCTCCAGAAGTGGCGACGCGAAGAAGCGAGACTTGATTCTCGCATGTCGTCAGGATCGCCGACTGGCTCGGTGGATCCTTGTATCTTCGCATATCGCTGCCTCTCGTACCAGCCATGCTTTTATCGCAACCGCTAGCCATCCTATAATAATAATAGACACCCCGTCACCCCGCCATCATGGGTGTTCACGGGCTCTGGAACGTCGTCCAGCCTTGCGCACGGCCCATCAAGCTCGAGACCCTCAACAAGAGGCGGTTGGCCGTCGACGCTTCGATCTGGATCTATCAGTTCTTGAAGGCGGTCCGTGACAAAGAGGGGAATGCGCTTCGTAACTCCCATATTGTGGGTTTCTTCCGTCGAATATGCAAACTGCTCTACTTTGGCATCAAACCGGTCTTTGTGTTTGACGGCGGCGCCCCGATCCTCAAGCGACAGACCATAGCGGGCCGGCAGAAACGTCGAGAGGGCCGCAGAGAAGATGCCGTGCGCACGGCCGGGAAGCTCCTTGCCGTACAGATGCAAAGGACTGCCGAGGAAGAGGCTACCAGGCGCAAGAATGCGACGGCCAAGCAGGCAGAAGAGGAAGTGTCGGATAGACCGGTTTATGCGGAGGAGGCTTTTATGACGGACAAAGAGAAGCAGCAGGGTCGCTCGTTTAAAAAGAAAGATGCCTACCATTTGCCGGACATGCAAGTTTCGCTGGAATCGATGGGTGCTCCGAACGACCCGCGTATCATGTCACAGGAGGAGCTTGAGGAATACGCAAGACAGTTTCATCGGGGCGAAGACATTAATTTGTACGACTTTTCGAAGATTGATTTCGACAGTCCGTTCTTCATCAGTCTTCCGGCTACAGATCGGTATAACATCCTGAACGCGGCTAGGCTTCGGAGTCGTCTACGAATGGGGTACTCAAAGGAGCAGCTAGATCATATGTTCCCCGATCGCATGGCCTTCTCGAAATTTCAGATCGAGCGAGTCAAGGAGAGAAATGATTTGACACAGCGCCTGATGAACATCAACGGCATGAACGGTGAAGAAGCATTTTACAACTCAGGACAGAGAATTGCCGGTGAACGAGGCAAGGAGTATGTGCTAGTGAAGGACAATACGGTTGAAGGCGGATGGGTCCTCGGTGTTGTCGGAAACAAGGATGAGGGCCGCGAGGGCAAGCCGATTGACGTCGACCAGTACGGAATGCAAGAGATTCTTCCAGCAGAGAATAGCTCTGATGATGATGACGGCTTCGAGGATGTGCCTGTCGAGGGTCTCAACCGACTTCCTCGACTCCCTTTTCTTCAAGAAGGCGTTCTTGACGATTCAGTCAGGCAGCAGATGCAAAGGACATCCGGGAGAAGAGCCAGTGCTAGGTCACAAGACTTCGAGGACGATTCGCTATTTGTTCCAGATAGTAACAGCCAAGCCCTGCGGCAGGGCCACGGAGATATCAACGGCTTGTTTGAAGAGGGTGAAGATGAAGACCTTCAAAGAGCGATACAAATGTCACTCGAGTCTGAAGGTCAACAAGATGATGACATGCCCGACATTCAACTTAATAGAAACACCTCCCATCTTCTTCCAGGCAATGATGCGACAAAAGCCATGAGCCTAGAAAGTGATGACGACGACGCACTAGATTTTGGGGCCGCTTTGGCGCAATCAAAAAGAACCAAAAAAGAGCCGATTAACACTAGTGCTGAGCGCCCGGTCATCGACCACCCTTTCGACGGGCCTCTACCGTTTGAGTCCATGAAACGCAGCAAGCCGCCTGGACATGAGAAATACAGCAATGAAAAGGTTTATGAACATGCTGGTGGCTTTGAAAAAGAGCCCAGCACCAAATCAGAGAGCAACATTATTCTTCCGCCGTGGTTTTCAGGGAGCAATTCGAAAGCCGAGTTCATTACAGATAACGCTTATGATAGCCCATTGCCGATCCGTCGGGACATAGGCATGACTCCGGACCACTTCTTCCTGAAGAATCACGAATCTCCTCAGGTCATCGACGTTGACAAGCCTTCAAACCCAAACGACATCATTGATTTGGAGTCGGATGTGGAAGAAGGTAAAAACGATGCACCTCAAGTTGCTGCTGTTCCAAGCCCCAAGAACGAAGAAACCGGCACGGTCCCTGGGGTTGTGCCACTAGCAGCACAAGACAATGTCGTTCATCTTCCAGAATCCCCAGTAATCGGCCCAGACGCAGAAGATAAGAACGAGGAACAACTAGTTGACACCAGCAAACAAGAAACTAATGAGCGACCCTCGCCCTCGCCTGAATTTGAGGCCATCGCAGCCAAACCACAAGAGTCGGGCACCGAACGACACACTGTACCATCACCATCACCTGAATTCGAAGATGTGCCAACTCAACCACAAGAGTCGGTCGCAGCCCCACGCGCCGCAGCGTCGCCATCACCCGAATTTGAGGATGTTACAATCTCGCCGGAAAGGCGAGCAGCCGAAAATGTCACTACCGAGCTAGAACCTCAAGCTGCCCTTGATCTAATTCAAGCCGAAAACCTCGCCAGGGAAGAGGAAGAATTTTCGGACCCTGAAGATGAGGACTTGATGCGACAGCTCGCAGCTGAAGGCGAGGAACATGTTCGATTTGCAGCCACATTGAACTCTGCGCCGCAGGGCGAGAGCTCTTTTGATTACGAACAGGAACTCAAGCAGTTGCGATCGCAACAAAAGAAGGATCGTCGCGATGCAGATGAGGTATCGCAGATCATGATTACCGAGTGTCAGCAACTGCTGAAATTGTTTGGCTTACCATATGTTACCGCGCCCATGGAGGCCGAAGCGCAGTGTGCAGAACTAGTCTCGCTGGGCCTAGTCGATGGCATCATCACCGACGACAGCGATTGCTTCCTGTTTGGTGGTACCCGCATCTACAAGAACATGTTCAACCAAAGCAAGTTTGTCGAGTGCTACCTTACTTCTGACCTCGAAAAGGAATATGCTCTTCATCGGCAGAAGCTGATCAGTTTCTCCCATCTGCTCGGTAGTGACTATACCGAAGGAATTCCGGGAATCGGGCCTGTAACGGCGCTCGAGATCATCACGGAATTCGCCAGCTTAGAAGAATTCCGCGACTGGTGGACCCAGGTTCAAATGGGAGTCAACATGGCCGAGGGCGGGCATGCTGCTTTCTACAAGAAGTTCAAGAAGCAGGCTACGAAGATATTCCTGCCTCCGTCATTCCCGGACAGCCGAGTCGACGAGGCCTACTTTGAGCCCGAAGTCGACTCGGACCCGTCTCCCTTCCAATGGGGCGTTCCCGATCTCCACAGCCTACGACACTTCCTGATGACGACGATCGGATGGAGCCAGGAACGAACTGACGAGGTATTGGTGCCGGTCATTCGGGACATGAATCAGAGGGAACAGGAGGGCACGCAGTCCAACATCACCAATTTTTTCCACGGGCCTCAAGGAGCCGGGGCGTTTGCGCCACGGGTTCGAGCCGCGGGCCAGAGTCGCATGGAGAAGGCGTTTAGTCGACTCCGGCGGGAAGCCGGAGCCGATCACACCGAATCGGCTGAGGTAGACGGCGAGGAATCCCCTGGAAATCGTGGCGGACGAACGACAGGAACCAAGCGGGGGACACGCGATGGCGAGGCGGCTGAGCAGGCCGACAGTGGTGACGCGAAGACTAGTAAGAAACGGAAAACCCGACAGAGGAAGTAGTAGTGCCAATGCCAAGAATTTGGAGCGACCTTCGATGAAATTCTGAAGAATCAGCTGCCAGGGTCTTAAATTGTCGCGTAATGGACAGTCTCCACCCTCCGTCCCACGACGTTGCAGGCGAGCCATGAACCAAGCGAGCCCACCACACGAACTGCAGGATGGCTCTAATCTGGACGATCCGAATGCGGAGAGTCGATCATCCGAGTCTGCGAGATCTAGTGCTTTATTTGGATTTTAGAATCTGATATGGTTGGTTTGGCTGTTCTCTCACGGTCTACTCTCCATGCACATGGTCCAAGCGTTGTACATCTCTACGGGGCATGAAAAGGCACTGTAGAGTTCCTCAAAGTCTCTCGGAAGTCACCTAGCCCAGCGTTTCTGACCTTTGAGTTCCAACTTCCACCCAGCGCTCTCTAGTCTCGGTGGTCATGACATTATTGAATCGCCAAACTCAAATTTTCCGCGGTCCAGGGGAATCGATGACATCACAACGAGGCCCCTCGATGACGTCGGCGATCCCAACGTGCTGCCGATGTGCCTAGCGGTGTGGTTCGAGAGGGCAGGCTGCAGAGTATCCAAGTCACCATGGCGATGGAAGCCGGTGGAGCCGATGCTGGTCCCCTGCAGACCCCTTCGATCCCCTTAATTAAGTTCCCTGAGCAGCCTCGGGCAGCCAATCCGGAAGCGCAATTGGCGCCTGGACAATCAGGCCGGTCGTCATTATTCATCATCGCCAGCGTGCCTGCCCCATCGGGACTAGCGCCCCGGCGAGTCTCGACGTCACCGAACGTTTCCCGTTGCAACTCTTTCGCTGCCTCGTCGTTGGGCTTCCAGGGGAACCTCGAGGTCATCACTCCGAGACGTGGGTCTTTGCTCGACTCAAGAAACATCCTTTAGGTTGCACTTCCCATCTCTCGCAGCTCGTCTCGTCTCTTCTCTCTCTCTCACCCTTTCTCTCTTCCTCCCCCTTCGCCCTCGTGTGTCGCCCTTCCGTCGCATCCCGTGGCCTTCCCTCGTACACGTCACTCCTGCGCAAAGGAAACCCTTGATTCAAAGATACCGCCTCGTCCGATTCTCAACCATTCCGACTTACTTTTTCGAACCTTCTTTTCTTATCTGCACTGGATCTAGCTTCCACCATGCATCGCACCTATTCTATGCGCCAGTCGCGCGTGCCGACCGCCTCGCAGATCGAAAACCCGCCCCCGCCATTGTCCACAACCAAGACTGGCCGATGGATGGGCAAGGGTGGCTTCGGTGAGTATTTTTTTTTTCTTTACTGTGAAATCGAAAGTCTTTCCGCCATATCCGATTCCGATTGAACGCCAGACCACCAGCGATCGAGTTAAATGACAATTGCGACGGGATCCCCGGTCATGATAAGCATAATAACGAATGTAAGCAGGGCACGCCTTCCGCAAAAACGCCGCCGGCGCTTTCGGCCCCGATCTTGCGCGCAAACTCTCCCAGCTGGTGAAGATGGAAAAGAACGTTATGCGCAGCATGGAATTGGTCGCTAAGGAACGTATGGAGACTGCGGTAGGTCGATCATTTTCGGATCGCGCGGATCAGTCTGGGTTGGACGCATTGAAGCTGATATGAGCCGATCTACAGCAACAACTCTCCATCTGGGGTGAGAACTGCGACGAAGATGTGTCCGATGTCACCGACAAGATTGGTGTCTTGCTCTACGAAATCGGAGAGTTGGAGGACCTCTACGTTGATCGCTACGACCAGTACCGTGTGACCATCAAGAGCATCCGCAACATCGAGGCGTCCGTGCAGCCTAGTCGGGATCGTAAGTCCTAATCTTGTTCCCTTCCTGACCTCCGAGATCTAGTTGCTAATATGTCATGACCATAGGCAAGCAGAAGATCACCGACGAGATCGCCAAGCTCAAGTACAAGGACCCCAACTCGCCTCGCATCGTGGTTTTGGAGCAGGAGCTGGTTCGCGCCGAGGCCGAATCGCTCGTGGCCGAGGCTCAGCTCTCGAACATCACCCGCGAGAAGCTCAAGGCTGCCTTCCAGTACCAGTTCGATGCGCTGCGTGAGCACTCCGAGAAGGTGGCCATCATTGCGGGCTACGGCAAGCACCTCTTGGATCTCATCGACGACACCCCGGTCACTCCTGGCGAAACCCGCACGGCGTACGACGGATACGACGCGAGCAAGGGCGTCATCCAGGACTGCGAAGAAGCCCTGTCTAATTGGGTCACCTCCAAGGCTTCGGTGAAGTCCAGCCTGTCCACTCGGACTCGCACCCTTTCCCAGCGCCAACGCGACAGCGTCGCCAAGAACCGCGAGGGCGTTGACCTGTCCGGCCAGGACCAGCCTCTGCGAGGCGACCGGGACTCGTGGTTGCCCGCCGATCAACACCAGACCTACCACGACGTGGAAGACGGCGAGGAAGTGACCAGCACCCTCGACGGCGAGCCCCGGGGTCGAGAAGAAGAACGCGAGCCTGTTCAAGTTTAAGCACCAAACCGAACAGCAAGGAAACTAGGGCCACAAGAGCACACAGCTCACGTTGGGGGTGTTGCTCTTCCTTTAACAAATATGTTCTTCGTCTTTCACGCTCTGATACTCCGGGATTGGGAATCCCTGCTTGCGTAATGTGACTTGTTTCCATGATGATTTTATGTGGACTTTTGCAATTCCGTGAATTGTTCCATCCCCTCTCTCTTACTTAATAATGAGCCTGGATGATCTCAGACTGGACTATGTGGAACATGTTTATATGCATTTGGAAGTCCGTCGAGTCGAAGTCGAAGGCTTGGGGTTAATTGTTATAATGTAATACTACGATCTGGGAGGGTTATATTTATTCCTTGGTTGGTTGTTATTGATTGAATGACTGCGTTTATTGTCTATCAGGTAGGGGTAGGGAGTACGTTAGTAATGAATGTTCGAGTTTCTATTGCCTCTGCTTCCATTATGAATTAATTGTTCTTCTAACTGGCCGGGTTCTACTTCTCTTCCCAGTAGAAGAGATACATCCATTGGTCATACAGACACATTACTGACTTCCCCATCGAGGACCTCGATTTTGAAAATCCACCTGTCTCCATTGACAAAAGAGGAGAGTGTTTACCAGTGCAAGAATAAAGCATTTCCTTGGCCTGGAAGTAGGGCCATTGACAGCTAATGCTGTGTTTCTAGTTTGTCTTTGACCATCAAACTGCAGACCGATACCTAGCTAGAGTCATAAAAATAGTTGCTCTAGATGAGTAGAGTATATACTAGAGAGAACAAAGTATTATAGAGTTCGCAAGGATGCAATTGATTCGAACCAGCCCTTTCCAAATGAGTATATGTAAAGGTAAAGGCACCACCTACCGATCTGAGAACACAGTTGAACTGCCTGCCACACCATATACCCTGCGATGTATGAGGAACACAACCCACCCACCTACCTAATATCCTGCAGAAACAGGATCAAACCTGCAAAAAGCGGACACACGACCCGCGCGTCCGCAAAAACCCCAGTCCGGCGTGGAAGTCAGGATCGGCCGGGCTCAGAGTCAGATTGGACCGACTGGGTCTGCACACCTCGCACCCTACCTATCAGAGCCGCCGAGCGACAAAAGTCCGGACGATCGATTCCCTGGACCGGAATTAGCCTCGAATAGCCGGGTGATGTCAGCGCGGGCGTTGAAGACGTGATTCCCCGGATTTGGGACTCCACTTCCTCCTCCTGGTCTTCAGTCGGGCTGGGCTTGGGCCGAGGGATTCCGTGTTGTGCTCTGAGTAGGATTCTGTCTGTGTTGCTTCGTCGGATGGATCTTGTAAAGAATCGTGTCAATGTCAATTAGATCAGTCGGATTGAATCAAAAATAAGACTACATCTCGTCAACTCCACTAAGCCCCGTCCATTCCATTCCCTTCCCATCCCTTTCCATACTCCGGCGGGCTACAAGACCTTGGAACAAAGCCTTCCCGCCAAACAACCAAGCCACTGGCCTGCAGGGATAAACATATCGATAAAAAAAGCCTGAATATATAACTGACGGATCCGCGCAACTCATACTGGCACTCGTAGTGAACAATAGGAAACGAAAAAGCAAAGGCAAAGGTCATTACATCGTCACGTGTCTCCATCGAGGTGGGCGGATCAAATCGCCCCGATGAAAAGAGCATATAAAGACAGATAGATCATGCGAAAAAAGCAAAAAGACTGGACTGGAAACCATGGCCATAAGAAAATCCGATAACAATGAACCCCGATATATAACCCTCACTTGAGAATAGAAGAAAACTCAAAGTATGTCTGGAAAGTAGTAAAACGATGTGATGCAGGCAGATAAATAAGAGTTGGACAATTTCAAATCAGAAGAAATCAAATCAGAAGAGCTTTCCTTTTGAGTCCTTAGTTGTCGGTACCCACGCCCTTCTTTTTTGGCTGGATATGTTTTTGCCCGCTTCCGGCGGAGTTGTTCTTTTGACTCGAGGCGGGAGGCTCGCTGGGAGGTGGCATGCGACTGCTCGAAGCATCGTGTTTCTCGGTCAACAGGTTCTTCAGCCACCGGTTTTCCATCTCAAGTTGAGCCACGCGGGCCTCTAAGCTGGCGTTCTTCTCGGTGGTTTCTCGCACCGTACGTTCGAGCGTCTGTTCGCGCTGCTTCTTCTTCATGCGGAACCGCGCACTGGCGGCGGTGTTCCGGCGTCGTCGATCCTCTTCGGCGGCGTGGCGGACATGCTCTTCCTGGCCGAGAGCGGAGACGATGTGGTCGCCGGAGATCTGCGTGCTGTATTTCGTGTTGCCGATTTGTCCGTTCGGCGGTGATATAGAGGATGAGACGTCCGAGGGCGTCAGAGCCCCCGGAGCATGGCCCAGGTCGTCAGGAGGGCCATATGAGATGGGCGGATAGATTGGATGAGCAGAGTAGGACAACATTTGGTCCGGCAGGGTGTAGTTGATGGATTTGTTCCCGGTAGCTGGTCGAGGTGTACGGTAAGCAAACTGGGTTGAACGGGAGGATAGATGGAGATGGAGAGAGTTTGGAACGCAACGCCTCAAAAAGCCAAGGAAGAAGAAGATAGAAGATAAGGTGGAAGGGAAAGGCAAGTCGTATCGGGCAAAGCGGTATTAAAGGGGGCGATCGAACCCTTGGAGTGAGGATCACGATGGCAGATGCGCGGATAAGGGACCGACAAAGACAAGGTTTCCGACGATGTCATTGGTGTGAGGGATTGCGTGCTCACGCCCTCGAAATACCACCAACCCCCGAGGGACGAGCCAACCAGGACCGATGCAAAATTAAAAACAATAGCGCAAGAGACCAAAAGGATCACAGGAAATCGGCATACATGGGGAAATGAAGCCCCCCGTTGGCAGGGCGGAGGCCGTGGGAAGGGAACAACGGCACCACAACACCAAGGCGCGGCGCGGTTACAGAAGGGAGATGGGGATGCCAGCGTAGCTTTTGGCCAAGATTCCGCCAGGGCCAGCTGGACGGTTCGCCCAGCACGCAGGTCAAGAATTAAAAGGGCCTTTTCTTCCCCAGAAAATCCCGAGATGGGAGAGCTCTCGCTCATCATGGCGCCCATGCCGTAAGACCGAGGCAAATTCAGAGGACACGCGAACCAGAGGGCAGGCAGATGGCGCAAACGATGCAACGTTCAGGCTCATTTATTCACAACGATCCAAAAGGGAAAAAGAAAAAGGAAAAAGAAAAACTGCGACTCACCATACGGGTACCCTCGCACATCGATCGGGCTGCGTTCGTCCTCGATACTGTCGTAGGAACTGACGGACAGACCGCCCATTCCCTCGGTTTGGTCGTAGTCCATATTCAAATTCTGGAGCGGCGGTGCCAGGCCAGCAGAATCGGCGTCGAAGGAGTACTGTCGACTCTTTGCCAGGGCGGGATCGTGTCGAGAGAGAAGAAAGTTGAAATTCTCGAGCCTATCGAAGCTGGAGGCAGCCTGACGAGCGATTTGCTCATCTGACATATTGGCTGCGAGGAGGATTTTAGAGCTGCGTCTGAGCTGCTCCTCTTTTCTCTGGCTTTTTTTTTCGGGGCCTCTTTTTTTTTTAATTTCGACCTCTTATTTTTTCCCTTTTTCGAACAAAGTTTGGGGCAGTACGCAGTAATTTTCTGCTGTTCCCCCGTTTTAAATTACCTCACTAAATTGAGACGCCTTTGCCTTTCTTGCTTTAGAGCCAAAGACGCAAGAACCGGGAGTAGATGATGCCACCGGCAGGAATCCACTCGGACCGATTGTCAAACCCCAGATCAGCTGGAGGCGTCAGGGAAGGGAAGCAAGGCGACGGCGAGAGGGGCAGCAGCCGGCAGGGATACACGAGATGCAAAGATTTCACAATTGAGAGAGAGGTGGATGGAGAGAGGTCAAGATATCCGGACTACCTTCACTTCGACAAGTCGCATAACGCGGGACGGTTAGCCACGTACGCAAGAGAGAAGAACGAGAGAGCACGAGTCTTTAAAAAAAATAATAAATCCCGAGAAGGAATTAAACAGAATAATGGGAATCCGTAATGAAAATAAACCAGCAGAATATTATTCGAAAACTTCGGAGGAAAAATACCAGAACCAGATTAATTGCTTCGGGACGGGACAAAAAAAATAAAACCAATAAATGTAAAATCCAAATAATCACAGACGGGGAGGGGGCAAGGAATGAGGAAAGGAAGGACCAACGCAAGAGGACCTGAGCTGGGAATGGAATCAGCGACGAGACCGTGAGAGAAGCAATCGGTGGTGATCGTCTCATGCCCGCCCACGGCTTAGCGGATGATCTGATAGAATGGAGAAATGTCGTGATCGCGGCCTGTGGTTCGTCGGTTTCGGCTTGGGCGTCGCCTCGGACTTACTGCGGTTCACCGCTTTGGCAGGAATTCAGAGGGAGGAAAGAAGCCTTCAGGGCAGAGGAAGTAGAAATAAGAAGAAAGGAATCGATCGGAATGCGAGCTGTCGTCGCTGCTGTTTTTAAACCGGCCGATCGAACAGACCATTCATGCCCTGAAGTACGGGTTCGCCAGTTGCTACACGCGGCATCGTCATCTTCTCGGAGGAAGTGGGGGTCAAAGGGGGAAAAGGGGGAGCTACCTGGCTGGTACCTCGCTGCCACTCCCGACGACGCCCTCGCACTGACGCTCTCGAGGTACCGGGTCGGTACCTCCGCGGTCTCATTCATCCATTCATTCATTCCCTGGTATCTGCACCTGCTCTGCCGGTCGAGCTTCCGCCACCCACGAGAATAATCTCGACCGCACGAACTAAAAAAACTAACTTCCCAAATTAATACCCACTCCCCATCTGCATCCATGCCGGAATTATTCGACTTGGGTCTAGCGGAACAGTCCGTCCGGGACTAAATGCATTGGTCAGTCCATGATCAATATCATATTGCCAACCAGGAAACGCCAGGCTCCACTACCATCGCCGTTGATGGTCGAGCCTTTGGCTTGGACTCCTCGGTCGGTTTCATCTCATGCCGACACGAACAATGACGCGGTCGGCCCCGATCATGCCCTGGAAGCCTACTGCGCCGTAGTACTATCGATTCGGACAAAGCTTGGCATCGTTCTACTGCCTGCCGGACTCCTACTTCTACTACATCCTACTGCGTCTGTCCACGAAGGGTCTTCCACTCGTCACGCTCGGGTCCTCTCCGCAGTCTCATGTGTAGTCAATTCGATGATCTGATGTCCAGCTGCCTGTTTCTTTTTATCCGAACTTTTCCCCCGAAGGATCCAACTGACCCAGGAACGACAATGCCGTCCATCCAACCCCCGGGCTATCACGAACCGAACGCGGATGCCGAAGATGACGCTGGGAAAGAAAAGGAGAGGGCGTGGGGGGAAAGGCCCTCATCTTGGTCCGTAATCGGGTCCGATCCCGAAACCGTCCTATGGAGCGCAGTCCGCAGTCACGAACATACTTAAAACTTCGATCCCAATCAGTCTGGCGCGCATTATTGACTTGACAGCCTTGTTCGTCCCACTATTGATCTCGTGTCCATGGGTCTATGCCGGCTCTCAAGTCTCAGATGTCGACGGAGTACTCCGTAGCCTGAACTGTGGATGAGCTCATGGTTGATGCTACATGGGCCCTTCGGCCGCCATTGCTCTCCCTGTCCGTCCGGTGCCTTTCTCTTACCCACTTCATTTTCTAGCCGGCTGGTAGGTCCTCGACGATGATTCGGTCTCCGTCTACGAAAGCCCTGTTCTCGCTCCTCGACCGTTGGATGTCCGAGGATTCTATTACCAAATATCAAAGGTCGTGGCAAATCACCGGGCCTCGTCTCGCCAACCGGTGTGTGCCCCCCGGCAGAGAAAAGCAAGTAATTCGCGAAAGTGGCGCGTACCGAATAGAGTGGCGGCTTCGGATAATATGGTTGGTATCGGGTTCATAGAACCATTCTTCTGACCGGCCTGATGTTATTGCCCAGGAAGGCAGTTGGTCAGACAGCCCGGCATCCTTCTGCACGATGCCGAGTTTGTCTCGTGTGACGCCCACGCCGACCCTGGTCATTTGATAGCTGCGATTCTCCTTGGCTGGCGATGCGACCTGAGCGAGAAAAAGAAAAGAATTGAGCCTACCCGTTCTTATAGCATGACCAGTCGGCTGATCCGGGCGTACTCTGGACGGCGCATACTGGGTTGCCGGACCTCGATGAGAAAAGGGAATGCTGGGATGGTGTGATTGCAGGCAGCTTCCCATCTTGAGGTGCGACGAAGTCCGAATTGCGTGAGTCTGGCCTGAGAATCCAGGCACTCCAACGCAAGGGACTCCCGTGACCACGAGTCTTGCAGGTCCTTCTTTTCGTGGCCGGAGAGATCGACGGGCGTCAGTCCATCACCTCACATCCAAGAATGCGTGCAAAGTTTCTTCCAGGAAAGATGAGAGCCCCCACTTTCGCTTGGCTGCTCCCATTGCAGAGATTTAGCTCTAGATACCGGGAGACGGATGCTCTTTTTCTTCGATAGCACGCGAGGACCTTGCAATGGATTTCTACTCACCTACCATCAACCAGAACCCGATATTGATCTCAAAAGCAGTCGCTTTCACTCCATCCGGTGTGTTGATATTGTGGTTTTACTTTGCTTGGCCATAGTCTGCTCTGTATGTCTAACCCTTCATCCGCAGGGCTCATAGTTTCCGACGAATGACGACCCTTGAATCGAATCGTATCAATTCATACCCACCGAACACCTTCGCAGAATTGTCACTGTTTTTGTCTGCGCGAATCGCTTGTTGCTCATCGCGGAAAACAAGCTGCGTGGCATCGAAAACGCGAACCCAAGGTCCTCTTAACGCAATGCTCTGTCACTGCGCCCGGGTTAAAAGTCTCTTGGTCGGGGCCATTGGACGATCTGCTAGTGTGAATCCATGGAAATCCTGAAAAAAGCAGGAGGCTCGGTCTCTCGGACATGGAGCATCGTACAGAAGTACAATTTTCAGTCAAACAAGACACTATAAACCCCAGATCGCCATGGAGGCATTGCCTCGGGATTACAACGTTTGGTACAAGCGCAACGCCGTCTAGCCTGAAGATGATTGCCTCATTCTTGTGGTTGACTTTTTCGTGGAGGAGCATATCGGTTCAATCGTTCCGATTCATAAACATTTAAGGGAGCGGCAACAAGGTTATTTTGTGGCTTACGGCACTCTGGGCTATGATTTGGAACCCAAGGCAATCGAGGAACCAGGACAGTGACGGTCAGAACCATGGATATGCGTACATGCCGAACAGGTACAGCAATCCTATAGCCCCGAGTGTAGTCGGGAAGTAGTTCAGATCAACGACGTGAGGACAATAGACGTTGATATATCGATCATATCTCCGGAGACGATCCATCGGGGCCCCATCGTACCGGACGGAAGTCATCGATGCCGACTTCCGACTAATCCCAGGGGACGCGCATTAATAATGCCTCTGGACCCTCGGTTTTCGGCCCAGAAAAAAAAAGCAAAGAGGCGAAACGAAAAAACAAGAAGAGGAAATATTCTGTCTTCACGTACTTTTGGGATTCGCTTTCCAGATTGTACCGGACTGCTCCGTACGACCATCGGAGGATCGCTGACCGTTTCTTCGCAGCAAACCCAAGATTGATGGGGCCGGACTTTTGCCAGTCGATCCGTGTGGCGCTGTCAGTCGCCCGCTTTGTGCGCTCCTCCGCGACCTCATCTTTTTCTCCTCTCGGGCCTGCTGGCTGCTTGTAGCGCAGACTCCGCTCGGGGCTTTTTCGGATTCTCTCTCTGATTTGTTTTGTTTTTGTCCTCTGCCCTTGGATCAGCGTCAACCCGCCACCGCTCATCCCTAATTTCCGCCCCCGTATGCTCTTAGTTTCGCTCTTGGCACGGGGATTTCTTCCTCCGCACTTGTTGTCCGCCGGCACAGAGCCTGGAAGAACGACTGAAAAAAGCCATGCAGCATTCGGCGCTGGGCGCTAGAGTGACGGCGTCTTTCCCGGGTCTAGATGGCCAGCCTGCTGCGCAAAAGAGTACTAGATCCAATAATAACGGACCAGAGGCTCTAAATCGGAGACGTAACCCGCTGGTAAGACTACTATGCTTCCTGACTGTGTTTAAGAGACATCTTTATAAACACCACCTTCTAGGCATGTGAGTTGTGCTACAAGAAAAAGATCAAATGCGAGGTCGAGGGCTCCAGCACGTCCTGTATCCAATGTATGCGTCGTAACGTAACGTGCAAGTTCACCACGAGGAAAGAGAAACGAGAGAATCTAAAAAGGTATCCATCTGCTAATAGACCCTTAGAGAAGGGCACTGCTTACTAAATGATTCGTTTAGAACGCACTATGTCAAGACCTTGGAAGAGCGTCTGAAGAAGACAGAGTCGTTGCTCATAGCCGCAGGTCTTCTGGACGAAGAAGCCATAGGCTATGATGATTTGAGTGAAGATGAGGACGAGGAGTCATCAGAAGACGAGAGTGACGTCGACACCGATCCAGGCTATCCTTGTCATGAGAGTGGGCGTAGCTCTGGTGAGTTGACAGGAAATGACGACTCAAGGAATCCAGATTACATGCCCGGAGATCGAGATCCAATGTCGATATCATGTACGACTGATCCGGCCAAACCATTCTGCTCATCAAATTCAGAAGGCCAATCGAAGAAAGGCAAAAAGCGCCCACACCCTTGCGCCAACTCTCGAGAGCAATGCTGTCCCCCCATCAGAGGAGACTCGAAGGAAGATTCACGATATTACGGTACCTCATCCCGTTCTTTTTCCCCTCCTGTGAAGTCACACGATGCTAACTATTTACAGGGCGAAGTTCTTCGTTGTCAATCTTATCGCGCGACGGGATTGAATGGATCAAGAATAAAACAGGCGGAGCAGCAGTTCTCGCTCCCATATTTTCCAACACGAATCATGATAGTCCCTGGAACTACTGGCGGCCCGACGTTTTCCACGACGTGTTTTCCTCCAAGGTGTTCAAACCGTTACCACCCAGAGCAGAAGTGTTCTCCCTGCTGGGGGACTATTTCCGCACAGTCAACCGATTGTTTCCGTTGTACCATGAAGAATCATTTATGCAGCTAGTCGAATGGCAGTACACGCAGCAAACGTGTGACGATGCAGCGCGCTGGGCCAGCATCAATATCATCCTTTCATTAGCCTATGAATATCGATTTTCCAACAGCCAAAAGTCCGAGAAAGACCGCGAGAAAGCTTGGCTCTACTATAAGAATGCCATGTCCGTGTTTGCCGAGCTGACCTTGCGACGAACCGATTTGCTGAGCGTGCAAGCCCTTCTGGGCGTGGCCCTTTTTCTTCGAGGGAACTCGGGCACCCAGTCCGCTTTGCCGACGATAACAGCTGCCATCAGATCGTGTCAACGGATGGGGCTCCACCGTGACCTTCCAAGATCACACCTGTCTGCCGTCGAGCAAGAGCAAAGAAAGAGGGTTTTCTGGATTGCGTATATCCTTGACCAAAGGTAGGTCAACTTTCTATGTCCCTCTGACCATCGGTAGTGCCAGCAGCGGTATGGCTAACTAATCTAATGCAGCTCTTGTATCCGAGTGGGCAGTTCGCCAGCTCAGCATCCTGATGATTATGACGTTGGGTTTCCTACAGAAACGCCCGATGACAAATTCGTCTCATTCAACAACTTGTCGTTCTTCCGACAATTATGCCATATGACTGTGATCAAGAGCCGAATATATTCCAAGCTTTATGCCGCTAAAGCGCTGCACAATAAATCTCCGACGGAGATTTGCGGCATCGTGAGAGAGTTGCACGCCGAACTGGAAGAATGGAAGAGCGCAGACCCATTCCTTCATCAGAACTTGAAGCAGCGTGGAGCAGGTGATGATTTCCTCATGGGATTCGCCTGCGCCGGTCTGCAGTTTGTATATTATAACTGCCTGATTATGATCCATCGGCTGCCTCTCGTCATTCATTTTGCCTACATGCATCGCCTCGCTAGCGGAGGTCGAGTGCAGCCAGACTCCATGACCATATTGAGTCAGGCGTCTTCCTCGACTGTGATATGCGCCCAAGCTGCCCGGGACACGTTGAAGTTGGTGAACAACCTGCCGTGGGGCGATGTGGCATGGATATGGTACGCACAAAAACACCAGAGCCCAAGTAATTATTCTGACCACTAACACCGTTTCAGGTCTCTACTTTACTATATCTTCCTCGCAGTGATGACTATTTTCGTCAGTATTCTTCGCGATCCCAAGAACCCAGACAACAAAAATGACCTCCATTCCTTGAACATGGCTGCCACCTTCTTCGCAACGCTCATTCCCGGCGACCGACCCTGCACCTACGCACGATTCATGACGCGAATGTGCGCCAACTTCGAGCGGATCGCTCGCATGGTGCTCGATCGAGAGCAGAAAGCTCTGAAACCTGGCGAGAAAGGCCACTCGGGACATCCATCGGTCCCGACAAGGGGGATGGACACAGCATCTGCCAAATCGGACGATGATGAGCAATCTTCCACATCTTCGTCTCCCCCAGTCCACCCAGCCACATTAAACGGAGTTAACATCCCCAACCTAGAGGGCCTCCCACGCATCAATTCTTCTGGTTATGTCGTACCCGACAGTCCCAGCGACACTCCAGGCAATGACACCACTATCCCACTCAACACCTCAATTCCTCAACCACCACCACATTCTCATCCTCCTAGCAATCCCCAACCAGCACCGACGCCTACCCCTCGCTCCCAACCCCATCCTCACCCCGCTAACACTACGTGCCTCGAAAACGTGAACATGCTCCCTTTCTCTATCAGCGACAACCTGGCCCCCGACCTCTGGCAGATTCCCTTAACCGCGGACTGGGAACTAGGCAATCAATTCTGGGGTGGTTTCTTTGGCCAGAACTTCGGCGCTCCGGGAGCCAGCGCCGAAACCGGAGCTCCAGGGGCGGAGAACATGCCTCACTCTCAGCCTTCTCAACAACCTCCCATGAACATGGGATTCGACTTCCCTGCCGGGGTAGGTCCAGGAGGAGGTGGCTTACCGTTCGGAGCGCCCGCCCAGCCGATGTGGAGTTATGGGCCGTTTTTCGATCCCTTCTAGGCGATTGTTTCGGTCTGTCAGATACATGGATGATAGTCCGGTGGGATAAGCACGTTAAGCGGGTTTTTATTATTCACTTCTGCATATCGTGATACGCAGACACGTTACATGTGAAGAACAGGCATGATGAGATTGTACAGCGACAGGCGAGGAAGCAAAAAGGAGCGAAGCAAGCAAGCATAACATTTGGAAATAATGAATGACGATAGTACCTTTAATAAACCAGTTTATTGAACTAATTTCAAGCCCACTTCTTGTTCCATTTACTACCTTTTTTTTTTCTTTTTTCTTTTTTCTTTTTTTGCAGGGGATATACATTCCCTCGGATACCTCAAGCAGATATATATCAAGCACCAAAACACAAATAAGTTTGCAAACTAGGACTTCAATTCTCTGTACTAAAGAAACCCGACCCTAAACCCGACCCTCAAAAGAGAGCACAAACAATCGCTAACATCGAAATAAAATAAAAATGAAAATAGGTATTCAGCAATTTGACAAACCCTAAACCCACAATCAACTACTCCGTAGCCCGAATAACCCAATCAACCCATAAAAACAGCTCGAAACAAAAAATAATTAACAGAGAAATAAAGAAAAAGGCCCCAGTCCCCAGAAACTCCATTCCGATTTCCTTATCCAGTCCGTGGTATCTTCACTTCACTTCACTTTCACATCAACTCAAAAACATCCCAGAGAAACGCTTAAAAGACCGTCCCCGTAAGCTTCTGAACGGCGTTACTCCAGACTCCGCCGCCAAGCTGAAGCCCGGAATCCTTGCCGCCCAGCTGTGTCGAGAGGATCTTCTGCATCTCCGACTCGGACAGGCCGCTGCCATTTTGGAAGCCGTAGACTTTACTGGCCAGGACGTCGGTCTCGAAATCGAGGGCGCCGACGGACCCGGGCGCCGAGTCGGGGGCGGGGGGGACCACGCGGGTCTTGACGGCGAAGTCGACGTCGATTCTGCGAGGCGAGGAGGTCTTCTTGGTGGGGTTGGATGCAGCGGGGAGGGTTTGGAGGAGGGTGCAGCGGGCGCGGAGGGATGGGTGGTCGTCGGATTCGGAGAGTTTGAGCTTCGTGACGCCGCAGAATTCCAGCATGCGGGCCTCCTCTTCGAGGTTGAGCATGAGGTCCCATGCCTCGGAGATGAAGCGGAGGAGGTGCTTGGGCGCGACCTTGGGCTGCTGGATGCTGGCGATGTGGTGCTGGAGGGATTTCAAGACGAGCAGCGCGATGGATGAGAGCTTGGGGGGTTGGGTTGTGGCTTTGGCTCCGCTGCGAGGATGGTATCTCAGTTCGATGGGGGCGCCCATTTTGGCGTCAGAGGATTGCTCGGCGTCCTTGTCGCTGTAGAAAGCTCCGGGGTGGAAGGTGAGCTCGAGCTGTTCCCGATAGGACATTGTGACCACCGGGCCTGGGGGCGTGGAGGGAGAAGATGCTGCAGAGACGATCGACCAGCCTGTTTGGCGCTCAATATTGTGTACCGAGTCTAGAAGAATTAGCAAAACGTCCAAAATGTAGTTATAGTCCCAAAGCAGACTTACTCTTCAGTTCGCTGATCTCCTTCGCGCTCCAGCCACGGCATTCTGCCTTGACCCGCTCTGCTTCTTCGATTTGAGCCACAAACTCAGCCTTAAGCTCTGAACCGGCTTCAATCGTATTGGTCTTGTCTTGAACCTCATCTTGCATTTGCTGCAGCTGCTTTTTCTTCGCTTCGATTTCTTCCTCGACCGTAGAGAGCTTTTCCCGCGCACCGCGCAGCTCGTCCTGGTCACAGTTCTCCATCTCGTCGGCCAATTGTTGCAAGGTTGTAGCCTCTCCCTCGAGGGCAGCATGCTTCTCGACAAGCGCAGGCACGACTTCGTTCAGGAGCGTCTCGTGCTTCGACAGACGGTCTTCGTCGGCCTTCATTTCCTCAACGTGATGACCCAGACCGTCTTTCAGGCCCTCAAGCAATTTCATCCGCCACTCGTACCACGTAGCTTTGCTAAGCAGTCGAGCATGCGTCTTCACGTTTCGGAACTGGTTATCCATCAGAAGGCGGATATCAGGAGCCGCGTTCATGTACTCCCGGAATAGGGGTGGGTTGTCGGCAAATGTCTCCGTCTCGATGGAACGAATGACCTGCCTGCCCTCCGAGATGTATGATTTCAACTCCCGACACGAATGCTGGTATAATTCCAGCATAGGCACGGTGCAGACACCAGCAGCAACACAGTCCTCGAAATTGGCGGCGCTGGACCTATCACCGTTCTCGCTGGAAAGTCTAGCCGCTCTTTTACGAGCACTATCGGGCGCTGTTGTGTGACGTCTTTTCGTAGTGTTCAGCTCCATGAAATGAATGTTGGTCATGTTCAAAAAGTCCTGCAGCTGAATTGGTTCAAACTCCGGTTCCGGTTCTTCAGCAGGAGTATCATCCGCGGGCTCAGAACGGGGCGTAGCATTTTCCGCCAGGTCTTCAACGGCTGGGTTGCTTTGTGGCTCTTGCGTAGGCGTTGTGGTCATCTTCAGAGGTGATTTAGACGGCGTTGAGGTGCCAATGGTCTTACGGGGCGACGACCGACGGCCCACGGTTTCATCCTTCGTGGGAGGTGCAGGAAGTTTGATGCTCTTCACCGGGCTGGCCTGGGAACTTCTAAAACGTTTGGGCGTATTGTCTAGCTCCTCATCGTCTTGGTCCAGCTCTGCCGGTCGTTTGCCAAGAAGGCCGCGAGCTGCACCAACATGCAAACTCTTCCGGCCCTTAAGTTTATTCTTCTTCGGCGTGAGACTCGAGATCATGTCTTTCAGGTTCGACGTAGCATCCTGGAGAGGAGGAATATGACCGTCTTCTCGGTCCTCTTCTTCCTCGCGCTCGCGGTCAACCTCTTCGTGGAGCTTCACGGGATCTTCGAAGCGTACTCCCTGATGGGGCTGGGCTTGAGGAACAAACTCCGGGGCTTCCTCACCAATTGATCGGCGCTTGTCTAACATAGCCGCCACTCGAGGGGAACCAAGCCCTTCCTTGTCAATTCCAAGCCCAGAGGAACGTCTCTTTCCATGAGGCTGGAGAACGAAGAGAGGCGTTGATTCCCCTGTAGCGCTGGCACCGAACAGGCTCTTGCGGCCAGGAGACTTCGGCTTATGTGCTGAGCCCTGAAGCTCGGGCTGAAACAGCTTCTTAGGGGACGCGCTTGGAAACTTCCTGTTGCTCGATGGGGGAGTTTTCCCTGGGGTCTCTGGACGGCTGAGCTGCGGCGTAAACTGTTTGGGAGGCGTTACGGACGTCTTCGATTGTGACATTTCAGGCGTGTGCGAAGTTGGCGTGTTTGGCGCTTCAAGACTCAAACTCTGCCTCGTGCGTCGAGACCGTACACTGGCCAAACTAGGGCTACCGCTCTCCGAGGCAACAGCGGCGACGTGGAAAGAGACGGGAGATTTGGCGGGAGACTGTGGCACGCTCTCTCGGATAGGAGAGCTACCCAGTTGACCGGCGTCGGATTCCATTTCCATCACCTTTTTCGCTTGGTCCTTGTCCTCGGCTTCCACTTCAGGGGGCAAGATTTGACCCATGGCAGTGGTAACTTCCATACCCGCAGTCTGGTCGTCGTCGCCATCATCTCCATCTTCTTCTTGTGGGAGGTCCTCTTGCTCTTCAGTCGCCGGAAGAATGCCGCCAACAGCACCGGTTATTTCCATTTCTGCGCCCTCTTCCATGGGCTCTTCGTCATTGTCCGATTCAGGCAAGTTCTGCGCTCCATCAGCAGAGTCTGGCTGAGCGCTGCTTTCTCCATCGGGGTTATAGCCCGGAGCGAATTTCTTCAGCACTCCACCAACCACAGACGTAAACTCCATAGTCATCTCCTCATCCTCATTCACGTTGCTTTCAGCGCCGATAGATTTCGCAGGAGAGGGGGCTTGTGCGATACCTCCCACTACGTTGGTGAGCTCCATCGTTTGTTCGTCGTAGCTGGTCTCCTCGGATGTGGACTTCCGACGAGCGACACTTTGACGGCGACTGGGCGGTGGCTTAGACAGAATGCCCCCAATGGCGTTCGTAACTTCCATACTGAGGTCATCGTCTTCCATCTCACTGATTGCATCGGTGAACGCTGTATCCTCCACTGCTTGGTTGGCCTGATCGACATTTTCCTGACCCTGAGGGGCGTCTAGGTCTTCCCAGTCAAAACTTTGTCTCTCGCCCTTCTTAATCCAGGGTTGGAAAGCTCCAGTTATTTCTTGGTCGGCGATTTCCATCGACATATCCCCATCCTCGTCGTCGAAGCTTTGTGTTCCGGCCTCTTGGGCGGCCTGCCGTAGAGCGTTGTTCAACCGATTGCTGGAAGTGGTGCTCTCCGAGGCATCGGATTGTGCGGTCGCGGCCGACCGCATCGTCATATCGTCCAGGCTCATCGCCGTGCTTTCTCCATCGAAGCCGGAAGTGGATGAGTTGTCATCGTCATCGTCATCGTCATCGTCCCTGGCAGAATCCTGCATTCCGACGTCTTCTGTGCCATCCACGGAGCTTTCACTGAAGGGACTTGAGGACATGTCCTGAGAAGATCCCATTCCATCGTAACCCGGATGCGACGGGCCGTTCTTCAGTCGCTCGAGGTCAGGGTATTGTACGGGGGAGAAGGCAATGTCGAACTCGGCATAGCTGTTGGGTGAGGAGGCCGGTTCGGTTTGCGGCGCCTGTGCAGCTTCTTGTGCTTCGGCATTCGCTAAAGACGATGCGCGGCGGGTAGAATTGGAGGTAGAGGATGAAGTCGAGTCGTCGGGGATTTCCACCACATTCCACGTGTGCAATGTTGCCTCTGGTGCGAAAGATACTCGGCGATTTGCTTTGGTATTTATTAGTATGTAAGAGTCTTGAGGAGTTTGAGGGAAGCCGAGACGCACCCATGGATTTTCGGCGGGCTTCTCTCTGCTGCAGAACAGCCTTCCGTTCTCGTTCTCGTCGTTCCTGTTCTTCGCGCTCTCTTGCCGCAGCCATTTCATCGCGAATCGCCTCTGCATTGAATCCATCGAAAGGGTTGGCGCGTTCTTCGGAGCTCGATGGCGCTGACGGATGGGCGGGGGTATTGAGATCTATCAGCAGGCCTTCGCTGCCCCCATTGTTCACATTCCAGTCATATTGACTCTGATGTGCGCCCTTGGCGGGGGTTCGTCGGCGCGTTTCCTCGAACGAAGGAATATTCCGTACCGGAGATACGGGGACTGTAGGTTTTAGGATGGATTTCAGCGGCAGAGCTGCGGTAGACTGTGCGGCGACAACGTTCGGTTAATTCATCTGCAGGAGCAACATAAAAATGTCCCAGGGTGGGGTGGAACGAAGTACCTTGCGTCGGTTGCCATTGGAGTCCTGGAGCGCATCTAAACCGCCGGGTCCCAAACTCTTACTGCGGGATTTCTTATCCTTACCCGGCAGTTTCGCAGAACCAGCCACAGGCTGTGAGGCGCTGACATCGGTCGAAGTATTCTCCTTGTCCAGACCGGCGGTCAACTTGGATCGGGGGACATGAGCGATGGAGCGACGAGATCGCGGGCGAGCGGACCCCGCGGAGTCACCTCTGGAGGTCATTTCGGGGAGGGGAATTCAGGGGAATCATAAACAGTCGCCGGCGTGATCAGCAAAGGACGGAAAGGTGGAAGGTCGATGTTCAGCCCCGCAAGATGGAGGATGTGGATCAGGCGATTAAGGGCGACGGCATGGTCCAAAGGCAAGAAGCGAATGCGACGTGCTCGCGGAGGACAACAACTTGCCTACTTGGGACTCGTCGGGGGCGGCGCGTCTCCCGGCCGGCGCTCATGTGATCTCCGATGTAAACAAACCAAAAAAGCCCTAGCCGAAGCCACGCCATTCCCGATCCGGGCTAGCGTCGCCATCGCACACTCCCACACTGAATAATCCCGCTAACCGTCGAATAATTCTTTCTCAACATCGACGTCGACCACCGCAGCCCCGACACCCCCCTTCGCGACGAATACCCCAACACAGCTCGACTTCGCTTCCTTGTCGAACTGAATTCTCGCAACAATGGCGACCGAGTTGACCGTCCAGTCGGAACGTGCGTTCCAGAAGCAGCCTCACATCTTCGTCAACCCTAAGACCAAGGCCAAGAGCAAGAAGGTCGGCCAGGGTCGGAGATGGTACAAGGACGTCGGTCTGGGTTTCCGTACCCCCAAGAACGCCATTGAGGGCAACTACATCGGTATGCAGGACCTACGCTCAGATTTCATCTTTGTTGCTCGGGATCTTCGATTTTGATACCCGGGGAGTGGCGGATAAGGGAGAACGACCAGATTTCTCCGGAGGTTGGGGATGAGAATCAACGAGACTGCGACAGTATCCTGAGATGAACGAACTGGTTGGCGACTACGACGGATTTGTGGCGATGGAGTAAAGCGCTCCGAAAGAGATGGGATAAAATGCACAGGGAAAAAAGAAGAAACCTCCGACACCACCAGTTTTCGACATCTTGAATACTCAGCGCGAACTCGATCGGTTCTCATCTTCCAACCATCTCCCCGCGATCGAATCAAATCCCTTCAGTTTTTCTATCCGAACTGAACAAATCGCTAATTTTAACCCAACAGACAAGAAGTGCCCCTTCACTGGTCAGGTCTCCATCCGTGGCCGTATCCTGACCGGCCGTGTCGTCTCCACCAAGATGCACCGTACCATCGTCATCCGCCGTGAATACCTCCACTACGTCCCCAAGTACAACCGTTACGAGAAGCGCCACAAGAACCTGGCTGCTCACGTTTCGCCCGCTTTCCGTGTTGAGGAGGGTGACTGGGTTACCGTCGGCCAGTGCCGTCCTCTCTCCAAGACCGTACGTGCATACCTTTGTTGATTGGGAATCGGCGAGAACCAGGGTAGTCGAATCGCTGCGCTCTCCGTCTCAGCGATGACATGAAATATTGAAGACTACCTGGGACAAGCCGATTCTGGCATAATTTTTTGGGCAGAATCAACTAACATGCCTCTTCTCTAGGTCCGTTTCAACACCCTGCGTGTCCTTCCCCGTACCGGCAAGGCCGTCAAGGCTTTCAGCAAGTTCTAAGCGTGTCGACGTTGAAGGGGGTGTTTCCGATAGGTTGAAATAACCTAGGGCAGCGGCGTGAATGGATATAAGCGAACTAGTTTAACGGGTTGGGATTGTTTCACGATTTCATGTCCCTACCCTTTGAGGAGATATCCAATGAAATAAAAAAAGCTTTTTCGATCCTCCCCCTGTGATAAGAGTTCCACTAGTGGAGATCGCATCTCGGAAGAAGGCATTCTTATGCGTGACAGTTCTTGTGTTGGTTTTTTTTTTATCCTCTGTTCTACTTCCCAATACTGTACGAGTTTTGGTGTTTCATTTGATGACTTCCATGACATTCGTAGGCTCTACTCGCATAGACCAATCAATCCTCGGAGCTTTAATCATACATGTAGCGATCTTTTCTTTTGTCCGTCCACGTCCTTCCCACATCATTTTCATCTTTTTCTCCTTTCCATCCTTCTCTTCCATAAAGTTTCGACCCTTCTCTTTTCGCGTTTCACAACACCAGTGGTTCTCAAAACCCAAGACGCAACGGATTCAAGGTGCAAGTATTGAACAAATCACCCCCAAAAGCGCAAGACCCGTTCTCTATCAGCGGCGAATTGATCGTGCGGGTTCTGCCTTTTTGGAACACTGCCACCCTGAGCGGTGGTCCGCATATCATTAACGGTGACTATGGGCTTGGGGACAATTTCCTCTAGGTCGATCAAAGCAGGGGGCGATGAGCCGAAAATAGACGGCTCGTCTTTGATGCGCGAGGGTTGAGAGCTAAACACTTTGTAAAACTCATCGTCTGAATCGTCGATACTGATTGCTGTCTCGGCAGATGAACCTGTTTGTTCGGAAAGTTCGGAGGGGAAACGATCTTTGTTATTTCTTTTTCCTTGCTGAGCTATCCATTGCTTGGTAGCTCCATCGAATAGTTTAACGACTGCTGGGCCAGGGCTAGGTGACTGAGAACCGGGGCTAGGTGGCGGAGAATCAGCGGCTGAGAAAAGATCGATCGGTGTTCGAGGGTCGTCGTTTGTAACGGTTTCTTCGTCCGACTGATGGATGCTTTCAGGGAACCCAGGACCTTTAGGATTATCAAAAAGCTCGGGGAAGTCAGAGATGCCAGACATGCCGGACTGGTCAGGGAGTTTAGGGCCTTCAATGCCTTCAACCTCTTCAACGTCTTGAGAAAAATCAAGTATCTCAGACATGTCAAGCATTGCTTCATCTTCAACACCTTCAGGGAAATCAGGAAACTCAGGGGCTCGAGAGATTTCTGAGCGACCAGCAAGTTCAGAGACATCAGGTATATCAGGCACGTCGAGCATTTCTTTATCTGCAGTGTTGGTCGCTGGAAGCAGGTAATAACCATCTTCCACACCCCTGTGGAAGTCTTCCCAGGTTCCTCTTCTCTTCATCCACCACGAATAAAACATGCCCTGGCTAACGTTCTTGCAATATTCATAGGGGACCTCTAATTTAAAAAGAAGTCGCCCAATTGTTGCCCCGGTTTGATAATCCAAGGACCCAGGGCCGCTTCCTAAAATTTGATGTAGCGCTAGGCCTGTTCTTGAAAATGACAACATATTTTCAAACTGCAAAAAGTCCTCAATTTCAGGGTTCTCACGGGAAATCTTTAACAAAGAACTCGCTTTAAACGAGCAAACGATTGCTGACTTAGGGATACTACCCCAAACAAGATATTCCGCGGCCCCGTTGTAGAATTTGAACTTAAGTTTCAATGTTTTTACCAAGGTTTGAGCACAGTATATCGGTGTATTCAGCTTTTTTTGGTCAATAATTGAGACGATAGCACCCTCTCCGTTTCGCAAAGCCCGATGCATTGGCGCCAATATCGTCCTAGATGTTGAGATAAACGGGGAGAGGGACTTTGAGATTCTGACATGGTTCTCTACGAACCTATGGAATTCACCTTGTGGGAGTTCATGGGGATGAAGATACTCAGTACCTTCGGCAAAGAGCCCAGCCTGATAAAATCTTCTCGAATTGACCCCTTGGGAGTCGACGTTCGACCACCGATACAGTAAAGGTGGCAGTTCGTCTGAGATTTGTAGATCTGGGTGCACATTCCCCTCTTCGAAGCAGAACAGACATATCTTTTCGCCTGCTGTAACAAGTACTGGGGCTTGGGCTTTGTGGTTTTCATCAGTCCTATTGGTTTTGTCTGTCGGATAGATCTCGGGGGTATGTGCCGGCTGCTGGTCAGGTTGAAATTGAGGTTTTCTTGCAGCTTCAGCTTCAGCTTCAGGTTGAACTGTGTACTACTTCCGTGTTACTATTAAAGTCTCAAATATGTTATTTTCAATTGACTCACTGCAGTATGCTCAAGTTCCGAGTTCTTAGATGGCCGAGCTTTGTAATTCGAGGTACCAGTGTCGTCCGTGTCTTTCTCAATAAGCTGGATGTTTAAACGCTGAGCAATCTGTTGGATTCTCCTGAGAACAGGATACCAGGGTCCTCTATCTTTTGTAAAAGGTGACAAATAGACAGCTCCCCATAGATAGTCACCATTGCGTTTCATGGTCTCGACCTGGCTGTTGAGCGTATTCCACGGAATATCAGCCTTATAGCCACTCTGTCGGATTTCAACCTCGAAGGAAGTATTGAATATCTTTGTAAATGCATAGTTGTCTTTTTGAAAGAATCTAACCATGCAACAAAGGAACAGGCGCTGCTCAGTAGTCCATTTATTCTGAGGCCTATTCCAAGTAGCGTCCGGGACGAGGAGGTCCATGATTGAAAAATGAATAGTAGTTGGGTGAAGGGATATGGAATAGAGTCTAGAGGTGACAGAATCGGAGATAAAAGAAACGAGGGGTCTAGATAAGAGCTCTAGATGGGAATTGAACGAGATTGAAAAGAATGAGCAGTGCAAGGTGAGGTGAGAAGATGAGATTGACCGGGATGAACAGAAAGGATTCAAGTCTACTTGGTAATCAAGAGACAGATTCAGTTGCGGTAAATTCAGTTGCAGTCAGGTAAGGCAAGACATGGTTTCTGTCTAGTGTTGCTGTATGGATTACAACCGTCAACACTGGTCGATGAATGAAGCAGAGGAAGCAGAGGTAACATCATGTGGGGTAAATGAGCAGCGACTTCAGTTGTCTAGAGTGAATGTAACCCGGGGAAGTGGGATTGTGGTTGTGGCAACACTAGTAGTACTCGATAGTAAGAGTCTGAAGAAATATACAATTGAAATCCTCGGGATCATCAGGTGTTACGGCGACCATCAGCTGATAAGAGCCTCAACGGTTGATCTCCGCCGTTATCACGAGAAGAAGAGGTCGATCTCGAGATGCAAGCCAAGTTACATAAATAATCCCTCCATATCCTCAATCTTGAAGCTGATACTCCGTCCAGAGCCCAGGGGCAACTCGTGCACGCTAGGCTGATAGTTGCCTAGACGGACGACGGAGAGAAGCTCCACCGAATTTCCACTTCTTGGGCCAAAGGGAACTGAACTTCCCCCGACGGCCTGAAGCTCCCTCGTCTCCAATCACCGTTCAATCATTGCATTCTTTGGGCCTCCTTTCTATCCTTTATCGATCGGGTGCTCGGTCATTATTACCTCGCGTTGTTTTACTCCCGCCATTTAATTGTTGGATTTCTTTTGAATCTTACCTTCGAATTCCCTCCCCCGCCGCGTTCCTCGCAGGCCGTCTTAAAAGTCTCACCACGTCCCGCAGCATGGCTTAAGCCATCATGACAGCAGTTTTTGGCGCTGGCGAGGACAGATTCTTGATTCGAACACCGCGATAGCCATCGTTTCCCACCTTCCGTTTCCCGATCGCCCTCTCCCCTCCCACTCCCGACACTCCGAATTGAACACCTCGCGATAACCTCCTGATTCTCCCGATCGCGGCCTAATCGCGGAGACCCGACCTCCCTACAACAATGTCCGGCAATTTTGAGAAATCCGTGAAGGGGGCCACAAAAGTCAAAGTCAGTGCGAGAAATCTTCGCCAGTTGCTTCCTGCTCTGCCAAATGCGTGACCAAGAGTACTGATAGTCCCTCTGCCCAACAGCTTGCGGCCCCCAAATCCAAATATATCGAGCATATCCTGGTAGCGACGCATACCGGCGAGGCCGGCGTGGCAGAGATCTTTCGAACGGTGCAGCTGCGACTTCGTGATTCAACATGGACAATTGTATTCAAGTCCCTGATCGTGATCCACATCATGATCAGGGAGGGTCAATTAGACGCTACGTTGCAGTACATGGCCGAAAACCCGAGGAAGCTGGCAATCAGCGGGTTTTCCGAAGGTATGCGAAAAATGGCCGCGGGTTGGACGTTTTGACAACGGGAACTGACCTCACCGTGCAGCTCAGTCGCAAGGGCACAACATCCGAAGATATTCCGATTACCTCATAGCACGCTCCAACGCATTCGAGGCCACCAAGACCGACTTCGTACGGAGCGGCCAAGGGCGGATGAGACGACTGACAGTCGAAAAGGGTCTTTTAAGAGAAACGGAGATTGTTCAGAAACAGATCCGCGCCCTATTGAAATGTGATGTAAGCTTGGTCGAACCCTGCCATGGTGCCGCGCCATAGTGGCTGACAGTCTCAATCAGCTCTTGACGGACGAAGTTGAGAATGAGATCACCCTCACAGCCTTTCGGCTGTTGACTCTGGACCTCCTGACTCTCTATTCGGTTATGAACGAGGGTACTATAAACGTATTGGGTAAGTTTGCCCCGTCCTTTGCGGTCTAATAGCGTGTTCTTACTCCGTCTGCGAACAGAGCATTACTTCGAGATGTCCCGGCCCGATAGCGAGCGGGCACTTGAGATCTACAAGACGTTCACGGTGCAGACAGAGGAAGTAGTGAAATTCCTCGGCGTTGCCAGGCACTTTCAATCAGCAACGCGGCTCGAGATCCCCAAACTCAAGCATGCGTCTACGGACTTGACCCGACTTCTTGAGGACGACTTGAACGACCCGGATTTCGATCTCCGACGGCGCGAATACCTGCTCTCCAAGGGAAAACCCGCCGGCGCTGTACCCAAAGTCACGGCAAGCAACACCGGCGGCGTGGGCGTCAGGGCTGCCAGCAACCCCAATTCCGCGCCCGCGCCCGCGCGACCTCAAACCGCCGATCCCAGTTTGACAAAGAAGGATAACCCGACGGACTTGATAGACTTCTTTGATTCCATCGAACAGCCGGCACAGCAGCATTTGGCCGCGCACCAGATGCAACAGCCACCGTTCCAGCAGCAGCCGCAGGCAATGCAGTATCAGCAGACCGGCTTCCAACAGCAACCCCAGCCAGGGGGTTTCTACCCGCAGCAAACCGGATTCCAGCAGCAACAGCCTCAAGCGACGGGCTACGGTCAGCCCGGGGCGTTTGGGGACTCATTTGGCCAGGCGGGCCAGAATCCATTTGGACAACCCCCACAACAGCAAGCTCCTCAACCACTCCAGCCGATGCCGACGGGAGCGGGATTCGGTGGTTACACTCCTCAACCACAGGCTTACCCCCAGTCCACCCTTGTGCCTAACCCACAAAACAATCTTTCGCCGTTCCCCCAGCAGCAGCAGCAGCCACAGCAACCGCAGCAGTTGCAACCGCAAACCACGAATCCATTCCGGCAATCAATGCTAGTGAGCCAGCAGACCGGATCGGGCCTGTCGCCCCAGCAAATCAACCGACAGAGCACCAATCCTTTTGCCCGACGATTGTCCGCTGTCAACCCGCAGTTCAACGCTGGCGACCTGTTTTCGCAACAGGCTCAGCAACCTGCGCAACCTCCGCCGCCTCAAGCGCCTCCACAGCCCGCCCAGCAACTGCAACCTCAGCGAACGGGAACGAATCCGTTTGCTCGAAGCTCCTCGGTTCCTCCACAACAGGCGCAGGGGTTGCAGCCTCCTGCAGCAGCGCCTCTTCGTCCGAACCCTACCGGCAGCACCAATCCATTCCGACAGAGTGCCTTCGTTAACCAGCAGACGGGCCAGGGATGGCAGGTCGGCAGTGCGCAAGGAACTATGGGGGGCTACGAGAGCCTCGAGACCGTGCCCGTCTTCCCGCGACCCGGGATGATGTAGCACGGATTGGGATTTCTTTCTTCCAACGAGGGGCCGATTGACGATGAGCATGACCTTGGAAACGACAGGGTCTCAGCGGGTAGAGTTGATTCTGGTTTCTTTTCTTTTCTTTTCTTTCGAGCTGTTCAAGCTGTCTTATCTCCCGTTCGCGTTTCCGTGTTTGATTCTATGTATGCATCTGACGGCCCACTCGCAGCGCGGGTGGCATTGTCAAACCATGTAGCGATAGCCAAGTCCTCGTGAGTGAATGAGGGGACTATAATCAAGGATCGATAAACCACCGAAGTCTAGACTGACAGTACTTCTGTAACCTCCGTAGTCGTACTTCATACTTCGGAGGCCGCCCAACGGAGTCCGAGGAGCGGAGAAGGTGTGCTCGGATGTACGACGGCAGGACTGAGGGCTACGGGGGGCCGAACTGGACCGATCGGACGGTGGAGATGATGCTCCTCTTTCCCGTGGTTCATCTCTTTCTTGTCTTTTACCTTCCTTCTCTGTCCCCAGAGCAGCGTGCTGATATGCGATGTGATCGTCTGGAGGAGACGGATTCCAGAGGGACACCCAGCGGACACACATCCTGCCCACTCATCCAAGCCGCCCGTACTGCGTAAGTCTCGACTGGTCGCCCCGTCGGGGTAGTATCCATGTCCGCACTAATAACCCAACTGTTCAGGTACTTTGCATACCTTAGCCCTTAGCTCTTGGATCAATCACATTGTCCGTCCAATGACTCCTCGAGCGTTGGCTCCAATTGGCCCCGTCATTGGCCCTCTGTCGGCCTCCCCGAATTCCCACTTCCCCTTCCCTCCACTTGATTCCTCTCGCTCTAGGCCATGGGCTTTTCCTGATAAGGGCAGTGCGCTGGCCATTCAGCGATTCCCCCTGCCTTTTTTTCTGTCTCGATTTCCTATCCCAGCTTTCCTTCACTTCTGTCGTTCGCGTGGGCCATGAAGCCCCTGTGAGGATCTTCCGCTAAACCGTTGTGAAGATTACTCTGAGCCCCGTTCCTGGAAGATTAAAAAAGCCATGGATGCCAAGCTGCCACCTCGTCAGCAGCCGGCGGTGTCTTCCGCCCCTCAGGGCGAGCAGGTGCTTCCCATCCATTTGGCGGCTCATCCTCCGTGGCCGCAGGATCCTCCTCTTCCTCCCCAGATTCCCCCGGTTTCTTATCAGAACTCTGTTCCTGTCTCGGGACCTGTCCCTGTCTCTGTACCTGCCACGGTACCTGGAATTACACCTGTACAGCCGACGCTGACGAATCCCCCGCTATCATCGCCCACTGCGCCATATACGAATGAGCAGCAGACAGCATCGACGGCAGTCGACTCAACCCGTCAAGATGTAGGCAAGACACCCGCGCCGAAGCCTCGCAAATCGCGCAAGGCCGACAATGCATCGGGGGGTCGGTCGACGCTGTTCTGGGTCAATAGCGACCAGCAATCAGTGTCCGAGGGGACGCGAGAGGATACCCTGAAGCGCATCCGCTCGCACGTCATGTCCGAACACAATCGGAAAAAGAGGCTTGAGAACACCAAACGCTATAAGAGTAAGACGTGGAAACATCTTGCTTTTCAGCCGGTGGAGACTGCTGCAGCTGGCCCCGGCCCTGCAGCCATAGGTCCCATGCCTCCCCCACCCGGGAGATCGTCTGTAAAAGCGTCCTCCGCCAGTCGAGGAAAACAAGCATCACGACAGGGTCATAATAACAATGATATCACCAATGACATGGTTGTCACCAGTGCTCCTGGGCATCCTGCTATCATAGCGACTGGCGCTTCTGGTGCACAACCATATGGTTATGCAGTCGCCCCGGCTCCGTTGTCGTCGCCGACGATGTACCTAGGCCATGGCGCCCACAGGGACCCATTTAACATGGCACATACACAACTGACGGATCGCATGTTTCGACATCTTCAACGCTGTACGTTCATTCTTCTCAGCATGGCAAAGGAGTAGCGCTAACCTGATGCCTTGCAGTCTTGTTTGATCTCACGCATATTGCGTATCCTCTACAACGGCGATATGGTCCGAAGCTGCAGGCGCATTGGGCCTCACTGATTCGAAGCGATCCCGCCTCGCTGCACGCTTCGATCTGCGTTGCGGCGTCCAACGCAGCACTGCATACGGGAGAGTTTCCTATGGTTGATCCAAACAAACGGGGGTCGAGTCTGCTGCTGCTGGACACATTCCACCACCGGGGAGAGACGATCCGGCTGGTCAACGAGGGACTGTCAGATCCGATCAAGGCTTCCAGCGACGAGCTGATTGCTGCGGTGTCCATGCTGCTAACGATCGAGGTACGTGGGATTTCCGTGTGCGCTCATGCATTTCATTGTAGCTGACCGATTAGATCGCATCTGGCAACCCCGATTACCTGAAAGTTCACCTAGCAGGGCTGAGACAGATGGTGGGCATGAGGAACAAGTTCACCGACGTTCCCCCCGACGTCCGCTACCAAATTTCATGGTGAGTTTCAAGTTCCGGAAAGCAGACGGCAGGCTAACTCTCGGCAAGGACGGACATTCGCGTTGCTTGCATGGCATTCACCAAGCCCATCTTTCCATTTGTCCGCGACCCTCGCCCAGCCCACATGGCTCCCATCATCCCGCCCACCAAGGAGCTCGAATGCACGGCGTCACGCCTCATCGCGCTGATGAAGATCCCGGGCATCTTCGGCGACGTTTTATCGCAGGTGATCACGGACCTCCTCGAACTCGTCTGGTACGCCGAGTGGATCAAGGGGCCCGTGTTCCAGGAGTTCAACGAAGAAACCGAAAACTACTTCAACACCGAAGTCCTGTACATCGAATACGCCCTGCACGCGGACCGGTACACCGCGCGCGGCGAAGCCAAAGGCGACGCCTCGATCGAAGGCTGCGTGCGGCTGGCCTGCTTCATCTACCACAACACCGCCATCTGGGACTTCTACCCGAACATCGGGCCGGTGTTCCCGAAGCCCATCATGGGGTTGCGCACGGCGCTGGAGTCCATCATCCCGACGGGGTGCTTCCACCTCTGCCGCGATCTGCTCACTTGGCTGCTGTTCATGGGCGCCTGCGCCTCCAAGATGATGATCTTGGAGCGGACGTTCTTCGTCACGGAGCTGGCCACCGCCGTCCGCATCCAGGGCATCCGGTCATGGCAGGACCTGCGTGCCTCGCTTATGAACTTCTTCTACGTGGACCGGGTGTACTTGACTCCGTTGCGGGAATTATGGGATGAATTGCGCGTGATGCAAGCCCCTGATGATCAGGCTTGATCTAGTCATTCTGCCCTACTTCAGGCAGACAGTGATATACCCTCTTATATATACTCTGAACAACAGCTGAAGCTAGAACATACGATTCAGATAATGTGAATACATACCCATCCAGCCACGAAGTAGAGTACCTATCGGAGTACAGCACGGAGTGACGATATTAAATAACGCCCTCGGACATAAATCGGCACGGCACACATCACACAACCACGCAAGAGCCCGAACCGAAGACCTCTTGGCTTTTCTTGGATTACGGAGTCTGGGAAGTGGGAACCGCTTTTTTTCGGACTGAGTTGCCATTCACAATTTGACTTGCGATGTGCTGTACGCCGTGGATTGCGCGATTTGTTTAGAAAAGAAAATCCAATTATGACCAATCACTCGCTTGCATGTGCAATGTCCTTGGATGAGTAAACTCATGGACTCGGAGGACTTGTTTTCTGGACTGTCGCTGACAAGGCTCGGAGATAGATCGGTCACGGATACGGAGTAGATAGGTACTTACGGAGGACTTCGAGGGCGCAGGACTAGTTTTGGGTGATGATTATTTGCTCGATTGTTGTAGACATGATATAATCCTTGGTGATAAACTTGATAAGAAGAATCAATCGTCTGATATACTACAGTACATTCAGACTTAGAGCACGGAGCACAGAGTACTAGATAGTAGATAGAAGCACCTACGGTATACATCCCACAAAAGAAGAAACAAAAGACAACCCCATCAGCATCTTAAAAAAAAAAAAAAAAAAAAAAAAAAAAAAAAAAAAAAAACCAACTAAACAAGAACAATCAAACCACCTCCAACCTCCCCTTCCCGTGCCCGTGTCCGCCAATCCCAGACAAAATCAATCCCGAGTTTCCCCCGTCAAGCAGCGCTAAAACACAACCGTCGCTAAAAAAAAACCCCCCCTTGGATGACGGCAAGCCGAACTCCCGCCGAGATCGATACGAAATCACGGCCACCGAGAAATCACCGGCCCCAGCAGGGTATTAATCTTATTCTTAGGAGAAAGTAGGCTTCTGTTCTTATTATCCTTCCTTCGTCCTGTTTTGTTTCACTCCTTTTTTCTTCTTTCTTCTTTTGCTCTTTCTCCCTTTTGCACTTTTGCACGTTTTCCCCTTCCCTTTTGCTTCTACTACTTACTCTTTACTCTTTGGTGTCTTGATCTTGCTAAGAACCAGCAATAAGTTCGAGCTTCACCGCTTTGATTCCCATCCTGTTCTCTGGATGATCGACTGACTAACAGTCTCTGCTACCACTGTTTTGCCATGAGCTACGACATCGCCTGTCCGGCTAGTACAGGGCTAACTAACTCTAATACCGGATTGATCCTGCGCAAACTTCACTACTCAATGGACTAACTTAAGGTTGTTTTTGTTGCTCATGTCTAACTCTATCTGCTGGCTAATGGTTTAGCACGGCGCCGAGCTGGCTGTCAAGGTACGTCATTCTCATTCTTCCAGGGCGAGCTGTCAATCGCTGAGGTTTCTTTTACTATAGCTATTGCTATAGCTACAGCTACAGTACTGACATGGCATACAGATCATAAAATTAAATCAACTAATAAGGCTAAATACAGAACCGTCATTGTCACGCCCCGTGACATTGTCTGCATCATCATTATCCTTCTCTTGTTGGGTTCATTAACCTGAAATACGGACACAAGGGACACGACACGAAATGAAACAGAAAAGCAGAAATTATTGCGGAGACCATATATCTATACCTGCAGCAGTCGACACTACCCTCACGCCTCGGCAAGCCAGGCCGCTCAAGTCGGAAGAGAGACATCCCTGCGGCCACACGATCTTACAAAATATTGGGTATCTAAAATGCAGGACAATCCCCCGTTTTCTCCGCGGGCGGAGATTTTCTGGTTGTTGCTGGACCCCGAACCCGACTGCCGAGACATGTCGTTTCAGGCCAGCCACGCAGTGGGCGCACCCCCTTAAACAGTCTCGCGCTCGGTCTTCTTGGCACGGCTGCGAGCGGTGGGAGACCAGGGGAAGTGGGCGACGGGCAGGATGAAGAAGCTGTTGCTGTTGTCCGCAATACCGGCCAGGGCGTTGTACCAGGCCGCGAACGCCGCCAGCAACCCGAAGAATCCACCGGCCTTGATGACAGGGGGGTTGGGCATACCCTGGCTGTCGCGCTGGATGTAACCGACACCGAGCAGCAGGAATGCCAGGTCAAGGAAGAAGAACAGCAAGAAGAACGCCACGGTGGATCGCAGGGTGCAGAAGAGCAGAATGGTCGTGAAGATAAACCAACCCTATACATTTGGTCTCGTCAGCGATTGTCGTGGTCGACCGTCGCATTGCGAAAGGGGATCACATACCAAAAGGAACAGACCGAAGGAGTTATCGAACATGGCAGTGCTGTCGTTGTCCGCCTCCACGAGCGCCGACTTGATGTTGAACCCGCCGGGGGTCAGGACGATGGCAAACGACAGCCAGAAACCACCATAAGAAGACAGAGCAGTGGCACCAAAGGTGTTACCGATAGCCATTTCCCTTTCGGAACATGTCAGCACGAGGGGGATTCCTCCAATCGCGGAGCCAATCAATGACTTACCACATGCCAGCAAGCAATTGGACGAGACCACCGTAACCGAAAGCCAGAGCGACGACGATGTTGGGCTCGGTGATGTCGCGAGCGCCCATGTTGATCGCGCTCAGCACGAAAGTGGTCAGGGCGAAAGCGCACAGGCCCAGAGGAGCAGGGTTGGCGAACTTGCGCTGCTCGACCGACTTGTACAGACCGGGCTGGAATTCACCACCGAAGGGACGCAGCTGGTTCTCCGCAGTGTTGACATGGGACAGAGGGCCGTATCCAAAGCGCGCAGCAGCCTTGGCCGTCTCCTCGGCCGTCAACTGGTGGGTCATGGGAGCGCCATTACCGTTGACACCGTCGGAGCTACCTCCGGTGCCAGCAGGACCGAAGTCCTTCTCGAGCGAAGGGTTGGTGGTGTTTTCCGCCGACATGATCGATGGGTGGGATGAATTGCAAGATCAGAAGATCTCAGACGGGAGATATTACGACAGTCTTATTGAAATTGAGACGAGAGAAATTAAACCCGGGTCCAGCTAGCTGGAGAATCGCAGGAGGGAGGAGGGAGGAAATATATGTGAAACCACGGAGGGAATTATAAAGCACGAGGCAAGGAGAAAACGAAACGCACAGCTCTGCTGGGCGGATCAACAAACACGGCTTCGATGAACTTGGGACCGTGCAAGATGGAGAAGGAGAAATAAATAGAACAAGAGGAGGAGAAGGGGACCAGGGAGAGGGGAACGAGGCAGGTTAAGAGGATGAATGGACAGACGGACGAGACGATGAGACACGACCGGACGAGCGAAAGTTGCAGGGGAGACCAGCAACTTACCCAAATGGGGAGGAAGGGCCGTTAGTTGAGTTTAGCTGCGGTTTTTTTTTTTTTTTTTTTTTTTTTTTTTTTTTTTTTTTCTCTGGTGATTTTAATTTATCATTTTTTATTATATTTTTTATTCTCTTTCTCCCGGCGCTGGTGGAGCGACGGTGGATTAGTGTCAAAAGAGTCTTCAACGATTTGCACGAATCCACTCCGGACTGCGCCGCATCTCCATCGGAATGTCTTCCACGACGGTATTTGGAAGATACTGATATTCACATTGATATCCTCCGGGAAAGTAGGCGACGAGAAAGGAGAACACTGAAGCACTGGGGGAAAAAAAGCAAAAGGAAAAAAAAAAAAAACACAAATGGACTAGTGGGCGGGGAACAAGCAACGAAATCCCAACATCGGCATCATCTGGGGAAAGCATAGTCATCCCCGATGGAAAGCCTCATGGTTGGCTGAAGGGTGAAAGGAAGTTTTCCCATTCCATCCGCATTCCACCGTCGTACCGCCCAAGTCTCCAAGACCGACCAAATTCTGTGACCAAGAAGCCGGGGACGGAAGTGGAGAGAGTCAACCATTCATCCGTCGCGATTTCATCGAATCATCCATCGACGGAGTGGAATCCTGGGGAGTGCGCCAATCCAATCAGACGGCCGGCGGGGAATCGCGACCAAAAGCTGACCAGGACGTCTTGTGTGGTGAGAGAATGATTGCTAATTAACCATGGAATGGAGGAGAGAGAGGAAGAGAAGAACAGAATTGGGCCCGATCCCTTCCAGTTTGGGCTGTTTGTCTGCCGTATGGTATTCTGGTATTATTCTGGTATTCTGGTAATTACCGACTGCCGGCTGTTCCATCCGTCTCCAACTGATCTTCTTCCGGCATCCTCTCGAGGTCGTGAGATAATCCTGCCCTCATGATGTTCCATTGTCTGCCCCTGGTTCCTTGCCAGCCGGTTGAATTGCTTTCCATTCATCCATCTTACCACAAGGCAAGGGATCGTGTGTCTACCCGTCTAGCCTGAAGGTCCAATCTCCACCTAGTCTCATTCATTAGGTACTTTTCAGTTTTCAGGGCTAATTGAGGGAAGGAAAGCAAAAAAAGCAAATAAGAAAAAAGAAATCTTCTCCATCAACCGGTGGACCTCCGGATACAAGCGTCAAGCAGGGCACTCAGGACTCGTGCACATCTTGTTGGGTGGACCGCTGCAAATCTGACGCCTGTCCCATTCCGTGGTTGAAAGCTTGACTTGAGACAGTTCGTCGAATTCTCTCTCAATTGGAAGCGGCATGGGTTTCATCGTGAGTCCGATGCATGCTACCGTGTCGGCATCGAAATCCAGACGATCGAGACGGAGGACACGACTCAAGAGGTCCTCCATTTCCGGCCTGCCGTCTGGTATCGGGGCTTACAAGGGTAGTACCGCCGACGGTGCGTTTCCAGGGTAAATTATCGACGATTTGGACGATACTGAATGGTTCGTCATGGTTCTCGTTGATGGCTGATCGGCCGGGATATTTACTCGGTGCGTCCAGCTTGATGCAGCTAGGACAAGCTGGTCCAGAAATTATCAATTGACAGTACTCCGGAGTAAAGTCCTACGGAGTACTTCTGCCAGAGAAAGCCTCGGTCTCCATTATGGATCAGCGCAACCCAAAGCACACTAAAAGAAGCTCCAGGGCGTGTCATGACCGGCTCCAGTCCTGATTTTCCCCGTACGCGGTGGCGGATTACGCACCAATGATTCACCCGAGCCGATCTGGAGCCTGGGAGCTTTTCGTTTCTGTAACTCGACGACACCACGGCGACTACGCCCTAGTCTGTCGCCGTCCTTGTTCGTCGCGGGCCAAAAGGAAACGAACATCTCCACTTGGCGACTCACTACCACAGTAGAGTTCTGACTTTCTGACCGTTCGGCCGCGGACTCAACTTCCCTGCCCTTCGTCCCCTTTTTTATCTCCCGGGCGCTCGCAGCCTCGCCCCTGGGACCTGTGTCCAGCCACCGCGACCTCCTGGCGATGGCGTACAAACAAGCTCAACCTTGGCCGAGACCCATCCTCCACAGCTTATCATCATTTAAAATTTGTCCCATCTCCTTTTTTGACAATTGACAACTGACAACTGACGGGAGAACTTTCGATCGAGTCCGACCGAAATAAGGAGAGACACTTGTCACCCACTAGGCCCTCCGTCAGAGACTAGCACTATCTGGCAGGGTGACACGCGAAGATCATTAATATTGCGAGAGGGGAGGGGATGTTGGCTTGTCCGACCGTCCGACAATCATGGGCAGTCCAGTCCATATTAATCAAAACCAATCCGTCCTGCGTAGCTCAAGGGCCATTGCTGCCTCGGAGGGTTCCTCAATAGGGAACCCCGTGTCCACGTATACGAGGTCCCAGCTCCAGGGGAAGCGAATCTACGCCGTAGGGGAGAAGGGTTACGATCTGCAGCTGGCCTCTGGTCGCTGGCGTCTCGACCAATGGTCAGGGTCAAAATGTTTCTAGGGTACCAGACAAGGTGCAGGCCATGCAGGCTTTAAAACCAACACGGGATGGAAAGTATCTCGTGCATAAGGCCGAAGGCGCCTGGACACTACAATACTACTACGGAGTCCTGCGTAAACTAAACATCCCACCTCGCATTCTCGCCAAAAACGAAGGACCCAAACCAAATGCCCCAAATTAAATAAATTAATAACGCTCGTTATTATTGCAGGCAAAAGCAGCCGACCTGACCTGCCAAGCGCGAGAAATGTGGCGCTCAGACAATAAATATTTCAGATTCAGCGATAGATTTGTGCGAGTGCGACGCCGCCAGCGACCTGCCTGGCCCGTCGTCCTGCATACCGTCTAGCGAGAATAGCACAGTAGCACTGCAGGTTCCAGCTTCGATCGAAATCAGGCACAAAGGGAAAGACGTAGCATTTACTCTCTAGTCCGAACTCAGGAACGGAGGATTAATCAATGTCCTTGGTCAAATCAGGCCACCGAGAGACAGACACACAGACACAGACAAACACACAGAGGGAAAAAACCCAACAGCTTCAGCTGAACTACTACCTAGAGCTCATCTAGCGGCCTTGGCCCTTCCCAAGTGGCATTTGATCAATAATAAAAATTCCACGGCGCAAGTGAAGCTCCGCCTGCCGCGGCGCCGCGCTGCAAGTCATCCGCCTCCAAGGGCCAAGGGAGAGAGATTCTGTCGACTCGGAGCGACTAATTTAAAGTGCATTTATAGTTGATTTCTGACGGCGCTGATTGGTGGGTCTTGCGAGACCTGTCGACTTACACTTTTATGTGGTTTTACTTTTGCGTTTAGTTAGGTTAGGGTGGGTTTTTAGTTGGGAATTAATTTTATTAGGGAAGAAAGAAAGCGAGAGGCCCGTAAGAGCGAGCTGGACCGAGGCCGCCCTACCAGTTGGAAAACGTGCGACCTGGGTGGTCGGTTCGGTCGCATTGGGGGTGGGTATTTCTCGCCGCGGGAAGCGAGAAACTGGCTGAATCAATTATGGTGTAGATTATGGAGTATAGCGATTCTGGCTATGGATTTTGTTTGATTGATTATCGCGATTTGAGGGCGTGATAATTATGCAAAGATCCTCGGTCGCGTGTAGTATGCTCGAGTTTAGTTGTGGGCGGTCAGTCGGTCCGAATGGATGGACGGTTGGACGGTTGGACGGTCCGGACGACGAAAGGAAACACTTGCAGACCAATCTAATCTGTTTATCTTGCCAGCGCAGGTATCGACTATTGACCATTGACATCCGGGTGTAATGACCGGGCAGGTTGTAATACTGCATATTAACTGTTATTAAGGGCGGGTTGCGATGAGGTCTGTGTGTATTCTTATATTAATTAAGCCAGTTCATACCCTGTCCTTACTGCTTACTGCCTCCGAAATAAGACCCAACACTGTAAGACCTATCCGAATGATGACATCTGTAGCTACGCCTAGGCGCAGAACAGGCCCATCCTAGCTGATCCAACAGAAAAGACCCTTAATTCCCAATCCAGCCAACAGCCCAACCCTCAGCCTGGCGCTATTTACGGCCTACAGATCCAGGATCAAGGGTCTTCTTCCTCTCTTCCCCGCGGGAAGGGGGGAAACCCCGATGGAAGAGACCTAACCACTGTATGCGCCGCGACCATTGCGCTTGGCAAGAATCCTTCGCCTCTAGTCTGGTGGCTGCTCTGGCTGGCCTTGGTCTGGACTGGGCGGGCTGGGCTGACGGGCTTGTTTTTGCGAGTGTCTGGTGTGCGTGCGCCATTCGGTGCTGCGGACTTATTTTTTCCTTTTTTCCTTTCCTTTCCTTTTCTTTTTTTGTACTTTTTCGAGCGGTTTAGCTCCTCCATCTCGTTTAGACTAGATGAGTCTAGCTCTCATCCACGGAGTAAGACTCCTTCCGTAGCGCCGCGGGGGATGCTGATTCTACGGAGTATTCCTGCTGACGGAGTGTACTGCGTAGTATGCGTCATCTCATTCCCCAATATGGAGTCAACGCAAATCGAGTGATCTGTAAGTATTGTCGATCTGCGGAGAGACAAGAAAGCGGAGAAATGGAGAGGACAGTTAGGAGTAGATACACTGCAGGCATAACTTGTGCCTCAACATATCTCCCACAGGATATTATGTCCGAGAAGTACGGTACACGGTACCACTCAATGCGGACCGACCTATTCTTGGGTCAAGTCCATTCTCGAGATATCATGTGAACTTCTACTGCGGAGTGCCATGCATGCATCCATTCTTCAGACCCAGGAATACTGAATCCGTATTGGAGATGATATAGTAATCAAGTGATGCTTCCGGGAATCCCGCCAGACCCCGGTCCGGATGCCTCGGCCATGGCTTGCGGTAGACCTGGAGGACAGAGCGCGGATACTTGGGGGGATACGCCTAATAATTGGTACCTACATATCGGATCATTGTCCTACATTTTCCTTACTTTGTCGACTAATTTGGATGTACCTATGTACCTGCTGGTACGCCGTTACCGTTACTGCCTTGCCTATCTACTCCACAGCAGTCTTCTGCAGAATTTCTAAACATAAACTTAGCACAGAATTCCTATACCACTCCGTATATCCAACATAATATCCACTGATACGAAGGATGCAATCTCCTTTTGTCCGGGGTCCAGGAATTTCTTGGTCCCGTGCCTTTTTCCTTTTCTTCCGGCCAGTCTGGGGCCGGTGTCTCCGTTCCTCTGTGGATATTTACGAGCTCGCTTCGCCAAGAGGACATGGGTCTGGTCCACGTGAAATCATGGTTGAGATGGAGCTAGGGGTCTGGGCATAGCCATATCTGGTGCGTTTGTTTTGATACTCGGTAGACGATGTAGATTGGGTTGTTGGATAACCAAGTACCTAACAACAGAGCACAGCGCGACACACCCACGGGGTAAATCTCCCCCACGTAATCCAGCACAAATAATAAAACCGCCACATAAGAGACCAAGAATCCAAGACCCCAAGACTCAACAGCCATCAGCCACCCGCCATCACGCCATGTCTTACTCAGACTCCGGCCAAGCGCCATCTTCGTCAGCCAAGGTGCAGTGCAAAGCCAACCGGCGCGGCTGTCTATGTGTCTTCTTTTGGCTAGTCCGTGTATTGAATTCTTGTATGGCTTATTCCTTACTGCGTATGACTCTGCACTATAGTGAGACTACGTGTTGATGGACGGGACAGTCAGGATCGACTTGGATTTAGTCTAGTAGAGCCAACGCCAACCCGATGACAGGCTGGACTACCGCCCGAGAAAGCGAAAATCAACAGAGGATGGTCTTGCAGGACAGACGAGCTACGTCAGAGATCACGGGGTGAGGGGGATCGACGGAGTCGTTCTCTGCCTTACCGTGTGTAGAGTTTTGGACTTGGACATTGGCCATTGGATTGGATAACTAAGTAGCTCGCGGATAAGCAGGATCTGGAGGGCGGAGTTTGTCCGGGTGAAATCCGGAGATGGATTCGATGGATCAACTTTACCAGCTACCAGTTACCACTCTTACGATCACAGACGACCCCGGGAGTACTCCGGAGTAAGCAGGCGCCTGGGTACCCCAGACGCAGAAGCAAGATCAAAAGCAGAACCAGCACGCTGGTTCCACCCGTGCACGCGGTACCGAGTTCCAATTAATTATCCTGCATGCCGAGAGTGACGATTAATATCCAGAATCCAAGTTGGAGGTTAGTCTAGGGGAAATATGGAGTTCCAGTCTGGGGAAGAGAGGTCTGAGTCCGGAGCCGGAGGTATTTTCTTTTTCTTTTTTTTTTTTTTTTTTTTTTTTTTTTTTTTTTTTTTTTTTTTTTTTTGTTGTTGTTGTTGCTGTTGCAGTGACTGGATAATGGAAATGACATTTTTCGGCTATCAAAACTCAGCTCGGTTCGGCGGAGCGGAAACGACAAAACATCACTTTCCATCCTTCGGCATTGTTCTGCACTCAGCTTCCGGTGTACATCGACTATCTATCATGGACCAAGGTACTGATTTGTGTTCATTGTAGAACATTCTCGTGCTCCAATTTCTTTCCTCAGTTATGGACCTGGCTGGATCCACCGAGGAACAGCGAATGATCCTCAGCTGGCCCTGGTCCTGATCCTGGTCTCGAGGTGAATGCTGCATACTTCTAAGTCCGTCTCCGCATGCGGGGATGGTCGATTTTTGGGTATGCGCATTTAGCTGTTATTGGTAATGTATCTGGATGAATGGAGGAGTGGAAAGGCTGGTGGATTAGTGAGATCATACGATAGATTTGTAAAGTGATCTTTGTTTTTCTTTTCCTTTCTCTAAAAATTCTTCTGTCTGAAGTGGACTCCGGAAGGTGGCGGACTGGATCTATAGTGTCAGATGATACTGATACTGACGAGTGATGATGATGGCATATGCTAGCCCATGGCCCACGGAAGAAAGTGTATCAGGCGATTGGGTTTGATGGCCTGTCTATCGTGACTTTCTAGCCTGCATGCTAAAGGTGATCGATGGATTAGCACGGAGCCTCCAATTGAACATGCAGCTCTAGCTAGAGCGCACCACTTCCAAAACTAATGTATGCAGGTCGACCAACCAGGACAAGCCCCCATTGACAAATGATGCCATCCACTCAGTTCGCAGCTCTCGGTCGATCAGTCCGTCGTTCATACAGCCTCGTCAAGATAGCGACAAACCCACGATCTAGAGTTCGTAAAAAATCGCCGGCCCTCTAGTCTGGTGGGGGAGAAGAGATCGACACAGAAAGGCGGTCTGGCTGTCGTTCATGTATGGCTGCGACGGTGGATTGTACGGAGTCGGAGCACGGTAGTTGGCGTGGCTTCATGAACTATTGATTCTTGGATTGATCGGTGGGACAGCCGCGGGATGGGTCTGCTAGAGAATTCTTTCGGCTTCTGAGCTCACGTCAATTGTGAATGTTGAGGGCAGGTCAAATCATCGTCGCAGCGGGTGATTCGCCGCTATTGTCAATGGTTTCATTTCTGCTGGCCATAGAATTTGTTGATCGTGACAATGTGATCAGATTTTTAACTCGAGAAAGCATGGCTGTGCTGATTCACAAGGAATGAGGTCTTTCGAGAAATCTTGTTGCTGTTGCTGTGGTTATGGCCGTCGATGCAGACCAACGCTTCAGAGTGCATGTGAGGCTGCTCATGTTTTCCTGTTTGGCTTGTTGCCATTTGTGCTTCGCAATGATGAATGCGATGACTGTACTGATGCTGTCTCTTGAAAGGAGACCATTTGACTGAGACTGACAAGGCATGGCTAGTGATTCGACTATGCCTTTGAGTCTGATGAATTAAGCCAGACTTAGCAAAAACGGATGCTAAAGACACCAGCCATCAATTGTCAATATGATCGGATTGACCGACTTATCACAGGCGTGCGCTCGAGATCCGATTCCGCTTATCGAAGGCTCTGCTCCTTAGACAGCACAAGGCAATTCCCCAACAAGAATTTACCCAATAACCAATTTCTTCGCATGCTTCAGACAAGTCATGAGCAGCGATAAAGCCAACCGGGTTGCTGCCATAAGATCCCTCTATCTGCGGGGTTGATAAGTGACGGCCGCTATCAACATCCCGGATCCTTCGCGGCATTTGAGCCATTCGACCTTCTGTTTTGGGACTGAATCCAGGATCTATTATCAGTTTATCAATCCATCTACCCCAATGATCTGTTAGATGCATTTGGAGAAGGACGTTACCGATAATGTCGCGGAAGTCCTCAGCGCTCGCCTCGATATCAAGGCTCTAGCCGGACGATTCTTGCTAGGCATTCATTTGGAAGGCCCTCCTGTCAGGCTGGTTATCGTTATCAGGCTGATGCGGGGTTATCATGCGCTTCTATAAGAAGCGTAACGGTCGATGGCTCTTCCATCGATTCGCATTCTGACCATCTGCTTCAGAATAAACCTGGTTTGCTGGATTCAACATGGGGAACCCTGAAATCGAGAAGGATCACTCAGTATCCACAGACACAGTCGACATCGAAGCAAAGGATGTCGGTCATGTGGCGGCCATCAAAGCAGATGCAGCCCTGGACTTCCTTCGTTCAGAGGAAACAATCACCTTTTCCGAGGAAGACGAGAAAAAGCTCGTACGGAAGATCGACTGGATGATTGTACCCCTTATGTGGGCAATCTACTTTCTCCAGTATCAAGACAAGATTCTCAGTACGTGATCAGGACCTCTTGTGCTATCTGGCCTAACAACGCAGTCAACTATGCCTCCGTCATGGGCTTTCTCGAAGATACCAACATGCGAACAGATCAATTCTCTAACTTGGCGTTGGCATTCTACGTGTCCTATCTGTTCTTCGAATTCCCAACGGGTTATCTAATGCAACGCTTTCCCACTGCGAAATACTTGGGGCTGAATGGTAAGTACATTAAGCATGGCAAAAGCTAGGCTAACGGTACTAGTAACTCTTTGGGGACTGTTGACGACATTGAATTGCACCGCAAAGAACTTTCCTGGTCTTATTGTTCTTCGCATTTTGCTCGGATGTTTTGAAAGTGCAGTGGCACCTGCGTATGGCTTCCCCCCTAGATGGAGGACGACGCTGACGGTTGCTAGGCTAATTTTGATAACTTCCATGTGGTACAAGAGAGACGGTAAGTGATTGACTCTTATTCTATCTCGGAACCTACTAATTCGCGCAGAACAACCCAAACGTATGGGTTTCTGGTACCTAGGCACCGGCACCGCAACCATCGTCGGCGCTCTTGTTGCGTACGGGCTGCTCTTCTATACCGGCGACCACTTCCGGTCCTGGCAGATCATGTTCCTGATCTTCGGACTGATCACCATGGCAGTAGGCGTGACCGTCATTCTTGTCTTCCCCGACAACCCCATGAGTTCCCGGCTGAGCCACTCCGAGAAAATCATGGCCATCGAGCGCCTCCGCGAAAACCGCACCGGCATCGAGAACAAGCAGTTCAAGCGCGAGCAGTTCCTCGAAGTGTTCACAGACCCCCAGACCTACCTGCTCATCGTCGTTGTCACCGCCAGCAACGTCCCCAACGGCGCCGTCAGCAGCTTCTCGGCCCTGATCATCAAGAACTTCGGCTTCAGCACCAAGGAGACCGAGCTGCTCACGATCCCCGGCGGCCTGGTCAGCGTGATCAGCATCCTCGTCGGCACGCATCTGGCCGGCCGCTTCGACCAGCGATGTCTCTGCGTCATCGGGATCCTGGCCTGCGGTCTCCTCGGCGGCTGTCTGCTGGCGTTTGCGCCGACGCAGGCCGCCAAACTGGCGGGGAACTACCTGACCAACTGCATCGGCGCCTCTCTCCCTCTGATGTACTCCCTGGCCGGCGCCAACGTGGCCGGACATACCAAGAAAGTCGCGATGAACGCCATCGTGCTGATGTCGTTCTGTCTGGGTAATATCCTGGGCCCGCTGACGTTCCGCACCAAGGACGAACCGGACTACATCCCCGCGAAGATCGCGATTGTAGCGACCGTGGCGGTGGCCATTCTTTTCACGGTCATCTTGAAGATATACTATATCTATGAGAACCGGCGACGGGACAGAAAGGGGGAGGGTCTGCAGCATCAGGAAAATTCCGAGTTCTTGGACCTCACGGACATGAAGAACCTGGAGTTCCGGGTGAGTTTATCTTCTAGTTACATGGATGGAGATTCTAACATAAAGCAGTACAAACATTAGAATAAAAAAAATTAAATGAAACTGACTTCTATTGAAATTATAATCTATACCATGCTATGCAATCAAACCCAAACGCCTATCCATGCCACCTTCTAAGCAAACCCAACGAATCAAGCCGCAGCGCGAACCGCCTTGAACTCCTCGGTGAAGTCGTAATCGACGTATCCCTTCGGATCCTTGGGCAGATAGAACACATCCCGCTCATAGGGCCGCAGGGGCAGACCCGACTTGATCAGGAAGGGCAGCTCGGGGTTCGCGGTCCAGGGGCGACCGATGGCGACGACGACGTCGTGGTCCTTGTAGCGCGCATCGACGGCCTCCCTGGCCGAGTCGGGCTTATAACCACCGGCGACCATGACGGGGCCGGCGCCGCGGTACGCATTCACGAAGAAGTCCAGCGACTCGCCGGTCTCGCTGACGTCGGCGTTGCCGGCAATGCGCGCCTCGACGACGTGCACGTAGGCCAGGTGGAACTCGGCCGTCTTGCGCGCCAGGTACTCGAACTGCGGCACGGGGTCGGCCATGCGCATGCCCTGGAAGGTGCTGAAGGGGCTGAAGCGGATGGCGGTGCGGTCGGCGCCGATGGCGGCGACGATGCGGCGGGTGATCTCGAGGGGGAAGCGGGCGCGGTTCTCGACGGAGCCGCCCCAGGCGTCGGCGCGCTGGTTGGCGGTGTCCTGGATGAACTGGTCGATCAGGTAGCCGTTGGCGCCGTGGATCTCGACGCCGTCGAAGCCGGCGGCGACGGCGTTGCGGGCGGCCTGGACGTAGTCGTCGATGAAGGCGTGGATCTCGGCCTCGGTGAGTTCGCGCGGGACGGGGGCGTCGGGGCTCGCGGGCGTCGCGCTGCTGGAGACGAGGTCATGGCCGCCTTCCTTCTGCAGGACGTCGGGGCTGGCGACGCGACCGAGGCCCCAGAGCTGGATGTAGATGTACGAGCCCTTGGCGTGCACGGCGTCGGTGACGGTGCGCCAGGCGGCGATCTGCGCCTCGCTCCAGATGCCGGGGACGTTGGGGTAGCCGCCGGCGCGCGGGGACACCAGGGTGCCTTCGGTGATGAGGAGGGTGCCGGGGACGGCGGCGCGCTGCTCGTAGTGCTCCTTGACGATGGGGAGAGGGACGTGTTCATCGTCGACGCGGAAGCGAGTCATGGGCGCCATGGCGAGGCGATGGGCCAGCGACATGCGGCCGACCTGGATGGGCTGGAACAACTTGGACATGATGGAATAGAGGGTATCAAAAGGAAGGGTTCTAGAATGTCTGTCTCTGATTGTATTCGAATGTCTGAATGATGATATCCCCGTCGGCGACCCGACAATTAAATACGACCCCCCGGGGCAAATGCACCACCAGGCCGGAGACTTTTGCAGCGCCCTAATTCACGCCTCACGGAGCTCGGCGGCGTCCTGATTTCCAATCCGCCCTGATTAATGCATTTAATTTATGGTTCCGACTGATTAACGCAATTTAATTAATGGTTCCGACTCCACGAAGCGTCCAGAATTTTTTGGTCGCGCCCAATCAGAGGAGATGGTGGCCTGACAAATCCTGCCTGGGGCTCCAATTCGGGGGTTTTCCGATGACAAATCCATCTTTTTCCATCTTCCATGCCTCACTGTCTTCATGGTCTATGCCTAAAAGTAGGGCGTTTTGCCTTGTCTACTCACCCTTTACCCTTCTATAACCTCCTCCGTAGACCCTCTCCGGAAGGGTCAAGTTAATCGCCAATAGACTACGAACTAGTCACTAGTTCTCACCCGACACTCAGCCTCAACCTCTGTCCTCGATCAACGGGCACGGAGTCAGCCTGGGTGTCAGACCTAAGAATCCCTGCCCAGCCGACCTGTCATGTCAGGAGATGAGCTTCGCCAGCTGACCGGCAGGGATCATGATGTCATGGCGTTTTGGCATGGATTGATTGACTCATTTACTCCGTACTGGCGCTGGTTTACAGTTGACATGCTGGCTGAGTCTGACTCTGGTTTACACTAGACATGTCCTGCCATGGCGGCAAGGCGGAATCAGGCAACCACCACCAGTCAGGCAGAGCTGAGGACTCAAGTTTGTATCATATTTCTAGTTCCGACATGGTTGATATTCCGCTAGTCATGGTTCTCTACTCAGGCATCTTTCAAATCCGTCTGACTCTTAACATGGCGTCAGGACCTTCCCCCGCGACATAGAAACTGCTAACCCGACCCACCCGGCACGGTCGGCAGGCCCTGCAAAAGACCTTCAAGCACAGGGAGCACTGCAGAACAAAGTCGTCGTTGATTCTCTGATGGCACACTCCGCATCCAAACTCGGACACCAGCGGTTCGCCATTCGCAGAGACGGCTGTGGTGGATCCGCCCCCCAGATAGTGAACGTTTGCCCAATGCTCGCAGTATCCAGGATTTGCGCGGCAGCGGTGCTGCAGTTCGCGAAAGAGGATAAGGAAAGTCCTAAACGACCAGGCGTTCATGGTATTGATGTAAACCGCATTGGCTGTCGATCGCTCATTCCATTGTTGAGTTACGGCGCAGCCACACCCGGGCGGCAGGCCACAGGTGAAGCAGAATGTGGTACCGCAAGCGCACCTGGCAGTTTCCGTTAGCGCTGACCGTCGAAGGAGCTTATCTTCCGTCCGGAGGGCCAAACGAACAAGATCGGGCCCGAAATCGCCATATTTTGAAACGAGGTCACCCTGGCGCACCGGTAGCATCGCCGGACACACGCGTTGTCGAACCCGTAAAAAGAAGAACATGGGCCGAGATGCTCGGGCCCCTTGCAAATTGTACAGGTGCCCATGCCGCACCAGGAGCAATTCATCACGATTTTCTCCGCCAGGGCCTCGAGGTGGGCTGGAAGGAAACCAAGGCCGCAATCTGGGACACAGCAGTAGAGCGATGGGCCGTTGAGATATTCGACGTCTTCTCTGAGCTGCACCAGCAGCTCGGGTCGCGAGAACCTTTGATATTCGGCCCAAGAGAGGTAACGGCGTCTGCCGCAACAGGCCTCGATGGCATTGAATGTAAGCTGCTTGGCACAGAAGTCGCAGATGAAATGCTGACGGGCCAGGATACCCGACGGGATGGCGACGAGACCCCTGCATCTTTCGCACTCCCAGAAGCTGGGACGATTTTCGTCCATGGCACTTCGGTTATCAGCTGTAGGTATTCTTGTATTCTTCGACCGGCAAGCGAAAGTGCTCAATAGTTGAATAAGATCTATTGAAAGATATAGTCAATGGGTGCAGTGGAGTAGTGATAAGTGATGTCTAATTGAAAGTAAAGTCTGGTTTAAGATAATTTCATGAATAACTGAATATTGAAATGTTGGAGACCTTCGCCGGCTCCATCAGAGACGGTGAACTGAATGCATTCCGGGGTCCTTCTTTCCGATTCATGGTGGTTGGATTGCTCTTTCCTTTGCATGCGGGTTCTGTGTTCTGATGGACAAAATGGATATGTCAGTGAGGATCTAAATGAATAAATCAGTTACACCGAAGTTCCAAAATGTAGAAAAAATCATGAAATGGTCAGCAAACCGCGAAATACTTGACAGCTTGGGCCACATGTTTCTACAGGTAGAGGCAGGCGAGCAGTAAGCTAAAGACGGGATAGCTTCAACACTGCTTAATCGGGAAGGAAATGGAATCGCCACTAGCCACGGTAGCTAGACTCCGGGTTGAATCACTCTCGTGGAAGAAAGAGAACGGTGGGAAAGGGAAAACATCAGAAAAATTAAATGAAAGCATGCCAAACAATCAGATTGATTCCATTCGCTCATGCAAATGATATAGAGTAAGTCCGCAGTAACAATAACGATGATAATAATGCTAATGCTAATGCTCCGTCCAGCAAGAAACGCCATCCATCCATTCATCCGTCCATCTAATCATCTAAACTCAGACATCAAGTCAGGACAGGTAGATGGTAAACTAGAGTATAGTCGAGGGGTATTTCAACGAGTAATAGAAAACAAAGCTTCGAAATGAATTCTCAACGAATCGTGCAAATCCATATCAAGGAAACAACTCACAGTATAGCGCAACACAAACAACCAGAAAGAGAAGGGAAGAGAAGCTAATAAACGAGAGTAAAGTGACAAGTAGAGAGAAGCTGAAATTAACTCTCTAATCTCCGCGCAGCCGATTCCAGCTGCGCATTGAAGGCCCGGATCTGCGATAACAGACCGCCCTGGGCGCCAGAGGCTCGGGAGCTGGCGTTCTCGGCGACGTTGCGGAGGAGGAATTCGAGACCGACAGATGGGGAGGAAGGAGATGGTAGGTTTTCCTGAGGGGCTTTGCTTCGTTCGACAGCGAGGTCGATGTTATGAAGGGAGTGGTTGATTGTTGAGCGGGTCTGATTTCGTTAGTTGTGGTCCGAGATTCTAGATGGGTTTAGAGCTTACAGTTCTGGCATTCTCTTCTTCCGAATGCTTCTTGCGCACGGCGTCCATGCGCACAGCGACTGCCTCCCGTTCCTTGCGGATCTGGAACAGTCGAGTGCGCTGGTCGAGCATCTCGCGCTTGGCCTTTCTCAGATTCACCCCCAGAACAAAGTTGCTGTCGAGCATCTCGCTGAGCTCGAAGAGCCGGCCCTCGAGTTCGGTGCCGTACGCCTCGACGGCTTTCTTCTTGCGTGTGAATTCCGACCGGCGCGCGGCGTTGCCCTCGTTGGCGATGCCATTGTCGAGCGTCGTCAGGGTCTTTTCCAGTGTTTCGCGACAGATCTGGCTGAGGACGTCGGCGACGTTGACGCCGCCTCGGTTGGGGAGTTTGGCCTTCAGTCGGTTAAAAAGATCTTCGGTGGATTCTTGGTCGTTTTCGTCGTCCTCCTCTTCGTCGGCAGAGGCACCGGCACCCCCGAGAGAAACGACGTTTGCCAGACGGTGCACGGTCACTGGAACGGTTTCGCCGCGAGGTTGGCGCGGTTTTCGCTTGGGTCGGGAGGCGGTTGCTTCTTCGGCGTTTTCTTGCGTTGCTCGCTCTTCCGGCTGTGAGGCCTTGTTATCCTTCTTTGATTTGGACGACTTGTCACGACCACGCTTGCGAGTCGATGGTTCGGGTTGAGCTTCAGGTTCAGGCTGCGCCTCGAGTTCGGGCTCAACCTCTGGCTGGCGTTCGGGTGCACGCTCCGGTTCAAGCTCAGGCTCCGGCTCCGGCTCATGCTCCTTTTCTTGAGTCTGCTCCTGTTCTTGCGCCTTTCGTGCTTTCTTGCCCTTGCGACCCGGTCGGGGCATCTCTTCAGACATCTCTGATTGGGCCTGCTCTTCTCCGCGTCCTGCGCGATTCGATTTCTTGTCTGCCACCCTCAATCCCTGCCGTGAAGGGCGGCCTTCGTCATGACTTGTAGCATCTGTCTCGCGAGCGCCTTCCACCTGCGCTGGCTGAGCAGCTGGTTCTTCCGCAGCTGCGGCCTCCGGCGTGGGTTTCTTCGCGTTTCGGTTACGGAGGCCTCGGGGTCCTCGACGCGGAGGTGATGGCTCCTCTGGTTTGTTCCCGGGGGAGCCGGCCGCCTTCTCTGCCGTGACCTCTTCTGGGACCGGCGATTTCTGGGCGGACCTTTGGGGTCGGCCTCGTTGTCGTTTCGCTGGCTGAGGCTGCGAGGGCTCTGATGGCTCTATCTCCGTGGGAGTATCTTGAGGTTCTTCTGATAGCGGATGCTCAACCTCAGCCGTTTCTGAAGCCGTGACGCTCTGCGGTGGAGAGCGTCCACTCGCGCTAGAACCTCGCCTTTTACGCTTGCCTCTGATGGCTTTCTTCGGCTCTTTCTTTTGTGAATCTTGCTTGGCCTGCTGAGATGCCTCGCTACCGACTTCTAGACTGCCACTCTGAGCAGAACGTGCCTTTGCGCTAGCCCCTCGTGTTTTCCCTTTGTCTGTAGAATCCTCCAAGGGTTGATCCAATGCTGGAGCTTGTGGTGATTGTTGAACATTCTCGCTGACGGGTCTTGGACTTGCGCTCTTTGACAAACGCTCACCGGCACTGGCTCCTCTTGTCCGTGTAGCTGTAGGGTCATTTTGAGGTTCCTCCGGTACTATATCTTGCGGTGGTTGAGTATTTTCGCCAACAGGTTTCGGACTTGCGCTCTTTGATGAGCGCGTGCTGGCGCTGGCGCCACGTGTTTTCCGTGATTCTGTTGCTTCCACAGACTGCTTTGGCTGTGGGGATTCTGCGGGCGGAACGCCCTGGTCGGTGGCTTTTGGACTTGCGCTGGAGCGACCACCGGCCGAGGTTCCTCGTGTTTGGCGCTTTCCATCCGGGCTATCTCTGGATTCCTCGGGCTGTGAAGGTAGCACTGCTTGCAGAGCATCTTTAGCCACTGGACTTGCGCTCTTCGGTGAACGGTCGTCTGCGCTGGCTCTCCGTTTGCGCTTACTTCTTGTGGAATCGGCAGGCGACGACGTGCCATTCGGCTGGGGCGCTTCTTGTTGGGCCGGGGGCGATTTCGGTTCAACCTGGTTTTCCGGTTCAGTCGTAGCTACGTCAATTTCATTCGGAGTTTCTTGAGGCGGTTGCTCGGGTGCGGCCTCGGGCGCAGGTTCTGGTGCAAGTTCTGGCGCAATTTCTGGTACAGGCTCAGGGGCAACTTCGGAAGCTGGCTGGGGTGCTGGTTCGGGTGCGTCTTGAGGGGCCTGGGCATCGTTCGCGATAGTAGATGTAGCAGCTGTCTCGGACGGTTGTTGTTCAAGTTCCGTAGAATTCGTGATGGTAGGGACTTCCATTGACTCGGTAGGGGGTTGAGCTGACGGGCTGCTTCGGGTGCCATTCTGACGGGGCGAGGAGCTCTGTTGTCCTTGTCGCGTGCCATCTCGACGAGGGGATATGCGTCGACTCGTGGGGGGAGATTCTGCGAGCCGGGTTAGCCCAGGCGACGTAGAGGGGCAATTCCACCTGGACTCACCAATTTTCCGTCTTTTACTACTGCGACCTAGGTTGGGCGCCTCATCCGCGGGGATATCGAAGGTCGACGGGCGTTCGGGCAAGGCATTACGCGCACTTCCGGGGGTCCGCCGAGAAGAAGACTGACTTGACTGGCTTGCAGGCGGCGGGGTCTTCTGCTGCTCCGATGGCAGAGGCGGTTGGGAGCTCTCTGGTTGTAAGGGAGCCGAGGGGGCGGGGGGTGCGTTCGGCGGCTCGGATTGCGACGCGGGTTGGGAGGCTTCCTCGGGCGGAGCCAGACCAAACGAGAAACCAAAGTTGACTTCCTTGATCTTGCGGGTCCTGTTGGTCGCCTGCGGTATCAGTATTCACTCGGGGAGCTCAATTCATCGCGTCGAAGGAGGGAGGCCAGGCTTACGCTGCTCCGCGCTGCCGCATTTGCAGCCGCTCCTCTCGATCTACCATCATCGGGTTAGTGTTGGACGCGACGCGGGGATCAGTCGGCGAGACGTACTGTTATTCATGGTCGAGAAGCGGCGCTTTGCAAGCTCTGCGCGCAAAACGACGCGAAAGGGGAAGGGGAGGGAGAGAAAAAGGGAGGGGGAGAGATGGAGAGGAAGAGAAGAATGCGAGAGGAAGTCCGATGGAGAGTCGACGAGAGCAGAGAGAGAAGAGAACCCGATGCGGTTTAGTCGGCGGTCGGCCACTTTTTGCATTCTCTCCGCATCGTCTCTTCCTCCTCTTCACGTCTTCGCTTCGTTCTTCCTCTGCTTATTCTTGCCTCTTTCATCTCTCTCCATTCGCAATTGAAGTTTCCCTGAAAAATACAACCCGCATCTCTCAACTATGGGTTGGTTCTGGGGCAAATCCGAGGACCCCGTCAAGAAGTTGGACCCGGGTCTCCGAGAATACCTCGAACATGAAGCTCCCAAGAAATACGTCCCTACGACGCCGGAGATTCCCAAGCCGGTAGATTCGCAGAGCCAGCCATCGCAAGCGCCTCCGACCGCCGAATCCGACGAGTCCTCGCAACCCGCCCTTCCCAACGCCTCCCTCTACCCCGACGGGCGCTATGCCCACCTCTGGAAGACCTACAAGCCCCCCGCCAGCGAAGAAACCCAGAAGGGCGCGGAGCGAGTCATTGAGAAATACAAGCAGCGTGGCGACACCGTGCATCGGGCTGCCATGGAGAACTGCGCGTTGGAGCACGAGGATTTGACATACTGCTTCCAGACCGGCACGTGGTCGAAACGAATCAAGTCGCGCATGTCGATGTGCCATGAGGAGAACCACACCTTCTCTCGCTGCTTTACTACGCAGGCCGTAAGTCACCGTTTCCCATTGTCGCCTAATGAGGCTAATCCGGGGTTGTCGGTCTAGAAATTCCTCCAGGCACTCGGCTACGCCTCCGCCTTCAACTGGGACCCCGAACGAGAAGAACGCATCCAGATGCACGCCGACAAGCTCTATCACGAAATGATCGGGTATGAGAAGCAGGTGGAGGAAGCCAAGGCGGCGGGACAGGCGCCGCCACCCATCACGTCGCTGTTCAATCCCCAGGCCCGGCAGGAGAAGGCCGAAGCCAGTGCGGATGCTCTGGAAATCCCCGGCGGCGAGGCCATCCCGGCCGGATTCAAGCCCTCGAAACCCTTGGAGAATCTGACGCCCCATGAACGGGAATTGGAGCTTCGCTCTCACTATGCGCAGATGGAACAGCAGAAATTATATGCCCAGGAGGCATTGCCCTTTGTCAAGGCGCAGGATGACGCTCGAAACAAGCGGCGGGACAAGGCCGTCAGCTGGTTCGGAGAGACGGTGGGCAAATGGATCACATAGCTGGACATGTTAAATGCAGGGATAGAAGGGCCATGGGGCTCATGTATGATTACTTCTTGGAGTTGCCATCTGCTCTCGGGGCTGTTGGTGGCGAGGCAGATCTGATTTGATAGCGACTGCAATGGACGGCGTTACGGGGAATCAATCATGGACATAAATATAGCCCAGTAACATTTATCAAAAATAAATCATGTGCAATAAAATCAATTAGAAGTGTCTTAGGGAATACTGAGGTATTGATTTGAAGTGGTGGGAGTTGAGGGTATTCACGGTTCTCTCTGTACCTCCAAGAGAACTTACTACATACTATATGTATTCACCAGGATGCCACTGCTGCCTCCAGATCTCGAATCAACATGCCTCAACCCAACCATCCCAGAAGAGAACCGACAGTCAGCACGGTCAGAAAATGCCCTCGCCAGAAACCCCCTCGCTCTGGTCCGCGTGTCCGTCAAAGAAACGAATTGATGCTGACGGTCACGTTGGCGCTCATTCGCCCGGACGCGGAGACGCCAAACGACAAGCGAGAAACAAGACGCTCCGACGAAGACACTGCAACCAGACTCAGATCCGCCGAATTTCTCACGTTGCCCTCTCTCGCAGGTCTCCAACTCTCCTGCCCAGCCCGGCGGTGATCCCCCCTCATTTAAGCGTGTCGGACGGCCTTGTCCCACGGCTCCTGACTGGATTCCTCCGCGTTTCTCCATCTCTTCGTCCTTGCAACCGTCTGCTCTCAACCTCACAGCTCCCCCCCTTCCTCTCTGTCAAGCTTCCCTCCTGCTGAAATTCACTCTCCTTCTCACTTCCGGATCTCTCATTGATCGCCTTCGATCTGTCTCTGGGGAGCCCATTGAGCTCCCGTGCTCACAATGAAGGCGACCCCGTTGCTCATCTCGTGGCACAACGACAACGCTCCCATCTATTCGGTCCATTTTGACCCTCATGGCAAAGGACGCCTAGCAACGGCTGGAAAGTACGTTCGTCTGAACTTCACTCTCACCTTTGTTCCTTCGGTGGAAGCCTCCCTTGCTAATCGGATCTCCTAAACAGTGATAATAATGTCCGAGTACGAGCTTCATCCCCCTCCCTTCTCCCCGTCGGATCTTTTTTTCCTGCCCCCTTTCGCCGGCCTTTTCTGACCTCACAATGCAATAGCTATGGCGAGTGGAATCGACAGGCGAGGAACGGAAAGTCTCGTATTTGAGCACCCTGATCAAACACACACAAGCCGTCAATGTGGTGCGGTTTAGTCCGAAAGGTACACGGCGACAGCCCCCTCTTCTACTGACAGTCTCTAACGTGACCTCTAGGCGAGATGCTGGCGTCTGCCGGGGACGATGGGAACGTCCTACTCTGGGTTCCCTCGGAATTACAAACACAAGGTGGTCTGGGGGAGGACCGGTCGGATGACAAGGAGACTTGGCGAGTCAAGCACATGTGTCGCTCGTCCGGCGCAGAGATCTACGATTTGGCGTGGTCTCCGGACGGAGTCTTCATCATCACGGGGAGCATGGATAACATCGCCCGGATTTACAACGCGCAAACCGGTTGGTAGACCCGGTTTGGACTCAGAAGACCTCACCGTTCGAAGAGAGTTGCTAATGGTCCGATTTCTCTCCAGGACAAATGGTGCGCCAGATTGCCGAGCATTCCCACTACGTCCAAGGTGTGGCATGGGATCCTCTGAACGAATTCGTCGCGACGCAATCCTCGGACCGATCCGTACACATCTACAGCCTGAAAACGAAAGATGGTCAATTCACCTTGACCTCGCACGGGAAATTCTTGAAGACGGACTTGCCGGCCAAACGGATTGCGTCGGGCAGTCCAGCTCCCCCAGACCTATCGATCCGCTCCCAGCCGGCCACCAGTAACGCGGCCGCCATCACCTCTCCGGCGCCGTCCACACCCGGCACCCCAATGGCCTCGAATCTGCCCATGGACCCTCCTCCCGTATCGCACAGTCGAAGATCCTCCTTTGGCTCCTCCCCATCAATCCGCCGATCTGCATCCCCTGCGCCATCCTTGCCGCTACCTGCAGTCAAGCCGCTGGAAGTACCGTCACCAAGCGTTATGAGCGGGCTAGGCGTCAAGAATGCTAACATCTACGCCAACGAAACCTTCACCTCATTCTTCCGGCGCTTGACGTTCGCCCCCGATGGAAGCCTGTTGTTCACGCCGGCCGGCCAATACAAGACGTCGCATTTGTCTGCCCCCGATTCGGCGAAAACGACGGATGAGATCATCAACACCGTTTACGTCTACACTCGCGCAGGCTTCAACAAGCCTCCCATCTCCCATCTCCCGGGCCACAAGAAGCCCTCGGTGGCGGTCAAGTGCTCTCCGGTGTTTTACACCCTGCGACAGGCCCCCCAGCCCGAGCGTCACATTACTCTGGATACATCCTCCGGCGAAGAGACCTTTGCCTCTCTCCCCGATCCCGTAGTAAGCTCCATGGAGCCGCCGCCGTCAGCGACTGCAACGAGTGACCCCCCGAGAAGCAACCAGACTCCCAAAGACGACAGCCCCTCTTCCACCCCTACGCCAACCCCCGTTTTCAGTCTTCCCTACCGAATAGTTTATGCCGTGGCCACTCAAGATGCCGTCCTGGTTTACGACACCCAACAGCAAACACCCATTTGCGTCGTGAGCAATCTGCACTTCGCCACCTTCACTGATCTGACATGGTAAGTTTGTGATTCGCTCCCGCACGAAATATGTTGCATCTGTTCTGATTCCAGCCAGGTCGAGTGACGGATTGACCTTGATTATGAGCTCATCGGACGGATTCTGCTCGTCGCTGTCGTTTGCGCCGGGAGAGTTGGGTCAGCCGTATAATGCCCCGACGGCAACGGCACAGCATGCCGGGATATCTGGCGTACAGGCGGCGGGTCACACCAGCGCGCCCCCGACGAAGCCGAGTCCAGTTGCGCCAGTCAACGCCGCCCAAGCGCCTCCGGCAAGCCCGGCGCGCTCGAATTCCGTGTCATCGGTTACCACGCAGCCCCCTGCGCAGCAAACGACGGGATCCGTGGTTAATAACCCAACGCCCACCCTGGGCTCCGTACCGCTCGTGACGGCGACCAACTCCTCGCAACCTCCCACACTTCCGCTGTCCACACCGCCGCAAACCCCCTTGTCTGCAGTCTCCCAGAGTGGGACAAGTTCAGTCAGCAACAGCGTCCTAGGCAAACGCCCGGGCGAGGCCGAAAAGGAGGAGGACCAAAATTCGGTTCCACAGGTACAACAACCGAAAAAGAGACGAGTAGCACCGACTCTCGTCTCAGCCGGGACCGGGAATGGGCCTTCTGCGGGCAACGAGTCGAATAACACGGACGTTGGTAGCTAAAATACTCTTTGCCTTTTTCTCTTTTTCTCTTTTTCTCTTTCCCCCTTCTCCCTTTTTCTCCCTCTCATTTTCCATGTCCCCTTTTTATACTCTTTAATCCTGCCCACCCGTTTGCCGTAGAACGGATGGATGACCCCCTTGAGGGACACGACGTTTTTTCCCTCTTGACCCGACGAGATGATTTATGGTGCTTCCTGTCTGTTCCGTAAGATCCCGATTTGATTGAATGTTTGATCCTACTGGAGTTTTTGATGATGAAAGAAGAGGATCTACCTACGTTTTTTAACCCTTGGGGATATCAGTAGAATCCTTTTTGCTTTCCCCCTTCTTGGCGCATTGTACTTTCTATCACTGCTTGTTTGCTATTTTATCTTTCTTGTTCTATTTAACCAGTGGTATTGTGCGTGCGTTGCTTCTGTGTCGGTGTGTTGATAGCCCTTGTCTACTATTTTTTTTTCTCTTTTCATTTCATTATATTCGGGGTCTGTGGCACTCGGATTCGCATGTGAGAGTATAATCATTAGCTTTTATCGATTTTCATTCGACTTTTTTTCCCCCTTCTTTGCTTTCTCTTGGACGCCTGATCTTTCCCCGTGATTCCCCTGCAATGATTGGCCTGCGAGGAAGATGTGGATGCCTGGTCTTTTTCTTTTTTTTGGTGGTTCTTGGGGTAATTGTAACTGAAAGTGCGTTGTGTTACGAACAACTAGCTTAGTTTAGTTCAGTTCATTTGGTCTAGATCAGGTCAGGTCAGGTCAGGTAGGATGTTTTGGTTAGACAGGTACCTACCTATGTACTTACCTAGGTAGGCAAGACAGAGCAGGGCATTCTATCAGCATATCATACCTTATCCTACGGTAGTTTAGAATGAACGAATATTGATTTATCATTGGTTTATCGCACTATCTAGAGAATAAGGAAATCATGGATGGACATAGATAATGACAGTTGGTGGATTACATGTGTAGTAGGTGGATGATGGTCCGACCGGTCAAGGCAGTAGTCTTTGAATCTGTGACAGGAATATCAAACAGAGTTGAACGTGTCTATGGACCCCGTCTTGTCTAGACATTTACGGATCTTTCGATATCAATGCATGCCCATGTCTTGGGGAGGGATGGAAGATGAGAAGGAAAATAGATGGGTGAAATGACAGGAATGCGTGTATGTATATGCCATGGTAAATAGGTGTAAGGTGGGCGTCAAAGATAGTAGGAAGGACAGAGGAAGAAGAACAGTTAAAGGTAGTAAGACAAGAGGACTGCGATGTAGAGATGGACAAGAGAGCGGAGATGGATCAGAATCCAGCAATGGGATGTCTGGGAACGGAGGTTTCACCGTCGATAGGCCCGTCGCCGTTCATAGATGGATACACATTCACGGCAGGATCGCAGAGAGCGCTTATGATGTCAGCCACGGTCATGTTTTTAGGTGGCACGGCCTTGGCCTCGGTGGCGTGTGTGCCGGTAGTGAGGGTCGACACGTTGCGGATGATGTTGGTGGATTGAAGGTGATTTGCCCAGCGGAACAAGGTTTCGTCGCCGCGGGTGCCGCCTGCGACGAACAGGAAATCCGGAATCTGTGGAAGTAGATCCAAGACGGACTCAGCCGCTTTCGATTTTTTCCCGTCCAGAGGCTCAACACCCACTGCGCCCTCGGTGAGAACAACTCGGATAGCATCGCTGCCACGGGTGCCGTTGATTTGGTCTGCAAGATCAGACGCTTGTCGGGCAGCGATGTCGGCGTCATGGGCGTTGTTATACCAGAAAGTCAGAAGGCAGTGTCCCTCTTCTATATGACTACCTTCGGTTCTTTCGTGGTAGTATTGAATCACCTTGCGAATGCCGCTTCGCCAGTCTTTTGCCTTTTCAAGGTCAATCATTGACTTCCATTGAGAGGACCCGATGTCACGCCTGAAGCACCCATTTTCAGCAATGTAACCAACACGATTGGAAAAGTCTTTCAACATCGATTCCAGTTTGTCGGGGCTCTTGCTACTCGTGACATAAACCACGTTTTTGGGGTCCTCGATGAGACGCTCGAGCAAAGAGAGCGAGTCCTGCGAAAATGACGAGGCAGTGGAGTTTCCTCCTTCGTCCTCAACAAAGAAGAGTCGCAAGCCGGATCTATCGTAAGCTTCTTTCAGAGTAGATACTGAGAGTGGTGCCACTTGGCTAAGCTCGCGAGATAATTGTGAGCTGCGTGCTTCCGCCAAAGCTGTCTTGAAAGAATTACACCAGGACACTGCAGTATACGGGGCTTTTCGCTCAAGTAAAAAATCCCAGTTGCGCTTTTTCTGCTCTGGCGACATCTCCAGCGATTTGTTGATCATGTCTGCAACCTCCTTGTAGCTCCAGGGATTGACAAGCAGATCGTGCCCATGGAAGATAGATGCGCTTCCGGTGAATTCGCTCAGAATAAGGGAGCCATGTTGCTGAGCTGTTATTCTACCATCCTGACAGTGGAGAAAATCATGACTCTGAAGGTTCATGCCTTCTCTCAGACTAGTCACCATGAAGATCTCGGCCACGCTCATGAGAGCCAGGAACTGGGAGTAACTAATATCTTGCCTCAAGAGTACCAGTGGCTGATGGGTAAGTGTTGAGTAGGTGGAGTTAATTCTCATGGCGATTTTTGAGACCTGGGCTTCCAATTCAGGCATTTCAGATGCGGAAGCGATTTGAACGAGGATGACCTGGGCAGATTAGTATCTTTAATACCGAAACTCCATAACGCTGTGTGAAGAAACTTACATTTCCTCTCCATTTAGGGTATTTCTTCAAGAAAAGCTCGTATGCCATCAGCTTGTGCTTGACGCCACCAGGGGCATCAAGTCTGTCCCGCGCGATGATCAAATGCTTGTCCTTGTATCTGGAGAAAATGCTCGCGATCCAATCCTTCACTCCAGCGGTTTGGCGTAAGTCATCAAGGGAATTTATATCAATACCTATGGGCAGTTTCTTCAAGTGCACGAAACGATCTGGCAGCTGGACTCCGTTGACCGACACTTCCAAACTTAGAAGTCGACTGCACGACTGGAGAAAATGGTAGCAGTATTCGTCTGTTTGGAAGGCAACAAGATCGGCGCCAAGAAGACCATTGAGAAGCGCATTTCGCGCAGAGAGACATCGGAAAACTTCCGAAGAGGGAAATGCGGCATGCATGAAAAATCCGATTTCTGCACTGGGTAACATTTCTCGCAGCATGGCTGGCAGGAGCAAAAGGTGGTAGTCTTGGACCCAAATGGTGTCCCCCGGGCGCCAATAGACCGCAATGGTCTTTGCAAATGCCTCATTGACCTTGACGTACTGCTTCCATGAGTAGTCGTCGTACTCAGTATGTCGGGGACTCTCCTGCATCTGATAATGGAAAGCAGGCCACAAGACCGAGCGGCAGAAGTGCGAGTAATGCCCCTCGAATTCGTGGTCACCAACAAACACCGTGATCGATCCATAGTCATCTTCCAGCGTCTCCGAGATATTTGAGCGCGTTTCATCCTTCAGTGAGTCGGTTGGCATACCCAGAGTGCCAACCCACATCTTGTCCGATAGGATGCCTGCTTTTTCGGCGGCGTTGACTGCATTCCGCAAGCCACCATTGCCTTGCTCGGCTGCTTTCACAGTCCAGTCAACATCGGAGAGCAGAGCACGCAGGCTCGCATGATCCTCTTCCGAGTCTGGCGTTTCTAGAGCAGCTTCGAGATAAGTCGACTGGTCTATGTCTCCCAAGCCAAAGCGGCTCAGGATTGAGCGGTCGGGATAGTTGGACGCCTTGGAACGTGGCTGGTTGAATTTACGGCTCTGACCCCAGGAAACAATTGGAGGGTCGCTGGGGCCCGGGCCGTTGGGATCATCGGCAGATGGGACTTCTTTTGCAGAGTTTGACACATATGATTTAAAGATCTTTTCGTCTTCGGTGGTCGCCCCAGGCGTCAGTGACTGACTGAATGTTTTTGAGTGACGTCTTCGGTGGGACTCCGCTAGTCTTCCTATGATCTGATCGTCCGCATGAGAGTGGCTAGCGGAGGATTTGCGGCGCTTCAGCTCCGTAGCTTGAAAGTTGATAGTATAAGGAAGAAAACTGTTCCAAGAAAACCATTAGCCTTTGTCGTTTCGAAAAAGAAAAGATGGGACTTACAGAGATGCAATGAAGACCGTCATTTGGTCGAAGGGTTCGAAAGGCGGGCCCCTTCGATGCCAAAAAAATCTATCTACAAGAGGAAGGAAAAATGGAAGGAGACCATGCAAGTACAACGAAGTCCGTAGCGATTGATAAAAATAAAAATAAAATAAATATGAGGAGCGGCTTTCTTATCCGGATCAAGGGATGCTACTGTCCACGCGCATGAAAAAGGCTGTCAGTCATCCAAGGGCCTGCAGACCAACTAGTTGGGGTCAATGATCCTAATAGATCCGACAGTTAGACATCTTCGCAGCACAATTTAAAGTGACCCACGGACCGATGACGTTCATGATTGGGCCATGGAACTGGGGAGCTGTAGCCAAAGCATATGAAAGGAAAATTTAGAACCTTCTGGCCTTTGCACGGGGGAGAGACAGAAAGAGGGGAACAAAGCGAGGCGATATTTTTCTGGGCGAACCATTGTGGCATGACAGTCTGGCAGTTGTTCGTATTGGGCACGGAGTGAGACTTGATGGAATGGGGAGGAAGCGCGACTATTGGCCTCCGCCCTGATGCCAGCGGCCTGCATAAAATGTGAGAGATAAACTTACCTACTCTAACTTGGATACATGGATCTTATTGCTCGATCCATTAAATCATACCGCCGTAAGAAGAAATAACGACATCGGCCCAAGAACAGTAATGACGTGAGGGACCCGAGGGGATCCACGGGTTTATCCACCCGCACTAAAGATAGCGCCAACCGCGAGGAGTCACTAACCTTGCTCTGACCAAGGGGGGAACCGGAGAAAATCAAGAAATCCCGGATATGGCCAGTAGGCTGGAATCATCGAGTGGTAAGGCGAAGGGGATTTGTCGAGGATGGGGCGGAAGGGACACGGTTGAGGCGGGAATAAGAGAGAAGGAAGAAAGTTGAGGGGCAAAAGAATCGAAGGCGACAAAACAAAGCCGGAAACGTGAGGAAGTGGATACCTGAAAATTCAGGACAAGCTCCATTATCACCGCCACGACGTGCTATCTTGACTGGACACCAATTGACTTCGCTCTATCAACCTCGACTCCTCCACTCGCTTTTACTTACCCCTTCCCAATTCCTGCCCGAACCGCTCCGGCTCTCGTCAACTCTCAATATAAAACCTCAATTATCCTATCCACCCTCGTCTCAATTGACGTATTCCAATCTCGAAGCGGGGCAGTCGGTCTCGGTGGCTCTTCCTGATGCCCTCCTCCATCTCTCCTCCGCCTACTGCGGGCGATTCTCGCCTGCTGATTGTTTCGAATCGGCTGCCTATCACCATTCGCCGGTCCGAAAGTGGCAAGTATGAGTTCTCCATGTCCTCGGGGGGCCTTGTCACTGGACTGAGTGGTCTGTCTAAGACCACCACCTTCCAGTGGTATGGATGGCCGGGGCTGGAAGTGCCGGAAGACGAGGTCCCATCTTTGAAAGATAGACTAAAAGAGGAATTCGGGGCCACCCCGGTGTTCATGGATGACAAATTGGCCGATCGTCACTACAATGGCTTTTCCAGTACGTGCACACCCACCCACATGTTCATCCATCCATCCATCCATCCATCCATCCCTCTCCCCTAGTCCGTCGCTTCCTCTCGTCGTCAGTCATGCATACATGCAGACATGCATCTGTACCTAGGCATCACTCACGATACCTGTCGGATTTTACCCCTCCGTCGGCGGCAGGATCGCCTAACCACCAGCCACTTGGCAGCCAACCACAGGTCCTTCCAAGTACATCTACTAACATGACCTGTCAGACTCGATATTGTGGCCCCTCTTGCACTACCACCCCGGTGAGATAGTGTTCGACGAGGCTGCCTGGGACGCCTACCGTGAGGCCAACGGTCTATTTGCCGAGACGATTGCCAACGAAGCTCGCGAGGGCGATCTGATCTGGGTCCATGACTACCACCTCATGCTTCTGCCGGAGCTACTGCGCGAGCGACTTCGCCAGTTGGGCAAGCAGAACATCCGCATTGGATTCTTTCTGCATACTCCCTTCCCCAGTAGCGAGATCTACCGCATCCTGCCCGTGAGGTCCGAGCTGCTTCACGGCGTGTTGCAATGTGATTTGGTCGGCTTTCACACTTATGACTATGCGCGCCATTTCCTGAGCAGCTGCGCTCATATTCTGTAAGTGTCACTATGAGCTTGGCCCTACGCGCGCTTTCCGCGTCAACTAACATGTCTGTCTAGCGGACTGGTGACGACTCCAAGCAGTGTCCAGCTGGAGGGGAGATCTGTCCACGTCAGCGCATTCCCTATCGGAATCGACCCTGAGAAGTTTACCGAAGGTCTGAAGAGCCCCAAGGTGCAGAACCGCATTGCAAATATCGAAAGCAAGTTCCAGGGGACCAAGTTGATGGTCAGCGTGGATCGTCTCGACTACATCAAGGGTATCCCTCAGAAGCTGCATGCCTTGGAGGTGTTTCTTTCCAACCATCCCGAATGGGTTGGCAGGGTTGTACTCGTCCAGGTGGCAGTCCCGAGTCGTCAGGATGTCGAAGAATACCAGAACCTGCGGGCAGTGGTGAACGAGCTCGTCGGGAGAATCAACGGTAAATTCGGTAAGTCCACACCGCCGCTCTTCGCACGACTACTCAATACTGATAGATATGAATAGGTACTGTGGACTACATGCCCATCCACTTCATGCACAAGTCCGTCAGCTTCGACGAGCTGATCGCCTTGTACTCCTCCTCGGATGCCTGCATCGTGTCCTCCACCCGAGATGGCATGAACCTGGTGTCATTCGAGTACATCGCGACCCAGGAGCGACGCAAAGGCGTCTTGGTCCTATCCGAATTCGCTGGAGCCGCGCAGAGTCTGAACGGAAGCATCGTCGTCAACCCGTGGAACACGGAAGAGCTGGCCAGCGCATATCACGAGGCCGTCTCGATGACCGAGGACCGTCGGGCCAACAACTTTGCCAAGCTCAACAAGTACATCTCCAAATACACCAGGTAGGTGCTGACTTCCTCGCCTCAGATCGGGCTCAACAAAAGAGATCACAGCTAATGCGTGGCAGTGCGTTTTGGGGCAAGTCCTTTGTGGCCGAGCTCTCACGATAACCGGCTAGCGTTGGGCTTCCATTCCCCCTCTTTCCTTTCTAGGTGTTCATAGGCGAGTCGAGTTGGTCATAGACAATTAGTAGAGCGGGCAATACATCAGCGGAAATAGATCCCACAGCCAAGTCTTGCAGCAGAGGGTCTGGGTTGGGCGATAATTTTGGTCCATTGATATTGAATGCATGTCGCATACACCACGAGGATCTGTCTGCCTGTTTGAGATGAGTGCATAGTTTCTACATACAAAAGAATCTAGAACCTGCGAGCAATATAATAATAATTCCTGAACATACAAGTCTAGGCCCTTGGAATCCACCCTACGCCTGCATGACTGCCTTGCCGCACGCAAGATTCCTTAAGAGCATGCGGAGAAAGGGACATCAGGCCTGACTGACACCGCATGGAGTAGCATGGCCTGGGGAAAGCACCAGCGTTCCCATGACAGTCAAGGCCAGGCCCAGACTCAAAAACTCATTGACAGTCACGCCCACGCCGCAACGTTAGTCGAGTCGGCATTCAACAGCCAGCAGCAAGGAAACAACGCCAATTCCCACCGAATCAGTAACACTTAGCCACTAAAAGCTCGAGAAGGAGAAAAAGGCCGTAAATTCGCCCAGTCTAGACCCATGGAACCCCCATTCCATCCATCCAGGGCCCTGCGCAGAAAACACGGAGAACTCCGTCGACACTCACAACCACATATTCCGAAACCAGTAACACCAACTATCCAGGACCAGAGATACCTCGGCATCACAAACCTACCAGCATTCCAGCCCATGCAGCTCCAGCCCAGCCCGAACTCAATTGAGACCTGTCTCGGATACTACATAAACACACACCCAAAGGGCGGAATGGATCATCCAAGATCGCCAAGTAGGATGGAATGCGCAAGAGCCCGTACCTTACACCACCGGCAGGCACCATACCAGATCCAGACCCATCGCTAGGGGATGGGATGATCGGATTGCGATAATTCTAGAACTGTCCGACAGACTCGGTATGCCTATCTGTGCCCTGGATTAGTCATTCATTGCTCATGATTATGCGTATGGCGTATTTTCGCTCTCCCTTGTGCGGATCGTGAAGTCATCGTGGTGTCTAGGGTAGTATTCAGGCCTCGGCTCGCAACCCCCTTGATTCCGAGGTATCATTCATTCATTCATCGGGCTTGTCGGTCGGCCGAGCGTCGGCGTCGGATTCGTACTTGCGTGCAGGATCGACTCTCGTCTGCTTATCAAGCGAGTATGTTGGACTATCTAGTATCCTGGTCCGGTTTGACTTCATCAAGGGCTTTTGTGGATGGTACTACCTTAGTAGCAATATGAAATATATGTCTATCGAGTACTATAGATAGGGGTCGCATATAGTAGTAATCCTTTGGATATTCTGGAATAAATACCTCAGCGAGCTAACATAATAAACTTTTACTTCCTCAGACCATCCGCATGATGTAGAAATATATCTGTGTACTAAAGCAGGCAAGGCAGATAATGTAGCCACCCCCCTCGATGCATCGAATCTTTCCCTGCATGAACAAGCCCACCCAAACTCAAACACGAAGGTAAGCTTAAATAAAAAACGAACTCTACTTGAATTCGCGGGGATATTGACTCTCCATCGGTACGGCACTAAACCCTATGACCGATTGGAATTCGATATTAACCGTGGCGGATACGGTCGATCCTACCAGAATTCACCTGGTATATAGGTACTATATCCGGAGTACGCAAAGAACGATGGGTTAGATATCCGGACAATCCGCAAGTACTCTCGCTACCTACGGAGTACTACCCCGTAGGCTAGGCAAACACCTAAAGCCTGATAAACGTATTACGACCGCTAAACAAACCAACACCCACTCGGTGCTCGCAGCTAGTCAACTCCGGACTCCGTCCCCCAAACCAGACCGCCAAACCATCTCCACCAAGATTTCCACCAGAACACCGCCCAGGATCGGAAGTGTGGCTGGGCTGGAAGATCATGGACGAGAGCCTGCCAATGGCAAGCCGAGGTCGGGCCGGAGCCGCAATTACCGAAGAAGGAATGGGTTGCTGTGTTTGGGCGGCGGTTCGAACCTGGTTCAAGGCGTGGACTAGGCCCGAGTTGGGAACTTGGGGGGGATCCTACGGGGTATGAAAATTGGGGTACAAATTTGGGCCAAGGGGGAGGTGTCGATTCACGATTGTAGGGGATAGAATGGTAGCCTGGTTAGGCAGGAAGATTAGTATGATTAACGGGGTGCAGAGTATACTCCTAGTGATCTGGAGAAGGTCAATGGATTGTCGAACTGATGAACGGTGACTTGATACATAGATAAATAACTCTCCTCTAAAGTGATGACATGACGTGATGGCAACGAGCCCAAGACCCTGAGCCGCGAACACCCAAAAAGAAGGGCAGGCGGGAAAGTCAAAATGGCAGCCAAAGCTGGGAGTGGGAGAGATATTCGCGCCAAGCCCCCCTGGCCACGACAGGGTCTGAGCCGGGCCAGGCTCTCCCTCTCAGGGTGGTCGTCGTCAACCGGGTTTAGTGCGGTGGGTCCCGAGGGCTGCTCTAGCCAGATCTTGTCCCATGCCAAGACGGACGCTTGCGCGTCTCCGCCACCATCGTCCCATCTTGGAAGGATGCCGTAATCCTGTAACGCCGAGTCCATCAGAGAACCACGCCCCTCCCCATTGTTCATCCGCACCGCGCCCTTTATTTACTGCGCTGCCCGACAATCATAGTGGACTCATGCAGTCGCTCGTGGTATGTGCTTGCCCATTACATGAACCACCTGCATACATAACTGCGATGGGGTTCGCCTTGTCGGTGGCAATTCCGTGAGGGATAGAAACTTGATAAGGCGCTACATCATCAAACTGTCAATCAAGTGGGGATGCATTCATCAGAGTGCATGAAGCCGCGCGTGTGGTGTGTGTGGTTAGGGGCGACGGTGTGTGTCCGGAGTAGCTACCGGCGAGCTTTATGGGCACCTCACCCGCCTTAGGCACACGGCATAGGGCTCTCTTATACTTTGTATGGCCGGCGACCGTTTGGTATGCAGACAAGACGGTGTGTGTCAAAATATTAAAGAGTGGGGATGTCGGGACTGGGAAATTTGGGAGAGAAACCGAATTATTCCTGGTTTGGTGCTTGGACTCCCAAAGGACTGGCCCTAGAACCACAACCTGGAGTCAATCAACCGCTTCATAATCGAGATTTGACTTTGAGTCAATGGGAGGACGGCGTAGGGGGGTAGAAGAAAAAAAAAAATGGGAACCTGGTCCAAGTGCCAGTCAAAGTTTCCCTCTAATCAAGATCACCACGATCTTCATGGCCATCTGACCTGCACCGGAACTTCCTGGTTCCCATCCAGGGTCCTCTCGCTCTTACCCCCTGGTCCTATCGCGCGTAGCCAGAAATTGGGCTGTTGGTTCTCCGTCAACTAGATTATGTCAACGATGGCGTATAACTAACTGCCGATGTGCTGGGCATGAACTCTTTTTTCTTCTGGTGGTCCTTCCATAAAGGACGCCAACTAAACCTGGTCCATCTATCTAGGTACTCCGTATGCCGTGTGCCGTATTGCGTATCGCCTGAATTTTCATCCCACCGCAATATTATTAATGCACCGGATGATCCATCTGATAGTTAGTTCAGGACAGGTCAGGTGAGCCATGATTCGTCAGCGGTTGAGGATGCGTGCGTGGAAGAAGGCTGCTAGACAGTTGAAAACCGGGTCAAGGCCGAATAATATTGATAGGGCTAACGGTTCAGCCCGCTCTCAATTATTTCCTTCTTCATCTAGAAACTGTCGGCACTCGGGTCACGGGTGAAAAGTGGGAACTGGGAATTGGAAGGCAGTGATTCAGAATGGTTTGAGTTAGAGGAGAAAAGGATTGACTGGTTTGACAATTGACACATCGTTCCCCTTTCCAAACTTCAGATAGACACTTGCCGCGGCATTGGGCAAGAGCAGTGCACGGTTGCGCCTCGTAAGTGACCAAATGGTGACACTTTAGTCCGTTGATCAGAGAGCCGCGTAAGACTGACTAGTTAACGTTAGCTGACGTCGAACAGAAGTCAATTAGTGCCCCAATAGCCGGAGAAAAAAAGGGTAGGGCAGGATATGGGCAACGCCATCGGTTCGGGAAGTACCTATCACAACGCAATGGGAGGATGACAGCTTGCGTAGTCGTGTAGGCAATTACCACTGATGGGTGAGAGATAATCAGCTCCAAAAGTCTCCAAGAAGTCTATCAACCACCTTTCTCCGGGACACCACGCGGACGGGGCCAAGCTTTTCAGCGATTCATCAGCAGGTGGAGAGGAAACACCACGCTGTTCGTCCTCCAGGGCATCACGATGGGAGGCATCGCGGCGTTCAGGGGGATCCTGTTGGCCCAACCGGTGGAGCCAAGAGATAGTATCACGAATCTTGTCGGAAGAAATCGCAGGCAAAATTACCGGATTGGGGGAAGGGAGAGGGCGGCGGAGGGGATGATTTGGATTCAGTCTGCAGGGCCAAGAGAAGTTGACGACCGAGCCAGGAAACATCATCATTACGAGTTTACAGGACGGGGGCTAGTGCGGCACTAAAAGGTTCGAATTCTTCTAAGAATAAAATCCAGTCGGGCTGTCTGTGGAAGCAGGACGTGCGTCGCCTTTGCAACCGAAGCGGTTTAGCAGCGGAGAGCCAAAGGGTCTTGGCCATGGTACAGTTAACTGTTTCGGGGCGGGACACACGCGGCTTGCGGTGCTGGCGCGGGGCTCTGATTGGGGCGAGCCGTCCAAGGCTGACGACGCTTCGCCCTCGCTGCTGGCGTGGAAAAAAGAAAATGACCTTTCTTTTTTCCTTTTGATTTTTGATTTTTGATTTTTGATTTTCTTTTTCTTTTCTTTTCTTTTTTTTTTTTTTTACCTCCTACGTACGACGACCACCGAAATACTAGTCGCGGGTTCTCTCTTGTCGCTCCTTCCTAGCCCGACTCTCTTACTCTCTTCTCTCGCACTTCCTCCTCCTTCTCACCTCTCACTACTCTTACTCTCACTCTTCCCTTCCTCCCCCCCCTTCCCTTTGGGATTCCCTCTCCTCTCCTCCACCCCCCTCAATTTCCATACTAACTTCGAATAATTAACTCGAAACCATTTGCATCTGCTAAATCTGTCGCCTTTACTTGGTAGCGGATTTATCCAACTTCCTTCCTTTCGTTAATCATACCCCGTCGAGGTTGCTCGGCGACTATTGCGTCGACAAATCTGCCAAGCGTGGCGACCGCTTAGCTGGGCTGTGCGACCATCAACCACCCTCCGGACCCTGCGATTCGAAACCAACCCTGGCTTCGAACTTCCACTCCTCGTCCGCCCAACTCACCGTTCTCTCGTTTTATTTCGGTCGACAAGATTGGGAAATCACGACTCGGTGATTGAAAGGGAAATCCACCAACCATTGGGCGTTCGATTCAACCTGGAGCTTCACATCCGACCGCACCTGGTGTCGCTCACCCCCCTACCGCATCATGGCAGACAGTAGACACCACCACCACGCCCGCCGGGCGCAACAGTCCGAAAACTTCGATGCCTCCGAACTCACTCGATCCTTCGAGCAGCTGATGCGCAACAAGAGGTTCAATCGTCTTCAGGAACAGTCGAGAAGCCGGTCTCGCACGCAATCACCCTCGCCTGGCCCCCAGATGTCCTCTCCCGGTCCCTTCCCTCCTCCCCCCTCGCGAGCACCACCACCACCCCCGACCGCCGGTTTTCAATCCCCCCAGCTTCCGCCGCAGCCGTCGACTCCTCGGTCTTCTCTGCTGCGAGGTCTCCCAATCGTCCCGTCACCGCCCCAGGACCCTGCCGCCCTGAAGTTCCGGAATCTCCTTCACGTCTTGTCGGTGACGCCGACCAAGTATGAGAACCCTGGCCTCCTCGACGAGGCGCTCGCCCTTATCCCTCTGGATAGACTGTATTCGGAGGCAGAGGAGGAGAGCCAGATCATGCAGGCCCAGGCTGCTAGCGTAAGGGGTAAACCGGAATGGGGCTATCAGGATTGCGTCATCAGGGCTTTGTTGAGGTTTGTCCCACCTAAGCTTCCCATTGTTTCGATTATGTGTCAACTAACAAACTATATCTTCAGGTGGTTCAAGCGATCCTTCTTCCAGTTCGTCAACAACCCGGCCTGCGCGCAATGCCTCACGCCTACCATCGCCCAGGGTATGACGCCGCCCACACCGGATGAGACTGCTCGTGGCGCTACACGAGTCGAGCTCTACCGATGCTCCGAGGTGACGTGTGGGGCTTACGAGCGATTCCCCCGGTATTCCGACGTTTGGCAACTGCTGCAGACTCGACGAGGACGTGTTGGTGAATGGGCAAACTGTTTCAGCATGTTCTGCCGAGCGCTCGGCGGCCGCGTGCGATGGGTGTGGAACTCGGAAGATTACGTATGGACGGAGGTGTACTCGGAGCACCAGAGACGCTGGGTGCATGTTGACGCCTGTGAAGAGGCCTGGGATCAGCCTCGTCTCTATGCCGAAGGTTAGTTTCTTGTGCAACCCTCCATTAGTGGATGTTGGTAAGCTAACCCGATTGTTTGCTACAGGCTGGGGTCGAAAGATGTCGTACTGTGTCGCTTTCTCGATTGAAGGCGCTACCGACGTCACTCGCCGGTATGTTCGAAGCCCGACGAAGCACGGAGCGCCGAGGAACCGTACCACGGAGGAGGTGCTTCACTGGGTCATCCTTGAAATCCGAAAGAAGCGCCGCGACAACGGGTCCAAGACGGATCAACGACGATTGATGAAGGAAGACGAGCGGGAAGAGAGAGAGCTGCGCGCATACACCGCGTCCGCCCTCGCTGCTGAGCTCAACAACCTGATGCCCCGGAACCACGCCAGTGGACGATTGGACGAACAGAAAACGCCCACGCGGCAGGACGCGGATTGGGTCAGTGCGAGACAGGCTGGGCAACATGGCCCAGACCGGTCACAGGACGGGCGGTAACGACGTGTAACGACTCAAGTCTTTTTGCTTCAGTTCAACGCATTTGATTGCTAGGGCAAACTCCAACCCTGCCACCGATCTCTTGCGAAAACAAAAAACCCCTACGACGAGCACGACGAGGTTAAAAAAAACAAGCATGACTGGGCCGCTTTCTACCATCCACTCAAGGGTATGAGGTACGATCGCGGGATCAGTCCGTTAATTTCAGATTCATCCCATCGACACTGTACGCTTTCATGACACGCACCTAGTTTGTGTGTTCATGCCGCGGCGCGTCGATCAAACATGATGAAATCCGACTTAATATCGTCAGCCCGCCTGGCGGGACGTCATCCCCCTCCCGACCGAGGAAGGGTGTCTATACTCAAAAACACCCCAGCGTTAGGACGAGTGTCCGACAGACGCTGGGCATATTGAGCCCCAACGAACACAAGTTCGTCGATTCGATTTTGAAGAAACGATCTCATCGATCAAATTCTACCAACACTATACCATCCATCTCTCTTTTTGGATTTTCCTTTTTCTCTTATCTGGATACACTCTTTGGCAAAAGAAACTCTACAACTTTCGCTACTCTCTCATTTCTGTTTTTCTTTTTTCTTTTTATATACCCATTTGGGTCATGACGGGCATCCTGGAAACGGAATTCTTAATTGGTTATACAATTTTGGACATGTGGCAGGGTTGGAAAGCTTCATGATTACTTTTCTTAATTTTTTTAATTCTTTAACTTTTTCTTCCACCCTTTTTTTTAACACTTTTTGTGGAAAACATCTACATAAGCCATGTTGTATGAGACGGGAAGTTTCGGTCGGCGCGGCATCTTGGAATTCCCTTTTTGTTCTGACTCCTGGCGATCTCAGATACTGTCAATTAACCAGTTTCATCTGACCAACGAAACAAACTTTTGAGTTGGAATATTTTGGACACACGTTCTTCTTGATCATTGGACCATGCGGTGCATGCGTATGGAGTAGTACCCTTGTAAGCCTGACTACGCAGTACAAACATACATCAGTCGAATACTACGCTGATGAGGGTAGTATTTCGGCATTCCTGGGCCAGAATACCTTACCACCTCAGTTCGGATGATCAGCCCGATTGTTTGCACTTCGAACGTCTGATCGGCATGACTTGAATGCATCATCGTGACGCCTTTTTTGCCTTGCCGGCTGTCTGCCCTGGCATCTGGCCCGACCATCCTGTTTCCTCCGGGGAGTCTGCACCAGAGGGGAGGCTTCATCGGATAGATTAATCGACCTGACGATTGATGCATTGATTGATTGATACCACCGTGTCGGCTCCGAATCGACGCGCCCACACCAACCCCCTCCCTCACCTGACCACGGCCCCAATCCCGAAACGGCACCGGCGCTGCAGATCCCGCCGACTCCTGCTAAAAATAACCCCTGCGATTGCCCGAACGGGACTAGCGCCCCGTCCATCGCGGGGAAGAAGCGCAGCCGGCGGCCAATCGACGCGGGCGCCTGAGGCCTGAAAGGACCCTCGGAGTCGGGGCCTTCAGGTTTCGAACGCTAAGAAACCCGTCAGACAAGGCCAGATTGGATCCGGCACCACTTTGCGCCTATCGCAATTAAACCAAGGAGGAGAAGGGGGAGGAGACCCTGAGTCCAGTCCCGTCCGGGTCTGGTCTGTCTGGTCTAGCTCGGTCCCTGAATTACGGGTACTGTTAGTGTTAACAATTAACCTGGTTAGGTTTACTGTTAAGGGTCGATTCTTGTTTCTTTTAACCGTCCGGTTGATTTTAACTGCCCAGCACAGACAGATATTTACCCCAACATTCATCTCTGCCAGATATCTCGCAGATCCATCCTCGTCTGTACCTAATTCATCTCCGTCGATTCTCGTCTCCTACATTATGTACCCATATGTCCCGTAAATTCGGTTCCATGTCAGTGGATGGCTAGCCCCGGTGGTCCGGCGGATGGAGCGGACGTGGTCGTACGGACGACCCGGTGGCTCTAACACTTTAGATCCTGGATCGCGCGGTTTTCTGTCTCAGATTATACGGTTCGTGGAATTGCGGTTTCGTTCCTGACCCGGACTTCGACTACGGAGTCTTATTTTTTATTTTTTAATTTGCGATGCCTTGTTTCTTTGATTTCTTGCCCCGTTCGGAGTTCTACTCCGTTCGATACCTAACAGTGAGAAGTCTGGTCAGCTAGATTACCAGTTACTGTTAGGGAGCGACAGGAGTACGGAGAGTCCACGAGGGCCTATCACGCGCTGAATCGCGTAAATCGCGTACTACTCCGTATTTTCCTAGTGGTTGTCTCACTCCGTACAGGGATGATGCATTTGTCCGGATTGACCTGACTCGGGGGTTACTAGGTACGGAGTCCTTCAACGTACGGCGTAACTAGTTTGTTTACATGTAACTTGCGGGTATATCTGTATACAAGTAAATAAATCTTTGCCTACTTGGTTTGATCTCTTACTAGAGCTTATTCGTGTTAGCGCTCGGAGTAGGCCTGAGGCGCCAGACACCGAGTCATGCAAACGGCCGTTCGCTGTGGCGGTCATCTGAAGGCCGACAGCTATTCCACCCTTCCGTCTCTTAGATAGTCGAATAGCAATCAAGGAAAGCGTTTCTCGAAGCCATACGAATGGACTTTTATTGCAATCTATCAAGAGATTGCCTAACTTATCCACTTCTACAGATGGTGCCTTTTATTCCAACTTACCCCGCAATGTAGGGCTACTACACTAATCCATATCGAGCCCACCACCCAGGCCAAAGATAATCTTTCTCCGCTATACAAATCCTCTCCTACTCGGCATGTCCAGAATAAGATCATGCCGAGGATGCCTTTTCAACGCCAGCACTGACATGGCCCCTGCCTGATGCGCCAAGGGCATGAACAAAGAGAACTTATGACCTTTGTGTAAGCACTAGTCGTTGCTAGGGCATCTCAGAGCCTACAACACCATGGCGACTAATTAGTAATATCCAACAGTGAGGCTTGAAAGCTTCATATGTCAAGATCGAGCCTGAGGCAAATATACGCCGTGCAGTCTAAGCTTCGCTTTGACGATGCAGCCCTCGCGAAAGCGCAAAGTGACCTCCTGCATTCCTTGCTACAGTAAAAAGCAAAAGGTATCAGCTGATACATCACTTGCCATAGCACGAATGAACGTGGTCTTGATGGCCAATATCCTGACGTTTCCAGTGTAATCGTCAACACCCCTGTGATCACTGCACTCGCCGTCGTCGTCCGGAAGACTGTGCATACTATCCGTCGGAAGATGTCGAATCTACCATTAGCGCCAATCCTCCATTGCAGACTGGTAATAGTCACGAGGATCATAGTCAAGAACATGCCCGAGTCGCTGGTGTCGACACTTTGTCTGAGTTAGAGACGATCAAATGGCCAGCAGATAATGCAATGTCTTCGTCTCTAGCGGATGTCTTTGGCTATTCCGAAGACAGCCAAAGCAACACGGTAGCCCTTGTGCGGAGAGTAAGCTATGCCATATTTTCATCTGAACATAGATAACGTATTTTTTAACAGGTAGAGCAACGCGATGAAGACGACCCAACTCGCAGTCGGGATTTGGCGTTTCCAAATGATCTGGAAATCCAGCAATGCCTCGATAAGATCCCCGACGGCCCCATCTTAGACTTCTTGATCAAATATTTTGCGCGCGAGGTGAATTGGTACGTAAGTACTGCCGAAAACGCCTGCCAAACCCAATAATAATAGATACCTAGGATGGACCAGCTTGTTCATCTTCCGTGGATTCTAGCCCAATACCAACATTGGCGGACCATCAAGGTACCATCATCTATCTTCGAGATCGAATTCACCGTTCTCACCCTGCGAATCTGCTCCTATACATCTGAATTCCTCCCTTCTCCGTCCTGCACCGTTGAACAGATCCAGGGCATCTCGTTGGCAGACATTCGCCCCGCCTGCGACGAAGCGGCGGACCGTCTTGCGGAACTCTGTCTTCGTCTCGATTCGAAGGGGAGTCTTCTCCGCGTCCAGCACCTAGCATTTGCTGGATTAAAGGCCAAGTGCGAAGGACGGATGAGCGACTTCCGAAATGCCCTGAGGTCTGCGATTCAGGTGGCTTAAAGGATTGGTGTCGATAAAGATGCCTCTCGAATGGTTCAGGAGATGGGCGAGTTGGAGAAAGAAACGCGGCGCAGAGTATTCTGCAACCTGTACACATGGGATAGGTGAGTACAAAAGTTGTTTCCCTACAGTCGTATCTGACCGACAAGCCTGTGCTAACTATCTTGCAGTCATCTATCCCGACAACTAGACCGGATTCCTATTCTCCCGGGTGTACTAGAGCCAGAGAACATGCCGCGTACGCACCTTGGTCCCGATACAAATGACAGCGACGCGCATGGTCTCGACGGATTCACCTCGCGCATGCTACAAGCCCGACTGGCTAATTTCTGGAAACGCACGGGTCCAGCATTGGGGTCTACATACGACATGCCCGCCGCCGAAGAGCGATACGAAAAACTATGCGCCGAGTTCCTACCCACGCTACCATCCGCGTTCGCCCTCCAGGAACCAAACAAGCAGTGGGACCAGCGCCTGCCCAGACTTCCGCAACAACGAGAGATGCTGTTTATCTCTATATTCGAGTCTATTTGCTATAACTTCCAACCGGTCCTTCTGCTCGAGATAGCCCAGCAGGACCTTCCTAGGTACAAGCAGGTCTTGGTATCATCGCAACGAAAAGCGTTGGCTGTTTCTGCGCTCTATGTTCTGCAGGGGGTCTCTCGTCTACATTCGCTGATTGGGAGCGCTCAAACGCGGTATACCGGAATCATTCAGCCGACGTTTGAAGCCGCGGTGCTGTTGGTCTCGCTGTGTATAGATCAAAGCTTCCCAGGAGCTGAGGGTTTCGAAAACCAAGACCTTGATCCTAGGATTAGCACCAGGGTTGATCCTCTACGAGCCGGCATTGTGAATCTGAGACGAGACGAGTGCATCCACGCTATCCGGAACGCACTCAGTCGCCTGCTGATGCTAGGGGAAGCCAGTATGATGGCAGCCGTCGGAGCGCAAACCCTTGCCAGACTGCTGCGCAAAGTGGCCACGCAGCCCGCAGCACAGGAAGGAAAAGCAGGCGGAGGAAGGTCAGCGCGGATTCCTTTGCCGGGATCCAAGGATTCGCATCCCCCTGTGTCTTTGGCGGCTTTTGATGTAGACATGAATCTGAGCATGAACTGGGATGTCTTGGCTTCTGATCTTTGAACTGTAGGGTCTTCCCATTTCATCCTCTGTTTGATATCAACCATGCGAATTTGTTGCTTTGTTACTTTACTAGTATAAACCCATCCAGAGAAAAGGTTTAGAGCTGGGTTCTCTGTTCAGTCTAGTGAAACGCCAATTCTAGTGAGTGAATACATAGGGAAATGAATGTTTCAGAAGGTTCCATCTTCCGATTTGCGTCACTACGCATCACTACCAGTGATTCCTACCTCCCGCTTTACTTGCTCCATTTTCCAACCCTTCACTCTCCTCAACCACCTCAATCGAAGAATCAGCAATACACTCTTTACCCTTTACCAAAACCACAAACCCAGCATGGCGTTCAACCCGAGCATGTCCTTGACTCTCGACCTTCTCCTCGAGGATCTCAACGACCTTGAAAACCGACAGAAAGGCAAGCAGAGAGCAGGAAACCACACCGACCTGGACGTTGCCATCGCATGCATGAGAGAGGATATCATCGCCACGCAGACCTCCATCGAGGATGGGAAATTAGCTCTCAGCACGAGTATTGCGGTTGCCACGGATCAAAACGTGCTTGCGGCGATCAAATACGACGAAGATCTCGCGGAGCTGGATCGTCGATATGCCCTTGCTCTGAGCAATGAGGAGGAGCAGACCACTCATGATCTCCCGACAGATGCCGCGGACTTATACGATGTACCGAAAGTCCAGAATGATGATGCTGTTTGTGTCGCCATGGGTAATTTGATGAGTCGGATGAGGATATCCGATGATAACACGTACGGCGAAGGCTCATCGCGAGCAATGCTCTCATCTCACACCTCTACCATTCGAAAAGAATGCGACTCATGCTACGAGAACACCCATCCCATCATGTTCCGAGGTATATGCGGCCACGAAATCTGCCAGGATTGCATCAAGCAGATGTTTCTGGGGTCATTCAAAGACGAAGAGTTATACCCCCCTCGGTGCTGCGGCGAGGTCGTGCCACCGGGAGTTGCATTACGAGTCCTGAACTACGACGAGCTGCGAGCGTTCAGCGAACGGGCGATGGAATGGACGGCCAAGGACCGGCTGTACTGCGCGGATCCAACATGTTCGAAATTCATCCCGCCGTTTTCGATCCAGGATGAGCTCGGGACTTGTGCGAGCTGCGAGCAGCAGACGCATTTAACGTGCCGTTCTCTTGCCCATCCTGGCATTGACTGCCCGCTGGACGAGGCGCTTCATAACGTGTTGGAAATGGCCGACGCGGAGAACTGGAGACGATGCTTCCATTGTCAGACGATGGTGGAGCTGCAGTACGGCTACAACCATATTACGTGCCGGTGCGTGGGTATTGCTGTCATCAAGAAGAAAAGAGGCTGATTATTCCCAGTTGCGGACGCGAGTTCTGCTACGTCTGCGGGCAAGTTTGGCGAACATGCAGTTGCGCATTTTGGCAGGAGGATCGACTGATAGACGCGGCGAACCAGGAGGTCGAGGAGGAGCTTCCTCCCGATGCAGATATGGTAGATCGTCAGAATGTGTTCGACCGTATTGTTGAGAACCTTCGACATCATGAAGACGTGGGCTGTGAGCATCATCGAAACTCACAGTGGGCCTGGCGTGATTGGGGAAGCTTCCGGTGCGAGGTCTGCCATCATTACATGCCGCATTATATCTTTATGTGCAAGAATTGTCGCATGAGGGCTTGCAATCACTGTCGTAGACACAGGTTAAGGTAGTTCAGCAGGTTGGAGGCTGTACTTTACTACATGGTGTGGTAGTAGAGGATGCTTCTACCTTTGCGATCTGATTGTTTCTGTTTCTGTCTTTATTTCATTGATTCTAATCTGCAACACCAAAAGCAACATAAAGAGATACCAATAGGCTGAACCATATCCGGTAGACCTGCTAATAAGTACATTGTCACTTCTATCACTTCGAGAGTATATCATTTAAACCCTCTAGTTTCAAATCCAAACACAGAACAGAAACCCAAGAACAGTCAACTCAATATAGTTCACAAAGAACAAACAAGAATTCTACAGTATCAAACACCAAACACAACACCATAAAATCTCACGCAGCAACACCCCCGGCACACCAAGCAACTTCTCCCTCCGCATCGCCAGACTCAACACAACCACCAGCGCACCCCCCGCAACCGTCAGAATATACGCATCCCCAATAGCCCTAACAATAGCATCCAACACCCTCGTCCTCATCCCCTCCGACAAACCCCTCACCAGCCCAGACCTGGCGCCCAGAATCGCCGCTTGAATATCCGCCCTCGGCACATCGGGCAGCAGCCCCTCGATGCCACGCAGGCTATTATTCAACAGCACCGCATTCCCAATCGCCAGCGCCACCGTGATACCCACGAACTGCGCCAGGGTGATGAACCCGATGGCCGGGGCGATGTTCTCGGGCTCCACAACCGCCTGGACCACGGAGATAGGCGCCTGCAGGAACATACCCAACCCGATGCCCAGCAGCACGCTGTAGCCGTATACTCGACCCTGGGAGGTGTCTTGGTCGACGGTGTACATGAGCGCGGAGCCGGCGACGATCAGCACCCCGCCGGTCAGGAACCACGGCATGTAGTAGCCCAGTCGGGCCATCAGGTTGCCGTTCAGAAAGACGAATAGCACCATGACGACCACGAAGGGGAGGAGTCGTACGCCGGCGTCGAGGGGTCCGTCGTTGCGCGTGAAATGGAAGAAGAGAGGCACCATGTAGATGGGGATGAAGGCGCAGGCGCCTCCTTCTGCGGTGGCGGCGAAGAGGAGGAGGACGGTTCGCGAGCGGAAGAATTGCACGGGGATGATGCGTGGGGAGAGGGGGACGCCGAGTGTCCAGACCTGTTGGGTTCCTAGAGTAATGAACAAGGCTGCTGACACGACGAACATGGTGATGCGGGATGAGTTCCACGGGTAGGTGACGCCGCCCAGGTTGATGGCGAGGATTAACGCGGCCAGAGCGCCGGATTGGAGCACGATGCCGGGGTAGTCGAGCTCAGAGGAGCGTTCGCGGATGGAGGCGCCAGGGCGAGGGTCCTTGCTGGGGATCAGGAAGATGTAGAAGGGGGCGTAGACGGCGCCGATGAAGAGGTTGATGTAGAAGGCCCATCGCCAGCCCACGGAGGACTCGCTGAAGGCACCGCCGATGACGGGGCCCAGGACGATGCCCAGACCCCAGGAGAAGCCGGTGCAGGAGACGTAGACGGGGCGCTCGGAGATGGTGGTGGTCATGGCAATGAGGGTCATGCATCCGACGTAGAGGCCGGAGCCACCGACGCTGGCGATGGCGCGACCCAGGATCATGACGTTCATGGACGGGGCGGCGCCGCAGATGGCAGAGCCGATCTCGAAGAGAGTCACATGGAAGATGTAGAACCATTTCGCGTTGAAGTGGCCATATATGCGGCCCTAGGCGAGGTTGGTGACCGTGGCGCTCAGCAGGAAGGCCACGCTGAGCCACGAGAGCTTCGTGATGCCGCCGAGATCCTGAACGATGATCGGCTGGAGTTCGGCCACCACTGTGGCGTCCAGTGCATAGAGGAAAGTCGATGTCAGGATGGACACCAGCGTGGAGTACCACTTCCATCCGTTGATGTCTCGTGGGGGAGCCTCCGACTGGGCGAGAGGAGCGTGGTCAATCGCTGGAGATCGTTGCTTTTCGTCATCGAAGGACTCGCCAGACTCGTCGAGTCTTTTGTCCTCGAGACTGGGATCGTTGCTGTCAAGCATTGCCATAGCAGCGATATGCCCTATCGAGATCAGTGAGTGGCCAGTGTATTAATATTGACGGAGGGAGGTAAAGTAGACTAGACAAGTGAGTAGTGCAGTACTATCGTGTCTTGACACTGATTCTGGAGAGAAGAGAGTTCTTAAAGATAAGCACCTCGAATAGTATCGGCGATTGGATTTGTAAGACCATTTTGATCTATAACGAGTCCTTGAGCGCTGTATACCAACTGCCGACGGTTTGTCATGTTCGGCCGACATTTTCGGTCCAAATTTCTAAGCAGAACCCCGTGGTCTTTCTAATGTTGATTTTTTAATTCGAACAGAATGTGCACTCCCCACAAAATTGTCTCAAACCTGGTGTCTACAATATGTCATCGGTCAAATTCAACTAGAAAATTGGCCCTAGCAAGGTCATCTTACGTCCATTCTGCCCTCACCCTTTCCTAACCCAGCGAGTCAAAAATAACTTGACCTATTTAGTACCAAATTCTTACGGCCTTCCTGGGAACTATGTCAGACTTCTGGAGAACACAATGACACTGAGATCCGAAGCAGCAAATATAGACACAAGGCCAAGTCGGTACGTATACCTCCTTGCGATAGATGTGAACGAATCATACTACCAGTGAAACGCTAAGGTTATCAAAGACAGTGTTATTGAACGCGAAGAACTAAAGACGCCCCAATTTATTAACGTTGGAAGTCTACAACAATGACAGGACAACAATCACAGGCTTTCAAATGCATTTCCGTGTAGTCGCTGGGTCTAGCTAGCTAGTGGTAAATCAAGCTCCCACTTCCATGCGCATGTTCCCAGTCCAATCGTCCTCCCATCCCAATCCACCGCTGAGCGAACCCTCGCTCGTAACTGAAAGTCAATCGCAGAGCAATCACTCGAGAGAATCCCCATCGACCCCAGCCATAGGAATGTAGGGAAGGGCGCACCTGTATCATAAGCTTTTCCACTGGTTTCTATAGAGTAGTACTGATACATTCTTAAGGGTGGAGTGAGACGTATGCAGGACAATGGGATGATCGTTCATTGCTTTTTTCTACTGAAGAAGATTTCGCAGTGTATTCCTTGCATATCTTGCCAACCTACTCAAAGGAACGAATAAACACTAATATATAATAGCCGGGATTCACCAGTAGTTACTTACCTGATTTTAATTAGCTTATAAAATATATAGGGGCAAAAGGAAAACATCTCCCAAAGGGATGGGTACTATAGAGTCTTTTTGGCCGTGTGGGAGATCGCCGAGTACCCAGGCGCCTTTTACATTCAGCTATCATTTTTGGTCCAAATTTCTAAGCATAGGCCCTTTAACAGTCTTGGAATCCGTCCAGCCGGGAGGTCATTTCTATCTACCGGCATCAACCTGGAACTCAGAGCTCGAACTGGAATCCATGGAACAGCCGTGCCTATAAATATTATCTGATACAGCGATACCTAAGAAGCTAGAAGCCTGTTGGATTCTTCACCACTCTCGGCCGGCCAAAATACTGCCCCCTCGCCGTCATCATCAAAACTATCATACTGATCATCCGGTGCAGTAGATACATCAAACCCGACAAGCCGAAGCGCGGTCAAGAAAGTCTTATGCACCTCTTGTCCCATGTGTTGAGAAAATTCCACCGGAGTGACTTCATGAAACCTTGCTTTGTCTGAAGTGCTGAGTTTAACCAGATAGTGCGGGTCAACCCCCAATTCAAGAACTAGGCGCATTATTTCAAGATCTCCAGTTTCGATAGCAATGGGGAGCAAAGTCCATCCACGAAAGTCAACAGCACTTGGAATCCCAGGAAGCATGTGCTTTGTCAATTCTCTCAGTGTGTCTGTATTCTTTTCGCTGACGGCGTCAAATACTGCCGTCCATCCTCGCTCGTGGTCAAAAATTGACGGAGATGCGCCGGCTTGTAACAGAAGACGGACGTCTTCAGCAGTACCCCAACTTGCAGCGCGGTGAAGGGCTGTGGCACCAAACTGATCTTGAACGTCAAAGTCACTAAATGACTTTGCACACAACATTTCGAGAAATTCAGCCGGGACTGGAGGTTTTGAGGGGAAAAACAAATGCATGACTGGGGTCCATCCTCGAGAACATAGATAGTCCAGTCTTGCACCGCAGCTTAACAGGTAACGAGCAATCTCAATCTGTCGTGAGTTAAAAGCCCACTCAAGAGCGCTACTCTACTCCTAGTCAGTGAAATTCAGGTTAAGGGTCATGTGTAAAGGCATCAGTGTCTTACGTATTGAATAGGCCAAATGTCGCATTAACATCGATCCCATTGCAGAACAGAAACTTGACAAGCTCTAATGACCCACTGTCAATGGCATACTAAACCTATTGTCTTAGCAACAAAGTAAATCTCACTGTAGAATTTGATATACTTACACGCATTACGGTCGAGTTTTCCGGCGTCACGTCGTATGGACTGGCACGGCGAGATAAGAAGAGCTCCCGCACGGTGTGAGTGTCTCCATTTTGACATGCAAGTATAATTTCAGAGGTCTCCGGCACGACGTTTCTCAAAGATAAACTTGCGCCAAGTATAGAGAACCCCGGGATGGCAAGTGGAAATACCCGGATCCCTAGGTCAAAACAGATAGCCCGCAGCCCAAATCGTCTCCATGGCCCAATCTTGCCCGAGACAAAGTAGGATGTATGAAGGGAGTTGCCATAGCAGGTCAAAATAATTTGTAGTCCGAGCCAGGCGAGCCATGAATGATCCAAGGAGCGCCAAGAGCCAAACAGAATATTCCATGCTTGAGGATTACGGTCGAGAAGGGAACTTAAGCTAGCCTCACATCTACCCAGCTCTGAGGGTTCATTGTGTATCGCCTTGTTGGCATTCAGTAAGGGGACGACTGACTTGCATCGGATTGAGGCAGCCACTTTCCAAGAGTATGAACTTAGCCGACTGTTCCAATGAGGCAAGTTAGCATTTGCGAAAATATTGTGAAAGGGGTGTAGAAGATGATAATGCATTACACATTCAAAAGCAGCAATACTGTGTTGAGGCTAGTCTCGGTTTGTTGAAGACTGTGGAGCAAATTCTCCACCCTGTTCTTGTCTTTTAGTGCCCAGATCAAACGAGATCGGTTTCCAGTTTGGATCTTTCGACTGTCCAATTGCTTTTGGGCGTCGGACATAAGCTCGTCTGCTGAAGACAGGGCGTGCTCCAAAAGGGCTGCCTCGTTGGGGAGGAGGAGGAGCTCATCGCCCTCCGTGGTTTGTTTTTGAATGTCCGATAAGAGAGCGAGCTCACAGTTCAAAATCTTCAACTGCTGCGCTACCCGTGATAGTTCCCTGGGAGCATCATGCATGTCTTGTACCAGTTTGGCCGCAGAGGAATACGACTTGACCGCTAGTTGCACGAGTGCCGCAATTGATGCGACACTAGAAACCACCTCCATGCCGGGCAGGTCCAAGGTTGCAAAGGATCAATCCTCAACTGTGTTTTCAAGGTTGACTTTGGTATGAGAAGAGAGAATATTGGAATGCTGTGCTATACTGCGTAGTAAAACACGAACGATACTGGTTGGCCTACTGGGCTGTGCCATTTTTCTGCCCAGACACTTCTAAGGTTACTTAGGTGAGGCCGACATGATTCCAGGTGTTGCTTACCCAAATACCCCGTCATCTGTAGATCTGTAGGCCGCACAGCCCAGGGGGCGGCTACATGACATACAACGTACAACAGTTCAACTAATCATTGGTTCAGGGCAATTCTTAAGCACCAATCATAGTCGGATCTAGATGTTGGGGTTAAAAGGTACCCACAAAGAATGGCAAGGCACTTACCAGGTCAGACGTGGCGTACTATCATTGGGTGTGGCTCGAAGTAGCATTGCAGTATTTACGCACAGACATACAAACATGCAGATGGCCTGGAGGGCTGTGCAAGATTGTCTTACTACTAAATTAGAATGTATAATAGGTCGCAAAACCGCTCTCCAGTTCAAGAGAACCACCAGTTAACCTCTTCTGTGATTACGCTGAGCCCCAGCAACCATGCCCATAATAATAAAAAACACACAGTCTTGCTCCAGATGTCAGGAAGTGAACTGTGTTTGCGCTATACCCAAAAAAGGTAGGTTCCCTTTACTCAAAACATTATGACAAATTTACTCAAAACAAATTACTATTCAGAGTTAAAGTGTCGTCTTTGTGGCCAAGAAAGCGGAAATCATAAGCACGGTTGTCCCGAAAATAACTAGCAGGTACTATGTACGAAAGGTATATTTCCTGTGCTCAAAAAGTCCCGCACATTTAATTTATATAATATTAATAGGACTAATATGGGACTAGAATTTGATAGCTATCTGATCGTAACTGACTCCTGTGATGTGCGGAAGAAGTCAGAGGGAGTTAGTAGAATGAGTTATTAGGTGCTTAACATTTTGGAGGCCTCTGCGGAAGGATGCCTAGAGGATCTTCCGACACCAGCCAGAGGACACCCGGCTGGCCAAGCGGATCGCAGACCTTCACGAAGGCAACGGACAGAACCCCATTCCGTTCCTTGAAGACCACATCAAGGGCGTGACGCACTATGCCCCTCGGAATCGTCAAAGCCCCGTCCAGTGTGCCCTTGAGCAAGGCATATAAAAGGCAGTGATAGTCCTGGTCGACGCTTTTCCTGTTCTTCCGCTCGTCTCTTCCCTGCGTCAGGATTTCGGTTGTTCCGTTAAGGGATATGGGCACTCAGATTACGGATCAAACAAATTGGTGGAACCGACACACTGAGTTCCTGGTTACTCTGTTTTGCTAAGCATGGTGTTCCGCATTTTGGAAGCCGTATAGTCCATAAGAGTCATCTCACTGAGACAGCCATGAACCACGGTTGAACTCGAGGCCGTTTGCAAACGCATGTGCCCAGCTTATGAGCGCAGCTTCCAAAGGGATGGGGGTTCGCTGCAGTATAACGAGCACTATGGAGTTCTTTGGGTGGAGTGGAAACAGGGTTGGATATGTCGACAAGGATATGTGGGAGCAGCATGGTCTAGAAGATGTTGATTTGGTTCTTGGATGATTCAACACCAGTTGCATGCCTATTGCAAAGTTGATATGCTATAGTATGTGAGATCATGAAATTATGAACAATGCAAGTCAGTCGAGACAGCACTCAATGCAATTCGCTAAATCCAGCTCCATAAAAGCAATACCTCAACACCCCAGCCCTTCAAACCTCCACGTGCCCAAACCCAGACCCAAACACAGCTAACCTCAACAAACCAAACACTCAATCCCCCTCTCCCTCAAAACCCCACTCACCCTCCTAATCTCCTCCCCATAATACACCTGCCTCGGCAACTGCAGCCTCCAACACCCCTTCACCCGCAACTCGCGCAACGGCTCCAAAAACACCGGGATCTTCTCGACCGGCTCGCAGAACCAGCTGCCACTCAGCTGCAGCGTGAACCGCTGCAGACCCGCCATGCGCGTCAGCGCCCGACACGTCTCCACCCACTGCTGGCGGCCCGCGGAGAAGTACACCGTCTTGACGGGGTCTTTGGACGGGAGCCAGTGCCCTGGAAAGGCCCAGCGGAGCTCGACGGCGCGGATGCAGTTCCAGAGGTCGAGAGGGATGGTGGGGCACAGGTAGGTGAGGGACCAGGTGTTGCTGAATTCGAAGGTGTTGTGGGTGTAGAGGAGGTGGAGGGATTCCGAATATCTATAGGTTGCGGGGAGGGGTGTCAGTTACATAGGTACCTCGGCACATAGGTCTTTGCGCATGGGTGCAGGGAGAGAGAAACATACATCTGCTTACAAGCCATCACCAACCCCAATAATTTCCTATCTCCCTCCCGCGAAGGCAGCCCGCCGCGACAGATCTCGCAGGCCTTGGTGCGCGGACACACGACGTGGCCCATGCGGCGATTCGGCCGCTGCACGATATGGATGCGCATTCCGCCGAGGACCAGTTCCCAGATCATGAGGCGCAGCTCGGCGGAGAGGGAGCTCAGGAGGGGGCAGTTGGGCTGCGCGGACCAGACGAGTCGGGTGTCTTGTTGCTGCTGCTGCTGCTTCTGGGGTTGGGAGCGATTGAGAGGGTGTTTTCGGGGTCGAGGGAGGGCGGTGGGTTTGTTGTCTAGTTTCATGAATGGTTAGGGTTGATAGGATGGATGGAAGTATAGAGGTGAAGGACACACTTTGATACCGCTGTGCCAGCACATCCTCCCACGAGAAGACTCCCGGTTTGATTCTGGCCATGACGGGCTCAGAGTCGATTAGATATTTAGTAGAAGGATTAATCAAGAAAAAGCAATGAGGGTGGGCTAGTCAATGCCCCGGTCAACAATCACTCGTGCCTCAGCATATCATATCGTGGACGCCATCGCGAAGAACTCGGTGATGATTCAAGACCAGAAACTAAGTGATTTGCAGCTGGTTTCACCCGGGATAAATAATCGCAACGAGACCAGCTCGAGCAATCAATCACGCGAGGCCCAGAGAATACGTGGCTAGCCGGTGGGGGAGGAGGGGAAGAGTAAAACCGGCTGTAAGCGCTCGGTTTACTGGAAGTCGCGGGCGCACGAGACGAGCAACACGAAGGCTCTGGGATGCCAGGGTGAGGATGAGAATAAAGCGCGCATACTGAAATGCCAGTCTCACTGCAAGAGTCGGTGAGCAGAAGTCAGAGATTCGTCCAGTTAAAGAACGACCGATTGATAAGGCCGCAATCCGATATCGCCCGACGTCTTATCTTCTTGGCGGCTGGGATGAGACCACGCATACAGAGTAAGATGAAGCATTTGATTGAGACAGGGCTATTCCCAGCTTCTACAAAAGAGTGTGTTTGCCGTTCTAGCGGCCGAAAAGAATGAACGGACCCTGCCAGCAACAATCCAAGTAACTCACGAAACAAGATACCAATCTTAGTGAAAACACCAAATGAACAGATCCCTTTCTCCTATCCTATACCCAGCGATCATAGAACAAAATCCCTCTCATGTAGCAGCAGCCCTATCAGAACCCAAGGTGTTGGTAGGACATGGCGCATTCAATCCCTGCTGCAACATCGTGAGTCCATCCGGCTGAAGTTTGTCAATGGTGCTCTCGGCTGGAACGACGCCCACGTAGGGATTGAAATTGTACAGCCCGCAGATGCAGGAATTGACAATCTTCTTCAAGCTTGTGGCACCCTGCACCACCTTGCCGTCGCGCGCAAACGAGAACTTCTGCTCCCCAACACCCATGGGCACCGCGAAGGCGCTGGCCCCGGCCGGGGCTTCGAACTTCCGATTGGTCTGCCCCGAGGTGACTTCCACCGTCGCCGGGGACTTGAGCAGAGACACCACGAAGACTTCGTCCTTCATGGTCTCCCAGCCATTCGGTCGGCCGCGGAAGAAATTGCCGCTGGCGTTGTTGGGATTACCTTGCATGGTGGAGTCGGTGGCATCGCAGTTCAGATCTCTCGGAGTAGGTCGGTACCAATAGACCAACTTTTCATCCTTGATGTAGTTGTTGACGTTCTTGTCGCCGGCTTTGTAGGCGGCAATGAAGGGCTTAGACATCTCGAGCCAGCCTCCGTGTGGCCTAGTAGTAATAAACCCGTTAGTATTGCCTCGTTTCCTGCAAAAATGGGAAGCACTTACATGTCCATGACCCATTTCGAGGCGCCATCGTCCGTGTGAGGCGACGCCAGCGGTCCGATGTAATGCGACTCGCCGTAGTCGTTCCAGGTGACAATCTCGATGAAGCGAGGACCGAGATTCAAGATCTCCTGCCATCGGTTGTACCACAGAAGATCGCCCGGGAACACCCAGTTCTTGCTATAGGGCACCTCGCCTCCAAAGTGGGTAAAGAACCATCCAGAGGCAGCTATCAGAGTCAATAAGAATGATCAGATGACAGAAGGGGTAGACTCACGCGCAATATAAGGCTTGCCCTTCAGCGCATTGACATATGCAGTGTCACCCTCGGCGACAGAGACATTATGCCCGGGGGTTGGCGCCTTGTTGTTGCCGTTATTGTCCCAAGCCATCCAGTTCAATGCACCGTCAATGGCGTTGAAGTCTCCCTGGCCTGGATGAAAGTTGGGGGCAAAGAATACGTCCGAGCCGGCGGCTGATTTCATTTGGCCAATGTCGAGGCCGTCGCCGGCAAACGAAGACGCAAAGATCTTACCATCGACCTTGAGCTGTGCCGGAAGGCCGCCATACTGCCTAATCTTCTGACCAACAGCACCCGCCTGTCCAGTATTATACCAATTGAAGTCAAAAGAAATGAAAACCTTCATGTCATTTCTGGCGGCCGATTCATATGCAAGATTGAGCTGCTGGTCAGTGTAGGGATCCACACCGATGTTCAGCGCAAAGGCATCAATTCCCAGTGCCTTGGCGCGCTTCATGTCGTCGTCATAATCGGCAGCGCTGTGGCGGTTGCTGCAGATACCAATCTAAACACTTTGTATTAGCTGCCGTAAACTCATCCGTTTGTAATCAAGCCAGCTTACCATGAAATGACAGAAAACCAGCCGATCCGTGGCCTTTGCGTTTGGTTCGTCTTCGGGCACCGGAATGGCAGCAGCCATTGCCGAAAAGGCCACGAGCACCAAAAGGATAAGTTTAGACAGCATGATCTTGGACTATCATTCAAATTTCAGTCAGACAAAGAAATCAGACCCAGGCATGCCAATGCAGGATACAAGAACTAACCGGAGTTCCGTCAATCAATGGAACCTCCAAAACAAAGGAATGTTGATATCAAGAAAAGGAAGCCTTGCAAAGTCCAATGCTATATATATGATAGACTGGAGAAAGCGATCTAGTCATCAGAGGTAGAGCAACCAGACTCCACCTACTAGATACTTGATTCAATTCGCCAATTCGTGTCTGGCCAAAGCGAGATTGTCGTTCCATGATCCCTCTTTTATCTTCTCCCGTCAATCCTTGCTCGGATGAATTGACAGGGGCTATATCCCATCATAGGATTCAGAATGTAACAGTATCAATCAGACCCGTCACATGCGAAGGTCAATCCTAGAATTGTGGGCACTGGTCAGACCTGAGATCTTAGCATTTCACTGGCAATTTATCTTAAAGTTTTGGAAAGGTGGTGGAGATTAACCCAGACACGGGAGGAAAGAACATCCTGAGACGAGTATGATCCACGGGACCGCTGCTTTGAAAGACCCAACTGGCACTGGGATATAGGCTAAGGATCTGCCAACCAAACTCTGAAGGCGCGGCTTCTAGCCGTCCCGTTGATCAGCATACGATGAGATTTGCCAATAACATCGACAAGACGGACAGGACTAGCATCTCTCGGGTATATCCGACGGATGTGTGCCCTGAAGAAAGAAATTGGGCTCCCGGTTTTGGGCCTTCAGATGATGTTTCACTCTGTCTAGCGTCCTTCCACGGTAACACGCCTCTGAGTTGGATTTCCAATCAGGGCCTTAGAACCGCCACCCTACCGGTTAGAATCCTTTCAAGACATCAACGCCGAGGCCATCCTTCAAATTTCATCAAGATGAAGGACCTCGTTAAGCCTACTATACCGCAGCCCAGACGGGAGAATATAGCCTGGTCACAGCGGGACATTTCGCCCGATGCAACACAAGATGCATGTTCATGCATGCATGCAAGAATGGGTGCATTAAGCCCGAGCATCCATCCCCAGAAATTGCGCATCTTCTCTTTTCCCTAGACTGCGGGGTAACAGTGTTGGCTCAGCCACGCGATGCCATCACCAGACAATCGGAACATATCATCCAGGCGCCATTCAGCGCATGTAGGGATCCTGTTTAGTGAGCCCTCTCCCTAATCGCGGCCGGTGAGGCTTTCTCTCGAGTCCTCTGACGAGCAATCGTGGGACTGAAACGGGTTGGTACCACCTGGTGGCGGGGGATTTGCCTAGTAATTTCCAACCCACGGCTTCATCACATCAGCGTGTAACCCTGCAGGGTCCATGTGACGTGCCATCTCCTGCATTAATTCTCCGTTATTGGTCAATCCCTCCTCTTTCATCCCCGGATTCTCTGTTGGGGATGGCGAGAGATGATTCCTGTACTGAATCAGAACGCCTGCGTCACAGTGAGCCTTCCCTCTGTGCCGAGGATTGCCTGACGAATTCCTCCCATCCAGTCATCATGAGTCTTGGGGCAACCTCTTTCGGGTCTTATGCTATCTGTTACGTCAGCTGGGCAAAAGAAGCCATCTGCGTCGGTAGATGGATGAAAAATAAGCAGTTTAAAAAAGAAAAGGAAAGAAAATAAACATGGGTTCTGGAAGTTGGAGAATTATCGGAAAGTTAAACCGATCAAATCATCGGTGAGATCTAGAGAGAGAAAATAACAAGTCGGTGTGAAGTAATCATGGTTATTGTTCAACAACACTCCATTCAGTGGATTGCGGCTCTGCACAGCAAATCATGGGAGATCTGACGGCGCATCGGGCACCAAAAAAGAAATAGAATAACATCAACGAAGTACACTCATAGTATGGCAAATGCAGAAACATAGCTCACGGAACTATCGTTGACATCAATTGCATCCGAGCTCCTCTCATATCTGACGAAATGGAACTTCCCGGTCTTTCCCTCGTCCGGGCGCGCAACTTGCTCCATGGCGGCCATCATCACGCCGATAGGATGACGCCCGCAAACTGTGTTTCCCGTGGTCTGGATGGTGTCCAGGAAGGTTGCAGCCGAGCCCGTCGTGATGGCGGCCATGGTGGCAATATCAAACGCCGAGATACTCTCATGGATGGCGGGCTCTCGGCTGGAGACGCGGTCTCGGCGCTGCAAGGAGTGCCCGGCAGAGACCAGATCCATCTTGGCCTCGACGTCGCTGATCTCGCCACCGGGCTGGGGCAGGGCATCGGCGGAGAGGGGAAGTTCTGGGCCTGGCTTGGGGGCTTGGGGAACGTAGTATGTATAACGGAAACGGAGGCCCCAGTGACAGAAGTCGGAGCTAATGACAAACGCGTTCTCGGGGTCCTTAAGGTACGGAGCCAGTAAAGCTCCGAAGGCACTCTCGGTGGAAGCCGATGTGCTTCCTACCATGATTGGCACCAGGGGTGGGTATTGCGAGGTGGGCTTATTTGGGTGATACACCTGCAGGAGACGGTGAATGTACGGCAAGTGAAGCTCTATGCTATGCTCATCCTCGTCAACGTCCCTGGACATTGTCGTGAAGCTGATAGTTGATCCATCTGGCTTGGTTGCTTTGGTGGAGCGAAGCTTAGCGATAAGCTCCGTGTCCAGCGGCAGCGGGTCGTCGGAGAGCGGGGTAGAGTACGAGGTGAGCTCTGGAAGAGCCAGTGTTGAGAGATAGTGGTGGTGGGATGGTCCCAGGACGAAAATCCGCTTCCTGGTCACACAAGCTCAGTCAAGAAAGACGGTTATAGATTCTAGCATGAAATAAGCTTACGCTTTCGACAAATCCCATGCCTTGTACGCGTGCGCGGCACAGGGTCCCGAGTATGAATAGCCCGCATGCCTGTAAAGATCAGCGACGAGAAACGGCAAGATCTATGCAGACAATATCCCGCGGTGCATACGGAGCAATAATAATTCGAGCACCAGACACGGGTAATGAGCCAACGTTCTCAAGCTCCCCCGGCGCTTGCGCTAGCCATTGGTCGAGCTGACGTGCAAGAGTGGATTGAGTGCCAGAATACCACGATCCAGCGTGAGTAGCTTCCCGGGGCTGCATTTTGGGTGTTTTTTTAGGTCTCGGTTTTCTAATGGACGTGATGAAACTGGTAATTCTTCTCTTGATGGAAAGATGGAGATCGACTGCCATCGACTGAGGAGGCAGAAAGCAGAAGCGGGGAAACTCGAGGGAAAAGCGGAGGAAGTGACGGCCGTGCCTAAGGCACCACACGGGATGCCGAGGGCGGCATGCCGATCAACACTTCTTCTTCTTCTTGAAATGAGGAAGTCGGGTTGGATCTCAGGTTGGTTTGTAAATTAGAGGCATGTTTGGAAATAGTTCCATGTTTATTTTGTGGACAATGTGCTTTCAATGGCAACATATGGTACGCCGCAATACTTATATGCACATGTATCGCGAAGGGTATAATACATGCCTTAAATAACCACCCGAATGTTAAGTTAGGTCTGTTTCAGATTATTGCTAGTCTGCCTCGCAACAACTTCGGTGGAGGATTTCTGCTCTAACAGTATCTGTCAGACTGTTCTACTCGAAATAATTGCCAACACTAACGCTCAGCGAACATAAAAAAGTCGACTACTTCGAATCCCCGATGCAAGTCAGTCACAATCCACCCAACATCTGCTGATGCAACTAATCCTCCTCACCCATGGCAACTCAATCCCGTCCTACAAGGCCACGGGAGACTAGTTCCTTGGACATAGTCTCGATCACCCTTCTTGAGCATCATCAACCCCGGCAGAGCATGGCATGACGCTTTAATCTATCGGCTCAGCTGCATCTCGCGGTTCCGAGCCCCCGAGGACAGGTCATTTTTTAAGGCTGCCAAGTGTGCTGCCTAGGATTCATGCGCTGTCCCATGCAGTTTGTTCAAGCAGCCCTTCAACTCACTCCACTTCAATAGACAATGACTCACAACAATGTCACGAGGATATGTAAATAATTGTCTCAGACAATATGCATGATGACATAGAAGACAAGGTAGGCACATGCGTGATTGTCCTCAAGCGATGGATCAATATGATCAATGATCTTGCATCTGTCACCTTGTGATGCTTCGTTCGTGACCTAATTGCATGGGAACAAACCGGTTTATCACCCTCTGGCGTGAGCAGTCTGACATCCTAAGAATCTGCTTTAGCAAAATTCCTGGCAGTTTGAAATTTGGCATCTTGACAGAGGGTAATGGCCCACCAATCATGACATGTTTTAGTACCAGTAAAGCTAAAAATCACCATCACATCTCTGATAAATAACTCTTCCTGTGAACTTTCTTATAGGGACATGCAAGGATTGCAATGGAATATATGGAAAGCAATATCGAAGTCTTGGGTTTGCCATTGTTCTTACCAGTATACATCGCCAATGCCACGGCTTTCATGCCGGTTGCTTCGAGAATGACTCTGGTCAATTGACATCAATCTCATTTGACCAGGGCCCAACGGAAAGCCCCGGGTGCCACCTGAAGAGACAGAGGTGGAATGTAGGACGAAGAAAATGGGATGGTATCACAGCAGGCCAAGTAGGCATCTCGGCGGCTGCTGTCGGCTATCGGCGACTACAATCTACGGAGGCATACGGCAAGGCCTCGCGCACAAATACAATTGAAACATTTTTGGGACATTCAAAGTGTCATTTGCACAACTTCAGTGACCTCACCGCACAGATGGATGCCTCTAAGCCGATCATCTTTTACGACATCGCTTCGGCCCCGCCCGCCACTTGCTTTGCGCCCAATCCCTGGAAAACACGGTAAGCGTTCTGCGACCAGGTTCTGCACTTCGGCGAGACCGTGATTGGTTTATGCCGATTCTTCGATAGATATGCGTTGAATTTCAAAGGCGTCCATTACCGGACCGAGTGGGAAGAACTTCCTGATGTCACCTCGGTGCGCAAGAAGCTCGGCGCGGAGCCCAATGAGTCCATATGGACGGCAGTGCATTCCACACACTGCCTATCATTCAAGACACGGCCACCGACAAAATCGTCGGGGATTCGTTCGAGATCGCGCTCTATCTCGACAAAACCTACCCGGATGGCCCGACTGATCCCCGACGCAACGTTCGGCCTTCAGGCGGCTTTCAATGTCCAGGTGGATGCCATTTTCACCCAGCATACCCTGCTCGCTCTTCACGGCATACCGTTGAACCCGGCAACTGCGGAAATCTCCAAGGCCGAATTTGCCAGGAGAGCGGGAAAGGCATGGGACGAGCTGACGGTGCGAGGTGAGGAGCGAACGAAGATGCTGGAGTCCTTCAAAGCAGCGCCGGGAGAGTTGGCCAAACTCTATCGGCAAAAAGATGGCGTGTTTCTAGATGGCGATCGCCCCTCGTATGCGGATTTGATCGTGGGCGGCTGGTTGAAGCTTTATAAGGCAACTATGGAGGAGTGGGAGGAGCTTGAGTCCTGGCATGATGGCCTGTGGAAGCAGCTTTATCTGGCACTCGAGAAATATGCCGAGGTCAAGTAATAGACTGAGTCATGCTTGTTAGGTTGTTCCTGGACGAGTCTTCTGCAGAGAAGGCGTGGTAGGGTTTGAGATGGGATGATGCTTGATCAAATGACGCCAATGCTAGATTATCTAAACTGTATCAATAGGCAATCATTTCAGCTGTAGTAGATATGCTTTTTACCAATATTTAGCTTTCGAGCTCTCAGATTAAGAAAGATACTGTTATCTTCATTGTTGTTCCTGTCTGGTAGAACGCGAGGGAATTGCTCGAACCGGACTTTAAGTTTGCATCTGCAGTAAGCGCACGACTAGATATGATCAGATCAGAATCAATGCGAAGAATTCCACTGGGGCTTATATAGATCAGAACATGGAAGATGCGAGAGCGTCAAGTAAGCCCATTCTGACGATGGTCAATTAAGCCCGAAACGGGCTAGCGCATATTTGGGGTCGCGCGGGCAGTGACGGTAACTACGCGCTTGTCGTCTTGTCCGACGCGATGGCCCCTTCGTTCCCCTCGTGTTTTTACCAGCCATAATCCACACATAACCCCTTAGCGTTCAAACCCATATAACCGACGTGGACATCATCATTGCCATCATTTAAGATAGCATTCCCTATCATTGCATTTCAGTCCACCCCTTCTCCGCAACGCAATTCCACGACCATGTCTCTCAAGCGCAAGGCATCATTCCCGACTATTGCCTCCCCCGATGCCGACTCATTCATGATGGAGCGGTTGACAATGGATGATTCTCCGAAACATCTGAGTAGTCGCACCCGAAAGCGTTTCAGGGACGATCGCCCGGAAGACAAAGTGGTATACGGTCAGTGATACAACAAGAGAGACCACTTCACGAGTCATGCACAACTAACATCCGGCAGAGAATACCCTCCGCTGGCTCTTCACTGCTCAGCAGCAACAAGAACCCACGGCGGCTCCCTCCGCAGACGAGAACATGGAGCTAGAGGCACCCCCCTCGTCAGAGATTGTCGATCCACGCCAACAAACCCTCCACAAGTTCTTTCAGCCCTCTCAAACGTCGTCATTCCAGCCTCGCGCGAACCATCTCAACCACCACCCCCACGCCAACTCCCCATCCACGGACATCTTCCCGCAACGCCCAGATTACGATATGGTTTCAACCGTCACCTCGCTCAGTCGCGACACAAGCAGTCCATCTTCCCACGGTGCCGGCGCCGGAATGGACATGGACACGGACTCCGGTCGCGATGAACCCGGTCAAGATATCAGGAAATGGATGGGCGGGTGGATGCCATAGTCATTCGAACTTTTAATGCCATGGTTTCTGCCGTGATATTTCTGCTTGTTACGGATATAACATCCTGCCAACCATTGCTGGTCATGTTGGCATCATACCCTATTTGTGTTTAAGATCAGACGACTATTTGGGCAGATATTTGCATGGCACTGTTTAATTAATAATACCTATATACGCGATTCGCTATAGGTTTTGTTTAGCGTTTCTGTGGGCTTCAACGGTTGGAGTATATAATTGAGTCACTTCCAGATTACCTTCCCGTCGATGAGATCGGTTGAGATCGAACACTAAGTCTGGTGAGTTTTGGCTGTAGATTGGATTTATCGGCGCTGATCAGGTGGTCTGGTCTATGCACATGACATCCCCGAGTGCCTGCAAAGGATTATGCTTTGAAGACTGGTTCCAACAATCCATTGTACGGCATATGACGTCTACTCAAGTCTACTCAATGCAGATTCCGAGGACCCACAGAGTGCAAATCTGCATCGTCGATGTAACCACTGCCCACGTCAAAGTCAAAAACCCTGACGATGATCGAATACGAAACATCGCGTGGACCCAACGCCTCCCATTTCGCGGGGGTGTCACATGCCCCGTCCGCCAGTGGAGCCTGAGGCCGCACCGTCTCCCCGCCGCCTTTCGTTTTGCGTTTGCTCGAAGGCGGCGAAACAAAGCATTCCCGCAGAAGCCAACCGGAATCCATCCAGCCACGTCCACTATCTACGAATCTCTAAATCTAAAGGCTTTTCTTTCCTGGTCTTATCGCTTGCCAACATCATTCTCGCCTAGAGTCTTCGCCCCAATCGTTGACGAGGGGGCCCTGACCGTTGCGATTCGCAGAACAGTCCAGACTCCAGACCGCCCCAGGGGGTTTTAAGTGGTTGATCCCGCCGAGCTCGTGAAGAGGTCAAATCTTAACGACCCCAACTATTAGGGAGGGGGATTGATTAACAAGAAAAAAGAAAAAAGCAAAAAACAAAAGTACCCTTGGTCGCCATGGACGAAAACCATGCTATCCAGTACCTGGAATCCTTGATTGGTCAGACGCTCCGGGTGCACGCGACAGACACGCGCATTTTCGTGGGCAACTTCAAGTGTACAGATGCGGTGGGTGAACCTAGACGTTCCCGTTTCCTTGTCTGGTTTCCAGGGAAGCTCGGGATGGCGGGGAACAAAGAACGAAGAAATGAGGCAAGGAATACGAAAGCCGGAGACTAGTTGCTGACCTGTCGAGCACGAATCTAGGCCCGCAACATTATTCTCGGAAACACCTTCGAGTACCGATTCCCATCCTCGTCAGCCGTTCGAGATGCTGCAACCGATGCAAGCGCGCTTAGTCAAGACTCGGGGACAGCGGCGGATTCGGCGAGCGTCAAGGTCAATATGACGAGTCGATTTATTGGGCTGGTGGTTGTTCCCGGTCAGCACATCACGAGAATCGAGCTGGAAGAGACCCCACAGCAGAGTCGGGTGCGTGAGACGCTCAGGAAATCATAACGGCAGCATTGAAATGCAGGCCAAGACCGACCTCTCTCATCTTGCGCGCTGGACGCGGAACCCGATTGCTCCAGAGGAAATGCCAATGAAGCCCAGCCAATAAGGAAACTAGAATCGAAATGGATTGCTTGCCCATATATGGCGTTCTGCATAACTCCGTCCCCTCTCGAAAACAAGAATTGCCACGGAGTAGATCCGACCTCAGCCGGGCGGTCTTTCACGGGGAACCGCCAAGAGGCCCGGGTCCCAGATGTACCACCCCAGACCCTCCCACCAGAACGTGGCTAGGAGAAAAGGGGGGAAAGCTGTTGGTACTTGGCGCAGTGTCGCAGGCTTGGCAGCCGCCGCCTCAGCGATGGCCTTGCTGAGCTGAAATGGCGGTGTTCCTGCAGTGGGTGGAGTCTGCCTTCCCCCCTTGCACGCTGTACAGGGAGACCTACTTGCAGTCGGACGGAATTCGAACCAAAGAAAGACGATCTCGCATGGATGGTCTGCGGCGGAAACTGGCTTCACCCGGAGGAGGCGGGTTGCAGTGTTGCTCGCATTCGGGGGCATTCGGGATATGAAGGGGGAGGGGAGGAGGCTGACAAGTAATCCATGGAGAAATCCCGGCAGCTGATTATTCGCCCTGTTCTCTCCAGGCAGAATTTCAATCGGGATGGACTGAAGTCGAGGCAGGACCTATAAGACGGGATGCGTCACGGTACGACGGACTCGCCAAGAGGGATGGAGGGGATGGGAGACGCGAGGGGACGAGGAACGTGGAGTCTGTGTTGCGATGTGTCCAAATTCAATTCCACATTCGGCCGTCACGAGTGTCGAAGTGGTCAGAGGTGTTTTGTTTCTTTTTGGGGATGCTGGATGAGTATGATTGCCGGAATCATGAGTATTTGTTATTTTGTTTTATTTTATTTTTATTATTTTATTTTTCTATTTTTTTGGTGATATGTTACTATAGAAGGAATATAATAAACACCCTCCGCCCTCATGGTCGGGTTCTTGATCAATCTGCCTGTCGATCGTCTGCCAGGCTGTGACCAGACCAGAGAAACACTGCACCATGAATCACCGGGGGACAACATCCACCCAGCCTCTGAAGTAGAGTACGAACTCACTTGATATACTCTATAATACCATCGGCCCGAGGATGATCCGGGCTGCCACACCCGTGCAGGATCGAGACCAAAAACGACGGCCTGCGGTTTGAGGCGAGAACCCGCCGAGCCAGAAAGTCACGGTCCCGTCGAACTTCACTTCGCTTCTCTTCCTCTTCCTCTTCCTCTACTCTTCGCATCGCAACGCCTTGGTCCATCTTTGGCGTCGACTCGGTCCAGCTTCACTTCACTCCATTTGTCCCCCGCCATTCCCTGCTCCCCAGCCGTGAGTTCCTCCCGACCTGCCACTGACCGACCTTCTCCATCCCCGTCTCCATATCCATCCCATAATAATAATGACGCATTCTTCCACCCCCTCCCCTCCACCGACTTAACTCAAAATTTCCCCCATTCAGACTCTCGCTTACTGCCCTGCCCGCCCTCCACATACCTTCGCCGAGCTTCGTGTGTTTGCTTCCCCCAAACCGCCCGTGCCCTTGGCTTCCCCAGGCCGCTATCATCCGCCGTTGCATCTTCTAACCGTTATCGCTGCCTGCCTAGGTAACAGGAGCTCTCCCTCTCGGCGAATCGGAACCTTCCCTTCCGACCAACTCCCTCAGGACGCTACCGACCTGGTAGCTCGAGGTGGCTTCGTGTGCCATCATTGTTATGCCATCGATCTGATCCAACATCCGCCACTCCTTTCGTCTGATCGTCCACCGAGCTTGGCGAATATTCCACCGCTGCAGCAATGGGTCAGTCGCATTCCAAGGGCAACTCCGGCCCTGGAGACTCGTTGCAGTCCTACCCATCCTTCTCTCGCTCCGATACCAAGGAGTCCCTTCGGTCTCTGCGAGGCTCCATTCGCTCCAAAATTCGCAACAGTGACAGCCCGCGGGGTTCCACTTCGGCCCTGTCACGAACAGAAAGTCAGACGGATAAGTCGGACGCCGGCTCGGTCAGGTCGGTCGGCAGTCGACGCAGCTCCACGAATCTGAGCACCCAATCCCCGGGCCCCGACGACTCCGCCGCTGGCCTGGACGCACCGGACCCTCCTCCCTCCCCGTCGTTGTCGAACAGCTTGAAACGAGGCCATAAAGATGTGGACGCGATGCAACAGAGCGGTGAGGTTGACCATGTCTCCGATGCTCCTCCGACCGCCGGTGCTGCCCCCACCGGATCTTCGCAGACCGTGGGCGAATCGATTCTGATCAAACGGGAGGGTCAACTGAATCCGATCTTGGACTTCATCATGAACACCCCGATGGAGGCTGCGTCCTCGCCGGGAATGGGAATGGGTGCTCTCAAGTCCATTGACCTGGATGACATGATCACTCGTCTGCTCGACGCCGGCTATTCGACCAAGGTCACCAAGACGGTTTGCCTCAAAAATGCAGAGATCACGGCCATCTGCACCGCAGCACGGGAGCTCTTCCTTAAGCAGCCCGCTCTGTTGGAGCTTTCGGCCCCCGTGAAGATCGTTGGAGATGTACATGGCCAGTACACCGACTTGATTCGACTGTTCGAGATGTGTGGATTCCCGCCCACGTCCAACTACCTCTTCCTGGGCGATTATGTGGACCGTGGCAAGCAAAGCTTGGAGACCATCCTTCTCCTTCTGTGCTATAAACTCAAATACCCCGAAAACTTCTTCCTTCTTCGCGGCAACCATGAGTGCGCCAACGTGACCCGGGTGTACGGTTTCTATGACGAGTGTAAGCGACGTTGCAACATCAAGGTTTGGAAGACCTTCATCGATACCTTCAACTGTCTACCTATTGCGTCCATCGTAGCTGGCAAGATTTTCTGTGTTCACGGTGGACTTTCTCCCAGTCTCTCGCACATGGATGACATCCGTGGAATTGCCCGCCCCACCGACGTGCCCGATTATGGTTTGCTGAATGATCTTCTCTGGAGTGATCCCGCCGATATGGAAGAAGACTGGGAGCCGAACGAGCGTGGTGTGAGCTATTGCTTTGGCAAGAAGGTGATCATGAACTTCTTGCAACGGCATGACTTTGATTTGGTGTGTCGAGCGCACATGGTGGTCGAAGATGGCTATGAATTCTACCAAGATCGGATTCTAGTGACGGTGTTTTCTGCCCCTAATGTGAGTGCCCTTTGCAGAGCTTCTCCGTGTTCTTTGTTATGGACTGCTGACCCACGGTTTCGTACCAGTACTGCGGTGAATTCGATAACTGGGGCGCTATCATGTCGGTGTCCGGCGAATTATTGTGTAGTTTCGAGTTGCTCAAACCGTTGGATTCTACGGCCCTGAAGAACCATATTAAAAAGGGACGCAACAAGCGGAACAGCATGTTGAGCAGTCCTGTAAGTTGTCCCTTGCTTGAGTTTCTTTCCTTTTGTCTTTTGCCAAGGAGCAGCGCCCGGTTTCTTGTGCAACCCTGCCGAGAAATTTGTGTCCTCGGAGGCACCACCCTCTCTTGGCTTGTTGGGATCCCGATTGCTGATGAATGACGATTGCAGCCTGCCACCGTGTCAGCGCAGAGTTATTAGACGTCCTGGTGATGTTGCGCCAAGAAAACCCGCATCCGCCATATGTCGCCGTCGAAAGCGATCTGGGCCTTTTTTTCTTCGAAAATTGCCCGCCATGATCAAACATTTGCCATCCACCGTTCTAGTCGATCCGGATTGAAAGATCGAACTAAACTATCCCGGTGCAGCTCCTCGGGACTGTCCGGTCAACCCGCATCGCCAAGGTTCCAGAAGATCCTGGACTGCGACGCAGCGATGCCGACGTTTCCAACCTGAAGTCGCTTTGCTTGTCAGAGACAACAAGGCTTGGCAGATACGGCAAGTGGCAGGTCCGTCGACTTTTCCGTAACGATCGGAGGGCCTGTGAATAGTCCAATTTGCCCGGGCCGTGAAATGGGAGGTCGTCTAGTTGTTGATGATAAGCCTGAGTGGGAAACGGATAACTCTATTTCTTTCACTGTCTCCTCTCCTCTCTCTTCTTCTCTCTTTGTTCCAATCTCTTTATTCGTTTGCATGCATACAAAGAGAGCAGTCTTTGCGTGCAAAGGCGGCTCTCCTGTTTTATGAAAACCCGCTGATGCGGGGAAGAAAGTGATGACCGGTGCCTTTCTGCTTTTTTCTTTTTCCTGTCTTCGGGGTCTTTCTATGGCTCTTTCATCTCGTGTTCATGCCTTTGCCCCCCTCACACAACGAAACGTTGACGCGTCATGATACATGAAATGGCGGATAAGCACATACGTACTTGATTTTCTAACCAGGTCGACTGGTTTCCCTTTCTGTTTTAGTGCTTACCCCTCGCCGCTTTTTACTCACTGAGTAGACCTGAGCACACCCTGAGCACGCCCTGAGTAGCCTGAGGTGATTACTGAGCATAGGATGAGTAGAAGACTGAGTACCTTAAGTAAGTAACCTTAATAAACTATATCCTAACTAGCGGTCTCCCCTTTATTTATTATTTTACTTTAAGTTTATTTTTATCTGTAATACTCCCTAAAAAACTTAGCACTATTATTATAAAAATAATAAATTAAGAAAGCTATTTTTCTTTTTAATACCCGCGACCTTTTCTTTATGAGGAATTATTATATTACTATATTATATTAATATAATTAATATTATTTTAAGCTTTTTTTATTAAAAAATAATATAAGCCTAAATATTTATAAGAGCGGCCCTGGATATCCTAGGAGTTAAGGAATTCTTAGAATATTAATTAATATTAGTTTATTATAAATATATTTTAAATTTTAATCCTAAATATCTACTAATAAAATAATATGCGAATGTTTCCCTATCAAAATATATAATATTAATTAAAAGAATAAGACTTGAAACTAAGGGTGTAATATTAATTATTTATAACTATTTTAATATAAAAGACTTGCTAATTATAATATAAAGTTATAATAA